CTACTCTGAAGTTCATCAATTGAATGTTGCTAATCTTTCAACTGGAATGGCAAGTCGTATGTTGAATGCTATGCCGTCAGTTACCTTATTAGTACCTGTGAAAAAATCTCCTGTATTTCGCATGAATCTTCATTGATACATCATTTCTGTCATCAAATCTTCCACCTTGTTGTTACGATGAACGTGGACAAGACATCTCAAGACGTATTGGAAATATTTCAGAATGCTTTTAAAACCATATTCTTCGAATGTTCAGCAACTTAAGCTAATTATAATATACCTGGAATGGTAATTTTTCATGCGCAGCAAAAGTATTTTCAACGTCTGAAACATACCATTCGACGAATGTTAGTTGTTTATACATTAGACTTAATCATTTGAATGATTGTATCTGTTTACTAAACGGAAATCTTAACTACTTACATATATTGATTGTTGAACTTAATTCAATTCGCAAAACATCAATGACCATTAACAATACGATATGACTGAGACTGAATTAATCCTTAGAATATATGTTCATGTGATTGTTGTGTTTTTAGACATTTGTATCCCAGTTAAAATGCTTCTCATTGGTTTCATCTGGTGATACGAGCGAATATGACAGCAAAGTTGTTCCATTGCTTCGTCATATGTCACAATTAGAAAAGCTCATATTGTATTTGACTATTATGAACTGAGCAAGGATCACTTTCATATTTGTTTATTTCCATTTAGTTTTAAATGCATGCAATTAGTCGAACGTTTCATTTTGCAAGTGTTCGAACATGAATTCTTTGCTCGAGTGTCAAAAGTATCGCTATTATTGAACAAGTTGACAATATCTAATAGAGCTGCTCAACAGAGAAAAATAGGGTGTGGGTGTGTCCTCAGACATCCCCAATTTCCATCTGTCGACAAAGCAAGTATTTTATATCATAGAAAATACCAACTTTTCTGTTCGGTCTAATGTATTATTACTTGTTTATTTAGTAAGTATTTTCATGTTGTTTATGTTTGTTGTAATCTGTTTATTTGGAATTAATGTAACTTTTTTTTTAAATGCTTCTATATAGATGTGCTTAGTAAGGAAGTGTATTGACTAGGAGACACACGAAAGAAACACACTCCTACGCTCTAAGAGTAAACCAAAGCAGAATTTTTCTTTTCATGTAGAATTGAACGTCTTGACTTTTATGTTGGTAAAGAGAATTGTTCAGATTGATCAATATCGAACTATCCAATTCTAGCTCGATATAGATCTGTGCATCTCGCAAAGTTCATTAACGAAAAGAGATTATTATAATTTTCTATAGCAGACTTATTTCTAAGCTATAAAAGATGATACTTTTAGAGAAAATGGTTCATATCTATGCATAGACTCCTGGTTTATTTTTTTCCTTCGAAAATACCGTTCGTTTTTTATATAAAGACATTTTTGCCCACACTCAAATGTCTTCTCATACCGAAGAAACCTTCTGAGTAAAATTCCATTGCCGACTACCAGACAACGGTGAGTGTGATATTGTACTGTCAAGCAGACATGCATGCGAATTGTTTTACATCTAAACCAGATCGTTGAAAAGTATCGACAAAGAATAGTCAGTCAAAGATGGTAAGAATGATGTAGATTTAGATTGTTCACCCAAATTGTCAGTTATCAAAATTGAAAAGTTCTGTTTGAAGAAGATACAAGTTTTCTCTTGATAAACCAATTGTGAATATCTTCCAAAGTGCAGTATTATACTTGATAAAAATAATAGCAGCTTTAAGTTCTATTTAGTTACTGTTCATTTCGATATTAATCGTAGTTTGAATATAGTAAAAAGAAATGGCTAAGTCAATAACGTAGAAATCTAGTAGTCGAGACGAGAAATAGTATACTATTTTTCTACTAATTGTGGTATTTCGACATTATGCGTATATTTTTCCATTCATTGAGTTTGTAGGAGAAGATAATTATAAAATTCTAAACGATGTTCTGAGTATTTACTTTGTTTTTCATTTAAGCACTCATAACATATAAGTATAACAGGATTGAGTATGTTTTCTTGTTAGTTATTGAATTCATCAACAAAGCGTGACACTTCCATTCTTCATTTTATTAATTCGAGGTGTCTTCAGAAGTCAGAAATTAGAGTAAAACTGAGAAAACAGGAAGCTTGGCAGCCGTGCTCGTCGTTAATAATTGACTCGGTAGATGAAACATTGTCAAAGGTCTTACTTTTTTCCTATTCGATGAACAAGTTGTTTCAGGAGGAGAAATGAATTTGTAGATTGTAGAACGTGTCGTTTCCTGTCTCTAGTGAGATTTAGTTTTTGTCGTTAATTACTCCGAAGTACTTTATTAGACACCATATTATTAACCACATAGTCGAACAACCGTTGTTTTCATTTCTATTACTGGCAGTACGAATGAACGAAGAGCAGGTCACTTTATCAAGACAAATTTATCAAAGATGTAAATTGCTGATCAATATATGTAAATGATGAACGAGCAAATAGTCACGAAGGAAGACATCAGATAGATTTGAATATTAACAAACTGAACGTCAACTTGTATTTGTAATCAAAGATGTTCAGCAGAGCATAGATATGCACTTTTCTCAGATGACAGAACATAATACTCAATGAAAAGTGTTGTAGAGCACTTTGTATTATTAGTGAGCAGTCATCTGATCGCAGTTGGAATATTGGTAGGTAACTAAGGAAGAGAAGTCTATAACAGGGAATGCAACAGACAATTTTGTCGATCACTACATATGCACAAAAAGGCAATGTGATCTATACGCTCGTTGAGCATTGTATTGTCAGGAAAATTGCCATAAAATACAATCGATCTCTTCATTATTTTTGGGCTAATTTTGACAGAAACATGGAATAAAGTATGATGATATGATCGCATTTCCTCACGCGCATGTTTTTTGTCATTTTGTCAAAAACAGATCATAACATGAGCTATAAAATCAAATTTATCTTGAGAATTGTCTGGAGCTCTGAATGTATGCCATGCAATTATTCCTTTTTGGATGGAAGTGTTTTGAATACAGTCTAGAATTGCGTCAAATTCTATTCTAGCATAGCCAAAATATCCACAATCGAGTCGATGAAAGTGTTGTTAATTAATCCGTAACATACTTTTTTTGGTTCATGATCCTACTTTTGAATACGATCAATAATCCAATCACACTCATTTCACAATGTCATTATTCTTCTCAAAATTCACTAATTTAATCGCGAATCAAGGTTCGAATAATAATGCAACTATTCACAGCATAAAATCTGCCCTAGGATACTATTGCAAGCTCTATTTAAGAAACACGTACTCTGCTCACTAAATCGAATAAGTCTCCATTTCCAAATAGCGTGAAAATACAGAAAAATAATGCCCATGTAGCATCGAGAGTCTTATCTCGAATGATTACCTCAGGAGAACTAGGTACTCGGAAGACATATTTGTCAGAGCTTTCTTGTATACGAGTGGATCTTGTAGAAGATTTTCATTATTACAAAAGGATAGATATTATATAAGGTCATATTCTCTCTTGACTAGTTGCCAATGTTGATCGATTATGATACAGTCAACTAATGATCTGAGATTCTATATGATGAATGTGTTTTTTACATTTGTTCTGACTTTTCTTCTCATTGAGGTTTGTTCTTCCTTTAATCTGATGTTTAATCAGAGGAAGAAAATATTCGAACTTTAAAGAGTATTTTTAGCATGACATAAACTTTATAACATTAATCATATGCATTTCCTACATGGCAAGCTATACCGTTACTTTAAATAGAAATCTGCGCCGAACAAATTCATTGATGTATTAGCAGACGACCCTTTTAGTTAATGTTAGCAGATTAAAAACAAAATTGTTTAGTAGTTTTTTCTTGTCTGGCTAAGTTAATATTCTTGCTGGGGGAATGCTCCTGATAAATATATTTTGTATTAGCTCGGGTGATCTTAGTCGTTACTGTCTTCATTCTAATCTATCGAATAGTTAATGGGATGCACACTATCTATAGAAAGCATCATAATAGAATTTTTCCTTTTCTATTTCTCAGTCTCTTTCGTTAGACTTTTTTTTCTAAAGCTTCTTTGTGTGAATACGCGTCACATATATCAATTGTCGCATAGTTATTATTATGTTCATAAATAAATCCATGTGCAGCAGTTGGTGATCTTGTTTTTTTTCTCTCTTTTTTTCTCCATAATAGATGCAATGTATATATATATATATAAAGAGAGATATCTCTGTCTAGATTTCAAATAACAATGAACCAAGGTGCAATTCCCTCGAGACAAGCGATCTAGGTAGAGTCCGATGCATGTTATGACTTAGTTCGTTTTGAAATCGCAAACGAAGAAAGAGAAGGAAGAGAAAAAAGAAGGCAAAGATCTCAAGTATATATATGTATGCAATTTGTCAGTTTGATACAAGTATAGTAAAATATACCGGAAATCCGTAATTGTTACGATTGTAATAGAACGGCAAGTAAATTGAAGAAGAACACAAGTTACAATTCTGTTTCTTGCTTCTTTTTCATTATTAGTAGTCACCGTGTCTTTCTTTCTTGACGCTATCTGTTTCTTTATTAACGCTAAACGCGTATTTGTGTGAATAGTGACAAGCAACAACTCAACGAAACAGAATTATCCGCGTAAAATCAAGATCAAGAGAAAAAGGAAGAAGCAAGAAGGCGAAAAAGAAGAAGAAGAAGAGAAAGGAAAACTAGAGAAAAGTAAGTTTTTGATGATGAGGATGTCGTAGCTGATTCAATTCTTCAAAACACGCACACACATATGTATTTGTTTTTCACTAGTTTGACAATGATGCGAAAACATCAGCTGAGTCACGACGCCAAATTGGATTCCTCGTGAAAACTGAACGTCAGCTTCTGCCGTCGAGACAGCTTGATAGAATGTTATTGTGCAGATGTGTCTTTGATGTACTGAATCAGTTGAAAAACACGTCTGGTCTGTTAGGTGAAATACTCTCTTTCAATTAAATACGAATCTGATTATGATTGGCGCTCGTCGTCGACACGATCCAGCTCGTTCCAGTTTTTCTTCAACATGTACAACAGCTAGTAGTAATGCACGTTGGAGTGATGTATCAGCAACAATATCTCACAATCCGGCTTTACTATCGCCGCACCGATCTGTGCAGAAATCTAATCGACGTTTTATGTTTCCTATTGTACCTGCGTCTTGTTTGCCTGATTCTCCCACTTCGCCGCGTGCTGCTGTTCGCGATCTTTGTTTGCCACGTCAAGAGCCTCGTCCTCCATCGGATATACTTAATCGATCACATCTTGGCTCTTGTTCACCATCTCTCGCCAAATTTAGTCGAACGATTACAAGTCAACATGTTTCCACATCGACAAGCACAACGACATTACCCTCATCAACCATTCATTCAGGTACTTTCCTCCATCCAACAATGACTTATCTCACAGTGAATGGTCTTCGAACAAACCATCATCACCATAATTGTCGGCATACACGGTAAAAAAAGATTCCTTTTTTACTTTTTCTCGTTTATATGTATATAAATATCCTAAAATTGTCTACGCTATTAAGTCTTGTACATAGCAGCTAATATTTAAATCAAGCCAAGTTGATAACGGACACGTCAAATTCTTTGCCTAGTCAAGTCATTCTTCTTCTTTTCGGTGCTTCCATTCCAAGTCTTTGTAGAATATGTCGCGAATGAATAGTTTATTATTTTGAATTAATGATAATTATGAAGATGATAATTACCACCCGTTTGATCTTATTCCTGGCTTCTATTCGCAAGTCTAAATTAAGCATGGAAATGCATCTCGAACAGATTCATAATCTCACGGAAATTTTTTCGGAAGTTAACAGCAGAAAGAACAGCGTTACGACAGATAATCATTGCATCTTTTCTCCTCTCAGATTTCTACGAAGAAAATGTTTTCTCGCACATCTGTTTTTTTTCAATTGAATCTCAATGTTCGTTCGAATTAATCTGAGTATACCAATTAAAAGACAACCTCGATATTCCGAGCACACTTAACGTGACATTTTTGTCAGCACGTATAGTATTTATTAATTCCACACCAATCTAATTCAATAAGAAGCTTTTCGTCAGCTGGAAGGAAGATATTTGGTATCCAAAAGTGCATTTTTCGTTGAACTAATGAAAGCTTGCGTCAGGAAACAATTGACTAGCAGCAAGGCAAGCGCTTGACATGGACTTACTCGACCGAATACATGAGACAGCAGTGCAGTGTTTTAATGAATTTTTCAGAACGAGTCGGTCATCGATGGAGATTTTGTTTTTCTTCTTCATATTGTCAAGAGATGTTTTTTTGTCATTAATTATATTTAAACAAGATCTATCATTTGATTCTTAACTAAATGCTTGAGTAGTCGCTTATTCTTTAATGTTTTGTAATTATTTTCTTCCTTGCTAACATTCGCCTCCTCTGGTCGTATCTAAGTGCGATGTTCTCTTTGTTTCTTTAATAATTGCACTTCGTCTTTTTCGTATTTGCCATGTTCTACCAGCAATATGTGTTGTTTAATGAAAGACGAGGAAGAAAGTGAAAGATGTTCTGATGATGAATATGTCAGCATGGTAGAAATATTCTCCTTCCCTATCTGTACTTTATTGACGATGTGAATTCGAAAGGAATCCTTTATGAATATAATGCTATTCCGACGTCAATTCTATCTAATTGACTAAATATGCTGTTTTGGAATTGATATAATGTTAAAAAAACAAAAGATAAATGCTTTTGAAGTTAACACACCATCTCTCCTGAGTAAACAGGCAATTTTCTAATAGAATAAGCTTAGCATGCTAAGGACATCTTTTAATTGAAATGATATCAATAATAGAGAGAAAAAAATTCTTTTCCTTCGTATTCATCATCGATTTGCTAAACAAGAACATTGCTCAATCGATCGTATTTTATACGCATGCTATCAGACATGAATAGAATACATCTTGTCTATTGTTTACTGTCTGAACAGATGATAAAACTCAATGAAAAATCTCCACCCGAGAAGGAAATTAAGCGCTACAAATTTATTCAATTTTGTCTGCTGAATATCTTCTATTATCATGGGAAGATTCGATGTGATGATGCGGTCATTGTGCGCTCAAACTGTATGTAAGAAATCTATGAAGGAAAAACTGTTCGGTATTTGTTAATTTTTTATCTCATTATTTGCTCGTTCAGACTGTTTTTCTTTTTCTTTGTTAATCCAGACCCTATGAATTTTTTTGTGTGACTGAACGCATGACATTCGATGAGACTCTACTGCATAATCCTTAGGAAAAGAATAGGTGCTTAGTCAAGAATAGACACACAAAGAGAGAGAGAGACAGAGAAGGAGAAAAAAAGAAGAAGGATGACAGAATAAAGACGAGAAAGATTGGCGATGTTGGAACTGAGAGAAAGAGTAGTTATGTCAACAACACAACTATAAGTAGAGTTCTAGAGTTGTATATGAACGAGCCAACGATCTCAAGTAGAGATGTTCTTCATTATATCGGGTGAGACTTGTGCTCTCCTGTCGAAGTACAGATAAGAGAAAAAGAAAGAAAACGAGACAACTACTGAAAAAGAAGAAGAGAAGAAGACGAAGAGCTCCATTATCATTACTACCTTCGACTAGTGTGATCTTTCAACGGACGAACAACAACGGGAACCTCATATGTATGTCTACATGATGAACATTTAACCTATTCCAAGCAAATGAAAGATATCTGAATGGCTGCTGCAGCTAGTCGACGACGTCTTGCACAGGCAGGATTCCGAACCCGAAGGTAGATGATTTTCATTTTAGGTCACATAATTAGCATAAATTTTCCTCCGCATTCCAATCATCGTGCTTTTATCAATGCATTAGGAAAAACAGAAGAATGACACACACACATCTTTCTTTAGTGTTTGCCTTATGATTTGAAGTGAACGTAATACAATTTATCTGTCATATAAAAATAAAGATAGATGGATGCACAGAAAATCTAATATATCTAATAGGTGTAGTCACGAGAAAGAAAGGCATAGTTTCATATTATTAAATTAGATTTCACTGAAGTATAAACTTCGCATTTCACATAACTAAGAAATTCTTCTTCAACAAACTATAATGTTCATTTTTCTTGTCCATAGACATTCCAGTAGCTATTTTTATTATCGAGATAAAGGCAAATCTCTTCTTTGCTAAATATTAATGTTCTTTTAGAAATCTTATTATGAAATTATGTTTATTTGAATGTGCCTAAGGAAAACAAACTGACAGAAATATGTTGAAGAAGCGAAAATTATATTTTGTTTTACCTAAAAGTTCGGAAACTACGATTGAAGTGATAGCCAGAAAATCTATTCTGTTTCCTTTCTCGTGTTCTAGACTGGCACGTATTTATATTTCTGCCTACATCTCTCTCTTTTTTCCCTTCTACACAACTACTAATAACGTGTGAGTATAAAGGGGGAATTAGTTAACACATGAAAAAAAGACGCAAGGCAAACATTAATACTGCCTTCAGTTTGTTGAAGATAAAATAAAGAGCACGATATTAAAAAAGATTTATTCATTATTTTCCTTTGTATTGTTGTAGAAATAGAAAACGTTGAATAAATATGTAAGAAAATAACATGAACTAATTTGTTGAATCTTCTCGGCTTTTTCCTATTGCAAGAACAATTGTATGTGAGATTTATTAGACTATCGACGACAGGCACATGTATAGAAGATAATGATCACATTTGTGCAACTACGCATATGGGAGAAGAATGAGAATCAAGGGTAGGTCAATGACGAAAGCAAATTGAGAAAAAGAAACAGATACTCACTGACAGAACTAGGATATATCGATGTATATGCGAGCGAGATGTTAGCAGACAAATCTGATTAACCAATATCCGTCCGAAAACAACCGATGCAAACGATTTGTGTTCGATTATAATTGTATTATGACACTTACATACAGTCGATATCCTTCAAATCTCTATTCGTTCTGTTTTTCTTTTCTACTTTATGAATCTATGCACACCTTATTCGTCTTACATGGATACATGTTACTGAACAACGAGCTCTCGTACTAAGATAATCGACTCTTAGGATGATATTCGTCGACAGGTGTGATGAAATTTTCAATAACTCATCTTTCACTTGCTTGCTTTCTTCTCATGGCATGTCATTGTCAACAATATACATATATGCCACAGTATCATAAGAAACAAAGAACATCAGTAATAGGACCGTCCCTCGCCCATATAAATTAATAACATCCGTTTGCTCGGCGAACGCCGCCAGCAAGTTGTTGTTTCTCATTTTTCTCGCTGAATGTCTGTTTTCGCGCTTTGCTAACGAAACGGGCTCGGCTTTTGTTCTCTCTTTTACTCTCGCATCCTAGTCTTTACAAGCAATCTAGACAACGATTCTATTTTATATTCACAAGACACAAAAAAATGCAGCTGGTCTTGAAAAAGGCAACAGTATGTGTGTGATGTATATATGTTTGAAGCTGTACGTGTTTGATTATATATATATTTTTTCTTTCTTTCAACGTTTCGTACTTCAATTCGTCTCTAGACAAAAGAAATAAAACGTATAAGCAATCATCATGTCATTAGACGCTAAGATCGATCAAGAAATTCTTTCATCGACACCACCAACTAGACGTAACTTTCTTATTGTACCATCGTTTAATCCCGAACGTCGTCATTCATGGGGAAATGTTATCTTACATCCATGTCACAGAAGTAACGTTGCGACATCGTCTTTAACTATTACTAACAAGTCAAATTATCTTCGAAGGTGAGAAGTTTTTTCATTAATGATGTGCAGCAGCAGGTGTGTCGTCATGCGCTTGACGTTTAACAAGAACTAAGAGTAAAAGAAAATACGGCAAAAAGTAGAGAAAGAAAGAAAGAAAACAGAAAATGCCTATGAGAGAAAATGAGTAAGACAAAAATGATAAATATTAGCATCGAAGAGAAAAAAGACTAACTACCTTCTGCATGTGTGCTCTCATTCGTGTCTCATTGCGATTTTCATTCCATCACTGACTCTCGGCATTCATAGACGACATATAAATACTAAAATTTGTAACGGTATTCAAGAGACAAAGCAAAACGTTCAATTTCTCGTTTGTTTCTCTCTCTTTCAATTGAATGTGTTGACCATGGATTTCTATCGACGATTTCTCGCGTTACCTCTATCTGAACGACGCCATTCCATTGGACCCGCTTTAAATGGCAAACGTGTTAAGTGAGCAAAATCTTTATCATTTGATTGAAAAGGACCAATATTAGGGACAGACGTTGTTTTTCTCACCTTCCTTGCTAAGCGATCGTATTTGCTCTTAGAAAGGAATATTTCACATGACTGTCGATGATCCACTCGAGCAGTATCGTTTGCTCCTTTGTGAACACAACGATTCATCATTATTCTGCAAAGATAATGAAGTAAATGTGTAATTAAACACCTTCTTTATTTATTAATGATTAAGCGAACTCTATCAAATATTGAGAATGAAATAAAGTACGAGGCTTTTTAGCTTGTTGATATTAGGAAAATACGATATGTTCCGGAAGTTTTCATTTTATATAGACCTAATATTTCATTGGTAATTTCTTTAGGCGTCATGTTTTTCACGCTTTCCTTTGAAATTTGACGTGTCATTGTAGAAGGTAAAACTATGGACTGGTAATAAGCGAAAATTATCAGCACAACGATGAGTAAAGACAACGAGTTGTTTTTTCGAATTTGAATTGGAAGAAAACGAAACAGAATGTTTAATTAATATGTATGTATTTGAATTTGATTCGTTGTTTTTACGTTATTTTGCTCCATTATGGAGACATTTCAGTGAAATAGTTTTCAACAGATGTTTGCAAACATCCTCTACTCATTAGTTTTGCTTTACGTACTGTTAAACAAAAAACTTCCCCTATTTAAACGTTGTTTGTCTGTAAAACAGGTGTCAATTTTCTTTATTACATAAATGTGACGATCCAGGTTTGTTTTTTCTCAGTTGCTTTTCTGTTTAATTTGATCAAGTTGAAATACATGCATAAGTATATTTCATTAGAAATCGAGAGAAAGAGTGAGTTTGTGTGGGAGAAATTCATAGTAACTGTTATGTCGTTTCTCAACTGTTGACTTAACAATGATGAACAACGAACAAATCCTTTTTCCTTATGCCTCTCTCACTCGACTGTCATTCATTTTTTCCTACTTGAAAATGCTTGAAGTAAAATTTTGTTTACAAAAGAACGTTTGTCTTTTAGACAATTCTGTCACAAGCAGGAGACGTACTTAGTTGCATGAAAAATTATTTCTCGCGTTAGATTAAGTATTATATCAAGATAGGTAAAGATGTACAAACAGAAACAGAGAAGTCATCATTCAAACTTATTTGTTTAAAAAATAAACTAATCGTATACGAGACGTTAATCAAATAATTGTCATTTTAGGTTACAGGGAAAGAAAAACTACCCGTTTCGAAAAAACCAGATTATGATGACAATTTTGACTTTTTTCGGGTTTTTATTTCTTATCCTGGATATTCTTGTCTATTTCATTGTTTCCTACTGCTCACGGTGTTGATGGATGGAGAGCAGAGGAACGCGACTTGTTTTCGCTATAGACAAATACAACACATTGATTGACACTCTCGTCTGTGTGTGTGTGTGTTTGTATGTTGTATTATGAAAAGAACGATGGCCTTGAGAAAAGCGACGCAAGAAGATTCTTCTTGCCTAGTTCGCTCGTTCGTATGCTTTTCTGATTTGTTCTAACCAAAAAGATGACGACGTCACTGATATATTGCTGTCTTTGCTTCGGCGTAGTTGGCTTGATAGTTATTGCTGCTGAAACAGCACTGATGAGAACTGTTGCAATAGTAAGATGCACAAGCGAGAACGCAAAGAATGTCGTCAATGTTCGTTCGTTTGTCCTCACCGCTATACACACATGCGTGCACATATCTTTCTTTGCTACGAACACCGACACTTCATTCATATGCTACAAAGCAAAAGCTGGAGAGAAAAGAGGAGAAGAAAGAAAATAGAGAAAAAAAAAGAGGAACAGAAAGTGGTCGTTCTTTCGTTCGTGTACGCCCGTTCTGTTTCTTATTCCATATTGTATAGTGGCGTTGCGTTGGGTGCCACGGCCACCAGGAACATCGTCGTTGCTCTCCCTTCCTCGCATCATCAGCAGCATGCAGCAGCTTCAATAGCGACTGAGAGTAAGAGAGAGAGAAAGGCGCTCGCCCGCGTGTGTGTGGCTCGACAACAACAAGCAACGTTGTTCTCGTCGTTGCTCGCGTGTATGCCGATTCTCGGTTTTTCATCGTTGTCGTTGTCCTCGTCATCATTCACATAGAAGTCAATCACGAGTGTCACCAATAGTCCTCCACCGCCGGTCATTTCGATCACCCGGTCGTCATCATCGTCGGAACTTCTAGCTGCAACAATTCGACCATTCCTTGCTGAGCGAGAGAAGCAACTAGCATTAACACCAATTCCAGCAGCTCGCGCATCGGTTTCGTCAACAACACCGCGTTCTTTCCCATTTCGATGTTGGGGCGGAAAAAAACATCCATCGCAGATTCCACTAGTCGAATCAATATCTACGACTGGTCATCAACGTCGAAAAAGTTCGACACCGAGTATTCCTTCACGTCCTCTTCCATCATCATTGATTCAAAATCATCAAACGACAAATCCAAAACCGACATCAACATCAACATCATCTTCAGCAAAGCCGCGAGCTCCGACGAAGAAGCGTCATCGACGACGTGGAATGGCCTCGGTTTGTGTCTCATGCGTTTCGTCAAATCATAATCGACGATCGAGCTTAACCAGAGATGATTCGATTGCAATCCCTGCTCATTCTTCTCCAAATTCTTTATCTCGTACTCCACCTCTATTACTCCGTCTCGGACAGATTATACTAAGACGACGGATAAATTCGAACACTAATCATAACAGGGAGACGATAGCAACCACGAATAACAAAATCAGGTAAATCTCATTAAACCAATCTCCCGCTAATACGAAACACTGCATATCTGAGATTTCTTTTTCTAACCCAAATACTTGAAAAGTCATATCATACGCTTCGATGAATATGTTCTCTTATTATTCATAGACTCAGTATTTCTATTGACACTGAGAAAAATTGAAACGAGGTAGACTAACGAACGAGTATTTCTTCGTTTTTTATTTTTCATTACAAAAAAAAACGCCAATGCAACAGTTCTTTTTCTCCTTATTCCTTTCATCCATCGACTTTTCATAAGTAACAATAACAACAGAAAAAAAAATGACAGCTCGCGTGTATACTTACTGAAAACGTTTATTGCGCTGGAAGAAATAAAATTCTCAAGCAACGCAAAAAAAATGTCATTCTTATTATATATATTAAGATTTCTTTTCTTTTTGTCAATGAAAAAAAAACAAGGCGGGAAAAGCTAATTTCTCTTTCTGTCCACGTTACATACGAACAAGTTCAATTATTCCAGATCAGATTATACATACATATCTGTACAAACTTGTCTACATGTTATTGCAACGAGGATATCTACGCACCTCGAAAAAAAAAGAAATACCAATGAATATATCACAATTAGTTAGAATCGTCAGACAACTACTAATTCTTTTTTCGTTCCGAGATAGAACAGACAACATAACATATACAAATACATTTACTAGTGTTAATGTTTTCCTTTATATGTACATGCTTCTCATATTTGATGTTTTTTTTTGACATTGGATGTTAATTGAAATTCTAGAATGACAAAACAAAGAGATATTTATCACTAATTTCGTTTTTCTTTTTCCCCTATTACTCGAAGTACTTCTTTTCAAAACAAATCATGTAAAGAGTTCTCGGAAACAATTGTTCTCTATTGTTAATCGACAACTAATGGTTGCAAAGAGTAAAAGAAGCTAGTTCGAAATATGATTATAGCCGAAAGAAACAGAAGAACAAGGGGAAAAGTTCTCAAATTCAGAAATCTATTCTCTTCTCTCGCGTCTTTTCGTGTTGATAAAAGATCGTCTCAACTTGTATCACTTTAAAACTAATCTTGTTTCTGAGTCACTTCTTTTCTCTCTAAGCAAGATTGGATTTCGATAAATCAAGAAAAAAGGATAAATAAGATTTTGCTAATCTTATCTTAGCTCTAAGTAATAATTCTATTGGCAAGGTAAGATGGTTGTTATTTACTACTAGTCGTGTCAGATGCATCTATACATTGATTTGAAATAAGTGAAGCATAGTGAGGAAGTTTGCTTGTGAGAAAATAATAAGAAAAACTTATCATTAGTCGAGTGTTTTCCCGCATAGTCACATTTTCTAAGCAAGGATACATGTATCTAAGTATATGTCTCAAGAGAAGCAACGAGGAAAAGAACATGTAAATCTTCAATTAGAGATGTTTAGACATGAGATTGACAATGAAGAAAAATCTGCCTTTTGTTTGACTCCAACTCGAACTGTGACTAAATTTGTCGAATTTGATAATCAATAGGAGAAAAGATCTTGTTGGGCTTCAGTTCGAGTAATTGCCTTTTGCTCGATCGTATAAAGAATTCATTAATTGGAAATTATGTGTGTGTTTGTATGTAACTACACGAGTGTGGTGACGCGAAACGAGAAAATCCATTAAAAAGATTGCTTTCGTTAATGTGAAGTTTTGCTTCTCTCCGTTCTCTCTTTCTCTTTTTCTTTCAACCTATTTGGAAGTGTTCGAAGTTCTAGTTTGTTGGCTGTTTGCGTGCAGGCGAATCGAACGGAAAGGCCGTTATCGCCTTCATTTACTATTAGAATACCAGCACCGTTGTATGTATTATGTCTCTGTCTTTCTGCTTGAGAATATGTGTGTTTGTTTCTCTCTCTCTCTCTCTCTCTCTCTCTCTCTCTCTCTTCCTCCCACTCTCTGTCTAGTATTCTAACTGTCTCAGGCTTTTTCTTTCTCACCCTTTGTCAGTCATTCGTTCGGGTGACTGAAGAGAAGAAAAACTAGAGAATCTCGATTTATTGTTATTCTTGCTCTCGTGCGTTCGTCAGCAGAAATCTATACTGATTTCCGGGCTTATTCTCGTCACTACAGGATCAGAATAATCATTGTCATTATCTCTCCTTAATGACGACGCTCACCGTCTATTTTGCTTCGTCGCCCGGATTATCAACAGCAGTAACTACATCAACGACATCAACACTCACTACAGCGATTCCAAGTATTCGGCCAATTCCAAAACTAACACAATCATTACCGAGAATGTCACCGCAACATATAACTTCGCCAAAAACAAACGTAATGAATCGTTCACCGCCGCTCAATCGAAAGTCTTCGAAACGCAACAAAACATTTTTTGAGAGATTCAGTGAAACATCATCCTCTGCGCTCATATCAAATCCTCAATCTCCACCCCATCAACAACAAGCGCAACAACAACAACAACAACAACAGCAACAGCAAATAACGGATGCATCTAATCCATCATTGGAGCCCGCACCACGACTACGTCGAAGATTTACATTTCGTCGTAGTCTACGCCATTCAGTTCACAACAAAGGAGGAGAAACTGATGATGGTATAAGGTCGGTTCTTGTCTGGTTCCGCTTTCTAAAGTTTTTCTCTGTGTCAATATTTGCTTGACGTGCTATCAAAATGATCGATGATTTTCTATCATAAGAGCACAGCATGGTTACCAGCCAGTTGTCGATTTTCTGATTCAGCCGTTTACGTATATGTGTACATATATGTTTATACATATATACAAAATATTTTCTTGATGTGGATTTCATTCGACGACCAATCAGATTATTCTGTATCAGATCTTGTTATCAGAATTGCTCCCTAATCTATTCCCATATCCCGATCCTATAAAGAATCGCTTCCTTATTGATTTCTACTTAACGTAGCTAGTTAGTGTCTGTATCGCAAGTGTCAAAACAAAACGGAATAACATAGTTAGACAACTAACAAAAAAAGAGCTTTCTACATTTGAATAACGCATATTTTACCACGTTAGAAAATCAGATTTTGCTCTGTTTAAGTAAAATGTTAGTAGATTCGACAAAATCTTCTCGAACTCAGTTTTACATAAACCAGACGGAAATGTTTTCTTTACGTGTAAAATGCCGTTAACCTTTTTTTGTTACTTGTCTACCTGCCAAACAGAACATGTATTTACGAAGCAAACATTTTTGACAAAATCCATATACATCTATTCGCATCACCTGTCATAAATCATTTTATACATACGTTTGACTTGGTTGAAACTCTCATTATCTTAATCGGTTATTAATGAAGAATAATACCAGGAGTTTCTCGTACGATTTGAGACCTCGTTTACAACGTAGTCTACGAATTCAGCATACGGATCGCAAGTAAGACATACATCGTGCTTTTAAGGTTTTTTCATGCATGAACGATATCTTAGATTAGATCAATTATCGAAAAAAATAAGGGTGTGTGTTACTAATACGAAGAATATGGAGGATAATAGTCAGAAAATCCCCCGAAGGAAACGAAATTTATACCAATGACGTATTTTCTCATTTCCACAGAAGACATCAACATATTGCGAATATCTTTTTTTGTCTAGAAGCTGAAAAATTGCATTCATATACATGCAAGTGGGTTTCATGTTCCCTAAGCAAGCTATCTTTGATCAAAGAAGTGTTTGTTGAAGGAGTTTCCTTAAAAATTGCTTATTTAACTAGATTGCATTTGCATTACGATAAGGACTCATCTTAGAAAGAAGATAAACTCGTTGAAAACAAACCTAGATTGTGTGTTCTTATCGAAGACCGAAACGGAAATTAAAGTTAAGGCTAACGATGAAATCAGTCGATTCAATCGCATCTGTCAAACTAAATTATTTCATACAAGCATTTGTGATTAATATCGAAGTGCAATAATAAAGAGCACAGCTAAGCCACATGGAGATTGATCGATGAAATTAAACTGTAGATATTCTAGAAGAAAATAACAAATGATGCGTGACTTCACACGAATACATATATATGTTTCTTTCTTCTCTTTTTATCTTCTCTTCTCTACCATTCTTTTTCTTTTTGGTTGTTGATCATCGTGCTCACTATTGCCGTCGTTGTTGATGATTTTCTTCTGTTGCTACTGATTCATTTATCGATCATATTAGAGTGACATTTGTACACAGATATATACATATACGTATATGGGTGTCTTATAAGCAGCATCTCAAACATAATGCCCGAAAAGCAGTTGAGTAGTATGACTGAGATATTATAATTTTGTTATTTCCTTTTTTTGTAATGAATAATTCATTATAAAGAGGATTTCTTTCAATCTGAAATCACATTTCTTATTCTATGTTTAGTTTTGATGTGGATGGTTCATCAACATCAGCACGTGGTGTTCTCAATTCCCATCATAATGTCTCATCGACATCACCACACAACCAACCATCCGGTACAACTAATACAACGAGTAAAACGGCAACCGGCACAACAAATAGTACTGGAATGCATCGACGCGAATCATTTTTGTATAAATGCGACAGTGACAATGATCTTTCACCGAAATGTATTTCGCGCAATCCGTCCATTGGATCTGAATTGTAAGTAGTTAGGACACTTTCAATCGATAAATAAAGGAAGGAAGGAAGAGAAGAAGAAAAAAAGAAAGAGTATCGCCTTCCTTTCTTCTGCGCCCTCACTTTTTGTTTTCTCTTATTCTCTTTTTTTTCTTTTCGCGATCGTTCTTTCGTCTCGCTCTCTCTCTCTCCGTCTCTTGTTGCCAACTATACCCCTGGTAGTGGTGGGGCACGCGTTTATATGTCTGACTCTCTGTCGGCTACCCACTCCGAACCGAACATATGCCGCGTTATCGATGAATGAGAGAGAGTGAGTGAGTGTGAGTGTGAATGTGAGTGAGTGATCAATAAAAAAAAAAGAGAACAAGTATCATGGAGCGTGTCAAGAGCGCCATTAAAAAACCAATTCTTAGACTTGGTTCAAAATTATCGACCAAGTAAGGTTAATATACATCGTTATGTTATTGAAACTATTTAATATTTATCTAATTATAATGTATTCATAATCGATAGATAGATAAATAGATATTTTCCATTCTCTCGTTAGTCTCGTTTACATATTAGATGAATAGTCAACCTATTTACAAGTTATCTCTTGTTTTCTTTCCATTCTTTTTCTCCCGTTCGCTTTTATTCATCTCTTTTGTCTTACGGTGATTACATTTGCTTACATGTCCGGTACTAGAGCTGTGTTCTTGCATTGAAATCAGAGTTTGTTTCACTTACGTTTTTTGACAGAACTACGCCATGCACACATTTGTTTCTTATCTCGTGTTCCCATCTCACGCTTACTCTCCATCCTATTCACTCTTCGTCGATGTCTCCCCTGTCCTCCCTCCTACTCAATTCATCCACACCACCTAGTAACAACAAAAGGAGCAAACAAATGAGTATGCAGAAAGAGAGTACTAATCGCAACAGACCCATCAGATAACATAAAGAAAGATGCGAGCACGAAGTAATACAGCGGTGGATGCTCGTCGACGTTTAGTTACATTAGCAACTTGTTTACCTTGTCAAAATGAACTTGCTTTTGATCGTCATCGAACATCCTATGTTTCCTGGTTAAAAAGGTATTATTTCTTCATTCTACTTTCTTCCTTTTTCGTTTCCTTATCGAATCCAAAGTTCTATTGAGATTATCCCTTTATCACTTTATTTGTTCGTTGACATAAGAATAATAAGAAAAAACCCAAGATGATGATGACGAAGAAAGCGAAGGAGAAGAGAAAACCGGAAAGCGACATTTTTTTCATTACTTTTCTTTTTATTTTTTAAAAAAATATCTAAATTCTTCATGTGAAAACTTCCCTTTTCTTGTCTTTTTATCGAAGTCATTAGTTATTCACATGTTTTCTTCTTTTATTTTTGGATAGATGCATATATATATATGCGTCGCAAGAATCTGACTGTTTGCAATGTATTTCACTAAAGACACATACAAACAGAACATGATTTGTTATAATCTTTGCAAAAAAAAAGAAGAAAAGAAAAGAAAAACAGAAAATCGAAATAAGTGTAATGGAAAGAAATGGACAGAAGCGCAAGAAAAACAAAGCCCTTGAAGAGAGTCAAAAGTAAAGTAGGAGAGAAGAATAGGAGTATGAAGACTGTTATTAATGTGCGTGTGAATAACAAACGTTGAAAACAAATTATTGGAAAAACAAATGTCGAACTCGAATATACAATATTGAGATTAAAAGTCGCATGCTCTATCGGTTGAGCGAATCGGAATGATGAAAAGTATTTTGCAAATAACTCCGTAATAATTGTCATCTCCTGTTTTTTTTTCCTTTGATGCAAGCAAGGCATATAACCAGTTGTTGTTGTGATTTCTATTCACGCAAATGAGAACTAGATGAAAATGAAACCTGCTTCTCTTATAAGAAGAAAAATTTATCCGTCTGTTGGCGCTTCTTCTCTTCTTTCTTTTTTTCGCGCGTTCGCTTGCTGTCGCTCTCGCTCTCCCCCTGCTCTCTCGTCTCTGTGTGTCTCTCCGTTTTCCATTCCCTCATAGATTTTCTTTCTTACAATCTAGTTGCCGACTCATTCGAGCTCTTGTTCTCTTATTTCACTTCTCTGCTCAAACGAAGAAGAAGAAGAAGAAATGACACGCCGATTCTAAATAGAATGATGACGTGTATGAGCTCTGCCTTTTGAAGATCTGACACTAGTTCTATTGTAATCTTTCTTATTTCTTTTATTACATTTCATCGTTTTCTATTATGCGCATTTGGACTTTTTTTTAATCCGTACACATTTTACATTCGAAAAAAAGAAAGAAAAAGAAAACAAAATGCGTAGTAGTGCAAGCAGTTTTTTGCCCAAACAACGGATGAAAATCTGTCGCTCAATCACCGTTCAAGGCGCTCTACCGGATGGTGATAAAACTAAGTACGAAAACGACCGAGCACAGAGTACATCTAATATGTATAGCATCGGATGGTAGGTTGCTCATGTATTGAATTTTCTCGGTGTTGTGTATGTTGTTGTATACATGTATGTAAATTATATTTAGTGCGTGATCAGCTTAGTCTCTCTTAAGGCAAGAAGAAAGAAAAGGAAGCAATTAGAAAGGAAGATCGACTTCTTATAATGAGACATGTCTTTTATTAGTATTTTATTACTATTATTATTATTATTATTATTATTTTTGTTATTATTTCATAGGCACCAAGATGACATGATTGTCACTCCATTTGCTCAGTTACTTGCCAGTTTAAAGAATGTACGAAAGAACTTCGTCGATCTTACACATATACCTCCAGAAAGGTAACGAATTTCTTAATCTAATTTACACAATTGAAAAATCTTTCTTGATTTTTTCTTTTTTTCACCTAGAGCGAAAAGGTCGAGTCAACATAACAGTGCTCAAGCCGCCTCCCCTATTCTCAATAAAGTGACAATGACATCAGCAGCCCCAGCCGCAGCAGCATCAATAACAGGTAACTCGATTCGCTTTTCAGCGAAATTCTTCGACAAAAAAAGTCATGCTTCCTAGATGATAATGCATTGACACAGGCCATATCCACATTAGACGAACTCGATTGGTGTCTAGAACAATTGGAAACGATGCAAACACACAAATCTGTTTCTGATTTAGCCTCGCTCAAAGTAAAACATCGACTTGTACATGAAAGTTCACATTCGAACTCGTTGCTTTTCATCTGTAGTTTAAGCGTATGCTCAATAAAGAATTATCACATTTTGCTGAGAATAACAAAACCAGCGCACAAATTAGTGATTACCTCTATTCAACTTATACAGGTAAATCACTCAGTAGTCAACAGATCAACGCGTTAATAATCTGTTTTTTCTTTTGTATCAATCTAGACAAGAAAGAGCCCGATATTGATCTATCTAAAGTAATATCATCTTTACGTGGTCTTCCATCCGATGAATTCAATACAGTAACAACATCAAAAACCATCGATACATCAATGTCATCGCCTACATTGATGGGACAAATCACGGGTATACAGACGACAACAACAGCATTAACAACCAAAAATCCTATACCAGAGTTAGGAGTTGATACATCACAACCCGATGAATTACGAGCCTTACTCGAACGTATAAACGATTGGGGCTTGGACACATTTCGCATCGAAGAACTAAGTGGTCAACGACCGTTAACAGCAATAACATATCGCATTTTTCAAGACCGTTTATTACTAAAGACCTATGCGATTGAACCTCATACGTTAATTTCATATTTGCTCACACTTGAAGACCATTATCAACAAGTACCATATCATAATAAAGCCCATGGAGCTGATGTTTGTCAGTCAATGCATGTCTTACTCAATGCTTCGGCACTCGACGTAAGTCAAAGAAAGAAAGAAAATGAGAAATTGATTGATTTGCTTTCTTATTTTTATTATTACTAAAGGGCGTGTTCACCGAGCTGGAGATCATGTCGGCGATATTCGCATCGGCAGTGCACGATGTTGATCATCCCGGTGTAACNTTGTCGATTTTCTGATTCAGCCGTTTACGTATATGTGTACATATATGTTTGTACATATATACAAAATATTTTCTTGATGCGGATTTCATTCGACGACCAATCAGATTATTCTGTATCAGATCTTGTTATCAGAATTGCTCCCTAATCTATTCCCATATCCCGATCCTATAAAGAATCGCTTCCTTATTGATTTCTACTTAACGTAGCTAGTTAGTGTCTGTCTCGCAAGTGTCAAAACAAAACAGAATAACATAGTTAGACAACTAACGAAAAAGGACTTTCTACATTTGAATAACGCATATTTCATCGCGTTAGAAAATCAGATTTTGCTCTGTTTAAGTAAAATGTAAGTAGATTCGACGAGATCTTTTCGAACTTAGTTTTACATAAACCAGACCGAAATGTTTTCTTTACGTGTAAAATGCCGTTAACCTTTTTTTGTTACTTGTCTATCTGCCAAACAGAACATACATTTACGAAGCAAACACTTTTGACAAAATCCATATACATCTATTCACATCACCTGTCATAAATCATTTTATACATACGTTTGACTTGGTTGAAATTCTCATTATCTTAATCGGTTATTAATGAAGAATAATACCAGGAGTTTCTCGTACGATTTGAGACCTCGTTTACAACGAAGCCTACGAATTCAGCATACGGATTGCAAGTAAGACATATATACGAATACATCGTGCTTTTAAGGTTTTTTCATGCATGAACAATATCTTAGATTAGATCAATTATCGAAAAAAATAAGGGTGTGTGTTACTAATACGAAGAATATAGAGTATAATAGTCAGAAAATCCCCCGAAGGAAACAAAATTGATTTCAATGATGTATTTTCTCATTCCTCACAGAAGACATCGACATATTGCGAATATCCTTTCTCGTCTAGAAACTGACAAATTGCGTTTGTATACATGGAAGTGTGTTTCATGTTCTCTAAGCAAGCTATCTTTGATCATAGAAGTGTTTGTTCAAGGAGTTTCCTCAAAAATTGCTTATTTAACTAGATTGCATTTGCATTACGATAAGGACTCATCTTGGAAAGAAGATAAACCCGTTGAAAACAAACCTAGATTGTGCATTCTTATCGAAGACCGAAACGGAAATTAAAGTAAAGACTAACGATGAAATCGGTCGATTCAATCTCATCTGTCAAACTAAATTATTTCATACAAGCATTTGTGATTAATATCGAAGTGCAATAATAAAGAGCACAACTACACCACATGGAGTTTGATCGATGAAATCGAACTGTAGATATTCTAGAAGAAAATAACAAATGATGCGTGACTTCACACGAGTACATATATATGTTTCTTTCTTCTCTTTTTTATCTTCTCTTCTCTACCATTCTGTTTCTTTTTGGTTGTTGATCATCGTGCTCACCTTCGCCGTCATTGTTGATGATTTTCTTCTGTTGCTACTGATTCACTTATCGATCATATTATAGTGACATTTGTACACAGATATATACATATACGTATATGGATGTCTTATAAATATCTCAAACATAATGCCCGAAAAGCAGTTGAGTAGCATGAGTGAGACATTATAATTTTGTTATTTCCTTTTTATGTAATGAATAATTCATTATAAAGAGGATTTCTTTCAATCTGAAATCACATTTCTTATTCTATGTTTAGTTTTGATGTGGATGGCTCATCAACATCAGCACGTGGTGTTCTCAATTCCCATCATAATGTCTCATCAACATCACCACACAATCAACCATCCGGTACAACCAATACAACGAGTAAAACGGCAACCGGTACAACAAATAGTACTGGAATGCATCGACGCGAATCATTTTTGTATAAATGCGACAGTGACAATGATCTTTCACCGAAATGTATTTCGCGCAATCCGTCCATTGGATCTGAATTGTAAGTAGTTAGGACACTTTCAATCGATAAATAAAGGAAGGAAGGAAGAGAAGAAGAAAAAAAGAAAGAGTATCGCCTTCCTTTCTTCTGCGCCCTCACTTTTTGTTTTCTCTTATTCTCTTTTTTTTCTTTTCGCGATCGTTCTTTCGTCTCGCTCTCTCTCCGTCTCTTGTTGCCAACTATACCCCTGGTAGTGGTGGGGCACGCGTTTATATGTCTGACTCTCTGTCGGCTACTCACTCCGAACCGAACATATGCCGCGTTATCGATGAATGAGAGAGAGTGAGTGAATGTGAGTGTGAATGTGAGTGAGTGATCAATAAAAAAAAAGAGAACAAGTATCATGGAGCGTGTCAAGAGCGCCATTAAAAAACCAATTCTTAGACTTGGTTCAAAATTATCGACCAAGTAAGGTTAATATACATCGTTATGATATTGAAACTATTTAATATTTATCTAATTATAATGTATACATAATCGATAGGTAGATAAATAGATATTTTTCATTCTCTCGTTAGTCTCGTTTACATATTAGATGAATAGCCAACCTATTTACAAGTTATCTCTTGTTTTCTTTCCATTCTCTTTTCCCGCTCGCTTTTATTCATCGCTTTTGTCTTACGGTGATTACATTTGCTTACATGTCCGGTACTAGAGTTGTGTTCTTGCATTGAAATCAGAGTTTGTTTCACTTACGTTTTTTGACAGAACTACGCCATGCACACATTTGTTTCTTATCTCGTGTTCCCATCTCACGCTTACTCTCCATCCTATTCACTCTTCGTCGATGTCTCCCCTGTCCTCCCTCCTACTCAATTCATCCACACCACCTAGTAACAACAAAAGGAGCAAACAAATGAGTATGCAGAAAGAGAGTACTAATCGCAACAGACCCATCAGATAACATAAAGAAAGATGCGAGCACGAAGTAATACAGCGGTGGATGCTCGTCGACGTTTAGTTACATTAGCAACTTGTTTACCTTGTCAAAATGAACTTGCTTTTGATCGTCATCGAACATCCTATGTTTCCTGGTTAAAAAGGTATTATTTCTTCATCCTACTTTCTTCCTTTTTCGCTTCCTTATCGAATCCAAAGTTCTATTGAGATTATCCCTTTATCACTTTATTTGTTCGTTGACATAAGAATAATAAGAAAAAAAGCCCAAGATGATGATGACGAAGAAAGCGAAGGAGAAGGGGAAAACCGGAAAGCGACATTTTTTCATTACTTTTCTTTATTTTTTTAAAAAATATCCAGATTCTTCATGTGAAAACTTTCCTTTACTTGTCTTTTTATCGAAGTCATTAGTTATTCACATGTTTTCTTCTTTTATTTTTGGATAGATGCATATATATGCGTCGCAAGAATCTAACTGTTTGCAATGTATTTCACTAAAGACACATACAAACAGAACATGATTTGTTATAATCTTTGCAAAAAAAGAAGAAAAGAAAAGAAAAACAGAAAATCGAAATAAGTGTAATGGAAAGAAATGGACAGAAGCGCAAGAAAAACAAAGCCCTTGAAGAGAGTCAAAAGTAAAGTAGGAGAGAAGAATAGAAGTACGAAGACTGTTATTAATGTGCGTGTGAATAACAAACGTTGAAAACAAATTATTGGAAAAACAATTGTCGAACTCGAATATACAACATTGAGATTAAAAGTCGCATGCTCTATCGGTTGAGCGAGCCGGAATGATGAAAAGTATCCTGCAAATAACTCTGTAATAATTGTCATCTCCTGTTTTTTTTTCTTCCTTCGATGCAAACAAGGCACATAACCAGTTGTTGTTGTGATTTCTATTCACGAAAATGAGAACTAGATGAAAATGAAACCTGCTTTTCTCATAAGAAGAAAAATTTATCCGTCTGTTGGCGCTTCTTCTCTTCTTTCTTTTTTTTCGCGCGTTCGCTCGCTGTCGCTGTCGCTCTCCCCCTACTCTCTCGTCTCTGTGTGTCTCTCCGTTTTCCATTCCCTCATAGATTTTCTTTCTTGCAATCTAGTTGCCGACTCATTCGAGCTCTTGTTCTCTTATTTCACTTCTCTGCTCAAACGGAGAAGGAGAATAATAATAAGAAGAAGAAATGACACGCCGATTCTAAATAGAATGATGACGTGTATGAGCTCTGCCTTTTGAAGATCTGACACTAGTTCTATTGTAATCTTTCTCATTTCTTTTATTACATTTCATCGTTTTCTATTGTGCGCATTTGGACTTCTTTTTTTAATCCGTACATATTTTACATTCGAAAAAAGAAAGAAAAAGAAAACAAAATGCGTAGTAGTGCAAGCAGTTTTTTGCCCAAACAACGGATGAAAATCTGTCGCTCAATCACCGTTCAAGGCGCTCTACCGGATGGTGATAAAACTAAGTACGAAAACGACCGAGCACAGAGTACATCTAATATGTATAGCATCGGATGGTAGGTTACTCATGCATTGAATTGTCTCGGTGTTGTGTATGTATGTTCTCGTATACATGTATGTAAATTATATTTAGTGCGTGATCAGCTTAGTCTCTCTTAAGGCAAGAAGAAAGAAAAGGAAGCAATTAGAAAGGAAGATCGACGTCTTATAATGAGACATGTCTTTTATTAGTATTTTATTACTATTATTATTATTATTATGATTATTAATATTATTTTTGTTATTATTTCATAGGCACCAAGATGACATGATTGTCACTCCATTTGCTCAGTTACTTGCCAGTTTGAAGAATGTACGAAAGAACTTTGTCGATCTTACACATATACCTCCAGAAAGGTAACGAATTTGTTAATCTAATTTACACAATTTGGAAATCTTTCTCGATTTTTTTCTTTTTTCACCTAGAGCGAAAAGGTCGAGTCAACATAATAGTGCTCAAGCCGCCTCCCCTATTCTCAATAAAGTGACAACGACATCAACAGCCCCAGCCGCAGCAGCAGCATCAACAACAACAGGTAGCTTGGTTCGCTTTTCAGCGAAATTCTTCGAAAAAAAAAGCCATTCTTCGTAGATGATAATGCATTAACACAGGCCATATCCACATTAGACGAACTCGATTGGTGTCTAGAACAATTGGAAACGATGCAAACACACAAATCTGTTTCTGATTTAGCCTCGCTCAAAGTAAAACATCGACTTGCACATGAAAGTTCACATTCGAACTCGTTGGTTTTCATCTGTAGTTTAAGCGTATGCTCAATAAAGAATTATCACATTTTGCTGAGAATAACAAAACCAGCGCACAAATTAGTGATTACCTCTATTCAACTTATACAGGTAAATCATTCAGTAGTCAACAGATCAACGCGTTAATACTCTGTTTTTTCTTTTCTATCAATCTAGACAAGAAAGAGCCCGATGTTGATCTATCTCAAGTAATGTCATCTTTACGTGGTCTTCCATCCGATGAATTCAATACAGTAATAACATCAAAAACCATCGATACATCAATGTCATCGCCTACATTGATGGGACAAATCACGGGTATACAGACGACAACAACAGCATTAACAACCAAAAGTCCTATACCAGAGTTAGGAGTTGATACATCACAGCCCGATGAATTACGAGCCTTACTCGAACGTATAAACGATTGGGGCTTGGACACATTTCGCATCGAAGAATTAAGTGGTCAACGACCGTTAACAGCAATAACATATCGCATTTTTCAAGACCGTTTGTTACTGAAGACCTATGCGATTGAACCTCATACATTAATTTCATATTTGCTCACACTTGAAGACCATTATCAACAAGTACCATATCATAATAAAGCCCATGGAGCTGATGTTTGCCAGTCAATGCATGTCTTACTCAATGCTTCGGCACTCGACGTAAGTCAAAGAAAGAAAGAAAACGAGAAATTGATTGATTTGCTTTCTTATTTTTATTATTACTAAAGGGCGTGTTCACCGAGCTGGAGATCATGTCGGCGATATTCGCATCGGCAGTGCACGATGTTGATCATCCCGGTGTAACAAATCAATTTCTAATCAATACTAGTGAGTGCCGTTCAATAATTGACATTTTATTAATTCAATTTCTTCGTTGTTTTTTTAGAAAGTGATCTAGCGATAATGTACAATGATGAGAGTGTCCTTGAAAATCATCATTTAGCCGTTGCATTTAAACTCCTCCAAGCTGAAGAGAGAAATATTTTCTCCCATTTATCAGCCAAACAAATCAAAACATTGAGAAAAATGGTGATCGATATGGTTTTAGCCACCGATATGTCTAAACATATGCAATTACTAGCTGATTTGAAAACGATGGTTGAATCAAAGAAAGTCACTGGAAATAATATTATTATGTTAGAATCATATGATGATCGAATACAGGTGCTTCAAAATATGATTCACTGTGCTGATCTATCTAATCCAACAAAGCCATTAGATATCTATATAAAATGGACGGATCGAATCATGGAAGAATTCTGGAGGCAGGGTGATAAAGAACGTGATCTTGGATTAGAAATTTCTCCAATGTGTGATAGACGTGTAGCTAGTGTAGAAAAACATCAGGTTTGTTCAACAAAGAAGAGAAACAAGACACACATATCTGAATTGTTTTCTAGGTTGGTTTTATCGAATTCATTGTACATCCTCTATGGGAAACGTGGGCTGATTTAGTTTATCCAGATGCTAGTGCGATTTTAGAAACTCTAGAGCAAAATCGTGATTGGTATCAAGCTCGTCTTTCGTCTCCGTCACCATCTTCGACATCCGGAAATCTCGATAACTCCTCTAGTAACACGAATATTTCATCCTCGTCTCCTCAACAAGATACAATTCAACCTATAACATCCTCAGCTCTATCTTCGTCTCCATCTCCAATGTCGTGTGATGTCTTGACATCAACTTCAAGTAATTCGACAATAATAAATGCGAATTCAGCCGGTGATCAGCTCATTCCCTCGTCTTTAACTCCTTCTTCTTTGACAACATCCACTTCTCGGATATCGTCGCCATCATCAACAGCAACAGCAGCAGCAGGAACATCGTCTGCAGCGAGTGGCAATGGTGAATTCCAAATGACGGTGACACCAGCCACCTCCTAATATTGATGAAAAATCTTCATAATCATTTTCTCTCTCTTTCTCTTCTTTTCTCTTTTCTCTTTTGTCTTTTCTTCCCTTCGTTCCTGTTTCTCATCCTCAATCAAAATCTCTCGTTTCAGTGTAATGCGGCTTGTTCGCACTGTGTTTGATTTCTTTTCTTTCTACTTCGATCTGTTCTGCACGTTCTCTCTCTCTCTCTCTCTTTTTGTGTTCAATATTTGAGCCGGCCGTTTTTTCTCTCGACTCGAATAAAAAAAATAACACTCAAACGACATGAAATCAGGTAGGTTTTCTATGCTCATGCAGAACGACGAAAAGAAGCTTTTTGATCAACATTACATGTTTTCACTTCTCCACCACTAATCTTTGAAAAGAACTTTATAGTCGGAAAGACATAAAACTTGTCGATGGAGGCGATATTTAACGAACCGTATAGTTCTCATTGATTTGTCTACACGATCACTATTGTTCGTACGATTGACGAACGAGTATTTCAAGTACAAATAGCCGACTTCACCATTGGAAAATATTCATGAAACGGTGACAGATAACAAGAAATAGTTCTTATCTTTATCTTTCATTAAATAAATAAATAGACGGCGAAAGAAAGATTTTTGTAAATAAAAAACAAAAACTATAACACCGTTGTGTTGATTTCACTTGATTAGTGAACAAAGGCGAATGTCAATAGCTTTCTAACCCGACTTGGTAAATATTTTATTATGCGATAAAAAAACATGCTCATTATCGATTTTTATAACAAAAACAAACTGTTGAGAAAATATCAATCGATAGCTTTTAGATGACAAATAGAGAATCAACGAATAAAACTGGCTATGTCGAAAGTGCGAAAATAATTGACGTAGAAAAACGGTATAGACCCGGACCGAAACATTATGTAAATATACAAAAGTTTCTAATGAGAAAACACATTTCCATCCACGTAGGTCTACGTCATACAAGTCAATTGGGCAAATCCTTCGAATTTGTTCATCATCTACCGACGCTACGCACAATTTTTTGATCTCCAGGTAAATAATTCGTCAACATTGACGAACGATTCGTTGATTCGATGTTTTAGTGTAAATTACTTGATCTATTTGCTGAAACACCAGTGCAATCGACAAATACAAATCAACCGCGGCAAATTCCATTTCTCCCTGGCAAAATTATTCTTGGCCGTAGTCAAGTACGACAAATTGCTCTCGAACGAAAACAAGCTCTCGACAAATATTGCCAGACTTTAATTGCATTGCCTGAATATATTTCGCGTTCCCGTCCAATACTTGAGTTCTTTCACCCGTTAGTCACTGATGTTCAACAGTCAGTTCAATCTGTCACTCATGAGAAACAACCCTTAGACAAAGGTTCAATAGTGATTAGTGAACCAGCGATATTAGCGACCTATCGATGTTTAGCTGATTTGAATGCGACGGATAAACTTGAATTATCGTTAAAACGAAACAATATCGTACAGGTCTTACAAAAGCATGCTAATGGTAGGTGGTAAATGTAAATCAATTTAGAGAAGTGAGACATGTAGTTGTTTTTTGTCAGGCTGGTGGTTTGTGCAGCATGGTGATCAAACAGGCTTTGTACCTGGTTCTTATTTACAGCCATCAGAATTACAACCAGGTGCTCGAGAAGAGAAAACATTTGCAAAATCATCAAGTAAATACAACTGAGACATGAGAATTTTTACGCTTTGTTCTCAAATAGACGAAACGTATATTGTTAATACGACGTACAAAGGCAAAGATGAAGATGAACTTTCATTAGAACAAGGTTCTTTTGTTATAGCATTAGAAAAATCTTTGTCTGGATGGTGGACAGTCAAGTATAAACATCAATACACTTTTGAAGCACATAAAAACAGTACTTATGCGCTATAGATTCAATGGTAAAACCGGTCAATTTCCAGCTCTTTACTTGTCACCATGTGAAGGTCGACACACACCTGACATATTACAAAGTATACATATATAATAGTGAATAAGACGAACTGGATCATATTTTGGTTTCTGTAGGTAATTCATCAACGATGGAGACGAATGTGCAAGAACTCGGTGATTCCGATTGGGTACGTTAAGGATGGTATATTTTTTCGATGTATTTCTGTATCAACTTTCATTTAGGACGATGAAGATGATGGCCATCCATCCAACAATGATAAACTCGATCTATACTATGCTCATAGTGATCATACAGATTCTACTGGAGAGTGCTTATCGTTTCGCCGGGGTGATCTTATTGAAATACATGACAAGCATGCAAGTGGTTGGTGGTTTGGAAGACGAGCAGATGGTGACAGTACTCTCACCTGGATTCCTGCAAATTTCCTACAAAAAGTAATTTCTCTGTGGATAGTTCATTGACGTTTTGCTATTTTAAACGTTGTTCAGGAACTAATTTCAGCTGATAAGCTCGAACTTAATGATAGCCAACTATCAGCTGTGCCATCTGGATCATCGCATAATGAGACGCAACGAATAGAGCAAGATAAGGAGGAAGTACGAAGCGTTACCATTTATGAAACCATTGATAATGATCCTGCGACAGACGTCATTTACTCAACTGTGGTAAAAACAACGAAATCTGACAAGTGTAAAACTACACCTTTCAAGCCTCAAACAGTTTCTCCTGTTTTATCGCATGTAAATGTTAATCAAAACACAAGTTCGAAATCAGTTAAAGATCTCATTAAACTATTTAGTGGACAGTAATACATGTACTTATGACGATGTCAATGGAATTTCGCTGTGTTCAATTTGTCATGAAACCAGTTGATTAATTATTAATTATTTCATTACGTCTTGAATAGCATTAATTAAACAGTTCCGAATGACGCACATGTGCTCAGTCTGTCTATCCAGTTAGAGAGTTAAATTTTTTTTTTGTTATTCTCGTATCAAACGATATTCAGTTTAAGCTATTTTGCCTATTCCTATTTGAAATCTTGTAACACAATAAACGATTTAGTAATATTCAGTCACTGAAATCTAGAATCAAAGGAAATCTTCGAGTGCGATGGCTTATCTGCCATAGCAAATTTTATATCTCTATTGCATTATGCAAGTGATATTCATATATTGAATATACGGTCTAGAAATAGACTAAGGTATTTTGCCACTGTCTAACTTCATTACATTGACAACTTCGCGAACATGCAATTGAAGATTTCCTCAGAGACCAACGCGCTCATTTGAGTGTGTGTGACCTGGTTTTCTTTAATTATTAAGTATTGTATGCAGACCACACTACTCACGTGCTCACCCTCAGATAGCAGGTAGCTAATTCGCATCCAACTCCTAGGTCAATTTAAAAAAAGATTAATATTGAAAAGATAATAATTCATGTATACAAGTCAAAAAAAGATATTTGCAGATAATGAACCATTCTAATTATAAATGGGCCTTCCAAATACTGTTTCCTTCTATAAGTATAGTGTTCCTTTGAAATCATAGAGTGCTGAGCAAAGATTATCTAACACAACTGCACTCAGTTACTTTCCGTAGCGCATAGAAAGGCTTTTTTATATGTAGACTAAATCTTTACAAAAGTTCCTTCTTTTGTTGGAAAACATCGATGACGAAGTCCTTGGAGAGCGTCCTGAGTATTCTTTGTTCTAATATGAATAAATAATTCACAGCTCTTAAAAAAGATTGGAACTTTTTCTTTTATGAGTATTTCACTTTTCACCTCTATCTTTTGACATAAAAAGAAGACGTCTCAACTGTCAAACAGCGTCAAATCTAACAATACAAATGGCGACAACTTTTGTTGAACAATTGGCTATTCAAGGAACACGCGTCATCGCACCGATAATCATTTTCCTTGGTACAGTAAGTAATATTTTAAATATTATCATTTTAACCAGACAGTGTTTGAATTTACACGCTTGTTCATTCTACTTTCGTCTTATGGCACTCATTAATTTGTTTTATTGTATATTTCTTCTCACAAATAATCTTCTCGCCGATGGATATTATCTGAATTTGAGTACCTCCTCTGAATTCTTCTGTAAATTCAATAGTTATTTACTCAATCTATGTCCAAATATATCTGTATATTTAATCGTCCTTGCATCAATTGACCGATTTGCTGTTAGTTCAATTCATGCTAATATCCGTCGATTCAGTGATATTCGAGTAGCACGGTGGGCTGCGATTGTCATCACTCTGATCTTAGCAGGTTTACTCTCAAGTGCCTTCGCAGTATTCAGCATCTCAACAGACGGACTACCCATATGTACAATAGCAGCGAATCAATTCTTTGGTCATGTTTTCTTGATCATAAACGTGATTTCATATGTCATCATAGCACCAACATGCATGCTATCTTTTGGTTTACTTACCATTCATAATGCAAATAAAGTGCGTTTAATATCTAATCGATTGACGAATTTTCATCGAACTGAAAGACAACTGACGCGCATGCTTTTACTACAAGTTGGTATTCATATCATTCTAACTCTCCCATTTTGTGTCGTGTTTCTAATCATGGTATTATCAATATCATTTCATTTTTCATTTGATTTCTATTTTGTTTTTGTCATATGCAAATTACCATTTTATTTCTCGTTTACAACTGGATTCTTCTCTTATATTCTTTCTGCTCAAGTTTACCGACAAGAATTTCTTCGATTGCTGAACAAATTCCATCTAGATCGACGCATTTTACCCACAAATGCACCCACTAATCCAAATCTCAATTCCAGTTTGCGCAACAGGACAATAAACATCAACTGTCAAAGAAAGCCAAACTAGAATTGTAAAAGTTTCAGCGTCTATAAAGTATTTCAATAAACTAAAAACACGTACTAGACTTCGATGTGAGACATAAACATGTATTTCTCTGTTTCTGTCCAGAGATGGCGTAAGTTTCTGAGTAAAACCAATACCTGCATAACATCTAGTTGTCATTCGATTCGTTGATGAATCTTGTGCTATTCATCACTTGTTTATCATTATAGTTGTCTAAAATACCACGTCTACAATTATTCTCAATTGATTTGTAAGCTATTCAAAACATCCAAGTCGTAATGTCAGCAGCAAATGAATCATCTGTTTGGTCGTGGAGTGATACGAAGACAAATCAGCGTCAAAATCTCTATGATAATTTTACACTGCAAGTTTTTCTTTTTGAGAAATGTCTTCAATAATTTTGTAGCATCTGCTATCTTTAGTTACATTTCACATGACCATTTTGTTATTCAACCAATCGTCCGTGACGCGAAAAGTATTGCTGTAATCGATCGAACAACCGCAGACATTCAACTTCTAAGTAAGTTTTCTGAGAATACCATCTTTGTCATCCCTATTCCTGTCTAGATAATTTACCCAATGTCGACGGTGCTGAGCAACGATCAATCTATGGAATCATCGGTATTATTCATCTGATTTCTGGGCCATATTTAATTGTGATCACTTCGAAATTACATGTTGGTGATATCAATGGTCAAGCTATCTATAAAGTTCAAACAACTGACATTATTCCATTTACACATAGTACGCTGCGTTTAACCGAACATCAGGTTTGTTGGTTTTATCAGAGCGGGACAAAATATTACGGTATTTGTTTTAGTTGAAATGTAATAATAAATACTTGTCGATGGTGGAAGTTGTATTGCGTACTGAAGCATTTTATTTTTCTTATTCGTATGATATCACACATACATTTCAACGTCTTCACACATCGTCATCGTCGGAGTTTTTTTCGAAACCATTTATTGACCGTGCAGACCAAAGATTTGTTTGGAATCGACATCTACTCGATGCATTTATCTCTAACAAATCTTTGACTCGATTTACACTTCCTGTGATACATGGCTGTGAGTATTGTTTTCTTCGATGAATAACGATTCGAGTTCTATTTGCTTGTGATTTGTAGTTGTTGCAATTCATAAATTGAGTATCAACGAACGATCATTTACTTATGCTGTTATTTCACGAAGAAGTACTCATCGAGCGGGCACAAGGTATGTGATATACACGCACTCGCTAAGAACAGTGATAGATTTGCACTGAGTTTAGATTGTTCATCCGTGGTATTGATGATAACGGTCAAGTAGCAAATTATGTGGAAACTGAACAAATTTTCCAATTGGACGATGTCTCATGCTCTTATGTACAGGTACGTGTTGATTACAAACGAAGTTTAACCATATGAGTATCAATCACATACTTTACAATAACTTTGATTTGCAACAATTCGAGTTTGTACAACAGTCTCGTTTTTCTGTAGAGCCGTGACTTCTACATGCGTGAGTAGTACTGATCGAACACTGTCTCAGTAGTTGAATTTGTCACTCGATCTAACAAAAAATAGTTATAGCAATGATTTGAAACAGATGCTCATTATCTTCTTCTTTAGATACGTGGTTCAGTGCCGTGTTACTGGACACAAAGACCTAATTTACGATATAAACCACGAGTTGCAGTTCTACCGACCGAGAATCATGTAAGAAAATTGTCTATTTTCTTGACGACATACTCGTAATGTTTTGATAATTAAAGATGACTGCGTTTCAACAGCACTTTAAGGAACAAGAATATCATTATGGAAAACAATTTTTAATTAGTCTCGTATGTCAACTGACTTCGACCCAATAAGAAAAATATTATTACGAAATTCTCTTTAGACCAATCATCATGGAGCTGAAGGAAAATTAAATTCGAAATATCGCGAATTATACGAAGGAAGTGAAAACGTTGTTCTCAAGTAAAATTGATGTCTTGCACCATTTCTAATTATTATTTCATTTCGTTAGATTCGAAGACTTCGATTTTCACAAAGAATGCGCCGGTATGCGTTACGATCGTCTCACAATTCTTCTGGCTCGTATCATAGCTGATCAGGATGATTACGGGTAGGAATCCAACGAAATCTTTGCTTTTAGTATTGATTTGATTTCTAGATATTTTGCTGTAACAAACGATGGTACATTGCAATGTCAACAAACTGGTGTGTTTCGCACGAATTGTGTCGATTGCCTTGATCGAACAAATGTTGTGCAAAGCTTGTTTGCTAAACGAATTCTCGAAAAACAATTGCAACACTACAACGTCATCAAATACAAAGAAACAATCGATGCATACAAAGAATTGAGCCATATATTTAAAAATAGTAAACTGAACCGAATATCTCAGTGTCGTTGTCATGAATATGATTATGTTTAGTTTGGGCGGATAATGCAGATGTGATCAGCCTTCAATACGCCGGAACTGGCGCATTGAAAACAGATTACACTAGGTTAGGCGATAATCGAACTGATATTTTGCTTATTCACATCTAAATTTAGAACCGGTCAACGCTCAACAATGGGTTTACTCCAAGACGGCTACAATTCATTGATGCGTTATGTATTGAATAATTTCTACGATGGCTTTCGACAAGTGACAGCTCGAATCTTTTTCTTTCATTATCGAACGCAAATTTTCAATGTTTAGGATGGTATAGACCTGTTTTTGGGCAATTATCGCGTCTCGTCAAATGAAGGTCGAACACCTGAATCATGTCCGGTTAGCCAAGACATAAGTAAAAAGCTTCTAGCTTTACCGATCACAATGTTCTTGGCATTTTCAATGTGTATCGTTAATTTATTAATTCCCGCTTCAACGTTTCAAGAGCAAATGACGTATGTTTTCTTTTGGGGCATAACATCGTTAGTCACACTAGGAATAACCATTGTCTGGGGACAAGGGTTAGTAAATACACCAAAGCTATATTCAAAAATAAAAAAGGAATAGTCGAAGTCAACGCTAGAGTTATTCGAACAAATTACCACACGCTTTGTTTATTTCTTTTTGTTTGTTTCGATCATCGTTTGTGCATGTCTGTTTATTTTAAGAAGAAAATCATTTTTATATATATACATGCAGTGTATCAATTTTTTTGTTCTGATTTTCGAAAACAACCCGATCATCTGTAGTGGCTCTTTGGAAAATGAAAATAAATATATTTTAGATGTCATTCTTATCTTATCTTGCACGACTTTTACATCTTACACCATACCATGATCCATCTTTAATCATTCGTAATGTCGCTTATTTTTCCGGTTCAGATGCACATGTTAACCACAAACTAGATATATTTCTTCCATCGCCATCACCGAAAAGTTTATTAGCGTCGACTGACGAGAACATTTCTCAAAAGAAAGTGCCTATTGTTGTTCATATACATGGCGGTGGTTGGGTGCGTGGAAGCCGAACAAATGAATGGCGTGGTGGACCAAGTGTTGGACGCATGTGCGCTAAAGAAGGTCTCGTGGGTGTTGTTGTTTCATATCGATTGGCCCGTGTCTCCCTCGTGTCGTTCACGACTTGGGCATTCACTTTAGGTTTAATTGTAGCGATTATCTCATTATCATTATCTTCCTGGCAATTATTCACAGGTTATTTGGCTTTTATGACAGTTATCTATGTATATAATTTCTTATACAAAGTACGTGTACCGGTTAATATTGAACATGTAAGTTAGAAACATTGAGAAGAGAAGAAATCAAATGATTTTATTTGATTTATTGTAGATGGTAGACGACCTGTGCTACGCGCTGATATATGTTCGTGATCATATTCATGAACATTACCCTCAAGCCGATCCTGATCAAATTTTTCTCTCTGGACATTCAGCCGGTGCGCATTTGATTAGCTTACTCACTCTTGATCGATCTCATTTCGAACGACACGATTTATCCTTATCATCGATTCGTGGAGTGATTGCAATGAGTGGGATTTATACATTGGCAAATCCAATTCACGATTCCAAATATCATTTTCGTAATTTGATATTCCGTATTCTTTACTCAAGCAATTTATTGTATCCTGATGGAAAAACAATGGTAGAATACTCACCAATTGAATATATTAAAGATAATGATGACATACCGCCATTTCTTGTCATGTCTGCTCGTTTTGATATGGGTCTGGAAGTCGATGCGCGACGTTTCGTTCAACAGTTCCGTCAACATGATCGGCAGGTAGAATATCATATCATTGGTGGATTGACAACACACGGAACGATTGCGAGCAAATTCTCGACTAACGATGCGCATCGACATTTTTTTACATTTATTCGTAAACATATGAAATGATAAATCGTCAAGAAAAACAAATTTATAGTTTTAATGATTTTATAATTGTGTACCAAGAATAAATGAAGAGTATTCTATTTTTCTGGGTTTTTCTAGATAAGATAGGACAATTCATATCATGCCTGCGACCACAGCATATCTTGATTCGTACAATGCAGGTGTTGATCGCATTCATACTAGTGTTATGTCTACGGTATTTTCGCCCGATAATACACGCTTAATGGCTGCAGATGACCAGGGTCGTTTAGGATTATTCTATTCATCGCCACAAATATCATCCAAACCAATTTTGCTCACGAGCGTATCGAATACGCCTCAGACACAACTCAACTCAACATCGCTCAACAATACGAATAATAGTATCTCACTTGCATCATCGGCCACTGGAATACTAATTGTTGTCAATGGTAGCAGTCAAAATGGACTTATACAAGGTTACCGTTGGTCGGACATCATATCAAACAAGAAAACTTCATCGATGCCATCCGATGTGTTTTCATTTGATTTAGCTCGTGGACCCAACGAAACATTTGCTTGTGTACAAGCTCCATCGAAAAGTCAACAGCAACAGAAAGGTGACGAAATTCTTGTTGGCTCAAGCACTGGAGTATTACGAGTATTAAATATTGAACGGCAAACTTTAGTCACAACTATTGATGCTGCCCATCGAGGAACAGTACATCAAGTAGCATTTGCCAATGATGGAAAACGCATTGCTTCTTGTTCAGAAGATGGTATGTCTTCACATGTGTTGTATGTTAATAAATGAAAATATTATTATTTGAGGCACATGCAAGATCTGGGATCTGTCAACGTCATCTCATCAACCGATTCATACAATTGAAACAAATAAATGGATTAGCTGTTGTGCATTTGACATGGCCACTGATCGGCTCGTCATCGGCGGCGATTGTCCGTTGACACTGTGGCATCTATCAATGCTAAGTTCTTCGAATAAACAGAAACCCTTACTTGTATACAATTCCATTCCCACTCCAATCTATTCCTTAGCGTTATGCTCTGCTGATGACGATACGATTCTTGTTGGTGGCGATATGAACAAATTATACTCGGTTCCAAAGAACGGTGATGAACAATCACTAACAATCAGTCGTGTGACAACTCCATCGCCTATTTATACAATTGCAACGACTTTAAATAATACTACAGCAAAAACAAATGAAGAAATTAAGATTGTCGTTGCTGGTAGCCATTGGCATATGGACTCATTCACGATGACAGATGCAAATATACGTAAAATCGGACATTATGAGTTTTCCAAATGAATCTCCTCAGATAGTTTTTTGTTGAATGTACTTTACCAAAAATAAACATTCTTTTTCATAAAATGAACAAATTCTTTTCGCGTTAGCACCTGTCCTGTCGATTATGTGGAGAAATGTTAAATGAATAGCTCATACTACTAGGTGACTTTGGAATTGAATTTATTGAACATCGAAAAAAAAACTTCTGTTCAGCATAGCGTAGAGGAATGGATTTAAACATGAATTGAAATACGATAAGCCATGAGCAAATATTCGAGCAATTGTGAGCAGATCGGCATGTTTAACAAAGAATGGATATGAAAGGATCTGTGAACACTGCACCAATTCGAGAATGTGGATTGGCAGCCAACATAGTGCAAAGGCTAGAGTTAAGCCCAGCAGTACACATTTCACGCGACGTTTCTTGAAGCGTATTGTTTGAGAATTGTGACGAGACTAAACAATAAAATCTACCAGTTACGCATTCAATCGAAACACTACTATTTCGAGGATATGCAATGATCTCCTGACTTCGCAACTTTTAACTATAGCCATACTTCGATATCGAGTTATAAATTGATTTTAAAAATCCACAGATCCCTCTCAGATATCGCAATGTTATACTGAAAACTTTAGAAAAAGTCTGACTACTTCAGTCTTTTGAAATGCATCTATGTCGAGATCAGTTTTCGACGGAAATTTAATTCTTGACAGCTAAGTATTCAAAAATAACAATGAAGACACTCTGTTCCTGTATATTTTTCATTTCTGAGATGCAGAGATTAATACTACAGTGGTCGTCACCTTCGGACACAACTGGTTGAAAAAAAAACTTCTCCAGTTTCTTTCGAGGTAATCTAAACCAATAATGCTCAAATATTAGTGAAAATTATGCATTCTTTGACAGTTTAGACTCGCAATATTCCCTAATAGACTAGTTTTCATGAGAAATATGATATTAAATTCTTCTACTTATTCGTGCTGACACTAACATAAAAAAACAATGAATCTGAAGGATCCGATTATTTATTAACCGTTTCTATTCAGAATTTTTTTCGCGCTTCTTGGTAGAACTGGTCGGGTCTATTATATAATTGATTTACGCAACCATGTGTGATTAATTATTAACTGACTTCGAGCACGCTATCTCCTAACTTAAAAATAGATATCAAATTAATAATGGCAGTCTGCTGTCAGCGGGTAGCATTCGACCGAACAGAACGAACTGAGACTTAACAGTGGCGGCACTAAATATTTATTTTCTTCTGGTTATTAAATTGCTCGTTTTTTAGATATTTGATTTACCTTATGTTTTCCTAATCAATCGGCAAACGTTAATTTAGTAGCCTATTTTGTAGTCTAGTCAGCATAGTTCAAATCCAAGATAGAAAAGAAAATCATCTTTCACACTTACAAGTTGTCGAGCAATTTTCGTACCATGATATCTTACATGCGAGAAAACGCGTGAGTAGCATAGACCAATAATTAACAACGGCAAGACGTAGTAGAATGTAAACGTAAACATACATGATGAAAAAAACGAATTATCGTTCACTGTGCAATCAAGTTCGCCAGATGAGTCATTATGCTTGTCAGTATCTGTATGCAAAAGATAGTCATACGGAAACATAAAAGCGCCCGAAACTAATGAAAAGAAAATTGTTTAGGAGTGTGCATTCAAGAGAACAGTTGAACTTCATCGTACTCATCCACACGAATATACAAATAATCAGAGCTTGCTTTGGTGTCCGATACCGGCGATACCAAAAGTCGTGAACGATGCTCAAATATCGGTCGATACTCATAGCAGCCAATGTATAACATGTCGCTTGCAAGAGAACCTGAATGAATCCAAAACAATTTGATGAAATAAATCACATGTCACATGAAATTTCATACATGAGCAAGGTAAATGTGCATTTTGCACATGAATTCGCCGAAGATCCAAACATTACTCATAGCTAAATACATCGTTAATGGTACAGAGATCAGTAGAAACAGAAGATCTGTTATAGCTAAATTCATAATAAAACAATTTGTGACATTCTTTTGATATTTCCGCTTCGAAATGCCAATACCAAGAATAATAGCGTTACCTGAAAGATTATTTTTAGAAAAAGAACCTCTTTCATTGTGCTTACCAATGACTCCGCATACACAAACAACACATAGGATTGATGTCGATGCAAAAGTGACCATATCAAGGTGCTTATTTGCTGAAAAGGTCATTATTACAGACAAAAATATACTAAAAATAGCAACGGAAGAGTATTAGGAAAGAAATATTGGATTTTGTTGTGTAGACAAATAGAATTTATTGGAACAAAGCACAAGAGAAGAATGTTGGTTACAGGAAATGCAAACAAAAAAGAGCATAATTGGAGAGCGACACCGAGAAAAAAACAGGAAGTCATGACAGTGAGTACATGATTGTCACAGAATAGGAAGCATTAAATAGTATTTGAGGAAAATAATTACGCTCGCTTCATCCAACTTTGATTATCAGATCAAATTTCAGGTGCAACCGACGAGAAATATACTAGAACAATGTAGATTTTCTCACAGATATTCGAATGTCGTTCGCCAACGCTTCAGAAATTATTTTTTTTTGTGCAAAACTCCATCTTTCGTATATATCAGTTTCGATCGTTAATAGGCGAAGCGTTTCAATCATAGATGAAACCTGTCTAAAAAAGTAAGACCGGATCCGCCGGTGTACCTGTAAAAAACTCTTCTTCCATCTGATGATTAATACACATCTCGGTCATTTCACTAGCTCATATCATTAGAAAACTTCCATACAGCTACGACCAAGATCAAGAGGAACCCAGGCCAAGTGTATCTCACAGGATCTGACGAAGTCCGATGTCTACGCAAACAGAGTTCAGCCGTCGGATCGACCATTCTGAAAAACTTCAACGTGTTCCTATGATAAAAACTGGGAAATGGAAAGCTCTAGACTGGCATTGGTTCCATCTATGATTTCCATGGAACTCAACTAACACGAACGACTTTCTGAGTACTGTATCACTTCCGTTAACAGTCTTTCGGTTATTTATTGAAATAAAGGGAAAAATCTGTCAACACCCTTTTGAGGATCAGCAGAGATGTCGTTCCTTTCATTTCATTCATGTCGTGCGGAATGTCTTTATAGAAAGGAACTATGTGGAAAGGATTTTCTACGAGAGTGAATGTCATGTAATAAGTGATAAAATGCAGAGAAAAAGACCTCTTCAACTTGTGCAAATGTACTCAGGTACGGCATTAGATTGAATGATGAAAGTGTACCGTGTGAAAAGATAAAACAACGATTTGTCTAAACTGCTGTAAATCGCAGTAATTCACTTGAAAACATTAAATATTCCGGAATAAATGATGTATATTCATAGATTCGATAGGATGATTCATGTCTCTCGTCTAGTTACATTAAAAAACGATGCTTATCCACGTTTTTCTAGCGAACGATTTTTCACTGAAACCGAAAATAGCTTGCACTCATAAAAACTATCATATGCACTGAATAATTTACGAACCTCAATCTAGAAAAGCTATTTCTTCAACAAAATCTGTAGCACCTAGATGGCACAGAAAATGTTCTAATCCTAAGGAGCAACACTTTATGATACACACAAAGCTTAATTAAAAAACGAGGACATATAGGTGTCTTTAAATGTAACAATCGGTACGCTGGGAACGAAAAAGCTACCATATATATGTTGTATCGAAGTTAAATTGCTATCAAAGTCAATGAAGATCATAATATACATTTGAACTATTTACTTTCATGTATTATCACACGCTAAAGAACTATGACAACGAGAATTGCATGAGCTTTTGGTTATTTACACTTACATCGTTATGTTTGACAACCACCTTTGCGATCGTTTTTCAACAAATGCCGACTATCAGTAATAGTTTGAAATGTAGCAATTTCTCGTCGTGTTTTTTTGTGCTTCATCTGAAATGTCCTTAATAAATAAGATAGTTCAACCGAGTGACTTGAGTATTTTATTATAGGGATAATAACCATGCAAAACACCCTGTGTCGTGTCTAATTGATATTATAAAGATATGGCTATTATCTCTAAAGTAAAATACTCAAGTCACTCGGTTTGACTATCTTATTTATAAAGGACATTTCAGATGAAGCACCAAAAACATGACGAGAAATTGCTACATTTCAAAATATTACTGATAGTCGGCATTTGTTGAAAAGCGATAGCAAAGGTGGTTGTCAAACATAACGATGTAAGTGTAAATAACCAAAAGCTCATGCAATTCTCGTTGTCATAGTTCTTTAGCGTGTGATAATACATGAAAGTAAATAGTTCAAATGTATATTATGATTTTCATTGACTTCGATAATATATTTTATCGAAATACTAACAACTATACCTGTTTTTATCGATGCGAGAACTTCGATACGACATATCTATATATGAGTTGTGTGCCTTGTTCCAACATACTTTGTATTATAGTAATGCTTCGTATGCATGACAATTCAAAAGCAAATTTTACTTGGACAGGAAAATCTGGATGTTGGTGCATTTCTCTTGAGAATGTCAGGCAGGGTGAAAGAGCAAGAATAATCATTATGATATTTTCTATTTTTGTATGTCATCATTTATTGAATATTTAATCAATATAAGACAAAAGGAGAAACTCAACTGGCATACAAATATTTCGTTTGTCATACATGACTAAGCAGAAATAAAGAGGAGATCTCTATATTTTCCGAGATTGCAGAGTGAAAAATCATAAGTGGACTTACTACCATTGTTTATCGAATCACTGGGTAATGATAAATGCTGGCACTACATCAGAATCCAATCATAATCGCCTCAATGCAGCTGTCATTTCTGCTTATAATACAAAGTGCAATTTTCACTAATTAACATCTCACTCATTGGAGAGTATGTTAACTCGAACTTTATGGACTGCGAAATGACTTGAAAAATAACCAGCATCAGTTTTTATTGATGTTACATACAGAAAGATGTATACAGATGTCATTAACTTGTTTGTTTTGAAAAACAAAGCAAGAGGGCTTCCAGAACGACACATGTGACGCTACATAAGCTAGACCATAGTCGATATCAAATTCTAAGAAAGTTTCTGGTGTGCGAGGCTGTTCCACCATATCAAATATCCGGGTTAAAGATCAGGTTTTCTTTCTGAGATAAGTTTTGAACTGGCATATGGTGGATACTTTGATGTTCGCTCGCTTTACATTTCGTCTCATCTCGCTATCTACTCTAATAACGAAAGAAAACTTTTTTTAACTGAAAACGATGAAATGTGGGACAAAGTAAAACTATCTCATACTAATAGCGTCTTTATACTACTCTTTTGATTTAGAAAATAGTAACTAAAAAGAATTTGCAATGTTCAGCGTGTTTTTTTACTTCGAATTCTATATTACAATTGGAATAAAATACTCCCTTAAGTTTAGTATATTACAAAATGACTACTATTTTCTGCTTTCTATGATTACTACAGTGCGCCTTTATGGTTTTTCAATTGCTAAATTAATGTTAACAGCTATCTACATGAAATCGTGTTTTATTTAGTAGTTCTTCTACTGATTACAAGTATTGCCGTGGTGTTTTATATTTTAAAGTGGTGTATTCGAAAGGTAAAGGCATTCAACGAATGAATTTCCTTAGCTTTTTTTTAGAAAGGACGAAACTTAAGGAAATGCATTTATGACAAGTCTTTTTACACACCAATTCACAACGTGAATATGCTAATGAGCGACGAGCTTGTTTCTTCTTCAAATCAAGCGCACACTACTGTAGGGTGCGGGTGTGTGTGAGATGTTGCTTTATGTATATACATACTATAGCACCAGAGTGTACTCCTAGATTTTACTAATGGACTACCATTGTTGCACAATGATCTTTGCATCGATCAGTCAATTTTCACTAACATTCAAGAAAATACTCATCCTGTTGATGACTTGACAATAGAGAACTCGCATGTCAGTAATAATGTGTTGTTACGACTTAAAATCTAGTAAATTAGACGAGTTTCCATCGAGAGTGTTCGAAACGCTTACGAGAAACACTATTGCGATGTAACACTCCAATGTCATTCATTCATATGGTATTTAATAGGCTATAGTGGAGTAGTCATAACCTACCACAACACAGGCTAAAACTTCAGAACAAGCACTATAGTGTCTCGAGAAAGAATCGATGGGCGATAATATTTCCAGGGTATAACTGTACCCCACTATGGTCTATCAAATACCATATGAATGAATGAACTTGGAATGTTACACCGATATAGTGCTCTTCGTTAGTGAAAAATGCGTATGAAATTCCGTCTGACCTTCGTCATCATTGCAAAGATTACAAAAAATGTCAAGCCAATTATAAACTTTTTTTACGCAGATCTTACCTTGTTTCCTCGAGCTTTTCGTTATTTAGCTATCTGAAATGCATTTTTGATATAAATTCTGATGTCGCAAATTTCGCTAAGTGAACAACCATGCAGGTTGAAGCGGTAAGTGTTTAAAGAGTTCCTAGAAGTGTACGCAGTCGATGAAACTTTCTATAGAGTATCATGGAAAGTACTACAAATATTTACTACAAGGAGAATCAATAAAATGTTTTTTCATATGAATAAATATTTGAACTTACGAGACCTAGTCTGTTGATCTACATGGGATAAAGATAACAGATACAATGGCCTTACATAGTTACAGGAAAGATAACGAAAATCTCAAGTCTTTTGTGAAAATAGATCGCTACTAGCAATTGATTGCAAAAGATTATTTGATCTACTTTTCTAAACTAGCATGTTACTTTAGCTATGGGATCTTTGTCTAATTAAATACGCAACTAATGTTCTGGTAAGCATATCAACGCTAAGCAAAGTACCTTGTCCGATACGGTTAAAAAAGAAACGCCATTTTTCAACTTGAGCTATTGTCCGGCATGAAAACGACAAGTTTTCGCTTGAAATTCAAGAACTATTTTACTAAGAGTCGTGATACTATGTTATAATAGTTATAAAACAATTAGTTATTCAGTCACAGGAACATGAGATACCTATCTATACCAGCAAGATAAATCATCGAAGCATAACAAAATCACTACTCTATAGTGTTTGGGCCATTTTCTCACGTCTGAAATGGACCAATCAAATGTCATTGATACTCATCCGGAAGAACTGGATACAAATTTCACTAAATAACAAGAATTTTGACTAGAATAGGTTTTGTTTTCTGACTTGTGAGAAACGACGCTTCAGCACGAGCGCAGTGCCATATTGAGTACCACTTACGCAATGAATTTGATTGAATATAATAGGGCGAGTCAGAAGTTCCCAGAATCACATTGCATCTACTCCAGAAAACGATATTCCATCAGTCTTTCTACATTATGTATTCGAGACACTTGCTATAATATTCCATGGAAAATTCTAGCTTTTTTTAACTACTTTTCTTTTGGTGTTCTGCCCGAGGAAACAATAGGCATTGAACGGGGCGTCGTGGTTATCATCCTAATTAAAACGTTGTAACTAATGTTTAACTTTCCTATGTTGAACATATCTGAATAGCAGTCAATATGAAAACTCGGTCGTAGATGCGTATGTTCGTCGAAATTCAACGTCGTTTTTCTCATTTTCAAGTTAATAGCGATAAGGCTGTTTGTGCCTTCGAAAGCCACTAAATATGTGACCTAGATCACTATTCCTGACGGTTATCGATGGAAAACAATGTTCGAGCGTTACTTTTTCTCTTTAATTCAGATTTTAATACAAAATCTCATGATGGTACACATCAGACTGATAAACACTCGTATTATTAATAATATCTAATCATTTCTTACGAAGATTTTTCATGCCTTGAGAATGTTGAAAAATATCCAAAATTTGAGCAACAGCCAAGATGGACTTTCAATACATAGTTTTTACGCGAAAAGAATATCGAAAGAGTTAGTTAGGAAGCTGGAATTTTCTATGAAATATCATAGCAAGTGTCTCGAATACATTATGTAGAGAGACTGGCGAAATATAATTTTCTGAAGTAGATGTAGTGCAGCTCCGGAAACTCTTAAATCTCCTCTGTAGTCTGTTGAGACAATTATGAGAATAATCTCCTTTTCTCATCAGCGCTAAGTTCACTTCCTATCCATCTGAAAGATAGAAAGAAAGACGTTTTGAATTTCACTCATGGCATACGAATAGCTTCAAATCATAACCAGAATCGCGACAGATGTATACGATCACCAACAAAGTATCGTAGTTTCATTAACGTAAGTTCGAACGTGTCCACACGTGATAATTCTCAACAAGCAAGATTAAATTTTAGACAAAACCGTCGACCCTTTCATTATTTAAAGAATTTCTAGCAGTTAATGAATAATATATATCATGATCGTAAAATGTAATAACGTTCATTTAATATCTGACGACTGTATTGTTCCAGTAGGCGATCGAAAAAACTGGAGACAGTATTTTCCGCTATTCAAACGACCATAATTACTCTTGATATTTAATGAATTATCATTCACATCGATAATCTCTTCATTAATCTTATTTCTACCGTACTTAATCGATGAATATGCTACTAATACCTAACGATCTATTCAATCTTTTCTATTCCTTTGTATAGCATAAGGCTATTTTCATTTCTCCATTCACATTGAAAGAAAACAATCTACTAAAAATACGCAACATTCAAGCAGTTTGAGTACCGAATATGACGGTTGAGGGAGCTTGAAACCCTCTTATACTTCATGTAATAAGCAAATTTCTATGCACCAAACTATGGTGTTCTAGACAAAGATGATATAACATCCATGCTTTCCATAATCGCTCCGTATGATAGTCTTTTTGTATGTCGAAAGTCTATGACCAACATAAAAAAAGATGTATAAGATTCGATTTCTAGATGATGAAACAGAATTGGATAGGACGAATTACTGCGGTGAAGAGCTTTTCCAATACCTATCGGATAATCAAATTCCTTATAAACTACTGAAGAGATATCGAAATTTACATATTCAACTATATCAGTTGAACTCTAGACTTGCGTATTCAATTGATAGAACCTTCTAATAAGTTGAATCGACTTTTCTGATGTAAACTTGCTCACGGACAATAACATTCGTTAGATTGTGTTCTCTGTACCCTGCTAAACAGTCTCCAAACCAATCGAGATCAAAAATTATGCCATCATAGCTCTTATTTTCCCCACCAGACGAATTTATCGTCTTCAACCGATAGTTCATTTCCTCGGTGAGTCTGCCTTTGTTAGGGATACATTTAGCTGGATAAGTCATGAAATTGAACGAATATTTTTTAATAATGGTATTAAATATTCAAGTCATCCGCTATCGATTGAAATTTGAAAGTTGACTGATGGTTAAGTTAATTAGTAATAAAATTAAGATTAACACTCCATTCAACTTTAGATACGGTATTCATTTGAATAAAAACGGATTCATGTTTTATTGTCTAATAACAAAATAGTCTTAACCCTATATTTGCACTGTTAGTAGAGATAGACCATTCCTTACAGGCACCCCGTTACGACAGCATAGACATCTCTTTGATGAACTAAGTCACAACCTGAGCATCAACAGCATGTTTTAAGAGTCAGACAACAATCATGTTTTATAAAATATATACTGAACTAAGTTTTAATCAGATGCTATTAACGTTTTAGCTAAAAACATGTCTTCCTCATAGGATCAGAAAAGCAAATGTGCGAATTCGAAGAATAATAACCTGTGCTTACCCCATCTATCTGATATCATTTTATTGGAGGTTATCACATACAATTTAATTTGTTGACTAGTTTCTGTGAGTAAATGCGAGAAATCAACCAACTGTGGTATGCCGAGTTGGTTTGACTGAAAAGTATCGCTCCGCTTCCGCTATTATTTTTTCTTCTCATTATATTAATTTACTCTACTACAGATAAGCCTCAATGTATTTTGCGAGCTAGTATTTAAGTAGATTCTTGTTAGTACTAGTACTTATGTCGAATCGTTGGTAATTTATCCCAGTATCTGACGATTTTCTAATATTATTTTGCATTAATCACTCAAATACATTGTAAGACTATCCTGTACATGTCATTTAAGGTAATCGGCGATGTAAGGTCTGTTGGTGAGTTCGACAAACAAACAAGTACACATTTGTTCTCATGATTATTCCTATTAATCTGAGTGGAAGTATATTAATATTAAAATGGTAAAATAAAACCTGCTCTAAGCTTGTTAAAAAACGCTGCTAACGTACAACGAAACGGTACTGTTCATTTGAATTAATAATTCAAATTACTCATCTCATCGTTTAACCACATGGTTTTACGTGACGCCGTTATATGTTGTTTGTTCGCAGAATGAGAACAGTACCGGAGAGAAAAGAGTGTCTTTTAACCAAGGATATCCATGAAACAAAGGATTCAGAAATGTTTCAAGCACTTAGAAAGATATCGCATTTCCTTTAATTTTAACTTCCTTTTCTCCAGTCTAGAGAGAAAAAGTCGAGTGAACTATACGTATGTCTCGTATGATTTCATTCTAGATTGTCATTATGATTCCGTTTGAAAAACTTCTTCTTAGTATTTTTATTTTCACGACTACAAATATTTTACTAGTCAACTGTCATGCAGTCATGTCAGTAGATCTTGGAACAGAATTTATGAAAATTGGTGTTGTTAAACCAGGTGTGCCGATGGAAATTGCTTTGAATAAGTAAGCATATCACGCGTGGATGTTTCTAATAATCAAGTTTTGAATCTTGTAGGGAAAGTCGGCGAAAAACACCGGTAATTGTTGCCATCAAAGGTAAAGATCGTGAATTTGGCGAAGCAGCAATATCTCGAGTAAGACGAGCCATTGTATCCTTAGTGAAAATAAAGCAAACGTTCTAGGCAAATAAAATTCCAGCTCAATCTTATATGTATTTACGTGAATTAGTTGGCAAAACGTTAGATAATCCCGTTATTGAACAATATTTAAAACGATTTCCATATTATAAACTGAAAACTAATAAACAAACACGTGAACTTGTTTTCGAACACGACAGGTAATTGCACGAACTTTATAACCGTAGAGTAAGTTCACCTCGTTGGTTTTCTTCAGCGAAACAAATTACACAATCGAAGAACTTCTTGCAATGATACTGAGAAAAGCTCGTGAATATGCGACCGATTTTGCTGAGCAGACCGTTGATGCCGCTGTTATTACCGTTCCGCCATACTTCTCACAAGCTGAACGACGTGCTGTTAAGCGAGCATGCGATTTAGCTGATATAAAACTACTTCAGCTTATGAATGATAACACTGCCGTTGCATTAAATTACGGTATCTTCCGTCGAAAGGACTTCAGTGCAGTTGGTTCAACTTACTTGTTTTACGACATGGGTTCACAATCGACGACGTGTACAATAACAACGTATAATATTGTTAAAACGAAAGAACACGGTTTTGTTGAAGAAGTACCACAAGTAACAATTAGATCTGTGGCATTCGATCGTGATCTTGGTGGCTTGGAGTTTCAAATACGTTTACGAGATTATTTCGTCAAAAAATTCCATGAAAAACATCCGAAGATAGATTTATACAAAAACTCGAAAGCATTAGCAAAATTGTTCCGTGAATCTGAACGAACTAAACATGTCCTGAGTGCCAATAATGAATACACAGCGCAAGTGGAGGGTCTTATTGATGAAATCGACTTTAAGCAACGGATAACACGCGAAGAGTTTGAAAATTTATGCACAGATCTTTTTGAAAGAGTAAAAAACCCTGTGAACGAAGTTCTTCGTACAAGTGGCATCGCTCTAGTAAGATATTTATCGTTCAAAGATTGCTATTTCTAAATCTTACTTTTTTAGAAAGATATTCAACAAGTACTTTTATTCGGTGGCTCAACACGTATTCCACGTATTCAGAGTGAATTAACTAAAGCTCTTGGCGGGTTTGTTTGATTCGTTGTTTTCGTTGAATCATGATGGATTGTCTATAATTTAGGATTGAACTTGGAAAAAGTTTGAATACGGATGAAGCTGCTGCACTAGGCGCAGCATATCAGGCTGCAACAATCTCCAAAGGCTATCGTGTGAAGAAATTTCTTGTTAAAGATGCAAACCAATATCCTCTCAATGTTCGATTCGAACGTCAAGATGAGAATACGGACCAGAAACTTGTTGATCGAACATTAATCGATCGCAATCACTATTACCCTAGCCGGAAAATGATGACATTTCATAAATACGTCGAAGATTTTGCATTTGAGATTCATTATGGGAATTTAACAGACCTTTCAGCTCTTGACAAACGGTAAGAGGTATTCAAAGAACGAACATAAAAGACTTTGTTTTTTATTTCGTAGTGCACTCGGACAGACTGAATTGTCACGCGTGCATGTTACTGGAATACGAGAAACGTATGACAAATATCGAAACATGAGTGAACCGAAAGGTGTTCGTGCTCATTTCCAACTAGATGAAAGTTCTCTCCTTGTTCTCGATCGAGTAATATAGGTTTTTCTTTTCTTCTAAGATGTCTGTAGTTCCTATTCGTATATAGATGGAATTTATATTTGGAGGAAAAGATAATGGTTCAGAAAAAAGCAATCATCAAGCAAAAGAGGAGCAGTCTACATTCGCAAGTAAGTTTTCATAGTTGACTTTTTCATTATTTTACGGTGTGTTCTTTGTTTATATTAGAAATTACTAGTAAAATTTCCAGTTTCTTTTCATCAAAAAGTCCTGACGATTCAACCAAAGTAAAAGCATCCTCATTGTGCTTAATTAGAACTTGAGAAACATACTCATCTATTCCAGGAGAGTGCTGAATCATCAGATACCGATGAACATTCGACGAAGCCAAGCAACACTCATGGTAAACTAACGTAAACAATCAATAGATATTCAACTACAGTTGATATTTAGATGCAAATCTGAATACAACCACGAATTCATCATCCTCGCCAAATACAACAATTAAATCAGGGCCTATTCGCCAACCATTACAATTTCGAATTGAAACGTTAGATTACGTCGATCCATCGACCGATGCTCGTGCTAGTTCGCTGAAAAAGTAAATCTTTTCTCATTAGTTTGATTGAAATCCTGTATAATATTATTTTCAAACCATATAGATTAGCTGTTTTGGATGCACATGATCGGGAGTTAGCAGCGCTTTCGAGTGCTAAAAACAATCTTGAAACATTCATTTACGATATTCGTGATAAACTCGAACATGATGTTAGATATAAAAAAGCTTCAACTTCAGACGAGCAGAAGAAAATCAATGCAAAACTCAGCGAAATTGATGCATGGCTAGATGACGAAGGAATCAATGCTGATGTGAAGGTATTTCATTTGGTGTTTACTTCTTATGTTCATTGTTCTCGGCTTTTGCATAGGCACTCAAATCAAAATTAGATGAACTGAAAATATTGACCAAAGCATTGAAAACTCGTGTAGATGAAGTTGACCTGCGACCAAAAAAGCTTCAAGAACTTCGCGATACTTTGAATATGACTGAAAATTTTGTTCAAGTTACTCGTAATTTATTCGCCACGAAAGATAAGGAGGAAGAAAAACCATTTACTGATACCGAGATCAAACATGTCGAAAAACTCGTCAAAGACACTTATGTAAGTTCAGCGACAATTTCACTTCTTCGGATTTCAGCATCGGAATCTATTTTAGACATGGATTGATCAAGCCGTACATGAATTTGCTAAATTGACTCCGACTGACACTCCTAAACACCTAACAACAGATATGGATGACAAAATTACCACATTGAAACGCGAAACTAATTTTCTTTTGGCTAAAGCTCAACGTTTCATCCCCAAGCCAAAAACAACAACAACAACAAAAGCTCCGACAACTGAGGAAACCACAACAAAAGCGTCCACTGAAGGTATAATATTCATCTAATTTTACCATATGATTGTTGACTGATTTTAGGTGCTCACAAAGAACTATAAACAAAAGCAATTGACCCAACAATTAGGATAATTATTTCATTCCATCTAAACAAAACTATCTGATAATACTAGTCAAATGCTAACTGTATTGTATTCCTTTCGTTATTGAAACAAATCTCATATAGTGAATACGTATTTATTTATTTTCTTGTTAAATTCTTTGGTTCGTTTTTTAAAACATATGTGCTTTCTCCTTCTTTCTCTCTCTCTTTCGTAATTATTGCATACTTTGTCCTTAGTGAAGTACTAACAAGAAAACGAGTGGTCTTAGTTGTTCTCTTTCAAATAAAATCAATCGCCTAATTCGTTGAGTTCGAAACTTTTGTTTTTCAACGTCGATTCACCGACGAAATATGTGAAGAACGATTCATGGCTTCAGTCATTTGCTTCTTTTCTCCTATGTTTATAGCGTGCATATGCATCGATGTGCATATCGACAGAAGAACAAGTCAAGAAGATGATAAGTTGAACGTTCATATTCGCCTCTCTCTCTTTCCTCAAATTTCATTGTCAATAAAGTATGTAATACTATAAAAAAAGAAGAACATTTTCACACCTGATATACATGACTGCCGATTTTTTTATGCAAAACTATTAATGTAACTGTACTTTATTTGAAGAGCATTTTTTGCCTTTATTCATTCAACATGCTCGTTACAGACGAATGATCGTCTCTAAATACCCATGTCTATATCGTTGATGTGAGTAATATTGCTTTATGTTCATGCCTGACACAATGCAACATGTAGTATAACAAGAGGGCTTTTTACTCCTTCTCTCATTCCTTCTCTCGTCGATGACTAAATTATCCTTGAGTCAAAAGAAAAAAAAATATTTTTTTATTGATTTATCAGTAGATAAGTCATGTGTGAGAGAATGTTGCTTTTTGCTTCTTTTGAGATCAAAACTTAGTTGAAGAAATGATTGCTCGACTTTGTTTGTTTATTAATTAATTAGCGGTCAATATTAGTAATAGATATTATTTTTGTTGGGAGGAAAATTTTTACCTTAAAAATGTTAATCATACATAGAAAAACGATTTCACCTATATGAATTGCTCTTAACGTCAACGGCAGGTAAATCGCTGATATAACCTTGAGTCATGTATATCATACACGGTCACAGTCGAATGATATTTTGCTGTTGTTGTTGTCCTTTTTTTTCTCTGTAGAAGCATTCGTTTTTCTTTAAAGGTGTGTGTGTCGAATAAGTTTTTTTTCATCTACATAGACACTCAAGTGATCAGTTGAACAAAAGCGAATATGTGGCCTGCTGATCAATCATGGTGGCAACAATCTTTATCCGTCGATGGAGGTGCTCGAGCCATGCGTCCACTTCAATTCCCCGTTAATCGTCTTCCAAATCGTGTGGATCTTCGCCGATACATGACACCTGTCGAAGATCAAGCTGATATGTCAACTTGGTAAATATTGTACGATTTCATTGAACAGTTTGTTCACTCCGTGATATTTTAGTGCAGCCAATGCATTTGCTGGAGCTTGTGAATACATCTACAAACGTCGTTTTAATAAGCATATCGATGTATCACGACTATTTATTTATTATAATGGACAAATGATTGATCAGCGTAGTTTGGAAGTAACAGATGATGGCGCATCGAAACAGAATACAGTTTTAGGCATGCGTAAATTTGGCATATGCGAAGAGCGTTTGTGGCCGTACGATGAACGTTTGCTGAATAAAGAACCGCCACCTTATGTTTATGAAGCTGCTAGTCATGTAACTGTCATTCCACTTAAACTTCCAAGAAATTTAGTAGCAATGAAAACATGTTTAGCGAATCAAGTTCCGTTTTTGATCGGAATTAAATTATTAGATTCTGCGACATCCGAAGCGAAACGAAATAATGGATACATATCAATGCCTGATCCAAGTAGTCTTACGGTCGCAATGACTGGCACACATGCTGTTTTAGTCGTCGGTTATGATGATCGAACACGACATTTCATTGTGCGAAATTCATGGGGAAGAGATTGGGTAAATTTCATTTGTAGTCTGAGAAAAAGAATGAAGACTGATTGTTTGACATGTTTTGTAGGGTATTGACGGTTATTTTTACATTCCGTACGATTATTTGATTGAAAAACGTTTGATTAACTATCTGGACGGTTTATGGGCTATTACTGATATCATTCCACGCACGAACTATAAACCAACTGTTCGCCGATTGGTTGTTCCAGGCCATAATCATGACGAGAGACGTATGCGAGATTACACTCGAGATTACACTCGGCATCACTACCCACACTTAGGAACTAAGATGATGATGATGAGGATGCCTACGCGGCATTATCCATTGCAACGTCGATTGTCTATGCCAACACTTCGCGGTATAAATGAACATTATTGGTATGGATGACAAAAAATGTAATTTCGTCCTTTTCCGTTAAAAATCAACACGCTTTTTTCTCGGAACACACATCTCATTGGAATTTTCTACTTCGTTAATAAATAACTGGTGTATTTTTCTATCTAACGGCATGACATTTTCTTTGCCATCTTTCAATATATCAAACTTCTTTTTAAATGGAAACTGATCGATCCGATGACGACTGACAAGGAAATAACATTCCAGAGAGAGAGAAAGATGTTATTTCCTAACAGAATCACATTTCCTTTTATCTAATTTTCTTTACAATTTAATATCTCTAATTCGTCAAGCTGTACGAGATGTTCAATTATTATTACTAATTTCAACCTTCAATAATACGAAGGTTACGATACTGTAATTTTTGCATCGTTATGAAGGTATGTAGTGTGTACAGGTGTTTACAAACAAAATCCTACATTGCTTTGATAAGTATTTCCTTTTCCGACACTACATTTCAACTAGGATATTATCAGAGAATGATTGATTGATAACCTTAGAAGAAGAAGAAGAAAAATAAGTTTCTCTCTCTCTTTCTCAAGCAATGACATCAACATCGATGTACTAATTATATTAACGCGAAGTCAACTTTGTTGAAAATTGCATGTTCAATTAAAATTATTGTGCAACTTAGAAATATTTTATGTTCGCTTAAACAAAATTTAGCAGTCAATTAGCGAACGAATGATGTCATCACACGCATATGATATTTTCATTTCGTGCTGACATGCAAATGTTACAAAAACATGATTACTTGAAGTTCATTAATAAAATTGTTTTTCATTTCCATGCGTATTTAAGAAATGTACACGTGAAATGAATACCATGTTGTTTAGATACTTTACACGCAAATATACTTATGATTAGGTCAAACTGATGTTATCGAAATATGAGTTCTTTCAGTCAAATCAATCTACCCCCGTTCACCCTCTTCCTTTCTTGTTTTTATTTTCAAACGCGAAATGCCTATCAGACATTTTGTGGGTTATTTGATGGTTTTTTAGTGCCGAATAGTGCGTATAGCACAAAAGTTGTGGATGCATTGATTGTTGACAGTAAATTATTGATCGACAAATACTGTCGAGCACGTAGATTTTCCATTAAGCTCGGCCCTTTCAAGGCATAAAGAACATTGTACACAAAATATGGAAATTGTGTAGTGAGAAAGATAATCATAATCGATAATAACAGTGTGTTGACTTGTCGCGAGTGTTTTTTCCGTCGGCAATGATTGCCCTGAGATTTCGCTCGGTTTTTTGTTAATTTATAGAGTGTGTGAACAATTGATAAAGTGCAAATAGTAATGCATGACATCGGTAGAAGAAAGATGAATACAAAGTACAAGTATTTGCGTATTAAGATACGGAACAGTGGATGCGCACCGATCGCACTTAATTCAATATCATCATCATCCGTAATGATGTATTCGAACCAGAATGGTAAACAATAGATAATGGAAAAGATGCTTATGCCACAAATAAGATAAATAATTCGGTTCGGTGTTCGCCATCTTCGATAAGAAGCAGTACGCCAAGCACAAATCAACAAACATCGATCAATAGATATGGCTGTTGTTAAATAAATCTGTATTAGTATACAGGTGACATGAGCTGGAAATATTCGGAGAAATAAATATCGGTGAAGTTGTTCGCCGATTGCAGGAAATACGAAACGAATTCCATGTGTTAATAAAAAGCCAGCAATAACGAATATTGACGTAAATGAAAGGCCAAGTATGAACATATCTGTCGGTGACGATCGACGCGATCGATTCAATAAGATCGATAAACACGTTAGTGAATTACCAATGAGACCGACAATACATACGCATGAAAGTAGATAACCTTCCACAATACGTTTGAATTGAACAAGATTCTCAGCATCCGTAGATGTGACATTCATTGTCGAATGATCTTTAATAATATCTAGAGTGAAAATATAAAATCTTCAACTTTTCTCATTTTCTCTAACAATATTTTTCTTAAAAGCATTCTCAGCTTCTTCCGGATATGTTTCACTCTCGCACTGTTGGACACAATATATTTCAATACAAAAGATACACTCCCGAAGATCTGTTTTCTCGATTCATACGGACAATAGGATGATATTTTCTATGAAAAGATCCCGATTTCATGCACTACATCTCCATACTTTGTATTTTTATCAGAACGCTGACGTAAACCATTGAAATATTAAGAATGCATTTTCATTATGTCACTAGCAGACAGAAAATGAGGAATCGATTACATTTATTGCACTTGTCAGGCCAGAAAGAAACGGAAATTATCCGAAATGTGGAGTGCAGTAATCAACTATTCATTGATTTTTCTCACTCTAACACAACAGCCTTGTCAAAGCTATATTTTTCTTGTTATAAAATATCTTCACCATTATATATCGTATACACATAAACGCTTGATCTCTATCTAAGTGAATAAATAGATTCTATATTGAACGACGGTTACGCTCGCTCACACTTCCATTCGACTAATGTAAATCGAAAACATAGATAAAAGGTCTTCTTATATTTTAAAAGAAAAGAAGGAGTTTCACAGTCGATTCTTGTCACGCACTGCTTGATTCTAGAATAAAGTGCTCGTTATAAAAGGCACTTTTATCTGAGAAAAAAAAATATGACTCTTTCCTTTTGCTTTTCTATACCGCTACAATTAGATGCTCTACATTATAAGTTTACCATTGGCGGTAGGAAACGTCTTTCGTTCTATCTTATCAAGGCAGGGATTCTTACTTCGCACTATGAGTTTTTTGGTAAAAGTGTCAATTACTTGATCTTTGCACAGATCTGATTACATTTAACAGAAAATTGTCGTCGAAAAGAGTTACCCGTTCTGATATGTCTGTGATAACGGTTATAATTAAAACAACAATTACGAGTGGTTGATGTTTTTCGCTCTTTTCGTGTAAAAACACTTCAGTCGAACTGATTCAACTTAGATAATCGTCATTCGTCGTCAACCACAACGGTACGGATGATCTGAGAAGCACAAATCATAGGAAATAGGACGTGAATTCGATTAAACGCTGAATAGCATGTACGAGGGAAAGTAATGGAGTCTTTTGTAGTTAGTCATCAACAAAAAGGTACAATTTAGATTGTTCTAGATTTTCCAAATAATCTCATTAGCATTTCAAAAGAGCCTCTCGTTCACATTTAGTATCCGTAGTTGTGTCAGTTGGAGGAAAAGAAGAGCAAACAAAGTATAATAGTTCGCAATTGATCGATTCGATTCTCACCTTTGTCAATCTAGGTCAAAACTGCTTGAGAAAAGAGCAATAGAACTCTCTGGAGCGCGACTTAATCCATCGTATTCGGAGCCTATAAATCAAAAAATGTCATGGCAAACAAATAGGATCATATTAATTTCCATCGAGACTCATGTTTTTCTTATGTTAATTGTCAACGAAAAATATTTCATTATTATTCATATCTAACCAGTAAATCTAATTTGGAATTTATCCGTGACGTGCATTTCAAGAATGTCACAGCAGTACAAACTATAAATATTAATCGAGCTACCTACCGTGCTCACATTAAACACCAAACTAAATAAAGGCTTATCTAGCTTTTCTCAATCAGCATATAGCTGTGCGTCTTTCTTGTGTAAACATCGATTGAAATCTGTCACGACGAAAGATTCTGTATCGCGTCTGATTATGAAATACTCATCTAAGTATAAATTGGAAAGGTGAAAAAAGAAGTCGACATCTCCATAGGCGTTGTCAAAAGAAGAAATCGGATGTCGCTGTCAACTCACTCTACTCTCTTTTTAGTCTAATTATCTTAGTAAAAAGTATCGACGGTAACCAACCTGGGAATAATTTTCAAACTCCGACAGACATTAGTATATGTTGAGTTATCAGTCGATATTGTCTCACATATGATGTGTTCTTGATCGCTATGGTAAAGATAATTATTCGATTAAAACAAGGATAATTTCGTCGGTCGATATTGATAGACGTCTGAAACTGCTGTCGAAAACTAAATGAATGAGAGATCAGAAATCAGAAAAGGCACACAATAGCTTCATTTGTCACCAATATTCAGTGAATGAAACTATATTACAAGATACTCAAATCATGAAGGTTCTTGTTCAGAACAAATAATGAATACAATACGTACTAATCAGACGACTATTCCCTTGGTTTCGAGAGTGTTTGGATCAACACGCTTGTCAGAAAAAAAGAATGTCAGCCAGTAGCTGAATGCACATCCAAAATAACTCGTAGTTTATTTTTCTCTGAAGCAAACAGATCTATTCATCGTTTTTCCATCTCATCACTCTAGCTCCATCAAAGTTTTTTGCTGATGATTTCATCTAATAAAGCTTACCATACTGAAGCAGGCCATTGTAACATCCTAGCCCCCCTCCAAAAAAAAACTCATGGCAATGGATGTTTCCTGAATCAGTACTGCAAGAACTCTGTCTTGTCTATTTCTGCTAAGAACGTCTTCACTGAATGAGCTCATTTGAATAGTAATACGATAACATCGATCATGACAAGATCTTCTTTATAGGAGCATGAAATTCGATTTGGTTTTTTATTGATAATGCTATATTATCTTTACTTGCATGAAAGAATTCGGTTAAGGCTTTGTACAAGACAGAGCTGGCAACTACCAGCCTCGACATAGTTATCACAACTGCACAAACTAGAAGTGACTTCAGTTGATATGTGTTCGCGACATACTATAATTATCATGTGTGACAATGGATAAATAAATGATTTTCAAAGCTAATCATTCGCTTGTCAACAGGCACGTTTTGTGTTCACAAAAGTTGTTTTTTCCGCTTTGATCATCGAATACAAATAAATCTGTTTCTCTCCTATTCAATGAGAAAAGCAGTGCAGGAATTTCCGGTTCTAGACCAATAAACCAATTATTTGTCGTCTAATTTTTTTTGTGTGTCATAATCGAGTCTGCAGTCAATTTTGAGTATAATTACAGAAATTCTGAAAGCACGGTAACCGCCAATACATAAAAATTATCTCTCCGCAACGAAACGAGACACGACTGATCTTCCGGTGAATGAATGAGACAATTGATCCGATTTCTATTGGCCCATTTCATATCAATCATCCAAGTGGAACTTTTTCTGTTACATGAAATTACCAGTATAATATATTAAATCATATTCTTATTATTGAACGAAATTGTAAATTGAACTAAAACAATTTTTTGACAGATGATGTCAATTTGTTGATTGGTTGTTGCGAACAGCCAATCAAAAATCCTAATTCAATTGTGTGTCAACGAAAAGTTTTTTCCGTTCTCTTCTTCGAACATTCCCATTCAATCAGAAGAGACAAATTTTCAAAAATACTTCTTCTTTTTCAATTTAAGTGAAATTGATATACTTCGTGGTACTCGTTTTTTTGCATATCTGACTGATTTGACTGGAGTAACAACTTAATCGATATTTGATTGCTGGCGATGAAATCATGTAATAATATGAATAAGATTAAGTGTTGTTTTCGATCAAATTAGCTTACTGATAAGAAATTTTAGTCAGTAATCGAGAGCACTTGACGTCGATACAAACTTTGACGGTGTTTTCTTGAAAAGTTCTTCTTTTGTTGTAGATTAATTAAATTCTCCGAGCCATGTTGGCATTGGTCACGGGTTAAGTGACTAAAAAAGAAGAAAATTATTGTTAAAAACAATTGTTAGATATGGATGCCGATTTCAAAGCTCAATTAGATCAAGAACGAACGAAAGTCGAAGATGCATTCGACTTTCTTGGTTGTAAAGTCGGCCGAGGAACCTATGGACACGTCTATAAGGCAAAGAAAAAAGATGGGTGAGCATAAACATATATACATAACCTTGAAGAGACATGATGTTATACGATCGTTTCGTTCCCATTTCTTAAAGTTAATTTTTTTCTTATTGATATTTTTATTTAGAAATGATACGCGAGATTATGCACTGAAACAAATTGAAGGTGATTATACAAACGCGAGCAAAATGTTATAAAGAGTAGATTTCTGTTTGTAGGTGCTGGGCTGTCAACTAGTGCTTGTCGAGAAATTTCGGTAGATTTTGTCTACTTTGAAAACAGAGAATCAATTGTTCATCTTACTATTTCTAGTTATTACGCGAATTAAAACATGTTAATGTTATCACATTGCAACGTGTATTTCTGTCACATGCTGATCGTCGTGTTTATTTACTATTCGATTTTGCTGAACATGATCTATGGGTAAGAAAATAACATTGAATGCATTTCATACGACTGACTCTGTTTTCGGTTTCAACTAGCATATTATTAAATTTCATCGTTCAGCAAAACAAAATAAGAAAACTGTTGTTTGCGCACGTGGTATGGTCAAATCTTTACTCTATCAAATACTTGCGGGAATACATTATTTACATTCGAATTGGATCTTACATCGTGACTTGAAACCAGCGAATATTCTAGTGATGGGAGATGGAGTTGAACGTGGTCGAGTTAAAATTGCAGATATGGGTTTTGCACGTCTTTTCAATTCGCCACTGAAGCCGATGGCAGATCTGGGTAAATAAGTAGCAATACTATTGCTTTGAATTACAATGTTTATGATCTTTACGAGAGAACTGTGTTAGAATACGAAAAAAGCAGATAGTTATCATAACTTCGACAGTCATAAATAAGAAGTCATGCGCCGTTTCGTGATCTCTTTGACAAAAAAGCTATGTTTAGACCCTGTGGTTGTTACATTTTGGTATCGTGCACCGGAATTATTACTTGGCGCACGACATTACACAAAAGCGATTGATATTTGGGCAATAGGGTAAATAGAATTTCATCCGAAATGTTCTTTTTCATCCTGAATTCTTTCTTAGATGTATATTTGCCGAGTTATTAACTTATGAGCCCATATTTCATTGTAAACAAGAGGATATCAAAACAAGTACGCCATACCATCACGATCAGTTGGATCGAATATTCTCCGTCATGAGTTTTCCAGCCGGTAAATAACAAATACGATCGTCTTTCTGACTAAATTTTTGTTTAAAGATAAAGAATGGGAGGATATGAAGAAGATGCCTGAATATGGACGTTTATCAAAAGAATTCAAAAAGAGCAAGTGAGTTAAAATTCACAACATGCAGTTAAGACGAAATATTACTCATATTATTTTTTTTAATTTTAGTTATACGAATTACAGTTTAAGTAAATATATGGATAGACATAGTATTCGTTCAGATAGTCGACCATTTCAACTACTAACACGTTTACTCACGATTGATCCAACAAAACGACTATCAGGTTTGCATATCTTGGATAATTATATAAGTTCATTTCTTGTTCGTTTTAGCTTTGGATGCGATGAATGATTATTACTTCAAGGATGATCCTCGACCAACTGACGAGTAAATCTAGTGATTTTATTTGATCATGTCAATTAATGTTCTTTCGTTTCCAGTGTATTCGATAATGTTCCAATTCCTTATCCAAAACGCGAGTTTATCACCGAGGACGACTCATCCGATGCTGGTACACGTGTTGCTAAAACAGAACCAACAATCATGGCCAAAACAGAAGCTTCATCCGTTGTTCTCACCCAACAGCAGCAGCAGCAGCAACAGCAACAACAATCACATGTCTCTCATAATCAACAACAAATGACAGGTCAACAGCAGCAACAACAACAACAATCGAATATGCATATTAAACAGCAACCACAACAGCATAATAATATTGTCCAACAGACACATCCCCAACAAGTACGCATTGCAATGTCTAACATCTATAGATGATTCGTATTTCTTTAGATGAAATTAATGCAGCAACATCAATCGAATATGAATGTCCAGGGACAACCACCAGACAAAAAATTACGTGTTACTGGTGGTTTCACAGGTGGTGATCCATCGAACTATGATTACCAAGTAAGTTATCCCCGCTTTGATTTTGACATATTTCGTACAACCAACTGATCATCAATTCAGAGAAATGCAAATCAACAACAACAACAACAACAACAGCAGCAAATGTACCAGCAACAACAGCAGCGATTTTAGTCTGTTCATTTCTATACATATGTATGTATATATTCTAACGTATAAATAATATTTATTTATTCATGTTTGTTTCCTTGTTCAATAATTATTTGTATACGACTTGTTTTTCTTTTCGATTTTCATTTTTTTTTGTGTTACTATTCTTATTCTTAATTTAGAAGTATACATCCGTGAGACATTTGAAAATACATTTATTGTATTTGGTTTTTTTTCTTCTTCTTTGTTTTGTAGATGGCAACAGTAGGAAACTTTCGCTATACTACATCGCCATTGATCATTATTCTCGGTGCTACAGCGGTTGGAAAAACGAAATTATCCGTGTATTTATCCAAACGTTTCAATGGAGAAATCGTCAACGCTGATTCTATGCAAATTTACGATGGACTAGATATTGCGACTGCAAAACCTACTTTAGAAGAACGTGATAATGTTCCACATCATTTGTTCAGCTATATAAATCCTCTTGACAGGTCACATACTGTAATCGATTATAGAAATGATGCTTTGCCTGTGGTACGTTTGCCTTCTTCAGACTACTATCTAGATATTAACGGTTTAGCTCGAAATTTTCTAGATTGATTCAATCCTATCTCGATCTCATCTACCATTCATCGTTGGTGGTACTAATTACTACATTGAATCATTACTCTTTCATCTCAATCCACCGGATCCCGTCGAACCCGTCCAAAATGAACAGTTACCTTCGTTAGCAGAAGATTTATCGGATGAAAATCTCTCGAAATTAACTTCTGTTCAGTTACATGAACTGTTGTCAAAAATTGACAAACCAACAAGTGTACGAAAACATCCGAATGAAGAACGTAAAATTCGAAGGTATAGTTATGCTGAAAGGAAACAAAGAAAATATTCCACAGTCTCCCTCAACGAAAATAAACCAGCCTACTTGTCAAAGAAAAAGAACAGAATAGAGAAAAACACAGTCGATTGAATAATTATGATAGAATTCAAGTATGAATAATAAAACGAGGGTGCAGTAACAGGACGAGTAGCCAATGAGAGAGCATGTGTAATTGTACAGATCATATCACCAGTTGTCATAAATTGAAATTATGCGCTGTCATTCGTATGAGTAATGTTGACGTATTGTTTAGAGCAATTGAATTCTATCGTGACTCAGGTGGTATTCCATTGAGTGAAGCATTGAAGAAACAACATGCTGAAAGTGGATTTTCATATCGTGGTTCATTTCGATTTCATCGTTGCTGTCTTCTTTGGTTAACCTGTCAAAAAGATGGTGAGTTATGCAAATAAGAATCAGAAGAGTGGACTAATTCAAGAGCCTGCTTATGGATTTTCTTTTCGCAATGGTAGAACTGGAAAGACGAATCAATGAGCGAGTCAAGTCGATGCTTGATCGTGGTCTTATTCGCGAATTAGAACAATTCCACGAAGAGTACAATCGGACATGTGCAGAAGCTGATGAATCATTTGATTACACTCGAGGAGTATTTCAAGCGATTGGCTTTAAAGAATTTCATGATTATTTACTTCTCTCGGAAAGTGAGCGTAAAAGCGAACATGGCAAAAAAGTCTTTGCTAACGGTAGGTACGTAGAATCCAATTTAAAATGCAAAATAAACCATCGATATTTATTCGTATTTAGGCATCGAACGTTTGAAGGTGTCGACAAGACAGTACTCGAAATATCAAGAAAAATGGCTTCGAATGCGTTTACTTCAGCGTGAGAGAAAATTTTTTCGAGGGAAAAATGTTTTGATTTATGCGCGAAATATGCATTTAAGGTGTTGAAGAACATTCACCGGATGTCTATGAACTTGACACGACTGATTTAACATGCTGGGAGGAAAATGTTGAACAGCGAGCAGAAGCAATTATTGAAGCATTTTTGAAAGTAACAAGCTCGTTTTTCTCTCGATTACAATCATCATCAATCTTTCTTCAGAATGAAACGATTCCATTCCCTGCTCTTCCAAAAACACCGATTGAAGAACCAGTTTATGAACAAAATACGTGTACAACATGCGATCGAGTATTTCATCTGAAGTCTCAATGGCTTCGTATGTAACCTTAACCTGTCAACTTGATTTCATACACAAATCATTCTTCTTCTCATTTAGTTCATTTGAAAAGCAAACAACATAAACGAGTAGTTCGGTCTACTGAACGTAAAACGTTCCGTCGAAAATTAGACAATGCGATACCATCTTTATTGACTACACTTGATACTTTGCAAGCGAGAAAAATATCTGAGAATGAGAAAGAAAGCGATAGTTCCGAAAAAGATGAAGAATCAGAAAGCTAAACCTGTGATTTTGGTTACTGTTTACCGTATTTGTCTTCTGATTTTAGAAAGAAAAAGGATAAATATAGATCTTGTTTAAAAACGTATAAGCAGATATATAAGTCTTCATGACGAACAAGAAAAGCAATCTTGTGGAAGTAAGAAAAACGAAATCAAATAACGCAACTTACCACATGCGTATATTAATGCAACTAATATCTATTGCTTTCCCTTGCTCTGCACTAATATGATTAAAGTTCGGAATCAATCGATTCGATTATACTATTTCAGAGACGTCTGTATGAATATGCATTACGTGCTGTTTGTTCTCCGTTGCATGTTATTGAGCCAGGAATGACAAGTGATCAACTCACCACTCATATTGCTAAAGTATGTGAGATGAACATTGAAAATCAATAAAGAAAGAAAACGATATTTTCGATCATCGTAGCTTTTCAATGTCGATCTCGAAGAACATGAAATGAAATATATGCGAGCATTGAGAGCACAAGTAACCGTGTCTTTGAATAAACAAATCTGTTATCTAACAGATGATTTGTGTTAGACATGTCCTGTGATTTTATTCGTTGACGTGAAAAAGGCCCGTAATCTCCCTGGTGAAGACCAAAACGGTTTGTTCACGAAGATAAGGATCCATCTTAATTGATTCACTTGCACACTTTAATAGGTCTCAGTGATCCCTATTGTAAAGTTAGTGTCGTCTACTCATCCCGCAAAGGTGAAACTTCAGGCGAGAAGGGCGTGTCTTCATCGTATTTATCGTCTGATGAATCACCCCCTCGAATGAAGCGAAGTCGATCATTATTCTTCTCTTGTGCTGCTTCGCCATCGAAAACTAAAGTGAAAAATTCATCGACATTGCGAACACCACGAAGTAGTCGCCGAAAGCCGTCGAAAGATCATACAGCAGCAATGGCATCAGATAAAAGCAGATCATTGTCAACGGTTACTTATCGTACAGAAGTTTGTCCGGAAACACTTAATCCCGAATGGAATGAACATTTCGAATTGTGAGTCGACAAAGCTAAATCTATAGAAAAATGTGTTCCTTTTTCTAGTGAAATTGAAAACATTGATGAACAATTTTTGCATATTACTGTATATGACTCAGATCGTGGCCAAATACCAGCAATGAAAACGATAGTTCAGGAAAAGCGCGGCATGTCACGGTAAGCGAATTGCTTGAATGCGATTGATAGGACTATTTTATTGCAGGAAAATTCGTGGCATTCGAACTCTGTTTACCACAGGTGAAATCGAAGATGATTTTCTCGGTCAGTTCACCATGGATATCAAAGTACATAGTCAATCGTGTGCTTAAATTATATCATTGTAAACTGTTTAGAAATTAGCTTCGTGTGAAAGTGAACAATGGTTCGCGTTAACTGGATTGAAGCAAACTCGTGCAAGTGATATAAAACCACGTGGTGAAATCTACTTGGCGTTAAAAGTCCATTTTAAATTAGTAGTTTATTCTCAATTATCACATTCAAATCATTTATTTCACCGTTGTTAGGATGATAAGAACACTGCAGATCGCATACCTATATCTACCAGCAATTCAGTACAATTTCGCCGTCGCCATTCTACTTTATCGTCGACCAGTCAAATATCCTCATCGATTATACTACGTTCGAGTATTTTCCGAAAGAATTTTCGTCCATCATCCCTTCAAGCCCGTGATTATACAAGAACGAATAGTGAGTCAAGTTTTAACGAGATTAAACTTTGTCTACGGGAATAACTTACAGTTTTCGATAATGACAGTCAAGGAAATTCTGGTCAGATTGATTCATGTTTAACACCAACAACTGATTCTGACTTACCTTTATTAATCGAAGAATATCATCAACTGTTCCGAATTATCATGCTTCATCAACTGGAAGATGCACGAGACGCAGTAATGATAGTTTTTTTCGTTCGAAAGACAAACATTTCATCGATGGAATATTTCTAGAATAAAGACAAATCGAATGGCTTAGTAATTGATTGGGATGGAGCATTGAATGAATTATCCTATTGCGTTCTCGTTCAATTTCGAGTTTTGTACAACATATCAACACTATCTGAAACATTTATGTATGTACAGCTGACATACAGATTGATAGGTATTGAATTTATATCTTCGCATATATGTAGACAACTGCTCGTCATTATGGAACTTCGATGTTCGGAAGATTACGCCTTATTTATCAGTCAAGGTGTGATCGAAGCATACTTACGTTTGTTTATGGAGAAAGTTCAACAGAAAATCGACAATAAGGATCTTGGATTAACTGACTACGAAGTAAAGTTAACTTCATATATTCATCCAATCAATTCGCTTGTTCTTTCTTACAGAAAACTGTATTCAAAGAAATACTGTACCTATTTATTGGACATTACAAACAACGTGTTCATTGCGATGCACCCTGGTTTCTCCCTTCGAAAGAAAACCTGCCGAATATTAAAAGTATATTTGAGTAAGTCGAATACCTTAATGTAATAGTTCTACATTGAATGATATTGATATAGAACTCTTTGTACGTTGTTTCAACTGAAAATTTGTGCGAATAACGAGCAAATGATGCGAACGCACCTGGAAGAAACAATCAAAACCCGCCTTCATACAGATATCAATGATACATTTAGTTTACACTCGTTTGTTTTCAACGACAAAGAAGATATTCAACTGAATAATATTCGAGATTTTCTTGAATATGTGAAGAAGTTAGCTGAGTCGACGGCACTTCTACCAGAATACACGAAAATATTTGAACCAGTCAATACAAACTATATCAAAATCTGCTTTTTCGACACCAATAGTGCAGCTGATCGCGTAAGATTGAATTCCGTACAGCCGATCTTCTCCATGATTCGTTTTAGTTATCTGAATTGACCATGTGTTTATTGACAAATATGACCGATAGCTTTCAAACATATTCAAAGCCAGTTGTTAAAGCTACATCGTCGATATATGATCCAAATCTAATTCAAAATTCCATTGTTCTTCTAAACTTATATTTATATTTACAAACCATTGTCACAGCGCTTCGGAATAATCTTGAAACACGGTAAATTCACTTTTGAGCACAACTCTCACAGCACTTCAAATTCCCATTAGGGATTGGGCAATCAATGCATTTCGATTGAAATTAATCGAATATCGCCAATGGTTCTCACCAACGATGAAATTTCTATTAGAAGGTTTCGTTGCAAACATTCGACAAGCCATGGAACGAGCTGTCGAAGATGACAGTGAAGTAAATCACACACACACACAGTACATATTCAATGTATGACACTCATCTTTTCTGTTCTAGCTCATACCGGAAGAAGACATAGTTCTTTACTCACGATCATCGATGGCAGCAACCAGTTTATGTATCAAAGTAAAGTTCATCAATGAAAGTAGTGTGCGATTATGGTTTTGATCTAGCTCTGTCGAGAATGGGAAGCGATTGATTATCCGGAAATAAACGTTCGCTATACAGCATTGATTAAATTAACGAATACAATTTGTGAACAATGTCAACATTACGCCAGACGAACGGCACGCAAATTGTCAGAAAATCGATATTTTACAGATTTGAATCGCACTAGATCATTTAATGTTTCGAAAAAAGTATGTCGAAGTCTTCTGTGTTCTTTCTTCCTATCATTTTTACTTTTAGTTATGCATGTTAGTTAATGATATTGAATATGTGAAACGAAATGTTTTGTCATCACTACCGAATCTATTGAATTTCTCTGGTGTTATCGAAAGAATGATTGAAAACTACGAGTCCGATGATTTTCGTCAGACAAAAGTGACACTCGAACGTTTAATAGCCACAGCTGAAAACGAAATGACTGACGTTATTAAATTAATATTCGAACGTGTAGCAGATCTAGTTCACGCATCATTACAAGGCAAAATCGTCAATTATTACCGTGACGAAAAAGCTGCCAAAGTTGATGTAAGAATTTGCTGATCAAAATGAGTCCTTTCTTATCGAATACATCATTTTCTAGTGTATGAAAGAAGTAAATAAGTACGTTGATCAAGAAATTCTACATCAATTATATAAAGGTCTCGAACCAGTTCAATATTCTCGTGTTGCTTGTGCAATACGAATCAAAACATTACAATGTTTACGAGAATTGTTACCATTACAAGAACCACCTGTCTTCTATGAACGAGTCTTGCAATCATTCGATCAGTTGGCAGCTTATTTCGAAGCTGTATGCCGAGAGGAACCACATTTGCCTGGTCCACCATGTGAGGAAATCGCAGCACTGCGATCGACACTTCAGACGTGCGCATTGACTACTGAACAATTACAGTTGTGTTATTTTCGTGAAATAGCTCACAAAACTTCCTCAGTAAGTATCGCGTTTTCATTTCGGATTATAATTTATGGCATTTTCTTCTTAGCATGAGTTTTCAACAAATAATGGTGAAATCATTTTTCGTACCGCTTATGAAATCGTCAACAGTCTGGTTACAATTCATGTTTTTAGTAAAATATGAGATTGCATAACCGAAAAAAAGTGAACATCGGCTTCTGTTTCAGTTCTTTCCTGTCGGGACCTACCAAAGATGGATTTAATTGGTACATCGGATCCCTATGTTATTCTTGAACTCCTACCACCCTCATTTTACCAGAAAACACCGAAAGAATATAAGACAAGTATACAAAAACGTACTCTTGATCCAGAATTCAATGAACTATTTCAATGGTAAACAATTTTGACTCTTACACCCTCGATCTTTGCTTTCTTCTTTTCAAGGCATCGTCTTCCGTTGAATATCTTACATGAACGTGGAGCTGTTCTACGTTTGAGCGTATGGGATGAAGACTATGTAAATGATGATTTTATTGGAGAATGCTTTGTCCCATTAACAAATATTGAATCCTTGAAAAATCTGGCATCGCTACGTGATGTGCCCATTTCCGAAGTTCGCCTACGGCGACCTCATAAAAATATCCAACCACGTGTATTCGAGGTAATGATGAAGCGTTTACATTATTAAATATTTCTTTTTCTTTACTTACTCGTTTTAGTTAATTCGAAATCGCGCAGCATTCGATGAACAAGCCGCTGTTTTTCTTAAACAACGCACTGCTGTGATGCAATCAGGTAATGCAAGTGACGGAGCATCAATCATAAGCGATGATCGAAAATCATCGGGTTCATATGCTAGTGCAACACTTCGTTCATTCCTTTGCATGTTTCCATTTCATATTGGCTTCGGCACTGACTCAACGCCTACCAATAACCGATCAGATGTTGCTAATGATGAAGAATTAATTTAACGAGGTGTTTTTTGTTCGTGTATCTATCTGTCTATCTATTTTTTCTGTCGATTTTTACATTGATGCTTTTTCATTAATTTGCATGTGCGTAAAACCAATAGTCATCCTGAGAAATTTGTCAGATAAAAGTTGAATTTGAACTTTCTTCAGATAATCCTCGAAGACAAGATCCAGGACAGCGGCATAGTTCACAAGCGTCATTAACCGATTCCATTCAAACACAGTATCAACTATGGAGTATATGGAAATGGAAGAGAGCAAATACTGAAAGTTCAGTCGAATATAACGATGACAATAGTTCAACTCAATAGTTAGCAGAACTATTGAACATCTTAAATCCAACTTTGACCTAAGAAACTTCACATTATTAAACTCTTGGCATGTGACAAAATCTGTTTTCGTATGACATTTTACTGTCATCTTTCTATGACGTCGTTTGTTTTTCACACTCTGACAGAATTATGACAGTCCCTGGTTAAGCTTCTGATCATCTCAACAACTCTTGACATATACTATATTACCTGAGCAAAGCTGGAAGAAACAAGGTTAAACAATGCGGATGAGTGAAAGAGTGTTTTCTATATCAAATACCGAAACATCCTTTGTATTTATACAATCAGCAGGATTGGATTCAGTGCTTTCGTCTTAAATTATAGTCAATTTTTTTGCTTTGTGCATTTTTATTCAAATCTTCTTGTGATTCTTTCATCGGGTTGAATTATATATCACGTAATGACCCTCAACTTATTATTACATGCACCATTCATTTCTTTAATCTTTTAAAACTTCATTATATAAAAATCAGGCTAAAGGGTTTTGAAAATTCCTGTGTTCTGTGATGAAAAGAAAGTTCTGACAAATACCCTGCTCATGTCATAATCAAACTTCATTCATTTTCCTCGCAGGTATTCAAAGTAAAATAATAAATTACACTTTCATGAGTTCTAGCATATTATTCTGAAAAAAGAAAAAGAGAGAGAGAGAGGACTGGTAGAAAATTACCTGGTTAGCATATAAATACGCACGCATTTTCATAAAACACAGTTAGAAGGCAGCGCAACAACAAGAAATTTGTTCTTACAATCTAAACAAACGCAAGTAACGATGAATAAAACTCTCTTCACCGTAAGTTATCAAATGCGAGGAGAAGATATTTCATCGAATGAACTTTTTCCTTTTAGTTATGCTTGATGGTCGGCGTTGTCTCATCGATCAATTTGTCGGGCATTTTTCAAAATATCAAAAACAAACCTTTTGCACTTGTTTGTAGTGCAGTTTCATCGAATCCGAGTATAGCAAATGGAATCTTAACAAAGTTGAATGAAGCTTTAGCAAAGGGCGACGGTGATCAAAAATTTCCACTGTCCATTCAGTATCTTTCTAACACAGCAAATCAGAACAAGTTCAAAGCTGGCGGAGACCAGTGTCAAGATTTCTTCAATGGTCTCCTAGATCAATTCAAACAAGACTTGCCTCAAAATTCAAAACCAGCTACCGATGTCAAAGACAAATTTATTCAATTCCTCAAAAACAAAATTGAAGCATTAAAAGCATTCTTCAACTAAACAAAAATGCCGACAGAACTTTAACAACTGCTTGATTCCCACCATGTAGTTAGCTTTTCTTTTAATACACTAAGTGAAAGAATATATTTTCAAAATAAATGATTCTATGCCTTATGCATAACATATCTTTGATGATTATAATCTCGAAAATAATTTCTACGTATTTCATTTACTGACAGATATGTAATTTCATAGGAAAAAGACAAGAATCAAATGAAATTGGAAACCATTGTTGGTTCTCATGTGTTATGCAATACATAATACCGCTTTCTATCGTTTTAATTGACACAAAATCAAGAGTTTCGTGTACAACACATTTTTCCTTTGCATGTTCTGATTTGAGTTATGTAAAATTTCTCATTTGTTATGGTACTGACGTGATGATCAAATAAATGTAGTCAGAATTTGTTTTTCAAATGGATTTGTATGTCGAAATAGTTACCACAACATCTCAACTCTATTTACTTTCGTTGATAGAAAGAAAAAAAGAATATAAATATGTCACATGGTACATACGAATTCTTTTCTTTCGAAGTTTTTATGTAAAGAAGAGCAAAATTTTCGTGTGTGCCAAGCAAAGTGATGGCAAGACAACAACATGTATGTGTAGCAATCGATTTTCTGTTCTATTTTCACTTAAGATTAAAAAGTATTCTTTAACCTTGCACTACATATAGACGATAGGTTTTAGATGAATTGAGTAAGACTTACGAACGAAAGCGATGGCAAAAGAAATCGCTCAACGTATGCGGAAGATTAGAACGGTATAGAACACTTAAATTAATTTTTCCCCAAAATGACACTCGTATCTAATGTAGGCTGTTGAAACACTGAATATTCGGCAATATGATCCGTAAGTTTCGAGCACAACAAAAAATGAATTCTTTCATTTTCAAAATTTAGTCCAAATGAATTAAGTCAGCAATATGGTTATATGAAATTCGATGGATTGCCATTAGATTCCAATGCACGCCTGTCTCAATATATTCGTTTAAAACTCGATACAAATGCTGATGTTGTTGTGAAATTTATGCTACAAGGTTGGGGTCTACCGACGCCTGATTTGATTATATCTGTAACTGGTGGTGCTAAACATTGTGATATGTCAGCGCGACTTCGGAAAATATTTCAACGTGGTCTTGTTACTGCAGCCGTAACAACAAGTAAGAAGATAATTGATATTATTCATTAACACGAAAGATTTGTCATTGAATAGATGCTTGGTTAATTACGGCTGGAACGAACGCCGGTGTAGTGAAAGAGGTTGGTCAAGCATTGAATAACTATCGCTACAAAAATCAAAAACATGGTCTTGATGTACCTTGTATTGGGATTGGTAGTTGGGGATACACAGCAGAAAAAGAGCAACTCGGTGATCAACCAAATCAGTTAACAATCAACAGCAGTTCGAGATCATCTCGTGTGATGTTGAAAAGTCAACAGAGTGGCAGTGTCGCTGCTGTTCGTATGGTTAGTTGAGAAAATAAATGATATTCAATGTTAATTTATGAGTACTTAGGACATCGGTGATCAATATTGCGTGAGGAACTATGTCGTGAAAGAAAAACAGAAGAAGCAATGTGATTTAGAAGCAAATCATAGTCATTTCTTGCTATTCGATGATGGTCAACCCAATGCAGATAGCGTTTTGCCATTACGAGCGGAAATTGAAAAATGTTGCCGACATATTAATACTGGCTCAACAGCAGAAGGAGCAAATGAGTTACTCATACCAATTGTTATGGTATTAGTTGAAGGTGGTCCATCATCAATTAGAACAATCTGTCAAGCATTAGAATCAAATACTCCAGTTGTCGTTGTCAAAGTAAAGTTCTTCTTTTTCAAATGAAAACCAATATAAGTTTGTTTTTTTTTGTGATAAGGACTCTGGCCGTGCTGCTGATCTCGTTGCTGAACTACATGCTTGTCTTTGTGACAATGAAATAAATAATGCAACTGGATATCCGACACGACCTAAGACAGGTGCAGTACGAGGTGAATCACGTGACAATGAAATCAATGCCATGTAAGAGTCGAGAATCTGCAAAGCAGTTCAACACATTTTCATTTTGTTTGCGTTAAAGTTTGACGAAGGCAAAAACTGATAATTCCCGGATCGATGAGGTTAAAGATGAATTGTGCCGAGTTTTATACGAACGCAGACACTTGGTAACAATTTTCAAGTTTGACAGTAAACGGCACCATGGAAATCTTGAAGATGCTATTTTAGAAGCTCTATTCACTGGTAACGATTTCATCCTATGTTTTTATATTTTTGTTTTCAGCGGAGATTTTAGCTGCGAAATTTACCGGCGATCAAAATGAACAACACCAACGAACAGCTGAGCTTAAACTAGCAATGGTAGTTTTCGAGTTCACATTGATAATATGTAAGGATTTGATACGAAATATTTCCTTTAGGCGTGGCATAAATTTGACTATGCAAAGCAACATCTTTTAACAGATACGACTATATCAAAATGGAAGGTATGTTCTATTTTGCATTGTACCATTATTATTGAACTTTTTTCACATTGAATCTAAAGGAAGATGACCTACGTCGTGCACTCGTTGATGCTCTTCTCCGTGGTCATGTAGATTTTGTCGAACTACTAATTGAATTCGGCACGTCACTCGAGAAAATAACTTTTGGTGATCTTCGATTTTTGTATAACTCAAGAGCGGTGTGTTGTCCTTGTTTGAATTCGTTCAATGAAGATTTATTTTAGGCTCGGACTCCACTACCACTCAGACCGAGCATGAAACGCTACACGGATAAACGCGATCGATACTATTCAACTTACTTTGGAACTTTGGTAAAAGCAGTGCCAATTAACCTTTCTTGAAATAAGGCCATTTCTATTGCTTAGTGGAACATGGATGCAAGAAATAGAATACCAGCAGGAGATAAAGATCTTCTAGGAAGTAACGCTCCACAGGACTTGTTCTTATGGGCGGTGGCTCTCGATCGAGTTGATCTTGCTACTTATCTTTGTTCGAAAACTTGGGTAACGATGTTCCTACAATAAATTTCTTGACGAGCGTCAATAAATCTGTGTAGAATTCATTCGTTGCCCCTCTGTTCGCTGCACAAATGTACCGTCGCGCAGCACGCTTAGCCATCGATTCTGAGGCCAAACAACAATACGAAAAAAATGCAAAGTAAACGATGACAACTAAGAACTTCCTTTGGTTAAAGCATCTATCCATTTTCCCCGCCATTTTTAGTCAATTTGATATTCATGCAACAGCAATTATTGATCGATGTTTTGATGCGGACGAAGATTTTGCTGTTGATTTACTGAAACGACCTGCGCGCGCGTTCTACAATGTGAAACCCTTGGAATTGGCGTCAAAAGCTGATTGCAGATCATTTCTGGCATCGAAATCCGTTCAAAAATATCTAGACAACGAATGGTACAAACATACACAATTTTGTCGATCAAATTTAACATCTTTGCCTTTTTTCCAGGTTCGGCTATATCAACTATCGACGAAAAGCGATCAATTTCCAAGTAAGGACTGTATAAAGTATGAATTATTGCATATCTTGTTCGATTTTATAGATCTTCTTGTGTTCGCTATTCTTTCCATTACTTCCGATATTTTGTTTTTTTCTTACATACGTTGAAAAGCACAAAAAGGTTCGTGAACAAAAGCCGTTTCGATTAAAATAACTTATTTGCCTTTAGGTTGCTCGAAGTGCTCGAGATCGAGCGAAAGTCAGTCAACCACTTATGATTCACAATGTAGTCGAGTAGGAAAATCTGTTGAGAATTAACATTGATTTGTTTGCAAACTTTATCTGTACATTTTGCATAGACCGGTTGAACAGAAACAGAAAGGATGTCTAGCAAAACTAGAAAAGATTGGGCAGTTTTACCATGCACCTATCGTTCGATTTTATTATTATATGGTAATTTTCAATGCCATTGGATACAGTCATTCGTCTTCTGTTTGTTTACCTTTCCAGATATTTTTTGTTATATTTCTTGCGTTATACAGCTATGTTTTACTTGTTGATTATTTCCCTTTGAATCAGTTCAATGAGCGACGATCGGGATTTTCGCATTTATACATACCGATCACTGAAATCATTCTGCATATTTGTATATGGTGTTTAATTATCGAAGAACTTCGTCAGGTATGTTTCAACTATAAATCATCAAAGTAAATTGTTCGATAGTTTAGGTGATTTTCGCAAAATCTAAACGTGAATATCTAGCGGAAATTTGGAATTGGATTGACATATTAGCTATACTGTTATATATTATTGGCTTTATCACACGATTTTTCATGTCGGAAACACTCTTTACTGTTTCGAAGTAAGACCAAATAGAAGAATGCTTTCCTGAGAAAAGTTCTTTTCTTTAGAATATTCCTGTGTCTTGACCTAATACTTTGGTATATTCGAACATTACATCTATTTGCTGCATATGAACGCTTAGGACCAAAATTAGTGATGATTTTTAATACGGTAGAAGCTATTAGATTATTCTTCATTCTTTGATTTAGTTTGGTTTCAGATGCGAGATCTCCTCTTCTTCATTTGCTTCATTTTCATCTTTTTACTTGGATTTTCGGTCGCATCATGGGCACTACTAACAACATCAGATCAAGTTACTTGGAATTACGACAACAGCGGAACATTAGTGAATGCTACAGTTCAGGGTGGCGGTAGTGGTATTGGTTCATGGCAAGTGATTCGCAACGTGATTAATTACGGTGTTTGGAAAGTTTTTGGACAAGTCGATCCAATTGGTAAATGTTAAAATAGAATCCAAACTTTCTTTGCACTAAGACATTCGGCATTTTAGATGGCACCGATGCTTATTCCGTTATAGCTTTCGTTTTGGCAATATTGTTTCTTGCTATTGCAAATGTACTGTTACTCAATGTGCTTGTGGCTTTGTTTAAGTATGGCACCGATGAGCGCTACCAGTTGATTGATAATAAATACTTCACTTTCTGTTCAGTGTTACCATACAAAACGTTGAAAACCAATCTCATCAATTATGGCGATATCAACGCTTTTTAATCGTTTGCGAATACGCTGATAAACCTCCATTGCCACCTCCATTTAATTTGTTCTATTATCTCTACAGTAGTATTCGATATATATGTCAGAAGTGCCGATCGGATTATCAATCATGCCGCCGTCGACGGAATGATCAGGGTAACAACAAGCGTCGATCTTGAAACGAAGATGTTTTTTTGTTTGAAAATAGTTTCCAGTGAAACACTAACAATGACGGTTCTCGATTCTGATGGAAGTGACAAGGATAGAGAACTTAAAAGTAAGAAATATCTGATTACCAAATCACGGAAATATGCAACATCTTTTTGATAATGTTAATTAACAGTTACCGATGCCATGCAACGTGAAAGTGCGATAGCGGATGATTATTGGAGAAACGCATTGACACATGGCAAGCAAGATGAAGTACATGTGGCATTGCAAAATATGGAACGACAGTGAGACAGATTTTGTTTGAACTCGTTTCGAGTTAATTCGATTTTATTCTCGAAGGTTGCATGAATTGAAGGAACGTGTTCTAAATAATACTACTAGTGCGAATATGAACAATAATATCAACACTACCACTCAAATATCAGTAAGTCCTTCAATCTCCTCAGCTATCTATTAATGTTATTTATATGGTAGAACAATGATCTAAGTTGGATAACGTCAACTGCTTGATAAGATGAATTGGGATATAAATAGAAAACAAGGAATTTTTAACTTTAAGAATTTCTATTTTTAAATCAAAAGAAAATAAACTGTTTATAATGGCATCTGTCTGGCTCCTGTCATGCCGGAACGGTGGTCTATAATTGGACGTTGAATTTTCGTATTATTCATGGGTACAACTGTGACACCATGACACGTGAGCAAACGTGTTTTAATTTGTTTCATTAAATCCGGCATGGACATAAGACAAAGCATTGGTAGAATGAGTGGAATGATATATACGAGAAAATTGAATGTATCTAAATAAGTTGCAAGAAAATTAGGATCGATATAATTAAGTCCAAGTTGAATAATTGACAATGGAACCCATATAACAAGATAAACAAAAGAAATCAGACCTAATTGTAGAGCCATCTTACGATGCTGTCGCCAGTTATTCTGCACACGACGTCTGATTACCATAGTGTGATAAATTGCACGAATGAATAGGATCAGATTGAACATAAAGATAGTCAGAACAGGCAAGATTACATCACAAAATAGGTCAAATGTGCCCCACGTTGTGAGCAGGTAACATGGCAGACCGCATAACAAGGCGACATAGGATCTTGTATTAGTACACATAGGGCTGATGATAATTGTTACAAAATAGTACAAAGGTCCCCATAATGTGCAAATGATGAGTGGTATTATTTGAAATGCTCTTCGTTTCCAGATTGATAAATTACGTGTGAAATTGCTATGAAAAATGAGTACATAACGTTCTATTGATATCCAAGCCATTACATAGCCATTTACTGTATTTAAAGAAAATTCATAAAATGTCCACCAAGTGCAATAACTTGACGTTGCTGGTTGAACGATGCCATTCAAACGAAAGAAACTCATGGGCATAGGGAGATCAGTGGTGACTTGAAGAAAGTTGATCAGAAGCAGAACGAATATTGAAATGTTTTGAGTTGTTAAACGTGCTGCTCGATTGGTACCGAAATAGGCAAAGATAACGAGCGAAACGAGAATCGATGGTATTTCCAAAGCGACCAGTATAGCAAATTTGATTGCATATAGTACTGAGTAGTCTGAAGAAGTATCCGTATCGTTAGTCGACATGCTTTGTGATGAGGAAAGAAAGTTTCTTTTTTGAGAAAATGCTGTATAGAAAGACGGAATATTAATCATTATGAAGATAAAATGATAATGGCATGAATAAGTGTCTGCAGGGAAGCTTGCAGTTATATCCGCATTTTCCTCAAGCATAATAAAATATACATGCGTCAAAGAAAGCGTACCAGGCGCTATTTTTAAAATATTTCTACTTAAAATTAAAGTAATTTTTCAGCCATAAGGATTTTAATATAAAGTAACAGATACGATTCTGCCGATATTCTTTCGTTGAGATCTGAATCGAACGAGTCAAAAGATGAATGTGAACTACCGTCGTATATTTGCTATGAATGAAAAACAAAAGAAGAAAGTAGAAGAAAAAGAAAATGAGAAAGATAAAAAAGCCTAACAAAGTTTACAAATAAACATTATGAACATCGAACATATTGGGTGTGTAGAATGGTGATGATGAATGCGTCGCAGTCGCTGGAGGTGGCGGAAGAACTTGGCCAGACATCATCATAGTACTTGCATTTGTCGATGAATACGGAAATGTTCCGGTTGAACGATAAATTTGCTCATAATCTATAGGCAAATGAAAGAAGGAAAGAGAGCGATTTTAGTCATTGATATCATCGATGCAAACAAATGATACGAACCATTTGTATACCGGGCATAAAGTGATTGCTGTTGATGCTGTTGCTGTTGTTGTTGTTGATTACTGAATAAGAGTGCGGCCGCGTTCGAAGTGCCGTTGCTACTACTACACTCATTGGATGGATGAAAAACTGACGATGACGACGATGATGATAACTGACCAGGAGCTGCAGATGACGTATCTATCGGTGGTAGGCAAAATGGTGTGAAATGAAGACGAGAAGCTGCTACTGCTGTTGGTGATGCTGTCGCTTGTACCGGAATGTTCACACTACTTGTCGCCGTCGGACCAGTAGGAAACATTAAAGGACTTGTAGCCGGTGGTATGTGATGCAGTTGTTGCTGTTGTTGTTGATGCTGCTGCTGTTGTTGTTGCTGTTGTTGTTGCTGATGTTGATGATGAACAGAAGCAATTTTTCGCCAACGTGCTCGCCGATTAGAAAACCATACCTATTTGTCAGTTTTTTAAATACGTATTCTTTCATCATACATGCAAATACCTGCACACGAGCTTCGCTAAGGCCAGTTCGTCTTGATAAGTCCTCTCGCGCTTGTACATCTGGGTAGTGCGTTCGTTGGAAAACATGTTCTAATTGTTCAATTTGATCTTGACTAAAACTTGTACGATATCGACGGCCTTTTGCTGTATTGCTATTATTGTTATTATTATTATTGCTTGTCTTATCTGCAATAATGCAACGAACATCATCTAACGGAAATACATTCACCATCATACATAGTAACAGACAAAACTCACTTTTATCATCTTTGACATCTTCGTGTGACTCCATCATATCCATCGATGAACGTTCGTCCAGTATATGATTTCCATCAACATCGCCACCAGCATCACGTAACATACGTGTTAATGTGCTCAAACTTGGCAACGACGTTGGTTTGCAAACACCATCACGAACTAAGCGTTCTCGGATCTCCCATACAAACATTGTTCCATGTGGATACGAATTTTTATATTCGTCTATTTTTTGTTCAATATCGGCAGTTACAACTCGCGGTTTAGAGCCACCAATTGAACCGGGTTTAATCGAGCCTGTTTCAGCATATCGTGCTAAGATCTTTGAAACGCATCCATGAGAAACGCGTAACTTTACTCGAGAAAAAAATATAAATAAATAGTTACGGGAAAAACATCAATGATTTTGTCTACCTGTCGACTGATGACGCAAGGTCGAACGCCTTGTGCAGCCATATCGATAATCTTGACGCGAAGATGATTGGGCAATGGTCGTCCATTGATAAAAACACCACCCAATTGATTTACACGTCCTTGGCCTTCTCAAGATTAGTAAAAGAAAAAGTCATGATCAGTTGTCATTCTCAGAATTAGAAACTACGACTGGCTCGAAAAACGTCGATAGACAAGAAAATTTCAAGTGAGGAAACTGTATCTTGTGTGAATATTAAATTTCCCACGGTTTTATTTTCGAGAAAATTTTTCGTCTAAAATTACCTTCATAACTAAGAGGATGTGAATGGTAAATCATCGGTGGAGGCGGATGAGACCATGTTGAAGTTGAATTAGTTATACGATTTGTTGTTGGTGTTGTAGTCGAATTAGCAAGCATAACTTGCAATATAAAATATATACGATGATACGCTAAGGCACGCGGCAACGGATAATTTGTTCGTTTTTTTCACGTTTTCCGGCCTCTTTTTCTCTCGCTTAAATCGGCTTCTTCGTTACTAGTGTGTAGCAAAGATGCGGATCGACGATAGATATTTTTTCTTTCGTTAACAATGATGAGACACGATCAAGAGAGAAAAAATTGAAAATGAAATGTCGTCTTATTCGATAGTTAATAAACTGTATCTAGATCGGCCCTTTTCATATATATATAAAGTGCGAAACGTGAGTTTCACGCGTATTAAACATCATCATCAATAAACATAAAGAAAAAGACAATTTACCTAACTAAATGATAGAGAAGTGTACATACATATTCCTCCTCCTCCTCCTCCCTATTGCTCATTTGCAATTTTTCCCTGTATATCGCCGGCGACACTATTCAATAGATGCAATCTTCGCATAGGTTTGTATATATTAAGTTTGTTTTATGTTTCATTCGTTTGACGGGTGTTATCATTCGGTCTCACCTTTTTCTCTCAAATCATTCGAGCATCAACATCATTATCATTGTCGTTATTGATTGTATTGAAGAGAGAAAGAGAACAAATACGAAAAAAAACGCAAACGATTGGTTTAAGTAAACCAATCACTAAATAAACCGAAAAATGCTTCCTTTCTTCTTCTATTTTCGCTATCTATTTCAAACCAATGAAAGTTGATTTAAAATTCATGTTGCCTCATAAACACATCACATTTCCAAAGACTAATTTTGATAACATATTCTTCTTCAAAGTGATTTCTATGACGTACAAAATCTTCTGGTTCTTTAAATCTTTTGAACTGATCAGATTTCATTGTTTTATGCGAAACATTTGATTTAATAGTATGTTACAAACAAGTAGCCTTCAAGGTTTTTATATTGTGCAAGAGAAAATACCCTTGAAAAAATTTGTCACATAATATGACCAAGGACAGTTAATCGATAATATTCTACGCCTTGTACGAATATCGAATATTGACATATTTCGTGTAAAGTTGAATCTAATATGATAATACATTGAGTAGATTGATGATTTTGTCGTTGTGTGTAAAATTTATCCTGTATTGATTAGGTGGAAGGAAAGAAATTTTCCCATGACGAATGCTAAATTGATTTAAATTTCAATAATCTCTCTTAACAATCTTGACGCATTTGATTTCATCAATCAGTTGTTTGAATTTCTTTAGGTTTGAATCATGATTAAAGATCTCTTTCGTATCTATAATCAACATAGCTGTAGTCGAAATTTCCATTGAAATCACGTTCTATGTGTGCGTGCCTGTCAAACACGAAAACGGATAGGGGTTTTTTCTTGGCATACATTGTATCATTACCTTTATAAAGTTTGATTCCCTAAAAAAGAAAAATCTTCCAATATTAGATCTGGTTAAAACTGTCTTTCGAAGATGGACGTAAGAGTAGGGATATCATTATATTTTTAGATCGGCATTCACACTCTGATGATCATCATCCATTGACGAGAAGATCTTGATCACTTTCATGTTCTCAAAAATTAATTAAAAAGAATATCCTTGAGAACATAAATGAATTCGAAGGTGTTACGAACGATGATATTCGCTTCGCCACCTTCCCTTTAATTACCATTGCCTTATGTCAATCACGTACAAATCCGTCAGAATAAATTTAACCGAAATCTGAAATTCTAGGTGCTTGACTTCAATACACCGTATTTTATCGAGCAAAATAATTTTTGTTTTATGACTGTTATCGTAATCTTCCCTCAACGAAATACAAAAATAAAGCACAACGATTAACGTTTTGAAGTTTTTATCTTGGATTTTTGTGGGTGCGCGCTTGCTAGTATTTAATCTATGCCGGATAAGTACATTCATACGCGCAAATCACGACCCTCGCTGATGACTGTATGTCATGTTTTTCTCTTTTTTTCTCTGTCGTTATAGAGCTGGAGATGGAGACTAATGACGTTTTGACTCTGAGTCACGCGCTCGGCTATATAAAAAAGTAAAAGAGAACTGACGCCATCGTAATTTTTATTTTGTCATTTTACCTGAATACGTCGTTCGATTATCAACATGCATTTGTTTTTGGCTTGGCGTGCAATGGAAGATCGTATTGGCTCACTGGGGTATACAATCGAACGTGTTCTATGGGGTGATAGTCGTGCTCGTCACACATTTCTAATTGCTTGTACCGACGAACATCCATTAACTTTAATCGAGATCGATGTTGGTGATCATGAAAAAGGTATTAAAAAAGGTATGCGATTGCGTATTGCCGAATTAGACGAAGTACCAAGTACAATAACAAAAATAGAATTAATCGGTGAAACAAAATCGACTACAGCCTTTGAACAACTGATCCGTTCAGCACAATGTTACGTACAAGAACATCCGGATTATAATGTTCTACGCAACAATTGCCGAACATTTGTGGAGTATCTAATTGATCAAATACCTGAATTTCGAGATTCTATTCCAAAAAAGAATGGTTCCATACTTGAATATTATCACTCACAAGCAAAACACGAACATCCAGGTGCAATCGTTAAAAGTCGAAAACTTATACGGGAGATACGCGATATCCATCTGCATAATAAACACTATAAATATGCAGCGAAATTAGTTGTGAACCCCGAAATACCAGATTCACAACAACTGACTCATTTTGACACGATCGAACAGCGATTTTGAACGAAAATAATAAATTGTACAATCTCTACGTTTATTTTTACACGTTTGCTCAACAAAATTACCATCTATTCAAAATCTTGTACTATTAAATTAGAATCTCTAGTCATATATATATTAGTAAATACATAAATAAATAAATATATTTTATCTAAAACTAATTCTTTCCATTCTGCATGTTGATATGGTTTTGCAGCAGACACGTGAATAGAAGATAATGATAGACATAATACGGGTAGTGTACTTTGCGATCGAATAGAATTTGCTTTCTCTTATGTGCAGCGCAGTATAGAAAACCTAGCAAATTATGTCGTTGCGTAATAATACCCATAGTTTAATAACAGTAGGAAATATAAATATTATGACTCATCTATAGTAGTGGCGTGATTATTGTATGTGTGACTCGAAAAAGAATGAAAATATCGACGAGTATTTTCAGATACAACTAAAAAAAAAGAAAACCTCACCTGATAGTTTATCATCAGTGTCCATCATCGTTGTCATAACAGACATCATATTAAGTAGAGCATTTATTCATAACTAAGATATTTTATCTATAAATTTAGTATTCACATCGAATTTCTAATCAAAAACATGCATAATGAAAAAACTCAAAGCAAATACAATATTCCATTTGGAGTGAAACGAATAAGTCGTCTGATTGCAGGCATCTCTATCACATATTTGTAAACAGCCGCGAAACCGCCTGTGTGCATCAATCCAATCAAGTTTAACGAAGCCACAATGACTAGCACGATTGATTCCGTTGTCATCGAGTTCTTCTCGTCCACATGTTCGATATGTGTATTGGACAGGCTTAGGCGCTGGAAAGAGAAGTCGTTATTTTCACATCGAAATCATCGAATTTGACTTTACCATTGGAATAAGCAACTAATTTAATACAATGCGTAGCAGGAAAAGTGCCATTTCGTTTGCGTAGTGATGTTATACAAGGTGTTTGCAGAAACGATGTTCTACCAGCTATATCACCATGAAAAAGATCTTCACATGATGGATTACTTCCATTAATTGAGAAGCATTTGTAACAAGATAACGATGAAACTAAGAAACACGCCGAATATAGTATTCCATGAAAGAAAATGCTGAAATACACTTACCTAAATCATTGCTCAAGATCGCCATAAATAGAAACATGGTGAAAGTCTGTTTTATTACTATTCTGTTCGACATTTCAAACTATACTAATGTCAGCTTTTCTTTTTTGCCAGAACTGTTCTATGTATGTATACATATTCAGATATGTCGTTGATCTTTTCCAGTTCTCTGTGTTGTCAGCTCTTTTCCTCTTATTCGCATGAGTCTCGCATATGAATGATTAAGTCGATATGATAGTGTTGATAATCAACGGCAAATATTAATACAGATGAGAAAGCCCACTTATTGTGTCAGGAAGGACTTATGCTACGAACACATGTTGCATCTGAATTTAATAATAGACAAGAATAACAATGATCGAGATGGAATGGGGAAAATGTTTCATTTAAAACAAAAAGTATGGAAAGTCTCAATGAAATTCTCTTCGTATCAATGAAAAACAGCCTTCATCTCTCCACACATTGGTAAAAAAAACTTTATTCAAAAGAACAAAGTACACAAATAGAGATAATAAGATGCATCAATATTTTGATGTCAGCAGTGACCATACGGATATCGATCATAATCACTAGGACCGCGAATTTGCTTGATGCCGTCACAGTACAAATATAAATTTTCATAAGGTTTCAAACGACGCATATTTGCCCAAAAACTAAAGATAAACAAAAGACTATTTTCCATGGAAACTATATTCCTAACCTGAAAGCACTTTTGCTCATAACCATCGTGTGACATTGCGAGATCAGGTAGAAATCGAGAATCGTTTTTTCTAATCCATCACAGGCAAATTTCTTTCCCGAACGATCAATATGTCGAATAAGACCATCGACCGTTAATAAACGTGATTTGAATTGTTTCTTCGCATAGGTGTGAACCTCTTCTGAATCGGTGGAGACAAATATCATTTGATCAGATTTCGAGCTATTTTTTAAAAACTCAATGACAGTTGTATTCATTCGTTCACGTTTAGGAAAAATTATATCGTTCGGGTTCGACGGATTTCTTCCAATACGTATGTGAGCACATTGAAGAGATTTCAGATGAAATTTTTCGACGATGTCATTCAAATGAGACTGAGGATGAGGTTTAAGTTTAAATAATAATTCATAGACTAATGTAAATACAGTATGAAGAAATAAGGACGAACGGTGTAAACCATAGTGTAAATGAAGAACCCGATAGAGATCATCACGCCATAGTAACATCGAATAATAGCCGAGATCTTTGACTTGAAAATGGATAATATCGATACTGGACCAGGAGAGAATCTCACTATAATCTTGATCATTTGCAGTTAGTCGACGGATAGTTCGATTGGTTCGAAGTGATAGATCTTTAACCGTACGATTCCATAGGATAAAATTTGGTTGTAAAAGATTGGTTATGGGACATGGCCATGTCATATTAATGAGAAATGTACGATTCAAAGCTAGAGACAAGAGATATGCACCGACTATTTTTCGTGTTCGATCACCCCAACCTCCACATGGTTGATTACATGTATAGATTAAGTACTTATTCTTTTTTGTCAGTGGTTTTATTAGTTTGACAAAATCTATATGACGAGATTCATATTGGTTTAGAAGAGGTTGATGATGGATATGTGTCAGAAGTTGATTTTCATTTTGTCGACGATTAAATAATTGAATCGATATCGATGAAAGATTTTTGCATGATGGAAATGCGCAGTGATGAACGGAAGAGCGGAGAAAAGAATCTGATGTAAAATAGAAATTCTGACCGACGAAAATAAGAAACCAAACAAGAAAACCAATTAATATGTTGATATAAAGTTTTTGGGATCGACCCATGAACACACTTTCATCAATAACACCATAGGATTACAAGACAATTCATCGACTATTTTTCTTATAGGCGAAAGAAAACGAAAGAGAATATCTGAAGTTGAAATTGAATAGAGACATGAATAATATTAAATATCGAAATATGATTATGACTAAATACATATTAATTATGCGCGATCTGTCAGTTATCTGCGAAGCACATATTGAAAAAAAGCATTCTGCTCTGTCATTTAATCTTTTGTTATACTCAAAGATAGGTTTCGAGTCAAACAGAAGCATTCCTATTGATTCGAATGATTTTTCTCAACCATTGAAAACTTCGTTAATCAAGGATGAGGATGAACAAGATCGTAAACTGGCAGGAAAAGCAACTGATTCTCCTACTCACCTAAATGTATTACGACGAAAAAAGTCAAACAGGTCTCATGTTTTACAGCGAGTAATGAATTTTGAAGAGCAAAAAAAACGCCCGTCAGCATACTCTTCGCCGATAGAAATATAGGTGAAATCGACAAACATGAAGGTGCGCTACTTAGAATACGAATTGAATGAACTTATATTTGTGTTGTGACAGAGGACATGTGAAAGACAGAACGAACAATCGTTACTGATTCTGCTCCGTTCTGTTCTCTCTTTTCGTATTTTTTTTTCTCCTGCATATTTGTATTCACATCTTTTTTCGACTGTAAGCTGTATAATCGTACCTATACGACGGGACAGTGTGTGTAATTCTACGCGACGAATATATTAAGAGATTTGCTAAGTCCAGCAATGAATTTTCGGAGGATAAAATAAAATATTGAAAGAGTACGATGAAAACACAGGAATTATACAGAGAGTGTTTTATCACTTCTGATGAAAGCATTTTTATTCTGTCAATACATCGATTGTCTTTTACTCTATAATGAAATCACAGAAGTTCTTGTTGATTTACACTTACATGAGAAATAGTGAATAATTCCAGTCCAGTTGATAGGAAATTGTAAAAATTTCAATGCGTTTTCAAATCTCCGATGTCAAGAAGGTTATTCTTTAACATCTTGTTTTAACTGTATTGAATAATATAAGTATTAATTATTTTAAATTTAATCAGTCGATAGATTACAACTAGATATCATTCATTAATTTAAAGGAACAAGATACTCATTTCTCTAGAAAATCTTTAATTTATTATTGTCAACATTCATACCGTATATCCTACTTCGAATTCACGTTTGCTACAATTTCTTTCTCTTAAGACATATATTTTCTTATGCAGAGCTTATTGATATTTGTTTTTGTAGATTTTGCTGGATTATAACATTTGCGCCCTGAAATCTTTCTGTTTTTCTGTCTTTTCGAAGCACACCGATTTGCTCTGCATTTGAATAAAATATTGGTGATAATTCAATATGTGCTTGTATGCATTTGGAACTTTTCAGTACGCATCTTCTACGTTATCCTTAATAAGTTTTTTCGTCCATTTGTCATTGAAAGCACTTGATTCTGATGTTTTGTAGTAGCTACTACCTTAGACTAGTTCAGTTCAAAACTGGAAGTACGAAGTATTTTTTAGGTGTTTGGGGTTGAAACAAGAATTTCGTAAACGGAGGTGCTCCCACCGATGCACAGAACGAATTTTTAATGGTTTCGTAAGACGTTTTTAATGCATTTTTTGATTTCAGATACGTTTCGAGACTTTTTCTAAGAATTTTGTACAGTACCTATTCATTTAGAGTACACGGTTTCGTGAAAAAAAGAGTTAGTGTTATTGCTGATTAATAGAATTTACGGAAGATAGGCGAGCTATAGTGGTTTTATTCAAATTGATCGTTTCTAAATATTCTTTTTATACGATGGTTTATGTGTCTTGACAAGCACTTGGAGAAGAAATTCTTCTACGATTTCCACTTTGATCGATGTTCTTCTTTTGTTTGTTTCAAATGAAGTTAAAGATATACTAGTGCAGTGCTCGTTTAAACTTAATAAGTATCAAACGTCTGTTCATTTATCGATAGTCCAAAACAATTTGATTTTGGAAAAAAGTACCTCTTCTTTGACAGGAGGTACTAAATATAAGGTTACTGTTTCCGGTAGAATGAAATTGTGCTTCAAAATCTGTCGCCTAATTATCATCGTCGACGAAGATGTCATTCTCCGGAAGCGAAATTATACCAATTGTGAATCCATCTGTAGAAATCATGTTCTACGTGGAAAAGGACTGCAATAATGAAAGTCTTACATCTTGTGGTTTTCTTATTCAATCTACCAACCCTGACAAATCCCGAAAAAATTATATTAAAAAAAACTCGAAACATTCGTTTTTCTATCGATAAGAAAAATAAGCATCGGTTAATATGAAAGAACTAAAAAAACACAGGTTAAAAGACCAGTGCCAAGTAGGTCACCAATCGCTGTTAAATACGGTATACAAATATTATCCGGATCTTGTCCTTGTCGCCAAACGAAAGCAACCATCCATTGAGCAATGTAGAGAAGAATACCAATCTAAATAAACGTTCTCTATATTGTCAACTTCATACATTTAAACAATCTACTTGAATCAGTGCGGCCACTAAATAAAGAGTAACAAATGAATATGATAAGTGGATGTGATCCATAGTGAATTGCCAAATGAGAAGAATAAATATTAAATGTCCTGGTATGCTCATCAATAGTAGCACGCGTGTTGTTGATGAATCACTTTCTGAAATCGTTGTGTAAAAACAAATATTTTCCTTCAGAGTATAGATGTTTAATTCTACTTTTAGAACAAAATACTGTATACGGATTCGAACAGGATGTTGCACTCGAATAGTCGTCATTGTCACAATAATCTCCTGGTTTGCCCTGTTGATGCAACGCAGTTGATAGTCGACTTGCTTGTACGGCAACGAGATTTCCACCGACGCCTATTTGAAAGCTGGTTTTTTTTCAGAAGAAGCAGTGAAAACAAATTACCGTTCATAACAGGCTGAAAAACAGCCAGACCAAGAAACTTTTGAAGAGCAAAATCAAGAATTAATCCTCCAGTACTAGATTAGAATTCTGAAAAAGAGAAATCACCAAAATATCGATATCTACCTCGAGATGAACATTGCAGATATTACTGGAGACCTAGAAATGTAAACAATTTACGTTGTGAATAAAACATTCGAATTCGCCAAACAGTTGATCGTACCATCCGTGAATTAGAACATCACTAACATATTTATTTCGTCTAGCAAATATAATCCAAACCGGAATTAAAGTTAAAAAGAAAGTTGTGATTGCTATTGGTAGCCATGTATAATTATCTGAATACATCTAACGATAGATTTCGATTGTTAAAATCATGGTAATTTTACCAATAGTTTGAAATAACAAACCACCAATGCCAGCTAAAATGCTCAACGTAGTCAAATCACCTAATGATGCTGCTAACGGTGTTGCAATATTATCCGGATTAATTTTACATCTATGAGAAATAACAATGACAATAATCATGACGATGCCTAAATCAAACAAGTTTAGTCTTCACATTTCAATAGAAAAAGAACATGTATACTTGCTTACCCAACGCTAATGAAGCAACTGATGCTGTTGACACACTACTACTGCATAGAACGAGAGCATGTCGTAGATTGAATTGACCTTGTGGCACCCAGCCCATGACCGTTGAAATAATAGCAGCAAGAAAGCCGACGACCGTAGCTTGTAATTGAATGAGCACGATATTGCCAATGATCATACTTTTCAATTCATCTCGTTTATCCATATTACCAATATTTGCCTAATGATTAAACAAATCGAAATTAGTTTCTTTCTTGATAATTTCATGGTATATACTTGAGTTGATAGACGAGACGCTAAAGTCATTTCTAAATTGCCTTTTAGACCAAGTAAGGCTGGAACAAGTACATAGATTTCTGTGATCTGTTTGAAGAGAGGCAATTCCTAAAGATGAAATGCATAGATATATAGAAAGAAAGGGACAGTCTGTTTTCTGTCGGTTTTGTTTTCTAGAGTACATATGAGTTTTCAATCTACTCTTATTGAAGATGCCGTCGTCTCGTTTGGCGGGCTTCCTTCTCGCTCAATTAACATCACTTGTTTGGTATTCCACACAATCAAATATCTATTCTTTTTCAAATTGAATTACGTATACCATTCTCCAGATACACATACATACATGTCTAGTCTAATCTTAGTTAGATTCTTTATAAAATACCTTCACATGTTCAAGTACAAGACCAGCTGCTACCATGCCGAAACCCGCAATCATAAACGGGAGGAAAACTTGACTGCCAACGGTATACCATTGTTCCGGATTCCTAGTTGTATTCTTATGTACAGATATTACGGTTTTTGTTTTATCATTTTGCACAGAATTCTCTATGGAAAACAAAACAATGATCTATTTCTTGTTGAAATCTTCTTTCAATTTTCTTCTTTGCACGTAAGTAAAGACATGTCACGAAAGTCCTGTCGATTTAGCTTTCATTCTTTGTAGCGGACTGGTATGGTATTGAAAATCCCTCATTTGATGAAGTCAGGTCATTATTTTCCTATTAGATCAAAAAGAAAATACCTTTTTCATAAGCAGCTGGCGGCAGTTCATGCATCATTAAAAATCAATTGTGCCAAAAAAGAAAAACGGAATCACTTTGGAATATATAATTTAGTCAATCTTACTCGGCGCTACAATCGATGGCATTTTCTTTTGGAGAGAATTTTTCATGAAATTTCGAGAAAATTTCGAGAAAATCAGTTTGAAATTATTACAAATTTTGTATTTTCTGAAAAATTAACTCCTTCTTAGCGACTTTTCATTGATTGGCTCATATGGTTCATCCAATCAGATCTCCGAGTAAGTGTCAGTCACGATTAGAAAAAAATGTCTAATGATTAGATGTTTACTCAGATATTCATCGGGCGTGTTTTACTCTCGTTCGGTCAATATTTACTTCTCTTCTTACTCCGACATATAACATATAGATTCTAGATATTTCACAGTACAGTTAAAATTGTAGCGATTTCATCCCTGTCTCTCTCGAGATGTCTGCACTGAATGGTAATAAACCAATTTGGATACGTGACAGTGAACATGGATTTTTACTTGGAAAAATAAGTGATATTGGTTCAGATACTCTTACCATACAGTTAATTGATACTCGAAAAGTAGACTATGGTCGCTTAGTTGAACAATATCATGCTGAATGCTCTTGTTCATTTAGACCGTTGTTTTACCATATGATTCGGTATTTCAAGCAGAAGAATACGATAAAGATGTCGACGATAACTGTAAGTTGGAAAAATTCTATTTCGAATCGTTTTTCTTTGCTTACATTGAACTAATTTCTATTTCAGGCGCACTCATGTACCTTAATGAAGCAACACTTCTGAATAACGTTCGTCGTCGTTACAAAACGGATCGCATATATGTACGTGAAAGCAGTATCACGACAAATCTATACGTCTTATCCATATTTCTTTAGACTTATGTAGCAAATATTTTAATAGCTATTAATCCGTATAAAGAATTACTGAGCCTTTACTCTGGTAACACAATAAAACAATATAATGGCAAGTCATTAGGTACAATGCCACCACATGTTTACGCAATTGGTAAGGACATTTCTTTCTTTTTTTCGGAGAAAAAGGGCAAGATAAGAATGTTGGGACAAATTTTTATGTGGGATAAACTCGAGTTGTTTGTTCTTTTATTGCGAAGGGAATGAACGAAAGATTTATTCATAGTTTTCTTTTGCTGCATCCAGTCGAATCAATTAAATAAGTATGGCGAACAGATTGAGTCATATTTGAGTTTTCATGAACGTTTTTTTCTTTATATTTGGCAAATATAATTTGATTGATAACATTTTCCTTTGCAGTATATCTTGTCAGAAATACTTTATTTGCTTTCATGTTGTCAATATATGAGTCAAGAATATTTTTTCTGTTTCAGGTGATAAAGCCTATCGAGATATGCGAACGATTAAACAAAGTCAATCAATAATTATATCAGGCGAATCAGGAGCCGGTCGGTGCCAGAAAAAAAAGAGAAAAGGATTGTTATCATTCTAGTTTATTGTTCTCTATAGGTAAAACAGAATCAGCGAAATACGTTTTGCAATATCTGACCGAATCGTATGGTGCTCACAATGGTCAAATTGAAGATCGTATAAATAAATGTATACACCAAGCATCGATTCTTTTGTTTAGTTGAATTTTTTCGTCTTCTCTTTAGCTAATCCATTATTAGAAGCATTTGGCAATGGTAAATAAAAGACATTAAGGCATTAAGCGAAGATTTTCTTTTCTTTTTCTAGCTAAAACAACACGCAATAACAATTCCAGTCGATTTGGTAAATTCATCGAAGTGCATTTCAATGAGAAGGTACACGCTCGATGAAACGAACGAGAACATTTTGAATCTGCGGTTTTTTTCACGAAATTAGCATCAAGTGGTCGGAGGTTACATATCGCATTATCTATTGGAAAAGTCGCGTATATGTGTTCAATCAAAAGATGAACGAAACTATCACATCTTCTATCGTCTATGTGCTGGTGCGCCGGAGAGCATTCGTAGTGCTTTACGATTGGCATCGCCTGATAGTTATCATGTGCGTATTCGAGGAAGAAGAAATCGGACTGAGTTTATCTTTCGGTTTTGTGTTTATTTTAGTATTTAAATCGAGGTTGTACACAATATTTCTGTAACAATCAAACGGAGAAATTTTTATCGAAAAATCGTCGGAGTCAAGATGTAAGTTGCATATATGTTTTGTTTCCGTCGAAATGAAACAGCGTAAACGAACTTTTCTTTGTTTTGGATAGAAAGACTTCCTTGATGTAAGACCTTCCTATTGCTTTTCCTTCTAAGATGAATGTTGTCATTCTTCTCCCTCTTTTCTTCAACTAAGAATCATATGTTCTTTATTTCACTGGCATTTTCTCATTTAGTTCGTAGCCAAAGGTGCACTACGTGACCCGCAATTAGATGATGTTAATGATTTCAACGAATGCGATCAATCCATGAGTCAAATGGGTTTGACAGAACAAGACAAGCTAAACATCTATAGTACTGTGGCAGCTGTTTTGCACCTTGGAAATATTAATTTCGAAGATGATCCCGAGAGTACCAAAGGCGGTTGCAAGATAACAAGAACAACTGAACAATCGTTAATGATCACAGGTGAAATGCTTGGCTTGGATCAACGAGATTTACGCAACGCGTTGATTACAAGAATTTTAATGACGAAAACAACGAGTAGTATGAAAGGAACTGTGATACCGTATGTAAAATGGTCTGATTTTGCTGGGAACGAATTGCATTTTGTTTTCGTTCTAGGGTTCCATTGAAAGTTCACGAAGCACAAAATGCACGTGACGCATTGGCCAAAGCAATTTATGTGCGATTATTCGATCAAATCGTCATGTTTGTCAATAAATCTATTCCATTCAGTTCATCTTCATCTTATATTGGCATTCTTGACATTGCTGGTTTTGAATATTTTCCAATAAATTCCTTCGAACAATTCTGTATCAAGTACGTAGATTTGCTGAGATTTTATCAGATTTGATTTCTCTTGAATTTTAGTTATTGTAATGAAAAATTACAACAATTCTTCAACGAACGCATTCTCAAAGAAGAACAATTACTATACGATAAAGAAGGTCTCGGCTTGAAAAAGATCAGTTACATCGATAATCAAGATTGTATCGGTAAGTAAAGAATTTCGTCTCTTCGGTATTGTCTTTGATTATTTTCTCTCTTTCTTTTCAATCAAACAGGAGCTTGGTAGGGGCAAATGTTTACCTTTATTTTTCTCAAACTAAAGTTTTGTGTGTGTGTATATGTCTTCGTGTGTTTTGCATGACTGTCACAAACAATACCTTACCGCTATGAGGATAGACACATGAAATTGTGATCTCCGTTTGTCGAAGTATTTGAAATATCCAAGTGTTCACCGCAACTGAGTTCAGCATAACCATCCTTTTTTTTGCTTCTATTCATTCCACAGCAATAATCATGCGCCTATAAAAAAAAGTTTGGAAGTTAGCATGAATCTTCCTCCAGCTTTGTTTTATTTGCATGATAAATGATAATGTTTGTTCCGGTTTTTACAAACGAAATAGTGACGTTGATCTATGACATATTTAGACTTGATCGAAGCAAAAACGACTGGTTGTTTCGATCTGCTGGATGAAGAAAGTAAACTACCAACGCCGCGAACCGAGCATTTCACTATGGAAGTGCACAATCGTAATAAAGGACACCCGAGACTCGATGTACGCAGAATTGTTTCACTTGACTATCATGGTATTTGAAAAAATTGTTGTTGTTTAGTTCCCGAGAAAATCAAAGTTACGTGTGTCACGTGAAACACGAGATGATGAAGGCTTCTTGATCCAACACTTTGCTGGTAGTGTGGTTTATTCAACCGTATGTTTATCAAATCAAGTGAATTTGTTGACAAATCTGAATTTTATCTTTTCATAGTCGCAATTCATCGAGAAAAACAATGATTCATTACATGCATCACTTCTAATACTCATTCAAGAATGTAAAAATCCATTTATCAAAAACTTATTTCCAAAAACAGCCGAGCGTGAACAATCGGCTGGAAAATTAAATTTCATCTCGGTCGGTTCGAAATTTCGTTCACAATTAGCTGATCTTATGAATAAACTACGAAATACTGTAAGTACCAACAGCTCATCAACGATCTGTGACATATCGCTAAGCAAAATTTCTATAGGGTATTAGTTTCATTCGTTGTATCAAACCGAATCTTCGCATGGTCCCAAACCTATTCGAAGGTGGACAAATTCTAAGTCAATTACAATGTAGCGGTACGATCAAAATCACCGCTCAATCTTTCGCTCGTTTCTAATTTCATTTTCTTTTTCTATCTGCTAGGTATGGTATCAGTGTTGGATTTAATGCAACAGGGATTTCCATCGCGCACGCCGTTCGCGGAATTATATGCTATGTATAAATCCTATTTGCCAAAAGAATTAGCACGACTGGATCCGCGATTATTTTGTAAAGCGTTGTTTAAAGCTTTGAATCTTCGGGATAGCGATTTTAAATTTGGCTTAACGAAAGTATTTTTTCGCCCGGGCAAATTTGCCGAATTCGATGAACTGATGAAATCTGATCCGAAAAATCTGGCAATTCTTATAAATAAAGTGAAAAAATGGCTCCTGTGGACACGCTGGAAAAAAGCACAATGGTGTGTCCTATCCGTCATCAAACGTAAATAAACAAACAGTAAAATATGAGCACAGCGAACGGACTTTCGTCTTTGTTTAGTTAAAAACAAAATCATCTATCGACGTCAATGTTTAATCAACATTCAAAGTCATATTCGCATGCATTTAGTGTATAGACGCTATGCACCTCGGTAAGACCAACTACGATTTTTCGATAGAATCTCGTTTTTTTTCCGTTAGAATTCGGGGTTTGGTTAAAGTCAAAGCCTTACACGAACAAGTGGCATCTATGGAAAAAATTGTTGGACAAATGAAAGTCAACAAAGAACAAGTTTCGAAACAAGTACAACAATTACGTCAACGAGTTGATCAATTAACCAACGAAATAACTGTACGTTGTGAATAGGCGTCATGTTCATCGCTAGGAGATATTATGTGCGCTAATCGATCCCTTATTTAGAACACATCTATATCAGCTGTACGGATTGATAGTGCGTATAACGATCTTGTCACTTCAATTGATCGAGAATTTCGGCGACTAAAACAAGTGCTTGCTGAACAAGAAATCAAAGAAGAGGAAGAACGATTAAAGAAAATCCAAGTAAAGTCGAAAGAAGTGATCATACGAAAGAACTCAAAGAGTGTTTTAGATGGAACTTGAAAGTGAAAAAAGGAAAAAACTAGCGGAAGAAAAACGCATCGAGGAAGAAAAAGAAGAATCTCGACAGTAAATTTTCACTTTGTGCCGAAATTTCAATAAGAATGTCATTGAAAACTCTAGACGAACGGCTATTGCACAGCGTCTAAAAGAAGAACAATCGAAAGGAAAGTTGACAGCCGAAGAAACTAAGCGTCAGGTAAGATGCACCAAACAAATATTCGAAGCAATTTGCTTTGTTTTCTCAGAAAGAACGGCAAACAAAAGAATCGGATGAAGAAGCACGTCTGGCCGAAATGAATGAACGTGAACGTCGTGATTATGATCTAGCACGACGTCTCGCTTTAGAAACAGGTGGTGAAGCTGATTTACCGCATTTACAACGAACGCGTCGTCCTGCTGTGACCTCCAAGTACGATTTAAGTAAACGAACGTATGCACAACTACGTGATTTGATCAATACATCTTGTGGTAATTGCAATGAAAGAGAAAAGAAAAGAAAAGAAACATTTAACCTATTTTGAACTAGACTTGGAATTACTCGAAGCTTGTCGAGAAGAATTCCATCGACGTTTGAAAGTTTATCATGCATGGAAATCAAAAAATCGCAAAGGAAAGAATCCCTCAGCAGCAGATGATAAGCACGATGATGCCGATGAGGAACGCGCACCAAAAGATATTTTAAATAACTGTAAGCCATCGAAGATATACAACATCGGCACATTTTGTTTGTAATTTTTCACTATAGCCGTTCCAAATTCGACGATACCATCAGCTGCTGCCTCGACGGCATCAAGTACAACTGCCATGCGAAGACCTCAAGCAACAGCAAGTGCAAATTCGAAAAAAGGCGGTGGTACTAGTGAGTCTTCTGAGCAACGCTATTTTCGTATACCATTTATTCGTCCTAATGATCAAAACCGCGATGGTAATACTGAACAAAAGAAGAAAGGCTGGTGGTACGCTCATTTTGACGGTAAGATTTCCAATGAATATTCAAGAGAAATGAACGCATCATGTGTATAGACAAATGGATCGCTCGTCAAATGGAAATTCATCCTAATAAAGAAGCTGTGCTTCTTGTCGCAGGTGTTGATGACATGAATATGTGTGAATTGAGTTTAGATGAAACAGGCTTGGCATCGAAGAAAGGTGCCGAAATTCTCGAAAGTGATTTCGAACAAGAATGGCTCAAACATGGTGGACGAAAATATCTAGAGTCGAATTTCTCGCAAATTAGTTCAAAATATGTCGTCAAATTGCTTCAAACTTATAAATAAGGTTTTCTCTCTTGTTGCTACGCTCAGTAGACAAAGAAAAAAGATATTGATTTGACATTTACATTGTGTTTCCTTCGTTCTCGCAAATAATTCTACAAAATTTACCTTTTCGTCTGATTTCATATTCATTGTTGTGATGATATGGCTTTTAACTTTTGTTTAGTTTTACTTTTCACTTTGCCGTCAGAATGAATACAACACAAAATGAGTAGTGCATTTCATTGTCGCCCTTCCCCCCGACCCCCTCCACCCCGATTTTTCTTTTTCGTTTCATGTTTAATTTAATCGTTTTCAATTCTTATATTACAAAACAAAAACTATTAATCAAATAAATCTATGTGCTTTAATTATCAATGCTTGGCTTTTTCTTTCTTCTTCAGATTGCTTCTTCTTTGCCCGAATAAAAAGAAATCTGGAAATCTTAGTAGCAAAAATCATCACTGGAATGGAATTTAAGGTTTGTATTGGTGTTGTTACATAGATTTGCGCAATTGAAGAAAACGCGAGTTGCTATTTATTTTTCTTTAGACTAATGAAAGTCACAGAAAATTTCACTCCCATTTTTTTCTGCACTAATTCCTCTCTCAGCGACATACTCGCTGCAACCACAAGCGGAAAAAGGTAAGGATAAAGAATGAAACTGAATGACATCGACATTTTTAAAATCTTCTCCATAATATATGAAAGTGTCGTATATCCTGAAAAGATGCATTATGGTAAACATCAAGCGTTACGTACAGATGAATGACAACCTTTCCGTCAGAATGTATTGATGTTTTGAACTGAAAATTTTGTTATAATAATATTAAAAACGAGTTTTGAATATTTCTCTGTTGAATAACAGTCACATATGCGCACGATAAAGCATATCATGCATAGAATAGAGGCGGTATGCTAATGTATTATTAAAAACTTAACAAACTTGCGAGATAAAAACTATGAAAGCATGCTTGTTCTCGTATTAAAGTAAGTTTAAAATGAGAAGAAAAAAAGAAATTTTCTGAAAAAATAATTTCCGTTGATTAAAGTCACTTGCAATTTCTTTCACTCAAGATATTTGCATTAGATATTACTATCATGATAAATAGACTAAATTCCTCTAATATACAGATACGTGTGCTTTTCTATCGCCTGAAATTCAGACTCGCATCTCGATTCAAAGTATTATTTTAGAAACTTCATGTTATCGTAACATGCTTGTGTCTTATAGATAGTTACATACTTGTTGTCCGCTTCAAGTTGGGTATCAAACCCGTTAAACTTTCGTTATGTTTCATTAACTCTTGTCAACAATGACACCCTTTCAAGGTCTAGTAGATCGAGACAATAATAACGTTGATCCTAGCTTTACAAATCATAAATTCATACGATCATTTAGAGAAGATGTGGAGATTGAATGTATATCTTTTAAACGAAACAATGACGAGTCTATTGCATATTCCTGAGAAGCATGTGTGGCGTTTTGAGATAAAAAAAGTATGATATCTACCAACGAGCGTGGAATTCTTTTTAGCATGAGGAGACACATTTTTTTACGTTAAGATTTCTCTCTTCTTTTCACTGTGGATTTGACAATTTTCTTTTTATGAGCGATGAGCACGACTATGTAATTGCCAGAGAAGTTATTGCTGTATTTCCATTATTGAGATAAGTTGAGTGTCTTCATTGGAGGTAAAGTTGAAAGTTTTGGGAATGTATTTGATAGTGATTGACAGAAAGAGGATGAACTTGTTTTTTTGTTTCGAAATTCTTGTATAGTTGTTGCTTGTTTTCGATAGGCGAATGAATTAGAAAAAGTAGGAGGTTTAACAAAAGAATAGAATTATAAATCAGAGAAGAATAGAACGAAGGAAAAGCAAATGTCCTCAGAAAAAAACTATATTTCCATTAAATAATCTCTCTAACAATACGTTCAATTGGAAGCGTCTGATAAGAAACGGTCAGAACGACTCGAATGGTAAGTAGACTTCAGCTTTCATCGCGTCAAATCCTATCTTCACTGATTGATCAGCCAGTAGTCGTTGCTGAAAAACTTAATTATCCTTATGACCAAATAATATAATCAATAGATTGCATTTTATCATGATTTAGCACGCAGTTCTCACGGGAAATAGATTGTCAGTCTCATGTGGAGCGTCGAATAATTCTCGAACAAAACAAAAGCTTTTTTCGAATCTTTGTTCGATCTTAATGAGAAGTAAATATCCATCATATCGATTTGTTCTTCTTTTACATCAGACATCCACCTCAAAGCAACATCTGATGATCTGCCCGAACGTATGTAAATAGAAGTGATGTCAAATATTAGCGCACAAACATACATCTGTATTCATTTTACTTCGAGTAAAAAAGAAAAATATGACATCATTAGGAACTAAGTCGATTACTAATAACCATGTCAGTATAATCTAAGCTATCACTTTATCATATTGAAAAATTTTTACTGTCTTCTGGTAATCTCTTGATGAATTCTTTGAAAATTGTTTTTACATAAACGACGTGCTCTATGAGGAATGTTCAGGATAAACTAAGTTAAGATTTAACATGATGTGTGAGTCATGCACAAACTAAATATTAGTCTGCACGTGTAAATAAAGAATCAACTTGATTTGTTCTTCAAATAATATCCTATTCAAATAGAAGATGTTTTTCCCCAGATAACGTTAACACACGGACGAAAAATATTTCTTAAAACTGATATTTTGATATTCTCGACACACACGCCTGGAATTACATTGATAAGAATTGCTTTGTTTCTTCTCCATTGAGACTAATATTTCTCCCATGTCAAACATTTCTCATGAATAATCGATTACCACTTTCAATCGTTGCGTAGCGAGTAAAAAGCAATCTGTGCGTTGAAAACGAAATATTTTCTTTCTCTTTATTTAGATGAGAATTCAAAGTAACGTTCGAATGGCAATTATAAAACGAAGGTCATCAAGTACCTAAGTGAGCGAACACCGTTTACATTCTCATAAGTTCCAAGAACAAATAAGTAACTTTAGTCATCATGTTCTTGTTTGTATGAACGGGTCAAACGAGAATGTCGATGATTACATATTGTAAATCACAAGAATCAATCAATGCACCTGTTTAACGATGAACATGAAGAGATAGAGAACAAGTATACACTTCAATCGTTCATGTTTTTCTTTTACAATTACATTCCGATTCGGCCATGTCAATAGCATCGAAACTATGTCGATTTGATCATCTTGATAACGATGATTATTTTGCCAGGGAGAGTAACAACGACAAAGATTAATAATCATGTCTTTTTTTTGTTATTATTTGATCGCTGAATTTGTTATACATTTGCGATTTTGCCTTTTTTTTCGAGTAAAAATGAAATCTCAACGATAAGAGTTGCTTTCCAAATGAAAAAATAATAAACATTTGTTTATTCTAGACAAATAGCATGTTTACGTCTCATTGGAATCGACAACAATCTGCATTAATCATCAAAGTTATTAAGGTTGGTAGGCGAAAAAGAAAAACTCGTATGAAACATGTCATTTCTGAACAAGGAAGAAAATTTTTTCCAGATACGCATTTTTTTACTCATACAGTCAAATAACATGAATACATATTCTCTTTTTCACAGTTTAAACCAACAACGAAAGTGTGCCAGTATTTTTTTTATTCGTCATGTATTGCACAGTGCCTGTTTTTGTTTTCTGTTCTTCCATTATCGTTCGGTCTGCTAACGCACAGACACATACTTCATTCATTCAATGTACGACTATCACACATCCTTGTATGCTTTTCTTACCATCGCAGAAAGAAAACAGAACGCACAAGTAAAACTTGTTCTTCTTCTATTTTTTTTTCTCTTCGACTTGCTTGACATCGCCGAAGTCAATTCTTGAGTAGACTGACAAAATAGAATAATGATGATAGCAATAATGGAAATCAACATATGACATGGTTTCATTGTCAGATACGATTCACTTGAATGTTGTCATATTTCTAATNGTTTGTTGAACTCTTGACATTCCTCTATTAAACAAAGGCAAATACAATACCACTTTTAATGCGGTATTTTCTCTTGGAAAAAGCCTCGACAGTTTCGTTTCTATTCATGTGTGTGTACTTCATGACGACTAGTGTTGTTGTTTATTCTTAAATAGTATCGTTCCCTTCTACGTATTCTACGCCTGGTGATGATCCTCCTTTAACATATGACTTTCTTTGAAAAAAAAATCCTATATATTTTTCTCTCTTTTCTAGAACTATGATTTATGTCCTTCATTCTTTTTTTTTTCTGTGTGTCTATGGCTCGACTTTTTTTTTCACGTTGGTGTATGATATATCATGCTCACTCATTCGTTTTCTCCCCTCTCTCCTTGTGTGTGGTTTGTCGTTCTTGATGATACAGTTTTTTGCTTATACGTGTGAAAAAAAGGAGCGATTAAAACATGGACAGACAGAAATTTGAACTTTAGTCGATACTTTCGAAGACAAGTGTATGAGTGAATCATGGACACTTGAAATGTCGCGTGCTTGACGACGTCATACAAGTTTGAATACCTCATAAAACCGTGCACCCGAACAGATGTCTTAGTTCGAAAGTGTAGGAGAACATATGTTCGACCATGAAGCGCAAGTGAATCCATTCCCCAACATTGACAATATGTAATAGATCACTGTCATTTCAAAATGGTCTCTTTCTAGTGCAAAAAGAAGAAGAAAGGTCGAATAGGAGAAAACAATTTGTATTGATAAAAAACTTTTGTTGACAAGAGACAAAATGGCACATATCCATTAGAAATCAATTTTGACATGTTTGAAAGTCTATTCTATTGCTTTTATCGATGAATGGATCGATCAACAACATGTGTCAAGAGTCAAACAAAGACACATTACGCATGCATACAATAGAAAAATGCATCGATTTCATCACACACGCACACATCACTATACGCATTAGTAAACGTACGTTAGAAATCATCACTCTTCTTTAATGTGCTTGCATCGGCCGTCAGCTGTCGCAGGTTTTTCTTCTTTATTTTGATTGCACATTATTGAATCATATGGAAATTCTTTCGTGTATCTGTGTGTTTATGCCAAGGACGTGATTCGCATGGTGATCGTTCCATGCTTTTTGTGTTGCGGGTGCTTCATGATCGTCCAGGAAACGATCGAGATAAAGTAAGTGTTTAATGTTTTGAGGTGGTCGACGTAAATGATAGTAGCGTCGTCTGCGTTTCTGAATGTGAAACAACGACAAGCCGGAACAAACCATTCGATCGCTAGAAGTTCTTTTACAATGAATTGTCATTTTTGATGGCGAATATGATACGGCGGATGATGTTGACGATGTCGCCGAGTTCCAGGAGTATGTTCGCATAAATTTATAGGTTTCAGGAGACTTTTCTAGTTGTTTTATACTGTTGTTCGAGTATATACGATTACGCTGTTGTATATGAATCGACGCTCGATGATGAGCAATAGCAGCTGCGATGAGGTCTTCTTCATTTCGACCAAGCAATGCCGATATACCAGCTGTACCATTTTCCGAATGAAATTGAGCTAGACGAAGTACTAAGAGATTCAACGATGAAGCCATTATTGCTAAACCGAACAAAATAAACGAAACAGTGAATATAAAATAACCCCAACGCGAGTAAAGTGAATGGCCTGTACGTTGCATATTGGCCAATGGAACAAAATCACCAAATCCTAAACGTAGAAAACATAACTTCGATATGTAAAAACATATCAGTAGAAATAATATGTCTTACCAATTGTCCAAAAAGTAACGAACGAATAGTAGATCGATTCGAAATACGTCCACTTTTCTTGTTTACAAAATATGAATGAGCCACCGAGTATCAGCATCGTTGTCATACCAAATTCTACAGCAATTAGCTCGAAACTCGAAACTTTATGGCGACGAAGACGTAGTAGACGTTTTATACGAGATAAAACAAATGAAATAATAGCATTCAAACGTTCACCGACAGATTGAAACATGATTAAATTCAAGGGTCTACAAGAAAATAACATCTTCAATTGATTCAGTTTTTTTTCTCGGTTCGAAAGGTATTTACACGCCAGCTACTGTATAAACCATACAAAAAATCTTTCCACCAACTAAAGAACAAACTCTCATTGATAGTTTCACGAACGGATTCAAACTCAAACGTACTTGTTTTTGGAGTTGTATGTCCATAACCTAAGAAGATCAATTCAAGTGAATCCATACGAGTTTCAAAGTTCAACTCACCAATCAAAGTGACAACTAGGGTGGAAAAATAGAAAGCACCAGGAAACGTCCATTGTTTTGCTGTACCTGTACGTACATGTCGATGTTCGAAGATTGTTGTTGTCAACATATGAAAGAGTGTTTCATTGTGAATGGTATCGTTTTTATACAAGATACGAGCCATTCTAGTCCGGAGATTATCACGAATACGCGCTTCTTCTTTTGATTCGACTAAAATATGAAGTCATTTTCAATGATAAGAAACAAGGGCAAAAAAATGAACTTACGAGCATCAAATACAGCTGCACCGAACATTAAATAAGCAAGCACAATGAACATCAGTGCAAATGTGCGTATGTTTTGCGTACCGAAAATCATTCGATAAGTGAATGGCTACCAGAAAGCCAAAAATAAACCGACTTGAACCGTCAAGACATTCAGTAGAATATTAACATAATAATTATTGAAATACTTTTGTTTATTTAAACTATAAGAAGACTAATGATATAATAAATCTCAAGTTCAAGTAGGATTTCTAGAAAAACAAACTACTTGTTCTTTTCTCTCTCATTTTTTGAAAAAGAACTTCTCTCTTTTGTATACAGATATATATCTATATGTCTGTCTACTTTTTCAAATAATGAAAAAAGTCGTTCTGCTCGTTCGTCATCAACTGGCACAGAAGCCGAACAGTCACACATAGAGAACAGAAGAATAAAAAAGAAAGACGACAGGAAAAATCTGATAGAGACGACGCAATGCATCTTCCGTTAGTTACTTCTATTGGTAACGCCAATGATATATATCTATCAAAAAGTATGGAGAGCACTGTTCTCTCTGCTTTCTCTCGCTCTTTCTGGCACGCTCCCGCTTGTTAATGTTAGGAAAAGTGATGCTGAGCTTTTTGTATATTTATGCTGGTGTTTACGGTGTTCTAATTACATGATAAATGACATTCTTTTTTACATCAATTTATCCTCTTAGTTCTTTAACCATATATTCTTCTCCGGGCTAGTCTTCTCTTAATCAAACGCGAGGTAATCAACCATAAAATATGCTAAATGTTTGTCTGTTTATGTACAAATACGAATATCCTCGACACATTCTGTATGGTCATCGTTTAGTAGATAAAAAAAAAGAAATCATTTGATAACATTAGCCAAATGAAATCATGCAGAATAATGAATTTAAAAAAAAGTACTACGCACATAATGTCAATTAATTATGTGTAATAGTCGATAAACACGTAGAAAAGCTTTTTAAACTAATCCTTTGTAGATAAAATGGGATAAAAGACTCCGCTTCGATTAAAAAACGAGAGAGTAAATGGTTAGCAATACTTTGTTCCCTGCTATAAAAAGAAGAAAGAGACGGACTAGATTTTTTGTCAAATGCATCTTTTCCTATTCCGAAAGGAAAATTTGACTTCTATTTCTAATTAAATTATTCAATACGGTACAATAAAGTGTTACAACGTACTTTAACTAATAAGATTTTGTTTCAAAAACGAGATCAAATAAAAAATATAAGAGGATTAACATGCCTTAATGTAATCACCGTCGGGCTAGTCATGAGGGGAATCGATACGCTAGTTCATTGAATCTTCAGGAAAGAATTTCTCATCATCTCCTAATAGCGACGCGCTTTATAGTCTTTTTATCGCAGAAAACTCATCAACAATTGACTTGCACAAAAACTTGTCGAACTCCTTCAGAGATAATCAGTTTTTCCAATAATGTCTCTTTCCACCCACTCTGATCTTCAGCTCTATTTTTGAACGTCATCCGAGCTATGACATCATTGGTGGCTTTTCAAAAATAGGTCTTTTTAATCTGTTCTTCTCTTCTAATTGAAAGAATCCGTCATACTTAATTGTATATATTGTCCACATGATTATGCCTATTAAGAGAAAACAAAATGAACCGCGAAAACTTATTTGTATACAAATATGTACAGACAAATGTTGAGAATAACTCTGCTAGATGACATTTCCAGGCCTTTCCTTTGCTTTGTATGTTGAAAGAATAAACATTCGATTGGCTGGACTAAATATTCGATGATAATAATAACAATATTGATTATTGATCTGTTTTTCTTTGGCGCTTATATTAACATATCTAATTTTTCATATAAAACAACTCCGAAAGCTTCGTTCTATCATCTTTTCTGTTTTTCTATTCGTCACTGTAATGCATCTAACAACAGGAACGAACTCACTCAATAAGAAACAAGCGAACGCAAATCTAAAGCGTTCACGATCGATAAACATGCACAATATACCATCGAAATATTTCAAACCAACGATGAAAATCAATGCTCACGAGTATTTTTCTCAAGAACGTCCATTTGCAAATGTAAAAATCAATTTTCAACAGCAGATTATTTGGTGCGATAAAGCATTATTAGCAGCTGCTTCGCCGATTCTTTGTGAACAACTTTTGAAACTGTCTCCGAAAGATGAATATTTGACATTGAATGACATTCAACTCGATGAATTTCTTCTACTACTCGAGTTTATCTATCCGTTATTCAATCCGGAAATTAATGAGGAGAATATTTCAACGTTAATTCAACTTTCACATCGATTTCAATTCGGTTCGAGGAATTTCATTTTTCAAAACGAATTCATTGTTTCGGGAAATTTCAGTTGTCCTCAAACAAGCATGTCAGTTGTATGCTATGAAGTATTTGAATACAATTCGACACGTATTCAACAAATGTCAAAAGTCCGAAGCGGAAGGAGATAGCTTTGTTAATAATCATATCGACGAGAATACTAATGAAAATGATAGTCTCAAAAAACGCGATCTCATGTAAGTCGTGTCGAACTTCTAATTTTGATCTATAAATTCAACCAAGTCTAGTGAGTTTAATGATGGTACGTGTATTGATGCGTATAATATCGTATTGAATCTATGCCGTTGGCTGAATGTATACTTTTATGAGGATAATTTCAATATTTCGCAATCAAGTAGACATTAAATGATGGTTTTTGTTGACGATAATTTGTATCTTGTAGTTGTTTATATTCTCCGGCAAATTTCAATTGAAAATCTTAACCGAATAATGAACATGATTGCCATTAATGACGAGATCAAAGTCTACGCTTTCAAGGAGCGAGCGGAATATTTAGAAAATCTTCATCAAGTGAAACATGTTGCATGACAATCTGTTTCACTCAATTTTCATTAACAAGATGACATTATAGATCGTCGTCATCTCTCTCTCAGTCAATAGTTCAATCAGATTTGCTTATATAAAGTCAACGAGAATTCATTGATGAAATAAATATTCTAATGAGGAGGAAAAAGGACACCGTAGTCTTTCTCATATAAGGATAAAGTCATGTATCACATATTCTTTTCCATTTCCGGTTTGATTTCCTGCCGACGTGCTTCATAAGTATATAATTAAACATATTTTATGATAACCTGAGTATTGAAAGAATACACATTTGAGTTTATTGGGACATTTACAGCAAAAAAAGAAGACAGTAGAGAAACGATCTCATGGAAATTCTGTATAAGGATCGTCACTTATTGTTGGCGAATAACTTCGTTTAAAACAAGTTTTGTATTGACAAGTCCATAATGAAACCATATCATTAGAGATTTTATCACAAAAGGATAAATCAAGAAACTCCAAATCTTTACAAGATTTCAAGACGTTTTCAACGCTTGTTTCGGTAATTATACTTGATCCAAGTAGATCGAGTTGACGCAATCGAGCACAATGTTCACTAATAGCATCAATATCTTCATTATTCACACCTAAAGATTTTAAAAAAAAAAACGAAGAATTAAAGATGTATATATATATATAGGATTTTCATCATGTTGCACCCTACTGAGCTATTAGCTAATCGAGCGATACTTAGTCTTTCCCTCGGAAGTTGTCAATCAATGGGTGGGATTCTCTCTGAACTTAACTGTAGACGAAATTGAACTTACATCGACAAGCAGTGAGAAAGAGTTTGATCAGCGACTGTCCTACTTGTTGCACGAAACTCTTAACGAAACCTGCTGGTGGATCTGTCCAACCCAAATCAACTTCCGACAGATATTTCATATGCGTTATTGAACTAATATCCTTCGGCATATTGACACTCGAGTAGAGAAGTGCCAATTCTTCCTGTTCATCTTTGGAAAAATTCAATACTCGTCGTTTCTCTTCGCTGAGATCAAATTGTAGACCGATCACTGAGCAGAAACTATTTTGGCTTAAGCCTTGGATACGCCAGAGGTCAATCGTGCGAAGATTTAAACACCGCGCAAATAATAATTTGATGATGCCGGCAGTATCACCCAGTTTTTGACAGCTACCTGAAAACACATTCTTGGGATTAATAGCAAAGAAACCTTTAACAAAGAAATCCTACCTAGATTAATATTTTCTAAGGATCTTTTATTATTTTCAATCAAGGGTAATAGAGTTCGATAATCAATATTTGTTCGATAAACATTTAATATCCGGAGATGTTGAAGATATTTCAATGGAATGAAATCTAAGTGATTTAATGAAATACAATTCTCTAAGTTCAGAATTTCAATATTTGTACAATAATTAACGATGATTTTTATATATTGTCCAGTTAAGTACTGACAACAGGCAAGATTAAGTTGAACTAGATTAGCCGAGCAAATATTTAACAATTGATTGAATGATGAGCATTGTATTGATTTAGTCCATGCTAATGAAAGATGTCGAGTTTGAGAACAGTATTGCCGGAAGAAATTTTCTATGGAATAATTTGTTATTCCATTCCAATAGGGTTGTAGATTAACTGACTGAAATTGTAGAGGATGGAGGCATCGAGTACGCAAAACACGACATGTGGATGAAAGATAAACCAGTGAACGCATATCCAGGTAGTAACAGATGATGAAAAGTACATCAAATGGAAGTTTTACTAAATCACTAGAAGTGTTCTTTTCGTTCGTGTGCTCATCGAGAGGAATCTACGAAGAAATCTTCGCTTGAAATGAATTTCCCTTCGGTGTAGAACTTACCAATGAAGGCAATGACGTTGATTCGATGTTGCTGAGACTGTTCGAATCAGAAGGAGACGTTCTTCCATAGAGAATAACGGTATCGATTTCTGAGTAGTAATTCACAGTACTATGATCGAATTGTAAACGAATAAATCGTGTTGGAAACGAAACTTTGTTTTTCAACGAAATCTTCACTATTCGTGGTACGCGAGAAGCAGGTGGGCATGTATGATGCGTATAAACACCAGATACTTGTTTCACATTAACTGAGTTATTCGGTTGAACATAATTCGGAAATAAATCATCAAATATTTGTCGACCTGAAAAGAAAGCATCGTGACATTCGAGATTTTTAGTGAATGATCTTACCATCTTCAATGAGCATTTCCTCAACGCGATACAATATTATGCTAAATGGTTCTGGAAATGTCCATACTCGATGCCATGTTAGATTTCCATCATCTTCCTCTTTTCCAACATAGACGATATCGAGTGTGCCTGGATTATATGTTTCATAGATACATAAATGCATACATTCGTAGACAAGATCGCGATATTCAATTTCGATGAAATCCCGACTAGTAAAATTATGCTCCCAGCGAGAAAAATTTTTTATTGTTTCTTTATACGACGGCATTGTTATCCACCATGGTCCATAGGTACGAAAAGCCAGTGCATGTGACGAATCGCCATATGTGGGATAGATCTCCGCGTGCGAACAAATATTTGTCACGACGTAACTATCGCTTCGATTTGATCCGTACTGAGACGAAAAATCTCGGATAGCTATTGGAATTTGTTCCACTATTCTATGAATTGCTTTCGATAAGATTTTTGATACAACATGATCATTATTCGTATTAGTCTCTTGATTCAATCTGAGGACATTTATCAATTGATTACGTATTAAATACAATGCAGTACATGTTAACATCATGTTGTGTGCAGATCTAGATCTATATTAATTAAAAGAAAACAAATTAAGTTGAATATTTCACCTTCGTTAAATTAAGTTGGCCTTCTCGGGGGCGTTAATAGTTTTTTCTCTCTCGCTCTCTTTCTTCGTATGTGTCATAGATAGGAAAAGATGAGCAATCTGTCTGATGTGTATATTATTCACATACCTATTATGAAAAGAAAAAAATAACAAAAAAAAACAGTGCGGGGACATCAATATATGCGATGTCTGTACGAAATTACTGGAGAAATTGAGGAAGAAAGAAAAAAAAATCATTGATGTGTTTACTCATGTATATACTAAGGTATAAATAACTTTTTCATAGACATTGATGATATTAGTAAAAGTTTCTAACGAATGGCAACTAGCGAATCTAATGATGAGAGTTTTGTGGAAAGAGATGAGATTCTCTTTCCGAAAACGGACGTAGTCGACGCCGAACCATTCTATGATAATTTTAGTGCGATTCAAAACAATCTACGAAGACAAGTTCAAAACGTAAGTGAGAACTTTGCACTTATTTTCGTAGTGATAATCAAATCATCAATCATTATTTCAACGGATTAGATCGCTATGACGTTATATGTTTAGGTTACTCATCAACGCAGTCATTCAAGCGATGATCAGTATCGGGCAGTTCGTGCTCAAGTGAATTCCGCCTCTGTGCGGCATGCACATTCCAATGAACAACTTAATGGCATTTCCGACTATGCCCGAAATACTTATCAAACTCCCATTAGTATAGAATCAAAGAAGACTGATGGGTATATATTCAATTTAACCCAAATCGTCGAAGATGTCGGATGTCAGATCAATAGTCCATACATCCGTTCATCGTCGGAGTCGAACACGAAAAATGTTAGTGCATTGTTGAATATTGTTCTAAAGATGGGCGGAGCTCACGGGCCACTTGTAAAATCATGGCGTTCGCGTCTCACTGACGATGATTTTCAAAGATGGTATCTAGAAAAATATCACCAACGTTCTGCATCATTGACTCAATATGGTACAAATGAAAGAACGTCGCAAAATACAGGAGCTCGTGATTATCAAACGAATTTACTCATCGGTAATAAGTCACAACCGATAAATCCCGCGACGAACGGAAATTCGTATGAAAACGTTATACAAAAAATGTATGGCTATGACGACGAAGATGACTTCGATGCCGATGCAACAACAGCCAGTTCAATATCAAGTCGGTCATCAGGCGGCACAGGACCAAATCCTTATTCCGAACAACGTGCAACACCGGCGATTACATCTATTTTGAAACGAAACAACAACAATAACGATAATCTCAGTCATAATTCATCTGTTAAAAATCGTGTGAAAATCGTTGATGATCGTTCTTCAGACGACTCCGATCATTCAGGCACATTGAAGGATGTTTTGCCTGATAATAGCGGTGGTCTATCATCTTATCAACATTATCAAAACATTGATCCGAACGAGCAATACTATGAAAATATTCAATCGAATCCTCAACATGAGCAAACTGCTCAATCGAATTTCCAACAGTATGAAAATGTTCAACTAAATTACCAACAATACTTAAATAGTCAACCAAATTTCCAACAATACGAAAATCCTCAAGCAAACTATCAACCATACGAAAACATTCAACCAAATTTCCAACAATATGAAAATGCTCAACCGAATTATCAACAATACCAAACTAATCAATCGAATTCTCAACAGTATCAAACTCTACCATCTCCATATCAACCAGTCCCACCGATTGTACCATCGCCTTATCAACAAGTTCAAGAAATGCAATCACAATCGCACATCAATAGCGAGAATAATGATAGTAATACGAATCCAATGCTTTCCGAGTACCAGCAGGTCTTACAAACACATTCGGATGTACATATCGATCCAAATCCTGAAATAGTAACTCAGCCAAATCCAGAACAGCCGATAACTTATGAACAAAATATATCAGTTCGATATCTTGTTCCACCAACTCCTCCGCCACCAGGCCCTTTGATTATTCGAGGTACGAAGAGTGTTCATCTTCGAAACGAATCTATTTATTCTTTTTTTTTGTAGAAATTCTTCCTGCACGTAAACCAACGCCTCCTCCATTGATCGTCAAAGTTCAAGATCCATCACCGCCAACTCCTCCCCCGCTAATCCTACGAGAAGCTCCACCAGTACCTCCGCCTCGTCAAGAAGCAACATTTGTCACTAAAATACTTTCACCAGAACCTCCGCCACAAAGACGTGTCATAATCGAGCGTAGTCCACCGGTAAGTCACGATTCTTTTCCCACTTCTGATCATGATCATATGATTATTTTATTTGTTTTGCTAGTTACCACCTAAACCTCAATCAATCATTATCGAAAAATGGCTACCTTACAAACCAGTGCCACCACGTGAAGTGATCATCGAGCGTGTCAACGAAATCCCGGTTATGACTGAATTCGAGCCAGCTGCTTACACTCAAGAACGACAACGACGTCATTCGGCAGAATTTCATACCGATGCAGTACGTGTTCCCATACCAGTTCAAATTCTACGACAAAGGTCTGTTGATCAACTCAATACTGAGCAAATAGCACAGCAACCATCGGGAACATTCGATGAACTAGTTTGGTCAACACAACAACAAATCTTGGCCATGCAACAGCGAGGCCGAGAACAAGTGCAAGCGACACGCCAATGGGCAGTAAATCAGTGGCAACAACATACAAACATGTTTACACCATTTCCAACTCAATTAACAACACCTACATTAGTTGTTTGTCATCAACCTACGACAACAAATATTACAGAATATGTGCAAAAACAAGAATACCGAGAACAACAAATACATTACAACCCAACTTATATTTATCCTTACAATTAGTTTTGATCATTAATACTACCTTACTATTTTCCTTTTTTTTGTACATGAATATATTCAAACGATATTACTATTTTTATAATAAATATAAATAAAACATAGACTTCTCTAACGCGTAATATTCCTAATTTCGAACTGACTTATAAATTTAGAATAAAGGATTTATGTAAAATCTAATACTTACGGATAGTCTATCGCTTGACTTGAACATCTTCATTCATTTAGTAATCGCCGTACCGTAATATGACATGCCGTGCAGAAGAATCTCATTGGTCTAGAAGTCGTCCAATCTCGTACTATAAATAATATTTATATATACACACGTGCTTATTTTTCCATCTATCAGTATATGCGACATATACATCATGTTGAAACTAATCAATGATTATTTTCTTTGAACAGATAACACGTACACGTGTTAGAATCTGATGGAATTCATGCTTACATCATTTTTTAGAAACTGTATGTAGTTAGCGATAGTTTTGATGTTTTCTTTTTATTCATAGATGGAACAAATTTCAATCTCTGAGTTAAAAGATGAACTCAATGAGATCGATGTCGACAGTATTAAATTGGATGCTGTTATTCAATTGAAAACATGGCAAAAGAAAATGCATTCACTAATTAATAAGACATACGCAGATCGTATGCATGAAATTGATTCGATAGTATCGAACGCTGCAAATGAAGTCAGAGAAAAACAAAATCAACTCAGACATTGCCAGAAAAATGATCGCGATACACTTACTCAATTAAAAGCCGATATTGATTCATTAAAATCGAGTATCGTTATTATCGAATCAATTCCAGATAATTTCGAACAGCGAATCGAACGTACCGTCCGTGTGTGTACACGTAATGAAGATGCTGATACAGATGATGTTTTTATTGATGAAGAAGAAGAAGACGATGATGATGAACCTGTTATCGTGGATATCGATCGACACGAAACGCGATCTGGAGATAAAATTCTTGTTGTTGCCACTGCACCTACACCCGTCTCTACTCGAGAAGGAACAGTTTCAAGAATCTTCAATTCTCGACCAGTACAAAATGCCATTGCAACCGGTATCACCAGAACTTTGGTTAATGTGGGTACAATCGCTGCTACGAGTACGACCACAGTGGCTGCAACAACAATGGCTAAAACAGCATTGATTGCTACAGCTTGTGGTGTTGGAACAGTGGCATACGGTGTGGGAAAGATTGCAATGGGAACAACAAGAAAAGTTTGGTCACTGGTCATGTCATCGGATGATTAAAATATGAACTCATCTCCTCGTATACTTTTCTGTATATTTTGTATTCTTTTTTTTTTGATTGAAAATGTCGTTTGATATATCATTAACCCAGAGTACTCTAATTTTGCTTGCGTCAATCTTGTACTGTACTTTTGCCTGTTTTTGTAGATTATCATGAGTGAAGCAGGTGATATCATCCAACCAACTATTGATACTAACACAAAAAATGTCAATATCGAAGTAGCAGGTACAGAGTCATTGTTTTAAACACAAGTTTTCAAAATAGTCATTGACTTAAGCTCGTGAACCGTGGCCTTTGAACGCGTTTCTGTATGTTCCATTGAAAGAACAAATGGTCCTCTGGGCACCTGAATGTTTGACAACACTGTGTTTGCTACGTAAAGCACGCGTCCCATCGTTAACTATCGAACACGTTCGTAACGCAGCGGAAATGTCGAATTATGGTAAAAGTCTCTTTTCAATCAATCGTCACACAACTGACTTTCGAATTTAGGAAGTCCGCCTGTCTTAGCTTTGAACAACCGAGCGTTCAGTGAATTCGATGAGATTGCTAATCTGATCGAGCTTAAAGTAAGTGAAAACGCGTTTCACTATGGAACAGAATACTTCAATTTGACTGTGACCAACTAGGGACTGTTACCGAGCAATGATGGACAAAATTCCACAGTTGATAGTTATTCAATCTTATGCACTGAAACACTTGGCTCATTGATGGTTTGTCTAATAAAATTTAAGTTTTGTTTTTTTAAATTTTGATCCATGTACTTATAGAAATACTTTCTACTCTGCGAAAAAGCTGGAATAGTAAGAAAGACACAGGCTAAATTGAGACAGTGCATATCATTCCATTGCTTTGCATAGACTGCGTATCAATCGTTTACATCCGTATATCCTTGGCCACTTGGTTTCATTCTCTATTTAATCTATCGAAAACAGACGATTAAAGCATTACAAGTCAAAGAAATCTGGTCTTTGTCTTACGAACAAGTAAGGAATTAGATTAGCAAACATATCACAAACGAATTCGAAAGTATTTTGCTCTGCAGGCATTAAATAAATTCGAAACAACGGTTAAAGCACTGTCAGATAAGATTCAGCAGAATAATTCAAATTATCTTCTCGGTGACAAGTAACAATTCAATGAACCAGAAGATCATTTTCCATGATATTTCTTTCTAGTTTTACGAAAGCCGATGCTCATCTCTATGGTCATTTGTATCCTATACTTCATTCGAGGGTGGCTGAATATGAAGCATTACGAAATGCGCTTGAAAAATTGCAACCATTGGTGAACTACGTGAATAACTTAGAAAAAGATGTTCACGGACTGACTGTCTTAGTGTCATGAAAAACTCTTCTTCAATAATTAGATTCTTGTTTGCTTTTTCACATGGTCCCGTTTAGTTGTATGAACACTTCTTTCTTTTATAGAATCTAGTTCAATAAACTTCATATTTTCATTTTGTTATTTTAAGAAAATACACATCTGAACAAGAATCGTCCTTTTTTATCAAACACTCATCGGTTTCTTTGAAAACCGAAAACGTTCAGCTCGAAACGAACCAATCTAGATTACAAGTCCTCACAGTTGAAATCGTCATTATGCACTTCGATAAGATGACTTTCGACAAGTTTATCATCGATAGTGTTCACTTTCAATAGAACATATGCGGAGTGTTCGTCTTTAGCAACATACTTCGTGAAGTCCCACTTATGAATCACATATGAAAACATGTCTAAAATATTATTCAAGTTCAACCAGAGAAATTGATCAATATGCTGTTAAAACTGTTCGATGGAGAGAAACAATTTCACGGAATGCGCTTTGTGAGCGAATGTCAATCTGAATGGCGTTTCTTTTGTCACTCACTATGACAGGAAAACTTGTGCCGACTATAAGCGTCACATATTAATAAAAAAAGCAACGCAATGTACAAAAAGAAGAACAGATTACAAAATCTTTGATTCACATGACACTGGACTAAAAAATGCGAAAATTTATTCTCACTACAGCACATATACACAATCACACCTCACTTGAAACTGCAACCGCTTTCCATGCAATAAAGCTTAGTTGATTCCTGGCGACATCTACGACAAACAATTATTTGCTATTGGATCTTGTTCTAATTATATTTTGATCAAATAAACAAAGTAAATATAAATACGACAAAATTCTGCATTGTTGAGACGAAGAAAAATATCGATCTAATCCGATTCTTTTTCTTTTTTTGATTCGGTTCTATTCCTTTTCACTTTGATTTCGTTCTCGATAGTAAAGACATACATATCTTCCTTCGCTAAAGATAAAACCGATGGCTTTTGACGATCCATTTAACAGTAACAATGTGCCAACGGAAGATGGAACATCGAATAATTTCTATAATTTCAATGATGAAGACCCGGCTGCGGAATTTCTCGAACGAGAAAAACGCGAATTAGCCGACATAACAGGTGATAATGATTTGAATTCCTTCGATGATTCCTTCGGTGCCAAAGCAAACCATAACGATCTGATAACGAATGGTATTGATGAATAGTTTTCTCTGAAAAGAAAGTTTCAGGCGAATCTTTTTCTTAAGGCACACATTCGCCAGATTTCAATGGCAATGGTTCACAATCGCCCATTCCAACGAATGAAAATGGTAATCAATATCAAGCGTTATCGCAATTGAATGAACCTGAAACGATCCAAAAATGGCGAGAAGAATTTTCTATGCGCATAAATAAAAAAGATACGGAAGAGGAAACAAAGCGTCATGAAATGCGCGAAGAAGCAAAAAAAGAATTAGATGATTTTTATAAACAACGTGTCGAACAAATGGAACGTGTCAAAGGACAGAATCGTTTGAACAATCGTACTCCAGAAGATGAAATCTTCAAAAATGGAGATAATTCCATTTCCAATGGCAAACTAAATGATTGGGATAAAATCACAAGTTTATGCGAATTCAATCCCAAAAATAATCGCTCACAAAAAGATCTAACTCGATACCGAAGTGTTCTACTTCAATTAAAACAGCAACAAACAACAGCAAAATAATCACTTCTCTTCTCTTTTCTAAACTAATTTTACAAATGATTATTATAAACATCCTCTAGTTCGATTCTACACAAAATTTGGCTTTAATGCGTTGTCTGAGTTTAATCTTATTTTTACTTCTTCATTCCATTGAAAATAATTAAACCAGACACATCCGATCTGACTTATTTAGTATCATCTGGCAATATCTTGTCTGTGTTCATTTTTCTTCATCATTTTGATGTACACTCATCTAGAAACTTGTCTTTTTTTTCTCTGATCTGATTTTCTTCGTTTTACACACGTACACACCTCTAGTGGCTTCTCGATTTTTCCTCTTGTTGTTCGTTACGTTACTATTGTTGTTACACCATTTTCTACAACCGGCCAAAAGCCGATCGATGTGTTTGCAATGTTTCATCATTTTTTGCTCTCTCTTGCAATATAACACCAACCAAACAATTCTGCATTGAATCTTTTAGATATTCCATCATAATGAGTGTCACAAATCTAGTTCGATATCAGTCGATGATATCAAGATTGAGCTATTTAACAACAAGATCTTTGCTAAATATCGAATCAATCAATTGTACGTAAAGCAGTATTGAACAACTACTCCATAGAACTGTCTTGTTTGGAAAATAGGTGATGCCCGACGACATGCTGGTCATGCTCATTGGCAAAATATTGCAAAGACCAAGTCAGCGAATGACCAAATCAAAGGACGTGTGATAGGAAAATTAGCTACTAAAATTGTCGCCGCTATTCGACGTACGTACTTCAGCAATAGACATATGATCATAGTTTTCTGACTGTCGTTCTTGATTTCCTAGTAGGATGGGATCAGAACAGATTTATGAATAATTACCTAAGAAGAATCAGAGAGAGAGAAGAAATGAAGCCCATAACTGATTGATGAAAGTCTATATAATAATTCACTTTTAGAAAATGGTAATGTTACCGATCCACAATACAATGCAGTTTTACGTGCAACACTAGAAGAGTGTCGTCGGAATAATATGCCGAAAGAAACTATTGATAGATCAATCAAACGAGCCGTATGATTCGCATATCATATTCTCGCGGTAATGGAAAATCAACGAAGTTTTATTGTAGATTGCTCAAAAAGACAATACAAAACAAGCTCTCTTTGAATTCGTGGGACCTGGTCGTGTGTTTTGTCTGATTGAAGTAATGACCGATAACCAGAAACGCACATTGACTTATCTTAACAAGAACGCTGCTAAAATTGGGTAAACATTCTTCATTGTTCTTCAAAAGAGAAATCGTCGTCAATTTATTTGGTTTTCAGAATCCCTGAGGTGGCAAAAGGTGGACAAATAGCTGAATATTTCGATCAACGAGGTTATGCATGTATTGAAAAAGCCAATGTTACAGAAGACAAAGCTACTGAACTAGCAATTGAAATCAATGCAGAAGAAGTTGTCGAATCCGTCGATGATGACGGTGTACGGGAAGTATGGAAGGTGAGTTCATCGTTCAAACCTTAATTATACACTATCGTTCATTTAATTTTAGTTTCTTGGCCCGCCAGCATTTTATGGACAAATGAAAGTGAATTTAACTCAGCGCGGCTATAATGTCACGTCGGATGGTTCAGAATTCCTTCCTAAAGTCACTGTACCGCTGAACGAACGCGATAAAGCAGTGCTGAAACAAATCATAGCTATGTTTGAAGACTTAGAACAAGTAGAAGGTGTTCATACAAATGCCGCATGAAAAGAATTTCAATAAAATAAACGTGTTTTCTGTTTCGAGAAAGATAAAGAAAAACTAGTTCAAATTCATCACTTTTGACAAGTGCTATTGTGCGTATAGTGTCTTTTCAAAAACGCTTTTCTCATTGAATTGAATGCATCAGAAGAGATGATGATGACAAGCGGATTTAACTAAATAAAACTTTATTCAGATAGGTTTATAAATATTTACAAGAACTCAAAGGTGCCTATTCAAGCGAAATTTACTCGTATCTGTCCCATCATTTGATGACGATGTAATAGAAATTTCTGTTAATTCAGCAATACAATGCTGTTCATCATCACATTGACGTTTTGGATTAACGCGATTGTTTCGAACAAATGAATAGATAGCCGACGCTGTTTTGTGATTATTTTTCGAACTTGAACTACTTATTTCAGTGTTGCTCGTCATATTCGAACGAATCGTAGACTTTTGATCAACATAATCCGCAACAGTCGCTCGAAACAATGCGATGATGTTTTCCGGCGTTAACGCTTTCGTTTGTGCACGTATATGGCGACGGAATTGATTAATAATCAACGTACAATCTTCAGGTAGAACATTCCGTATCAATGCACTTAATTCCATTTTGAGAATATCAGGTAAGTGATAGGTTTCATTCGTTGGCTGTAGAAGATTATTGCTTGGTCTTAACCATGAATAATCTACCGAGGAATGTCGCTTTGCTGGCATTACAGTTAACGAGGAACTTGATGTTGACAAGAATCCACCACTCGCGGAACTGTTTAACGTTTGAGTATTTCGTAAACTTGAATTAAGACAATTTTGACATTGACTTTCTAATTCATCTAACAAAGTTTCGGCAATGGAGCTTTTTTCTGCATAAGTCGACGAAACCGAATATGCGTCATTCGATCCTGAATAACGACGAAATAGATTACTGAATGCCATTGAGCAGAAATGAAGAAACGACTAATCGTTCAAGGAATTATGTTGGAAAAGATACAAGAATTAACATCAACGTAAGTTTCTTTCTACTTGAACTTTTCTTTTTTTTCCTCTTCTTAATGTAAGCCGAGGAAAGTTTGTTGGAGAACCGATGAACGAAGGATGTTGAGAAAAAGGAAAATGAAAAACGAAGTAAATAATTGTGAGAAGAAGAAGAAGAAGAAAACGACGATGAAGTCATATCAAACGAGAATCTTCTCCACGAAGAAAAAAGACAGAATTGACTAAACACTATCTTAGATGAACGTGATGAGATTAGATGATGACGTACATCGATATCGAGTTCGGCGTTTTCCTTCTGATTAAAGTTTCTTTTATAGATGTAATATACAAGCGAGGAAATCATGTGGATAAAAGCATAATTTGACATTGTTGACGTTCGCCTTGCTTGTTCATTTGTTACTTATCAAATGCTATCTTTTTTCTGTTCTATTTATATACCTGACCGAGATGAACATTCTTTTTTTAGTTCAGAAAAAGAAAATTTCTAATGAGAAACGATCAACAATGAATCTATTCACTTGAAGAACAGTTCCGAATGAAAGACAAATTCTTCAAGATAATGGAAACATTTGTTCGTCCGAATGAAAAAATTAGATCCTTCCAATTTTTGACCAAAATAGAATTTTCTGTGAGATTTAGAATTCTTTTATTTTAGCGTATTTCATTCACTGATTAGAATATTCTTACCGAAACACTGGCAGAGGTTATTTTTAGCAAATTTGATTTAAAAATTAATGTTGAGACTCTTAAAATAAAGATTCCCATTGTCAACTCAAATGTCGTTTTATCCACAAGTACTTAGTTTTCACCTATGGCGTCATATATTCGAACATAATGCATGTTACTCTAAATAATCCAGTCAGATTTAGCAAATGATGTTCTGTTCCGTCTAATTACACAATTTTCTAACTAGAGATGTTCGTTACGTGCCATTGTTAGATATGAAAAGAAAATACCATGTATATATATTACATAATGTCGACCTGAACTTTTTACTTGTTTAACTTTATTATTTTACTACGAGGATATTGGATTTCACTCCATTATTTCCTGTTGTAAATAGAAAGCGAATTTGCGTGTGGAAAATAAATATTTTCGCGAATGCATTATCAAGGTGAGAACAGGAAATTGATCTCATCAACGTACATCTAATGGTGATTAGAAAATGCTCATTATCTGTTTCGTGTTGTTAAACAGAATTCGAATCGTGGATCAATTTCAATAAGTAAAGAATACTTTCTCTCGTCGTCATCTATTAAACAAGTCAATATGGATTAACTCGCATCCGTTTTCGTATGCCTGACATCATAATTCGTTTATTTATTCAACCATTATCATGATCAACAAGACGTAGAGAACAACAAGAAACTTTGATGATCAGCGGTGAAAAATATATATCAAACGGATTAGACATATTTGCTTACAACCTATCGAATCAACAGTGCCACTCGAAAGTGACTTTTGTTCTTGTGAAAAATCAGCTGGAAAATTGATGATTTCAATGGTGTGATTGTGAAGGATATCTTTATCTATTTGACATGGTTATCGTACATGAAAAAGAACAGAATATGGGAAAAGTGTGACCAATTTGCTCAGCATGTTCGATCTTCTGTTCAAAGAACAAACTTTTTGCTTAACCTCCTCCTCCTCCTTTTTATCGATAGAGATGCGAACGAAAGGTAATTTGATCCTTTATGACGCAAATATTTCTGTTGAGGCACGCATCGAGTACGCAAAACTTCTAACGATGTTTGTATCGATCATCGGCCACTAAAGCTCTCAGCTCTCTTCGAAGAATAACAAAACAAAACACTATGTGGGCTTTCTTTCATTCATCCATCCATCCATTCATTGTCGTCCATCAGTGAAGATCCAATTTCAACTGATCATCATCACGCAAGTCCTTTTATTCATACACTTAACACGCAAAAGGTACATCTCATATTTCAAGTTCTTGTCTCGCTTGTGCATACACAAAGTGCTTAATCTTAATATTGACATATCGTGCTTACTTCTTTCGACATTATTAAACAAAGGAAACGTTTTTTCTCTCGCTTTTGTATATCTGATCATTAAAGAAAAAAAAAGGACAAATTAAAGTGAATGGTAATCTCTTAAAATAGTTGTTGATGACGAATCGATCAGTTCTAATGTAGATTTCAATGGTTGTTGCTGATGGTGATGGTAATGTTGTTGTTGTTGTGATGGATGAGGAAAACAGATCGGAAAATCGACATGGAAATGTTCGTTCGTATTCAAATTCGTTGTTAAGCCCAACGGTGCGCGAGTACTTGGTTCACTATTGGTTGAGCCAAGATCATCTAATGAATTCTCACCATTATGTGAAGGACTTATATCAATCGTTTTTCTAAAAAGAAAACAAAAACATGATTTCTTCTCGTTGCTTTTCTACACCTACGTGAAATCGTTTCTTCTTATCAGCATGAAATATTATCAAAAGAAATGTGCGTAACTCTGATCTTCTCAAAGAAGAGACATTGTTTGTTATTCTCTTCAATTANGTAGGAGTTCGATTATTTTACATTCTTTTTCTTCCTCAGATATGTTAGCCGGTACGTTTAAGCCCATAAAATTCTTCTTTATCATTGTCTAACTTCCTCTTAACAAGGTCAGAGAAGACAGATGAAGATCTTATCCATTACATGTGTCTTTTTCCTCTCGACAGAAGAAGCAACATAATCTTAATGTAGACGAGTATTTCCTTAACATCTATTTGTTGTTTTTTCTCTTTAGGTTGATTATATAATTAGCAAAATCTGAATTCAAACAAGACGTTGATAACATAATTCTTTCATTCGACGTTTTTAACCTTCAACTCGTTCCGTCCATTTTAATCTATCATGTATCAAAATAAGCACAGCATCTTTCTTATACTACTCTTGGCTTTAATTATTCACAAGTATTATTGTAAAGAACAAACTTATATTCATAATCAAGCTAAACCACAACGTTTTCATGTGGCAGAATTCAATTTTGATCACGTGTCTGATGTCTATGCTATTACGCTATGGATTCTGCTGGGCTCGTTGGCAAAAGTTGGTAAGAGTTCGAAAATGATCGAGAGATACCTGCTAATGGTTTGATGTTTTTTTTTCTCCTAGGTTTTCATCTCTCACATCGTTTAACAGAAAAATTTCCTGAAAGTTGTCTCTTAATTATATTGGGTCTTATTGTTGGTGCTTTGCTTTATATTACTCATTTAGCTGAACAAAAAGCTTATGTTTTGAATAGCGATACTTTCTTCTTGTTTCTTCTACCGGTAAGGGAAACAAAAGAATTTTTTATTATGATCAATTCTTTGTCATTGAGTATATTTTTGATCTTGTTCTATTTTCCCTTCCATATTTTGATTAGCTAAGGACCGCAGGGAGATCATCGAAGTCTTCTAATCGTTTGTTATAGGTATCAAAACAGTAGGAAATGATATGGCGTTAATAGGCGACTAGTCATATGCGGCACTTTCTTTTGCCTTATAGTACTGGAAAAATGAGGAAGAAGATGAGAGTGCAGGATATCCTTTCAGCAAGTCAAATTTCTCTTCTCATTTTACCCTCATGTCAATGATGGGTATATTTATACCGCAAATGACTATCTCATTGCTTACGACGGTTTTTTTTAGCCAATTATTCTCGAAGCTGGCTATTTCATGCCTAATCGCCCTTTCTTCGATAATCTTGGTACAATTCTCCTACTTGCTATAGTCAATACTCTTTTCAACACAATTTGTATTGGTTTAACATTATGGGGTTTTTCCTACACACCGCTCTATGGTGGAACACAGTTCGGCATGTTGCCGTGTTTCGTCTTCGCTGCTTTGATATCAGCGGTCGATCCTGTCGCTGTCTTAGCTACATTCACTGAAATTCATGTTAATGACATGTTATATATCGTGGTCTTTGGCGAATCGCTCTTGAACGATGCTGTGTCTGTCGTTCTGTATCGCATGTTCGATTCCTTTGCTAAAATTGGTCAAGAAAACTTGATCGCCCCGGATATCATCTTGGGTTGTTTATCATTTTTTGTTGTTTCACTTGGTGGAGTATTAATTGGTATTATATTCGGCGTTGTGGCGTGTTTTACTACAAAATTCACTGAACATACACCTGTTCTTGAACCATTAATTATTCTTGTCTATGCTTATTTGGCTTATTTAACATCTGAAATGGTGTCTGTGTCTGGCATCCTAGCGTATGTATATAAAAACAATATTTTCTTCGATGGCAATTTTCATTTTATTCTATCTAGAATCACATTTTGTGGCATGGTAATGAAGCAGTATGTATCATTTAACATTTCGAAGAAATCCGATGCGACAACGGAATACGTTTTGAAAATGTTATCAAGTATTATGGAAACAATCATTTTTATGTTTATGGGCTTGTCAACAGTGAGCGATCATCATTCATGGAATACTGGTTTCGTGTTGATTACACTACTTTCATGTTTACTCTTTCGTGTTATTGGTAAGAGCAATGTTTAGGCCAAAGTGAACATGTGATTTTCATAATCATCTTACATATTTAGGTATTGCGATCTTTGCTAATCTAGCTAATTGCTGGCGTTTGCTGGAATTAACACGTATTGATATGTTGATTATGTCGTATGGTGGTCTACGTGGTGCTATTGCATTTGCTCTTGCTCTTATTCTTGACGAAACAAAAATACCTAGGAAAAAAGAATTTGTCACTGCAACGATCGCCGTCGTTTTCTTCACTGTTTTTGTTCAAGTAAATGAGATTTGCTTTCGAGATAAGTGTCTAGAGATCAATTTAGGGTATAACCATCGGTCCACTTGTGAAATGTCTTAACGTACGACGAAAACAAATTGAAGAGCCGACAATGTCAGCAAAATTAACTAATCGAGTAAAAGACATACGATTTTAATTGTTTTGTGATATCTTATTGCGCTCTTTGGTTTTAAGATGATGGACCATGTAATGACTTGTCTCGAAGAAATATCTGGTAGTGGTGGAAGTAATTCCTTGCGTGACAAGTAAGTTCGAATAAGAGAAAGCGGAATTTCTATATCATTTTCGTGCACGAATTATTCTTCAGATGTCGAAATCTTGATCGAAACTATTTCAAACGTTGGTTATTACGCGAAACACCGCAAGAAAAAATGGACATTAAATTATTGCAAACATTCAAAAAGATTAACATGCAATCAGCTATGAAAGTTCACGATACTTCGAAAGGTCTCGTTCCAGCACCGTCATCATCGGCTATCCATACGTCCGTATCAGGAAGTAATCTACGACCTGAAAGCACATTTGCAAACTTCTCACAATTATTAGCAGCAAAGTTCGATCAAACTGATTTTGTTTTGAAAACTTGTATTCATACTGGTGTCTATTTAATAGTTTGCCTGAACAAACTGTACCGGATCTGATGTTCTTTGAAAGTCAAGGAGCCGAACAATATCGTGATGATGCACAAATGCATCATTTTCTTGATACCAACCTGTACCGTGCCAGACCGAGAGTAAGATATTAACTCAATATCTTGAAACGAAGCAAGCAATCGTAGTCGTGCTTGTTGATTTGAATCAAGACTAAACATGATGTGTTCGTGTCAACTAAAACAATTACTTGTTCTAGGCAGCTATTCATCTTCGTAGTCAGGATGAAACAGCCGGTTCTGGTGAAGCAAACAACCGTTTTGAAAAATCGTATCATCATCGTAATCACATATACATCCCATCAAGAATGGATAAGGATCAGGCTCACGGACGGAAGTCTGGTAAAACAAGCAGTAGTGGTATGACTCGTTCAGGCGCTTCGAAAACTGCATTAGCAACACAAGCACATGACAATGCACATTCGCCCAGGCATTCAGCAAGTTCAGTATCGAAACAACAACATACGAAAGGAAAATCAGTCTCACCGATACCGGACAAAAAGAACCAGGAACAACAATCGCAACAGCAATTAGGAAAAACAAGAAGTAAAAGTCCTACGCTTTCAGCAGATCAACCATTGAAACCACCATGTATGTCCACTTAACAGACCTTTTTTTTCCTTTATTAAAAGTTTCTTTAGTGCCGACAAATGAAGTTCATCAACCATCGCCTCCTATCTCTATTCGTATTGAAGATGAAGGTACTGTATCTAACTAAAACTAAATTTAACACATCTTATTTGTCAAATAGAAACTGATGTTGCAATGGATGGAGCTACTGCTGCTGAACGTATTTGTCCGTGGCGTCGTTCTTCTATACCCGACGCTTCACGATCAACATCTGCATCACCAGTTAATGATCCGTCAAATGATGTTCAAGCATCTTCGAATGTGACTGATCCACATATACATCCAGGTCCATTGACTTCAGCTAGTTTTAGCGGTACTTATAATAAGTCACTTGAATATATGGGCGAGTATGCAACGACAACAAAACCCGAAGAACATTTACAACGGCCGCATATTCGTGATCTGTTCGCTGATCCATCTCGAATTCCAGATGAAAAGCAAGAGAATGATACTGACACTGTTTCTGATGACAGTACAACTCATTTGTGAACATTTGATTCTTTTTCTTTTTTGTTTTTAAATATATTATTCGTCTTTCTTTGTGTCATTAGACTATAATATATGACTAATAAAGCAATGCCAATAGACTGCGAAAATTCAACTATTTCAATATTTGCTAGTACCTTCTCTTGAAGAGAATCGTTCACCATGATAAAATCCATATTCTTCATTGAGGTGTTCACTGCGAAGTTGGTACTTGATGATATATCGATTCGACTCAATAACATAACAAAATAAAAAATTCCTTTTGACACTATCAACTTTTGATCATTTATTAACAGCCGAGGAAAGGCTTCGCTCTTACAAATTAGTTCAGCGCCTTTCGGCTGATTTCACGAGGAATCTTGATATGATATTCATCGTTAATTTCAACATGTTTCTTCCGTATAAAGCGTAGTAACACACCTACACTCACTTCATTGTTCTTTCTATTCTCTTTTGTTTCACTTGACAACTGCAATAAATAGGTAGCTCTCATCAAATTAAGTTTAACTGCGTCATTCAGGTCTTTATTTGAGAAAATTCATTTCTTTACAGCATTGATGTTGGTTATTCAGATCGTTTTGTCAAGTAAAATATAGCAGAATAGAAGAGATCAACGACATTTAGTGATTAATAATTTAAAAAATCATTGTCTTGTTTTCCTTATCGATTGCTTTCAATTCTCCTTAATTTGGCTGACTTGTAATTGGAATACGGGCACCACGTTGAACTCCTAGGAAACGAGAATGAATAGAAGGAAAGTTTTATTGTTTCATGTCAAACCTCGCGCTTGCATTTCGCGTGCTTCTTGACAATTAGCGCAGCCACTACAGCACCAAGTAGCAAGAAGATCACTTGGATCTTCGGCGAGGTTGTAAGCTGCTCGAAGTGTTTGTCGCCGCGGTTTATGAAGCAAACAACATAAACCACAGGCTGATAAACATGCATATTGAACGCACATCGGTATTACACCTGACCCATCAATCTGTTCAGCATTTTGACCGAATAAATAACACGAACAACACCAGCCAAGTAAACATGTCGGAATGTCTTCGAAACATCCGAATAAGCCGACTAGGATAGATATTTGAATATATGAAAAAGTTCAAGCAATCCAACAAACAACTTACCTCGCCACGGTTGTGTCATTTTAATTCTTGTCTATTGTCTAAAATGTCAATAAGTGAAACTGGAAGCAAATGAAGGTTTTCCGCTAACGGATGCCCGACTTTTATGGCCCAACACTCCTTCTTTTCTCTATATGTTCTCCATACAACAATATCACCATCGTTGCTAACAACTCTTTCTTATTTAGGTGCTGAATATTATGAGAAAAAAAAAGGAAAGAAATTTCACTTTCAATACGCAAACGTGTGATATAACAAAGGCGTTGAGAAAAGAAAACTCTTCTAAAGAATATAAAACATTACTAGTAGTTACCAAGGTTATACTCTTCTAGAAAAGTGTGTTAAAACAAAAGAGACACTTCTATGGAAATATGTTAATATGTTGGCAAGACAAACACTAACTTAGCAATGCTGCCAGTAGAAGAAAGTGCATAGCACTTACTCTTCTCTATTACATAAATTGACAAACATATACAACGGTTCGGTCATGTAGTTTATTCAATAGTGATTTACATTTACGTGGAATAGATTTGACATCTAACGTAATGAAGTGTATGTTGTGAATAACAATATATATACATAGAACAGGCGCGAACTTTGTTTTTCGTCAGTTACATTGTGGCTCAGTTCGAGTCTTATAATTAAATTTGAATTCATGGTGTTAGTAAAATAAAGAAGATCGATGAATCTTCATGTCTTAATGTATGTGCGTGTTCCAATTCGAGAAAAACGAATTAGTTTACTCGCAAATCATATTTGAAATGATCGTGTAACAGTTTGAGTCGTAGATGAATTTAGTAGTAGATTTAATCTTGGAAGTCTTTGCTAGGTACAAATTATTTCACAGAATACATATCCACTTGCTTAACCAACCAATTGAAAGTGTACTTTCCTTATTTGTTACGCATCAGAACATACTTGTACTTTCTGGAAAAACTATGAACTTACGAAACTTGTATTTCTTGGTACGTTTGTGAAAAGAAAAGAGAACTGTATGTATTTGGAACAATACTTTTGAGCAAGTCAGCGCTTCCAGAACTTATACATTTTCACCAGTTGATGAAAGAATTTGTGCAGAATTTTACAAATAAAAATAAACATTATATGTTGATTTCTTTCGAAATACGGATTATTATCAACACTCGAGCCAGCTCATACAGCCAAAGACCGATATGTTCTAATACAACATTCTCCCAGGTATCCGAAAATCACAATATTTGCTTACAGAGCCAGATATTTGCGAAAATTTCGAATCTAAATCGTATTACTATTTACGTTGCTCTTGATTGCACGGCGCTGAAACAAGATAAGCGGCTGATGGAAGTTAGTCAAGTTACTAAAAAGACATTACCACACTTTACAGTTCATAAGAAAGACCAAATCTAATCTCAGCAAATATTCATCTTCGTATAATAAAGTTTATCACATGTGATTTTGACAAATATTTTAACTGACGCTGTTTTTTTTAAATTTTTGTCATACTCGGTGATCTAGTCATACGAAGGTGAAGAAGATATGTGTGCATCAGCTGATGTTGCTGGTTTTGTCGTAGTTTGTGAAAGTCTACATTTTTTTTCCTATAATTTAACTGTTTAACTACATGTTAAGTTATTCTAGTCATCATCATATATGATATGAATCCGAAGTACAAGATCTGATACAATTAGATCCTGAATATAACAACCGGAGGATTATTTACAATGTCATGCGTGAATAGAGTACGTAATCTTTGGTACTTATCCCCATAGATAGCGGAAAATCAACCAAAGTATGTATAAAAATAGAATTAAAGTTTAAATGAACGTCTACGAAAATAGATCTGATGATTAAAATTGAACACGATTATCAGAACATGAAATGTCGGTTCTATGTTTGATCTCACGGTGTTTGTTCAGGAGAAAGTCATGACTTAGTATCATAATTTTTACAAATTATTTTCCAAAGTTAAATCTTGTTTGTTTTTGAATATTCACTAGTCGCATCAATCTCAACTATCTGGACAAATATTTACTTTTTGAAAATCACTTTTTACTTCACATTGTAGTGACATGCCAGTCACAGACATGACCGTAATTTCCCAGAAGTTCATATTATCAAAGATTAGGTCATATCGTCCAGTTAACTACGCACTGGTACTTTTGCTATTTGTATTCAGTTTTATATGGAACTTATCCAAAGTATCTAGCATTAATCTGATAAGTATTTACTAGCTTTTCACTATCGTACAACGTCGATTTAAAATGACATCGACATACATGAAAAGTACATCTATACAGTTATGATAATCAAAATAGAAATAAGCGAAAAACACTAGCTTCTTGTCTATTTTAACCCGTGAAAAGGGTATCATTAGTTGGTAAATCTTCTGCGCGCTATATTCTATATTCTACGATGAATAAAACACTAGTGAAATCGTAAGGTATGAAACTAGGCGATGCCTCTTTGACTGTTAGAGATGAGAAAATATACGGCATTTTCCCAGAAAGAGGAACATAGTTTGTTACCCGTGAAATAATTATTCACTTCAACAGTGCATCTAGTGAGTATCTTGCAATGAGTCATATATAAGCACATATAATTCTGCAAGATATCCTATAACTTCGTCTCGATTTATTTTATAAAAAACATCAGACTTTCTTTGTATTTAGGGTATATGATATCAGTGTCAAAATGAAGATTCTCGTTGTTTTGCTTTCAATACGTCGGATTAGTCCCGTCTTTTCTACGTAATAATTAACTGGGAAAACACTGCTAAAAATTGATCAGGAATTTCGGAATAATGAGAAATCGGTGTATGGAAGTATGAATGTGTGTTCAGGGGATAAAATATTCACATCCACCAATACTGAAACCATTGATCTATACAGATTCTCCATTTTTCTGTTTGAATTAGTATGAATATTACAATACTCTAGAATTACATCCAAATTCGTTGAACTTCTGCCAGTTTTTCTTTGTCGGTCTTTCAAGTGCCAAGAAAGTTGGGACATTCATCACTCACGGACTCGTGCAGTGTACTGAACCGCCAAAAATAATTTTCTTCACGGTCATTCGGATGTGTGTTATCTGATGCTTGGAATAGATAGCGCGAAACATAATTCACCCAACTAACTGACATCTTATTCAAATATGAGCTATTATAAACTTCAATTGTACGATCACGAATCTCTCCATTCTTGTTCTAGATCAAATATTTACTCTTGAATCATGTCTGCAACACTTGCTCAAGCTCAACAAATAATGTCTTCGTATGGTCTTTCGATATTTTATATTTTAGGCACAATTGGTAATTTTCTTTTAATTTGTATATTTTTACAGCCAACGCACCGTCGAAATCCTTGCTCACTCTATTTATTGGCTACAGCGATTGTCAACTTTATTCTTATACAATGTGTTCTACCATTGTCAGTCTATTCTGCATATCACACCGATCCACAAAATGTCTCAATGATTTGGTGCAAAATCCGTAGCTATTTATTCAATTCTCTTTTGATGATATATCGTTGGAATAAGACGGCTGCTTGTATCGATCGGGCAGCAATGTGTAGCCGATATGTCCGAATACGAGCTTTCAGTCATGTTCGTATTGCTCGTCGGATTATATTTATCATAATCTTCGTATGGGTCACGATACCAGTTCATTTAGCCGTTTATTTTCGAATCGAATCGGGTCATTGTATGCCATCACAAACTGCTTATGCAAAATTTTTCAGTTTCTACTCTATTGCAGTCTCAGGTTGGTCACCGGCATTAGCCATGGCTATATTCGGAATTATTGCATATAGGAATTTGAAAATGGTAGGATAGGAATCTCCCTGAGACTTACAGATTGAATTCGATCTTTCTGTAATTTCAGATTAGAGCAAATGTCCATAGACTGGATCATGCAGATCGGATGGCAATCGACCGAGGTAACAATCTCTATCAACAAGGATTAACATCAAAGCGTATCGGTCAACGCGATCAACAATCGGTTTTGTTACTCGTATGCGAGGTAGTTTTGTATATTTGTACAAATCTTCTGTATTCCATCAATATTACGTATTCGGCTATTACTGCTGACATATCAAAATCAGTGGAACGTATTGCAATTGAGTGGTTTATTGCTTATATTTCCACACCATTTTTAGTCATCATTAATAATTGCGCACCGTTTTATCTTTATCTCTTCGTTTCCAGTAGATTTCGGCAAGACGTCAAAAGATTTCTTACAAAATGTTGTTACACAGCTCGAGTCGTGCCGCAACCTGGTAATCTAGCGTCAATAGCTGCCCGTCAACAAACACGATAAGCCGCTTTCGAGCTTGAACAATCGTTTCATTAAACTCAATGTCGATATATCAGTAAAACTCAGCCATTTCGAATGGAGTGTCTATTGAAAACTATGGCGGGTAAATGGTACGCACGAAAATTATCATTATCTATCAAACGCTTCACAATGTTCTTGAATCTCTTGTAGTGTGCGAAAACATTCTTATAAGATATGAAATAAATAGAGAACATCCGAAGGTGAAGATAACATAACGATACGAAATGTTTCTAGAAAGTAAATACCAATTAAGTCTTTAGCAAAACTTGCCAGGTGCATTTGATACCAAAGGAGAGTACATCCGCCGACAAGCTTTTCGTATAAAGTAATGTAAAAATTTTCTCGAATGATTTCTTATCGTTTATTTCGAAAAATATTCGATGAAAAAACCACGTGCGAAAATCAATAAAAAAAACTTTATTCTATACTCAAAATGATTTTTCATTGAAAAAAATAGTCTCTCATCATTGTCTACTTCTATTTGTCTTGTCGTGTTGGACAAACGAGAATTTCTCGAATGCATACACGCTGTGGCTGTTCATAAGCAAACATAATACATCGAGATATATCTTCACTTTCCATTGGCTGACCCATGTTGGCTTTCCACACTTTGTAATCATCGACAATCTTTTTATCCGTCGAATGACTTAACAATTCAGTTTCGACAACGCCTGGCGCGATGTTAACAAGACGAACGTCATATTGAGCCACTTCCTCACGGATTTGTTCGGTAAATGCATGTACAGCAAACTTTGTGCCACAGTAAACCGCATGATCTGGAAGAGTTTTTCGTCCAGCGATTGAACTGATATTAACAATAGTACCAGTACGACGTTCAACTACATGTACATGCATAGGAAAAGTTGAGCGAATATCGTTTGCGACAAGTGTCACTTACTCATTGATGGTAAAACAGCATGAGTACCATTGAGAACACCCATTAAATTAACATTGAACATACGTTGCCATTCTTCAGGTTTTTGTGTTTGAACTTTACCCAACAGCATCACACCAGCGTTGTTAACAAGACAATCAACAGGTCCATATTTTTCAACCGCTTTTTCGATGGCTTCTATGAGTTTGGGTCTGTCTGTGACATCAACTTGAGAACAAATGGTGTTTGGTAATTTCAAAGCTTCCAATCGATCGAGACGACGAGCAATAAGTAAGAGAGGATGGCCAGCTTGAGAAAACGATCGAGCACAAGCTTCGCCAATACCTGATGAGGCACCTGTAATCACAACTAATGGTTTGCTTTTCGCTTCTGAAGCCATCGCCTTTGTGTTAAAATGAAAAGGGTAGAACAAAACGAGGAATATATAAAATTGCAAGACGATAACGAATGATATAAAACTGATAAGAAACAAGCGAAAAGCTTAAGGATGGACACAAAAATGGTTTTTTTTGTCATTCGTACGACATTTTTACATGTTGATGATAGAAATCAAGGGAATGGTGCGCAGAACATTGAAAGCTTAACTATGTACACAGACGACTGTTAGAAAATAACTTCTGCCTATACAGATGAAATAGTGTTTACCAAAGAATGTTGTTTGTGTCCTGTGTAAAATTGAGACAAGTCCATTTAATTTAAATCGATTCGAATATGATAATTCCCTCATCAGCGAATAGAATATTGTCTTCGGTGAGATAATCATGAGTAAACAAAAGAATCAATTCGATCTGTACAGATGAATACGCGATGAAATGATGGATACTGGCTAATTCTTGCACTTCACTATGCTTTATATCCATTTATTATATAAAAGAATATATCCCCGTCTTATAACAGTATAAAACAAACCGTTCTGGGTTATATAACATAGCTGTGAATCATAAATCACGAAAACAGATTTCTAATAGAATGTTTACTGCTTGTACCATGGATCGGTTCAATGTCATTTTATTATCTACAGTCACGATTTTTGTACATTATTCGTTTTTTTTTCTCCTCTGCGCATGTTTATGAATACAGTAGTAGGCGGTTATATGCATAATATCATCAATAGACTATCCAGTACGCACATCCTTTTCATCGTCAGCATCGGAGTTGAAGCAGTACAGACAAAAAGCGGCATCCTGATGGCAGACTATCACGATATTTCAGGTTAGTTCGTCTTCAATCATTGTTTTAGTCGTCAATATTCACTGTGATTAACTTATCAAGGAGAGAAATTTCATAAAATAATTGACATCCGAGCTTGTCAGCACTATATTTCTGATACTGTCGGAGATACTAGGTGCTCAGATTAATGTCGTTGTACTCTACATAAGCATATTTTACTAGATTTAATGAGTACAATCGATGACCATTTGGAACGCGCATTTATAAATTGTATTACATCACGGTCAGAATGCCCTCACGGCAAATTAAATTGCACTGTAATCGTGAATGATACGTGTGTAGTGCAGTGCGATGTTAGAACGTTTTTTAAACTTAATCTCAGTGTATACGTTTACATAATCTGGTTGCTTTGACCGTCACATTCATCTCCTTCCCTATGCTCTCGTTTTTTGATTCAAGTTATCCATTGGTAGCACGAAAAGAAAGATGGTGTGCTATGAAATCTGACAAAATGTGCCCTTCAAGCTATAATAAAAAGAAACTTTCAGAAGGAACCACGATTCGAAAAAGTAGAAATGCATTGAAAATTTGCTTATAAAGTAGCATTTCCCTAGAATAGCTCAACCAATCAGTTATCCTACTCTGATGTAATGCTGCTATGATTTTTGGGATTTATTTTTACCTGTATCTGTCATTAATTTTGTTCTTCTTGAACTAATAATATCGTTCTATCCAATCCAAGGATAGATAACCATACCCTCAAACCCGTTACCATTTCTGTTTCTACTCATTGATACTGCCAGTACCTAAAGAATGGATAAATAGATATTCTACTCATCAACTCATATATTGACGTGTCATCGTGTTCTATCTTTCGAAATAGAAACGAGGCCAATTTACATGGATGAATGTCAATCGATATTGCGAGCAATCATCGGTAGTTAAATTTACATTTACTGTTGTCAGTTGAAACATCTTCATTCATTGTACTTCAATAGATGAACAGCCAACGTCTCAGTTGAATGTCAACTACTCCAACTGGAAGAGAAAAATATCTATTCAGAACGCGAATAAACGTGACAGGAAAGGAAAAAAAAGTATAGAAGTCATCGAGTGCACACAACATATGTAGAGAAACAACAAAAAACTATGGTTATATAATCAGAATGAAAATCTTGTAAATCATCATCAAAATCACACGTGCAATAATTTTTCGTTTTCTCTTTTGAAAAGAAAACAGTTAGAACGATTTCATATGCAATTATCTTATAAATATGCATACTGCAATTCGTTATACACCTCTCTCCAATTTAGCACCAACAACGAACTCTAACACTCATCTGAATAAATCATTCGGCTCCCGGTTGTTATCCTACTGTCCTCGATTGATCTCACCGATATCATGGTGGCATTGTTTTACACTTCTGTATGGTTTGTCAACACGCAAAGAACGATCATTTAAATATGCTCTTCTTCATCTTTTTCTCTTAATCTTGGTTGGAGTCTGGTGCTTTTTGTATTGGATGATTACTGACGATGCAGGAAGGTATTTAACATTACTTACAAGTGTTTCAGGAAATAAAACAGATATTATACATGGCCGTCATCAATTCGATCAAATATTTTGGCGAACGGCAGTGAAAACAATATGGATATCGATTACTTTCGGTTTAATAAATGCGTGTGGAGTGAGCTTAGCAGCTGTTTGGAGACGACGACTATGCAAAGAATTCTATAATATCATTTTTCGGTAAATATTCTAATGAACAGAATGAAATTTAGAATAGATTTTCTAGTTCACCAAATGGTTGTATTCTTTACGAAACTTCTCAACAAGCAGCATATGATCTACCAACACAATTAACTAATGACATTCGTCAGTTTACATCTCATTTGAGCATAACATTTTTCGGTTCATTGTTCTTCTCTGGTTTTCTTGCTGTTAGCACCGCTGTTATAGTTTTTAGTGTTTACATTGTGAAGAAGACCAATGGCGATAAAAATGGAATTGCCATATGCTTTGGTAGCTTCATCTTCTCTGTGATACTGTTAATTTTAGTCAGCTATCGATTTAATCGAACAGCTGTTGAACAACTGAAAAGCAAAGGAAAAGTCCGGTCATTTTTACAACGCTTGCAGACCAATGCTGAATGCATCGCATTTTTTGCAAGTTCACGATTTTGTGAATTAGTCTCCTATCTGAAACTCAATGATCTGGTGCACAAATGGAATGTTCAAGCAGCTTTGTGGTATGCTGCCGTTAACATTCCACTCATTCTTATGGGTATGTCAATGTTTATAAGATTGCTTTGAATAATTTCCAAGTTTGTGTTCATTGTTTAGACTCATTGGGCGGTTTTATAACGTACATTTTACCAGCGATTCTCTTTTTCTTTCTTCGTAATGCACAACAACAAACACCCGAAGATGCAACAAAATATCTCAGTATCATTGCTTTCTACGGTTACGTGTTTTGGCTGTTGAGTTCATTGATGTGGATTAGCGAATCATGTCTAATTGCAATTACATTAGGAGATCGTCTTTGGCATCTTAAACAACGATTACTGCGTTTACAAACCTTTCATTTAGAACGTATTGAACAAGACCAAACGAATCAAATTACATTTGAGTCGACCGATTTAATCGAGGTGAGAAAATTAACTATTGTGGCTCCCGATGAACACGAACAACGAATTCTGCAGTCGAATATCAACTTATATGCACGACGCGGTGAATGTGTGCTAGTCAATGGACCGACTGGCTGTGGCAAAACAAGTCTTTTTCGTATCTGTGCAGGTTTATGGCCAATCGATGCTGAAATCATTCGATTACCAGCACGACAACAAACCATTTATATTCCTCAACGGCCTTACCTACCCGTCGGTTCGCTACGGTTTCAAGCGTTGTTCTTACTTGACATACGATCGAAAAAAAATGAAAGTGTCAACATCGATCATGAACAAATACGGAATTTATTTCAATTAGTCAATATGGACTATATACTCGATCGATACGACTTCGATGCTGTAAATAACAATGTTTCTGTAATGCCAATACTCGTGTTTGACTGTTCTAGATTGTCGACTGGTCAACTCATCTTTCGATTGGCGAACAACAACGTCTGGCATTTATTCGTCTGTTCGCATTATTCAAATATCGTCCTGAAGAAACTTCACATACATTAGTAATGTTCGATGAAAGCACATCAGCACTCGATACGAAAACTGAAGCGGTTATCTACCAGATTTTGCAAGATTTACGCGTTTGGTTTGTTACTATATCACATCGTCCTTCATTAATCAAATATCACCATAAAGAATTAACACTTCAACTTCCGAGTGGAAATCAAGACGAGAATTTTTTCAGTTTAAATATTGGCCCGGAAGAGTTGATCGATAGAGCAAATAATCAAAGTGTGGTATTAGAAAATCTAAATGAAACCGTCGTACCGGAGACACAACTATTCAATGTCATGCGAAGCAACTCATCGCCGGGCTACACTGCATTGAAAAAGTCCAATAACTTCGTGAAAGATATTCGAGATATTTGGAAAGTCATACATGTATCTTTCGGTGAGGATGGTAAATTACTTCGAATTCAGGTACGAAAAACAACATATTCCTATGAATCTGTTTTCATAGAACTTCTCTTCAACGAATTCTTCTTTCTTCACTAGACCTATACGGCATGGTGTATTTGTTTAGCTGTTATCGGTTGTTACACTTACATCTCTTATCGTCTGACGGTTCAAACAGGCGCAATATTTCGAGTACTTCCTGACTATGCCGCATCCAAAATCGACATCCAAGAAGGTCGTTCTCGAATAGCTCGTCTAGTATGGCAATTGCTATTGCATATATTCGGCTTATCAGCACTCTACAGCATACAATTATGTATTGGACAATATTTAGCTGCACTCTACACTCGTCGGCAATCTCGATACATAGCGCGACTTCTACTCGATGATGACGAGAATCATTCGACATTATACCATACTTCAACTTTGAAATCATTACCTAATATCATATCGCATGAATTAGCCGACTTGAATGTTCAACTGTTCTTTTTATTAGTCGGCTCAATGTATTACAATGGATTAATTGGTAAATTTGAAAAACGTCATCCACTTTAAGGCACACAACAGTTTTTGTATGTTGTAGGTGTTCTGGTGAAGTGTATTCCTTATACACTGTTGCTTGTTCAGCAGAGTAGTAGCACAAAAGGTGTACTGATCGTCTATTGTTACCAAATATTTATTTCACTACTGATCATGGTCGCTGTTCAACCATATTTTCGTGCGAATGTATTATTTGAAAACAGTTTTGCTTTGTTTACCAACGCGCAGAAACGAATCGATTTACAAGCTGAACAAATTGCTTTGAGTGATCGCGGTGTGATGGACATCGAACATAAACAATTGAGATCGAAACTCAATGAGAGCATCCGTGCCCAACAACGTTCAGGCTTTTTCTATGGCTTATTAGTTGCCTGTAGTGTCCTAGGTAATTGGTCAAATACTATTATCAACTACGGCATTCCATCGATGATATATTTTCATTGGTCACCGAATGCAACAACAGCTGAAGCAGCGTCTATTATTGCACTGACTGTCTATACAGGGTATCTACAAGGAAATCTTGCTGTGTTCAATTCACACGGACAGCCATTCTCGCAAGTATTGGCGGCGGGAAGAAGAATTGCTCAGAATCTAGGTAAATCTTTCGAAGAAAGGTCCTATAAGAAGCGCAAATCATAACTGATTATTTCGTTACTATTTAGAACAAATGGTACGACTCCGTGAGTCACATTACCAAGCCCGTTTATCCGAAATGCTATGTAACAGACGAATTGAAATCAAATCTAACAATACTAATCAACAGGCACTGCTCAGCTTAAACAATGTCAATGTTTGCCTTCCAACAGATCCTTTGTCTATTCTTATTCGGGGACTATCCTTCGCACTGAACTCATCTTCGTCATTAGTTATTACTGGTCCATCCGGTTGTGGCAAATCATCTCTTTTACGTTTACTTGCTGGTCTTCAGTATAATATCACCGATAATTCATCGATCTATATCCCTTCACATTCAGCAATCATCTTTATTCCACAGCAAATTCATTTGATTGAGGGCACCTTGCGAGAACAACTGAACTATTTCCGACAGGCGAAAAACATGTCAACATATACGAATGATTATCAACTGAAAGAACTATTAACTAGATTTAATTTAATACATCTAGTTGATCGATATTCATTAGATTTATCAACTCAATTATGGTCGCGAACATTATCACTAGGCGAACAACAGCGTTTGATTATCGTCGTTGCACTTGTTGCACTGTTAAAATCGAACGATGGAACCTATGTGAATGAATCATCAATAAAATATTTCATTCTCGATGAAACAACAGCCGGATGCGATGAAACTACAGAGAAAGTAATTTATGAACATCTGCAAACCAATCACATTCGATACATATCAATATCACATCGCCATCAATTATTGAAATATCACACACATCAATTGATCATCGATCCTAAAAATCAATCTTATCAGTTTCTAGAAATGTCGTAGGGAGAAAACAATATTGCGCTCGATTTTTTTTGTAATTAGATTTTTCGAAAAAATGAAAAATGAACGTAATCCGTCACATTGGTGTTTATAAACGGTCTTCATAAAATCATTCAGTGAATATACAAAAGATGAATTTTTATGTAAAAAGACGAGAAGAAGTCTAATTTAATCTCGAATAATTACTTTATCGGATGGTAGACCGATCGCAGTAGATTTCAGTGTAACAGGAATGAAATTATCTGATTCTTTGTATAAGATCGGTGAAGGCGATTGAGGAATGTATTCATAATTTGTATTTACTCGTGGAATTCGCTTTGGCAGGACGAATCGAGGAATGTTGTTAACCGGAAGAATTGTGGATTGGACATCTGAATTACAATCTGAGTTGGTTCGAGAAGGAGCACGAGGTGTCATTCGATGTAGAGCAGATCGACATATAGATGTTCGTGTTTCCCGTATCGAGACTGGCGTATTGAGATTAATCATTGAACGAGAATTCACATTGGATGTTGATGTGTGTGATTTTGATGTGGAAAGTGTCGACGGTGATGATCGAGAGTTGATTTGTGGAAGAGTTGTTGAAAAAGAAAATACCGGCTTTTTCGGGTGGATCTTTCGTGGCTTTTCTTTGTGTGGATTGATCGTATCGACGATGCGATAGCGAAGGGTATAACCAGAAAATCGAAAATATTTTTTACCTGTTTCGTCAATGGATTTTTCATTAGAGGATTGAATATTGTGAAGTGTTTCTTCGATATATGATTTACAAGAACGATCGATAATGGGCACCAACGTTGGCGGTGCTGGTGATGAGGGAGATGGAGATGATGAGTCAATATTGTCCTTGCTTTCAATAATTGAGGTTTCTTCGGATTCTTTTACCTCGACACGTTTAATCGAATGTGTTTTACGTTCTTCCAAACGTTTGACATAAGCTTGATGGATTCCATCTAAAGTTGGCTGAATTCTTCGTTGTAAAAATCGTTTCGTGCTCGGTTTCACCTCCTTGCTTGCTATGTCAATTAAATCCACAAGATTCATCATACCTTCATCATAAGCTAAATCTCGTGATGATAATGTCCGTTCATAGATCGGAATTTTCCCACGTACGCGAAATTCTAGTAATTCAGTTTTGTGATCAGCGTCAATCGCGAACTGATCGATTAAATACTCGGCGACTCTTTCTTGTTTAGCACGAATCGCTGCCATCAGTAGAGATTCAGCGAACTAGATCGGTCAATTAGATTCGTGTGTTGGATTACTGCGACTTACTTGTGTCATATTTGGATCAGAATGTGGAGTTTTATCGAACAATTCATTTAATCGTTCGATTGAACCTTCTGCAGTTGCTGTGAAGAATTCCTAAAATATCTCAATTTTGAATTGCTAATATTTGTCAAGCATGTCTCTATGAAAAAAAAACCTTGATTTGTTCTGGAGTAAGAAGATTTTCTTCCTCATCGACAACAGTCGATGCTGTAATCTCTTCTTGCTAGAAGCAGTCCAAGAATAGGAAATCATTCGATATGCTGTGTTATACATACTAATTCGTCTGCTTTTTGTCCATCTTCAACCACAATTACTTTTCGTTTTTTCTCGTCGACTGAATAAGCTATCGGTGGTTGATTTGTTTCAGTCATTGATGCAGGTACTCGATCTATCGATTTGTCTACGTCAACCCGAATTTATTCGTTTTCAGATGGTTTGAAGATCTTACCATTCATGATAGAAATACGTCGCCTGTTCTCACCCGCTTCAAAAACACCTGTGAAGCATGCTATGTCATTGGGGTACTTTCAGCAAGAAACACGTATATTCTTTCAGTCTGCTTTCTGCATTCACTCGGCAACAGTCGACTAAAGTAAATAATCAGAAAAAGACTGTTTTCATTCGTTCATTGACTATTTCTTTTCTCTTCACATCTAATGTAAATTTGACAAATAAAAAGCGCCGTTAATAATGTCCACAAACACTCACTGAACGTGTAAATTTCGATTGCTAGATACGATGAAGATCCAGACTTCATGAACACAGATTTTTGAATGACAATCGTGTATTTTACGACAACAATCAAACGTCTGTATCAAGCACTGGATGACCTTTGTTTTGAAGAAAGACAAACAGTTGAAATGAAAAAGAAACGATCGCTAAAAGACGACATAGCAATAGCATCAATGAGACATTGAAAGTACTTTTCTGTAAACTTATATCATTTCAAATGTGTATGCCGTTCGTTATCTGCACATACACACATACTAGATAAAAAGCTATCTATTGGTTAAGAGAAGGATATATGATGCGTTCGCTCTTCTGCGTATACACAAAAAATAACCTTTGAAATATCTAGTTTATCTGGTTGTTATTTTAGTTCTAACAATCGAAGCATGGCCAACGCACTTTTTGTCGGCTCTTCACCAATAGAAGAGAGCTCGATTATACCAACTCGAAAAACCTCACGTGCTAATTCAAATGTCGCGCAACGATCAGCAGACGCTACCGGAATGGTTTCACTGTCGCACACACCTTCGGCTGTACACGCACCGTTTCTTGCCGAAATGATAGCTGAAGCTCGTGCCGGTCTGGCTGAAGGTGGAATACCTATTGGCAGTATTCTTGTTCGAAACGGTCAAGTTGTTGCGCGCGGACATAACCGTCGTGTTCAACGTAAATCAGCAATATTACATGCAGAAATGGATTGTCTCGAATCCATTGGTCGACAAACGGCAGCATTCTATAAGGAATGCACGATCTATACGACTTTATCTCCTTGTTCGATGTGTTCGGGTGCCATTCGTCTTTATGGAATTCCACGCGTAGTCATTGGAGAAAATAGAACGTTCTGTGGAGATGAAGCAACACTTCGAGCGGATCATGTACAACTTGAATTATTGGATTCGAATGAATGTCGAGAACTTCTCGAGGATTTTATCAGAAAAAATCCGTCCATTTGGAACGAAGATATCGGTATTATCGAAAATTAAATAGTGAATCAAAGAACAAAACAAGAAACTTGACGCCGTCTTTTTAATTAAATAAAAATATCCTTACAGATAAGAACAATTTCCTTGCTGTTTCGAAAAAACAAAATTTCTTACGATTTGACTTAACTCGAAGTTAATGCCTTGATAAGTTCTTCGTAGTTAATCTTTCCCGTATTCTGTCGATCGGCTGTTCCTAACAATTCCCATATTTGTTGCTGTGACAATTGTCCACCATCACCAAACACTTGTAAAAGATTCATAACCTCATCGACAGCAACTACACCTGTTCCTTTCGGATCGAATACTAAACGAAAGGCATCTCGAACATCTTGTTCGCTGCCGAATGTATCGCTGCCGGACGCCAGAGCGCGTCGCTCCATCAAATTGATAAAATCTAATGATGTAAACTTTCCACGTGGATCAAGATTTGCTTCTCGGAGAAGGCCAGAAACGTCCTTGTCCGTGATAAATTGGCCCAGACTTCGTAACAAGAACGGCAGTTCAGAACAATTAATTAAACCATCACAATCTTTATCGAATAGAATAAATGCTTCTTCATACTCGGTACGACGATCCGCGCTCAATTCACTTGGTTGATCCTTGTCAGCCATGATGTGTAATGAAAACGATATATATGTATCCACGTAACATACAGATGCATCGATAGAATCTATTGATGCATAACGAACGCGAAAAGCATGCGTAAACAAGATGACTCATGTCATCATCCGATGAATGAAGAAACGGAAAAGGAATTTATTTAATCAATTCAATATAGCGTCGGCTTTTTATTAAATAATATCTTGTATGAAAATATATAACGGGATAAAAACGGTATTTATAACAAACAACAGGGATAACAAAAATTAACCTAATCTAAGTCTCATTGATGCACAATATGAATCTGACGTTCGCCACTCTTATTATCGATGATCATCATATTGATGATCAATTGTCGTTTACTATTTTCACTCGTACAAACATTTGCTATAAATTCTTCTTGTCGACTCGTGGGTCGCAGAACTTGTTTCACTTCACCCGTTCGATCGTCCATCAATGTTAAAGCATTCGGTTTCACTTCGAGACCGCCAATAACAAGCCATTGATGGTCGTCAACAGGCGTCAACATACAACGTTCAATAAAATTAAACGAACCATTGCCACAACCAATTGTTAAGCCGCGGTGCGTTCGTATCATTGTCGTATAATCGAATAAATCTACGCGCCATTGATATGTAGTACGTTGTCGCAGCGTCATACCAACTAAATGACCATTTGTGCGTATACAAGATATTCGATCATCAACATCGCTTTCACGAATTTCACCACCTGATAAGGTTTGTTTGCGTTCGAAATTAGGCAATGATAAACGCCATATGGATTCCAGTCCATCCGAAAGAACAACAAAAAGATCGTTGCTAAACGAAAGGAAGGGAAGAAGAATGTACAGAAAAGAAAACTTCAAACTAACTTGTGACAAGCAATTGACCAAAAGTAGTTGTCTTTTTTATTGGTAAAATTGAGATTTTCTACTGGGATTAACTGATTTTTTTCTACATTGTACATTTGTAAACAATCATAACCAGCAATGAGGAAAGCATTCAGCGATTTTGACCAAGCCAGATCAAAAGCAGCGAATGTTTTGATCTCAATTTCACGTAGTTCCTTTCCTTGTAGGTCAAACAGTCGTAGTTTATTTGAATTCCCACCACCGACAAGTACATGCTCATTTGAAGATGCCAGTGCTAACCAGGTTTCATTTTCAACATTTGGTAAAGTAAAATGACATGTTTGAGAACAACGATTCAGTTGTTGCAAATCAATTTTACGTGTTACACGAGTGGACGTAGAACGTAAGCGTGGTTTGACAGGTGGTGGTGGAGTTGTAATTAAGGATGTACTTTGTCGATTCGTACCATTCGACAACGGTGATTTCGGAATGATTTTCTCGAAGTTAGTTCCACTGTCATGTAGATGTTCACATCTATCATGTTGTGTTGCATTTTTTAGCAAATCAAAATTCATTGCTATAGGCATCTGAAATAGAAATAGATTGGTTTGTTTCCGTTGAATTGATTTTAAGACGTATCTGACATTGATTTCAAAAAGATAAACAGAATACGAAAAAAGAAAGACATTTAATTACAAGAAATCAAGTTCTTCGTCGTCGATGACCGACGGTTGAATGGATTGTACGGTTCCAGCTGTGGGACTAATCGAGAATGATGTTCGCTTTGATAATGGTGTATTTTCAAATTGATCTTTCTTGTCATTATCGTCGTCGTCATCGTCATCATCATAAGTCAATGATCGTTTTTTTGGAGGATCAGATTTGAGGGTGGATCCTATATTTGTAACCCAACGTAGTTTAGGCCGTGCGTCTAGAAAAATAGCAACAATCAGGATGAAAATTAAGGGGAATAAAGTCGATCTCCATGCAGATCTAACTTCCACTCCCCCTTGATAGTAGCAAGAAAGGTTGTTCAGTAGACAAAAATAGACTTTCGGTATTGAAAGAATTGATTCTTACCCGGCGCTTTTGGTGTTGTGGATGTTCTTTTGAGAATTTGTTGCTCGTCTGCCTTATTTGTATTTGACGAGCGTTTCTTTGTACTTTCGATCATGTCTATGACAATTTCACAGTGTTCATCATGCACATGCTTCGCTTTTGGTCCTCGAACTACGTAGAAAACCGTAGTGTACGGTGTAAAGTGAAAGTCTTCTTTCAAATATTGGTCTATGATCAATTGTAAGATGAGTCGTTGTATATCGATTTTAATCATTGTCGGAATTGACAAATGTTCAACTAGTTTTAATGGTGTAATACGTTGTTTGGAGTTTTTCTCTAGGTATTCTACAATCATGGCTGCTTCTTGACAACACTTTCGCTTGCTGATATATGTCGATGGCCGTGTACAAATATCACACATATGATTACAGTCATTCGATTGCCATACTTCATCGAAATATTTTGCGATCAATTTTCGACGACATTCAGATTCGTTTAAACAGTAGGAAATCATTGAATAGAGATTTGTTAAGCCATTACCAGATTTGTCTGAAAAGACCATCGGCGCAAGACGAAAGACGTCACCGAATCTATATTTAGGCAAAGAAAACAATTTAGGTCAATAGTTATATCAACTTAATTTGTATTACCGAAAGAAAAGAATACAATGTGATTCTTTATCATCGCGACCAGCGCGGCCACTTTCTTGATAAAAATTCTCAATGGATTTACTCAGTGAATGATGTATAACAAAACGCACATCAGGTTTATCAATGCCCATCCCTAAACAAACGAGTCACTGATTGCATGCATGTTCAATATGAATGCAATTTACCAAAAGCAATAGTGGCACAAATGACGTGAACTTGATTTTTAATCCACCTCTCATGGACTTGAGTACGTGAAGGACCTGAGAGACCAGCATGGTAACAACCAGCTTTGATACCTAAAATAGAAGCAAATTTTAATCAGTCGAGGATGTGATTGAGGGTGTGGGTATCAAATGTTCATTGCCACCCACATCGCCTTCGTACATACCATGTCTTTGTAATTCACAGCATACATCTTCTGCATCCTTCTGTGATAAACAATAAACAATACCTAGGAGGAGAGATCGAATAATATCTTCGATAAGAACTGTCAGAAGTGTTTACCTGATTGTTTATCGAATCGATGTTGAATACAATTCACGAGTTCTTTGAATGCATCTTTGCCAACATCGGACTTGTGTATGACTTCATAGAAAAGATTCTTTCGGTTGAACGGCGCACGAAACATAATACATCTGGGAATTTGTAGTATCTGTTGAACATCATTGATCACTTTTGTGGTCGCCGTAGCAGTTAAACCCAAGATAGATACATTAGGAAATTGTCGTTTGAAGATGGATAGATATTTGTAATCTGCAATCGAACAAATATTTTAATGTAAAATCAAATAAGACTTCATACCTGGACGAAAATCATGTCCGAATTGTGAAACACAATGGACCTCGTCGACAATTAATCTGGCAAATCGCTGTGTTTCGTATAGTTTTTGTAATTTCGCCATAATAGTTTTACTCTTAGCAATTTTTTCTTGAATGATAACAATTTCAGTTCATCCTTCTTTCAGTTAGCATATTCAGTCCTACCAGGTGTTAAATAGAGAATCTTTAACGTGGAATCAATCTTCTTTTTGCCGTCGAGAATGTGCATGATTTCTGTTTGTTCCTCGCGTGGTGTTGATGTATTCAACGAACGTGCATCGACATTTAACTTTTTCAACGCATAGATTTGATCCTCAACAAGTGATATCAACGGCGAAACAACAATGGTTATACCTAGAAAATTTTGTCTTCGTAATCATTTGAAAATCTGTATATTCTCACCATCGGTGACGACGGCTGGCAATTGATAACACAAAGATTTACCACCACCAGTCGGCATGATCAGGATACAGTCACGATTCGAAAGGGTGACATTGATAGTTTCGAGTTGCCACTGTCGAAATGATGGAATGTTGAAGATATTCGTTCGAATGTGTTCAACCTTGGAGCTCCATGGGAAATCTAAAGGACAAAATTATGCTTTGTAAAACACAACAAGGGTTCGTTCGAATTGCTCTCTACCGGTTCGTTGCCATTGTTCAATAAGATTTGTGTCTGTTGTTGATCGATGATTAAGTTTTATTTTGTCTTTTAATTGTTGTTGTCGAACAATTAACTGTAAACGCTTATGACGAAGACGAGAAATTTCTTCGTCGATTTGAGAGATTTCGACTTCAATCGCAAGCAGTTCATCATCGTCAGCTGATGTATGCTTTGATGATGTCCTAGAGAAAAAGAAAAGAAATGACGAAATCTAAAGAAATTCGACATTCTATTCTTACTTATTCTCTGATTCGAATTGCTCGGCAGCAGTGATGAGTTCAAGGTCGTCGAATTCATCGTTTTCGTCGTCTGAAACCACAATACAATCCATTTATAGGTGAAGAAGACTCTATTTCAAACCGGACGGATTGAAGAATTCAATGAATTACTTTTCTTTTGGCCGATAGATGTACCAATAGAAATAGACATGTTAAACATGCATCGACAAAGAGGAGAGTCGAGTAAGGAATGACTATGGCTAAACTAGAGTGTTCGAGACTATCCTCGCGTCGAAAATTGTCGAACAAAAGCATATATTCGCATCTGAATAAAATCGAATCTCTAATGAACGAATGTAGAAAGTAAACATCAAGATCAATGATTCGAAATAGAAGAATTTCGTGTAGCCTTATCATCAGACTAGAATTCGAAAATTCTTGTTTTCACTTTTTTTTTGCTTGCGAATGTCTGGTGGTTATTCTCATATGTATTCGAGACAATACGGAGGATTGTTAATAATTAACGATTGGTGCAGAAATAGTTTTCATCACAAACTTGTTTGTTCTTACACGTACAATAGTAATCGTACGTTTTTTGTATTTCTATTCACGTTTTTCTTGTTAAAATCAATATTTAATCAGAGATTAAAAAGAACAAAAGAAACAAATAGAAAACATTTTTTTCTTTTCTTCAAGCGGATGCATCTGGTCATAAATGTGCGCGTTTCGGTGCGGACGATGTTTAGGAGAAAGACCTTTTTCGTTAACACCGGGCTAATGTAGTACATTGGACATCTAAACTATGTACCACACTTGTCAACGGTGCATAACGCGAAGACAACCATATATCTTGTGATTTGCGCGCCTTTCCTACATATACATCTTCGATGGCAAACTCATCAGAAATGTGTGTAATCAAAGAAATTTCTCCGTTGTATCGTTTGTTTAATGAATACAAAAACCAGGAAGTCATGTTCACGATTACATGTTTTATTTTACTCTTATATCTCGAGGAATTCTTGTTTGTATACCGTAAGACGATCGTATACGAATTATATTGTATATTCATTCTGATCTTTATAGAATATCTACTTGTTCGATTAGGTTATGCACGGCCACATATTGTGCGAACAACGGTGGTTGAAATCCATGGTTGAGTATTCATTTGAGAGGACAGCGAACAGAATCGAGAGTATATTTGGTTAACATCTGGCTGTCATTATCGCCAATATCATATCAATCGTCGTCATCATCTGAAGATGATGAAAGTATTGGTGGGTTTAGAGATTTAATCTCTTTATCATGTAATGTCAATAAATAAATTGAAATGAAATCAAATAGTAATTGCCGCTCGACGAGATTCTCAAAATAGATCTCAAGTAGTTGAAGGTAATAAAACGCCATATAAATTGGCCAACGAGTTTCAATACGATCTTGAGCTAGAATGTGAAACAACGTCAATTCATAGTTGAAAACGATCTAGAACGTACTGAGTAAACGAATTTCGCTCGAAGTAAGATGAAGCCATTCATCGAATCGATCATGATCATTATCCACCGAACTGATGCGATTTAGAAAGGCGGAAAACGATTGATTTTCAAGCGAATCGATTTCTTGCAATGGTAAACCAGTTGTCGATATGATATATTTAACACCTTCAGTTAATTCTTTTCGTGTTTCATCGAATGTTCCAACCTGAGAGCGAAACGAATGTTTTCTTTTCAATCGAAAAGAAGAGCAACATGAAGGCATCTACCATTGCTCCGATTAGTAATGGATTGAGTACATAACCGCCGAAAAATAGCCAACTAATGACATACAGATCGATGATGAATCGATTGATTCTTAGAGAGTACATCTCTAATTTGATTTCATACCATTCATCTTTCGTAAACAAACGAAACACAGTTATGAATGCTCGAGACACTACGAAGGAGAAATATTGTCAGAAAAAGGAATTTCATTTGTTGTTGTTCTGCCGACCTGTTCCAAATAAAGAATTAATCTTTGACATATGTTCTTCCGACGTTGTATTCAATCCGAATTGTGTTAGATAAAGAGCAATTAATGCAAAAAAATAATTGATGATGATTGTGAGGAGAACAACATGGAATATGAGTTTCACCGAACGACTCAAAGCAATAAATACAATTCGTACTTGAGTAAAACGAAAAACCACTTCCAATATGCGTAAGATACGTAACATACGCAAGGTTCGAAATAGAGATAAGATCGATCCATACGATCTAAATTATATCGTGAAATTTATCGAGAAAAACTTATTCAACACACCGGATTCGCTGCAAAGTATTCGCTGGTGTTGGATCATTGTTATTACGAAACCTTCGATCCAAATGGGAACTATCATCATCAGTTGTATCGATATATATTTCACTGATTAAATTTAGTAGCGATGTAGCGGTTAGAATGAATTCTAAAATATTCACCGGTGAGTACCAAAAATTTGTGAAATTATCTGAATAAAAGATTTGTCAATAGTTTTTGAAGTAATTCACAATGAAGATGGATACGTACCAATCCATTTGAATACTAATTCGAATAGATATATAAAGAGAATACATCGATTGATGAAGACAGCTAGACGATAGATCATCGCTTGAGAATCATTCGGCGAACTATATTCAACTGTAAGTCCTACACTGATCTAGATGATCTTTGTGCTCTCAAAAGGGAAAATTATTTTAAGTGATACTGACTGCATCTAAACAAATGATCAAACTGATAAACCATTTGAAAAATGAACTCTGAACAAGCCAATGTACGTAGTATTTCAGAGAATTATACTGAGAAATCGAGCTGGTAGTTGTTGGTTTCAAATTCGTTTCGTGCTGCTCGGTAGTTTTCACTGCTGTCGATGCTAAAAGCTAAAGAATTCAGATTATTTCGAGCATCAATCAAGAATCAATTCGCACTTGTTCGCGTAATTGTTTATAATTTCGAAATTTCAAAGTGGCATTTCTATCCAATTCAATCAATGCACGATCAACTTGAACTAGATTGGATATGCGATCACCTTGTGCTTGTGCCATGGATTCCTTATAATCATCATTGGCAAGAAAATGAAACAAACGCTGAATTTTTGAACGTATAAGTCGACCTTCCGACGAAATGAACTCATTGGAACTCGTCTGGTGAGATAATAAAGAACTTAACCCTTGAAGATCATTGATTTGCTCATTTGTATTCCCAGAGGATGACAAGATCGAAATGCATTCATGAATTTTATGATTATCGGTGTGAGAAGAACATTCTTCGTCAAGGTTAGTCGTCTCGAACGAGTCCTCATCGAAATGTTTGATAGAAACCATTTGTGAATGCAATTTAATTTAATTAGTAAACATCAGATTCAAAAACAGCTGATAACTGTTCATTCAAGACTGCATCTTTTGACAGATGGAGATGAGATTAATTCGAAGGAATTTTCGTTCTTACATTTGATATTTTACAGACAATTTGCAACTCTTTTCCGTGCCTGGATGGTCTAGATTTCGAGCACAAGTCTTGACGGAGAAGCAGAACCTTGAAATTGCTTATTTTATGAACTAAATATAAAGAACAGATGATTGTCTGGTGTGTATTAATAAAAATTAATCATAGTCAAATAAATATTCATCAAACACGCCTCGATGTTCAAAATTGTTGTTCTTATTCTTATTACGGTTAATTGATTTGAAATCACTAGCAAATTTTACCGCTTCCGAACAGAATTTTTTGAACGGTAAGTACCATTTGCTTTCGCATACCGGAAGACAATCTATCCGCTCAGTGATAAACAATAAAAGAATGCAATGGCTTTTGTAACTAAATTAATACTCTACTAACTAATTTACAAGAAATATTCTTTCTACTGTTGGAATGTCTATGCAATGTGAATATAGGATTTGTATGATGTTCGTAAAAGTCGATTTGTCATCGCAATACAAAGGTCAACATATGATTTTGATTTTATAGCAAAATCTAATGTTATTAGCCAATATTCTGCAGTCATCTGAAGCGCGCGAGAGAAAAAAGTTGATTCATTTGTTTGAAAAGATCGAGATATTGTCAAGTACATCAGAGATCACTTAGATCTAATCGATTTACTAATGATAATAAAAAATGTAGACATGCAAAGCGTTTGCCTGTTATTCCTGCTGTTTTGTCGTCGTTGCCGTCGATTGTCACTGGCAATGCCAATAAAATCATCAAATCAACTAACACTTGTCAAAACATAATGAATGGAAACACAAATTTCTTTTCCTGTATTTCTCTTTTTGTTGATCTATTGTTAGATATAACATATAAATAATGCTTACTGACATTCACTAAAACGATATTAGAGAGGAAATCGAATGCTTGCAACAATCCACTATCGTCTTTGTCAATCGTTTGATATTCTTCAAGCAACTATCGTCCGCATCGCATTTTGTGCACATAATCTAGTTGCCACTTACTTTCTCTACGATGATATGAAAGATTATTGGTGTTTGCTGAACTCCTGTGGAACAATTTTCATTCTCATCGAACTAGTTGTTACCATTATTGAACGGCAAGGTCATGAACCGAAATGGTAAGGTGTTTCAGTCCTGTTAATTCGTTATTCGTCACTGATTGCATTTAGGTTGTCGCCATCGTTTCTCATTTTTATATTAGCATCAATGCCATGTCTATGGTTATTGGAAATGCGTCGTGTCGATGTCCGACGAACGAACTATTATACAGATAGCAATAGTACAAATGCAGCACCATTTGATCAAGTAATGATTCGTATGGGCAATGATGAATTGTATCCGAGTCAAGTTTTACCTTATGACGATATCTTGAAAAAGGTTGGAAAATGCCACTATTCGTCTCTTGACAACTTTTCTACATAGTTCCTTTTATTTGTTCAATTAGCTTCGGGTGAATGTTGACTTGCATACGAAAACTATGGCGTTAGAATTATCACTTTTATTTCTAATTATCGTTGGCCGTTGGGTCTTACCAAAAGGTGTAACAAGTCGCTCTAATCTCTCTCAATTATTACTTGTATACATGTCCATTGCATCAGATATTGTAGACCTATTGGCAATTTTGAATGAAGATCATGTTTTGACATCACAACGGATGCTGCTAGCAACATTACTTGTCTTATCCTGGTCGTTGTTACAATTTGCAACGAACGTCTCGGCTGTGGGTAAAACAAGTCGATCAGCAAATTTGGACAGTTTCCGTCAAGTCTTGAAAAAGCGTCGTCGTCGACGTATGTTTCTTCTTTATCCCATGCAACGTTTATTTGAAAACGATGCTTGGTACTTATACGAATTAAATCTGATGAGTTGTTCAGCTACTCAATTAGCTCTTCGTCTTGTCGCAGTAATCAAATTCGAAGTTCGAAGTTATTCGACCTTATTTTTCACATGTAAAAACGCAATTATTCTCTTCTTACAGTTCTATCGGTTGGTTGCCGTGTTAACAGAACATGATAATTACGATGTTGGCTCGTTGTATCAAACAGCGCCGAACAATGATCCACGAATACGAACGATTACGAGTAGTGTCAAAACGAAAAATGGCTCAAGCTCGAAATTATCCATCCAAGAAGATATGTCATTAGCTATGTAATTACTTTTATTTGTATAACAATACTATCTACGATATTCGTTGAGTTGTTTTTTTTTGTATGTTTCAATTTTTACAAGAACGAGAGACAGATCAAGAAAGAAAACTAGGTTATTCATTATCTACAGACATGATTATTTGACTTTTTTGCGCATTGAACTAGATATCTAATGTTGTCTATATGTGTATTTTTAAATGAGATCGAACTAAAAAGAAACATTGATAAAAATTGCAAATTATTCTTATTTTTTTGCCTTTGCCACTTACCAGATCCTCATCCTCACCATCCTGTGCAGCTGTTGGCCCATCATTGTTAAGAATCTCAGCCGGTGTTTCATCCTCAAGAAATTTCACGGCTTCAACAGGTATAACATTAGATTCCGCACATTCTTCATTGGTAATTAAGGTAAATTTCTCTGAAATGAATAGTCATGATATGTTATCTCCAAGTGAAATGACATGACAACATACCATCGACAAGTTTTTTCCAGAAATCTTTTCGTCCGTCGATGGTTGACGCATGTTTTTTAATTAAACACTCTAAATCATTGAAAATCTTTGGTTCTAATTTAGTGATGCATGTTTCACGTAAGCATTGTAAACATTGAAAAGCTTTATCGAATAAGGCATCACCATGAGAATTATTGATTAATTCGAGTATGAGATTCGCCATTTGTTTGCATACTTCAATAAGTGACGGCGAACCTTGTTCGATTAAGAATTTGAAGTCTTCGACAGGTGTTACAGTACCAACATTTCGTATTGCGGCTTTCTTTTTCGCTGCAGCTTGAGCTTCGAATGAAGCAGAATCACTGATTGTCACCGACGAATCGGTTATCGGCTCTTCAACATTATCATTTTCATCCAAACGAGGTTTCTTCGATGCACTATCAAAAGAACGAAACTCTTGTCACTCTTTCTAATCTCACTGGCATTTTTCTTGGTCTACCTATCGACATTACCGAATAAGGCATCACCTGTCGTGATCTTTTGCCGACGACCGGTATCATGGAGAACAAATTTTTCATGAATTGCTTCCAATGCTCGTTTGCTCTTCGCAGCAAGCGATCGTAATAACATATCATTCATTTCCATAATTGAGTTTGACAATGATAAAGGCTCGTCAGGAGTCACCGCACGTCGAGCGATTGACTAAAATCCAACAAAATGAATTCTTTTCTCGTATGAAATCATCAACAAAACAAACTTGAAACATTCGCTGAATGTATGGGTTAAAAATATGTTCCGGTTGAAGTGCTTCTTCACCACTAACATAGCAAATTATGTTCAATTTTCTTTAACAGAAAACGTCAGTCAAGCCTTACCCGCGATCCGCATGTGTTAAATCCATTGTTGTTATTAAATTATCGATACATTTCAACTGTTCATCAGTCGGTTGATTCTTTTTAGTCAGGTCCAAATTATCAAAGTCGAATTCACGTAAATCTTCTGCAAACGGTAATTTTACATAATACATGCACTAAATCAAAATTACATTTGTTGTCATTGTCAATCAACTTGCTCTGTCTCTCACAATGTGATCGTGTGCAATATGTGGACGTAAAAAGCCAAGTTCAGGCGCACTTCGTTCACTGAAACATTTGCGAACAATAGCAACTGTGTTTGTGTCGTACATGGCTTGTACAAGACCAGCAAAAGCTAGAGCTTCTTCCTGAAACAGTTTGAATTACATCGATCGCTCCTCGAGCTTTTCGCTACACACCTCAAATCCAGGTTCGGAAATAACTTCGTAGACTGTATCGCCAAGATATAAACTTCGTTTCATCTGTAAGAAAAGTAAAGAAAGATTTTTCATGAAAGGAAAATCAAGCAGATTACGCACCATATTTGCATCGGAGAATGCAATGATTGAGAAACATTTCTCACTGTGATATTTCATTTCATCTAATGTTTCTTTATTAATCGGTACAAATGTTGTACCATAACGGAAACCATCTGTCAGTTCTTCCTTCTCGATTTCTTGATCTTGCTCGTCTTTCGTGTAACGTCCACGATCAACTTTAATCTCCGTTGTCGGATCACGTGCATAAACTTTTTTCAAACGAAAAATTCCGGGCTTATTATCTTTAACCTATTTGAAATTAGGATCATACATGTTCTCGTTTCTTTTAATTCATCTCAGACAAACCTGTATATAAGTGCATATGTGTAATTTAAGATCAGCTAATTGCATAATATATTTCGTTGCTGTTGGTTTTACAATTTTTGATTGATGGATAGTGAGAATAGTCAGCGCTTCTCTAAACAAAACGGAAGTATTAACGATTATTTTAATCCTTTTCCTCTGTGAACATCTACCGAAATGTAAACAAAGTTCCTTCAGTATTATTGACAATTTCACCAATAACTCGAATGCCAGTTTGTTGCTGTTGTGTCAACGGCTTCTTCGGAGTTTGATGTTCATGATGGCTGTTGGTAGTTGGACGAGCTGCATCAGAATTTTCATCTACTTCAATGGGTGAATCCGATTGATTATTTTCTTCTTCATCTACTTGACCCCATGTTGGGCCGATCGCATCGACAATAATATCCTGACGTCGAAGAGAATCAAGGATCGTTTTGAGACTATGATCGCTGAAAGTTGTCGCAGCATTAGTGAACAACATTACACGTTTAGCGGCAAAACCATGTTTTCCCCTAAATGGAAAACAACGAGAGTGTTTTGATCAATCGAAAACTAATATCTTACTCTGTTTCTCGTCGAAGATGATCGGCAGCAACGATGACAGCATCGACCACTGGAAAAACAAAAGGATTTAAAAATGAGCTAAATAACATTTTGCGTTTGCGCTTACAATCGGCAGGATTATTGCCTGGTTTGATCTTCTGTATCTCTTCAAATAGATGCCAATTGGCAGGCGAAAGTGGAAAAACAACATTAATATTGCGATAATTGTCTTCATCGGCTAGATCATTGTTTGATTCATCAGATCCGTAGAGAATTAATGCTAATTCATCTTTACTCTCTTGGAACATCTATTTATGCGAAAAGAACATTTAGCCAGGAGCAACGTAAGCATTTTCAAGCAAACACATAGATTCTCATCCGCAAGTCGAATCACTCTCGTTTAATATGAGAAGCAAGCATTAGACATTTCAAAGAAATATTACTTTCATTCAATAATATGCGCTACAATTGTCTAGAAGTGATAGGCTGGTATGAACAAGTTTAATGAGATCGTCCTGATCTATAAGCACTACATACTTTTCGTTGAACAATCATTTGAAGAATATCACATGCTGTTTGCAATGGCGAATCATATCCTGGTGTTACATCACTCATACCAACGCCGATATCAACAACAAGTGCTAGTGCTTCCTGCAAAGAAAGCCACCGTATCACTTCTGCCATAATCAAAACCTGCTGATTACCTTGTTGTATGCCATGATTTTAGTTAAGTATGTATAGTTTTGAAAGGTAATGAAAGATCTAAAATGATTTATTAATTTTGCTAAAACATTATCAACTCATTATTGAAGAAGAGCATGCTTCTATAATATTAGTTTGTGTTCAATACTAAAAAAGCCAATGAAAGCCAAAAGAAAACGAAGTAATACAAAAGTGAAAACAAAAACGGACAAGGAAGAAAATCATATTGTTATTGTAGCTAAAATCTGTGCCTCATAAAAACAGAAGGCGAAGAAGCGCCATGACACCTGCTGCGATGCCACCTGTCACTGGAACAGTGACCACCCAAGCGACAATAATGTTACGAAATAATGACCAATCGACACTTTGTTTTGAACGAAAACGACCAATGGCAACAACACTTCCAACCTTGCAATGAGTTGTACTAATTGGTATAGACAAATTCGATGCCACAAGAACGGTAAATGCAGTTGAAATTTCAATAACAAAACCGCTAGACAGAACATGAATGAGAAATACCGGATTTATCCTTACAAAGAATAGACTTCTTACCTTGATGGTGTAATCTTCGTCAAATCTTCACCAATGGTACGAATAACCCGGCGACCCCAAACCCACAGGCCGACAGATATACCAAGACCACCATAGAAAAGAACCCACAATGGTGTAGCTGACTGAGCAGTGACAGTACCATCATTGAAAATCAACCAAAGACCAATCAATGGGCCAATAGCATTACTTTGAGGAAAAAAACCATGATAAGTCCTTTTAGCACACTCATCCTGTGTAAATTTTTACCTGACATCGTTACCACCATGAGCAAAGGCGCCAAAAATAGCTGTAAGAATTTGTAAATACTTGAAAATTCCCGCCACTTCTATCGAATCGTTCGTTGTATCAACTTTTTTCTACGCACGGAGAAAAGTATCAAACACATCTTTACTCATTTCCTCGACAAACCTTCTTTTGCGATATTTCCGGCATTTTATCTTCAACTTCATCCAGTTCTTCATTTGAACTATTCTGATTTCCCGATGCTGATGACAAATTATCCTCATCTAATCAAACAAAACAAAAATCAATGTTTCATGCATTGCACAGACACATATCAATATCATAACACAACTAAAGGCACGCCCAAAAAGAGCACATAGCATGAGCACGAGCAAAACAAATCTTCTTTTTTTCTCAAAAATTCGATTCTCTATATAAATCACATGCGCAATGATATCGAAAAAATATATATAATCATAATCATTTTAGCAATAGCTCTTCCGGGCCTTTTTTTCTGATATGTACATATATATTTTTAGCCCAGTAAATATCTCACTTACGGGGCATAAATACTAAAAGAATATTTAGATATATCTTACCATCACCATATAAAGATGAAAAGAAAGTTTCAGTCTCTTACCCGCAGCTAATAGTAAACTTTTATTTTCATTAGAAACGGAGCCAGGTACACTGGCTGGATTCGCATATTGTGGTAGACGATAGATTTTTGTTTTCTAGGAAAGAGAATCGTTTGAGTGCATGGAACTTTCTTTGAATTACTTCGCGGATGGCTGGTTGAGGTCGATGTCCACTAACGCTTCCGACATCGGACATCGCATTATCCGTACGGAAACGATCACTTTCTCGACGAATGCGCGAGATTGTACTTCCACCTGCATTCGACATTGTTTCAGAATCCTTTCGAATTCGTTGCATTTCCACTAAAACAACCGATTATCTTGAAATGCAAATAATAGAATTGTTCGACTATTTTTACCATAAGGGCGAAATTGGTCAGGATGCTGTTGTTGATAACGAATTAAATCAAATTCTTTCAACATTGATATATGATCAATTTGAGTTTCCTTATCACTTGTATTGACGTTTTCCAAGCGATTTACTAAAAACAAGAACTTGTAGTTATATTATATAAAATTCAATGCGATTCTACTACGAGCAAACCATCAGCACGGAAAACAATCATTCGCTTACTTTAGGCGCTACATGTTAGTAACTAAGAGTGTTAGTCATTTTACAAAAGAAGAAGAAGATTTGTCCTAGTTACCGGTATAGGTTTCAAAACGACCTTCAGTTTTAGTTAGTTGTGGTTCTTCCCCACGACTAATCAGGTCATGTTTTTTCTTCAAAGTCTCTAAATAAAAAGAATAACCGAAATTTGGTTTTCTTGAATGTCTTTTCTCAAACCTTGAATGCTTTTCCTCATTCGCGGTTTCACGAGTGTCATGACGATCAAACCAACGAGAAGTCCGACAAGAATTGTCGCAACAAATTTTCCCCACAATGGAATACGATCGAAATAGAGAACTAGAATAAATGATTCAAAATCATTTTCGACTTGATTAATCCCATAGAAGAATATCAACGAACGTGGTGGTGCTGAGAGAAGAATAGAAAAAACATTGATCATAATTGTAACACCATAGAAAACAGGTAACCAACGAAGACCAACTCTTAATTGATCATTCTAAACAAGAAAGAATGTCATTCAATTGTACCAGAATAGAAATGCTTACTTGTTCAAGGATAAATTTTCGTATGACAATAAATACACCGATAGAGATGATACCAGCCAATGCCGGTGAAGCAAACCATGAGCCACCTATATAAGAAAAAATATGTCGTGCGTATTGAAGGACTAATTATGAAGATGTTATTACTTACCAATTTTAGCGAATTCGATCCATTGAATACCACGAGAACCGTGAGCAACGAGAGCGAAGCCAACAGTTGCACCGACAATGCTATGTGTCCCCGAAACTGGTAAATTAAAGAACGTAGCTACTAATAACCAAATGCAGCAACCTATTAAAGAAATATATCGAACAGTACGATCAAACGTGAAAATGAAGTGTGACGAATCAATTTACTAAGTAACGATGCTACTTGACCGAGCATGAGTTCTTTTGGATTATCAAATAGTGTTGGATCGATGATACCTTTCCGTATCGTATCTGACACCTTCGCCCCTAAATCCCAAACAAACAATTCGAATGAAACGTAATCAGACTCTCTTCTTTGCATTTACCGATCAAAATCGATCCAAGTATCTCGAATATTGTTGCTAGAATGCATGCTTGTCGTAACGTTATTACTTTGCTACCGACACTTGTACCAAACGAGTTCGCCACATCATTAGCGCCAATTCCAAACGCTAGCACAAATGCAATAATGAACCCGATAATTAATATCCAGAGAACGTCAGTTGAAAACGGCTCCAGGTCCACCATGATATTCTGGTTGTCGTTGTGATTTCTGTCCTATGAATTTGTTGTTAATAATGCTAGGCGAAAAAAAAACGAAGTTATATATTCGATAGTCGAAAAAGAAATACGAATATAAATTATCCGTACAGACGCAAGAAGATAGCATTTTGTTTCTACTCTCACCTTTACAAAGAGATTATCGTCATCGCACTTGACATCTATGTATGTTTGGTAATAACAATCAATCAAAACGTTTTTTTCTGATATCTTTATTTGCCAAACTGTTCGATACGAATATTCTTCGTTTATGATCAATTGAAATGCACGTAGACGAGGAACAAGATAAGAATTCGGTCGTTCTCTCTAAGACAATTAAATAAGTACAGTAAAAAAACTAAGAGTGAAAGCTTAATATATATGAAAACAAAAAACGAATTTTGATTGCACGGCAATAATCAAAAACTTGATTTTTATTGGATTGAAATTTTTCGATATATCGAAAAAAAAATCAGATGTCACTGTACTTGAGAATGAAGCAGTCTCGAACTAATGTTGTTTATAAGAGCATGTGAAGTAAAATGTATTGAGAGGAAAAGGAGAAAACGAATGTTTCTTGTACAAATGTATGTAAGAGCAAGAAAAATGCATGAATAAACATATGTAAGAAAAAGAAACCAATTTAGTATTCTGAATAGCACTTACTTTATCGTATATGTGTATTGCATTTTGACTCAATAATGCTAGTATAATATGTGCGCGAAAGACGAAAATAACGTTAGTTATCAATTGAAAATCTCGCTTATGACAAGGTATAGTTCGAATTACTTCCAATGTAAATCAGATGTCACATTCGTTTTCCGAACTCGATGCACATGCCAGAGAATGTGCATCATCTCTCATGTATGAGAAGGACTGGTTATTTATAGAATAGTACAATTATAAATGCATCGGTGTGGCTGGAGAAGCTTTGCATTTCGCAATGAGGTTATCATAAAATCGTGAGTCAAATATTGTGTGATGTATATACTACTAGTATGAAGTAGAAGGATTTTTACGACCGAAATGAAATCATGTTTATAAGTATTTGTCTTCGAAGAAGTGCAACACTTTTGATAAATCAGTGAGCTTATCAAACACGAGGAAGCGAAATCAGTTGGTCATATTCGTGGTCGATAAAATTGTTTCCTTACACACTCAATTAACCAATTCGAACTTCTATTCTTATGGGTAATGTTAAACAGTCACTCGAGGGATCAGTTCATGAACACGTCCAATGGCATGATCGTTTATTAAGATTAGAACAGTTGACATCAATGTCCTTCATTATTTTCCTATGATGAACAATGGATATATTTTCTAGAAAAATCATGTGAGAAATCGGAAAAATGCTACGTTAACCATGGTGTCTATGTCCTTGAGACTTGTACAAGAGCAGATCAATGTGCATGATAAGAAATTTCTCATTATTAATTTATAACGATATACGCATATATCGCACACAAAAACGAACAAAGGGGAGAAGACAATTCAATACTGATCTGAACTAGATTGAGAACACTAGATATACATATACTGCTCGTGGCACACTTTCAAAAAGGACATTCATGTATGGATTTGAAATTCTGAGTTACTCGCAGCAATTCTTCTAGTTTGAATGGTTCAGAGACGAAAGATGATGTTCGTTTGGTTGGTCGACTCGGAATCGAACTTAAATAGAAAGTTGTCATCCGTTTTGTTGCTGGTGGAGGTAATACTGTTGCTTGCTGATCGTCGTGTGAGCAAACACAGACAACATAATCTTTTATCGAATTGGATAACTGATCACATTCGGTATGAAGTAATGTTGCTGGACTATCTGTACTATTTGTGATGGTGTCTGTTGTCGTTGTTGTTGTTGTTAAACATTTTTCTACCCACTGATCAACTTGATCGTAAATAGATTGTCTATCATCTTTAATTTCCGTCTCTTCCGTATCATGATGACTTTCATTTTCTAAATCAATATTATCATCTTCGGGGTAAGCATGGGGAGAGAAGACATATTCTTCTTCAGCATGATCATCATCATCATCATCATCGTCGTCCTCATTGTCATGTGTAAGATCTAGACTTTTAATTAATCGTATTTCGTTTTCAATTTCTTCAATGTGTTTCAATATCGCCCGTGAATTTGTTTTAGTCAAAGTTCCTACGAAAAACAAAACAACCGAAATTGATGATGGTTTCGAGCATTTCAAAAGCATACCGTCAAGTGGAAGTATGAATGGACTTTGAGCGGGTGATAGTCTTTCATTTCGTTGTTGACAAGAACGTTCATTTTCGAGAATTTCTTCAAATTCCAATGAGAAATGATCATTGACTGATTGTGATGATGAACTTTGCGATGGTGGATTTTGATGTTTACGTTCTAATGATGATCTATTTAAATTTGTTTTCATTACGCCTGCCGATCGTTGCTGACGATGATGAGCAACGACTGATCCCGGTATTTGACGAACTAGAAGAACGAGATAAAAATAACCGATTCTTTCTTTAATCATGAATCAACTTACTTTTTGTTCGTCGTGTGAGACTACCACTATCGGAAGATATAGTATTGGAATAAAAATGTTGCTCCGTCTTTAAAGCACGTCTTGGACTTTTCTTTCTCAGTAAAGGTGATATAGATGATGTTTTCTTTTTGAGTTTCTTTTGTCGATTCGATGGCTTGTCATGTGTTACGATGCCATCAGCGCTGGTATCATCTGGCGAAGATGAACTTGATGATGGTGGTGATGATGATGATGATGAATTAATAACTCGTGAGCTTGCGAGAGAAAAGCCATGTCCACTATCACTTTGATGTAGAACAATGCTCGACGTCTGTGTGGGTATTGATGAAAGAGGAGGAACAACAGATGGAGGACTAGGAGGTTTAATAATATGAATACTTGCAGACGATGTCGTCTGCGGAAACGATTCTGAGTGTGTCAGGCCAGAAGGTGATCCACGGTAAGTTGGATCATAAATACCATACTCAGGTTGTAATGAAGAAGGATCGGGTAATACGTGTTGATTGAACAAGTGTGCTGATTCGATAAAAGTGGATGTGCGATTGTTAGTAGGTGTTCCAATCCATGGATTGGTTCGAATTCTTGAACGTTGTTTTTTCGATAAACTTGCGGTTGTTGTCCACAATGAACTACTACTCGATGAATTAACACTTGGATTGGGCGTGGAATATTGAGATGAAGTTAAAGGTATTTGATAGGAAAATGGTTGTTGCTGTTGATAGTATTGTTTCGAATGGTGTTGACATTCGCGGCGTGGATTACTTGTTGCTAATGTACTCGAATAATTACGATTAGTAACTGGTGTTTGCGGCTCAATGGAAAGTTTCGGTGGAAGAGGAGGTGGCGGCGGTATGATTGGCGATGATTGTTGAACTATTCGACATTGTGCACATGGAGAAAATGTATTCTCTTGTGATGATCGTGTTTCCACAATTGAATTAATTAACTCAGCATGCCGAGCAAGTAAGATTTGTGTACGGCTATGTTGATCATCATTGCCAACTCCACTTATATCTTCATACCCACAAATATCGTAATGGCAATCAGCTGATGCGTTGGATTCGTGAGAATTCTTCTTACTGATTGATTGATGATAAGATTTCGATGTCGCTGGATTACTCTTACGTCGAGAAACAAGAGAATTTAAATAATCCTTAAATTTCATCGGCGACTATCTTCTCTGGCTCAAATCTAAAATAGACATATCAGTTCATATTGATGATCGAAACAGATGTCTTATGTATGACACAAATACGCAAGTGTTGGATCATAATTACATCGTCTAGTATTCGGTAATCTCTCTCTCTCGTTCTTTCTTTCTTTCTTTTGTAGTTGTTTCATATTTATGGTAAATTCTCTGTCTTCCTCGCTTACTGTACGGTTCGTTTCATCTCTGTTCAGCTGCTACTATTACTGCAATCGAGAAGGGAAGTTGGTGAATGCTATTCTGCGCAAGCTGATAAAAAGAGAAACAGAATGGTTATTTAATTTTGTAATCATATCTTGCTCACTTCTTCGTCTTCTTCGACATCATCATCATCTTCTCTTCATCTGAATTCATCGTTTTCTTGTACTTATATAAACATAGTTGTGCATGTGCCTACAGTCTTTATTTCTACAAGCGACAGATGTGTAATTTGTATGAACTAACGGCACAGTTGGATTGTTCGTGTGTACAAAAATCCAAGTTATTGTTCCACTAGTCAATACTCATCATCATTGAGACACGACAAGGTTGCTTCTCATTCTGTTTCTTTTATGCAAAAAAAAAAGAAAAAAAACGAACTCCTGTTCTTTTGCTGCAATATCACATGTGAATACTGAGATGAACTTGCTAGTATATGTACTCGCAATTAAATAAGAACACACAACGACTCCCTTCAGGGTATACCATTACTACTGTCTTTTATCAACAAACTATGCGTTGACCGAGAGATTGATATAGACAGACAAGCAGACACGCGTAATAGTCACTGACGAACCCTATTATATGTTCAAATAGAACGAAGAATAACTAATGAATTATCAGATGTACTTTATTAGATTAAGATAGGCAATCTCAGATCAGATGACTTCTATGACAAAAAGATATGTTTGATATAGTTTCGAAGAATTTCTCGACATTTGAAGAATGTGATATATCAACACTGTGTACTTGTCTAACCATCATACATCAATATATTGAAATGAAGAAGACTTCAATAAGAAGGAAATTTTTTTTCTATTCCGGAAATGGCTCTCGTATATTTCTTCTCGAGGGACTACAATGGCCTTGGCACGAGCCGACGAAGACGGCAACGCTAGTAGGAAGCAGGCAGAAAATGAAGGAGAGGAAACAGGGAAAACATTCTCTTCGCTTAATCGAAAGGATATATATATATTTGTAAAGAATACAAGAGCTGTTGAGTAGACAGATGAATGCATGCAAGAATTCTATCGAAAATAGGAAAACAACTCAACAAAAGAAGCGTAGCAAAAGGAAGTTTTGATCGACTGTGACTGAATAGATATGCAAAGTAGACAAGACCGGCTAGGACATGTATGCAAACAGGTGACAATCAAAATAGTTGCACTTTAGATTGTCATTTGTGCGTATTTCATTCGTAATACAATACAGTGAACGAGACAGAACCAGAGGAAAAGGGAGAGACGACACAAAAAAAGAGCAATAAGCATGATGAGAGGTGTCATTGTTGATTTAAATCAAATTTTACGGGCTATTTTCATAATAGTCAGTAGACTACAAGTAAAAAAACGACGAGAGGAAAGAGAGACAGACAGAAATACAAAACCATTATAACATTCAAATAAAAATCCTCTTTGATCGAGTATCATTATAACTACAGGAGAAAATTGCACTTGTTCAAGACAATAATTACTACAACAAGCCAAAAGAATGGATGTCAAATATATTACCTATACTCTTCTTTTATCAAAAAAGGCGACCTATGTATTCTAATACATCAATATATCATAATATATACAAGCTGGAAATCATAACTAGTTCGTGTATGTTTATACAACTTTCTCTGAATGAAAGGCATAGGAGAGTTTCGTAGTTGTATGAGAACGGATGTATTATGTTTGTTTTACGTGCTCTATAACGTACGTAACCTAATCTGTCATATGTGTTCAATGAAGACAAGAGAATGTATAGTGAAGAGTGTACTGCTATTTCTAGAGATATGAGGGAGTTTTAAGCGTCTCCATACACGCATTCATACATATATATATATATGTGTGTATATGCATCCGTTTATCGCATTTAGTCAGTCGAGAAAAAACTGAGAGTATTAGTAACAGTCGATTAACTTACTCTTTTTTCTGTTGCTTAGTCTTTTCGAAAAGTCCTTAACACTATCTTTTATATACATCAGTGTATACTCTATCGAAACAAAATGGAGCTACATCAAGCGTTTTTTTCTTTTGATTACATACCCATAAAAAAAATCTTTGTTTCTTCTGTTTTTCTCTCTCTCTTTCGATGTCTGTCTGTTTCGCTTCTCTCTTCACGTAGCATATACCCCTATAAGAATGAGTCACCTATTTGGTGGCATTAGAGATTCTCTTTTTTTTTCTCTTTCTTCGTTTCTTTTACAGATCGTTCAGTGATTTCTTCTTTCTCTCTGCCCTTCGCTTCATTTATGTGTTATTGCATGGTAACGTTTCCTCGCCACTCTTCGCCACACATATATATATATTACTATAATGCGCCGTCAATCGGACCGAGGGAGAAACAATTTGTTGTCGTCGTACGTCAAAGAAAGAGCATTAATAAGAGTGGAATGAATACGCGAGAGAGAAACACAGAGGACACATGGGGCCTATTTCAAAAGAGACTCTTCAATTGTGGAAATTTTAATGAGAGATCAACAACGAACTTGTATGCGGCGGGACAAAGAATGAAGCAAAAAGGCATACATGCATATATATTGACGAGTATTAATATTTAATGCAGATTTTTGAAAAACAAAACCAGTATATGTTTATGATACAGTTCTGTCAAGTAATTAATCATTGATTGTACAAACATCCGGTCATTACTGTTCGAAAATAAGCGACACGCATGCGACCATCAATCGTGTGCGGCATGAAAACTAATCATTTCAGAGCTATTATCATAAGTGTGGAAGAAAAGTAAATGACAAAGAGATTCAATTTCCGTTCTAGCCAGATGTTCGAACTGATCCATTTTCCGACTTAACAACTTAGATATTAGCAATGACCCTGCTGTGTCGATTGTTGAGTGATGATTGTACATGTTAACTGTAGTTGTATATATATGTGGTCTGTCACATGTCAAGGTATGAAAACTCCGAGGTCGATCGAACATATACATATAAATGTATCTGGATACATTATGAACAAGGTCATTAACATCCTACTACTATTGTGTCATCTTTCTTTTTGTGTATACAAGACAGCTTTTTGCCCTTTTCGCTGGATTCATATGCTTAACGAATCCGACCATTATTCGTTATTAACAGGTGCGCGATTCGATTTCCTCAGAGAAATCTATTCGAAAGGGAAAGAACGAGAACATTAATACGCATTAAGGTCATCTCAAATAAACTTTAGACTTGCCTGTATGCATATATGTTTTGTATATATCATTGAAAATGACAGTAGGCTGCGTACACACACACGTAGACGTGCAGGCGATCAAACTGAAGTCTATTTTGGTAAAAAAAAAGAGAAAGAGGCTGTGTCAGAAGCAATGATGATATGCAAAACGAATTCATCCGTAGACAGTCTGTTATTTTTATTTTGACTGAAAACATAAGATGCTTATATACTTATCGTCACACTGCTGACATTGAAGACTTTAAGTAAAGAAAAGGAAGAAAAAAAAGAAACGACAAATGAACAATAATACTAATCAGGCCAAATATATAAATTAAGTGAGCAGAAAAAGTATTTTGAAATGAGACCAATTGCAGCTTGATGGAGCGGAAAAACAAGTAGCCGTAAAAGCAATTGATGTAATGTTCAAGAAAGCATAGATGTATGCACATCGATCGATATACAATATAACATACGAAATAACCTTCGTTCAGACAAGACAAATGAGATTGACACCAAGCCGAAGTGATGATAACAAGGTTTGCTTACTGTCACTCTATTTCATCAGATCTTTACATTGATCTATCGAACAACTAGTCTTACAGACGATATCTAATCAGAAGAACATAAGAACTATCTGTTCCTCTTGTCAACATCATTGATATGGTTGCAGCGAAAAGAAAAACTATCGAATTGTACATGAATCTGTCACCATTTGTCGAAGACAAGGAAGTCAAAGGCAAATAGTACTCGATTCATTTCTTTATTTCTTATCTGAAGATCTACTCTATCGATATTCTTGACATTCAATACAAGAACACTTAGGTATATAATTCACTTTGTCCTTGCGGAGTACTTGACAAGTAATTTTCTTGAAAATGAGCATAGATTTGATAAACACATTGATAGAAAGTCAATTATTATTTGGCTTCTTCGCTTTCTTTTTGTCTACGACGAATTAGACGTAACCAAAGTGAAAGAGAAAGAAAGAAGATGAAGGCGAAAAACACTACTTTTTAATTAAAAAAAAACATCACACATCGGCGACAATTACCTGATTGAAGTAGAAAAGAAAGAGGACTATATATCTATAATCAATTGATCGACGAACGCTGATATCAAACAATATAAACACACACGCACATAAAATATATATTTACCTATTTAACTAGTATAAATGATTGTTCATGATTGTTATCAAGTTCGAAAGCAAAACTATTTACTATAAAGCGAAAGAAAATGTTTTCTTTTTCTACTTAACTAGGTAAATTATATATAACGACTCGATACAATGTGTCTACCAGTCGAGAGTAGCATTTGAAGTAAAATCTATACCAAATGTTTGCGTTTGACTCGACTAATGTATATATACATCCATCGCGGTTTATGTTAAGTGCATACCTGACATTCTAAGCGAGCAGAGAGAAAAGAGAAACCTTCACGCAAATCTTTCCTTGAAGATGACTGCTAGCGACGAGTTATTCGTCGAAGTCGTACACTTGAAACTGATTCCAATACACATATATTCACAAGAATGTCAATCGATTATCTGGAAATATCCTTGATATTTAACGTCTAGTAATTCTACATACAAGTGAATTGCTTTCGCCTAAATACTTTAAACAAAAATAGTTTGACGAAGGACGAAATTTCACTTCGAATTTATCGACAACGTGAATTTCCAAAACGAGCATGTCCAAGTGTTTCCTTGAGAAGATATCTGTAATGAGCGACATCTGAGTAGTAAATGATGATAGCCAATGATAACGCGTACGTGTCTATTGCTTAACTTTACCCTGCTGCGATTGCATAGAATTATGGGTTTTTTTAATATGAAAATCATTCAAACGCTATGTTCTTTTGCTAGATCGATATTTTTAAACGAACGAATCAAGATGGCATCGTCACCGATCGATATTCAAAACGAAAATGTAGCTGTACTTCCAAAGAAAAATCTGAAATCGACTAAAGATCATGTAAATCTTCATCTGTTTCGCATTTTTCTCTTCATGTTTTTTTCTTCTTCTGTAGACATACGATCGTGATTGGATCAATCAAACCAACGCTCGACCATTCTTACCTAGTGATCGACATATCCTGAAAAAGCCGATAACTGATCATAGCTGTCAGAAACGTTTGAGTAAATACAATGGTATTGTAAATCGCATGACACCAGTACAAGTCGATGAAGAATTACAAAAACGGCAGTTATCAACAAAGTGATATTCCTTTTCGAGTTCCATTTTCGAACTTCTAATTGGTTTCTCCGTTTGTGTTAGCCAGTGGTGAGATCGAAATTCGTCGTCTTCGCTTGAAACATTTCTATAAAGCACAAATAACATTGGGCTTTGAAAGTCCGATGAAGATGATTGAACAACATTTCGAATACATTGCTGTCGTTGATTTCGAAGCAACATGTGAGCGCAATCAAGGAAATAATTTTCCACATGAAATTATCGAATTTCCCATCGTTCTTATTGATGTCCGACAACAAGCGATCGTAAGTATTTTTGATCAGTCATTTTTTTTCTGTTCGGCATATTTCACTTGTCTTTAGGTTGACAAATTTAGATCGTACTGTCGACCAACTATTAAGCCAATCTTGTCTGATTTCTGCACAGAATTGACTGGTATTCAACAAGTGAGTTTCACTTGATGAAGTCTAGCACTCAGAAAACATTGGTGTTTGTTCTAGCATCAAGTTGACACTGCTCCAACATTTCCCGAAGTTTTACGAAATGTTGAAAATTGGTTGAACGAACGACATCTTCTCTCTTCCAATAAACGTCGATGTGGCTTTGCCACAGATGGGTACGAATAATAACATATCTTCATCGTTGTAGACATTCTCTTTTCTCGCTATAGTCCATGGGATTTTGCAAAATTTCTCCGATTACAATGCGGTTTCAGTTCATTGACCTATCCTCGATGGGCAAAGAAGTGGATTAATGTGCGCAAAGAATTCTCAAACTTCTATTCTGTACAACGATGTGGTACGAGATAATCGATAAATCTTTTTCTTCTGTTATAATCTACCGTTGATCATACAACTAGGTATCAGTAGAATGTTGCAAAGTCTCGGTCTTGTATTTGATGGTCGACATCATTCTGGTCTGGATGACTCTGTCAACATCGCACGGATTACAATTGAATTAATCAAGGTATATCTATAGTTGAACAGAGAATGTTTGTATGACTGAATGTTTCAGGACGGCTGCGTGATTTTGTTAAACGATGGTGTTCGTGCTGCAGATCCAAAATTTATTGATTTGAATAGTATTAGCGATGAATTACAAAACGTCAATGATGATGATGATGATGATAACGAAGCAATAGTCGATAATGACTGAACTTGATAAAAGAAAAACAACTTATTATCAGATTGTTCTCTTCAAATAAATCTTTCGAACAAAACCGATTCGATATCGACATTGATCTCATTTAAGTCATGCTTTTTTTTCATCTGATTTCAGAATAGATAAATGGAACAACCAGAAGAATGTTTTGATCCGTTACAATTTGCCGTTGATCTTGACTTAACAAAATCAACAGATGAAAACACTGATGAAAAAGTTTATATATCCAAAAGTCTCATTGATCGAGCGAATGGTTCATCTTACATTGAGTTAGCATCAACGAAAGTCACCTGTGCCATCTATGGCCCACGAGAAACATCCTCATCGTCTGATGAATCCTATTCGAAATGTTTACTCGAAACATCGATTAAATTCTCTCCATTCGGACGACAAAAACGTATTGATCCATTATTAGTACAATACGACAACGACGACGATTGCGAAGAAGCAGAATTATGTTCACGTCTCGAAGAAGCTTTGCTACCATGTATACTACTTCATAAGTATCCCAAATCTCAAATTGATATTATCATCGACGTGATTGAAGATGATGGGCAACATTTACTTTCGGCCATTATCCTCTCAGCTACTGTTGCTCTAATTGATGCGTGCATTGAATTATACGATACTGTGGTAGCAAAATCATTGAAAAGAGATCAATCATTATTTACATTGTGTTACATGCCAAATTTAGCGCAAGTTTCGTGCTTATTCTTCGATGGAGAAGCCACACCGGCTGAACTGGATGTTTTGACTGACGAAGCTGTAAAGCAATGTCAATTATTACATAAAGCCATATGTAAAGTGGTTATTAGTGATCTTAAAGCAGCAGTAACATCGAATGGGAAGATAATTTGAATAAGGAGAAAAAGAACACTTTCAGATATTTTACTTGATGTGAAAACAAATAAATAAATAAAACAAGACTGTGATCGAAAGTACTGGAAGAAAATCATTGTTTGAAACCACATAGTATATAGGCACATCTTCAGCGACATCTATGTCCAACATACTTCATAATCGTCCATTCTCTATATAAGCTATTCATTGGACTGTTCAATTGATTGTGTATCACTCTTTTCATTCACCATCTTATACAACACAATTGTGTGCAGATATCAGTGAGTGTCTGCTCTCGTTTATCTTATTTCTAGATGTCTCAAATTTGTCCACAAACGTTATCAACAGCAACCTCATCGAGTTCATCTCTGCCTCCATCATCTTCTAATACACTGAATAGCAGTACGACAAATTCAGCGACGAAAATCTTTATCTATATTGAGAGTAATCGAGATGATGCGAATGAGCCATTTTCGATCAAGTTAAATAAATCATCGACGTCGATTACACTCGATGATTTTCTTGACGTTATTCCAAAACCATATACGCGGAATTATAAATACTTTTTTAAATCGATTGATCCTGTTCTCGGCGTTATTCGAGAGGAGATCACTGATCGACAGCAAATCTTACCCTCAGCTAATGGCCGTATTGCTGCCTGGCTAATGCCAGCTGTTTTAGCACAGGACACGACGAATGACATAACAACTACAACAGTTAATACGAGCTATCGAAGACGGCATCGTCAACAGGACGATTCACTATTCACTAGTGATACAAGTGCTTCAGAAATGACAGACACTGCAAGTCAACTGGATCATGATGATGATCGGTAAAGGATACTTGTTAAAAGAAGAACAGAGCTATTGATAAGTTCATTCATCTGTAGATTTTCATCGATTACAGAAACAACTAATACAACAGATGCTAGTAGTAATTATCGTCGAGCACGACGACGACGAAGACATCAACAGCATCATCATCATCATCAGCGCCGAGAACGAGTAAATCGATTGAAATTTTCAAATATTTTAGGATTGTTATCTTTTCTTGTTTCAAGGCTTCATCAATGAGCAGTATGACGGACTCAACAATTTCAATGGATGTTGTTACCGTTGTTTTAAGTTTAGGTACGTTTACGAGCCATTGATAGTGAACAATTCATAAGTATTCGTACGATTTAGAACGCATTAAATACCTTGGTATGACCGTAGTTGGAGAATCTGAGGGTGGAATTATTGTGGGGTCAATTATGAAAGGGTAGGTTTTGTGTGTATCTAGCATATGTTTAAATATTTTCTTTTCAGAGGTGCTGTAGATGCAGACGGTCGTATTCAACCAGGTGATATGATTCTACAGATGAACGATATCAGTTTTGAGCATATATCAAACAGTGATGCCGTACGGTTATTACGAGAAACCGTCAAAGATGCAAAGTATATTCTATCATTTGTTAATTCTTGTGCAAAATAAAGGATTCAATCGTACCTTTTAGATCAATCAAATTAGTTATAGCCAAACGATGGAATGATTATTACGGTCTCTTGGATGATAATCAAAGCAATGGATATTTTCCACTTCCACATCAAGCAATCATGAATAACAACAATAATGCACGGCAGGATCCTATACGACCAATTGATCCACGTCAATGGATTGCTCAGACAAATGCCGTATTCATGCGGCGACGTTCTTCACTCTCGCCGCCACCACCAGCTAGTTCAACGTTATCGTCATCAGCTTCTAGTTCGCCAAACACTCGTAGCGGTATAAAAAGTAAGCATTCATTCTTGCCGATCTAACGACAACCGATCAACACGTATCCTTTTTCTTTAATAGAATATCGTTATGATTTAAATTTAACACGTAATTCTGATATGGAAACAATCTGTCGTGCTATTCAACAACCCCACTCAGGTCTAGATATACGCGATCGTTTATGGCTAAAAATCATTCTGAAGAATTCTTTCCTTGGCTCGGATCTTGTACATTGGTTATATAAACATGTTGATGGATTTATTGATAAACAAGATGCCAAAGAATATGCATGTGCCTTGCTTGAACGTGGTTACATTCGCCATCCAATTGTAGGCATACTAACACGTGGTTTCAGTAAATCGTGTTACTATGTCTTTGGACATTGCAATGATAATGATGACGAAGACAACAGTCAGATAAATGAAATGTCACAATTGACTATCGGTGAGAGCACAATGAATTATGAAGCTTTTCCACGTCCAACATACGGTTTCGTCGACAAAAACAATGTGCCAGTTTTATATGCATCAACTTCATCACTTACGTCATCGTATAACAAGAAAACAAAAAGTCAATCAAGTAAGATGCGTTTATCACACTTAATATTGACACAGAAAGCACAAAATGAATCGATGGCCAACGTGTGATAAATATTCCTAAGAGAGTTGAATCCAATAACAGGAAATTTTGTTTTCTCTTAAATAGGTGGTGAAAGCGGTGGTATACGTATGACACCTTCGTCCTTTCTTGCGAATAATAATGCGACACTTTCAACAATACGAAGTCATCATCGTCCGAATAATAATTCGACTTGTACAACAGACAATTCAATAATAACGATCTAGTCATTTCTTTTCTCAATAGTCAAATACATATTCTTATTGTTTGATGTTAAACACGCATTCATTTGCGTACTTTTCCCTTCTTCTTGTTCTTCTACGAACCTTTTCTTTATTGTTATTAAATATTAGTGATTTCTTTTTTTGTTTCTTCTTGTCTTGTTTCGTTGATGTGTAAGATACATTTATTCATTATCTTAGCTAATTATGTAATTACTCCGGGAATGTGATCGATGAGCCAATGAAAAGTGTTTATGAACGACGTACATTTGTATGAAAATGAACTTATTTCAATAATAAGATAAATAAACTGATAGAAATGAACAAATAGTGCTTTCTTTTTATATAATACTTTGAAGTAAAATTTTCATCTAGGTTATTACAGTTGCGATTTATTTCTGTGTAGGTTCGCTGGAATCAACTTGTCTAAAGAAAAATATTACGATTTTTCATCGAGAGTAAAAGAAATATCGATTGATATACGTCAAGAAAGAAAAGAACATTCTCATTTGCAAAGAGTGAAGACTTGATGAGAAAAATTCTTATTGGTAGAAAAGAAAGGAGTAAGCTGGTTTTCAAAAATAGGTTTACAATATGCACACACACACACACACACGAATGGAGATAAGATCATTCGAATTGTTTTATTTTCATTTCGCATGTGAGAGAAGTCTTTTAGAAACACATCTGTGTTTGTTTGTCGATGTTATACAATAATACTACAAGTGTTCCAGAATAAGTTGTTCTTGTGGAAACAGTTTTAACGTCTCAAATGTATCTGATTGCTTGAGTGTTGTTAACTAAAACGAAATTATTTTCAACAAACATCTAAGAAAAAGTGGACGACATACATCACGTTTGGGATATGTAGTCAGTAGTTTGTATTCACCAAACATACGTCCTTGACTGGATAAGTAATCAAATAAAGACTACAATTGCATGGAATAATATGTGTTTTGGTCACTGTGAATGAAGGTAAAGATCATATTCGACTTACTTGGAGTGTCTCCTTCACACGGAAACGTCGCATCAGGATACCGTCATCATCCGGCAGACGAATTTTAAATCGAGTTATACCTTGCTCGTTCTCAGCTGGTTCCGAAGGTAAACGAGCTTGACTATCCTGTTGCTCTCGCTAGAAAATAAACAATTGTTTAGGTATACCAACGAACTCGATGAACATGAATCGACTCACCAATCGTTCTTGTTGTCGTTTTTCATGAGCAACTCGTTCTTGTTTTTGCTTTTGCTCGTCAGCTAAGCGTGCTTCTTCTTTCGCTTTATCAGCTTGCAACGATTGATGATACTCATCTTCTTGTTGTCGTTTCAAATTTTCTCGTACTTCGCGCATAGCTTCTTCTTTTGCATCGCGTTCACGTTGTTGGTCGAACGCATCATGTGACTGTATCAATTGAAGCAACACTTCACCTGGTGTACACTTTCCTTCGATGACATTGATCAACTCTAACGAACCGTGCGTACGCGTGAAAATAAGTATCAGAGGATAAGCATCTTTATCCATGCTGAATACTCGTTGAGCAAACGGTGGACCTAAGTGACGTTTGAACATATCTAATAATCTAAAGGGAAACAGTAGTTTAATAAGCAGATGTCAATCATTCGCTTGTATATACCTTATCCGATTAGAATCGGCTGTTACATCCCAAGCCCATACGAGATAATTATTTGCTAGATATTCGACGATTGTTTCAGAAGCTAATACTTGAGCACAAAAGACATTCGCACAAACAGATCGATCACTGTGAAGATAGATAGCTAACGGACGTCTCTACAAACTCGAAGAGATGATGAGGCATGTAAGATCAAAATTAAGCATCTTACTTCGTCACGGGATGCACTAACGGAATCTTGAAGAGCATGTTCCAATGAACCCATGTAAAGTATTGGTCCAGTAGAACCATATCGTGCATGAAAGACACGATTGAAATGCTCAAGTCCCATAACTTCATCTGTACAACGATCAGGAACTAGAGAGAAAATATGCATAAGAATTGATGACAAGAACTTTTTTCTACATGGATGAATTACTTACTGAGTAATTCTCGAGTTGATGAAAGACTGCTGGCTGTGCTTGAACTCGACATGTATTGAGGGACAGTACTCATATCATCATCAAACTGTTCTAAATCTAGTTCTGGGTCAATATCCATGACATCATCGTCACTTTTATGTCTTTCAATTGTTGTATGCTAGAATTTCAATCGTACGAAACATGGTGATAATTAATAATGATAAAAATCATTATTACTTTGGTATCACGTTTTATCACTGGTGTTTGCTGATGGGATGTCGTTTCACCTTTACGTACGAGAAGTTGCCCCTTTCGACTAATAGATGTACGACGAAATTCATCCTACAAGAGGAAAGGATCAGTGTATTTAAGCGATACGTATAGTTCATCTTACTGAATCTTTTGCAATACCCAAACCGGTCCATTCTTGCTGTCGAAGTGGAATATGAGCAACGCGTTCAATTTCCTTCTTTAGCTAAAAATTCAAAGAAATTCAAATGATTTTGAATAAAAGTGAAAAAAAAGAAATAAGAACAAACTTCTCCAATGGTCACATGCTGTTTCATCAGTAATTCGTACGGCGTGTTTTTGCCTGATTTATCAGCACATAGCACCGTTATAGGAATATCATTGCTTGTCGTTGTCATCGAATTTCTTTCCGCCGGTGAGATCGGAGGACGCTGTGCTCGACTGAAATTAAAGCAAGGAGTAAGAATTATGCACATTAGCAATCCGTTCGTACTTTGTGGCATGTGCAGCACTTGTCGATGATGTAGATGAGCGACTTGCACCATTTGACATTGCTGGTGTGGCGGAGATCAAATGGATAGTATTATCTTTTGGTAAATGAAGATCTTTCAGTATTGTCTAAATGAATGCGATAAGTAAATGATGATCTGTGTCCGATAAGAATCATAGAACGTTGTTAATCTCGAGAGATTTATTCTTCGTATGATTCTTACATGTTCATCATAAGTTTTCGAAGTCCAATTGGAAAATTTTTGTCGACTAATAGGTACGTGAAGTCTTTCACTGATCTTCACTTGCAATTTATCTAAGCAGATACGTATACCGCGTCTATTTCGAAGAATCGATGTGAATACGTACGAACTGTATCATCTTCCAGCATGATTATGTGTTCTGTATGATCTTTGTATTCGACGGTGAAATTCAAACTACGAACTGAAACATAAAATTTCAATGAAAACTGAGCAGTTCGATTAGATTTGCGATTAGAACTATCCATAGACTAATATACAACGCCAAACCTGTTTTTTTTCGTGTTCCCATAGAGCCTGATATACTTTTAATCACTCGGATATCGTCTGAGTCATCAGAACTGTGATTACGTTTCGAGCTGGTGGTAGTTGGAGGAGTGTGTTTTTTGGTCGCAGCCGGTTGATGTGTTGTTGTTGTTATCGTCGTCGTCGTGGATCGATGAGATGACGGTGATGCTGCTTTAGTCTGTTTCGGTACAGTGGATCTGCTAGTTGTACTATTTCCACCACTGATCTGATCATGCACTGCCTGCACAGCATTCTGCAACAGATAAAAGTCAAAACATAGTGAAAACATTCCAGACAGCTGAACAAAAATCTCACCAAAAGGTTCCATTGATGTTGCTCAAGAAAATCTATGCATTCCTGGAGATTTTCCAAGCCTGTACATTCCTAAACAAGAAACAGCGAATCGAAATTGATAATTCGAAAGGTCAACACCTCACCTGAAAATCAAACAGGATCTGTTCGCGTGATGCATTATTCATATTCAATTTTTTTAACAAAATAAATAGTATATTCACAATCTAAAATAATCAGGCAAAAACCCTGAAGCGACCATCAGTTATTATAAAAGAAAATTAAAAAACTCTTTATATTAGTATAATCTAGAGAAAACTACTCCAGAATAAAAAAATAGAATTTGTTCATTATTCGAAAAAGTTTTAACACATAAACAGATCATGGGAATTTCGGTTTCGGATGTGAAACTGTCGGCGTACGATCATCGTCTTCATCATCGGCATCATCCGAATCCCTTTCGAATTGCTCGAATGCGTGCATTATTTCTTCGGCACTGGGGTTACGACCAGCAAAAAGTGGATTCGAAATCCTTTGACCATCGTGATTCAATGGTTGAGCTGATCGAGGATATTTTACGTTTAAATAGGCCTCCATATATGCATCAGGTGTCATTGAGAATGCACGTCGAAAATCATGACCTTGATCATGGCGGAATCTATGATGGTTATCCCGAGATAGAAGTAGATATGCTATTTCCTTTTGTTTGGCTTCTTCCTAAATATCGAAAACGATCTCGAGTAAAGAAGAAGCAATCCAGACAAGAACAAATTACTCGCGTTTTGTGTAATTCTTGTTCACAATTTGTAAATTTCTCTTTGAAATCACTTAAGGAACGTAAAAAGTCAACGAGAGTTGCTTGTTCACTGGGACCTTTGACGAAATAGTGGAATGCGTAATTGCCATCAGTTTCACGATAAACTGCAAATAGTGACGGATATTCGTCAATTTTACTCGCCTGAAATTGGTTTTCAGTCGACCATGAAAGAAAAGCATTTTTGCAGTTGTCGTTCAACCTGAAAAGGATGAAAGCTATCATTCATGATTGTCTCGATAGAATGCCCACGATCTAAAGAGACCTGCGTTTTTCCTTTTGTCGTCATTCAACAAAAGATGTAAATCAGGTAAACACACGAATGTTCTTGATAGTGTGTTTGATTGATGACAAAGGAGAAAATGAGTCGCGAATTATTTTTTCCTTCGTCTATTCTTGGAAAGATAAAAATCTTTATTTACTTCTTCTCGTTCGACTCGTGAGTAAGATCCCATGCCCAAAGAATATAATTACTCATCAAATATTCCACGGTTTTTTCATTACACAGCAGTTGTTTACAGAATATATTCGCATATACACTTTTATCGTTATTTATGAAAATCATAAGTGGTCGTCGCTACGAAAAACAACATTAGGAAGTGAAATTGTCAAACAACATGAAATTGCGTGTACCTCGGTAATTTCTTTCGGACTGAATGCTTCCTTTACCGCATCTTTCAATGAACCCATGTAAACTGCTGGATAAGAGCCATAACGTCGATGAAGACATTGCGTTAAATGTTCATGAGCTTTCAATTCATTTGAACATTGATCAGGAACTAAAGTAAAGTAAACGATTTCACCATCAAATCTCTTCAAATCGATCTCATCTTTTCTTACTAAGACAATCTTGAAATTCTAACGGTGCTTGTAGCAATTCGTTGTAAAATTCATCATCGGTTGTCACAGAACTTTTATCACTAGAAAGCATCTGTAAGTCTTGCTTAGCAACCAAAGCATCCTCGAAAAAAAGAAGTATTTCAGAAACAAATAAGAAACTGTGTTCCTTATTGAGTTACCATTGTCGAGATTAAATGTTTGTGTATCTAAAAAAAAGTGACTAATTACAATACACAAATACAGATGTGTTTTGTTCGGTTTTTTGCTCTATCAAGAAATCGAATCAATGAATAAATGAAATACGAACAGGCAAGAAAATGAAGGGAAAAAATCAACATTCAAAAATAACAGTCAAACACTCGTTCGCGTTTGCTTTTTCCTATCGCATATCAATGTAATAAAAAAAGCGAGAAAAGAAGAGAAAAACGAAAAAAAAAACATCCATATAAAATCAAGCACTGTTTTATTTTAGATTTGTTCTATTCAAATGTAACCACGAGGTCTTCCTTGTGAACGATCTTGATTTCATCAATTAACAATCGCGACAATTCACCTGCAGTGTGAGACACAAAATGACATATCTCAGATGATATAGGTCGACTTGATAACAATGAAGATAAATTCGATACACCAGCATCTGGTAATAACACTGATACTCTGTTTGACTGTAATGATTTACTCAAGATTTGTTTCAGTTGGTCATTCTGTGCGTTGAAATTAGTGTTGGTCGTGTTTGCTTGATGGGTAGTAGCACCCCAGCCACCAACGTCAATGAGATCTGGCAACATCCGATCAACAATGATAGTCATCGACGAATCAGCCGTTTCATTTGATGGAATTTTAGCTGAAAACAAAATGCAAGACTTATAGTTCTCTGCAGGATTCTCGCGAACAATAAAACGCAGTTTCTTATTTGCACATCGAAACAAAATATTTACCTGATTTCGTATCGGTAAAATTTTCATAGGCTGCAGGGGGCGGTGGTGGTGGATCGACAGTTGTTATCAGAGAAGGTGGCTCTATCGTAACCGTTGGATTGAAAGTACCTGCATTTACTGGCTGATGATTTTGACGATGATTGTTTGAGTCATACAGTAATCTAATAATGGAACAATAAGATTAGATCGGATTTGACCGACATTAAAAAAATTACGTACGGCGTTCGATCAGTGGGTTCTGATCTGATTATTGATCGTTGAGAACCGGTGATATTTGAGTCTTCGTTATCATTTTGATTCGACTGTGTGTCATCGGAGTTTTTACAACACCACGGACATATATTGCCCATTCTCAGTGATAAATAACAGTATCTGTAGAAAACGAGTAAATAAATACCGTAATTGCCGAGAAGAAATCGGGGAGAAATTTATAATATCGTATACAAAAGGTAAAAGAAAAATAGAAATACAAAGTAGTAGGGGGTAAAAATATAAATCAAATAGATGACATCGTTGCAATGATGCTCCTGTTTACTCCACAGGATACCATGTTTGAAAAATACTTGGATAAAAAAAAGAAACCTGAATGGGTGGAAAGATGTCGGTAGATGTCGAATAATACAAATAAGATAAAGATAAACGATGATCGACATTCCACAATAAACTAAGTGAATATCCTCAGAAATCACATCGGATCTTTTCTTTACAAATTCATGGATGCTAGGAACGAATTTGTAATACTAGATTGGATTGCTAATTCTATAACATATGAGCAAAATGTCTTCTTTTTTCACATGAACTATAGTCGAATAAATCTGTAAGTTGATTTTCATTTCATGATCTTGGATAATACACGACCTACGTATGTGGTATGTGAAGCCTGTCGAATCGATTCGAGTTGAGTATTATATCAAAGATGATCGGTCTTCATTGTACAACGAACGACATCTGTTCGATTTCCTGCTGTGTACACACGAACGGAAGAGGCGTTAACGTGACATATAGAGCCATAATGGTGATTATATTCATAGAAGTTTACGCATCTCTGATTGAACAATCGTTGAAAGAAAACTCGAATAAATATGTCTTACCGTCCGTCGTCAGCTCGTCGTCAACAAACTAGCACAAATCCAATTACTGGAGAAAAAATTGATTATAGCAAGAAAGCAACTTTCACCAAAGATCAAACTGCACCTCTGTACGTAGTCATTTTCACATTGTTTCGTTCAAATACTTCTTTTGCTTCTAGAATTCCAACGTTAGATCTAACTGATGTCAATGATAGTGATCGACAACCCCCACTATCAGCGAAACAATATTATGGATCAGCAAGGTAATGTGGATATTTGTAGACAGAAACATATCGAAACGTAATAAACTTTTAGACCACCATCAGCTCAAGGTGGTGCTAGTGCTCGCTTAGGTTCACATCGACCTGAAAGTCGGGCGTATGGAAATTTCGATCATCAACAGGCTATCTATACAAATCGTCATGGCAATCTACTGGTAAGGAATCAAAGTTCATATCAGTCGCACCTTGTTTTTCTTCTAGCAAAACACTCAGTACGATCTGAATCCTAATCGAGTTCCGGCTATGGATGTAAAGATTCCTGCCCCTCTACCAGCAGCTCGCCCCATGTCATCTCGAACTCAGCGAGCATTATCTACACGTCTGCCTGATTCAGTTCGACCGGCGGTAATACTAGATGGAAAAGCAGAAATGACTCCTCGTCAAAATTTCACACCATCAGTAGCTTCTCCCATTGATCAATTCCAATTAGGCTGGTTAGAGAGCGGCAATCATCAGGATTCGTTGAAAAAAGTAGCTGCTGAAGAGCAGAATGGACAACGAAAACAGGAATTAATGGATGACCAAGTTCTGTCCGATCAATTATCACGTTATGTTCTAAGCGATATCGAGCAAGAAGAAGATCGGCATAAGCCGATTATTGTTCAACAGCAACCGAGACGAAATCTCGATAGACGTATGCACGATACACGGTAATTTCGCTGTTTGAATATTTCTTGAAAAGAAGCTTTGTATTTCTAGAGTTAAAACAAGTACATCACTAACAGAAAATTTGCTCAGTAAACGCATTCGTTTTTCATGTCGAATGTTAACTAGGTTTGCAAAGAAAAAAGCAAACTGAATATTCTTACTCAAGTCAGATTGTGTCCGGTTTTTTTAGAGATGGCAAAGATGCGCTACGAGAATTGTTTGGCTTCTATTTCGTGCTCGATAGAACATTAGCTATATACGAATATCGCATATTGGGTAAACGGTATGTTTTCTCTTTCTACCTTACCTTTCACGAATCATTTCATTGTATGTAGTTCAAATGCATTGCCATTGATTCCACGAGGACAATATATACATTTATCGGGTTACAACAAGGGACAACCATATACTTTACTCGATTTCTATCAAGTACTTTTGAAGCCAAGATAAATACTCAATTGATTTCGTCTGCGTTTAGGGAGCTCAGATTGATTTTGACACTCGATCGATAACATCTTTACCGGAGACAGTCCGTCACCGAACGAAATTAACAATCTGTATTGTATCTATCAATGAACAAGAAAAACAAATTTTATTGTAAATAATTCGACACATATATGTAAAGAAAAGCTTGAACTTTTCTTTTTAGACTTGATGGTATACAAGATTTGAAACGTCGTGAAGTTCTCTACGCTATCAAACATCCGTATAGCACTGAACAACTCGAACATCAACGATATTTGGCTGATGTTCATCAATTAACCAAGCCGCAGATAAAAAATCGAACATTGATTGTGTATACAAGTTTAGCTGAGTACTATCGTCGACGAGCACACATGGACCGTTATGAAGACAAAGATTCGGTTTGTATATGTGAAAAGGAAGATCTCTTAGCCGGACTACATGAATTTAAAATACATCTTAGTGCAGGAGTAAGTAAGGTAAAATCAATCAAATGTGATATTCATTTTTTGAATTCAAGCATTTTGCGTATATTTGGTCGCATATGTCCATACAAGGTGAAGCTAATGAATTTCTCAATTTATTGTTTGGTGAACTAAATGAACGGCGTTTTGCTCAAGTGATAAAAGTAAAAGACGAAGCGAATACTAATTGTTTCTGATCAAAACATTTCTGTAACTCTCTAGGCGTATGCCAAACTAGATCCATCGAAAACAGGCTATACAGATATTGATACAATGAAAAAGTTCGTTAATCTCTACGGTCACCCATCTGCACTTCAAAGTAAATCGACATATGGGAAAAGAGCTTGAGAAAATAGTTTCATTTCCACTTTAGATCATTTATCTGATGAACAATTATGGTCACGTTTCTGTGAAACGTTTCGTTTCGCTTTAGACTATCCACGTGTGTCCTTTTCGGAGTTTCTTAACGTTTACGAAGCACTTAATATTGCTGTTGATCAAGATGATGATTTTATCCATCTAGTCAATAATACTTGGCATATTTAACAACATTTTCAATGTTTTTTCTCGTTTTGTTTGTATTCTTAGAATAATTTCTTTTCCCTTGTATTTGTATTTCACTGATAATATACAAGATAAAATGAATAACATGTTTGGAATGCCAAAATCGCGTGGACTGTCTTGGTTTTTTTGCGCAGAACGCATAAGTGGTTGAATTAGTGTAGGGTGCTCGACAAGTGCACTCTAAAAAAGCAATGGAACGACAAATGACAGTAAGAAGTAGTTAAACACGATAAAAATATTTGTACTTGAAACGTTGTACCCAAGAGGAGAGAGACGTATCGCGAGACAAGAAAGAGAATTTGATATGAATTGTCTAGCTGATTGCTGTTTTTATTGATGAATGAAAAAAAAAGAACAAAACTGTACGTTTAATCTTCTTTTGTTTGGCTTTCTTCCTTATGTGCTTCTTGTTTTTCGGTTTCGTCATCAGTGTTTGTCTTTGCAGGTGCCTCCTCGACTTTGTTCTCCGAAGCAACATTATCGTTCGTTTTAGCGTGATCATCACTTTTTATGTCTTCTGTTGTGGCGGTGGTGGTTGTTGGTAATGACGAATCGACGTTCTTCGTTAGATCAGGAGTTGGTTCAGGTAGTTCTCTTGGGCACTTACACCGTTCGTCTTGCGGAACATCTTTCAAAGCTTGTTCGATATGTTTTCCACAACCTTTCCACGTTGGTTTGCCACATTCTTTGCATTCAGTTTTCATACACATAGTGAGATTTGTTCTGCTGAAAATAATGCAAACAATCTACAAGCAAACAAAATAAACTGATCAGCTGTTATTCATCTCGAATAATCTGTATTACAATGGACAAGGTAATTACCCATCTATTCTTTTTCAATCGTATAAAAAACCTTGCAGGTAGAAGTACGAAAAAAACACGATATTATTGGTTGAGAAATTCGCGTCATCCTGGCTGATGAAAATCACGCGCGTTATGCAATCTGTCATGATAAAAGACTCTGTTGAAGCGTACCAGTACAAACGTTTAGAACATATTCGTCGTTGGCAAATCCATTCCGGAAACAACCACATCTGTTTCAATGGACACTGCATCACTGGAAAAAACCTTTCCGGTGCAATCTTTCTCATCAGTGTAATCTCATTAACAACTATTTTCTGGTTCATCTTTGAACTGCCGGTGTTAATGAAAGAACTCCATTATAAACGATTTATTCTTCTCGTTGGACTACTTTACCTTTTCTATACATACAGTGAGAAATAAGATGAGCAAACGATCGATGAATATTCGTGATTCTATCTAGTCTATTTCTTTCGATCGATGTGCACTGATCCAGGTATCATTCAACGTCCGTCTTTACTAGAACGTACAATTATGAACCAGCAGTTTCATTTCGATCAAATGACATCCGATCAATTGAATAACCTCAGATATGATATTCAAGTGAATGATGCTGTAATCAAATGCAAATATTGTATTACATGCCAGATGATTCGATCACCTCGTTCATCGCATTGTCCGATATGTTCGAATTGTGTGACAATACTCGATCATCACTGTCCATTTTTGAGTACATGTATCGGAATGAGAAATTACCGATTTTTTATCATATTTCTTATTTGTCTGTTGCAAACAGATCTATTCTATTTCATCACAACTTTAACCAAAGTATTTCTCTCAAAAACGAATATATAAAATAGCTGTCTTCGATAGATACTGATTTCCAATGATCATCCAACATTCCTCATGTCAATTCCAACCTATTTTATACTAATTATTACAGGCCCTGGTGCCCTTTACATATGCAATCTGTTGGGATATCATTGCATGATATCAAGTCGTGCATTAACAACCCGAGAAGATGATAAAAATCTCTATACAAATTCGAACCCATTTTATGCACATCGTTGGTATCTCAACTTAGCGAGAAAACTTTGTACTTCACTGCCCCCGAGCGCATGTAAGTCGACTCTCTAACGTATACGATACCAGACAAAATAACTCGTTATCTGTTTTTCCTCTTCTCTCAGATGGAGCTCATCGTTTAATATATCAAACAGAGTTTCGATTGATCAAAGAGACTGTTTAATTGAAAGAAAATGAAATTGAATAAGCAAAACAAGAGAAAATATCAATGGACTTCTTCATCACATGTGTAATTTCATCAGAACCAATCAAGATCTGGAATGTCAGCGAAAGAGAAGTTCTTATCACCTTTCCAAGCCCAATAAGCAATGCGTAGATGATAGAAACCAGGAAGAAAGACTAATGAGCCCACAACGATCAATGGCCATGTACGATCGCTATACTAAAAATCAAATTGAACTTGAAAAAACGCATCAGAGAAATCCACGCACTTGTGTTTTAATATAACCAGTTAACATTAATGAACCTAATGTGATCATAAGTGAGCCAAGAAGAAACAAAGCCGTAGCCAAACCGATTGCGTAGATCGGGGCTTTAGGTGCAGCCTCACGAAACTATTGCGAGAGAAATGTTAGAAAATAGAATTTATGCATTGATATGTTACTTGTAAATCAGAATATTGCGGCTCGAGTTCTTGCAATCGATAGTACGGTTCTTTGGAATTTTCATCTGTCTTCGGTTTGAAGATGTTTCTAGAAGAGAAAAACAAAGCATCGATTGTTTTTGCTTAGACGAGAACTATTCGATTGATTTGAGCGGCGAAACATCCAATGAGCTAATCAAACATCACAATTAGATCTAATGTGACATTTATTAAATTTTACCTTGTAAAGCGATAGACAGTGGCACTTTAAATAATAATTATAATAAATTCATTGTTCTTCTACTTCAATCATTTATTTTCTGATGATTATACTCATCTTACCTCATGGGACTTTTGAAGCGCTAGAAAAGAAAGAAAAACAGCATAATAAAATTTTCATTCTCAGAGGAATTGCAGAAATATATGAAGTAGAAAAAAAGCAGAAGACAAATGCAAGCGAGCAAGATTCATCTTACTTTTTTCTTTTTATCTTTGCTGTTCGAATATTGTTCATCAGTTTTTTGTTCGACTTCGAGCTTGGAAGGCGATAGTGTTTGAGTGCGAACGGGTCGTATGTACATCTGAAGAAATATTCAAGCTAAAAACCCAATTAAATATATGGCTATATTTCATTGTGCAGAAAAATGAGAACGAAGAAGAAGAAGAAGAAGGAAAAAAAAGAGAACAACTCATTATTTTCATTGCCAAAAACTACAACATAGATACAAAGAAAACCAACGGATTACTTTAGAACAAGAAAAGAGAAACAAAATAAGCACGTTGTGTGTGTATCACATCACAACAAAAAGAAGAGGTAAATATTTGCCGTGCCGTAGATAAAATATGACTAGAAATTGAAAAATAAAATAAAATACGATACCAGACAAAAGTCAAACTGATACAAGAGAGAGGGAGAGAAATATTTTTTTCTTCGAAATTATTAAATCATAAATATCTGACAATTAGAGTAAGGAACAGAAAATAATGAGGATGAAAAAGGTCTTGTTTGACAGTTTACATTAAAATGCAACTTCGTTTACCATTGCGTTGTCTCACACCTTTACTACGGCCATCTTTGGAGGAAGTTTTATTTCCAATACTATTCAAGCCACTGCTACCGGATTTACTTTTCCGACCTTTCCGCGTTCGTTCTTTCTACAAAATCAAATCGGCAAATAAGTATTAAAAAGGAAAACAAATGAAACACGATCGTTATTTACATATTTTCGTATTTCTCGCACGAGGGTATAGAATGCTTCTTCGACACCTTGCCGTGTTTTAGCTGACGTTTGAACAAACGGCATGGATAGATTTGCAGCGAACTCTTTTGCTTGTGATAAATCAATAGTGCGTGTTGGCAAGTCAATTTTATTTCCTACCACTAAAATTTCAAATGGCACGTCGATTATGCGAGGAAATTTCCTGTTGATCATATCGATACTTACAAACCATTGGGATATCATCGACATCTTTTACTCGTTTTATTTGTTCACGATATTGTTTGATTTCTTCGAATGATTTCGCATTATTGACTGCGAACACGCAAAGAAAGCCTTCGCCGCCACGCATGTATTGATCACGCATAGCACTAATCGGAGGAAAAACAAGCAACCGATAAAATGTACAATTGACAAGCATATGACATCAAGACTACCTGTACTCTTCTTGTCCGGCAGTGTCCTAGATAGAAATCGTTTTCAGACAAAGTCGATTAAAATGGTTTTACATACAAGAATGTCGAGTAGACATGTTTCACCATCAACAACCGCTTGCTTTCGATAGGAATCCTCTATATTACATATTGAACAATGAGAGCAAAACGTTTTTCTAACTGTTTACCAATTGTCGGGTCATATTCATCGATGAAGCTAGAAGAAAAGACAATGTGAAACTAGGCTGAAGCGTGTTTTCGAATCGATTTACTGGTTCTGAATAAGTTGAATTGTCAATGCGCTTTTGCCCACACCACCAGCTGTTGTTATTATTTAAAAAGAAAACATATACATATTAGAATGGTTTTATTTAGGAATTATTGAATTTACCACCGACGACGACAAGTTTGTATTCAGTCATGTTTCAGCTTTGTTGTCTTTGTATTTTAGATAAAAATAATATATATATATGTGTGTAGAAGTGTGAATGAGTGAACGCGAGATTGATTGCAATCTATATGTGGAAAAAAAGAACGAGAATAAAGAGATGAAGCATTCGTACTCTTGTTTGCTTCCTGGAAGAATGAGAGAATGAGAGAAAAAAAAGAAAACGATACATGCATTGTCAGGAGCAGTGGAAAACTAACTTAGAAAAGAATCGCATCGCTACTTGCACTGCATCGCAGTATTGAGAGAAGCGATTGCGCATTGGAGGAGAATCTTGACAGATCAAAACGTGGGTATGATAGAGGGCATTCGAACACAGATGGTTGAAACTCACTTGTCGCGATTGACAACTCGTACTGAGATTCTTTCTCTCCTAAAATCTGTAAGATTTTTCTGATGAATGTATCTCAGTGTTTAACTGTTTTTAAGAGGACCTTGCATTATAGAACAAAATCGATTTAAAAAAATGCTCTATTGCGGTTAGGTTAACATTTGAATCGGTTCATTTGTTATGAGGAGGTTGAATATTATTCATTGCTCAAAAATCCTGATGAGTCGTGTTAATCAAATCGTTCCTTTTTAGCACATGAATAATTCGACTAAAGTAGATATCTAACGGTCAAACAAAGGTAAGAAATGCTTGTAATATATATTTAGAATCGATTTGACAGCGGTCCGTTCGTGCTTCAGATCTTCTGCGATGCTAATTGCTATTAGAAGAGTTTGAGCGAAGGTCATCGAAATTCGTAGGTTCGATTTTGATTTTTTTTCGGAGACCTCACTTTTGGTGAGAACTCGACACTGTTTTTCGAAATACGCTTAGCAGTTCATCGTGTACTTCAACACAGATATGTTCCCAACCAAAAGCGTCGAAAAACTTTTGCACTACTCGTTAGAGATATTTTTCTCTTTTCTCTATTGTCCTAATCTAATTCGGAAATTCAAAGATTAATCAAGAAAATGAATAATATTTTCTTTGCTTCCGATTACAATCTTATCTTGATTATTCTAAAATGTGATTTATTATATTAGATTTGAATCAATTCACCTATCGATAATGCCTTGAATTTTCATGTCTTTAGGTGATACAATTCATAAATTCTTTTTATTTTCGATATATTCTACCCGAAGCAAGGATGACATTCAAGATTGCGATCTTTTCCTTTATATGACACATACAAGAGTTTTCTGTTGAAATAAGAGAATAACTTCATTTTCACTTCATTTATAGTTCAGACGTATATCAACGATCATAAGTTTTTCTCTTAATTCTACAAAATAATTTGACGCTTTACTATATTTTTCCTTATACTAGACAAAACGATACGCGACCAAATTACAAAACACGATCAGCGATAAACATTTGACATAGTGCTGGTATTGGACGGGCAGTCGGTAAACCTGGTAACTTTCCAGCACTACCAGCGATATCTAGATGTGTGTAACTCAACGGTTTGTCGGAATCACGACCGTGTTTATCGAGGCCAGATGCGCGAGCAAGAAATGCTGCTGGATATTGATGACCACGAGATGTAACGTTACTAGGCCGTGTATTACATTGCAGGATATCTGCTACTTTGCTTTTATCATCTATAAAATCGTAATCCTAAATAGAAACGGAGTGATTGTTTTTTAAGTGAAACTTTCACATAGCAAAAAACACGAACTTCACGTCGAACAGTAGAAATTTCAAATGGATCACCAATATTCTCACCTAATTCTTGAAGTCGTTGTGCGATTTTCTTTTCTCTCGCCGGTCCATTGTCCATCACAGCCTTTTCAAATCAAGACAATACTCACTTTTTTTTTATATTAAACTTTTCCTGTTTACCGTATAATTATCCCCATATGTACGTGCCGCATGGCCAGTTAAGGTTGCAATAGTAAATAGTTGTGGATTGACTTCTTTCAATGCTAGCTCTTTCATGTAGCATAATGAATCGGCCATAACTAATCGACCTAGAATTTGTCGATATGATCTACGTTTTTCTCTTCCAATTCGATCTCTCTACCTTCGGCATCGGTACTTCCAACACGAATGCGAACACCTGCTCTCGCCTTGAGGATTTCGTCAGTGACGTATCCTTCTTCTCCGCAACTATTTCGTGCTACAGCTAAAACGCCAATTGCTTTGAGCTGTTTGGGTTTCAGCTCCGAAAGAACTTTGAAAAAACCAGCGACACTTGCAGCACCGCATTTATCATAGGACATACTTGTCTAAAAATACTTTTTTCTCAAAAACCTACGAATTAGTTCAATCAAGATATCAACTATACCATTCCGCCGCCAGCTAAAAATAAATCTCACACCAGTCAAGTGAAACAAAATTAGATTTCTCACATACTTTTAATATCGAGACCACCAGTGTCGTAAGTAACACCTTTTCCAACAAGCATTGCTGTGGAGTTTATTTCACCCTCACCCGTATATTCGAGAAAGATTAGACGACCTTGATGCCGATCGATACCTGTAAAAGATCGAGAGTTATTTTGAACATTAAAGATGACTTTGACAAAGCACACCTCTAGCTGCCCGATTTACAGCAGCGAATAAAGGGAAATCCTTGTCAATTTCATTTTGATCTTTTATTATATTTATCTAAAATACACCGCAGTAAATCCTATGCTACACGAGGATTTCTTTTTTACTTTGATACCGGATGATTTACCAAATATTTCTTGAACATAATCAACGACACGCGGTGGTGCCATACGTTCTGGATCAGCTCCACCGATATCTCTGCCAACGACACGTCCCAATTCGATAGCACGAGCATAGCTAACTAATTTATCATTGCAATCAGACGACGTCTGAGGAATATAGACACCTAGTCGATCAACTTTAGTTTTCTCCGCAGGTTTATCTTCTCGAACTTGCAATGGCTAGAAGAGAGTTCGTCGAAGAGGAAGAAGTGAGTACGAACAAATCCAATGGTACTTTACCACATAAGTTGTTTCTAAAGCAGATAACAACGTCACCAGATGGGCTTGCTGATACAATTTGGAGCCGAAACTAGCAATCAATGGACACTTTGCACCAAGTGCTAAGGCCTTTTTCATTCCTGCGGCAGCCGCATCGGCAAAGCGGCGTACATCATCAAAATCGCGAGTTACTTTTCCGGTTGAAGAATAGATCTAAACAAAAACAAACTATTTCTATCTTCATTTGTTTGATAACACAATTCTTACCAATCGTTTACCGGGAACAACATCATTAATAGTTACAGTTACATCTTTATCGAACTTCTTATTTAACTAGAATCAAATCAAACGAGATGAAGAGGAAAGTACGTTCAGAAGCGAACTTGACGAAATGCCTGAAGATCTTTTGTTACTGAATGATCTACATGGTCTTTGATCTGATCTAATTCAGTTGCAACAACAACAAGAGCATCATAGTCTTTCGATGATGAGTTGAGATCTTTTACTGAATTGACATTTCTAAATTTGAAGAGAATGATTTGGTGACAAAGTGATTTCAATGAACGAATTACGTCAAAAATTGACGATAGAATACGGAACAAGACCGTGAGTGTTGGGAGAGTATCGATCGACACTTGGAAATCATTAATCTATCTATAAAAGGGAAAGTTCTCATAGATAAATCTTTATATAAACGAAGTTTGGTCAAGTAATTATTTGCTCACAAAAAAGACATGTTATAAAAAAGTCATAGTAGCAAAAGTCTTCTTTTCATTATCAAAAAATAAATACAATAGCTAAAAAACGCAAATTTATTTCCATCAACAGAATTCATGATTAAGTAATCGAAACGACTCTTTAAGGTAAAAACATACGTTGGTATTGTTCAATAGGCGTCCGACAAATCGGACACTTTTGCTCGAATCGGCTTCGCCTTTGCAGTTGTTCGGCACATGACTGGCATAGAGCTAAATGTGAGCATGGTTGCAAACTGTACACAATTTCATGATCTAAGCAAATGACACATTGTAATCGAGTTGCATCATTCGTATTCGCATCTTGTGTAGCTGGTGGTATGACTCGTCGTCGAGAATTATTCGATATTCGCGGTGTTCGAGAATAGTACTTGAAGATCAAATAGATAATTGTGCAGCCAGTGAGGCTACTGAATAGAATAGTAAAAATACGACTCCAACTCGAACGATTTCTAAACGACGCTAATATCTCATCTCGACTGGATCGTGTTAATATTCCTCCCCATTGTTCATGTGGAACAAGATGCCATACATTGAGTCGTTTTTCTAACCGACCGATGCCGGTTAATTGTGTGTTATTTAGTAACATTTCTTCTCGTGTTTCAACACCTTTTGAAAGATTTCCGAGTAATGTCTCAAAGACTTTTTGCACAGACGACGAGGGATTAGGATCGAATCTAACGTGAGTCACATCCAGTTGATCTTCGATCGACTTGAATTGAAGCGGCTTATCAATACAAACATAGTTTCCTTTGGACGATACCAGTCGAAATGGTACATAGCGTGTTGCAGCGCTAATTAGCTTTTTCGTTTCAGCCCTTCATCAGGTAAAATATCAGAAATTATTCCATAGGAATCCAAAATCATCTTACCAAGAACTTTGGAGTTTTTGTAATTTTTGTTCATGTAATGTTAAACGATGGATAACACCGATACAGTCTGCAGTGAAATTTGATGTGAGTCTTGAATGTGACTTTAGGTCATTCGGTTGTACAAGACCGTGTACTGTCGCATAATCGACAGATGTGGTCATAGACGAGAAATTTTTTAGATTATCGATGTCAATATGAGGAGATACCTAAACAGACACGATATCAATACGCGAACAGAGTGTGGCAAAGATCTTATGTTTTCTACTTCAAGAACTGCAGCATATTTATCATTCTTTTTCCAAAATACATAACATCCGTATGTAACACCAAGTTCTCCAACGACCCAAAGCCAATCCCAACCAGACATTCTCTAGAAGATGCAAATACAATAACTGGAAGCCATTTTCGAAAAGGTTCAACAAAGCATGCTGGTCAACATCGAATAGGCTATATTTTTTGACAATCGAGTTAATCGCTGCAATTCTAAAATCAAATATCTGATTTTCGACCGCAGGTAGTGTGGGCAACGAAAAAACGCAAGAAGGTGGCTGTATGCATATGTGTATTGCATCACATCACCATTCGTAGGAGTTGAATCAATCAAACGTTTGCAGATAGATGGCATTCATGAACGACAGGTTTTCATGATAGTATGCTTTAATGGCAATAGATGAATAGGAAATACCTTGAACATACAATTATGTGTTACCGGTAATTCTGTATGTCTCGCGATCACTTATCGAACAGAAGACAAATTATTCCCGATAGTACACGCCGCAAAGAGGTGAGGTTTTTTTGTTTGAAGAAAACGACTAATATTGTCAGTGAAATGTTAGCGGAGAAAAGAGCGTTCTTCTACCATTCAAGTAAAAAATATAACTGCGTTGTGATAGACTCTCGACTAGTCATATTTACAATTTTTTTTTATTCAGCATTTTAACCCTTTGGCGCCAAGGTTTTCTTTCAAAAAATATCTGGAAGCATTTATAAATGTTTTAGAGTATGATAATCTTCATAACAATCTATCATGCAATGTCCAACATCACACTGATAACGTTTATCGGTACGTTTTCTCTCTCGTCTGTTTGTATTACTACAAACTATACAAGATCTTCGCACAATTTTTCCTGTGGCTGTTGCTAGAACTAGAGGAGGAAAATGATGTGCAGTAAGGTGTATGGGATCATCTCCAGTAGACAGACGACCAGTTAAATTTCTAGATTGCGCATGTCTTTCAATCAATTGTCGAATCAGTTCATTCCGAAAAGATTGTGAGAAATAGACACGTCAGAACGCGAGAGAACACATAGCTATACGCAACGATGATCCAATAGTACTATCAATACAAGAAAGACAGAGAGGAATCTTTCCGATGAAGCCTAAATAATATTATGGTCAAGACAATATGTGTAAAGTTTCAAAACGCGTATATGCGTGTCTCAACGCCAGAAAATTAAAGAAAAAATAGTTTCTATGAACTATTCCTCTACTTCCGATTATAACAAAGGTCTAGCTCTGCCTGTAGATTTTGTCTAAAATATTGTTTGATAGATTTGTTGTGCATTCGACAACCATTCAAGCCGGACTGAAATTTTTCGAATCATAACCTACTTTTCTCGTTCTATTTGTTTAAAAAACGAAGAAAATGGTTCGCCACCATTCCTCCATATACCAGTCTTCACGTATAACATCAAAAATCGTACAAGTTGCATTCGATAATAGATCGATTACTGGATTTTTTTCTTTTTCTTACAAGCTGAACGTAAGAAAGTGAACAAAGTATTTCTCAAAGTTGTCTATTTACATTCTGAATTTCCACGAATAAACTATGTCATAGTATCAGTCGTCATTCTCAGAAACGAGAAGTACACATAAGAATAGCTCGCCGAGAAAAAGAATGCACTTTTCATCAGAAAATGAAGGCTTTTATTACGGTAAAAAAATTTAAATGGCAACCTCTGTAAAATATTTTTTGTTCGATCATAACGCAAATGACTTTCTCTTTTCTTTTTCATCAACATACATAGAAGAGTGACTGGCCAGTATTTCATTAGTGATTTGAAAATTTTTAATAAAAATCGTGTAGCTATATTTTGCGGCATTCGTTTGAGTTGATTTTGACATAGCGCAATGCAGCGAACATTTCTTTATCGCATTATGTAGTTTTTATGAGCAAAAAATGCGTGAAAGAAATTAGCTTTAAGTTAATTTTCATTCAGTGTTGTTCCTAACAACACCATTCCCAGCAAAAATACATGCAGTTTTCTTCATGATAAGAAAGAGAAGTTTGGGGCGAAACGAGATTTGAGATTTCAATGAATGACTGAAACCAAAAGTGTAGACATATTTTACAATGATCGATGTATACAGCGGAGAGCAAGTTCTTATCCTTTTCATTTATAGATTACGCATTTAGTCCAAATTAGTGGTCAGTGCCGTAGCCAAGAGCATACTACGTATCGAAGAGATTGAATCTCACTTAGGTCCCCGTTTAACAACTGATAAAACGATTTTTACGTACATGAACAACAATAAATCGAGTCAATGTTCTTTCTCTATGCTAAACGACATTAATTCGTATTATTAAAAGCTTATTTGCAGAATCCCTCACGTGTATTCGCTATAATGAGATGTATTAAAGAAACGATGTTTAGTGTAATTAAATTAGTGCATTTTCATACCGAGTTCTATCACATACAAAATACGCCCTAAAGAAAGCAGTGTTTTCACGAAAGTATAAGTTTACCAGGAAATGTCTCGGGTTTCACATGAAGCTAGGGGAACATGGTTTTTAAGGATATATGCAGGCTTTGATGGCTGTGTATGGTTTAAAATAATTATTACATAAATATGAAATTCCTAAAAAGATCGCTTTTTTACAGTGTGAATAATGTGAAAAGTGACGATTCTCACAAGGCTTAGCTATGAAACTGTTGAGAAGTAGCTCCGCTCGCTGCTGTGGAAACCGCTAGACCTGCAATACGCCTACATTTTTTCTTATCCAGGAAAAAATAGATATCTTTCTTACGTTTGTCTACTCATGAAAACTATGTAATTCAATAGAGGAATGCTCGACGTACTCCGCTATCTAAAAATCCGCAATGGAATTATGATTTCACAATCTATCGAAAATTCTAGGTACACTGCCTTAAACTTTCACACAAATGGAGTTTGTACGCCGGCATCGATCGTCTTTTATGTGTTTCGTCGTACTTCCTTATGTAATCCTTATTTATTCATTTATTTTTGGTCCTGACCGAAGATATCCAGTGTATCTACGTAAACCAGCCGATACTGGTCGAGTCTTAATCATTTATGTATGGGCCGATACAGATGTCCAATCTCTTGGTAATTTGAAGTTTTTAATTCGTTATGGCGTTCATGCTGCTCAGAATGCTGATTACTATTTCATCTTACAGAAATTTAACAATACACCTCTTGATCGAAATCGTTTACCACGCCTTCCCGTCAATGCACACTACATCGAACATGATAATGAATGTTTTGACTTTGGAACATTTGGCTGGTTTCTAGGAAATAAATTTATCAAAACAAGTCTATATAAATACTTTATCTTTATGAACGCGTCCATACGTGGGCCCTTTCTAGTGGCTTATTTCGATCATGAATCAATGTGGTGGTACAATATCTATACAAAACTCCTTACCGATGAAGTCAAACTAGCCGGTTCGACGATTAATTGCGAACACAAACCACATGTTCAAAGTTATCTCCTAGTCACAGATCAGATTGGCCTAGCGATATTAACCGACAAGAAGACAGGCGTATTTAATTGTAAGAAAGACTATAGTGATGCAGTCTTCAGCGGTGAAATAGGTGCAAGTCAATCAATTCTTCATGCGAATTATCAAATAGCATCATTACAAACGAAATATCAAGGTGTTGATTTTCGGAAAAAGGAAAATTGGCAGTGTAATCATCAGATAAGCCCGATATTTGTCGACAGATCTGTGGATTCAATAAGTCACGATCCATTTGAATTAGTATTTGTTAAATATAAAGGTCAGCCAGCTAACTTTGATACAGACCTTGAACGTCGCGCAATGATATATGAAAAATGGGCAGCAGAGCAACCAGCGAAAAAACCGAAACCCCATTCTACCGTTGTTTAGTTTTCAAATACAATAAATGTTGTTTGTTCCCTCTCCTAAACTGTTCGAGAGGTGCTAATTCAAATGTACGGAAAGCTTTTGTTCACGTTGCTTCTCATTGATTGCGAGTAATAAAAAAGAAGAGATGATCATTGAAAAAAAAACAAATTCGTTTCTTATATAAGCGGAACATAACAAATAAAGCAAACAAAATATAAATAAAAGAAACACTCTTTCTTGTTTTAATAGAACTTTTTGTAATATTGCATGATGACAAATAACAGAGAGAGAGAGAAGCGACAGTAGCGTACACAAGATTAAGAATAATGTATATAATTTAATGCTTATTGAAAAAAGAGACAGAAAAAAAAGAGAGAAAAGAAATAATCATTTTATACAAGAACAAGAAACAGATCACAAGATGACACAAACATGTTGCTGCTTGGCTGTTAGTATGAAGCATGTTGAAGAATAAATAAACGCAAAAGAGAAAGAAAGAAAGAAAAGGAAATCACAAATAAGCAGCAAAAGGCAAATTGAATTAATTTTCGTTGAATGATGTTGATTCTTGTGCGTATGACATACTACTAGGAGGAGACGATGATGATGATGAATTTGGCAGCCATCGTGCCTTGTGATCATTCAGACCAAAGCCAGCCGAATAATTTCCTTTGATAGCAAATAATTGAAGAAAATGGGGTTTACAATAGATTTGTCCATCGTTTGCGGTGTAATTGCCAAGTCTAAATAACAAGCATGAGGTTAAGATAGAGTGACAAAGAAAAGTATGATTGAAATCGGGACATGCTCATTCATAACAAAGTAAACAGGGCACACGGAAGGGAAAGAGAAAAAAGACAAATGCCTACGATTGATTGTAAAAAAAGAAATTGAATGAGGTTTTTTTTTCTAAAATGAAATAGAAAAATGTAGACGGATTGCTCGTGCTACTCACTTCAGTATAGACTTGCAGTGCATACATTTAAAACATGATTTGTGATAAATTTTTTTGTCAGCTTCGATCTAGAAGAGGAGGAAATTGTTAAACTATGAAACAAAGATTGATTTGGTTGATATTCTCGTACTTTTTCCATTGCATAAACTGTTTTATTGCAAACAGAGCATTTAGTTGGGTCCACAGCAGGTTCAACATTCACTTGTTTAGGTGCCGGTGTATCCTGGCAAGAGAACATTTTCAATCTCAGGAGTTTCAAAGAAGAATAAGTCGAAGACATACAACAAATCGTTTCGGTGTGTATTTGATCTTCGATGAAGCTGTTTCAACTTTAAGTGCGTCTTTTTCATATTCAGCAAAGCGATTTTTTAATGATTGAGCTTGACCTTTAGTTGGGACAATTTCCTCATTGTTATTGTATTGTTCCGATATACTATTCGAAATGCTACTTGAATCGGGTGGTGAAGCTGATTTTCTAGAGAAAACCAAATATTTCTTTGGAATAAGTTCGATGTCACGTCATCAATGCTTCATACCTGCGAACACCTTCTGGTGGTGGTGTGATTTGTTTCAATGTTTTCCGTACGTTCGTTGCATTACTCTGTTCAGCACTTTGCATCAATCTGCGAAATAAAATACAATAAGTCATTGAACGCACTATAAATGATAGATACGCGCAAGGATAAGTGGGTAATTACCGATGAAGATTATAATAAAAGCAAAGCAATGGAATCAAGGATAAAGGTACAAGCAAGGAAACCTACTCATCATCATCACCACTCTTTCCATTCATACTCTGTAAGTCATGCACAATAGAGATGAGACTCTCCACACCAACATACTCTTCATCACTAGGCAATAACATGCAATTCGATTGATGATTATATACTGCATAAGATGAAATCATACAGAGAAGAACTAAAACAACAAACCTTTCTCGAGCAGCTTTGGCGTGACCTGATTCAATGTTTGCTTTATCATCTGCATAACCTGGTTTGCGAGCCACCTGATCATCCTAATGTATAGTTGAAAAGTGCAGAATCGAAATGAGAGAATTTGAAATATATTACATCTTCGGGGGCTGGAAGGCGTCGTTCGTTGTCAGCTGACGGTGTTATCGCACGTGGTCCGCGACGTTCGGGCGGTGGCGTATTTTCTTTATCCATTGTTTTCCACATTTCGGCAATATTTTTCGCCTTACCTATGGTTTGAAATATAAATAGAACCCTTGAATATTTTTGTTCCCACTCTCTGTCTCTCTCTCTCTCTCTGTAGGCGAGCGTTGGAACTCGTAAGAATGATTCGTTTTGATTACATACCTTGTTGAAGTATTTCAGCGTCTTTTAGAACTTGAGCGTCAGGTGTATCACGGTCAGGTGAAATCTTTTTCGTTTTCCACTGTTCGACAAGTTGTTTTGTTTGACCCTTTTCAAAGTAAATTTCTTCACGTTTATCACTTTCACGTACAACGTTCCCGTTCTCCTAGATAGAAATATTAGAAAAATGGCATACAATATATAAAAGAGAATAGAGAAGAAGAAGAAGATGATGGAGGAGGCGGAGAATAAAATATTTCGATAGCCAAAGAAAGAGAAGAGAAGAGTGAATCAAACACACACACACACACACACACACACACAACCTTTCTGTTTTGTAAGACACGTTTTAGTAGTGTAGAAAAGAATGACAAAAAAGGCCGAGTGAGAGAGAGAGAGAAAGAGTGAAAAAGCAAAAGTGCAATCAACCCATATGTTAGTTAGTAAATGAAATCAATTGTGATCAAAATATCTCTGTAAACAGATGATTGTCACTGATTACTCATAATTGTCATCGAGTTACATTCTTCTGACATCTGAACTCTGTTGATTCTACTCTTTCTCGATGTATGATTGTGTTCAATCAAATATCTCAGCTCAGTGGTAGTCAGTTATTATATTTCTGTGTAACAAAGAACGGACATTAAATTCTTTCTTATTCAATCTCGTTTCTTAGTTCATTTCGATCAGGTAATGAAGAGAAAAAGAAGGAGAGAAAAGAAAAAGGAAAGAAGGATAAAGATTCGATATATATGAACGGACATATGCATTCGCCTGCTATCGATCGAAGGTTACTCACGTTTTCTTATGCAACTGTACACTCATTTCTTCTAATTATCTAGTTCACTGATCGAATGTAACATACGAAGAGCGTATCGATCACTCCATAGATTTGAAAATTGACTTCATCAATAAAACAATCTGTCTATCATACTCATAGATGTGTCGGATGAACGAATCTTACATTTTGACTCATACATTTTTCTCGCCTCCGCATCTGAATATAAAGCAAAAAAACGTAAATTATGTATGAAATAGCTTTCACTGATATCTACGAACAAATAAGCAAACCTCTCTCAATGTTTAACTTGCCAACAATAAAAGAATACTATTTATACAGCTTCTAAATTAATAAATAGTAGATGATAAAAATACACTATAAACTAGTCTAGAAAGTCGTAAAACAGATTTGATTAATCATGCTGTTATTTTCTGTTCCTTGACACTATCTATGAAAGCACTCGTATGCACATAAATATATTCTCAACTATGATGAATGTATTTTGTGCATATTGTTAAAAGAAACATAGAAGGTACAAATGTGTTCGAAAGCAATGAATAGAGATTTTTGTTGAAGTTATTATTGACTTATTTTTATTTGAGAGCAAGATGAATAGTATTGCAACAGTGCATTGAGAGAATTAGGAAATGAAAGCGTGTTGTGAGTATATGAAAGAATAAAAATTCATAATAAAATATAGAAAAATATAATTAAAGATAAAGCATTGTTCTACTTGTAGCAGTATACCAGACACACACACAAATACATAAACAAATGCACACGTTTCGAGACATAGAATACAGAGATATATGTATAGAGTGAGAGATTGATGGGTGTTCACACGCACACACGCTCACAAAATCATTTGATTCAAAGAGAAAACAATAAATAAAATAGAAAAAAATATATATTTGGGAATATACACAATCAGTGTACCTCACCGGATGTAGTGGAAGAGACAACAGTTTTGTCCGTATCCGTTGATTTTATCTTCAGTCTTACACTCATGTTGACAAGCGTGTCAGAAAATTCGACACGCTAAAAAGAAAACAACAGAGGACATTGGCAAATGTGTTCTTTTTTTATATGCATGTGTGTGTGTCTGGATATACGCAAATCAAACCTTACAGGAAACTAAAAGTACTGATTTCTTCTCTAGTAATCACTTTCTGCTAAAGTAGTTCGTTAGTAATTTAGTGTTAGAGTGAATCAGAAGTATCCCACTAAGAAAACATTGAGCAATTAGGAGACCTACGATGAATTTTAACTTTTTCCTTAAAATCGAACCATTGATGGGTTGGCACACATTAACGTGCCATCGAAAATCCTTTTATTTAGAGAGAGAGATAAATAGAGTTACTCGCTATGAATTAGTCAAAGGAGAAAATAGATAATAACACTTACATCAACGCGAATTTTCGAATCACTTCCACTTGCATTAGGTTGGGCACCACTTTGTAGATTTTTAAACATGGCTACACGCTCTTTAGCAACACCACTCTCGCGAAGTTCATTATCAATTTCTACTGTTCGTTTAATCTAGGCAAAGTAACGAAAGTTGCATTGAATTCAAATCTAATTTCATCTACATACAGTTCCTTCATCAGGACTTTCGAATGCGGTGGCTCGACTTTTAGCCAATCCACTTTCAACAGTAACAGGTTGGGCTGTTTTTGTGATAGATGATTTACTCGTATCAGCTATGTACTGTTCTTTAATCGTGCTTGCTAAACCAGTTTGTACATCGAGGGTTTTTTCTCCCGCTTTGAATTCGGTACTTGCTAATGATGCTAATTGCTCTCGTCGTTCTTTTGCTAAGCCTTGTTCGGGCTGAATATCAATATGACGATCTCCAGAACTTTGAACTTGTTGTTCAGCATCAATTTTCGACAATAATTCGGATCGTTTAGCCTGAGCAAGACCAGCTCCAACCATACTTAAAACTTCTTCACGACGTGATGATGTTGTTGTTTGATCAGACATTTGACCACTTTCGAATTTCGCTTTCTTTTCAGTCGTTGCACCGACAAGAAGATCAGCATCGGCTTGCACACGATTTGAACCTAAGTCATGGTAATCATTTTCAAATTCTCCTTTTTCGAATTTCGCTTTTTTCTCTGTCGCAGCACCAGCTAACGCATCTCGGTCAACAACAACCATTCGTTGTACGTTGGCATCACCATCTTGTTGTTGCTGTTCAAATGCTTGTTTCTTCGATGCAGTTAAACCAGCAACAAGATCCGCATCGACTTGAACTTTACTAATATGGGATTCCACTTCCTGTTCGAATTCACCTTGTTCGAACGCTTGTTTTTTCGATGAAGCTAAGCCACTTTGTACACGAACGTCCAATCGTTTCTCTGCTCGCGGTTTCTCGTCAACTAAACCCTTTTCAAATTTATCTTTTACTTCAGCCATTTCATGATAAGGAACCTAAACAGAGTACAAAGATAAATTTTGTTCGAAAATTTAATTATTGTTCATACATGTTCTCGTGGTGGCTTCTTCTTGCGTCTAGATCTAACAACACCATCCGACTCGTCTGCTTGGTTGTCGTCTTCTTCTTCCTCGTCGTCTTGTGCACCGTTTGACGAGGCAATCTCTTCAAACCTATTCAGCAACAATGATGGAATTGTAACATGCACCGCAAACAATGAATAACGGAAGTCAGATATATAATACACCGTAGGATCGTTACTACTACTATTATTATTATTATTGTTATTCCAAACTTTCTTTCTGAATACAGAATTACAGTCGGTCAGAAATATTTATATAATACGTCTCGAAATATTTTTCTATTTTTGCAGACTTGCCATCGATATGATAAGAAAAGCAACTATCATTTTTCTAATATCGACTGAAATGTAAATAGTATCTCAATTGATCAATAGAGACCTGATTCGTCCATAGTTAAAACGAAGAAAACTTACTCTGACATTGAGATGTCTATTAAGATTGGAATGTATCTATCGTGTAGTTCTAGTCGAAAAAAAGATTTATTGATGTGCGACGAGAAATCACCTTTTTTCGTTTGTTTCCTTTCGTGCAACTCAATGAAATGGATGATTGCTTATCTAATTTCTCATATGTTGCTTTTTTGCATCTTTTCTTCTGACTACAAGCATTCGTGTACAAAAAAAAAACGTGCACGGCCTAATTATAAAAAAAGTCGATCGATCTGATGATAATTTTTTCTCTCTTCTTTTCATCGAAATCATCGGAGGTAACTTACTTCTGAAACGTTTGCTTCAATTTGTCACTAGGTGCAACTTTCTCGACTTTTTTCAGATTTTGTCGTTCATCGTCATCTGTTGGCTTAGCAAACATTTTTGTAATATTACGCAGACGCTCCAATGTATCATCAGCACCACCAGCGGGATCAATTGCTATGAAAAAAGAAAAGAAGAAAATCAGATGAATAATATTCTTCAGGAACAATAATTTTCTCGATAAATGTACACACACGCATATTCATTGCATGAAATCTAACAAGTAACTGCGAGAGAAAACGACAACAATAATCATGACGTCATTTTACATACACGAATCTTCATTTGAGTCGGTCATTGTTCACTGGATTCAATCGAATGAGTGCTCGTAAACGGCACACAGAAATCTATCGAATTGTCTTCTGTTCGTTTGCAACGCAAATAAACTTCGAATGAAAATAACTTTCAGTAATGGCAGCAGCTACAAATAATCTTTTGGCTTCCGCTTCTTTCTGTAACGACGTCGGCAACAACAGTAAGAACTGTACGTATGGGTTGTTCCAGATATTTATGTACTCTTTTCTCCCTCGCATCTTTTTTTCCTTCTTTTTCTTCTACATCTTCTTTTCCTATTACAGTTTTTCCTTGTTATATTCCATCCTACACAAAATGTATACACATATATGGATAAAAAAAACCAGAGAAGAGGAAGAAATGTGCCCGCTGTGTAGCCCTCATGGATAAACAACAAGTACCATCAGTAATTGTCGAATATACGATAGAACATAGGAAAGAAAAGAAGAGAAACCTATTACATATCATGGTGATTATTTCTTCGCTCTTTTTTTGTCAATGAGATCATTCTAATGTAGAAAAATAGACAAGAGATAAAGAAAGAGGTCATATGTATACATATACTCTTTCATAGGTTGTTTTCCTCGTTGAAAATCTTTGTCAGAATACAATAAGAAGAAGAGAAAATAAGAATCTGTCACCAAACACAATAGTGCCAAAGAGAAACAATCCCGTCGATATTTCTCTCAAGCCTGGAATCATAGTTGTCTAATAGCGAAAAAGAAGAATGTTTTTCTTTGCAAGAACCTTTGCTCGCATAATCAATTGTACAATTGATAGACAAGCAAACATCCGCCCACTGTCGTTATTCTTAGATGTTTTATCCTATTGCGTAGATTTATATAGACTCCTTCAACTTCAGAACTGTTAAACCAGTCTTTTGACGATTTCATTTATTTCATATTCAATTAAGTCGAGAAAAAGAAAGGCTATTCTTATGTATTAGAATACTCATCCTTATACTCTAATTTGTTTATCGAAATCAGTGAATTAGAAACTAATGCAAGTGCTCGAATTGCAAGACCTATGCGTGACTATTCGAATGTAAACTTCACGTAACGCGCACACTCTCCTCCTCTCTTTTCTTTTTTCCTCCTTATTTGTATACACAAACGATCGACAAATCTCATCGATTACATTCCAATTCGATAGTTTTAGCGATTAAATCAATAAAATGAAAATACCGCTCTCATATACAAACAAATCTTATTCTTTTCCTCTGAGGAGAAATCGAAATAGTTAATCTCACATATTCGTATCTCACTTACGAGCTTCTCTATTCGACCAATGTATCGAACAATTTTCTGTATGACGTCGTTTTTTGTGAATATGTTGATCATTAGATAGTGCGATCGATTGTAAACTCGATGTTCCTTGTTCATCAATATCACTTAATGTTGAAAGATCATCATTGGTCGTCGTATCATCATCATAGTTACCATTAGCACTCATAGATAATGACGATGAAGTACTATGTTTATGTTTTTGTGGTTGACGAACATTAGATATAGCTGCTCGACGTTCATCTTCACTAGCAGCTTCAGATATCGGGTCAAGTAAATGATAAGGAAAATATTGTTGCTGTTCTTGAAATGGTAATGAAGAAGAAAGGAGAAAATCGGACGGCATGGCCATAGATATTGGTCTGATATGTCGACAAAAGTCGTCATTGTCATCATCATAATCATCGTCGACATCGATTATGTCACTTGATAATCGACACAAGAGACCATCATCTGGATCCGAAAATAATAAATTTACATCATCCTGATCGAGATGAATTTCATCGAGATCATCGTCAAGATCGTCGTTATCGTTGTCATTGTGAATAGTATTCGAGAAGAATGATTGACTATTGAGAAGACCGTGATATGTTAATGTTTTGCGAATACTTTTCGTTGTGTTAAATTGTCGTTGATGTACTTGTGGCTGATCGATACTTATGGAGTCTGATGCTAAGGATGGAGATGATGAGAGAAATGATTCATCTTCATCAACTACATCATCGGATATAAGCTGTTGTTGTTGTTTCGAGAATCGTCGGTCTAAACTATCAGGTGAAAGACTATGCTCTCGATGTTGATGTTTGGTTTGTCGTTGTTGTTGCTCAGTGGGCATTGTGTCTTTACAGGCAACAGGAACATCAGTATGATAGTGCAACATATATTGTGATGATGGTAATGTGAACTGACGAAATGTGAACATCAATCAACAGCAGAATCAGCTGTGATGATATTGTAGAATGTGTGAAGAAGAAACGCTATTTTGAATACGTATTTGTTTGTAATCGTCTTACTAATGAACGAACGAGAAGTACAATACCACAAAGCAACCAGTGCAAAAAAAGGAATAGGTAGTTGTTGATTTAAATGATGATGATGATGAACAATGGAACACAAAAGACAAGAAAGAACGTTACTTCATTTCTTCTCTTTTTCTTCTTTTTTCTCGTTTATCGATTCGCCTCTGCTCTCCTTCTTCTTCTTGTTCGTTTTTTTTTCTAATCGCAGTAACGTTCGACCAAATATATACCTATACACACGCAAGCAGTTCTTAACCGGAGGCTTTATCGATAAATTCGCTTTCACTTCTTTTCATTCTCTTTTTTTTCTCAACATCAGAAGTAAAGTGTGCAGAAGATTGGTATAGATGTGAAAACGTGCAATGAAAACAAAAGAGAAAGAAAGTCTTATGAACAAAATTGTCATTCACATCCGTATGACCTGAAGATGATAAATAGAAAATGCTGTAAAGAACGTTTTGTTTATTCATTCGATTGTGCAATACATTCCGCGAAGAAAATTGAGAGATGATCGGTTTCAATTGGAACACAAGGTTCTTCTTTGCACTTCACTTTTCCTTAGGTATAATATATCAATTCAATTGTCATTGACGTCTCTTTGTTAAATAAACAAAGAACTTAATAAGAATGAAATTAATATACATATATATTTCTATTTGTATTCAAAAGAGATCAGAACGAACGTCAAGTATTCAGCATTGAAACGCGTCACTCATTGATTAGCAAAATAAACAACAAAGAATGAATTTCGACTAAGATCATGCATATTCGAACAAACGAATATGTCTATTGTCTACTGAATCTTTACAAAGACTTGTATAAACTTACTTTGATCCTTCTTCTTCTTCTTATGGAATATTGATACAGTATGAATGATGTAGATATAAATCAATGTGCTGTAGAACCACTTGTGTAGAAGACTCCAGAGTAGACGGCAGACGTTATTTGTTCTATTGATCATCGTGTTCGTTAGTTTGTCAAATGGGAGACACAAAAGGAGGGATTGTTTAGTCAATGAACGTTTCGTCTGTTCGTGTACGATCGATGCAATAATGTTCGAATGATGATTAAACAAGATTCATGAAATGTGAGAAAGTCAAAGGTATGTTAATACCGCCATCAATTCTTAATGGATCAATAAATTTACATATTGAACTCATCATCGAATATACTTCTGTTTTTTATCGAAGGTCTTTACCATTCTTTCTCATCTAGTAATCAATCGATTTGATTTCGAGAATTAATAAAACGAGAGCGATATGTGAGGTGTGAACATATTGAAGGACAGATTTGTTCATGTATTATATGTGTATGTCTGTGCTTGTTCTTTCCATATCTGAACATGAAAAGTAATCTTCTTGTTATATAACACAAATGAACAGACAACCACAATCATCATTCCAAACGCAAGTCATTCAACTTTTGCCAGTTAAAAATGTTTGATTGATGAAAAACATTGCGTAGGCATTCGAGATAATTTGACGAAACCTACAAAGGATGCTTTTGTTTAAATGATGTTGACATTCTCTTATATGAAGTTGCGTGTTATTGTTCATTTTTAGTCTTCTGTGCCGAACAAGAAGAGGTTAGTTAGAAAGAAATATTAATGATAATAGCATCTGTTGTTTTTTTTAATTTCGTCATGAGTCATGGGAACTTTGGGAAGGATTTGAGCAACTTAAGATGTCATAGGTATGCGAATCTCATTTGTGAAGTTGATTGTTTTTTTTACAACGTATAGAGTTTAGATTCAACAAGTGAGTTACTGGAGCTTGGTATATGCATGTTGGACAAGAATTACTGCCTTCGATCACAGAGATCATAAGAGGAATCATGAATTTGCTTCCAAAGTACCTCGCGAAAATATCTACTCGTTAGAGTTGATACGTAAAAAGCCATTGTGAAACTGGAATAATAAAACGATACATCGAGTCGTAGAGCAAATCCTTCAGCAATACATGTCTTTAAAGTTTTGTTCAAATTTCCACATGTAAAAGACGAATACATATAAGATTCAATTCGTAATAGTAGGAGAATCGTCCTAAAATTGAACACATGAGTTTGTCTAAAAACAAAATAGAAACGTACCATGAAAATATGTGATTCAAAACTATGTGTTTGTTGTTGATGTATCGTATCTGAAGTTGTTCTTACTCGATGTCTTTCTTTTCTCATGTCGAGCAGAGTGATAATTAATAGAGTGGACATCATTTCGTGAGGCAAAATGCTCACCGTAAGCAGAATATATATATAGCTATGAATGCAGTATAAAAGGTGCCGGGAAGTATTTGACAACTACTATCAAAAATTGTATAGTGGACCGGCATATGAATATTCGACAGAAATATAGTTATAAGGATGAAAGTTGATAAGCGATGTGCTATTTTACGTTTAACTCTACGCTCGCTTGCTAGCATGAGATAATGTAGCTGAATATCGATCAAAAATCGATAGCAATATCCAGCATGTAGCTAGTTCAGGTGACGTAACAACGAGATAATATCGAATTTTCCAGTAAACTATGAAATGGTGTTCTAAATTGCTTTCAAATAAATCCAGTGGCATATATTATAGGATGGAAAGTAATTGATATGTTGTTGCACATAATCGTCAATGGTATATATAAAATGGTTGTTGATTAAAAAAAGTTAGGCTGTGGCTCAAATATCTGACAGTTTATCACTTGAAATGCCGCTGATGTACGACATCGACATGACAAAGTCAATCTCTTTCATGGATATAACGTTCGAGTAACAACGATAAGAATATAGGCATTCGTGAGAACGTGAACTGCCCCTTGTGTACTTCGTTCAGATTGACACTCAACAAGTACATTTTCATCTTTCGTCAAGATGTATCTTTGAGCAACGAGGGGACTTTATTTTATTCAAAATATTATATTGAGCACTACAGCCACATGACAAGTCGACCTCCATAACGTATGATAGAAGAGAAACGAAATGCTCTCGTGTTTTTTTTCGTAGTTTTAGTACAAAAGCACAGCCATATCTAATCACATGATAGGTAATGTAATTACAACACTTTGAACAACGGCAACGATATTTTTTGTCATCAAATAGTGTATTCACGCCGTTTGAAGTCTTTCAATTTTAAAGATACGAAAATTTTTAAATTGTTTGTAACAAAAACTCATTGGAGACATTCCCGGTGTACAGATATGGTAGTCATGATTCTTATAGAACCTTCCCAATGTAAGTATATAAATATTTGATCAACTCATATCAAATCGATTAGATGAGATTGCTTGGAATCCAAGGAAATTTTTTCTACGAATCATAATTACAATATTAGAGTACAAGTCTCACGTCTGATTCATGCATTTTCATTGCCAAATAAAAATCAATCATTTAATCACACCCATATTTTTCAATTTATCGAAATCATCTATTTTCTCACGCGTTTCATGCCTGAAAATGCTCGATGAAAAATATCTGCGTCAGAGACCATGAGTTAAGGCAGAAATTAAATGGAAGAGACACGGCAATAATACGACTGGTCCTTCGATAGCCAATCACATGCTAGCATTCGCTTTACATTCTTCCTTTTTCGTCATCTGTCCTTTATAGTTACATAAAAATAATGAAAAAGTTTACTTCAATGTTTGATGATTCAAGGGGTTTCTTAACGACAAAATCTGGTGAGATCCGCGAGGAATTTTCAATAGATTGTAACATCTTTCCTTTATACGGTATATTCACCGTTATTGCACTCCATTTCACATAAATATGTTGCAATGGTTGTGCAATATTAACGAGCTGTATAAGTTTTTCAACGTTTCACCTGTACTGCTCTTTATTTTCTTCTTGAGGATGACGCAAGACTGCTGTCAGTATGTCTAGCCTTGAATAGCCGTGATCTCATATCGTCAGACGATGGAAATATTTCGTCATTCATTCTTGACAGTTTTTATACGCAATGATAGGTTTCCCATCTTTCAGTCAGTTTTTATTATCAAGTGTGTGTCACTAAGGCAGAATCCTAGAATGAATACAGCGGCATTTAAAGCTGTAAAACCTTGCGTGAAGCTAATCTTGAATTTCGTTTCTTGTTATGCTGAAAATCTTATTACAAACTAATTCTGAAGTTCTTTTTTTTTGTTTAGTATATTTCAGATTAGTCGTCTGCAATGGCGACTGCCGATGGAATTCAAGCATTTGTTGATGACCCTATACCTAAAGCAATGAGTGAGGTCGAAGAGCAACAATCAGATGCTATTCGACAATATTTGTCAAAGAAAACTGCGTGGATTAGTCCGAATGAGGAACAATTTGACTCATTAGCGTCGTTTGTGAAAAAACGACTTGATGAAGGCCATGGCGAAACTATCCTAGAAATAGGCACTGGAGGTTTGTTTATCTTTGAATAAGAAAGTGTAGAGGAATATAGTTCATTTTTAGTTATTGATGCTGAAACACCTGGTTTACTTGCTGATGAAATGGAAGCATCTATTGCTACACTTAAAAGTATGCAAGCTGTACTCGATTCTGAGGTTCAACTACTACGTCAGAAATCTCTTGCGAATAATACACGATTTGTCAATGAATTTCTTATACGAAGGCATATCGACCAAGAAGATTTCATGGAAGTGAGGTAAAACAAGAACGAATGTTTCCAACTGCAGACAGTTTTGCAATATTCTATTTCGTTTACTTGAAGGGTTGCTGTCACCGGTAATGTCGACGCTGGTAAATCGACACTACTTGGTGTGCTAACGCATGGAGTGCTTGATGATGGGCGTGGTGTTGCACGACAGAAACTTTTTCGACATAAACACGAAGTGGAAACTGGTCGAACTTCATCTGTGGGAAATGTACGTAGTGAAAAGCAATGCCACCTTCCGATTAAACGTTGTTGGATTGTTCTTCTAGGATATTTTGGGTTTTGATGCACAAGGAGAGATTGTAAACAGACCAGATACTCACGGAAATCAAGCGCTTGATTGGACTGATATATGTCAGAGAGCGACGAAGGTAGATGAATTTGTTTTTTTTTGACACTTTCGGCAGACATACTAAAAATCTCCGTTACCTTCTTCGTAGGTTGTTACATTTATCGATTTAGCTGGACATGGTAAGAATATTTTGATCTTTAGTCAATGCATAATTAAAATCTTTGCTATTTGAATAGAAAAATACCTCAAAACAACTGTCTTTGGCATGACAGGTCATGCTCCTGATTATGCAATGTTAATGGTAAAGATAATAACTAATCTGATTATCGTATAAAGCTATCGTTCGATTTTGATGTAGGTTGGCGCTAATGCAGGTGTGATTGGTATGACAAAAGAACATCTGGTAGGATATTCAACGGTTTTCTCATAGTTCCATTTCCAAGGACTTTTACTGTTCTAATCTTGATTGATAAACGAGTAGTGAGAAGCGACAGTAAAAATAATCCAATGATTTTCTTTTCAAGGGATTGGCTCTTGCACTTGGTGTACCGGTTTTTGTTGTTGTTACTAAAATTGATATGGCGCCTCCTAATGTTCTCCAAGAAACAATGAAAATTCTCCAACGAATTCTTCGTTCTCCTGGTGTTAGAAAAATTCCCCTACTAGTACAAAACAATGACGATGTGATTACATGTGCAACAAACTTTACCAGTGAACGATTATGTCCAATCTTTCAAGTGTCAAATGTGACTGGTGAAAATCTCGATCTATTGAAAAAATTTCTCAACTTACTTACAACACGCATGGATGCATGTCTCGACGAACCAGCTGAATTTCAAATCGATGATCTCTATGCAGTGCCCGGTGTTGGTACAGTCGTCAGTGGAACAACATTGAAAGGTGTTATCAAACTTGGTGACAATTTACAACTAGGACCTGATCCACTGGGACAATTTAAGAGCGTACAAATTCGAAGTATGTAAACTAAGATGAGATAGAGAACATTTTCAAAGAACAAACCGTTCATTTAGGTATCCATCGTAAACGAATGTCTGTAAGAGAATGTAAGGGTGGACAAACATCGTCGTTTGCACTAAGAAAAGTAAGACGAATTTTCAAGAAATTCATCAATAGCACGAGCTTGTTTTTAGATAAAAAAATCTGAACTCCGTAAAGGTATGGTTCTACTGTCTCCTGCTATTCCACCTGTTGCTTATTGGGAATTTGAAGCTGATCTATTGATTTTACACCATCCAACAACTATCAGCGCTAAATATCAAGCGATGGGTAAAGAAAATATTTTTCACCATCGAGCTTCTTCACTTATCTAATTCGATATGTTTTCTATTCATTATGTAGTACATTGTGGTAGCATTCGCCAAACAGCAACAATTATATCCATGTCTGTTGAACATTTACGAACCGGTGATCGTGCCAACGTTCGTTTCCGTTTTATAAAATCGCCGGAATATCTTCGTTTGGGAATGAAGCTCGTCTTTCGTGAAGGTCGTACAAAAGCGATAGGTAGTGTCTCGAGACTCTATCCACACGTACCTGCTCAAACATCGAATACACGAGCAAAAACAAGGTCGCAGACAGCATCGGCTGCTTCGTCCAATCCGGTAACTACAGATCAATCACAATCGAGCAAACGTGTCGAAGGTAGTGACGAAGCTAATCAATCAGGAAACAAACGAACAAAACCAGCTAAAATCATGACAGACGTTCCCGAAGAACAAACTGTGAATAAACCTAGTTCTTGACTGACGTGATGAATCTATTTTCTTGAATAAAACAAAACTTTTCGTTAACTCTGGTAAAGAGACCAAATAAGAAGTGTGTCATTCGTTATTCAGTTTTTTTTCTGCATCTTTGTAAAAAGAATATTCACTTTGTTGTAATATTTCAACTCTATATTACTGGTGATTGGTTATCTGTGTGCATGTTAATATATTTGTTTTCTGTTTCCGTCGTTTTTGTGCCATTATGACAAAGAATGTCTGATGTGTATAAGAATTTTTTTTCGTAAGTTCAAAAATCTAGCAAACAGAGTTTTTTCTTGTTATTTTATCACTCAGAAAAAGATATTCGACTTCCGAAGAGTCTTCTGTCGTTTTACTAGTTATCCATATAGTCAATTCTGTTCGTGTGGATTACAGCCCATAGTTTCTATTTGAAGAAAACTGTTGACCTTTGATTTTTAACCTCCCAGTAGAAAATTTTCTTTTACATTATGATGATGAACTCATGAATCTTTGGTCTTTTCTTTTCAGATAGAGTTTGTATGTGTTGAGCGCGAACAAATCACTGTGGCGCTGTTTCATTGCTGATGATACGTCACGTTTTCTCTTGACATTGAGGACAGGCGTGGTTGTTTAACTTCGCTTTACTAAATTTATAATACCTATAGGCGATATTCTTATTTTTCCTTAGAGTTCACATCTTTTTACTTATAGGAAACGTTTATACTTATTTTATGAAGTGTGGAAAATATTTTTTTTTCTTTTTCGGGACAAAGAAAAAACAACAGCATCTAGAAGTGCGAGACTTTATTTGTTGAATTCGGTATAGAATTAATCGAAAAAACAAAACATTTAAATTTCGTCTTAGCTTTTTCAGATTGTTAATGACATGAATCAATAAAAAGATCTCAAAAGTAAGCGTGTTTGTTTTTGTTTTGCGCAACAACAACGACAACGATCGAGAAATCGAATAGAAAAGAGTAAGGAAATGAAGAACATTTTCTTTTCTTCTTTTAGATGTTGAAATGAACGGCTCATTGCCTATGTATTCAACTTAATAAACGATATAAAAAATGAAGAAAAAAAAAGATTCCAATTCTTCTGTTTATTTCCTTCGCGATACTTTATTTTTGAATAATCACACTTAATTAGTAGTATCAACTGATGCTCGTTGAATAGGCGGGAGAGGTTCATAGATATTTCGAGGGGTAAAATACGGCTTCGGAATGAACGTAGGTGTTTCAGATTGTCGTGGTGTTCTTTGCGTCTCTGAAAGGTGAAGAGGCCATTGAAAGGCAGTGCGTTGCTCACTTGTTCCGATGTCTCGCCCGCCGCTTAATCTTTCGTTATCAGCGATGAGCTGTTGAAAATATTGACTGCGCCTCATTTCTTCTCTTTTTCTTTGCGTGTGCGATTGTACGTCGGAATTAGCAGAAATATGTGCTGGAAGAAGTTCACGAGTAGGGATAAACGAACGATAGTTAGGAAACCGTTCATGATATTCAGTATCGCTCAGACTATTCGTATTCTTCGGCGGTGCTTTCGCAGTTGGCTTAGGATTTAACGGTTTAGGGACATAGTCGAAGACTTGACTACGTTGTTCATGGAAGATATACGGACGTCTAGGACGATAGTTTTCGTAGCACAAACGATATTCAGATGAGTCAGATAGCGGGTTCTTATCGAGATCACAGGAGAGAACTGAGCGGTTGGATAAAGATCGCTTCACTGGAACCTTTGGAAGAACTGCACGAGGTCCATAATCTTCTCGACGTGGTGATAAGAAACATTCACGATATTCAGTTCCCAAATCTTTCAAAGACAAAAAAAAGGAATAGGAAGAAGAAAGCCAGTCTAGGTTTACTTGGAGGTGGTTCTTGTTCGTTTGAAAGCACACGGCCCATTGGTGTAAACATGATTGTTATATTTCTACTTTCTGTTCTCTTTTAGTTTTTGATTTTTGATGTCGTTCACTTTTTATCGAGCGAAATCAACTTGAAAGTTGTGTAGCGTTTCTAATGCATTTTATTTCAAGTTAAAAAAACAAACAAAACAATAGAAATAAGAGCCGTACACAAGAAAAGAAAAGAGAAAACTCTAGCTGAAGAAACAGAGACAAAGCGAGAGAAAAATGGCGAATAGAAAGCGAGACATTCGTGAGCATAGAGTTTTGTTTGTTCCAAGACAAACAATGGATGAATGAAGTGTTACCGACTACTGTTTGGAATCTCTTTCAGTAATCATAACTGGTAATGAAACACATGCGAGCTCGCGACCTTTTCCGTCGATTAAATAGTAACGCATTTGATTGACTTTAACCTATTTCCAAGAAAAATAATAGAAATCAAAAGCAAACAGTTCATTTCGTCATGTACATACCGACGGATAAGTTGGACTAACATACATACTGTTGTAATATGTATAAGCAGCACCAGCTTTGAGTGGGCAACCAAGTTGTTGACAGACATCAGGATTAGGCAAAGCAAAATCATGATCAATGGTGCCAATGGTTGCGACGACTTTAGCACGAACTTTATGAGCTTTCTTCTCTTTAAAAATAAACAAATGTTATAATGATAATTCACCTAGTTTTGCCTTTTCTTACTTAAATTGAATGTGAATTCCAAACGAGCGTCAGTGCCTTTGTAGAATGTGCAATATTCTTTCGTGCATGGAGCGTTCACAGATGCTTTAAGAATATTTCCAGCGCTTGATGCTAATCAGCAAAAACGTTGTCATTGAAATTAGACGAAACAATATCCAGTAGATTTAGAATACATACGTGCACATTGTTTGAATGGTGCTTGTAATTGGGCAGCAAAGGTGCTTAAAACGAATGTGAAGCATAAAAGCAGTATAACTTGATAAAGAGCCATCGTATTTCTTCTTCTCGATAAATGCTGTTTTAATCTATACGTAAATGTGTTTTATGGGAACTTCTAACTCGACTAACAAGTAAATAAACTAGTTGCGTCTAGTGTATATATATAGTCTGTCTGCACGCACATACCCTCAATAACATCTTATCTCTTCCGACAATCGTACCACTCGAATACTTTCTCTCTCTCTCTTTCTTTTCTTTTCCTCCATAGTTTCTTGTCCATACTTTTTGAAATTAACAAACAATACAGTAGTGACGTGTTTCACAGCTAGAGAACGAAAGAGATAAGCGGTGCTAGTATATCTATTCACATAGATCCTATCGTACTTTAAATGACAAGCACTCGAATACATGAGAAGGATCTTAGATTATTCATCCATTTTACGTCTGTCTAATTGACGTCAAGATAAAAACAGAAGAAAATCGAATCAAATGTTTTATCTAATGATCTTTCTAGATGAATGATGCAACAGCTGCGCTAGCAGGTCATACGAAAAAATATAACATACCATTGAGTCACTTCGAATATAAATATATACAGGATTGTACAAATGGAAAAGAACTCGAAAAGATCTACAAAGAATTAACGTAAAAAGAAAATTAATTGCAATGAAAGCACAGATTTAGTTAACATAAAATCTTTTTTCTGATCTTTTGCAGTAGTGGAGAAGTAGGCTCATTTCCAGATCTAGAAAAATTAACATTGGAACGAATTCAACAAGTAAAGCCGAAAAGGTATACACATGAGATTATATGATTGGAAGATGAATTCGTTTGGTTCTATTCTTCAGCCAAATCCTTCGAAAAGATGAAGCCCCACTCGATAGATCAGCTTTGCCAGATGATGAGCGTCGAGATTTCGACGATTTCCTCAATCAAATGAAAGAAGTAAACAAGAAACCGTCGATTTTGGCAACGACAGAGCATCAACATAATAGTCTGAACTCGGCTCCTATTCGTAATAAATCCATAATCGTAAGTAACAGTCTTGATTTGGAAAGAATGTACATACATATGCCGTATTTTGAAAGTCGAAACCGATGACTCCAGTGCAAGCAGCATCTGTGATAAACAAAAATGGTAAACCAAAACGAATAGTGCCGCGAAGTTACGAGGAGTGGGGAAAGTTAGTACTCTTTCATTGTCGATATTCTTCCATTGAAACAAAGCGCTTTTTTTTAGATTGGATCAGAAACTTTCCAAAGAAATGGATGGTGACAATGACGTTGACGATGAAGATGATCATGATACGAGAAAACCAAGTTTGTTGACTGAGGTTTTTCGAAAATAGATTTTAATGTCTTCTTCCATTACTTAGCAACTGAATCTCATCCTGTGAATTCAAAGCAGACAAAAGCTGATCGACTTCGTACAGCTGAACAACATCGTCTTGATGGAAATATTGCTTTTAAATCAAATAAATACCAACAAGCAATTGACCATTACACAAAGAGTATTACTCATGATGATGCAAACTCAGTCGTATACATGAATCGAGCAATTGCACGTGAGTTTTTCTCGACATGCCACTCTTTTTCACAAGTTGATTGTTGTTGCCTTTTGTTTATAGACTTTAAAGTAGATAATTATGATGCGTCATTATCAGATTGTTCCAAAGTATTGGCGAATGATCCAAGTCATGTAAAAGGTTTGTTAATTGATCACGAAATTTTTTTTCAACACGTACTTTCTATGTGATTAGCTTTGTTTCGTCGAGCATCCTGTTTTCTTGCTAAACAACAATATGATGATGCTAAATGTGACCTTGATAATCTCCTCAATGTCGATCCAGACAATAGCGAAGCAAAAGTAGGTTAAGTGTAGCAGTTAAATCTATATATAGTTATGATTTAGAATCTTTTGAAAACAATTCCAACGATTCAAAAACCAAGAGGTGTTCGAATACCTATCACTGAAGATGATGATGATGAAGATGAAGAGGTGTCTACTTCTACTACGATGACGACGGCTATCGTCCAACCGCCAGCTGTAAGTAAAATGGTTGTGTGACTAGTTTAGTTTAATTCAAGCAAATTATTTTAGTCGACACCAGTTAAAATCCCAATATTAGAAGTAGACGAGGAAGAAGACGAAGAAATGACAGTCGAATCCTCACAACAACCTTCTATCAACCAGTCTGTTTCGTCCATGAATATTGACATTCCTCGAAAGTAAATATAGCGATGAATTCTTCTTTCTGCCATTAACATATTGATTTCATTCACTTTCTCGCAGAACGAACCCACACGCCCAACCTTGTATAGATTCTCAAGAAGCTTCTCCAGCAATGTTCGATCATCATTTTCAACATCGTGATGACATTCATCAATTCCAAGACAGTGTTCATTCTCAACTATCATCTTTCCATCCGGAAGGCGACGGTGACAACGACGATGACGATGATATGGAACTTGGTGACGAAGCTGGTGCTAATGCTCTCGAAAACATGAGTGATGACGACAGACACGATGGCCATAGTTTGAATGTCTCACCCACCATGGAAGATGATGATATACCTGAATTAATAGGCCAAGAATCAATAGAAATTCAATCATCAGCATTATCATCCAGACAAAGACGAAATAGTAACACAATCGATCGAAACATTCCTTTTTCAACGAACGATACTTTCCATCGAGACGAGTTTTCAGCGATAGCAAACGATGATCATGCCTCAACATTATCCAACAAGAACCATTCAACATACAGACGAACCTCGGAAAATCGATCATCATCAACACTAACTTCTCAAAATGATCAAATATCGAATTCAAACTTTTCTCCGATAGTACAAAGCTGGTTACGTGACTCACAATCCAACCACCGTTCGTCGTCTTTATCGGATAAACCATGGTCAAAACTATCTCGACCCTATGAACTCGACAGACTGCAACGTGAAATCGAGCGATTCAATCGTCTCAATGATAATAGAAATGCTCTTGAAGCAGCAAAAAAGATGTTGAAAAATGGATTACTCGGTTAGATAATACTTTTGCAAGAATATCTATTTTATTTACTTTGACGAATTTTCATGCTATAGATTACCATCGTCATGCCGAACACATTATTAGTACCTTAATGGTTTGCGCTCAATGCAATGCAAAACTTGGCAAACATTCAATAGCTATTCAGTATGCAACTGAAGCGTTACAATACAATAAAATGGATGCCAATGTTTTGATATGTCGAGGAAGGGCATTTGAAGCAGAAAATCTGTATACGATGACTTGATATTAAAAACAATCTTATTTATCGCACCTTTCTTATTTCTTTTAGGTTCCTGTTCAGCTACGCAGATTATATGCGTATACCATCGACCGATTACAACTATGCTCTGATGCAGCGAGCATCCGAAAAGTAAATGCTCAAAGAAAACGACGTTTCGGTGGACAAAAGCCGATAAAAATGCTTTTCATTTAGATTAATTCCTGACTTGGAAGCAACTGAAGGTATCAACTGGCGAGAGAAGTTACCCAAAGACAACGATGATGCTGGACGTTATTTAACTTATATCAAAACGAAAACGAATTATTCCGATGACAACGAGTATGGATGGTATCGTGAACGTGGCAATCAACTTTACATGGATGCTTGTTTCATTCTTGCTATCCAATGGTATACACATTGTATCGGTCTGAATTCGAATGTTGCATTTTTGTATTCGAATCGAGCTGCCTGTTATTTAAAAATATTCGAGGTATAGTTGCAAAGTTAAATGTAGAAAAGGAGATATGCCTGTTTTTTTCTCGCTTTTCTAGCCATACAAGGCGATTGATGATTGTGATAAAGCACTGAAAATCGATCCGAACAATGTTCGTGCTCTGTACCGAAAAGCGAGTGCATATAAAATGACTCATAACGATGCATTGCACGAATCGACATTGAAAGATTTGTTAAAAATAGAACCAAACAATCAAACTATTCTTAACGAATATTATGCATCTCGACGTGAACCAATACCTCGAGAAATGAGACGACTTCGAACAAATCCAGCTAAAGCCAGTGAGAATAATTCTATATCCGAAGCACCAACACCAAGTTCTCATACAGAAGTCAAGAAACCATCAACGAATACTATCGAAGGAATAAATCTTTCCTATGATGAACTCGAACAAATTCGTACACAAAAACTTCTTCCATTGTCAACCAACACACCTTATCAATTTACACAACAATTAAATGCATTGAAACCTAGTGATACTAAGAGCCAATGTTCACTCGTTCTTCGCATACCACCGAAAGGCCTATACAAATTAGCAAGTGCTGCATCCGCAAAATTAGTCGAATTCATTGCGAATGCCTGTCGAACAATGGTATTCGCAGAGAAGCGTTATCAGCACGAGAACAAATCTTTGATACTACCATTTTCGTATGCGTCATTTTGTTACAATCTTCTTAGTGAATTAGTAACACTTCAACGTATCGAGTCAGCCGTAGCAATGGTCGATGACCATTGTCGACTAGCACTTGATGATTTACTTACATATTATTCTTCGATGCCATCATTATTTCCTGATATTAAGAAATTGGATCGACTACGAAAATGAAATTAATCTTTGAACTGGCCTGTTTTTTTACTAAATGAAAAGCTATTAGAAATAACCCAAAATTTTGTTTTAAACAAGAGCAAAAAAAAACAAGAAACTGTAATGATGATCTAGCATCTATTTATTTCGTTAATACGAAACGAGAATCATGCAGACGTTTACTAAATCCAACGAAAGTTATACCGAAAGTTTTGGCTAAATGTTTTTCAATTTCATCCAGGTGATGAGCAAGATTATCTATAGCGCGTGATTTGAATGTTTCAGCAATTTCCTAAGAGAACGAAACGTACATAACATTGCCACCGTCTAACAAGACATACACGAATATATGTTTGCATTGGTTGATATTGTCCTTGAAACGTGTGGCAGACTTGGATGAGATGGAGAACTAACGAATATAGATCCGATAACATACGATCTTTGGAAACTACGTGGAGCTTTTTGGGGATGTTTATTAGTTTTTCTAGTTGTGAAGCGTTCACATAGGAATTGATTTCTTCAAGTAGACAAGACAGTAGTTAAGGACGAAGATGGTTGATCAAATCATTACTCACCACGCAGGTCACTTTCAGTTATCGATTGCAATTCCGTTTTGAGATTTTCTTGAACATCGAGTGCACATCGTGTTTCGTCAATACGTTCAATTAATAACAAATCTAGATCAACTGCGATAGAATAAAGATCATGGCCAAAATGAATTAGATTTTGTTTATGATTCGTTTGCAATAATGATAGAGTCCATTTGATCAAGTCTTGATAAGTTGCGCAGTGTTCGAGTGTCACACGTAGTGCTTCATTTGACGAACGATAGAATTCGTTCAATGGTGTAATATGACCGGATGCAATTAGTTCTTTATGAATTTTTTGTAGTTTGCTACTATCGTATTCGGAACGAGAAAATAGCTGATGTAAAGCATTGGTTAAAGATGTCATGTAGACGTCTTCGGTTTGTTTCAATGATTTATTCAACGTTGGACGATGTTTCTTTACAGATGATCTTGCGTTATCCAATGACGGCACTTGTGGAGGGAAGAATGAGCTAGTATCAGAAGCAATCTAAATGATCGAATATCTCCTTTCTTTTGTAAGAGTGCAAAGCTTATAATTAAACATACGGATATGGTTTGCTGTGTACCGCTAGCTTGAAGATTGGATAATGAAGATTTGGCGATAGCCGTGTTGTCTTCGGTCTGTTGATGAATGTTTGCTAAGGGTACTGGTTTCGCTAGTATGCGTTGCGCTTTAGTTTTTTCATATGATGGCTCTTTCATGAGCTCGGGAATTACACCAGTCAAGTTCACGTGGACATTTTCAGCCGATTCATTAACTATGGGCGCTGAGTAGTAAAGCAGGGCTGCACGTTGTTCTAGCGAATGATTGATCGTTTGTCTTTCTACGATTTGGCCTATAAACAGACATGTTTAAAGAAATAGTTTGCTGATATATTGAATGAATTACTAGGACTAATATTTGTTGAATGATCGATTTCAATTTCAATTAAAGTAGATGTTTCGTCTTTTTCATCGAGGTGCTTTTCGTTGATACGATCTAGTTTCAACGAGTGATGCCGTTCAATATCTACGAATGAATCGCTTTTAACGATTGGTATCGTCGGGTTGTCTCGTATGCCTTTATCTGCTGGTGACAGATTCTGCCGTAACTCCAATTCTTCTTTGGATTCTATTGTTGTGTCTGTTACAATCGTCGGTCGATAATCTGGCCCATCAATGACCTGTAAAATAAGAACTAAGCCAATCTAATTGCCAATATAAAAATCGATCAAACGATTACGGGTGGCGATTGATCCGTTACGATCGCATCTTTTGTTATATTCGCTTCATCAGGCTGGGCTTCTAAATCATTATTAACATTATCTATAGCTACTACCGATGATATATTTGGCTGATGATCATTCTTAGAAGATACTTTTTTGGCTTCAAGCATTCTAGATTCTGGTACAATTGTATTTTGAGTATTAATTTTCAATTTCTCTTCCTCGATGTGATGGCTCGGCGTGATTAAATTATTTTTGACTGTTCTTTGTGCCAATTTCACAGACAATTTACTTTTTTGATCGATACGTTTCATAGTTTTGATTACTGATGGTAATACACGAGATGTAGTAGATGCAGTTCGAGTATCGTTTCTTCGATTCGAAGATGTTCTTTTGATTTTGAGTGATGATGATGACGTCAGTACAATAGGCTTGCTCTTGTACCAACGTTTTACGCGTTCAGGTAATACTCTGTTCATAAATTTTCTTTTGTGTTTCTCAAAACTAAACTTCAGCGTTACTTACAAGTCAGTCTTGTTCAGCATTTCGACTAACTGTGATGTTTTTGTTCGATCTTCTTTACCATTCAAGATTTTCTTGATATTATTAGTAATCAAAGATAATTTCTTTCGTTCTGTGTCTAATTTTACTTTATTATCAATCGTAATTAGCTTCTCTTTCACCATTTGTCGATAGATTTTGTCCGTTAAATCTTTATTTTTCTTTAACTGTTCTTTGACTTGTTCAAGAACTAAATGTTTGTTAAATTCATCAGATCCGTGAAGTAATTCATCAAACAAATCAAGCAGGTATTGTTTATAAAATTGATTGGGAACTTTCGATAAGTCTATTGATTTGCCTTGAACTGAATTCAAAATTCGTTGTAAGCAGATACGAATAACAGGTGATTTCACTTGTTCAAGATAGGTCGAACATTCGTCTTTTGTCAGATTTTCAGGAAGAGATATTCGAGTGATGGAATAAAGATTCGTAGACTTGATTATGTCATGGATCTTTTGTTCATTGAAATCACGTGTTTCCATGAAGAATGTCAAAGCCAATTGATTCTGTATCTGTTCAACAGAAACACTTGGTTGAGTTTGTATGTAATCATTGATACAGGTTAGTTCTTGCACAAGTTCATCAAGTGAATTAATATTAAATCGAGCTCCTTTCATATGTTCGATAATTGTAGCCAGTCCATCGCTTTCAACTTTCTTCATCAAGCCCATTGTTATTGTTTGATTCCACTCATTCGAAGTAGCATGACGTTTGAGAGTACCTTGCTGTGCCAAACGCTCATAGACTATCTTTAATTCGTTTTCCGTCTATAATAAAAGTAAATAGAAGATTTGTAAAAGCGTCTCTTTACTAATGATGCAAGATGATTTTGAATGTATGATTCAATGATGATTTTCTCCGAATCTGTCAATTGAACACAGGAACTGCGTTCAATTAGATCAATGAATTTGCTTAGTTCTCGACCAATAGAAGAGTTCATCGAATGAAAAACTGTGCTGATCCCATCGAAATGTGCCCGTGTGAAAATGATTTCCAATTGTTCGATTAAGTATTTCACTTGATCATCATGATTTTTGTTCATTTGAGTTCTACCCATATTACGAATTGCTTGTAAATCGTTGATCAATGTATTCGAATCTGATACAGCTAACAAAAAGCATTTGGATATTCTCGCAAAAGATACATAGATGACAACGTACCTAATCGACTAATACGATCTTTAATCAAAGTATCAAACAGTCTATGATCGTGATCCGATATATCACCTGTAGGAAAGACGATGATTGTAGTCAACGATATGAACAAGAAGACTACTGTACCAGATTTATCAGTAAGATGTACATTGCCTTGCTGTTTATTTTTCTTCATGTACTCATTGAATGAATTTAGTAATTTGGCTGCTATACGATAAGTATCATCTTTTTCTAGTAAAATATCAATTACTGTTTCAATGGAAGCCACATTTGCTTTCATTGCTACTTGTTCAAATGCTTTCTGAATTTCTTGTAATGCCTGAAAGCAATTGAATAGTGGGTATATCTTTTGAAACTTCATTCTTTTTCTTCGTTACTTGTACGACTTTTGGCACACCACCAAATTTTTTAATTAGCTGAATATTGGTTAATTCGTCGAATATGTTCATGACTTGATTTTGTTTGTGGTGACTGATGATTTGCATCAATTCAGTAATTAAACTGAATTCTTCTGGTTTCAAGTCTTTACCAATATTTGTACGAATTTCTTCAAGGATCTCATCGAGTGGTAACGCTTCCGTATTGTCATAGTCATATTTATAATCTTCATGTTTACGACGTTTTTCACGTTGTTTCTTGATAATCGCAGCTATATCTGATTTTCTTCGTCTGACATTCGTTGCATCGGCATCATTGTCGTCATCGTTCCAATCGATATCTAATTGTTCCTCCTCAATTGTTTCCGGAGTTTGAGGAACAATTGATAAATTCATCAGTAATTCTTCAGGTAATTCAAATATTTTTCGTAACAGTTCTTTCTTCGTTTCTCGTGCTATTCGTGTTGTTCCCAGACGATGGCGAACAACCGAATTCGGAATTCGAACATCGGATGCAATGATACACTGTTGTTTCTTCCATTTATTTTCTTCCGATGTATAAATCCCTATGAGTAAACGACAAACGCAAATATTCAAATGCACTTTCAGTCATTCATACGGTTCCATCCTCGTTTGATATGTTCAGGTAGAGTACAATCGATTGCATTTTGTTCGAGAGATTTTCGAACGATTGTATAGTAATTAACGACCATTGTGTAGGAAAGAAGGCGGCTAATACATTTATTACTATCATGTTTCACTTTGAACTTATTGGTAAAAGACAAATGGTCTTGCATATATATGAGAATCTGTTACTTTCTGATCGAGGAAACAACATCATTGACGAAAAAAGTACAAGATAATTTAGCGTTTCTTGTCGGAAATGTTTTTAGCACGAGAGTATCGGCGAAAGCTAAGTTTTATGCCATTGTAAAGTAAATACATTTCTTTCATTTATAAGTTTTATGAAGTTTTTCAAGTATCGCAATGAGAGATCTATGTACATAAAAATATATAAAACAGAACAGAAAAAGAATCGTTAAATGCTGGAGCACGCGAAAAAAAATCTGTGAAAAAAAGAAGCCTATTTATTTCGCATCACTCTCTTCTCCATGGACGAACTGTGAAGCCACAAGAAAATTTTTGTATGTTAATGTTTGTTCAATTGACTTTGATATTGGCTATCCCATCGACACTGGGCATAATTGGTATCAATGTTTATCAAAAAGTATCGCAAGAACAATTCGAATGTTTAAAAGGTTAGTTCTCATTAAAACAATCTCTTTCATCAAATCTAAATCATAGACAAGGGATATGAATTCGTTATCGTTCGGACATATCGAAAAAATGGAGTTGTAGATAGAAATAGTGCAATAACGATCAAAAATGCACGAACGGCAGGTTTTACACACGTCGATGGCTATTTGCTCCCATGTATTTCGTGTGGTGATCCTTCACAACAGGTATTTACTACCAAACGGAATCTTTGTTCTGATATCCTTACGCTTTCTCTTAGATTTTCACAACAATTGATTATCTGAAAGATGAAAATGCTGACATCGACATGCTTTGGCTAGATATTCAAGGTAAATGGTACAATGATGCCGAATCAAATATTCAATTCCTTCAAGATTTAATCTTGGAAATGACTACTTCTGGTATTAAACATGGTATTTGTACATCACCTTTTCAATGGATTACAATCATGAATAATGCGAGACAATTTTCTTCTGAATCTCCACTATGGTATGTAGGGCATGATAATAAGACAACATTTGATAATTTTCAAATGTTTGGTGGATGGAAACAACCATCGATGAAACAATATGTTGGTAACGTGAAAGAATGTGGAGTGTTTCTGGATAGAAACTTCTTGTAAAACTATGGATGAACTAAATGTTTCTTGAATATGTACGGAAAATAAATTCTAAATAAAATCAATATTGATGTGATGCTTTCGATCGTGCAGTTGATTTAAAAAATTCCTTGTTTTACATAATCTTATTAGGTTTCAATAGCAAAGAAATTTTATTCTCATGTTGAAATAAGAGTTCGTTTTTTAAAAATGTTCTTTTCTAACATGAATTGAAAATAGCTTCGTAAGAGAACAAAATAACGCCTGTACGATTGTATTTTTTCGATGATTCCTATCTTCATCCATAGGTCATACTTGAAAATCAATTCGGTTCTTATATAAAATAGGAAATTTATTTGACTGATCGATTTGCGATTCATGATTGAAATACAGTTTTGTATGAATCTCGTCTTTGATCAAATTTGTACTGAGTTATTCTTTACTTCAAACAGATTCGTAAAATATTTTGATTTCTACTCGTGTTGTTTTTTTTTCAAATATCGTGATGTTGATATAGAGCGAAAGAATCAGTTCGATCTAACGTATGACATCCTATAGCTAAGCATCTTGGTTTTATAGCCATACTAGTTTCAGTAGTATTGATAACGACATGATCGGTAATATTTACATTATAGATTCTGATGATTTACTTTCATTTATAACATCGAATAGTTATACAATCATATCTTTTAATGGTGTATTGGACATAATGTGCTCATTGAATTTTTATTATTATCTTTCAATTTGTCGTTTGCTGTCAGAAGCTGGCTCGTTCCTTTTTAATTTTTTTTACGAATATGTATTTATTGTGGTTGAAGAATGAACAACGCTGTTTTAGAAAACAAATCCAAAGAGAAAATTACTGCTTTATGTGTTCCTCTCAATACATCTTGATTGGTTTATAGAATGTTTTCTTTCTGATACATTCGGAGAAGTATCGATGATCCTATCGCCTATTCTCTCGGAATGGGGATACATGTATATGTCATTGCACAGGCAAAGCAGATAAAAGAGAGAAAACCTTTAGTCGTGAATACTCTGAAAAATTTTAATAGGCATAATCTTGAGATTCCATGATGCAAATCTCCGATTTTAATCGTCTTTCTAACGATAAAATTTTCCTTTGAACAAGTAAGAGTTCAGGTGACTGGTTTATCAGATTGCAAAACTCATTTTTCTGCTTGCCTTATCCTTTTATTATCTAAGAAGATTTCAAAAGAGGAAATGAATATACTGGAAGATACTACATGGAACTTTCAACGATCTATACCGTAAAAATTCCTACAATTGTGTGCTTTCTATTTCGAAAAGGCGCAAATTGGTCAACCAATCATTGAAAAATGATTGACTAGCGTTTAGGTGTTTTGAAAACAAAAATCCCACAATGAAAATAATCTTTTCAGTATAAATTGTAGACCATTTTTTTATCTTGCATTACGTTTCGTATTTAAAATAAAATAAATTAATAGATGTTCACTTCTTTTAATGAAAACCGGATCATCTTGGAACCAACTAAAAGAAAACCATAAAAATTAGCCTATCTCTTTAATTCATAAAATCATCCTTGCAGATGACAGAACAAAATTCAGCAAACATGTGTTAATGCGATCTTTTCGTGTACCGCAACTATTTGTTGCGGTTGAAGATATTACACATCACTCATTTTCATGAATAAATATATAACTACATCGGTATTACGGATGGCTTCTCAAAACAAACAAAATCAAACATTTTTCCTCACGTCCAATATACAGTCTGTCGCACGAGTGAAAAATAATATGCACACATTTCTAACGTTATTCGTCAAACTCGTTTATAGAATTATGAATCATCAAAATGAAACCAAGCTATTCTGTTCGATGTAAAATATTTGTCGACAGCTCAATCAGATTCGGAATACTTATCAAAGTTTGCTTGGCACTTTCACTCTTCTGTCGGTTTTGCTACACAGGAGCTTAATAATATCTGATATAACGAATTTTTCTCAAAGAAAGAAACCAAGTAATTTCGTAATCAACAATCCATTCCATAGACTAAATCAATCACAACATGAAATCAACTCTTTCTTCATGCCGTCGCTTTTTTTTTCGTGTCTATCAAATATACTTTCTACCGATAAACGTCTATAAGAGAACAGAGCGTATAATTATGCGTTACTGTTCGCGCGTTGAACACTTCTATACAATACATGCATTAACGGTAACTACGGATCAAACTCATTAAATGAAACGAACTGAGCTGCACAGCCCCTAAAGCTAAATTAATATTGTATTTTAGTGATAGTATGCTAACTACAGTTGCTGACAACTGTATGAAAATAGAAGTATCATTTCCTTCGGTATGCGAAATATAGGGAATATATTTTGTACGCAGTACAATAATTGACATTGTCAGAAAATCTATTAATTGATCATCTTCGAGAAAATCAGTAAATAATTAAAAAATGGTTAGTAGATTTTGTGAAAAGTTGAGGTAAAAATACAGTTTTTATTCAGTAAAAAAAGAAAATTGATCAGCAACAAATTCAACATTGGCCAGTAATGAATTTAATTTCTCAGTGAGAACTGTATTTAAGTACAACAATGAAAGTTTTTAAGGAGTTTATTTGATTGCGCTCAGTGGCATGATGAAGTCCATAATGCTAAACTAATGGTGGGTTTTGTAGCAAAATGCTTTTGCACTTATTATTGATATGTCAAGATCTATCGACCAATTGTGTGCAGTTCTTGAAGATGCTCTTAAAAACATGGATAAAACGTGCCGTTCACGAAAGGTGTCATCATCTTTAATTGCTCTGTTAGTAGACTCGTGTTAATTCCGTCTGTAAATCCAGTAACTGATTCGCTTGATGATAACGAAATTCGCGAGTTTATATAGTTATTACGTAGTACTTAGACGTGGTAATATTCAATTGCAGTAGGAGAAGCCAGCACATGAAAATTCCTCCACTAAACAGTAGGCATGCAACGACCCCAATTCGATCTAACTCCGGTTTTAAAATCGATCAAAACCAGTTGGAATTTGTTGAAACTGACATGCTATGGTTGACAAATTTGACAGGCTTCGTGATATCTAACAGAAAACTCATTCTAAATGATTGTTGTTACTGAAGATTCGTCGGTCGCTAACGAAGAGTGTTCGAAACTAATTTTGGTGCAGTTAAAAGTAGTAATATATTTGAATATATCTGGGACTGATTCCAACTAACTCCATTCGATCCCGACTCTAGAACTAGAATCGGGATTGGTGCATGTCCATTGAACAAAACGTGGAATCATCTGTTAGTGTGGAAGAAGAAAAAAAAGAGATCATTTTTCTACTTTCCATTTCTATTATAGATCTATCAGATTAATTACTGATCAATCATTTCACTACTGGTCTTTCAATATTTATAATGATTTTTGAATTCTTGTTTTACTGACCGTTTCATTTATTCAACTGATCATTTAATTGACACCACCGAAATAAATCCCTCTGAAGAATATTTTGAGCAGCGTATTTACAAACAAAAAGCGAGAACTTCGATATCACAACTTAATCTTTGAGCAACGACATTCCGTTCATCTATGAGGATTGTACACTTTCATACCCTTACCCTCACCCACACTCTAAAAACTTTGAGCATTTGAGATCGGCAGTGAACCAGCGCATTGATCCTTTCTTTCAGAAAAGAGAATATTTTGATGATTACTTTCAAGCGCAATTTTCAGGATTTTATATAAAAATATAATAGAGTACAAATGGAAATCACCGTGTCTTTCATCATCATCTGACATAATTCGAAAATGATAAACTTTATCAATCATTGCTACATCTCTACCATTAAGCAATGCCTAGACGACGTGATTTTTGTTGTTGACGAATCATCTGTGCCAGTGTTGCGAAAGCATCTGTTATTCCATCGCCACTCAATGCACAACACGGAATAATATAATAAGAGTCGTCAGGCCATTCGATGAGATTAAGTTTTTGTGCGATCTGTTCGGCAGGTACGGCGTCATCGGCATCCTGTTTATTAGCGAGAACAATGAGTGGAACATTTTTCATTGCGTCATGCTGGTAGATTCCTTCTAATTCAGCGCGAGCAATGCCAAGTCGTCGACTATCGGTTGAGTCAATGACAAACACAAGACCATCGACATTATCGAAGTAGTGATGCCATAAAGTTCGTAAATGATCTTGACCACCAACATCCCAAACAGTTAAAGAAATACCACGGCAGGGTGCAATTGTTTCGACATTAAAACCTATGAATCATGCCGAAAAATATGATTTCAAAATAAAGGTGACAACTTCTGTCATACCGATGGTTGGTACAGTATGAAAATCTTCGGTACGCTTCATTCGATAGAGTATCGTTGTCTTGCCTAAGAGAGATATTGTTGAATGCTATTCATTTTATGAGAGACATTTATTCTACCTGCATTGTCTAAACCAAGCATGAGTATACGCTTTGGTCCATCTGCTGATAATTTTTTCATAATTTTCGAGAGAACTTTTCCCATCGTCTACGAACAAATAATGATAACGATTATGTTGTACTAGTGCTCTTCGTTGTTAACGATAAATAAAACGACAAAAAAGTGATCACAAAACAACAGCGTTACGCATATAACAAATGCGCTGCATCGTTATTGTTGACAATAAAATATGTCAGTCTTCATATCGCATAGCGAATTTCATTCGACTATATAACGTCATACACATATCCATGTACATGTTGCGTTGGTGCAGAAGACATACAGGTGAATGAATAATATATCCAATGTAGGAGGTTGTAGCTAGGAGCAAGGTGAGACCATTGTACGTCAGGCAAAGACATGAAGGTAGGAGCCCTTTTTTTCTATTGTATAAATGTAATCGAACAAGAACGAAGGGGAAGAAAAAGAGAAACAGAAAAAAAAGAGAAGAATGAAAGAATCGATCGGCTCCTTTTGTTATAGTTCCATTGAGATATGGAACAAGCACCTCTCATTTACTCTACTGTAGCGCATCGCTTTTGTTATTGTCCAAGAGTACGTATGCTATTCATTGATTTATTTAATTGAAACACATCGGAACAATTGCTCAACGCTGCTATGCAAGCGTTAACGATCTGAACACTTCTTTTGCAAACTCGTATAGAAAACGAAAAATAAAACAAAAGATTACTTGAATATTTACAGTAACAATGAATAGACACTCTATTACAACTTGTTCGCTGCACCTTCAGTATGCGTATGTCGTGTCGATAAAATTGTAATAATAAGGAAGAAAAAGTAATAGCTATTAGAATACCAATCACTGATGACTTTTGATAAACACCATATTATTTGATATGTATCAGATTTCTGTATAATGTAGTATGAACAAAATATTGAAAAAAAAGTCTGATCAGTAAATATATACATATGTTGAATATGTGGGCGTGTAAAAATTATTTCGTTCGATTTCTACGCGATAAAATCAATATTATTTTCACTGTGCATGCGTCTGTTAACGTCAAACATAACTTAGGCCATTTTCGAAAGAAATCAATTGCACCTATTTTTGCTAATCAAATTAATCAGAATTCTATCATAGAGATACGTTAGGTCATTGAAAAAGAAAATTATTCGATATTTCATTTCTATGATTATCTATTGGATTTGATTGTTTTGTTTTGTATTAGGACTAAAGGATGGTTGACTTAAATTATGATGATAAAGACAGGAGAAAAGAAAAAGAATGAGAGATGTTGCAATTTAGGTCATAGTTGTTTGTCATAATTGTGAGAGAGGTAAAAAGGAAAATGTTGATCCTCTCTCTGTTGTACGATCACGTCTTGTGTATATAGTTGCCGTTGTCGGACGATGGTCGTATGTATGTCGCTTTTCTCTCTGTTTGAATAGTTGCTTATTATTTGGTTAAACCAAAGTAGAAGACGAGAAAAGAAAGACAGAGAGAGAGAGACGTACGCATCGTCACAACGACGGAAGATTAAAAGAAGTACAAGTTTATCGTTCACACGACATCAACAAAAATCGAAATATGCAGCATTGTATCCGAACGTGTTTACTGTTGACGACGATATTCATTCAATCAATATATAGCCAACAGTTTGTTGTTGGCTGCTATTTCACAAATTGGGCACAACATCGTAACGGACTCGGACGTTTTCTTCCATCGCATATTGATCCATCACTTTGTACACATCTCTACTATGCGTTTGCAAATATCGATATGATCAATCGGAGTCCTATGCCATTCGAAGTTAATGATGTTAAACCATCTCCGGCAACAGCTGCAGTCGTCGCCAGTGATATCAGTAAACCTGCCGGTAATGGACGTCTTAATGGTAAACCAGTAGTGAAGACTGCACCACCGATGAGCATGTATGAACAATTTAATATACTGAAATATAAAAATCCTCAAATGAAAACCTTACTATCGTTGGGTGGTGCAAGTGTCAATGCAACACAATTCCGAAGTGTTTTTGAGCCGGATAAAACTCGCCGTGAATTTATTCGCAATACAATCAAATATCTCCGAAAATATAAGTTTGACGGTTTAGATCTAGATTGGGAATTTCCCGAAACGGAGAATGACCGTCGAATATTCAGTTTACTTGTTCGTGATTATCGATCAGAATTTCAGAATGAAGCTTTCTTAAACGATCGTCCTCAACTTTTATTAACTGCTGCTGTTGCAGCATACCGTCCGAAAATTGAAGCTGGCTATGATATCAAAGAAGTTGCGACCTACCTTGACTACATCAATTTAATGGCTTACGATTACCACGGTTTGTTTTCATATCCTTCTCGTCGAATCGAATCAACTTTTGTTTGATGTTAACAGGTAGCTGGAATAGTCATATAGGATTCAATAGTCCGCTCTATGCGCGTTCAAGCGAAAAAGGTGACAAGCGTTTATTAAATCAACAGGCAACTGTTGATACATGGATTGATGGTGGATGTCCACCGTCGAAATTAGTTCTCGGTCTTGGAATGTATGGTCGAACATTCAAATTAAAACAGAAGAAAAATGCTGATACAAAACCGTATGGCCCATCGAAAGGTGCTGGCTCACCGGGTAATTTTACGGGGAGCAGTGGTTTTCTCTCATATTATGAAATATGCGACTTAATTAAAAAACAAAAATGGCATACGGAATACGATAAAGAACAACAAGTTCCATTTGCATACAAAGACGATCAATGGATCAGTTATGATAATCAACAATCGATTGAGAAGAAATGCCATTATGTGGCCGAACGACGTTTGGCTGGTGCAATGATATGGTCGCTTGATTTCGATGACTTTAACGGTGCTTTCTGTGGTCAAGGGAAATATCCGTTATTAACGACTGTCAAGAAGACTTTAGAGAGTCTTCAAGGACCTACAACGCCTATTCGAATTCATCGAACAACTCAAGCTACTATATCGAATGATGTACAAATTCCTTCGCAATCATCTGTACTCTTTTTCTTGAATATGTTCTGTCTGCTATTTATTCGTCATTTTAGTTGACTGACTTGTTTTCATTGAAATACTTATTTAAAGTTGCTTTTTTTCGAATCTCACTCGAAAAAAAATGTCTTTCTATTTCATCAAACAAACAGATAAACATTTACCCGCTCCAGAGGAAAAGAAAGCGACGAACGATTCAAACAGTCAAAATCATATGCTTGATAAGCTCTTCTTTTTCTTTCTCTTTTCTCCTCGTCATTATCAATTCACTAAACAATATGAACTTAACCAATCGGACGAAAACTTTCTATTTATTCAGATTAATAAGTGATTAAGCGTAGAAATTTGCAAAATAGCACGAATAATATTATGTCTTATTGTTATTGTTCAGAACCATAATGAATATCAAAACAACAACTTATACCCCGCACTTCCTACAGCTGCAAACAATGTAATGATGTAGATTGAAAATAGTACGATTACAATGAAATTTACAGTCAATATTAGAACATCATGAACAAAAAAGTTAAATATTTACTAAAACTTTGCACCGATACGCTATCTCGATTTGAGTTACAAGTTTACAAACCGTCGTCCTCGCAAAAGATATGAACTTTTACATCACCATGGAGAAAAAGAAATTCCCTACAAGCATCTTCTGAAATGATTTAATGAGGTGTAATAGGAAGAGAAGTCCTTTTTTTTACACATTACATTGACCTTGAAGGGTTTTTTTACGATGACAAGCACTAGAATGCATTTGGTGTTGTTTAATTAAATCTAGCGGCAGAAAAAGAAGACCTTCTGTCATTCTATTTCGCAGATTTCTATTTTTAAAACTGTTTTTATTTACTCAACTAAAAAATATACATTTAGCGAAATCCATCTGGCGAAACACCACCACCACCAGCAGACAAATACATTTCTATGCTAAAACACCATGAATAACAATCAAAAACTTGAATGCATCGGTTTCGATTTCAACGGAAAGAACATCATCAGTTCGATAATTCCATAAACATCGACTCATGATTAGAATATTGTCTTCATTCTGTTTCGGATAGGTTAACACTTGTATAACCACTTTGTAATTATCTTTTATATGATTAGCAACGATTCGTTTGACAATTTCGGTGATTTCGAATGTAAGCGTACGTGCAGCATTTTCTTCCGAGTATTTCAGTTGTTTTATTTGCGGAATATTTAGTAATCGACTAATTTGATCTTTGATAAGCTAGAAGAAAAACAAGTCATGACACTTAGATAAATTTCCTTCGCTTTTCTCACGTACAATACTGAAAAATTGATCGGCAAACTTAACAGGCACGCCCGGACTGAGGGTATTCATTAAATCTTTATTGATATTTGTCTGAAGAGAAGCTTGAATGAAGATAAGAAATTCATTCAATGACAACGAAAGATACAAAAGAGAGAGAGGAATGAAACAACATACTCGCATTCGAATTCAATTGTAAAACTTGATCAACTTTTATCGTTGACGCGGGAACTGATATATAGCGAGTTGTTGTTGTGGCTGCTGCCATAATCGATGTGAATAACGATCAATAATAATACTATATCAGAAAATTTGCTTTTATTCTTCACGTTCGTTTCTCTTTTGAATTGGATGTGAGGTAAAACTAAAATGTCAAAAAAAATACGTTGATTATTTCTACGAGTCTCGTTTTTCTTTCTGTATACATGATGATAGTTCTTTACTTTCACCGTTTCTTCTCTATTGAATATTTTACGCGCAAGCATGTGTGTGTGTGTGCCTATATAATGATGAAGAACGTGTAAGAAAACAAGAGAAAGAAATGAGTAAACTAGAATGCAATACGTAAAGGTGTGTATCAAGTTGAAACAATAACTACTACTGACATCATAAGACAGATGCCAGTGGAAACGAGCGAGAGAATTTCTCTTCTTTTCCCAGAATTGAATATACGAAAAGAAAAATAGTATTAATCAAAATACAAAACAGAACGCATAACATCAATGTGCATGAAAGTGAATAGAATTTGTCGATAGCTCTTCTGGTCTTGAATGAATAGGCCAGTATCATGTGTTCATTTAAAAAGCGATCAATTTCATCTTGATATATAATGGAAGAATAAATCTTCTTTGAATACACCTGTTGCAATAGTATTACGATAACGGAGGTCAATTCAACGCGAAGAAGAAGAAGAGAAAGATGAAAGGTCATCAAATGACGCCGGGGTGCGAATGTTAATAGCATAAGCAAAAAATGTTAAGACCTAACACTCTTCTTCTTCTTTAGTAGAACACAGTTTTCAAGACAAGACTCTTCTCAAATGAACTTATTTGTTGTAACTGTAAACACGCTTGATTAGATTTGAAAGACATTGGTGTAGTTAGAGATATCTATCGGTCTTGAAAAAAGGAGACTGATCGTTTATAACTCAATGCAATCGAGTGTGACGATTGTAGAAAAACGCAAGAGCATGTCTTGTGCTGTATATAAATGGTTGAATAGGAAACTTTTTGTGTCTATTTTCTTCTTTCATTTGATTCCTTGAACTAGTCGTCGACAGGCATGATTAACGCTGCACATATGTGTCAATTTGCTACATGTAAAAATCAAGCAACGAGTTCGTGTTACTTCTGCCAACAAGAAGCCTATCAATCACCTTTTGTTCAACATAATACAACGATAATAAATGAGGTTAATGCATTAATTGAACGAATGAATACAGTCGCAGATAGTATGACAACGATTTCGATCACATCAATGCGAGCGTCACTCAACACTCAATTGCAACAATGGCGTGATGAAAATATCAATTTCATAAATAAAATCTATAAACAAAAACAAGTGGAGTTAAATGCGAAGATTGTTCATTTGGACGCGATTTTAAGTCAAGTCAAAGTCGAGAAACAGCAAGAAATCACTCAAATTAGACTGAAAATTTCTGAATTAGTCAATGTTGGTGGACCTACGTGTGAACAAATGGTTCGTTTACGTAAGCTAGTAGATCAAATAGCAATAGATTTGGATAAACTACGTTCAGCAACGATTCGGATCGACACTCAACCGTGTAATTTGGATACTTGTCGAATTGTTTATATCGATCCACTATTGAATATTCAACCGGAAAATGTAACAGCGTCGGTTTCAAAAAATCGAATAAACGATGATGTTCGACATTTCAATAAAGTTCCAACACATGCTCGTCCATCTCCATCCAAACCGATACCAACCATGAGACATAGGCAAGGAGCGCCTGTTCCTACTGTCGAATCGCCACCAGTAGCTCAATCGTTTCATTCTTCTGGTCCATCAACTAGCTCACAATCACATATTCCAATGCCACCACCGGTTCCTGATCCACCTCAGCCGTCGAAATCATCTCACATGTCAATGCCACCACATGTATCCGAACATTCTCATAGCTCGAGAGACTGTCATTCGTCGACATCATCCGAATCACCAGAATTATCACCAATGTCGAGATCTCCTGAGATACCAATGCCACCACCTGTTCCGAAAACTCAAACCGAGACAACACCAAACCATATACCGATGCCGCCACCGCTGAACAAAGCATCAAATATCCCTATGCCACCTCCTCTTTCGACGCCTTCATCCGTTCCTTTACGTACAATAAAACGATATGGTAAACATCAAGTTATGTTCGAGTAAAACTTCCTTCGAAAGGGGTCCATTAAGCATGAGTTTATATTTTTTTCTTGATGAAACAAAATTCTGTTCAACTTTCATTAGATTTGATCGATTGAAATCGAATATAATTAGTAGAACACTGTCAATGATTCATACGATTAATTCTTCTCTTGTTTATATTGTATTTCTGTATAATAAAAGTAAGTTTTCGTCATTTTATTTCCAAATTTTTTAATTGTCCTCTATACCCCATACTTCCATCTTTCAATTGCCCAAACATGATACAATTTTATTGAAGTTGCACTACATGAAAGTGTAACATGCAAGTTTTTTCGTGTCTATACGTCAAGCACGAATAGTTACGTTCGTTCGGCAGGTCTCTTAAGTATTGCAATCTTTGTTTGATCGAGATGACACACTGATAATTGCGCGAATCGAATGCTCAGTATACGATCAATAGATGCCTTTGTAGGTCAATCACTTTCATGGAAATTATTGATAACATAACGCCTACATTCTACGAATACATATCATAGAAAAGGATTCTTAGTTCCTCTCATACACCAAAGGTAAAAGTCTTATGAATACTAGCGACATCCAATAACAGCCTCGAGTTATTTTCTTAATGGATCATAATACAGCAAATGCATAATTCATCGGTTAGACGAGACGAGACGAGACGAACACTATCATTGTCGGATGTTTTGATTTCTGCAAATGCAAATGTATTATCAACGACAATCAATTTATTTTTGTTTTCTAACATTTTTTATACAATGCGTTTTATCCGTGGAACATGCAGGTCATTTGAAACCATTTGGTTCATCTGGTCCTTTCGAACAAATTGATGAGTTAAACGACGAATTTCTTGAACCGATTGAATTTTTCGACACTTATGTTTCTCAATCTCGCCCAGTGGTTTTTCGTCGCGTGCTAAACTATGAACCACATTTATCTCTATGGGACTTAGACGCAAATCTGCTGGAGATTTTCTCGAATAGCAAAGATATTGTTCACGTTGAAACACGAAAAAAAGAAAGTCGACAGCAAAATATCCTCACAATGACAATGTCAGAATTCCTACAACGATATCAACATGAAGAACTCTATCTTGTAGAAGAAGTACCCAATCTATTGAGGTAAACTAGAAATGCGATTTATTAGAAGTTATCAATCCTTGTGATTTAGACATTATTTTGTTCTACCCAAATGTCTTCAATGTAAACCAGCGTTAGAAACATTTCAAGTTGCTGTAAGTCTATAGAAATTCCGTTTGAATGGCCTAAATCCGTGTTTTTTTAATTCTTAGATGTTTTGGTACAGGTAAAAGTTTATTTCCTAGAAAAATTGTGATGAAAATCTCATGGATTTTATCTATAGTTCGGGCAATACATCATCAGTTGTTCATACCGATGATTATGATAATATTAATTGCGTTTTACAAGGTGAAAAACAGTTTATTCTCGTTGATCCACATACATATGAAGAAGTTGCCAGCGAGGTTCGTGTTTTATTGAAATGGCTATTCTTTAAATCTATGTTGAATGTAGATCATTGACAATCCCACTGGTTCATTTTCATCGGTTGATGTCGATCGGTAAGATTATCTTCTTCAATCTGCACGTTCCACATTAATTCTCTTTAGTGTCGATTATGAAAATTATCCTTCTCTTGATCATGATATTCATTATTACCAAGTGAATTTAAGTAAAGGTGATTGTTTATACCTTCCTTCGCTTTGGGTTCATCAAGTGCGTTCAACGAATCGTAATATTGCGATTAATTATTGGCTGAACCAGATGAGAGTTAAGAATGCAGTTGTGAATAAGAAAACGTGTGCGTTGAAAAAGCAATCGCAATTTCTAACATTGGAAACAATTAAATGGCCAAAGGACTTATCGGATATCGATCGTTTACGAAATTTTCTGTATGATCTGATTGATGCCGATGTAATAGGCTTCAAGCAATGGACAAAAGAATTTTCGAAAGTAAGAGATCGCAAATCCTTTTAACTTACAACGATAGTTTCAATGTTCATGCTTGTAGGAGTTAAATTACAATCTGAATTCGAATGTTGACACTATTAATCTCTTTGCTGAAGTAAATACCTTCTTTCCTCGTCTGAAAGTGTTCATCCAGGCAAAATTTTAGTTATTTGATACAATTGATGCAAATGGCAATGGATTGATCACATTGAAAGAAGTTGAAGTAGCCACTCGGAACGGCAAGGTAATAGGGGATGGAATACTTTGCGGGTTTCTTTTTGATTTTTACGAAGTCAATTTTAGAAATTGATGGAAGTATATGAAATTCTACAAGATATTATGGATATCGTCGAAGGGAAAGTCAATAAAACTGAAGAGAATACTCTTGAACACGAAGATTTATAAATGTGTGAACAAATTATGTTGATCAAAATGACTGATGTGCTTTTCTGTCTGCTACTGATAAAGTTTCAATCATTTTCTTTTTTCTAGATGGATTCTTTCACAGTCATTCTCTTGTTCTCATTGATTAGTCTGGTTTGCGGTGCAAATCGAAATCCTGGTCATTTAAAACCATTAGGTTCTGTTGGAAATTTAGTTCTTATCAAAGAACTTCAACGAGAATTTCCAACTGTGTCACAACTTTTTACATATCATGTAGCAAAGTCCGAGCCAAGTCTCTCGCGTCAAGTTCTGAATGATAATAAAAATTTTTCTCTCTGGCAAACCGATGAACAACTTCTCGAAAATATTTATGGATTAGCCGACACAAAGATTCAAGTTGAAGCATTCATAGCAAGACAGCGACATAGAATTCCAATGACATTCGACGCTTTTCTTCAACGATATAAGAAAGAACCTCTCATGTTCGCTGATAACATACCCGAAGTTTTACAGTGAGTAATATTGTTAGAATGACTTTTTCAGTTGGAGAATCCATTGGTATCTCTCTTTAGAAAATATCTCGTTGTTCCCAAACCGTTGCAATGCGAAGCGGCTTTAGAAATATTTCAATCAACGGTATGTATTATCTGTCGGTGAGAATTCGTGTTCTTTTTCAAGCAATGAACTTTATGCAGATTTTAATCATCAACGGAATCAATGCATCGCCATTGTTACTCAATGAAGAACAGGATCATTTTCATTGTATTCTTCGTGGGCATAAAAAAATGGTTCTGATCAATATGGCGAAATATCCCGATGTCCGTAAGGTAAACAGCAATACTACAATAGCTTTTTCTTTTTCATTGGATTTAATTACTTTCAGATTGTTATACCAGAGAAAAAACAACAACAAGAACCACCGATGAATCCAGATCGGTAATCTATGAGGAATGAATTGAATACATTGGAAAATGTCTTTCGTTTTAGAGTGGATTTCGATCAGTTTCCTGCATTAGCAGATGTTGAATATCATGTAGCTAATTTAACTTCAGGTGATTGTATATTCATTCCAAGTTCATGGACCTTTCAAGAACGTTCGTTGGAACATACTTTCTCAGTAATTTACAATGTCAAACATCGACGTGCATTGAACATTGATGTCAAAGAATTGACCGAATGCGCAGACTATGATCCAACATTTACATTAGATCAAATTGACTGGTCTGTTGAACGGCAACCACAAAGTTTCAAGTAAAAATGCAACATGAAATTTCATTTCATCAATCGAAACGACTTACACTTCTTATTCCAGGGATCTTATCATGAATCTTATTAATACCAATGTTGTCGGTTTTGAAAAATGGCGAGAATATTTCTCTAAAGTACAGCGATTATGACGAGCATAGATTGAATGACAGTTCACATTCTTTTAGCATCTATCGTACGATTTGGCATCAGATTCGGAAGCATCAGCGATTTTCGAAGAGGTCTATTTTCGCTAAAATAATATGATAGGTGATTTCTAATCGTTTATTTTTCAGTTCTACGATATTATTGATGTCGATGGTGATGGACAAGTGACAAAGAAAGAAGTAGAGCAAATCAATGGCGCAGTAAGCTCTTCTTTCGTTACGTGTTCACTTACGTCAGTATTATTTTTCCTTCAGCATCAACATCATATTACGGATATTCTTTATGAAATGGCCAAAGTTATTAATACTAAGCGAGACGCTACAAAATCGAAACCCGCCGAAAACAATGACGAAGATCAAATGCAATCTTCACACGATCAATCAGAGCTCTAATCTACTGAACTGTGCAATTTTTCTTTAATGATGCCTTGTGATAGATCTGTTTTTCGTTTTTTTAGTAAACATTGAATCGGTGATAGTGCTTTTTTCTCCATAGAATCTCGTTCAAAATTATTTTTAGAACTATAACATTCATGTCTGATCGTTATTTTCCAAATAGTTCTTCTGATTATCGAAATGAAACTTACCTCACTCCCGATAACCACGTATATTGCGTCCTTGTCCGTTACTGCTTTCATTGATACTGATGCAGTTTTTAGTTGATACCTGAAGTCGGGTCGAATATCATTCGTTGGATTGAACAACAAACGGATAGACTTGAACGACATCTTCATCAAACTGATCCAACTAACTTCTCGGTTTACACTGGGAGTACAGGTAATGCTATTGGTCTCCTTTGTTATCATTTGACTCTTGGATTTCCTAGGCATCGCTCTACTTTATTTACGACTTTCAATACTATTTTCAAATAAAAGGGATGCATATAAATCCAAAGCAAAAGCATTAATTGATTCATCATTGGCACAACTATCTGGTACGCAATGACTTTACATGCGATTTATTATGTCATGAAATTGACCATAGGCAAACGAATCTCATTCCTCTCGGGTGATCCAGGACCACTGGCCATTGCAGCTGTGATCTATCGTGATTTAGGTGATGATAGAATGGTGAGGAAATGCATCCATAAGTAAGAGAATATCTGTTAACGAGTGACTTTTTGATTTGCCTTCGTTGTTTCTAGACTTGTGTCAATCAAAGAAGATGCATTAAGTGGCTCGAAGCCAGATGAATATCTGAATGGACGCGCTGGTTATCTCTACGCACTGATGTTTGTTAGGAACGAACTAGGAAATGATACGATTGACAAACAATTAGTAATTGATGTAATTGCTCGACGTTGTCTTCAAATTTGAGAATAATTCAATATATCTCTATGCATATAGATATTCGAAGCGATGATAAAGTCTGGTGAAAAGTATGCAAGAGAATCAGGTTCACGCTCGCCATTAATGTATCAATGGCATGGCAGTGAATATTTGGGAGCAGCACATGGTGTTTCAGGAATTATTTATCTATTACTCAAAGTTTGAGAAGTGATTTTAAAGAGATCAACGAGTCGAGTATTGTTCTAGGTAGCCTGTGATGATTCATTTTCCAACCTTCGACTGTACGTCAATTCACATTTGTTGCCAACCATTGAATTCCTTAAAACCAAACGATTACCGAGTGGGAACTATCTGTCCTCAAGTGGTAGTCAATCCGATAAACTCATTCAGTGGTGCCATGGCGCACCGGGTTTCGTCTATCTATTCAATCGCGCTTATGAAGTACGTTCTTTACATAATTCAGAAGGAAAATACAAATATGATCTATGTATGTGTCTTAGATAACAAATAATCAGTCGTATCTAGAGTTAGCCGTATCGGCTGGCGAAGTCGTATGGGAGCGAGGATTGTTGCGGAAAGGTTATGGTCTTTGTCACGGCACAGCTGGGAATGGATACGTCTTTCTCGATCTATTTCGAACAACAAAACAGAGTAAATGGTTGCATAGAGCAATTAAGGTTTGATTTAATTGTTTCAACAAGGATGTGATTTTGATTCTTCATAGTTTGCTGAGCACTGTATGGATAGTGATAAACATGAGCTATCACGAACACCTGATCGTCCCTATTCCTTATTTGAAGGTAGCTTGTTCTTAACCTCGCAGTCATATAAGTCACTAAGGAAGTGTTTTCTTTTTTAAAGGTCTTGCTGGCACAATCTACTTTATGTCTGATGTTATGAAACCTGCTCAAGCTCGCTTTCCTGCATTTGAATGATGATGAAAGCTAAAAGCCGTGAAGGACTTCTTACCATGCCAAGCTCAAATGACATATATAGAAATACTTGATCATATTTTATGTTTTGTCAATATTATTTAGTACTGTATAATTAAACACACACTCAAAAAAAAAAAGAAGGTGTATTTAATAGGCGTAGCTGCAGGTTGGCTTTGAATGTAATATTTTCAACGAAATAATCTTGTTTTGAATAGATCTCGAAAGAGTTCTCAGATTGAAACATTTCGTTATGTTGATACTAGACAATAAACTTCAATTTCGCTAGTTCGAAAATTCGTTTGACCAGTAATAGTCGATGCTCATCGATCGATTGTGTTGACACAAGATGTTTTGTTAGATGTATGCCGTACGGATTCATCTATGTAAACAAGAATGAACTGTCCGGATTAAGAATATAAGATTTAGTCGAGGCCTAAAAGGCGAATGTATATGTACCAAATAGATGGTCGTTAACGACTGTTTGAGTAACTGTTAACTTAGGCCCTTGGTTATCACAACATCGGTAGAAATCAGTATGGGAAAAGCCGTCTCGTGTTGCCTTGTAAAGTAAAGTCCATTTTTGCTCTTCTTTACCATCGAATAGCCGTTAATTCACTAGAGCAATTTCGAAATCAGTTGTTTTCATGTCCAATGGGAATGTATTTGCTGCAAGCAATTGCTTATGACATTGCTCGAGATTATTCTTTACTTGTTTAATTTGCTTAAACAAAGCACCGTCTTCATCAATCTACTGTTTTATTTCAAAACGTAGATTCGGAAATTTCTCGATATGTTCATCAAATCTTTGCTTGATATGAATCTTTCATTCCTGCGTTTTGTGTTCACATAATTCGTTAATACGTCGATGAGCTAATTCTTCAAGTGCATTCCGAGTCAAATCATGTTGTTTCACAGAGTTCACAAGTGTATTCATCTCATTGGAAAGATGTGTCACTTCTTTATTGGCTGGTTTCGCATGTTCAATGAACTATCTTGTACAAACTTGTGTTTAGCGATGATCACAGACAGTATCAGAATTTCGTTTACAATTATTCACAGAATATTTCGAAGAAACCACATGAAAGAAAACTAATCTGAAAACAATCATTGGAAGAAAGAAAAAACGAATATTTATATTGAAAAAATCATCCTGTACAGATTCTAATCTTTATAAAAATTTTCTTGAGATAGAGTTCTTTTTTCAATCATATCGATATATTTCAATATCAGACGTTTGGAATTGATCGGTACCAGTGAATGTCAATGCACCTTTACCAGTTGTATCACTATACGACACGGGAAATTTGAAGTAACTTCCCAATACTTTGTTACTTTCATTACATACATGGAGGTCAAAACCTCCTCCGAATGTTGGACCGTACATATCACCGTGAACTGCTGCAAACTCTGTATATTCTGGTCGGATGAAATATTGTGTCGGTAAAATATTATGTGGATTGATAAGAGTGAAAAGGAAAGGATTGTTCTTATCTTCAACGTACTGCACTGATGATGTCCACGATTGAAATGTATATCCGCCGAAAAGCCATCCGTTTTCTTTCGATTGAATAACAGTCAATGTGGGTCCCTGATTATTCGAACAACGATGAAAATCTTCAGTTTTGAATCCATCACGTTTGGCTTTGTAAACTAATTGCCATCTTTGTTCCTTGAGGCCAACCCATTCATTCAAAAGGACTTGATGCTCGAAACAAAGAAGTGTTCCATCACCAGTGAAATAGCTGCACTGTCGTACTTGAATCTTCAATGAATGATAACGTAATTCGATCGGTTCTATATCGACATGACAAAAATCTGGTTGGGTCAGATTTGTACAGCGCGCGGTGAGAGTGCCAGTATCTTTTTTGAATTTCTCGACTTGTTGATATGATGCATCGGATTGTTCGATATGTTGTTGTATGACATGGTTGAGTTGTTTGGAAAACAATCGTTCTTCGTCTAATTTCGACTGTATAATTTTATGAACAAATCGTTTTTTCTCTTCGAATAGTTTATCAATACGTTCATGACTGTCTTGACGCCAATATTCGAGTTGTTCAATAGCGACCTGCGAAGCTTCCATCACATTGAGTTCTTGAAGAGTGTTAATAATAGTGTTCAATTGATCAGCTAGTGGAAGCAGTTCATCGTTCGTTATTTTGACATGTTCTAAATAATGCTTTGTACAAACGTGCTTATCACAATGTAAACACAGAGCATTTGCATCACGTTTGCATCCGGGAGCTGAACACATGTTTATTTCGATTGAGTCGATTGCGAAAGCCATCTTTCAAACGAAATCTAGAAAGCAAATACTTAACTATCGACTGCTAATAATTAAACGCCAAGGTATTCATGTTTATTTTTCATATTTTGTGTATATGTTTTCGACTACCTTCGAACTTATTTACCGACAAATGTAACATTCATGCGAAGGAAACGTATTGATCAATAGCGGTATCTCTTCTCTATTTGATAGTAACTCACCTTCTGTTTCGATTAGTTATACTCACATAATTGCTCGAAAATTTAAACATCAATCGTGATATTTACAAGAGCAAGGAGACGGAATCTACTCTGGAACTTCGCCCGACAGAATAATTCCCTTTTATACAGTGAAAATAGAAAATATTATCTTATATAGTGCTTTTTGTAAATAGTTTGCCTGAAACAAACGAATTCCGAAAAGGTACGATTCTTAACCATGCGTGTCTGATAAAAAAGCGATATTTTGATTAAAATTTTACAGTATTTTATTCTTTTACACATTTATAGTACCATTTTTCATGGTTTTGATTAATTTATTACCCTCATTTTCGCTCTCTATTTTCGCTCGAATGATTTACATTCGTTCATTGACAGTACATCATCAATCACGCCGCAAACTATACTATTAATAACAATAATGTCAGTTATGTACACACGTGTATAACGGAGTAACTTTGCCTGGTCACTTGGATGTCATAGTAATTTCGAAATTCTGAATAAGAATCAAATCTCGATTTTATTTTTTCCTAAACATTGATGACTTCATACAAATATCACGGTTCATATAGTAGTTTTATCATCGCATCAATCATCTACCTTCCATGAGTAGAAAATATATCCTCAAAATGTGCCTATTGAATAACAAAATATATAAAATAGAACGGAAAAGAAGAGCAAAGAGATGTTCAGTGATGGCATTGTGATAACAGTAGATGGATAGAAACAAGAGAATAATACGCATGGATTACATACTCACGCAAACCACCATGAAAGAAATTTCGCAGCAAGAACACGTATAAAAATAGAATAAGAAAAACAAACATCCACACGGATTATACAATTTGTTATTTTGAAAGAATAAAGAGGAGTCTTTGATTTGGAAAACATTGGCACTATTGATTCGTTCTGTAGGATGTTATACCCAAGTTGTTTAATGTTCTTTGCACGGTCGCATGATCGAGGGAATTACGAACGTGAACATTCGGTGGTGGTGCCGGTGTGGGTGGTAGCACTTTTGTGACTAATGTTGCCTACAATCAAATCGAATCCTTAGTATATTTCGAGAAAAGACTGGACAAATCATTACTGGAATGTGTTTTGGTGGAGGTGGCGGAGCCTCACGTATAATGATTGGTGCTTGTTCTCGTGGTGGCGGTGGTTGAATGCGAACGAAAAGTGGTGGTGGAACCGGTTCAGGAGGTGGACGTACCTGAAAATGTTTTCTTTGTGAAATCGAGTGAAAGGAACGTACTTAGAATTACCTCTTTAATAATTACTGGACCAGGAGCTGGCGGTGCTGGAGGTTTATAATATGCTAAGTTAATCTTTTGTATGTAGGTAATCGGTTGCGATTTCTTTTGAATAACTACTGGATTGGGATCATGAAAGAACTTATCGTTGTTTGGCGTTTTCAGTGGCCCGAAAACTTGAACAAAACCGCCGCCAGGTGTTTTGAATTGCAAGGATGGATCATCAGCAAGGCCAAACTGTGATGGTAAAATCCGTTTGGTTAGATCACCATTTATCACAGTTGAAACAGGATCATTCACTATTGAACTAGTGTAATTAGTCGGTGTTGCCAATGGCGCTGGCTTCTGGGCTAATTTCAGCATTTCTTGTAAATGCACCGATGGATAGTTAGTTTTTTGACGTTCGATCGCGACCATGATGAAATTTTACAACGGAAAAAAGTTCGAAATTAACCCGCTGCACAGAAAAATTGTGTCGCTCCAATAACAAGCATCGCCTTTTATACTCCATTAGATAATCGAATATGCTCGGCGAGAGAAAAAACCAATGATAATAGTCCTTTTTTCTTTTCAAGGTTGTTAATATCATTCCCTATATTTCTAATTGATGAATATGTCTTCGTCGTATGTATTCATAACGATAAAACCTTACCTTGCCCTTTTTTCTCTTGTTTGTTAAGTGTTCGATTGTCTATCCTTCACCTGAAGTATTCGCCAGTAACAAAAAAAAAGAGAGACTTAACCTAACATGTATTCATCCGTGACTTTTTAACAAAATCGTCTTATCACATCAGAAGATATATCTAATCTTTCAAATGACGAGTTAAAAACCCACAAGAAAATAAAAAAACAAAATTTTCTCTTTTGTCACCTAGTAAATCAACAAAATCAATCGTAATTTAACTATATTTATCTATTATGATTGTGATGTCACAATCAACCTTGGTATTGTCCACAGTAAATAATTAGAAAAACACCTTTATGTCCTCTAGTAGATTCATAAACAAAACAAAACTGTGTTTAGCTAGTCTTTTACGTACGATGATAAGGTTTCTAATGTATATTTGAATGCATATTAACAAATTGAAGTTTTCTCTTTTATCTTCCTATGTGAAAGAAAATTGCGTCACAGCTCGTTGCTTACATAATCGAAAAGAGAAAAGACGCACGATGTTACAAAACAGCCGAAAAGAGAGGAAGAAGAAGAAGAAGGAGAAGAAGACACAACAAATCTATTCTTATCAATAGCAACAGAAATGTATCTGTTTTTCGTCGTCAATGATGTTCAACAGACGAATGTAATTACACGCAAAAAATAAAACTTTCTAGATATGCTTATTTATCACAGGTAATATGTGATGATAATCATGAATATTAGAATGTTAAGCAGAAAGAAATTGTCTTTGCTTCGTTGTCGTCCATTATTTGACTTGATGGTATCGATGTTCGTTAAATTTGATTCGAAGATAAGTGCTGCACGCTTCCATCGTGAAATATGCGAATAATCGGGTGATGTTGTCGGTACTTGTTCTTGTTCACATTGAAGCCACCATTCGGAGATCGAACGCGGATATGTTGGATAGGAATCTTCGACCTTTGTTCAAATATAAAGGCAAAAAGAAAGCATGTGATCAAGAAAAATCAATTCGAAATGCTCTTTTACATGATGATTGATGTGATCATATCGATAATAGTTTTCATACGAAAAGAAATAAGTTCGGCCGTTGATCCATTGCAATGCACTGGTGATTTTTTCGCCAATGTGTAACCAACGCGCCACGAATTGAGGATAGTCAATATCAATCGTACCGGCGAATTCTACATTCATGTTCAAACGCCATACCATTGCATCTTTGACAAAATAAGTCTGATTGTCTCTGCTGTAAACAAATGCAGCATCGAGACGACCAGTGAAGAAATGTTGTTCGTCAAGACCGCGAAAACCATCACTGATCAAACGTGGATATCCCGCTTGTAGTTGAAAACGAACTGTTTTCCAATAATGTTTGCCCTGCGAAAGAAACACACGAGTACGAAAATGCAATAGAACAGAACTGCCTTACTTTAAAGAAGAAGATGTTTTGATTCGGCCAAACTAATGCCGTGTCGATATGATCTGGCAATGTTTGCCATATGCCACCCTCCCAACGACCGAACACATCGCGAATTGCTTTGGGATAGTCGTAATCCATCGCAAGTTTCGAACGACGATAGACTAAAGTATCTATTGAACAAAAACAATTTAAAAAATTCCCTTTTACAGTACAATCAAACAATAGGATACCTTTGAAGATGTAGGTATCATCATCGATGACAATAATGGCATCAAATTTTGGATCGAGACATAGCGGTGAAATTCTATTTGATGATTTCACCGATGGAGCCATTTGCTTGGCGACAGCTTGATAGGTTTCAATATTGTTAGATAAAGGTGATGAAAATGATTTCGATGGTTTTCCTCCTACATGATTCATAAGAATACTTTCAATGTCAACTGAACGCAATTATGTACCATATAAGGCTTGAATGGCCCGAATATCATCTTCTTGTAATGTGAAGTTTGGTGTATAACCTTTAAAAACTTTAGAAAAAAGTTTGGAAGAAATGCGGTGTTCTTTTTTCTGAACCAATCGAGATACGTACACGGTGCCATGATTGCTTCTGGCTTATTGGAATGCTCTAGTCCAAGTGAATGACCAAATTCATGCGCAGCGACTTGAAAAAGATTTACACCTTCAGTACCTTGAAAAGAAACATTCTCCACAATGATTGAACGATTCGTTTTGATAGTTACTTTTCGATGTCCAGTATTCATCATTATCGAAATGAGCATCTCCACCATATTGAGGGAAAAAAGCATGACCAAGAACATTTCCAGGTCCATCGAATGGTTCTGTATCACCATGATCGCCGATTTCGAATGAAATTCGAATATCTGTTTTTCGATCGAGATGGTTCGGTTGAAAGTCATTTGATTTTTTCAATTTTCGATGTTCAAACTCGAGATTCGACGAACTACTCCACAATGTTAGAGCTTTAGTTAATTCCGTGTCGACGAACTGTTGTGGAAAAGTTGTAGGATATTTGACAATGCGAAATGTCAATGGTCCATTTGCTGGCCAACGACTTCCTAGAACGATAAAATTCGAAGTGATCCATACAAATGAAGTTCTTTCTTCATACCTTGGAGTATAAAACGTTTTCTTCTTTGGATGCGTCGAAGATCTTTATTGCCACAACGAGGCTCACGCATCTTTTGCCAAGTTAATTCATCAATTAAACCTGTTCGATTGAGACCAACAAAACGTTGAAAAGCTCGTACAGCCGATGGTGGTATGTATAAAGACGAATCATTCGTTTTGATATAACCAAAACGAGTTAAAAATTCCTAAGTAAAATCCGCTCGGAATTGATATTCAATAAATTCGAAATGAACAAATTACCTTTGCATAGAACAAACGATTGTTATTATCGATAAGATTGTTGTTGTTGTTGTTGTTATCATTATTGTTATTATTAATAAGTATTAGACAAATGTGTAGATGCTGTAGTAGAAAACAGATGAGAAGGAAAAGAAGACGATCGGACGACACGACGAAACGCATGTCCTCTCACAGGTGATGCTGCCATGAGCCACAACTGGTTAATAAGATAAAAATCAATGTGCGATTATTCAATCACACAAAACTATGTTAATCTCTTTCTCTCTTCTTCTCTGTGTGATTTCTCAACAATTTAAATGCCTTTCTCTTCTTTCGATCAGAAGAATTATTGTCTAATTGAAACCCTGTTGAATGGAGGAGAAGAAGAAGACGACGAGGAAAAAAAGAATGTTATCTAATTTGATTCACGATGGTAGAACTATGTTGAGCATGTAGAAAATAAGGAAAGAAGATCTTATGCAATGAGTAGGTAAACTCAGGGCGGCGACGTTTTTCTTCCTTTTTCGTACGTGTGCTCGTTGGGAGGCAATATCCTTACTAGTTAATCCCCACTCACTGCAATCTTGCCGTTCAATTTCTTCTTTCTTCTTCCTCCTAGTTGACATATTCATCCGATAACACAGATGTTCACCTTTTCGCACTCTCGATGATCTTTGCTTTGTGTTTTTCTCTCCACACACACACACACACACACACACACGCACGTATAGCTCTGTATGTGTATGTTTAGATGTTGGTGCTCAAAGAGTTTGAGCGATCAGCTTAGAGTTATAATGAGTCGTATGTTTCTTTTGATATATGGATTACATTAAAAAGTGAAGATACAATTTCAAGTTCATTCACTGGAGGATTAATTTGTTCAAATTTTGACATTTTGTTCATTGAATCTAAAACGTTTAATCCAACGAATGTTTTCTTTTTTTGAATATGATAATCAGCTTGAACGAAAGATAAGATGAGGAAGAAAGATGCTTAAACGTATCAACTTCGTTTTAATCTTCGTCGAAGGCTGATATGTAACTCTTATGATCGTATTTCCTAATGACCAAATCGGCCCATTTAATATACTCAAGTTGAGTGTTGTTTGTTAATTGATTGGATTCATAACAATGGAACTAACGCGAACGTGTTTTCAATGACCTGTGAAACGAGCAATCATTTACGGCGACATAGATGAGCATATCGATCAAAAATAGATGCATTTAATACGCTTCTCTCTCTCTCTATCGAGGCAGTTTGCGATGAACGGGAGATGAAATTGACCTGCATTATATATGAGAAAGATGTTGTGACAAAGGTCATGACGGTACAGGTGATGGTGAAAAGAGATATTTTTGATTTTTGTTCTTTAATCGAATATAATGCGATTATTCTGCTGACAATGATAGTAAAAATACTTCTGAAACAAGGCGAAAAAGTGATTTGTATATAGTTTGTCAAAGAACAACAGAATATTTCTTAATTGATTTTATTCTTCCGATTCGTTTGATCCGACACTCGACGCCGTCTCGTTTTTCCTTTTTTTTTCTATCATTAACCAATGTCATCAGTTATTCTATTTTTGATTCGTCTTCTTCAAAAACACGCATACATCACCATTAACACAATTCTTTTCCCTTTGACTCGATGTTTTTCTCTCACTACCAACCCCGTTTAGTATGAAGAAACGTATGCATACAAACGGTAACTCTAGTGCTAACACGCAATTCCTCTTTCTTCTATATTTGTATCCCTGTTTTTCTCTCCCATACTCTTCATTTTCACATTCTTATTTTTTTTCTCCTCTCATAGATATTTTTGGTCTATCATTTCATAATTACTACTATTATTTTCATTAGTAACACTCGCTAGACTGGTTTATTATCAATCACATCAATATCGTCCAAATTCGGTAAGAAGGATTTATTTTCCATTGTAAATTAGTCCTTTTATCAAACGTGTTACTATTTTTCTCTAAAGTAGCCAAATAAAGTAGCAGATTCTTTCTATCTTCTTTCTTACTCGTTATCAACTAGGAGGTTATCACATAGGCTTATTACGTAGCTACCACTGGTGTTTACTATTTACCTGTACGTGCATCTATATCGACCATTAATCAAGATGAATGAATCTAATCAACAACAAGCTAATGATTGGCTGAAGGTATTAAATCTTCAACCGCACCCTGAAGGCGGCTTTTATTGCGAAACAGATCGTAGCAAGGACGAATGCAAACTCGAACGTTATGAAAACCAGACACGAGCATGTTCAACGGCGATCTATTATCTACTGAAACTGCCCGATTCACCAAAAAGTCACTTCCACCGTATAAAAGCAGACGAAATATGGCATTTTTACCGAGGTTTACCAATAACTATCCATGTGCTAGACGAAGAAAAATCTTCTCATACTGAATATATACTTAGCAATGACTTGGCTGACAATCGTGATGCGCGTCCACAAATTCTTATTCCGTATGGTAAATGGTTTGCTGCTGAAATTCTGTCGAAAAATATTGGAGATGATAATGATAATTATACATTATGTGGTTGCACTTGTACACCAGGTTTCGAATATCATGATTATGAATTAGCCAAGCGGTCCGAATTGATTGACAAGTTTCCCCAATTCAAAGATCTGATTATTCGTCTGACAAGAAGCGAATAGTGATTATTCAGTGTTGAATGAACTCAAGATAGTTTGTCAATCTTCCTTTTTTTAGTCTCGCTCATAAATAATAGAAATAAGTTTGCAAAAGACGATTTCTCTATTTACGTCTCGTAATTGTCATCTTCCGTGAAAGGAAATCTAGTATAAGTCTATTTTCGGATACATTAGCGAAAGAAAAGAATACACATATGATTTTATTTCTCGTAAAAGAACGATCAGCGTAGTCTGAATCTCTATAATATTCGTGTACGGCGGAGAAACTTCTGTGGCAAATCTCTTGATAATTATGAGGTCGCACTGTATCAACTTTGATGAGATGGTTTCCATTGTCAGATGTCACTTTGCTCGATTTGATTGACATGATTAGATGTTTGTAATTTCTATTCGAGTTTCTTAACTGAAGTTCGTCTCTCGCTCGAATTATTGTTGTTATTTTTATTATAACTATTGTTATCATGATTATTATTATTCTTTCTTTCTTTCTTTCTTTCTCTTCATTCTCCTTTTTCTTTCGTCGTCTATAAATAAAGTAAAAGAATGTATATATATATATATTGGAGAGTAAAAGAAACGGGTAGAACATGCGCATGACTGGAGAGAAAACCTTCTTTTTTCTTTTCTCCTTACGTTTTTTCATACTCTTCACTCGTTTTCTTTCTTACATTCGTCAGTATTATTATGCATTTTATACACTTAGATAGATATCCCTGATCGAATTTATTCGTTCCTATTTGTTCATAACACTAACTGCATGTGTTTCTACGTTCTAGAAATAATCAGAAACGAAAGAAAGGGAAAAAGCCAACGACGAAAAGAAAACTAACTATGCATGTATCAAATGTTTCCTTAAATTCCAATAATAATTCTTCGAAAGTTTATTTAACTTGTGAACAAATTGAAAAATTGAAACATGTCTTAGATCGTCCAATTCCAGTTTGTTCATCATCACCATCAACATTTCCAACATTAAACTTAACACCACGATACTTTCTTCGACAAGTTTTATGGAAATTAAAAGAGAATTCCATCGACATTTCCTCGATACGTTTAAATGGCGGTGCTGCATCCTATGTTCTTGTAAATGATCCCAAATTTGCTTATCGCGACATCGACATTCTCATCTATATCAACACTCCTCTATCTTCCGAACAAAAAACAAGCTTATTTTCATCGAATAACGAAGCCTACTCATGTGATGTTTGGACGATTATCAAATATATCATTTGTTCATGTCTAATTGAACACATTGCCAGTACGACGTCTTCGAGCCAACAATATACGCATCATTATTTATCCACTGTTCTCGACACATACACGAATAAGAATATTAAGATCTCCTCGAAGCAAGATTCATGGGCATTGTTATCGTTACAGAATAACTGCGGACAAAATCTTGAATTGAAATTCGTCGAGCATATCAAACGCCAGTGGCAATTCAGCGTTGATTCATTTCAAATTAATCTCGAATCCTTACTGTACGAAAAGCACGGTAGTCAGCAGTCGAACCGTCAGTTATCGAACGGATACAAATGTCCATCGATCTCGTCAATAACCAAAACAATCAAAACGAAAAGTTTAGTTATCGATGCAATCAATGGCTTGACGATCATTAAGAAAGAATCCGACGAACAAGATGATTTGAACGAGACGAAATCGAATAATGAAAAAGTCAATCTACAGTTAACAAGTACAAGTCCGTTACAATTTGGATTCTTCACACCATCATCATCACCACCGGATACCATTGAAGAGGAAAGTAATCGAGAATTTCAAACGCTTGCAACAATTACAACAATCGCTACTTTGAATAATCATACTGGTAAGGAATAAGTTTCGATCTTTCTGAGTACGATGACAGTTACGTTCGTCTGTTATTTTTTGTTTTTATCTTAAGTGGATATGCGGCATAACAACCGCAAGTTTTCAAAGGTCAACATCAGCCTGTTGAAAACCCCCACTGGCATTGTTTTCTCTTTTATATTCTAATAATTAGGATTCTCTCTCAGCAAATATTAGCTCAGAAAGACTGTATATATTTTTTTTTATTCATGAAATTATTCACCTAAACCATCAGACATGACACAGGAAGTCTCTAATGAATGAAAACGTTGCTTAGAGCGTGTGTTTTGAAAGCTATTTTAAGATAATTAAACATATTCTATTAGAGGAAAAGTTATGAATATATTAATCTTAGTCGTTGACGGCTTTTTATTGATTACTTCGGATTTTCGTCATTTGAGTTTTTTTTAAATAACCGGGTACATGACTACATACTGCGCATGACTTACTATTATTAGTTGTTGACGGCAAGAAGGTTTTTTTCATGACACATAGATTTCAGTAGTATCCTAAAGCAAACTGACTGTCTAGTGACTTCTCAATAATAATGGGAGTATTGAAAAAGTAGGCGGTTCGCACTGAATGATGCTTTGATTAGTTTAACGGTTTTTTTACATGCAACTCGGAAATAAATGAAGACAAGTCATAATTTATCCGGTAGAGTCACATGTTTCGGAGAGTACTTCGATTTTATCAAATATATTCCGATAAACAACAAATAGACCCAGCTTGTTTTCATTTTAGCAACTCATGAATCTCGTTCACGCCTATCGAAATCATCCGTCTCAACACTGAATGATGATTCTATAGACTCCACACTACAATTTCATCTTTCGTTGAATGATGATATTGACGATGGTATCGTTTGTGATGCTGACGATTCAGCCAATGAAGATGACGATCAAGTCTTTCGTACACCAGTTGATGCCAACAGTACACCATCAAGTCCAGCAACGATTACTGCAACCGATATGCCATCATCATTGTCATCATCATCATCATCTTCTTCTGCCTCTTCATCTCACATCGAAGTCTATTCAGTCTACATAGATGTACATCAAGCACTCGATCATTTGTATAACAAACTAATTGCAACTATTGCACCAGAAACCATGCGTGGTGGAGGCCTGTTGGTACGTTATTTTCTTTGACAAAGAAACACCTTTGTAAATTTCTTTTTCCTTTCCATTAGAAATACTGTTATCTATTAGCACAAAACTATAAAGTGCACGATCAAGCAGATATGTTACGTATGCAGTTGTACATGTGCTCAAGATTTTTTATTGATTATAAAAGTATACCTGAACAAATCCATGTTATCACATTGTATGTTTCCACACATATTTTGTTGATACCAATTGCAAACTATGAACAGTCAATGAATTCTTCGACCCAACGTCGAACTCAAAATTCCAAATCATCCGAGGATCAAAACACAGTGGATAGTGTTCGCCTTTGTCTACTATTTTTCGATCATCTATCAACAGTTATCCGGCAGAGTACAGTATGCTTGACACATCACGATAAAGAAGCAACTCTAATGATGATCGAACAATTGAAACATTGTTACCATTACAATTATGAACATCTATTCGCTGGTGATACTTATCATCAACAACGGTATCATTCGTATCAGAATCACAACTATCATCATCAACATCGTCACGTGCAACATTGTTCCAGTTCATCATCGAATTCCAGTCGATCTGTAGGTACACACAATGTCATATTCTGATTATGTCTATGTTCTTTTAGTCATCACCGTCGAGTTCATCATCGAACTCGTACAAATTCTTTCGCCACAATAACAACCAGCGATATCAGAATTCTCATCATCGACATCATAATAATCAACGAACAGCAACTTCGTACCATCCTACGACTCGATCCTATTCCAATCAATTTCAATCGAATCAACTACCTCTAAGCAATCATTATCAACAACGTCGACATCAATTGTGATTCGAAGTAAAGTATTCTCATTGGATCTTGAAAATATCTTCCTGAATATTTTGTTTCAAAAGAGAATCTAATCTTGTTGTTTATTTTCTTTGTTTTCTTCCTTTTGTGAAACATTTGAGATAAATTCATCCAACCTGTTGTTCTGTTCAGCGAAATCCTCTGATATATATATATGTAAATGCATGTATAAAAGGAAAATCGAAAAAATAGACATAGTTAGTTTTTTTTTCGTTGTTCCATTCGAGATAAAGCCATGATCATGATATGTCTTCAAGACATTTCTCTATCATGAAAGTTAGAAAAAAAAACTTATAAAACTAAATGAAAGAAACATTCTTCCCTCCAAAAAAATTACATAAAGTTTTTCAAACAAAAAAAAATGTGATTACGTTTATTGTTCTTGTTCTCATCGTTTATTTGTTTCATCTTTTCTCTATTTTCTCTTTGTTTAACAGAACACCATCATTATTATTATGACGACCGTTTCTTTTTCTCTTCTTTGTCTTTTTCTTCGCTACTTATGAATTATTTTTATATCTATATACATCGCAAAGATCAGTGTCAATTTTTTTTTGTTTGTTGAACTCTTGACATTCCTCTATTAAACAAAGGCAAATACAATACCACTTTTAATGCGGTATTTTCTCTTGGAAAAAGCCTCGACAGTTTCGTTTCTATTCATATGTGTGTACTTCATGACGACCAGTGTTGTTGTTTCTTCTTAAATAGTATCGTTCCCTTCTACGTATTCTACGCCTGGTGATGATCCTCCTTTAACATATGACTTTCTTTGAAAAAAATCCTATATATTTTTCTCTTTTCTAAAACTATGATTTATGTCCTTCATTCTTTTTTTTTCTCTGTGTGTCTATGGCTCGGCTTTTTTTCACGTTGGTGTATGATATATCATGTTCACTCATTCGTTTTCTCCTCTCTCTCTCTCTCTTCTTGTGTGTGATTTGTCGTTCTTGATGATACAGTTTTTTGCTTATACGTGTGAAAAAAAGGAGCGATTAAAACATGGACAGACAGAAATTTGAACTCTCGTTGATAGTTTCGAAGGCAAGTGTATAGATGAATCATGGGCACTTGAAATCTTCTCGTATGCTTGACGACGTCATACAAGTTTGAATACCTCATAAAACCGTGTACCCATACAGATGTGTTAGTTCGAAAGAGTAGGAGAAAATACGTTCGGCCATGAAGCGCAAGTGAATCCATTCTTCGACATTGACAATATGTAATAGATCATTGTCATTTCAAAATGGTCTCTTTCTAGTGCAAAAAGAAAAAGAAGAAGTAGAAGAAAGGTCGAATAGAAGAAAACAATTTGTATTGATAAAAAACTTTTGTTGACAAGAGACAAAATGGCACATATCCATTAGAAATCAATTTTGACATGTTTGAAAGTCTATTCTATTGCTTTTATCGATGAATGGATCGATCAACAACATGTGTCAAGAGTCAAACAAAGACACATTACGCCTGCATACAATAGAAAAATGCATCGATTTCATCGGACACGCATACATTACTATACGCATTAGTAAACGTACGTTAAAGATCATCACTCTTCTTTAATGTGCTCGCATCAGCCGTCAGCTGTTGCAGGTTTTTCTTCTTTATTTTGGCTGCACATTGTTGAATCATATGGAAATTCTTTCGTGTATCTGTGTATTTATGCCGAGAACGTGATTCGCATGACGATCATTCCATGTTTTTTGTGTTGCGGATGTTTCATGATCATCCGGGAAATGATCAAGATAAAGTAAGTGTTTAATGTTTTGAGGTGGTCGACGTAAATGATAGTAGCGTCGTCTGCGTTTCTGATTGTGAAATAACGACAAACCGGAACAAACCATTCGATAATTAGAAGTTCTTGTACATTGAATTTTCATTTTTGATGTCGAATATGATACGCTGGATGATGCTGACGATGTCGCTGAGTTCCAGGAGTATGTTCGCATAAATTTATAGGCTTCGGGAGACGACTTTTCTAGTTGTTTTATACTATTGTTCGAGTATATACGATTACGTTGTTGTATATGAATCGACGCTCGATGATGAGCGATAGCAGCTGCGATGAGGTCTTCTTCATTTCGACCAAGCAATGCCGATATACCAGCTGTACCATTTTCCGAATGAAATTGAGCTAGACGAAGTACTAAGAGATTCAATGACGAAGCCATTATTGCTAAACCGAATAGAATGAACGAAACAGTGAATATAAAATAACCCCAACGCGAGTAAAGTGATTGGCCTGTACGTTGCATATTGGCCAATGGAACAAAATCACCAAATCCTGAACGTAGAAAACATAACTTCGATATGTAAAAACATACCAGTAGAAATAATATGTCTTACCAATTGTCCAAAAAGTAACGAACGAATAGTAGATCGATTCGAAATACGTCCACTTTTCTTGTTTACAAAATATAAATGAGCCACCGAGTATCAGCATCGTTGTCATACCAAATTCTACAGCAATTAGCTCGAAACTCGAAACTTTATGGCGACGAAGACGTAATAAATGTTTTATACGAGACAATATAAATGAAATAATAGCATTCAAACGTTCACCGACAGATTGAAACATGATTAAATTCAAGGGTCTACAAGAAAACAACAGTCTCAATTGATTCAGGTTTTTTCTCGTTTCGAAAGGTATTTACACGCCAGCTACTGTATAAACCATACAAAAAATCTTTCCACCAACTAAAGAACAAGGACTCATTGATATTTTCACAAATGGATTCAAACTCAAACGTACTTGTTTTTGGAGTTGTATGTCCATAACCTAAGAAGATCAAATCAGGTGAATCGATGCGAGTTTCAAAGTTAAACTCACCAATCAAAGTGACAACTAGGGTTGAAAAATAGAAAGCACCAGGAAACGTCCATTGTTTTGCTGTACCCGTACGCACATGTCGATGCTCGAAGATCGTTGTTGTCAAAATATGAAAGAGTGTTTCATTTTGAATGGTATCGTTTTTGTACAAGATACGAGCCATTCTAGTGCGGAGAACATTACGAATACGCGCTTCTTCTTTTGATTCCACTAAAATATAGAGTCAGTTTCAATGATAAGAAACAAAAGCAAAAGAAATGAACTTACAAGCATCAAATACAGCTGCACCGAACATTAAATAAGCGAGCACAATGAACATCAGTGCAAATGTGCGTATGTTTTGCGTACCGAAAATCATTCGATAAGTGAATGGCTGCTAGAAAGCCAAGAATAAACCGACTTGAACCGTCAAGACATTCAGTAGAATATCAACGTAATAATTATCGAATACTTTTATTTATTGAAACTATAATAAGACTAATGCTATAATAAATCTCAAGTTCAAGTAGGATTTCTAGAAAAACAAACTACTTGTTACTTTCTCTCTCATTTTTTTTTCAAAAGAACTTCACTCTTTTGTATACAGATATATATATATGTGTGTGCCTGTCTATTTTTTCAAATAATGAAAAGAGCTATTCTACTCGTTCGTCATCAACTGGCACAGAAGCCGAACAGTCACACATAGAGAACAGAAGAATAAAAAGAAAGACGACAGGAAAAATATGATAGAGAAGACGCAATGCATCTTCCGTTAGTTACTTCTATTGGTAACGACAATGATATATATCTATGAAAAAATATGGAGAGCACTGCTCTCCCTTCTTTCTCTCTCTCTTTTCGGCACGCTCCCTCTTGTTAATATTAGGAGAAGTGATGCAGAGCTTTTTGTATATTTATGCTGGTGTTTACGGTGTTCTAATTACATGATAAATAACATTCTTTTTTACGTCAATTTATCCTGTTAGTTCTTTAAACATATATTCTTCTTTAGGCTGGTCTTCTCTTAATCGAATGCAGGGTAATCAACCATAAAATATGCTAAATGTTTGTCTGTTTATGTACAAATACGAATATCCTCGGCACGTTCTGTATGGTCATCGTTTAGTAGATAAAAGAAGAAATGATTTTATAACATCATCCAAATGAAATCATGCAGAATAATAAATTTAAAAAAGTACTACGCACATAATGTCAATTTATTATGCGTAATAGTAGATGAACACGTAGAAAAGCTTTTAAAACTAATTCTTTACAGATAAACTGGGATAAAGGACTCCGCTTTGCTAAAAAAAAGAGATAGTAAATGATTAACAATACTTTGTTCTCTGTTATAAAAAGAAGAAAGAGATGGACTAGATTTTTTTTGTCAAATGCATCTTTTCGTATTCCGAAAGGAAAATTTGACTTCTGCTTCTAATTAAATTATTCAATACGGTACAATAAAGTGTTACAACGTACTTTAACTAATAAGATTTTGTTTCAAAAACGAGATCAAATAAAAAAAATAAGAGGATTAACATGCCTTAATGTAATCACCGTCGAACAAGTCATGAGGGGAATCGATACGTTGGTTCATTGAATCTTCAGGAAAGAATTTCTCATCATCTTCTAATAGCGACGCGCTTGGTAGCTTGTATATCTCAGAAAACTCATCGGCAATTGACTTGCACAAAAACACGTCGGACTTCTCCACAGACAATCAGTTTTTCTCATAATGTCTCTTTCCACCTACTCTGATCTTCAGTTCTATTTTTGAACGTCATTCGAGCTATGACATCATCGGTGGCTTTTCAAAAATAGATCTTTTTAATCCGTTCTTCTCTTCTAATTGAAAGAATCCGTCATACTTAATCGTATATATTGTCTACATGATTATGTCTATTACCAGAAAACAAAATGAACCGCGAAAACTTATTTGTATACAAATATGTACAGACAAATGTTGAGAATAACTCTGCTAGATGACATTTCCAGGCCTTTCCTTTGCTTTGTATGATGAAAGAATAAACATTCGATTGGCTGGACTAAATATTCGATGATAATAATAACAATATTGATTATTGATCTGTTTTTCTTTGGCGCCTATATTAACATATCTAATTTTTCATATAAAACAACCCCGAAAGCTTCGTTCTATCATCTTTTCTGTTTTTCTGTTCGTCAGTGTAATGCATCTAACAACAGGAACGAATTCACTCAATAAGAAACAAGCGAATGCTAATCTAAAGCGTTCACGGTCGATGAATATGCACAATATACCATCGAAATATTTCAAACCAACAATCAAAATCAATGCTCACGAGTATTTTTCTCAAGAACGGCCATTTGCAAATGTAAAAATCAATTTTCAACAACAGATTATCTGGTGCGATAAAGCATTATTAGCAGCTGCTTCACCGATTCTTTGTGAACAACTTTTGAAGTTGCCTCCGAAAGATGAATATTTAACATTGAATGACATTCAACTCGATGAATTTCTTCTACTACTCGAGTTTATCTACCCGTTATTTAATCCGGAAATCAATGAGCAGAATATTTCAACGTTAATTAAACTTTCGCATCGATTTCAATTCGGTTCGAGGAAATTTCGTTTTTCAAAACGTCTTCACTGTTTTGGAAAATTTTAGTTGTCCTCAAACAAGCATGTCAATTGTATGTTATGAAGTATTTGAATACGATCCGATACGTATTCAACAAATGTCAAAAGTCCGAAGCGGAAGGAGAGAGCTTCGTTAATAATCATATCGACGAGAATACTAATGAAAATGATAGTCTTAAAAAACACGATCTCATGTAAGTCATCTCGAACTTTTAATTTTGATCTATAAATTCAACTAAATCTAGTGAGTTTGATGATGGCACGTGTATTGACGCGTATAATATCGTATTGAATCTATGCCGATGGCTGAAAGTATATTTTTATGAGAATAATTTTAATATTTCGCAATCAAGTAAACATTAAATGGTGGCTTTTGTTGATGATAATTTGTATCTTGTAGTTGTTTCTATTCTCCGGCAAATTTCAATTGAAAATCTTAACCGAATAATGAACATGGTTGCCATTAATGATGAGATCAAAGTCTACGCTTTCAAGGAGCGAGCGGAATATTTAGAAAATCTTCATCAAATGAAACATGTTGCATGACAATCTGTTTCACTCAAATTTCATTAACCAGATGACATTATCGATCGTCGTCATCTCTCTCAGTCAATAGTTCAATCAGATTTGCTCATATAAAGTCAACGAGAATTCATTGATGAAATAAATATTCTAATGAGGAGGAAAAAAGGACACCGTAGTCTTTCTCATATAAGAATAAAGTCATGTATCACATATTCTTTTCCATTTCCGGTCTGATTTTCCTGCCGATGTGGTTCATGAGTACATGACGAAACATATTTTATGATGTCCTGAGTATTAAAAGAATATACATTTTAGTTTATTGGTATATTTACAGCAAAAAAAGAAGAGAATAGAGAAATGATCTCATGGAAATTCTGTATAAGGATCGTCACTTACTGTTGGCGAATAACTTCGTTTAAAACAAATTTTGTATTGACAAGTCCATAATGAAACCATGTCATTAGAGATTTTATCACAAAAGGATAAATCAAGAAATTCCAAATCTTTACAAGATTTCAAGACGTTTTCAACACTTGTTTCAGTAATTATACTTGATCCAAGTAGATCAAGTTGACGCAGTCGAGCACAATGTTCACTAATAGCATCAATATCTTCGTTATTCACACCTAGAGGTTTTTGAAAAAAAAGAAGAAGAATTAAAGATATATGTAAGACTTTCATCATGTTGCACTCTACTGAGCTATTAGCTAATCGAACGATACTTAGTCTTTCCCTTAGAAGCTGTCAATCAACGGGTGAGATCCTCTCTGTACTTAACTGTAGACAGAATTGAACTTACATCGGCAAGCAGTGAGAAAGAGTTTGATCAGCGACTGTCCCACTTGCTGCACGAAGCTCTTAATAAAACCTGCTGGTGGATCCGTCCAACCCAAATCAACTTCCGACAGATATTTCATATGCGTTATTGAGCTAATATCCTTCGGCATATTGACACTCGAGTAGAGAAGTGCCAATTCTTCTTGTTCATCTTTGGAAAAATTCAATATTCGTCGTTTCTCTTCGCTGAGATCAAATTGTAGACCGATCACTGAGCAGAAACTATTTTGGCTTAAGCCTTGGATACGCCAGAGGTCAATCGTGCGAAGATTCAAACAGCGCGCAAATAATAATTTGACGATGCCGGCAGTATCACTCAGTTTTTGACAGCTACCTGAAAATACATTCTTGGGATTGACAGCAAAGAAATCTTTAACAAAGAAATCTTACCTAGATTAATATTTTCTAAGGATTTTTTATTATTTTCAATCAAGGGTAATAGAGTTCGATAATCAATATTTGTTCGATAAACATTTAATATCCGGAGATGTTGAAGATATTTCAGTGGAATGAAATCTAAGTGATTTAATGAAATACAATTCTCTAAGTTGAGAATTTCAATATGTGTACAATAATTGACGATGATTTTTATATATTGTCCAGTCAAGTACTGACAACAGGCAAGATTAAGTTGAACTAGATTAGCCGAGCAAATATTTAACAATTGATTGAATGATGAACATTGTATTGATTTAGTCCATGCTAATGAGAGATGTCGAGTTTGAGAGCAGTATTGCCGGAAGAAGTTTTCTATGGAATAATTTGTTATTCCATTCCAGTAAGGTTGTAGATTAACTGATTGAAATTGTAGAGGATGGAGGCACCGAGTACGCAGAACACGGCATGTTGATGAGAGATAAATCAATGAACGCATATCCAGGTAATAACAGATGATGAAAAGAACATCAAATGGAAGCTTTAGTAAATCACTAGAAGTGTTCATTTCGTTCGTGTGTTCATCGAGAGGAATCTACGAAGAAATCTTCGCTTGAAATGAATTTCCCTTTGATGTAAAACTTACTAATGAAGACAACGACGTTGATTCGATGTTGCTGAGACTGCTCGAATCAGAAGGAGACGTTCTTCCGTAAAGAATAACAGTATCGATTTCTGAATAGTAATTCACAGTACTATGATCGAATTGTAAACGAATAAATCGTGTTGGAAACGAAAATTTGTTTTTCAACGAAATCTTTACTATTCGTGGTATGCGAGAAGCAGGTGGACATGTATGATGCGTATAAACACCAGATATATGTTTCACATTAGTCGAGTTATTCGGTGGAACATGATTCGGAAATAAATCATCAAATATTTGTCGACCTGAAAAAAAGTATCGTGACATTCGAGTTTTTTTTATGAATGATCTTACCATCTTCAATGAGCATTTCCTCATCGCCATACAAAATTATGCTAAATGGTTCTGGAAATGTCCATACTCTATGCCATGTTAGATTTCCATCGTCTTCCTCTTGTCCAACGTAGACGACATCGAGTGTTCCTGGATTATATGTTTCATAGATACATAAATGTAGACATTCATAGACAAGATCATGATATTCAATTTCGATGAAATCCCGACTAGTAAAATTATATTCCCAGCGAGAAAAACTTTTTATTGTTTCTTTATATGACGGCATTGTTATCCACCATGGTCCATAGGTACGAAATGCCAGTGCATGCGACGAATCGCCATATAATGGATAGATCTCTGCGTGCGAACAAATATTTGTCACAACATAACTATCACTTCGATTTGATCCATACTGAGACGAAAAATCTCGAATAGCTATCGGAATTTGTTCCACTATTCTATGAATTGTCTTCGATAAGATTTTCGATACAACATGATCATTATTCGCATTAGTCTCTTGATTTAATCTGAGAACATTTATCAATTGATTACGTATTAAATACAATGCAGTACATGTTAACATCATGTTGTGTGCAGATCTAGATCTATATTAATTAAAAGAAAACAAATGAAGTTGAATATTTCACCTTCGTTAAATTAAGTTGGCCTTCTCGGGGGCGTTAATAGATTTTTCTCTCTCTTTCTCCGTATGTGTCATAGATAGGAAAAGATGAGCAATCTGTCTGATGTGTATATTATTCACATACCTATTATGAAAAGAAAAAAATAACAAAAAAAAACAGTGCGGGGACATCAATATATTCGATGTCTGTACGAAATTACTGGAGAAAATGAGGAAGAAAGAAAAGAAAAAAATCATTGATGTGTTTACTCATGTATACACTAAGGTATAAATAACTTTTTCATAGACATTGATGATATTAGTAAAATTTTCTAACGAATGGCAACTAGCGAATCTAATGATGAGAGTCTTGTAGAAAGAGATGAGATTCTCTTTCCGAAATCGGACGTAGTCGATGCCGAACCATTTTATGATAATTTTAGTGCAATTCAAAACAATCTACGAAGACAAGCCCAAAACGTAAGTGAGAACTTTGTACTTATTTTCGTACTGATAATCAAACCATCAATCAATATTTCAACGGATTAGATCGATATGACGTTATATGTTTAGGTTACTCATCAACGCAGTCATTCAAGCGATGATCAGTATCGGGCAGTTCGTGCTCAAGTGAATTCTCCTTCTGCGCGGCATGCACATTCCAGCGAACAACTAAATGGCATTTCCCAATATTCCCGAAATACTTATCAAACTCCCATTAGCATAGAATCAAAGAAGACTGATGGGTATATATTCAATTTAACCCAAATCGTCGAAGATGTCGGATGTCAGATTAATAGTCCATACATCCGTTCATCGCCAGAGTCGAACACGAAAAATGTTAGTGCATTGTTAAATATTGTTCTAAAGATGGGTGGAGCTCATGGGCCACTTGTTAAATCATGGCGTTCGCGTCTCACTGACGATGATTTTCAAAGATGGTATCTAGAAAAATATCACCAACGTTCTGCATCATTGAATCAATATGGTACAAATGAAAGAACGTCGCAAAATACAGGAGCTCGTGATTATCAAACAAATTTACTCATCGGTAATAAATCACAACCGATAAATCCCGCGACGAACGGTAATAAGTATGAAAACGTTATACAAAAAATGTATGGCTATGATGACGAAGAAGATGACTTCGATGCAGATGCAACAACAGCCAGTTCAATATCAAGTCGGTCATCAGGCGGCACAGGACCAAATCCTTATTCCGAACAACGTGCAACGTCGTCGATCACATCTATTTTGAAACGAAACAACAACATTAACGATAATCGCAGTCATAATTCATCTGCTAAAAATCGTGTGAAAATCGTTGATCATCGTTCTTCAGACGAGTCCGATCATTCAGGCACATTGAAGGATGTTTTGCCTAACAATAGCGGTGGTCTATCATCCTATCAACATTATCAAAACATTGATCCGAACGAGCAATACTATGAAAATATTCAATCGAATCCTCAACATCAGCAAACTGCTCAATCGAATTTCCAACAATATGAAAATGTTCAACTAAATTACCAACAATACTTAAATAGTCAACCAAATTTTCAACAATACGAAAATCCTCAAGCAAACTATCAATCATACGATAACATTCAATCGAATTTCCAACAGTATGAAAATGCTCAACCGAATTATCAACAATACCAAACCAATCAATCGAATTATCAACAGTATCAAAGTCTACCATCTCCATATCAACCAGTCCCACCGATTCTATCATCGCCTTATCAACAAGTTCAAGAAATGCAATCACAATCGCACATCAATATCGAGAATAATGATAGTAATACGAATCCAATGCTTTCCGATTATCAGCAGGTCTTACAAACACATTCGGATGTACATATCGATCCAAATCCTGAAATAGTAACTCAGCCAAATCCAGAACAGCCGATAACTTATGAACAAAACATATCAGTTCGATATCTTGTTCCACCAACTCCTCCACCACCAGGCCCTTTGATTATTCGAGGTACGAAGGGTGTTCATCTTCAAAACAAATCTATTTATTCTTTTTTTGTAGAAATTCTTCCTGCACGTAAACCAACACCTCCTCCATTGATCGTCAAAGTTCAAGATCCATCACCACCAACTCCTCCCCCGCTAATCCTACGAGAAGCTCCACCAGTACCTCCGCCTCGTCAAGAAGCAACAGTTGTCACTAAAATACTTTCACCAGAACCTCCGCCACAAAGACGTGTCATAATCGAGCGTAGTCCACCGGTAAATCACGATTATGTTCCCCCTTCTGATCATGATCATACGATTATTGTTATATCTTTTGCTAGTTACCACCTAAACCTCAATCGATCATTATCGAAAAATGGTTACCTTACAAACCAGTGCCACCACGTGAAGTGATCATCGAACGTGTTACCGAAAACCCGGTTATGACTGAATTCGAACCAGGTGCTTACATTCAAGAACGACAACGACGTCATTCGGCAGAATTTCATACCGATGCAGTACGTATTCCCATACCAGTTCAAATTCAACGGCAAAGGTCTGTTGATCAACTCAATACTGAGCAAATAGCACAGCAACCATCGGGAACATTCGATGAACTGGTTTGGTCAACACAACAACAAATCTTGGCCATGCAACAGCGAGGCCGAGAGCAAGTTCAAGCGACACGCCGATGGGCAGCAAATCAGTGGCAACAACATACAAACATGTTTACACCATTTCCAACTCAATTAACAACACCTACATTAGTTGTTTGCCATCAACCTGTGACAACAAATATTACAGAATATGTACAAAAACAAGAATACCGAGAACAACAAATACATTACAACCCAACTTATATTTATCCTTACAATTAGTTTCGATCATTAATACTACCTTACTATTTTCCTTTTTTTTTTGTACATGAATATATTCAAACGATATTTTACTATTTTTATAATAAACATAAATAAAACATAGACTTCTCTAACGCGTGATATTTCTAATTTCGAACTCACTTATAAATTTAGAATAAAAGATTTATGTAAAATCTAATACATACGGATAGTCTATCACTTGACTTGAACATCTTCATTCATTTAGTAATCACCGTACCATACATACATGCATGCGTATATGACATGTCGTGCAGAAGAATCCCATTGGTCTAGAATTTCGTCCAATCTCGTACTATAAATAATATTATTATACACACGTGCTTATTTTTTCATCTATCAGTATATGCGACATATATATCATGCTGAAACTAATCAATGATTGTTTCCTTTGAACAGATAGCACATATATGCATTAGAATCCGACGAAACTCATGCTTAGTTCAATTTTCAGAGACTGTGGGTAGTTAGCGATAGTTTTGTTGTTTTCTTTTTATTTATAGATGGAACAAATTTCAGTCTCCGAGTTAAAAGATGAACTCAGTGAAATCGATGTCGACAGTATTAAATTAGATGCTGTTATTCAATTGAAAACATGGCAAAAGAAAATGCATTCATTAATTAATAAGACATACGCAAATCGTATGCATGAAATTGATTCGATGGTATCGAACACTGCGAATGAAGTCAAAGAAAAACAAAATCAACTCAGACATTGCCAGAAAAATGATCGTGATACACTTATTCAATTAAAAACCGATATTGATTTATTAAAATCAAGTATAGTTATTATCGAATCAATTCCGGATAATTTCGAACAGCGAATCGAACGTACCGTTCGTGTATGTATACGTAATGAAGATGCTGATATGGATGATGTTTTTATTGACGAAGAAGAAGACGATGATGATGAACCTGTTATCGTAGATATCGATCGACACGAAACGCGGTCTGGAGACAAAATTCTTGTTGTTGCCGCTGCACCCACGCCCACATCTACTCGAGAAGGAACAGTTTCGAGAATCTTCAATTCTCGACCAGTACAAAATGCCATTGCAACCGGTATCACCAGAACTTTGGTTAATGTCGGTACAATCGCTGCCACGAGTACGACCACAGTGGCTGCAACAACAATGGCTAAAACAGCATTGATTGCTACAGCTTGTGGCGTTGGAACAGTGGCATACGGTGTGGGAAGGATTGCAATGGGAACAACAAGAAAAGTTTGGTCACTGGTCATGTCATCGGATGATTAAAATATGCACTCATCTCCTCGTATACTTTTCTGTATATTTTGTATTCTTTTTTTTTCTGATTGAATATGTCGTTTGATATATCATTAACCCAGAGTACTCTAATTTTGCTTGCGTTAATCTTGTACTGTACTTTCGCCTGTTTTTGTAGATTGTCATGGCTGAAGCAGGTGATCACATCCAACCAATTATCGATACCAACACAAAAAATGTCAATATCGAAGTAGCAGGTACAGATTCATTGTTTTAAACACAAGTTTTAGAAATTGTTATTGACTTAAGCGCGTGAACCGTGGCCTTTGAACGCTTTTCTATATGTTCCATTGAAAGAACAAATGATCCTCTGGGCACCTGAATGTTTGACAACACTGTGTTTGCTACGTAAAGTACGCGTTCCATCGTTAACTATCGAACACGTTCGAAACGCAGCGGAAATGTCGAATTATGGTAAATGTCTCTTTTCAATCAATCGTTACACAACTGTCTTTTGTATTTAGGAAGTCCACCCGTCCTAGCCTTGAACAACCGAGCATTCAGTGAATTCGATGAGATTGCTAATCTGATCGAGCTTAAAGTAAGTGAAAATGTGTTTCTCTATGGAAAAGAATACTTTGATTTGACTGTGACCAAACAGGGATTGTTACCGATTACTGATGGACAAAATTCCACAGTTGATAGTTATTCAATCTTATGCACTGAAACACTTGGCTCATTGATAGTTTGTCTAATAAAATTTAAGTTTTGTTTTTCAACTTTTGATCCATATATTTATAGAAATATTTTCTACTCTGCGAAAAAGCTGGAATAGTAAGAAAGACAATGACTAAATTGAGACACAATGCTTGGCATTCCATTGCTTTGCATAGACTGTGTATCAATCGTTTACATCCGTATATCCTTGGCCACTTGGTTTCATTCTCTATTTAATCTATCGAAAACAGACAATTAAAACATTGCAAGTCAAAGAAATCTGGTCTTTGTCTTACGAACAAGTAATGAATTAGATTAGTAAACATATCACAAACGAATTTGAAAGCATTTTTTTCTACAGGCATTAAATAAATTCGAAATAACGGTTAAAGCACTGTCAGATAAGATTCAGCAGAATAATTCAAATTATCTTCTCGGTGACAAGTAACAATTCAATGAACTAAAGGATCATTTTCCATGATATTTCTTTCTAGTTTTACGAAAGCCGATGCTCATCTCTATGGTCATTTGTATCCTATACTTCATTCGAGAGTGACTGAATATGAAGCTTTACGAAATGCGCTTCACAAATTGCAACCATTGGTGAACTACGTGAATAACTTAGAAAAAGATGTTCACGGACTAACTGTCTTAGTTTCATGAAAAACTCTTCTTCAATAATTAGGTTCTTGTTTGCTTTTTGACATAGTCCCATTTAGTTGTATGAACACTTCTTTCTTTTATAGAATCTAGTTCAATAAACTTCATATTTTTCTTTTGCTATTTTAAGAAAATATACGTCTGAACAAGAATCGTCCTTTTTACCAAATACTCTTCAATTGCTTTGAAAAAACCGAAAACGCTCAGCTCGAAATAAATCAATCAAGATTACAAATCCTCACAGTCGAAATCGCCATTATGCGCTTCGATAAGACGGAATGTTCTTTGTGAGTGAGCGTCAATTTGAATGGTGTTTCTTTTGTCATACACTATGACAGGAAAACATGTTTCGACTATGAGCTTCACATATTAATAAAAAAAATTACGCAACGTACAAAAAATGTGCACGTTACAGTTATGGCTAAAGAAGATCAGATTATAAAATCTTTGATTCACATGAAACTCTACTAGAAAAAGCAAAAATTTGTTTTCACTACAGCACACATATATGATCACACCACACTTCGGAAACTGCAACTGAAATCGTTTTCCATGAAATAACGTAGTTGATTCCTGGCGACATCTACGACAAACAATTATTTGCCATTGGATCTTGTCCTAATTATATTTTGGTCAAATAAACAAAGTAAATATAAATACGACAAAATTCTGCATTGTTGAGACGAAGAAAAATATCGATTTAACCCGATTCTTTTTCTTATTTTGATTCGGTTCTATTCCTTTTCATTTTGATTTCGTTCTCGATAGTAAAGACATACACATCTTTCTTCGCTAAAGATAAAACCGATGGCTTTTGACGATCCATTTAACAGTAACAATGTGCCAACGGAAGATGGAACATCGAATAATTTCTATAATTTCAACGATGAAGATCCGGCTGCGGAATTTCTCGAACGAGAAAAACGTGAATTAGCCGACATAACAGGTGATAATGATTTGAATTCCTTCGATGATTCCTTCGATGCCAAAGCAAACCATAACGATCTGATAACGAATGGTATTGATGAATAGTTTTCTCTGAGAAGAAAATTTCAGTCGAATCTTTTTCTTAAGGTACACATTCGCCAGATTTCAATGGTAATGGTTCTCAATCGCCCATTCCAACAAATCAAAATGGTAATCAATATCAAGCGTTATCGCAATTGAATGAACCTGAAACGATCCAAAAATGGCGAGAAGAATTCTCCATGCGCATAAATAAAAAAGATACGGAAGAGGAAACAAAGCGTCATGAAATGCGCGAAGAAGCAAAAAAAGAATTAGATGATTTTTATAAACAACGTGTCGAACAAATGGAACGTGTCAAAGGACAGAATCGTTTGAACAATCGTACTCTAGAAGATGAAATCTTCAAAAATGGAGATAATTCTATCTCCAATGGCAAACTAAATGATTGGGATAAAATCACAAGTTTATGCGAATTCAATCCCAAAAATAATCGCTCACAAAAAGATCTAACTAGATACCGAAGTGTTTTACTTCAATTAAAACAGCAGCAAACAACAGCAAAATAATCACTTCGCTTGCCTTTTCTAAACTAATTTTACAAATGATTATTATCAACATCCTCTAGTTCGATTCTACAAACAATTTGGCTTTAATGCATTGTCTGAGTTTAATCTTATTTTTTACTTCTTCATTCCATTTGAAATAATTAAACCTGACACATCCGATCTGATTTATTTAGTATCATCTGGCAATATCTTGTTTCTGTTCATTTCTCTTCATCATTTTGATGTACACTCATCTAGAAACTTGTCTTTTTCTTTCTCTGATCTGATTTTCTTCTTCTTACACACGTACACACCTCTAGTGGTTTCTCGATTTTTCCTCTTGTTGTTCGTTACGTTACCATTGTTGTTACACCATTTTCTATAACCGGCCAAAAACCGATCGATGTGTTCGCAATGTTTCATCATTTTTTGCTCTCTCTTGCAATATAACACCAACCAAACAATTCTGCATTGAATCTTTTAGATATTCCATCGTAATGAGTGTCACAAACCTAGTTCGATATCAGTCGATGATATCAAGATTGAGCTATTTAACAACAAGATCTCTGCTAAATATCGAATCAATCAATTGTATGTAAAATAGTATTGAATAACTACTCCGTAGAACTATCTTGTTTGGAAATTAGGTGATGCCCGACGACATGCTGGTCATGCTCATTGGCAAAATATTGCAAAGACCAAGTCAGCGAATGACCAAATGAAAGGACGTGTGATAGGAAAATTAGCTACTAAAATTGTCACCGCTATTCGACGTACGTACCTCAGCAATAGACGTCTGATCATGGTTTTTTTACTGTCATTCTTGATTTCCTAGGAGAATTGGATCAGAACAGATTTATGAATAGTTAGCTAAGAAGAATCAGAGAGAAAAGAAATGAAGTCTATAACCGATCGATGAAAGTCTATATTATAATTCACTTTTAGAAAATGGTAATGTTACCGATCCACAATACAATGCAGTTTTACGTGCAACATTAGAAGAGTGTCGTCGGAATAATATGCCGAAAGAAACTATTGATAGATCAATCAAACGAGCCGTATGATTCGCATATCATATTCTCATGGTAATGGAAAATCATCGAAGTTTTCTTGTAGATTGCTCAAAAAGACAATACAAAACAAGCTCTCTTTGAATTCGTTGGACCTGGTCGTGTATTTTGTCTGATTGAAGTAATGACCGATAACCAGAAACGCACATTGAATTATCTTAACAAGAACGCTGCTAAAATTGGGTGAACATTCTTCATTGTTCTTCGAAAGAGAAACCATCGTCAATTTATTTTATTTTCAGAATCCCTGAGGTAGCCAAAGGTGGACAGATAGCTGAATTTTTCGATCAACGAGGTTATGCATGTATTGAAAAAGCCAATGTTACAGAAGACAAAGCTACTGAACTAGCAATTGAAATCAATGCCGAAGAAGTTGTTGAATCCCTCGATGATGACGGTGTACGAGAAGTATGGAAGGTGAGTTCATAGTTCAAATTTTAATTATACACTATTGTTCGTTTAATTTTAGTTTCTTGGTCCGCCAGCATTTTATGGACAAATGAAAGTGAATTTAACTCAACGCGGTTATAATGTCACGTCGGATGGTTCAGAATTCCTTCCTAAAGTGACTGTACCGTTAAACGAACGCGATAAAGCAGTACTGAAACAAATCATAGCTATGTTTGAAGACTTAGAACAAGTAGAAGGTGTTCATACAAATGCCGCATGAAAAGAATTTCAATAAAATAAACGTGTTTTCTGTTTTGAGAAAGATAAACAAAAACAAGTTCAAATTCATCACTTTTGACAAGTGTTATTATGCGTATAGTGTCTTTTCAAAAAGGCTTTTCTCATTGAATTGCATGCATCAGAAGAGACGAAGATGACAGGCGGATTTAACTAAATCAAACTTTATTCAGATAGATGTATGAATATTTACAAGGACTTAAAGGTGCCTATTCAAACGAAATTTACTCGTATCTGCCCCATCATTTGAAGACGATGTAATAGAAATTTCTGTTAATTCAGCAATACAATGCTGTTCATCATCACATTGACGTTTTGGATTAACACGATTGTTCCGAACAAACGAATAGATAGCCGAAGCTGTTTTGTGATTATTTTTCGAACTCGAACTAATCATTTCAGTACTGCTCGTCATATTCGAACGAATTGTGGACTTTTGATCAATATAATCCGCAACAGTCGCTCGAAATAATGCGATGATGTTTTCCGGTGTTAACGCTTTCGTTTGTGCACGTATATGACGACGAAATTGATTGATAATCAACGTACAATCTTCAGGTAGAACATTCCGTATCAATGCACTTAGTTCTATTTTGAGAATATCAGGTAAGTGATAGGTTTCATTCGTTGGTTGTAGAAGATTATTGCTTGGTCTTAACCATGAATAATCTACTGACGAATGTCGCTTTGCTGGCATTACAGTTAACGAGGAACTTGATGTTGACAAGAATCCACCACTTGAGGAACTGTTTAACGTTTGAGTATTTCGTAAACTTGAGTTAAGACAATTTTGACATTGACTTTCTAATTCATCTAACAAAGTTTCGACAATGGAGCTTTTTTCTGCATAAGTCGACGAAACCGAATATGCATCATTCGATCCAGAATAACGACGAAATAGATTACTAAATGCCATTGAGCAGAAATGAAGAAACGACTAATCGTTCGAGGAATTATGTTGGAAAAGATACAAGAATTAACATCAACGTAAGTTTCTTTCTACTTGAACTTTTTCTCTTTTTTTTTCTCTTCTTAATGTAAGCCGAGGAAAGTTTGTTGGAGAACCGATGAACGAAGGATGTTGAGAGAAAGGAAAAGGAAAAGCGAAGTAAATAATTGTGAGAAGAAGACGATGAAGTCATATCAAACGAGAATCTTCTGCACGAAGAAAAAAAACAGAATTGACTAAACACTATCTTAGATGAACGTCATGAGATTAGATGATGACGTACATCGATATCGAGTTCGCCGTTTTTTCTTCTGATTAACGTTTCTTTTGTAGGTGGTAATATACAAGCAAGGAAATCATGTGGATGGAAGCATAATTTGACATTGTTAACGTTCGCCTGGCTTGTTCATTTGTCACTTATCAAATGCTATCTTTTTTCTTTTCTATTTATAGACCTGACCGAGATAAACATTCTGTTTTTTAGTCCGAAAAAAGAAAACTCCTAATGAGAAACGATCAACAATGGATCTATTCAATTGAAGAACAGTTTCAAATGAAAGACAAATTCTACGAGATAATGGAAACATTTGTTCGTCCGAATGAAAAAATTAGATCCTTGCACTTTTTGGCCAAAATAGAATTTTCTGTGACATTTAGAATTCTTTTATTTTAGTATATTTCATTCACTGATTATAATATTCTTATCGAAACACAGACAGAGGTTATTTTTAGCAAATTTGATTTAAAAATTAATGTTAAAATTCTTAAAATAAAGATTCCTTTCGTCAACTCAAATGTCGTTTTATTCAGGAGTACTAAGTTTTCACCTATGACGTCATATGTTCGAACAGAGTACATCTTGCTCTAAATAATCCAGTCGGATTTAGTAAATCATGTTCTGTTCCATCTAATTACACAATTTCCTAACTAGAGATGTTCGTTACGTGCTAATGTTAGATATGAAAAGAAAAGACCGTATATATATATATATATATATATATATTAAATAATGTCGACCTGAACTTTTTGCTTGTTTAACTTTAGTATTTTACTATGAGGATATTGGATTTCACTCCATCATTTCCTGCTGTGAATAGAAAGCGAATTTAAGTGTTAAAAATAAATATTTTCGCAAATGCATTATAAAGATGAGAACAGGAAATTGATCTCATCAACGTACATCTAGTGGTGATTAGAATATACTCATTATCTGTTTCGTGTTGTTAAATAGAATTCGAATCGTGGATCGATTTCAATAAGTAAAGAATACTTTCTCTCGTTGTCATCTATTAAACAAGTCAATATGGATTAACTCACATCCGTTTTCGTATGTCGGACATCATAATTCGTTTATTTATTCAACCATTATCATGATCAACAAGAAGAAGGGAAAAGAACAACAAGAAACTTTGATGATCAGCGGTGAAAAATATATATCAAACGGATTAGACATATTTGCTTACAACCTATCGAATCAACAGTGCCACTCGAAAGTGACTTTTGTTCTTGTGAAAAATGAGCTGGAAAATTGATGATTTCAATGATGTGATTGTGAAGGATATCTTTATCTATTTGATATGGTTATCGTACATGAAAAAGAACAGAATATGGAGAAAAGTGTGACCAATTTGCTCAGCATGTTCGATCTTCTGTTCAAAGAACAAACTTTTTGCTTAACCTCCTCCTTTTTATCGATAGAGATGCGAACGAAAGGTAATTTGATCCTTTATGACGCAAATATTTCTGTTGAGGCACGCATCGAGTACGATAAACTTCTAACGATGTTTGTATCGATCATCGACCACTAAAGCTCTCAGTTCTCTTCGAAGAATAACAAAACAAAACACTATGTGGGCTTTCTTTCATTCATCCATTCATTGTCGTCCATCAGTGAAGATCCAATTTCAACTGATCATCATCACGCAAGTCCTTTTATTCATACACTTAACACGCAAAAGGTACATCTCATATTTCAAGTTCTTGTCTCTCTTATGCATACACAAAGTGCTTAATCTTAATATTGACATATCGTGCTTACTTCTTTCGACATTATTAAACAAAGGGAACGTTTTTTTTTCTCTCGATTTTGTATATCTGATCATTAAAGAAAAAAAAAGGACAAATTAAAGTGAATGATAATCTCTTAAAATAGTTGTTGATGATGAATCAATCAGGTCTGATGTAGATTTCAACGGTTGTTGGTGATGGTGATGGTAATGTTGTTGTTGTTGCTGTTGCAACGGATGAGGAAAACAGATAGGAAAATCGACATGGTGGAAGTGTTCGTTCGTATCCAGATTTGTTGTTAAGCCCAACGGTGCGCGGATACTTGGTTCACTATTGGTTGAGCCAAGATCATCTAATGAATTCTCACCATTATGTGAAGGACTTATATCAATCGTTTTTCTAAAAAGAAAACAAAAACATAATTTCTTCTTGTTGCTTTTCTACACCTACGTGAAATCGTTTCTTCTTATCAGCATGAAATATTATCAAAAGAAATGTGCGTAACTCTGATCTTCTCAAAGAAGAGACATTGTTTGTTATTCTCTTCAATTAGCAAGTCTTTTCTCGATATATGTATAATAAAAATAATCAATGTCAATCAAACGCACACGCACACATCGAAAAGAAAGGAAAACTTTTGTTTATATACACATCTGTTCTTCATTAAAAGCAAATAGAACAACTTGCCTATCATTTGTTTCTGATGCTCGATCACGTTGTCGTCGATTTTTGAACCAATTTGATACTTGAGTTGTTGTCAAGCCTGTTCCTTCAGCTAATTCACGTTTTTCTCGTGGTGACGGATACGGATTATGTAGATACCAATCTCGGAGAGCGTTACGCGATTTTTCTTTAAAACAATAACTTGTTTCTTCTCCGTCCCAGATCGTTCGTGGCAAAGGAAACTTTCTTCGAACACGATATTTACCAACGGCTCCTAAGGGTCTTCCACGAAGTTTTTCTGCTTCGTTATAGTGCGCTTGTAACCATAATTGTTGTAATTGTGGATGACTACACGGTGCAAACTGATAACGTTCGAGAATATGATAAAGTTCGCGATAATTTCCTCGACGAAATGCAACAACTGCTTTAGCTTTGACTACACTTTCATTGTTATGAAAATGTTCACATGTTGGTAAATTCCACAGAAAGTCACCTGAAATGAAGTTTGTTTTCACGAATCGAGAAGACAAATTTGAAAAACTTACCGAGCCGTTGTATATCGTTACTTTGTTGAAGTACTTCACACACGCAAGCAACCTGTTCGGGAGTAAAAATACTACCTATTGTATTGCTCGTTGATGGTGTATTGATGTTAGTGAAACCAGCGGTCGTCGTTGTTAGTATCGGATTGCTTTCAAGCATTAGAAAAGAACTAAAAGAAAGAACAAAAAAAAAGGAGAGAATAGATAATCGGATGTGTTCTTCCTTTTGTTTTTTTATTTCTATAATAGTAATAGATACCAATCGGTTGATAAAATGAATCGTGTAGAAAGAAAAGAGAAAAAGTGAAGAACTGATTAATTCTTCCTTTCTCTTCTCTCACGTATTCAATTTCAAATCAAAGGCAACAACATTAGATGAATCGAAGCAAAAAAAAACGAAATCAAATCGATTTTTTTTCTATTTATAGGTACATTGAGATAGATGAATCAACGCTATAGTACTACTCAATTAAATATATATATCTATGAGTCTATATCGTCTTCGATTTCTTCTATTGATACTCATCATGTTCGATAGGGAAATAGGATCGAGTTTTTAATCGCATTACAACAACAACATACACATTCAGTTATGATGATCAGCCCTATTTCTCTCTTTCTCGGTCGACTTGATGGATTAAGTGGAGAACTGTGAGAGTGTATACGAACGATACTCTCTTTCTCCCTCTTTCTCTCTCAGCGGTAATATTCGTAGTGGTGCCGACAATAATTTTCTCTCCCTCTTTAGCTGTCGATTTTTTCTTTTTTTCTCTCTTCGTCTACGTACATATTGTTATTGTTATTTGGCAAAAGGAAAAAAGATGATTTGCTCCGAATCATTTTTTTTCTCTTTCTTTCTCCGACGACAAATTTCCAGTGAGTGTTGAACGATAGGCGACATTTATATCTAATGACACATATGAACCAATCGGTGTCGAGACAAAAGCGAAAGAGAGAGAATAATAGAAGGAATCCTTCTTTTTCTTTACATCATGCTTGCTTGTCATGAAACAAGTGGATCTAACGACTACACATTATAACTATAATGGCAGTAATATCACATTGATATTTCTTTTCTTTCTCTCTGTTTCCCTGTCTTTTATTCCTCTTGATATCGTTGTGTGTGTGTGTGTGCGTATTTATGTATATGCACCGATCATCATATATACAACATACACTATCGTACTGAAAGAAGATAATTGACAGTAAACAGCTGTGCTTTATGTGTGTACACATACATATTTGGGATGGTATATAAAGAACATTCTTGTCGATCATCATCATCAAGAGTCAGTGCTCCAGTCAGTTGATCATGGCAACGTTTTCTGTAAAGAACGATCAATATGTGTACACGACAACACACTCTTGTCGTTTTCTCATACATGCCAACATACGCATGTAGATTTTGAAAGACGCATGACTCTTCTCAAATTTCAAAAAAGCAAATTTGCTTTCTTCTTCTGCTTCTATCGGCGACAGCTGTTGGACAAATGGCAAAATTAGAGATGCTTGTCGTTGTCGTTTACGCATTCTCATTCGATCAAGATGCGACAAGAAGCATTAAACATATATATAATATCAAATAAAAAGAATGCTAATGTGACATGCGCGATTGGTGACAAGCTTTCCTTTTGAGAAGTATTTTTGATGATTGGCTGAGTGATGTAGATAAATTCATTTGAAATATTCCGAACGTTTCTTTCTTCTTTGTACCAAAAATGAAATCTGAGACAAGTGAACTTGTTCTTTTATAATGATAAACATTCAAGTTGCTTGTCTGACCACTACATTTCGCGGTTACACATCATTTACATGGTGATTTATCAGATTGAACATCTGTTTTATCTATTTTTGTTCAAAATCAATTCTAACCAAGCATGTTGAGTATTGATTGGTTGTAACAGAAACGAAAAGTGTGCAGTTCGGATTTCTATCGAAGAAATTTCATGCAATAATGGTATTCAAAGGTAAATTTTGTATTGAAATGATACTTATGCAATGATTTCTCGTTGATGATAAACAAATAACTTCTGAAAGTTCATTATTCAAGTAAAATCAAAGAGAGGGTAAGTACCATGTTACCAAAGCTAGCATCAAACTGTCCGACAGTCTTCAATATAAGTACGAAATGGTTTATTCTCAAAATCACACTAACTAGATTTTTTAGTAACACTAAAGGACGCTCATCGGTATGCTTTACTTTCAGGGAAAAAAGCAAAATCGCTGTTCATGTCTACTTCTTTTGGTTAATTTGTACTTGTTGCATTGGTTTAAGATCTTCTGCAATCTACAAGAGAAAAATTTAGTTAAGAAAAGAATAATCAAAGACAATTTTCTCCTTACATTTATTGGACAACCAGTGCATTTTATAATATCCTCTTTGCTATATCCCTCAGCAATTTCCGTCAGTGTCAGTCCTTTTTCTGCATCGACATGGAAGACACCCTTCTCTGTAATGATTATGTCAACGACTCCTTTGCCTGTTAATGGTAGTGAGCATGATGGAAGAATTTTCGATGAACCATCCTGAGAGAAATAAAAAACCAATGAACTTGATCGATATGATTTTCTCGTTCATTACCTTGGCGTTATGTTCCATTGTAACAACAACTTTAGTTCGGCCACTGCCAACTAAATCCATTGCGCCACCCATACCCTTGATTAGTTTACCAGGAATCATCCAATTGGCTAAATCACCATATTGGGAGACTTGCATTGCACCAAGCATAGTTAGATCAATATGACCGCCACGAATCATGGCAAATGAATCATCACTTGAGAAGAATGAAGCACCAGGAAGAACAGTTACTGTTTCTTTGCCAGCATTGATTAGATCAGGATCTTCTTCGCCTTCGTATGGAAACGGACCCTGAAGTAAACGAATAAAAACGAGTAGAAAATGCTTTCGAGCGTCTTACCAAACCTAGAATACCATTTTCACTTTGGAGGTGTACGGTCAAACCATCGGGAATATAATTTGAAGCCAACATTGGAATACCTACAAAGTGATTTAACGTATTTGTATAGTTCAATATCGATTTAGTTACCTATGCCTAAATTGGCGTACATTCCATCTGTAAATTCTAAGGCAGCTCGACGGATGATGCGTTCTCTCGCTGCATCATCTTTCTTCTTCTTTGAGCCAGCAGGTTGCACGCTAGCTGATGTGCTATCACGTTTACGTACAGTTCGTCGCTACAACCAAAAGATGATTTCTATATTTCGCTTTGAGACGAAATAGATTACTTCGATGCGCTTTTCATGATCTTTTCCTACGATGATACGATGAACGAATATATTCGGTATGTGAATTTCATCTGGTTTCAGTTCTCCAACTTCAACAATTTCTTCAACTTCAGCAATCGTACATTTTGCTGCTTTGCACATCGGCGCATTAAAATTACGCGCAGATTTTCTAACAAATCGAAAATATCATTCGAATAAGTCAGTAGTGACACTTACTGGAATATAAGGTTTCCTAAACGATCGGCTTTCCAAGCTTTTACTAAAGCATAATCACCGACAATCGATTCTTCTAAAACGTAATTACGATTATTGTAAACACGGATCTAGTTTGATGACAATATCTTAGATTTTTCTGTTAATTAGATCATCGATGGATTACTTCTTTCATTGGACTTTCGATGAGTGGCTTTTTCGAGTTTCGACAATATTTGATCGGTGCACCGCCTTGTTGAATTAATGTTCCAAAACCGGTCGGAGTAAAAAATGCTGGAATGCCAGCACCACCGGCACGGATCTTTTCGGCTAAAGTTCCCTAAAAAAAAGACGATTGTGTAAATGAAAGAGAAGAAAGCAATACTACACACTTGTGGTGTTAATTCAACTTCAAGTTCACCGTCTAGTAACAGAACAAGAATCCACATAATCAAAGTTGATAATCACACGAAAACTCACTTAGATATTGTCGTTCGAATTCTGCATTTTCACCGACATAGGATGAAATCATGCGTTTGATCTTGATAGATAATTCAAGAAAACAACGACCGAGATGAGAATTATCATGACTAGCATATTTTTACCTGCTTAGTTTTTAATAGTAAACCAAGTCCAAAGTCATCCACACCACAATTATTCGAAACAATAATTAAATCTTTTTGACCAGTTTTCAAAAGTGCTTTTATCAAATTTTCCGGTATGCCACACAATCCAAATCCTACGAACGTAAATTCTTCAGTCTTATCAGAAGCAATCAGCAAAGGTTCAATCACCTCCGACGAGTAGTGTCGCTCCATGTGGGATATCTTGCAGAACTTCATGAGCATCCTCAAAAATCTTCTTTGAATCAAATAAGACTGTTGTTTTCGAAAAGTTCCGTATGCAATACTAAAACAATATGTCATCGATCACTCTGTTCATCGGAAGAAGAATCGAGCATACCGATTGTGATGCTGACCGAAGAATCGAAGATGTTAACCGTGTCAACATGATCTACAGATGAAAATGAAAACAAATTGTTTAGTATACAGTTGTCTGATTTATTCCAGCAATAACAACTCATAAATATTACACGCCGACACAAGTATTTATTTGTCTGATCTCTCCGATAGGATATTCTCTTCGAAGAAATTGTCCACTGAATATGTGCGGGTGTAGAAAATGAAGAGGATTTGTTTGATGAACAAATTTTGTTTTACCTAGAGCGAATAAAAGTGTTTAAACATGTCCGAGATGAAGATAAAACAAACAAAGTAAAATAAGTGTAGAAATAATGATCACTGTGTTCTAGAGATGAAGAAAAAACAACAAGTACAACAAAAAGAAGGATAAGAGTAATCGTAAGATTGAAATTCGCACAGTGAGATAATTGAATGTGGAATGTATTTCGTGTGAACAGATTGAATTCAGAGAGGGAGAAAGAGAAGAAGGAATGAGAAGATCTTATGGATTGGAATTAGTTTGTGTATTGTTCACATTAAATACACGACCGACGCGAAGAAGAAATTCTCGTAAAATAAAACGTAGTTCAGGTTTTAAGTCGAATACGACCGTTTCAGCTGCGAATGGATAGATTTCTGAGGCAAAGTCTTTGAACTAAACAGAAAAAGAACGCAATTGTGAAGAGTCGTTTTGTTGTATTTTAAGAACTATTTACTCGTTCTTCTTGTAATTTAAGCAATTTTGTGTAGATGAGAATAAGTACACTTGACCATGCGCCACGGTGACTCTCAGATGTTAATCCGACATAATATTCCAAACCGTCACGTGCCAATCTGTAAGAGTAAACGAAGTTATAATTAGAACTTGGCACTTAAGTGCTTCTTTACTTCAGAATTCGTCGTTTGATTGTATCTGTTGAGTCATTTCGTTTTGTATCTGAATATAATCGAAAAAGAATTCGAAATGCACATGCAATACTCCGCGTTTCTTGTGACAAAAGGTTTGGTTTAGCTTCTCCACGATATCCTAAAAGAAGTATAAATATGTCTTCAAAGCCGTTCTTTCGATGCCATTTCTTCTTATCTTACCCGCTTTCCACAGAAGATTTCTTTGCTCATGATTGGAGTTGAATGTACGTGCAAATGTATGTGATTCGATGAGACAATCAACAAGAAGTAGTAATTGATCTAGACTGATATGATTGTACATTCCTTGGTCGTTAGGTAACTCATCTGGCGGAAATAAGTGCGTCAAATTGTGTTGTCCTGATGTTGAATTTGCTAGTGCCTGGAATGGAAAGATAAAATTTATTAGTGAATCTGTCGCTCGAAGAAAAACGTATTTTCATTAAATTTGAAAAGAGCAAACATGCACAGAAGAGACTAGACAAATAGGGAAGACCATGATTTCGCCCCGAATTTGTTTTCTGATTATACCTTAGTTTGAAACCAAGTTAATTTCTAGATTGATATGTTAATGATTAGTAGAACAACGAAAAAACAATCATATTAGCATAACTCACGTGTGCAATAGCAATATGTTGTGAATCTTCCTTTTTACTTGTCGATGGATAGAAAATGATGTTGTCAATAGCTTGAATTAGTTCCAATTGTACAATACATTTGATGGTGATGATGTGAAAAACACGATAGTTCATCCGAGTTTCTAGTCGAAATAGATTATTTTCATCGATATGATCTGTATCAATTGTCCTACTTGAATGATCGAAACTATTTGCAAGCGATTGCCGATTTGTAGCATTGGATTCATGCTGATTCGATGTTCCACTATTTACACTCGCGAGACTACCAGCTCGTGCCATGCGCTGATGTTGGCTTGCAGCCGATTCTACGGCAGCATGATCTAATGAGCTCTCTGTATGCTCGAGTGACTAGAACGATAGATAATAATGGTACACCTTTTCAACGAACAAGACAAACATGTCTTTACATTTGCTTCATTGACTGTTGCGATACTAAACGATTCTCCATCGGGTCGCCATGTAAAAAGACTGAAAAATAAAGTTTTAGCATTAGTTGATCTCGTGGAAGAGTAGTTAGCTTGCTTTTCAGGTAAAGTTGAATGAAGAATTTCTAATATACAAGCGCATGTTTGTTGCCAAACATGCGGAGTAAAACGTTGTCCGCAAGCAATAACAAAATTTTCCAAGCAGTTCATTCCTGATTTTGCTAAGATCTCATTATCTTGATTGACACACCGTTTCAACTGACAGTAAAGATCATTAACAAGAGCCTCAGATATATCATCGTAGAATTGCGTAAAGACATCAACGATAGCGTATAGAGCATGATTGCATGTCGTTGTCATCCATTCATTTTTCTATCGAAAAACAATACGGAAGTTTCAAGGTGAAGAGCATTGAATAGATATCATACTTCAGTTTGTGAATCGGGTAATTTCATATTGTCAAATATTCGAAAGACAACATTGAATAATTCTCTCCACCAATTTTGACTGAATGTTCCACCATAGCTCTTCATTATTTCGAACATGACCGTTAGTGCTCTAGACAAAAGCAAACGTCAAGTATTGTATTACGGCTATTCTTTGAACTGACCTTGTTCTAACGTCGAGTTTACATCGATTAATAACGCACGATAATTCAAAAAGTACGGGAAACCATCCTTTGACCCAAACGCGATCTTCTTCCGTTACATTGATTAAATCTTCTCCTGCATGGTCTCGAAAAATCTATTCACATCATGCAGATTGTCCATACAATTGTCTGTAAAGAAAAACAATGAATGTTTACTTGTGGCCTTTCGGCGACATATCTCGCGCATTGTCGTATTAATCGAATAGCTTCCATCGATGTATCAGGAAATGCTGCATTGCATGCGAATTCGGATAGACATTTCACAGCATCTTGGAAACTATCGAGTATCGATGGGAATTGTCGATCGAAAACTTTACCTAAAAAAGAATTTTAAAAATAATTTCATAGTTCAAAAGTGAGATCGTTCATTGTGCACGAAGCGTCCTCTTACCAACAATATGTGTACAGGTTTGAAATGCTAGTTCAACAATTTGAGCATCGGTATCGGCAGCAGCCATTTGGAAAACACTGAAGATGTTCTTCCAACCAGATCGAATATTCGCGGCTTGAGAATCAACGAAATGTGTCACACAGCGAACAACCATATCACGTATTGTTGATGACCTATTTCATGAGAAGTGACAAGCTGGAAACACTTCATGATGGTGGAAGTTGATCTACGTACGAGTTCTTTTTCATAATGACTTCGAATGGTCGAAGAAAGTCTTTTTGAAAGCGAAAGTTTGGAAATTCGCCTTTTTCAAGAAATTTCATCGACAATTGCCTCAATGAATCAACAGCGAAGAATGCTACATCTTGCAATGAATTGCATGCTGCCTAAATAGAGAATACGCTTACATCCATAAAAATCTCATCCAAAAATTGTCTTTGACCTTATTAAAATGTTCACCTATGATCTCCCAAATACGTGACCATTGAAGACGAATACGACCCATGTTATAATAGGATATTTCAACTACTTTCAATAAGCTAAACATTCGTGGTGGATTACCATGTAACTCATCCATTGATACATGGCATAAACTACGAACGAATGCCACTAGACCGAAAGGAAACACAGAATTAATGGATAGAGAAAACGAAATACTGTACCGATTGCATCACCATCAAGTCGCGCTGAACCGGAGAAAATTCGATCGACAGAAACAACGATACTTTGAGAACTGGTTTCATGAATTTGGTCTTGTGCTGATTGCATACGTTTAGCTGTTTGAACTACATCCCAAAATAGACTTTCAGAGTACAGTTTCAAGATATCTTGTACAAACCTTTGTCAGGATTAAAGAGATTATCGAAAGGAAGACTAAATGTGTTAGATGTACTATTTAATGGTAAATTATGATAAGCATGATGATGGTTATGATTTGGTACGCTCAATCTAGCTCTATTTGCATTGATACCGAATAATTGCGCTAATTCCAATTGGCTGATGCATTTTAGAATCTATATACAGAAAGTGTTTTCATGCCAGTATCTTTTCTCGTCTACTTACGTCATACCAAGCTTCGCCAAGATAGTTTCCATCACTTTGTGCAACTGATATTAGTGTTTTTAGACATTCGACATTCTTTGCTTTGATTTCCAGAACTTGAGATGTAGCCATCAGTAACGTAAATCTGGATAAAGCTTGGATAAATGCATTTCGTTCAAGCTATTCAAACAATGATACGATAAGACACAGTCAGACAAAATTTCTTTTGTATAAAACAAACCTCCATACGAAAAATGCAGGCAATACGGATAGAATAACTGAGGCCAGTTAAACATAGATGAGCGAGGTCAATATGGTCACTATCTTGTAAACCGACACTAAATGCTGCTAGACAGGGTGACCAGGCTTTCTACAGAACAAAAAGTATCGCCTGTTTTTTTTTCTTGTCAATTCATTCTGAATTACTTGAAACATCGGTCGAACATGTTCGAGGTGTTTAGCAGTGGTAAATTCTTCTCGAATCGTTCCAGCATTAGACATCAGATCACGTGCTAGAGTTTCGACATCGCGCATTTGCATATCGAATAGTAACTCACGTTGTTTATCACTTGTTATATCTGGAAAGAGAAGAAGATACAAAAAAATTCTTCGCAAAATCACACACTAACTTTCTTTTGTTCCACCTGCACCAGCTACGTTTGCTCCGCGTCGTATCGTTGTTACTTTCAGTTTAATTTCTTCATTTTCAATTTCATCATAAATTTTCGAGAGAAATTCTTCCGGTAAATCACGGCTATCATTTATTCCCCGATTCATTTTTACATATTGTTCCTTCGTCATTTTCTTCTTCACCTAAATTTCAAAATCAATCAAACCATTTTCTCAAACACATCGCATGTTTCTTACATTTTTGCTGTGTAAATCTGTCGTTAACATAATAACAGAGTACGCGAGAACGTATGCAGTATCCGCACTAGCGAATATTTCCAAACTAAACAGAAACATTGATGTACATCGATATTCAACAAACAAAACTTCGACACGTACTTTGTATTGCATTCACAAAATCTAGCTGCGAATTTTTCCATCAATCTGTCAATCTTTTGTGCTTCACCTGGTAGTCGAAAGCCTGAGAGAAATTTTCTTAATGCAGCCAAAAATTCCATATTAGTAAAATCCAGTTGATCGACATATGCATACATAATTTGTTTATGATAATTATCCTCATTTCCCAAACAATCACCGATTAATGTTTTATCTAAGACATCCTGATACGAATGAAAAAATTGAGCAACAGTTTCTGGTTCGCGGCTGATGAGGTTTTTTTCACAAAGAAATTCTAAGCCCTTCTTTGGTTTTTGATTGAATAAATCAATTCCTTTTTCAAATAATTCCTTTCGTTGACGAACTATTTCAAAATCATTTGCGTTTTTGGATGTGTCCGATGGAAGACCGTTAGTCGAATGAGACGAATTTATTGAACCGTTCGAATCCGCACGGCGCATACCGTTACCATTGTAACCTGCCGATAAGCGATTGCTGTCTTGATCGTAATGGTTCTCATGCGATGGTTTCGAATCGGGTCCTTAAAAAAACAACCATATCATGAAGCACAACAAATCAATTTAACAAACCTAAGTTGCTTTGTAAATGCGGGTTGACATACAAGTCTTGACTCCATTCAACCATACATCTCAGTATGGAAACAAGACATTCGAGACCTTTCATTCTCAAATTGTGTTCTTCTGATGGACTACAACCTATTAACAAAAAGTTTCAGTTGTTTGCATATGTTTTGTGTAGAAAGATGAATGACCTAGTTCAACTGCTTGTCTTCCTTGTGCTGCACGTGAAAGGACAATAACTAGACGTTCGAAGATGTTCGCCGAACGCATTGAACAATCATAATTAATGAATAAATCCACAATAATTTGAGCATCTGAACGAAAAAGAGACAAAACATGATCGATCATTTGAAGTAGCAAAGTTACCCGCAGAGATTTTTGCTAAAGTTTGAATAACGAGCCATTTATGTCGGAACGAACTAGTTGAAGTTTCTAATATCGTCAGAAATATTTCACGAAATAAAACCTCAATTTGTATTTTCAGATGTGCTTTGAATTTGTCTAATAGTTCGACGAAATTAAACAATGCCATTTCGAACAGTTCTGTTATTGAGGACACACCATTTCTTGATAAGGACACGCATAAGTATGTTTTAATCACGTAGAGAAAATCTTCCGATGAACGAAATATCGGACCTGATGTTTGAAGAATTTGCATGATTAATCGTAACGAAAATATTCGAGATTTCAAATCCAAATTAGTTCTAAACAATGAAGAGATGTCATTTTGATGTGATTCAACATCCATCGATTACCTCGGATCAGTATTGCTCTTATCTTTTATATCCCGGTCGGATAATTTACATAGCGCGCGAAAGACATAATAGGCGTTTTTGAAATAGTTATCGGCTGATAATTCTTCAGCGGATAGAGCGTTTGACGTTGTGATTTTGGTCGACGATTGATTATCATTCGTTTGAGAATCTATAAAAAGAAGCAGAAAATACATAATTAGCTAACAGATAAAGTCAAAAGGAAAATCTGTTCGATATTAAACTTTACCTAAACCATTTCTTGTTAATCCATTGTCAATTTCATCTTGTGTTGATCTCATATCTTCGATAATATCGTTGGTCGATAGCAGCGTATTTTGCGTTTGAGTAGCCTCGTCTATTCAACATCAAAACGCTATTTTCTCTTGTATATGCATATCTTGTCTTACCATAACAGATTTTTTCTACTAGTTCATCAAGAATTTCTTTGGTCACTAAAAATAAGTCAGGAACAATCGAATTTCGACGATCAAGAGAAAGTTTTTACCAGTGCAAATATTTTCTTGATCATTTGTAATTGAATTAGCCGTTGAGTCTTGTTCATATTGTTGTCGATATTCATTCAATAATACCTAAAATGACTCACAAGATAAGTTTTCCTTGCCATTGGAAGGAAATTTTTCACCATCTTTTGTTCCATCTTCGCGAAAATTCCATTTAACATTTGCGATAGACATCCTTGCGCTGTTGCTTCATTGATCTTCGATCTACTGGTCAAGTAGATATTGAAACATGTTTTTATAATTTGTAATACGCTTCGTTGGTGAATTTCAATCGTTTGAGACGTCATTATCGTTAGCAATGCCTGAAACAACAAGGAGATTCAGTTGAGTTATTCCAAAACTTGACAAAAACTCACTTTGATGATTTGTAATTCGACTTGTTCTTCGGTTTGTACACCACGAAAACACATGCATATTGTCGAAACGATTCGATCGATTAAGAGCTTCGATGGGTCGATCGGATCCGGAACACTGCCAAGTAAATGTCCATGGAGAAGTAATTTCTGTAAAAATATCGTGAGAAATGAGAGTTACGATGACGATTCGTATCTACTTGAAGACAATCTAATGACGTGTCAACCATTCGTGGATGATTAGATGCACATGCTAATTCAAATGGAAGAAAATATTGTTCAGCGTTCAATAACTGATGATTTGTGGAGGGCAAAATCGAGGATTCATTGATTCTATAGGAGAAAACGACAATCAAGATCGATGATGTAAGGCAAAGTGTGAAGCCTACTGAGATGTTTGCGTGTCTTTAGCGACGGATGCTAAAGCTGTTTCACAGGCTCGTTTTAGTTGTTGATATTGAGATTTTTTAATATCTTTTTCGTTTAGTATTTTTTCCAATGCACGTTTAAGAAACATATTTTTGTAATTATTTGTCGAGAGATTTTCGTCTTTGACTTGTTTTTCTAACATTGAATAGAAATAAGCAAAAAGAAGACAAAACGCCGGAGACGCTTAGCAATGAATCATTAGCAGCAGTATCTAAAGAAAATGTTCGAAAACATATTTTTTGTAATCTTCAAATGAAAATATAAATATGATGGATGGATGTATGGATGTTTTGTAGAGCTGGAAACTATCAACCAATCTGATTGATGTTTGATAGAAAAAGGGAAAAGGAGATATTTAGTAGATGGAGCCAATGATCAGATGAGGATGTTTGCTGGAAAAAAATAATATACCATTTGAGTGAAATGAAAAGAGAGTTCCATCGTCAATATTTACTAGATATAATTGACGGATGTGTACGTTGTTTTCATATTTGAATGACGCAGGAAATGTTGCGTTCTCGTGTAAACTGAGGAGGATTTGTAGCTTTACATAAAAGTTTGCCATTGAACAGGAGCCTTTCAGTTTTTTACAAGCTTTCTCAATGAAATGTCTTCCGCCAGAGCATATTGTAACACTAATTATAAGGTAGGATCAATTGATGTCTAGATGGAATTCCTTGATTGATTGAAATATTTCATGCGGCTGGGCGCATCTTCTGATCGAGAACTTGTATATCCAACAGCGCATTGTTTTTGACATCGCTGCACGATACTCAGTCTCTGATTTTCCGAAAAACACGTCAATAGAGGTCGCCAATGTACAAGTTCCGTCGTTTATTAGTTGATGTTTTTTTCCAAAATAAATTGGAGAAAGAAAGCATCATGATTTCATCGAAGAATTATTTCGAAATTTATTTCAATCGAGATAAATTATTGAATAATATCTATTAATAATTTAATTCAATTAGTGATTCGCCTTTCAACAAGTTGTCAAATAAGGAACGAGTTGGGAATGAACGAACGAACGCTCTAGAGTTGGAAACTATTAGTATTTACTACTCGTTTTTCCACAACAAATGCTCGCTTTTGTTTGAGCTCCTGTCATGAACCACGTTCAAACACATTTCTTTCCTTGTCTAATCCATCATTGGTCATATTAGTCATAAAAATAAAATGTCAATAACACAATATTGTCGCATATGTTTTTTTTTGCGTCACGACATTTTAGATTCTTTGTTTTTTCCATTGATGAATAATGGACAGTGATCCTGACTCACCACCTGCCTCTCCTCCGACTGAAACAGCTGCCTCATCAATTGTGAATCTCTTTTTCAATGAAGTTAACAAACAAGATGTCAGTGGGTTACTTCATGTTCAGAGCTCGTTGTATGTTATTTGAGAAGTTGGTATTTTCGTACTTGTGTGCGTTTTTAGATTGGAACAGTTGGATAAATCCAATGAAATTCTGGAAGGAATTAATAGAATCTCGGCAAAGCGGTATTTGGATGCGACAAGAGAGTACGCGAATCATACGCAATTGCTAATGACAATGAAAACGGATTTAGATTCGATTTTCCAACGAATCAGGTACGATGAAATAGGCATTTCACCTGGAAATAATGATTTATTTTAGAGTATTGAAAACTCGATTGAATAAAAAGTATCCTGAAGCTTATGCGTCTGGTAAAACACTTTCGATTCTTGTTCTTGTCAAAAGATAGGCATTCTATTTTCAGTGATTGAAATGCATAATCAACATGATTCTCTTGATGATGAAGATGATGATATTGTTCCGCCAATGGTATTGACTTTAATTTATACTATATTCGTCTTGACATTTTTCATTTAGAAATCCATGGGTAATTCATCGCTTGTGAAATCGAAAACAATTGATTGTTCTCAATTGCCACCGTCGATGCGAGAGACGTACAGTTTAGCTCAAATAAGTCAAACAACCGTGGATCAATCTCCAAGTTCGTTCGATACTGTGCGGCGTTTCGTCTATGATAAATCTTCATCAGGTGGACAAGAATTAAGTTCACTATTCAAAACTGCTCGTGATGAATTGAGGAAAATTAACGAAGGGTTTCTCGGAAGTTCTAACCAGAAATCATCAACATCTCAAGAAGAATAATTCGATTTTTTTTCTTTCTTTTAATGTGTTTTTCTTTGTAAACTTTTCAATGTCAGATTGAATACAAATAATCGTCTGTGTATTTTTGGTTTTAGATAACGAATAATTTCGATTTTAGAAAACATCGTTCGAGTAAGTCAAGCGATATACCTCCGATCGAAGGTTGCTCATGTTTTGAAAAGTTAACCTCAATCTCAACTGAAGAGTATTTGATTTTGAATTTGAAAAGCAAAAGAATCAATTGAAGTAATTCTCAAACATTTTCTCCTTCTCATTTTATTGACACTTGAGACAAGATTTTTTTATCAAAATCTTTACAACGATTCGAATTCATCGATTGTTAAAATCATGAGTAAATAAACACTCAACACAACCTTTTACCTTTCTTTCAGAAGTAATCAATGGCAACAGCATCGAATATAGACGATCTTTTACAATGTCCGATCTGTCTGGATGTACTAGCTGATCCTAAAGTTCTCGATTGTCAACATACATTCTGCGCGAACTGTTTGAAAGTACATTTAGCATCCATAACTCGTCAACAAGGCTCGACAAACGCCGTTGATTGTAATGTCACTTTGTTTTCCTCTTGGTGATCTAAATCGTTTCCTAATTAGGTCCAACATGTCGTTCGCGAACTAATTTGATAAATAATTCCATCGACAGTCTTCCGGGAAATTACATTGTCCGTGATATAATTGAAAGACAATACGGTACAACAACACCGGAGCGTCCACCTGGTTATGCTCAACAGATTCAAGATCGACTACAGCAAATGAAAAAAGAAGAAGATGGTTTCGATCTGGAGAAATACGTGAAACCAGCTGTAGCTGCGCTATTTGGAGTCATCGGCGGCTTATTATTAGCGAAAGGTGTGAAGAAAATGTGTAATGATGATAAAAAATAATCTTTTTTTGAACATATTTATTTCTGCTAATGATTTCTAATAAAAAAAAACACACATTGTGAATTTGCATGTTATTCATGAAAAGAAAATACATAGTTGTAATGAATGAATTAGTGCTATGATCGATTCATTGAATTCGTTAGAACACTTATGCTTTTTATTGAAATAGAAACGAAGAGATCCTTCAAAACTAGACGATATTGATCATTATAATCCGAATGAGATCTATCTGCGAAAGTGCGATTTATATGAAACCTTATATGGTAATTTGATTATTATTTATTACGTTCAAGGCTATTCCTACAAGTTAAATCAATCGACTGATTGAATGACAAAGTCATTTCGAAAAATCTCGATTAAAATTTCAATATTTGTTTGTTAGAGAAGAAATGCTTGCCTTCAACTTGTCCTTGTTGACGTATTCCTCACTGTAGATAATCATAATATATATGTTTGTATTCATTTGGTTGATCGAATAGGGGGGAAGAGGCAAAAAATTGCCTATCCTTCACCTTTCAAAATAATCGACCTTGAAAAAATTCTTTTATGTTAATAACGTTCTATTAGTAAATTTCATCTTTCGCTTTCATTTACATTCAATTGAAAGGATCAACATGAAGGTAAGAGAAAAATTCGACTTGGAAATGAACAGAGTCATTTAGCTTTCTTCTCTCGGTTTAACTCATTACATTATTAATGTGTCCGATAATGCATGCACGTTTTTTTTTTCTTCTTCTTCTTTTCTTTCTCGTTTTGTATGTATAGGTGCAGATCATCACCTACATTGTACAGGTTTATTCAACAAACAACACAGACAAACATATCGAAGTGTGTCTGCTATTGCACATCTATACATAAAGGGAGAGGGAGAAGAGAAATTGTCGCGTCGAAATGCTGTCGCACAAGTTGAGTTCAAATCGTTTGTTCTTCTCGCGTTTTTTCTTTTTCTCTCTAATATTTTGTACTTCTGTTCAGCGAGAAGAAGAAAAAAAAACGTAGACCTGCACGGTATATATATATATGTACGATAGTTCAGGGAAAAAACGAGATTGTCCATTGAGGTGACGAGTTGCCAGCATATATACGAGCGACTTATTGACGATTAACTATAGTAAAAGTGTTCACAGCAAGAGAAGGAAAAAAAGCAATTGCATCGATCATTCTTTTCTAGACAATGTCTTTTGATGAACGTGATAAAATCATTCTCATAATTATATGCAGTGTCATCAGTTTTGTATTTATTATTATTATTATTAGTTTTATTATTTGGTTAATTATTCATCAGTATCGTTCGAAAAATCAAGACAAGCAGTCAATTGATAGGCATCCGCCGTCGCCCATTCCAACATATCATCGGACACAAAAAATTCCGCCGGTTAGTAATATTCATCATATCAAAGGAAAAAAACGACGAAGATTCAATACAAACGAGTCAACAATCACTTTATCTTTCGATCCTCCACATTTGATTAATCAAAATGTGAAAAATCTACAGAAATTACTTAACAACGAATCAACATTGACCGCAAGTTCGTGGCATTATGAAGAAACGTTTCCGAAGCGGTATTGGTAAGACAGAAAAGCTTTTCTTCTTCAACGAACAAAACCAACTGTCATTTTAGTTGTCATCAAAATCTATCGAGTGAGCCTGTCTATGCGTCATCTTCCACTGTCTTAACATCTGTGTCAAACCTCGCACTTCCATCTACTCGTCCCTCACATCCAAATATTCATTTCTTAAGTGAACTTGATCATGTCCTACGATCAAAACAAAATGAGCGACCTAAACCTTCATTAAAACATTCTCAAAGTTGCCGACAACCGACAGACTTATTACCATTTGATTATTACCGTGCGAATACTTCACCATCGACTATCACGGGCACAAATTCAAGTAGTAGGAATTCGCTTGAACCTACTCATGACTCTACGAGAAAGTATCCGAATACCACATTAGCTCGAAAGGCTCGATTAGGTCAATTACGAGATGACACGGCTATTTTGTATTGAAATCAACGAATTCCTTTCGAGTTTCTTTTTCGGTCTTCAAAATCAAGTATTTTTGTCTTGTTTGAATCTTGTCACTGATGAGATTCGATCAAGGCACGTCTCAGATGACAAGAAACATGTGTGTATGTTCAGAGATGAATGTTTGCTTTATTTTTATTGTTCTAAACGTGTGTTCATTATTGTGAAAAAGATTATATTTCGATTTCGATTGTAACAATTGAAGAAATCGTGTAAAGAAGAAAACGAACGTTTTATTGTCAATCAAGGACACATTTATATCTTTTATTTCATTGATAAACTGCCTTGAAAACGGAGAAAAGTGTGCCTAGTCTCTCTTACTTGCAATATTTATTGATTTACACGATTAACNTACTCAATTAAATATATATATGTATGTATGAGTCTATATCGTCTTCGATTTCTTCTATTGATACTCATCATGTTCGATAGGGAAATAGGATCGAGTTTTTAATCGCATTACAACAACAACATACACATTCAGTTATGATGATCAGCCCTATTTCTCTCTTTCTCGGTCGACTTGATGGATTAAGTGGAGAACTGTGAGAGTGTATACGAACGATACTCTCTCTCTCTCCCTCTTTCTCTCTCAGCGGTAATTTTCGTAGTGGTGCCGACAATAATTTTCTCTCGCTCTTTTGCTGTCGATTTTTTCTTTTTTTCTCTCTTCGTCTACGTACATATTGTTATTGTTATTTGGCTAAAGGAAAAAAGATGATTTGCTCCGAATCATTTTTTTTTCTCTTTCTCTCTCCGACGACAAATTTCCAGTCAGTGTTGAACGATAGGCGACATTCATATCTAATGACAAATATGAGCCAATCGATGTCGAGACAAAAGAGAGAGAGAGAAGAAATTCTTCTTTTTCTTTACATCATGCTTGCTTGTCATGAAACAAGTGGATCCAACGACTGCACATTATAACTATAATGGCAGTAATATCACATTGATATTTCTTTCTTTCTCTCTGTTTCCCTGTCTTTTATTCCTCTTGATATCGTTATGTGTATGTATGCATATGCACCGATCATCATATATACAACATACACTATCGTACTGAAAGAAGATAATTGACAGTAAACAGCTGTGCTCTATGTGTGTACACATACATATTTGGGATGGTATATAAAGAACATTCTTGTCGATCATCATCATCAAGAGTCAGTGCTCTAGTCAGTTGATCATGGCAACGTTTTCTGTAAAGAACGATCAATGTGCGTAAACGACAACACACTCTTGTCGTTTTCTCATACATGTCAACATACGCATGTAGATTTTGAAAGACGCATAACTCTTCTCAAATTTCAAAAAAGCAAATTTGCTTTCTTCTTCTGCCTCTATCGGCGACAGCTGTTGGACAAATGGCAAAATTAGAGATGCTTGTCGTTGTCGTTTACGCATTCCCATTCGATCAAGATGCGACAAGAAGCATTAAACATAAATATATAATATCAAATAAAAAGAATGCTAATGTGACATGCGCGATTGGTGACAAGCTTTTCTTTTGAGAAGTATCTTTGATGATTGGCTGAGTGATGTAGATAAATTCATTTGAAATATCCCGAACGTTTCTTTCTTCTTCATACCAAAAATGAAATCTGAGACGAGTGAACTTGTTCTTTTATAATGATAAACATTCAAGTTGCTTGTCTGACCACTACATTTTTGCGGCCACGCATCATTTACATGGTGATTTATCAGATTGAACATCTGTTTTATCTATTTTTGTGTAGAATCAATTCTAACCAAGCATGTTGCATGTTGATTGGTTGTAACAGAAACGAAAAGTGTGCAGTTCGGATTTCTACCGAAGAGATTTCATGCAATAATGACATTCAAAGGTAAATTTCGCATTGCAATGATTTCTCGTTGATGATAAACAAATCACTTCTGAAAGTTCATTATTCAAGTAAAATCAAAGAGATGGAAAGTATTGTGTTACCAAAGCTAGCATTAAACTCTCCGACAGTCTTCAATATGAGTACGAAAAGGTTTATTCTTAAAATCACACTAACTATATTTTTGAGTAACACTAAAGGACGCTCATTGGCATGCTTTACTCTCAGGGAAAAAAGCAAAATCACTGTTCATGTCTACTTTTGTTTAATTTGTACTTGTTGCATTGGTTTAAGATCTTCTGCAATCTGCAAGAGAAAAAAATTCAGTTAAGAAAAGAATAATCACAGACAATTTTCTCATTACATTTATTGGACAGCCAGTGCATTTTATAATATCCTCTTTGCTATATCCCTCAGCAATTTCCGTCAGTGTCAGTCCTTTTTCTGTATCGACATGGAAGACACACTTCTCTGTAATGATTATATCAACGACTCCTTTGCCTGTTAATGGTAATGAGCATGATGGAAGAATTTTCGATGAACCATCCTGAGAGAAATAGAAAGCAAACGAACTTGATCAATATGATTTTCCCGTTTATTACCTTGGCGTTATGTTCCATTGTAACAACAACTTTAGTTCGGCCACTGCCAACTAAATCCATTGCACCACCCATACCCTTGATTAGTTTACCAGGAATCATCCAATTGGCTAAATCACCATATTGGGAGACTTGCATTGCGCCAAGCATAGTTAGATCAATATGACCGCCACGAATCATGGCAAATGAATCATCACTTGAGAAGAATGAAGCACCAGGGAGAACAGTTACTGTTTCTTTGCCAGCATTGATTAGATCGGGATCTTCTTCGCCTTCGTATGGAAACGGACCCTGAAGTAAACGAATAAAGACGAACAGAAAATGCTTTTGAGCATCTTACCAAACCTAGAATACCATTTTCGCTTTGAAGATGTACGGTCAAACCATCGGGAATATAGTTTGAAGCCAACATTGGAATACCTGCAAAGTGATTTAACGTATTGGCATAGTTCGATATCGATGTAGTTACCTATGCCTAAATTAGCGTACATTCCGTCGGTAAATTCTAAGGCAGCTCGACGAATGATGCGTTCTCTCGCTGCATCATCTTTCTTCTTCTTTGAACCAGCAGGTTGCGCACTAGCTGATGTGCTATCACGTTTACGTACAGTTCGTCGCTACAACCAAAAGATGATTTTTATATTTCGTTTTGAGACGAAATCGATTACTTCGATGCGCTTTTCATGATCTTTTCCTACGATGATACGATGGACAAATATGTTCGGTATGTGAATTTCATCTGGTTTCAGTTCTCCAACTTCAACAATTTCTTCAACTTCAGCAATCGTACATTTTGCTGCTTTGCACATCGGCGCATTAAAATTACGCGCAGATTTCCTAACAAATCGGAAATATTATTCGAGTATGTCACCATTGACACTTACTGGAATATAAGGTTTCCTAGACGATCGGCTTTCCAAGCTTTTACCAAAGCATAATCGCCAACAATCGATTCTTCTAAGACGTAGTTACGATTATTGTAAACACGGATCTAGTTTGATGACAATATCTTAGATATTTATGCTAATTAGATTATCAATGGATTACTTCTTTCATTGGACTTTCGATGAGTGGCTTTTTCGAGTTTCGACAATATTTGATTGGCGCACCGCCTTGTTGAATTAATGTACCAAAACCGGTCGGAGTAAAAAATGCTGGAATGCCAGCACCACCGGCACGGATCTTTTCGGCTAAAGTTCCCTAAAAACATATGATTGTGTAGATGAGAGAGAAGAAAGCATTACTACACACTTGTGGTGTTAATTCAACTTCAAGTTCACCGTCTAGCAACAGAACAGGAATCGAAATAATCAAAGGTGATATTCACACGAAAACTCACTTAGATATTGTCGTTCGAATTCTGCGTTTTCGCCGACATAGGATGAAATCATGCGTTTGATCTTGATAGATAATTCAAGAAAACGACGACCGAGATAAGAATTATCATGACTAGCATGTTTTTACCTGCTTAGTTTTTAATAGTAAACCAAGTCCAAAGTCATCCACACCACAATTATTCGAAACAATAATTAGATCTTTTTGACCAGTTTTCAATAGTGCTTTTATTAGATTTTCCGGTATGCCACACAATCCAAATCCTACAAACGTAAATTCTTCAGTCTTGTCGCAAGCAATCAGCAAAGGTTCAATCACCTCCGACGAGTAGTGTCGCTCCGTGTGGGATATCTTGCAGAACTTCATGAGCATCCTCAAAAATCTTCTTTGGATTAAATAAGACTGTTGTCTTCGAAAAGTTCCGTATGCAATACTAAAACAATATGTCATCAACCTCTCTGTTCATCAGATGAAGAACCGAGCATACCGATTGTGATGTTGACCGAAGAATCGAAGATGTTAACCGTGTCAACATGATCTACAGATGAAAATGAAAACGAATTGTTTAGTATACAGTTGTCTGATTTATTCCAGCAATAACAACTCATAAATATTACACGCCCGCACGAGTATTTATTTGTTTAGTCTCTCCGACAGGATATTCTCTTCGAAGAAATTGTCCACTGAATACGTGCGGGTGTAGAAAATGAAGAGGGTCTGTTTGATGAACAACTTTTGTTTTACCTAGAGCGAATAAAAGCGTTTAAACATGTCCGAGATAAAGATAAAACAAACAAAGAAAAATAAGTGTAGAAATAATGATCACTGTGTTCTGGAGATGAAGAAAAAACAACAAGTACAACAAGAAAAAAAAAGGATAAGAGCAATCGTAAGATTGAAATTCGCACAGTGAGATAATTGAATGTGGAATGTATTTGGTGTGAACAGATTGAATTCGGAGAGGGAAAGAGAAGAAGGAATGGGAAGATCTTATGGATTGGAATTAGTTTGTGTATTGTTCACATTAAATACACGACCGACGCGAAGAAGAAATTCTCGTAAAATAAAACGTAGTTCAGGTTTTAAGTCGAATACGACCGTTTCAGCTGCGAATGGATAGATTTCTGAGGCAAAGTCTTTGAACTAAATAGGAAAAGAACGCAATTGTGAAGAGTCGTTTTGTTGTATTTTAAGAGATATTTACTTGTTCTTCTTGTAATCTAAGCAATTTAGTATAGATAAGAATAAGTACACTTGACCATGCACCACGGTGACTCTCAGATGTTAATGCAACATAATATTCCAAACCATCACGTGCCAATCTGTAAGAATAAACCAAGTTATAATTAGAACTTGGCACTTAAGTGTTTCTTTACTTCAGAATCCGTCGTTTGATTGTATCTGATGAGTCATTTCGTTTTGTATCTGAATATAATCGAAAAAGAATTCGAAATGCACATGCAATACTCCGCGTTTCTTGCGACAAGAGATTTGGTTTAGCTTCTCCGCGATATCCTAAAACAAGTATAAGTATGTCTTCAAAGCCGTTCTTTCGATGACATTTCTTCTTATCTTACCCGCTTTCCACAGAAGATTTCTTTGTTCATGATTGGAATTGAATGTACGCGCAAATGTATGTGATTCGACGAGACAATCAACAAGAAGTAGCAATTGATCTAGACTGATATGATTGTACATTCCTTGGTCATTAGGTAACTCATCTGGCGGGAATAAGTATGTCAAATTTTGTTGTCCTGACGTTGAATTTGCTAGTGCCTGCAATGGAAAGAGAAAATTTGTTAACAGATCTGTCGCTCGAAGAAAAACGTGTTTTCATTAAATTTGAAAAGAGCAAACATGCACAAAAAAGACTTGACAAATAGGAAAGACCATGATTTCGCCCCAATTTTGTTTTCTTATTATACCTTAGTTTGAAACCAAGTTAATTTCTAGATTGATATGTTAATTATTAGTAGAACAATGAAAAAACAATCATATTAGCATAACTTACGTGTGCAATAGCAATATGTTGTGAATCTTCCTTTTTACTTGTCGATGGATAGAAAATGATGTTGTCAATAGCTTGAATTAGTTCCAATTGTACAACACATTTAATGGTGATGGTGTGAAAAACACGATAGTTGATCCGCGTTTCTAGTAGAAATAGATTGTCTTCATCGATACAATCTATATCCGTTTTCCTACTTGAATGATCGAAACTATTTGCAGGCGATTGCCGATTCGCAGCATTGGATTCTTGCTGATTCGATGTTCCACTATTTACACTCGCGAGACTGCCAGCTCGTGCCATGCGCTGATGTTGGCTTGCAGCCGATTCTGCGGCAGCATGATCTAATGAACTGTCTGTATGCTCGAGTGACTAGAACGATAGACAACAATGGTAAACTTTTCCGACGAACAAGACAAACATGTCTTTACATTCGCTTCATTGCTTGTTGCCATACTAAACGATCCTCCATCAGGTCGCCATGTGAAAAGACTGCAAAATCAAGTGTTAGTACTAGTTGATCTCGTGGAAGAGTAGTTATCTTACTTTTCAGGTAAAGTTGAATGAAGAATTTCTAAGATACAAGCGCATGTCTGTTTCCAAACATGCGGAGTAAAACGTTGTCCGCAAGCAATAACAAAATTTTCCAAGCAGTTCATTCCTGATTTCGCTAAGATCTCATTATCTTGATTAACACACCGTTTCAACTGACAGTAAAGATCACTAACAAGAGCCTCAGATATATCATCATAGAATTGCGTGAAGACATCAACGATAGCATATAGAGCATGGTTGCATGTCGTTGTCATCCATTCATTTTTCTATCGGAAAACAATGCAGAAATTCCAAAGTGAAGACAATTGAATAGATATCGTACTTCAGTTTGTGAATCAGGTAATTTCATATTGTCAAATATTCGAAAGACAACATTGAATAATTCTCTCCACCAGTTTTGACTGAATGTTCCACCATAGCTCTTCATTATTTCGAACATAACCGTCAATGCTCTAGACAAAAGCAAATGTTAAGTGTTGTATTACGACTATTCTTTGAACTGACCTTGTTCTAACGTCGAGTTTACATCGATTAATAACACACGATAATTCAAAAAGCACAGGAAACCATCCTTTGACCCAAACGCGATCTTCTTCCGGTACATTGATTAAATCTTCTCCTGCGTGATCCCGAAAAATCTATTCACATCATGCAGATTGTCCTTACAATTGTCTGTAAAGAAAAACAATGAATGTTTACTTGTGGCCTTTCGGCAACATATCTCGCGCATTGTCGTATTAATCGAATAGCTTCCATGGATGTATCAGGAAATGCTGCATTGCATGCGAATTCTGATAGACATTTTACAGCATCTTGGAAACTATCGAGTATCGATGGAAATTGTCGATCGAAAACTTTACCTAAAAAGAATTCTTTCAAAATAATTTCATATCTCAAAAGTGAGATCGTTCAGTGTGCACGGAGCTTCGTCTTACCAACAATATGTGTACAGGTTTGAAATGCTAGTTCAACAATTTGAGCATCGGTATCGGCAGCAGCCATTTGGAAAACACTGAAGATGTTCTTCCAACCAGAGCGGATATTCGCGGCTTGAGAATCAACGAAATGTGTCACACAGCGAACAACCATATCGCGTATAGTTGATGATCTATTTCACGAGAAGTCACAAGTTGGAAACGCTTTATGATGATGGAAGTTGATCTACGTACGAGTTTTTTTTCATAATGACTTCGAACGGCCGAAGAAAGTCTTTTTGAAAGCGAAAGTTTGGAAATTCGCCTTTTTCAAGAAATTTCATCGACAATTGCCTCAATGAATCAACAGCGAAGAAGGCTACATCTTGCAATGAATTGCATGCTGCCTAAATAGAGAATACGCTAACACCCATAAAAATCTCATCCAAAAATTATCTCTGACCTTATTAAAATGTTCACCTATGATCTCCCAAATACGTGACCATTGAAGACGAATACGACCCATGTTGTAATAGGATATTTCAACTACTTTCAATAAGCTAAACATTCGTGGTGGATTACCATGTAACTCATCCATTGATACATGGCATAAACTACGAACAAATGCCACTAGATCGAAAGGAAACACAGAGTTAATGGGTGGAGAAAACGAAATTCAGTACCGATTGCATCACCATCAAGTCGTGCTGAACCAGAGAAAATTCGATCGACAGAAACAACGATACTTTGAGAGCTTGTTTCATGAATTTGGTCTTGTGCTGATTGCATACGTTTAGCTGTTTGAGCTACATCCCAAAATAGACTTTCACAGTACAGCTTCAAGATATTTTTTTCTACGAACCTTTGTCAGGATTAAAGAGATTATCGAAAGGAAGACTGAATGTGTTAGATGTACTATTTAATGGTAAATTATTATAAGGATGATGATGATTTGATACGCTCAATCTAGCTCTATTTGCATTGATACCGAATAGTTGTGCTAATTCCAATTGGCTGATGCATTTTAGAATCTATGCACAGAAAGTATTTTCATGCCAGTATCTTTTCTCGTCTACTTACGTCATACCAAGCTTCGCCAAGATAGTTTCCATCACTTTGTGCAACTGATATTAATGTTTTTAGACATTCGACATTCTTTGCTTTGATTTCCAGAACTTGAGATGTAGCCATCAGCAATGTAAATCTGGATAAAGCCTGGATAAATGCATTTCGTTCAAGCTATTCAAACAACGATACGATAAGACGTAGTCAGACGAAATTTTTCCTCAGTAACACAAACCTCCATACGAAAAATGCAGGCAATACGGATAGAATAGCTGAGGCCAGTTAAGCATAGATGAGCGAGATCGATATGATCACTATCTTGTAATCCGACACTAAATGCTGCTAGACAGGGTGACCAGGCTTTCTACCGAACAAAAAGGTATGGTCGATTTCTCCTTGTCAATTCATTCTGAATTACTTGAAACATCGGTCGAACATGTTCGAGGTGTTTAGCAGTGGTAAATTCTTCTCGGATCGTTCCAGCATTAGACATCAGATCACGTGCTAGAGTTTCGACATCGCGCATTTGCATATCGAATAGCAATTCACGTTGTTTATCACTTGTTATATCTGGAGAGAGAATAAGATACAAAAATTTCTTCGCAAAATCACACACTAACTTTCTTTTGTTCCACCTGCACCAGCTACATTTGCACCGCGTCGTATTGTTGTTACTTTCAGTTTAATTTCTTCATTTTCAATTTCATCATAAATTTTCGAGAGAAATTCTTCCGGTAAATCCCGGCTATCATTTATTCCCCGATTCATTTTTACATATTGTTCCTTCGTCATTTTCTTCTTCACCTAAATTTCGAAATCAAACAAACCATTTTCCCAAACACATCGCATGTTTTCTTACGTTTTTGCTATGTAAATCTGTCGTTAACATAATAACAGAGTACGCGAGAACGTACGCAGTGTCCGCACTGGCGAATATTTCCAAACTAAACAGAACCATTGATGCACGTCGATGTTCAACAAACAAAACTTCGACACGTACTTTGTATTGCATTCACAAAATCTAGCTGCGAATTTTTCCATCAATCTATCAATCTTTTGTGCTTCACCTGGTAGTCGAAAGCCTGAGAGAAATTGTCTTAATGCAGCCAAAAATTCCATATTAGTAAAATCCAGTTGATCGACATATGCATACATAATTTGCTTATGATAATTATCCTCATTTCCCAAACAATCACCGATTAGTGTTTTGTCTAAGACATCTTGATACGAATGAAAAAATTGAGCAACATTTTCTGGTTCGCGGTTGATGAGGTTTTTTTCACAAAGAAATTCTAGGCCTTTCTTCGGTTTTTGATTAAATAAATCAATTCCTTTTTCAAATAATTCCTTTCGTTGACGAACTATTTCAAAATCATTAGCGTTTTTGGATGTGTCCGATGAAAGACCATTAGTCGAATGAGACGAATTTATCGAACCGTTCGAATCCGCACGGCGCATACCGTTACCATTGTAACCTGCTGATAAGCGATTGCTGTCTTGATCGTAATGGTACTCATGCAATGGTTTTGAATCGGGTCCTTAAAAAACAGCCATATTATGAAGCACAACAAATCAATTTAACAAACCTAAGTTGCTTTGTAAATGCGGGTTGACATACAAGTCTTGACTCCATTCAACCATACATCTCAGTATGGAAACAAGGCATTCGAGACCTTTCATTCTCAAATTATGTTCTTCCGATGGACTACAACCTATTAACAAAAAAGTTTCAGTTATTCACATACGTTTTGTGTAGAAAGATGAATGACCTAGTTCAACTGCTTGTCTTCCTTGTGCTGCACGTGAAAGGACAATAACTAGACGTTCGAAGATGTTCGCCGAACGCATTGAACAATCATAATTAATGAATAAATCCACAATAATTTGAGCATCTGAACGAACAAGAGACAAAACATGATCGGTTGTTCGAAGTAACGAAGTTACCCGCAGAGATTTTTGCTAAGGTTTGAATAACGAGCCATTTATGTCGGAACGAACTAGTCGAAGTTTCTAATATCGTCAGAAATATTTCACGAAATAAAACCTCAATTTGTATTTTCAGATGTGCTTTGAATTTATCTAATAGTTCGACGAAATTAAACAACGCCATTTCGAACAGTTCTGTTATTGAGGAGACACCATTTCTTGATAAGGACACGCATAAGTATGTTTTAATCACGTAGAGAAAATCTTCCGATGAACGAAATATTGGACCTGATGTTTGAAGGATTTGCATGATTAATCGTAACGAAAATATTCGAGATTTTAAATCCAAATTAGTTCTAAACAATGAAGAGATGTCATTCCAATGTGATTCAGCATTCATCGATTACCTCGGATCAGTATTGCTCTTATCTTTTATATCCCGATCGGATAATTTACACAGCGCGCGAAAGACATAATAGGCGTTTTTGAAATAGTTATCGGCTGATAATTCTTCAGCGGATAGAGCGTTTGACATGGTGATTTTGGTCGACGATTGATTAGCATTCGTTTGAGAATCTATACAAAGAAGCAGACAATACATAATTAGCTAACCAATAAATGAGAAGAGAAACAGGAAAAATCTGTTCGATAATAAACTTTACCTAAACCATTTCTTGTTAATCCATTGTCGATTTCATCTTGTGTTGATCTCATATCTTCGATTATATCATTAGTCGATAGCAGCGTATTTTGCGTTTGAGTAGCTTCGTCTATTCAACATCAAAACGTTATTTTCTCCTGTATATGCATATTTCGTCTTACCATAGCAGATTTTTTCTACTAGTTCATCAAGAACTTCTTTGGTCACTAAAAGTAAGTCGTGGAAAAACTCATCTTGGCGATCAAGAGAAAGTATTTACCGGTGAAAATATTTTCTCGATCACTTGTAATTGTATTAGCCGTTGAATCTTGTTCATATTGTTGTCGATATTCATTCAATAATACCTAAAATGGTTCACAAGATAAGTTTTCCTTGCGATTGGAAAGAAATTTTTCACCATCTTTTGTTCCATCTTCGCAAAAATTCCATTTAGCATTTGCGACAGACATCCTTGTGCTGTTGCTTCATTGATCTTCGATCTACTGGTTAAGTAGATATTGAAACATGTTTTTATAATTTGTAATACGCTTCGTTGATGAATTTCAATCGTTTGAGACGTCATTATCGTCAGCAATGCCTAAAACATCAAGGAGATTCAGTTGAGTTATTCGAAAACTTGACAAAAACTGACTTTGATGATTTGTAATTCGACTTGTTCTTCGGTTTGTACACCACGAAAACACATGCATATTGTCGAAACGATTCGATCGATTAAGAGCTTCGATGGGTCGATCGGATCCGGAACACTGCCAAGTAAATGTCCATGGAGAAGTAATTTCTGCAAAAATATCGCGAGAAATGAGAGTTACGATGACAATTCGTATCTACTTGAAGACAATCTAATGACGTGTCAACCATTCGTGGATGATTGGATGCACATGCTAACTCAAATGGAAGAAAATATTGCTCAGCGTTCAATAGCTGATGATTTGTGGAGGGCAAAATCGAGGATTCATTGATTCTATAGGAGAAACCGATAAGCATGATCGATGATGTAAGGCAAAGTGTGAAGCCTACTGAGATGTTTGCGTGTCTTTAGCGACAGATGCTAAAGCTGTTTCACAAGCTCGTTTTAGTTGTTGATATTGAGATTTTTTTATATCTTTTTCGTTTAGTATTTTTTCCAATGCACGTTTAAGAAACATATTTTTGTGATTATTTGTCGAGAGATTTTCGTCTTTGACTTGTTTTTCTAACATTGAATAAAGCTAAGCAAAAAGAAGACAAAACGCCAGAGACTCTTAGCAATGAATCATTGGCAGCAGTATCTAAAGAAAATGTTCGAAAACATATTTTTTGTGATCTTCAAATAAAAATATAAATATGATGGATGGATGTATGGATGTTTTGTAGAGCTGGAAACTATCAACCAATCTGATTGATGTTTGATAGAAGAAGAGGAAAAGGAGATATTTAGTAGATGGAGCCAATGATCAGATGAGGATGTTCGTTGGAAAAACTAGTATATATATGATTTGAGTGAAGTGAAAAGAGAGTCACATCGTCAATATTTACTATATATAATGGACGGATGTGTACGTTGTTTTCATATTTGAATGACGCAGGAAATGTTGCGTTCTCGTGTAAACTGAGGAGGATTTGTAGCTTTACATAAAAGCTTGCCATTCAACAGGAGTCTTTCAGTTTTTTACAAGCTTTCTCAATGAAATGCCTTCCGTCAAAGCATGTTCTAATACTAACTATAAGGTAGGATCAATTCACATCTAGATGGAATTTCTTTATTGATTCAAATACTTCATGTTGCTGAGTGCATCGTCTAATCGAGAACTTGCATATCCAACAGCGCATTGTTTTCGACAGACGCTGCACTATAGTCGGTCTCTGATTTTCCGAGAAGCGCGTCAATAGAGGTCGCTAATGTACAAGGTTCCGCCGTTTATTCGCTGATGTTTTTTTTCCAAAATGAATTGGAGAAAAAAAGCATCCAGATTTCATCGGAGAATTATTTCGCAATTTATTTCAATTGAAATAAGTTATTAAATAATATCTATTAATAACTTAATTCAATTATGTGATTCGCCTTTCAACAAGTTGTCAAATAAGGAACGAGCTGAGAATGATTGAACGCTCTAGAGTCGGAAACTATTTGTATTTACTACTCGATTTTCCATAACAAATGCTCGCTTTTGTTTTGGCTCTTGTCATGAACCACGTTCGAACACATTTCTTTCCTTGTCTAATTCATCATTGGTCATATTAGTCATAAAAATAAAATGTCAATAACACAATATTGTCACATATTTTCTTTTGCGTCACGGCATTTTAGATTCTTTTGTTTTTTCCATTGATGAATAATGGAAAGTGATCCTGACTCACCGCCTGCCTCTCCTCCGACTGAAACAGCTGCCTCATCAATTGTGAATCTCTTTTTCAATGAAGTTAACAAACAAGATGTCAGCGGGTTACTTCATGTTCAAAGCTCGTTGTATGTCATTTGAGAAGTTGGTATTTTCGTACTTGTGCATGTTTTTAGGTTGGAACAGTTAGATAAATCCAATGAAATTCTGGAAGGAACTAATAGAATCTCGGCAAAGCGGTATTTGGATGCGACAAGAGAGTATGCGAATCATACGCAATTGCTAGTAACAATGAAAACAGATTTAGATTCGATTTTCCAGCGAATCAGGTACGATGAAATTCGCATTTCGATTGGAAATAATGATTTATTTTAGAGTATTGAAAACTCGATTGAATAAAAAGTATCCTGAAGCTTATGCGTCTGGTAAAACACTTCCAATTCTTGTTCGTGTCAAAAGATAGACATTCTATTTTCAGTGATTGAAATGCACAATCAACATGATTCTCTTGATGATGAAGATGATGATATCGTTCCGCCGATGGTATTGACTTTGATTTGCACTATATTCGACTTGACATTCTTCATTTAGAAATCCATGGGTAATTCATCGCTTGTGAAATCGAAAACAATCGATTGTTCTCAATTGCCACCGTCGATGCGGGAGACGTACAGTTTGGCTCAAATAAGCCAAACAACCGTGGACCAATCTCCAAGTTCGTTCGATACTGTGCGGCGTTTCGTCTATGATAAATCTTCATCAGGTGGACAAGAATTAAGTTCACTATTCAAAACTGCTCGTGATGAATTGAGGAAAATTAACGAAGGATTTCTTGGAAGTTCTAACCAGAAATCGTCGACATCTCAAGAAGAATAATTCGACTTTTTTTCTTTCTTTTAATGTGTTTTTCTTTGTAAACTTTTCAATGTCAGATTGAATATAAATAATCGTCTGTGTATTTTTTGTTTTAGATAACAAATAATTTCGATTTCAGAAAACGTCGTTCGGGTAAGTCAAGCGATATACCTCCGATCGAAGGTTGCTCATGTTTTGAAAAGTTAACCTCAATCTCAGCTGAAGAGTATTTGATTTTGAATTTGAAAAGCAAAAGAGTCAATTGAAGTAATTCTTAAACATTTTCTCCTTCTCATTTTATTGACACTTGAGACAAGATTTTTTATCAAAATCTTTACAACGATTCGAATTCATCGATTATTAAAACCATGAATAAATAAACACTCAACACAACCTTTTACCTTTCTTTCAGAAGTAATCAATGGCAACAGCATCGAATATAGACGATCTTCTACAATGTCCGATCTGTCTGGATGTACTAGCTGATCCTAAAGTTCTCGATTGTCAACATACATTCTGTGCGAACTGTTTGAAAGTACATTTAGCATCCATAGCTCGTCAACAAGGCTCGACAAACTCCGTTGATTGTAATGTCAATTTGTTTTCTTCTTGGTGATCTAAATCGCTTCCTAATTAGGTCCTACATGTCGTTCGCGAACTAATTTGATAAATAATTCCATCGACAGTCTTCCGGGAAATTACATTGTCCGTGATATAATCGAAAGACAGTACGGTACAACAACACCGGAGCGTCCACCTGGTTATGCTCAACAGATCCAAGATCGACTACAGCAAATGAAAAAAGACGAAGATGGTTTTGATCTGGAGAAGTACGTGAAACCAGCTGTAGCTGCACTATTTGGAGTCATCGGTGGATTATTGTTAGCGAAAGGTGTAAAGAAAATGTGTAATGATGATAAAAAATAATCTTTTTTCTTTTGAACATATTTATTTCTGCTAATAATTTCTAATAAAAAAAAGAACATTTTGAATTTACATGTTATTCATGAAAAGAAAATACATAGATGTAATGAAAGAATTATTGTTATGATCGATTCATTGAATTCGTTAGAACACTTATGTTTTTTATTGAAATAGAATCGAAGAGATCCTTCAAAACCAGACGATATTGATCATTATAATCCGAATGAGATCTATCTGCGAAAGTGCGATTTATATGAAACCGTATATGGTAATCTGACTATTATTTATTACGTTCAAGGCTATTCCTGCAAGTTAAATCAATCGACTGATTGAATGATGAAGTCATTTCGAAAAATCTCGATTAAAATTTCAATATTTGTTTGTTAGAGAAGAAATGCTTGCCTTCAACTTGTCCTTGTTGACGTATTCTTCACTGTAGATAATCATAATATATATATAAATGTTTGTATTCATTTGGTTGATCGAATAGCGGGACGAGGTAAAAAATTGCCTATCCTTCACCTTTCAAAATAATCGACCTTGAAAAAATTCTTTCATGTTAATAACATTCTATTAGTAAATTTCATCTTTCGCTTTTATTTCTATTCGATTGAAAAGGATCAACATGAAGGTAAGAGAAAAATTCGACCTGGAAATGAACACAGTCATTTAGCTTTCTTTTCTCGGTTTAACTCATTACATTATTAATGTGTCCGATAATGCATGTACGTTTTCTTTTTCTTCTTTTCTTTCTCGTTTTGTATGTATAGGTGCAGATCATCACCTACATCGTACAGGTTTATTCAACAAACAACACAGACAAACATATCGAAGTGTGTCTGCTATTGCCCATCTATACATAAAGGGAGAGAGAGAGAGAAGAGAAATTGTCGCGTCGAAATGCTGTCGCACAAGTTGAGTTCAAATCGTTGCACGTTTGTTCTTCTCGCGTTTTTTTCTTTTTCTCTCTAATATTTTGTACCTCTGTTCAGCGAGAAGAAGAAAAAACGCAGACTTGCACGGTATATATATATATGTACGATAGTTCAGGGAAAAAACGAGATTGTCCATTGAGGTGACGAGCTGTCAGCATATACACGAGCGACTTATTGACGATTAACTTTAGTAAAAGTGTTCACAGCAGGAGAAGGAAAAAAAGCAATTGCATCGATCATTCTTTTCTAGAGAATGTCTTTTGATGAACGTGATAAAATCATTCTCACAATTATATGCAGTGTCATCAGTTTTGTATTTATTATTATTATTATTTGTTTTATTATTTGGTTAATTATTCATCAGTATCGTTCGAAAAATCAAGACAAGGGGTCAATCGACAGACATCCGCCGTCGCCTATTCCAACATATCATCGGACACAGAAAATTCCGCCGGTTAGTAATACTCATCATATTAAAGGAAAAAAACGACGAAGATTCAATACGAATGAGTCAACAATCACTTTATCTTTCGATCCTCCGCATTTGATTAATCAAAATGTGAAAAATTTACAGAAATTACTCAACAACGAATCAACATTGACCGCGAGCTCGTGGCACTATGAAGAAACTTTTCCGAAGCGATATTGGTAAGACAGAAAAGCCTTTTTTCTAGCCAACCAACACAACCAACTATCGTTTTAGTTGTCACCAAAATCTATCGAGTGAGCCTGTCTATGCGTCATCTTCCACTGTCTTAACATCTGTGTCAAATCTCGCATTTCCATCTACTCGACCCTCACATCCAAATATTCATTTCCTAAGTGAACTTGATCATGTTCTACGATCAAAGCAAAATGTTCGACCTAAATCTTCATTAAAACATTCTCAAAGTTGCCGGCAACCGACAGACTTATTACCATTTGATTATTACCGTGCGGATACTTCACCGTCGACTATCACGGGCACAAATTCAAGTAGTAGGAATTCGTTTGAACCTACTCATGACTCTACGAGAAAGTATCCGAATACCACATTAGCGCGAAAGGCCCGATTAGGTCAATTACGAGATGACACGGCTATTTTGTATTGAAATCAACGAATTCCTCTCGAGTTTCTTTTTTGGTCTTCAAAATCAAGTATTTGTGTCCTGTTTGAATCTTGTCACTGATGAGATTCGATCAAGGCGCGTCTCAGATGACAAGAAACATGTGTGTATGTTCAGAGATGAATGTTTGCTTTATTTTTATTGTTCTAAACGTGTGTTCATCATTGTGAAGAAGATTATGTTCCGATTTCGATTGTAACAATTGAAGAAATCGTGTAAAGAAGAAAACGAAAGTTTTATTGTCAATCAAGGACACATTTATATCTTTTATTTCATTGATAAACTGCCTTGAAAACGGAGAAAAGTGTGCCTAGTCTCTCTTACTTGCAATATTTATTGATTTACACGATTAACTTGAAAAGGTTTTTATAGTCTGTACATGCGCGCGAGATTCTTCCTGTTGATTTAAAGAAATCTAGATGTTGAAGATTTTTGAATTCGATAAGATGAGACGAATAAGAATATTTGCTTAGGTTAACATAGACATTTTCTTAATGCATCATCTCTCCTAATTACAAACGATCAAATCACTTGTCAACAGAAGTCTATGTTTGGTTGTAAAACACCGTCGATCGTATCTTTCATGATTGATATCGAAGATCTCTGTATGCAACAATGCTTTTTCACTGACAAGAACAAAAAAGAATCAAGAAAGATTTTCATTTAAGAAAAACAAAGACACTTCAAATGAATTATCTAACTTGTTGCTTTATCAAACTTCATATTGTTTAGTTATTCACTAATACTGCTCGGCCGACAGTCAAAAAAGATATTTGTCTAAAGCTTTACTTCATACGAACGAAATTTTCGTTATCTAATGAGAACAACAGAAAGAAAAACATTGATGGCGAACATCGACATACACAGCTGAGGATAGCAGATCAAATCTTTACAAGAAGACAAAAGCTTCGTTTTGCTTTGCACACACAAAACATGTTAATGCAATTTCTCCTATTCTATTTGTTCGAGTTCTCCATTGCTCAGCAAATCGGTGGGACATCAATGGAATCAACACATTATGATCGTCGATTATTTCAACAAAAACAATGTTACGTTCCTAATCAACTCAAAGAACTCTATCAACCTAACTATTGGATCACTGTTCGATCATTGCCATCGTTCGAAATGAATAATAGCTATATAAACAATTCTCTTGCTTTCCAGAGACAATTGATTTTTCGCAATCAACATGATCGATTAGTGACAAGGGTTTCATCGGGAGCGATTGATCTTAATAATACACGACCATTGGGCATTGATCAAGCGTCGATTAATATTACGGTTGACCAACAGGTAAGAATGATGATGATTTGATTCGACAATTGATAAGCGTATGAAAACAAGGACTTTTAGTTTAACCTTTTCGTATACGAAGTAAATCCGATGGATTAGTCTTTGATAGAACCGAAAGATTAGAAACAAACTTTTTCTCAGGTGTACGTGAAAAACAACAAGTTCAGATCCTTTTTGCTTCGTTTAGATTCAAAATGATTTAACATTGTACCTTCAAGTTATTGAATGTATTGATTGTCCCTATGAAGTCGTTACACAAGATTTATCGTCAACGAAATCAATTGAATTAACATTGAACACAAAATTTAACTATCGCATTCGTATAGAACTGAATTCAGCACTATCGTGTCAAGATACGTTAATTCTTTACGAACACGGTTATTATAGATTCGATGTTAAATTATCATCACTAACGAACTCGACATTTCAATGTCTATTGACAAGACAACGTTCGCCTAATAATGTTTATATCCCATTGATTGTTGGTGGTGTTATATTATTAGTATTATTTGTGGCTTGTCTCGTTGCTCAACGATTCAAATTTCGTGCATTTCTGATCAACTTGAGAAATCGCGTGTCGGATCGTGTTCCACCACAAGAATCAGCACAGTCGTACGATCTACAATCACGTGCACCTGTTACGACAAACAATGAAGCCGATACAAGTACAGCTACAGCGAAACAACAATCGGAACATAAAATGTCCAATGTTCTCGTTCCTCGATCGAAACGTTTATTGAGTTTGGACGCTTTTCGCGGCTTTAGTAAGATAAAATCATCTCGAAATAAACATACATTTGCTTTGTTTTCAGCTTTGATAGCAATGATTTTCGTTAATTATGGTGGCGGTGGCTACGTTCAATTCGAACATGCGCCATGGCATGGCATTACCATCGCTGATGTAGTCTTTCCATTCTTTGTTTGGATGCTAGGAACATCATTGGTATTCTCGTTAAAGAATGCAATTGATAAGAATGTATCAAAGAGATTTCTACTGAAGAAGATCGCGGTGCGGACATTAAAATTATTAGTAAGTTTTGTTTGAGATCTTCGGTGAAAAACGAGAAAGTGCTGTTCGTTATGTTTAGTTAATTGGTTTTATTCTAAATACACGGTTCAAAATAGATTTTGCTGTCGTACGTTTTCTTGGTGTTTTACAACGTTTTGGTATTGTGTACGGAGTCATCGCAACGATTGAAGTGCTTTGCACCCGTCCCAATCAATATTCGCTGGAAACGGAGATCTCGACAGGAACGCACAAAGCTAAACAATTTCTTCGTTTATTCCGGGATATCCTCCATTTTCCATTGCAATGGTTGATTAATCTGGCTTTAGTCTTAATTTGGTTATTGGTAGTTTATTTAGTTCCATTTGAGAATTGTCCTGCAGGATATTTAGGACCGGGTTAGTTAGTTTGCTTTTGTATCATTGAATGGAGTACATCCAAAAGTATGTTTAGGTGGATTGCATGAAAATGGCAAATATATCAAGTGTACTGGTGGAATCACTGGCTACATCGATCGAATGATTTTCACTGAGCAACATCTTTATCAAAACCCAACATGTCGAGTTGTTTATGGTAGGATAACCTATTTATGGATCAATGTGAATGAATGGAATTTTCAGGTTGTAAGCCACCCTTCGATCCGGAAAATTTGTTTGGTGCACTTCCGACGATATTTTTGGCATTTCTAGGCGTTCAGGCAGGAAGAATTCTAGGTCAGATCGAATATTTGCTACGTTTCTTGTCAAATTCTGTGTATTTCAGCTGTTTATCAAACGGATGTGGAACGTCTTGTTCGTCTGTTTTCGTGGAGTATCTTGACAACAGCAATAGGTGTAGGTTTAACTGCTGGAACACTAACTGGTGGACCAATGCCACTGAACAAAAATCTGTGGACATTATCTTTTTCATTCTTTACCGGTAAAAATCTTTCTTCAAACGAATATCATTGACAGTTGTATATTTCTATCTAGCTGGCTTGGCATTCGCTGGTTTCTCCATCATGTATATTCTTATTGATATGCTCAAATGGTGGAATGCAACACCATTCCAGTATCCCGGTTCGAACTCGATACTGATCTATATCACACATTTGGTTTTTGCTACATATTTTCCTGTTCAATGGCAGGTGGTAGATACACATGCAGCACATCTTGCTATGGGCCTGTGGGGATGCGTATTTTGGATAATTATTGCGTATATTTTCTACAAAAAACGCATTTTTGTCGTACTTTAAAGCACACTATGGCTGCTAGTTTAGCTAAACTAAAGAAATCGTTTAGATTGAATGAATCTCTTGTTTGTTTGTTTTTTGTTTCTTCGTTCTTTCTTTGAAATGCATTAAGCAAGCAATGCGTCACTCTGCTTATGAATTGCATCTCCACTGAAGTTGATGAACTGTACTTGATGTATTCATCTAATCAACATTCCACAGTTGTTCGCCAGAAGGTTAATGTAAAACTTGTTACAAGCGCTTGATTTGTTTATTTTAAACTTTTTAACTTCTTGTCATCAAGTAACATGACGACACGTTATGCGCTATTTGAAATTGAACTTGACATGCAGAGTTGGCCGCATCTGAACTTCAATTAAGTAATTGTGTTCAAGCGAAAATTCTCTGAAGTGTATTAAGAACAATGAAACATCGAATGTGACTATACATTGATTCTTAAAAATTGTACAAGAGAAAAAAGGTAAATGAAATCAAAAGGTTTGTCTTCATGGATGGTCTGTTGTAGAATTCAATCAACTGATGTATATTGTTCTTTTCCATTTTGATCGATCTTCGATAGAGCCATACCGCTAAACGAATATATACACATATAAGAAGAACATTTGACAACATACTCGGTTAAGTAGAGTTGAAAGACGATCAAGTCGACTCGACAAACGTTTCAGCGGGTCAGCAGTTTCACTAACTGTGACTATTTTTGGTTGTTCGTCAACTGATACAACATTGGTAGCCGGAAGTCCTACAATTGACATTTGAGAAGAAGAAGACGACGAATCAAACACAAATGACTTACCACACAAATGTCGAATTTTTTTCCTTAGACTTGAGAACACACCCATATAATCAGAGTGCGTTTTATAAACATCAGCCTGAACACTTCGGAAGTTATCATTAATGATTGATACAAACATGTTAATGCAAACAAAGACAACGAATAAAATGAATAATGCGAAATACAATGGTCCTAAAACCGGCGCTGCATTCTTGATACCCGTGGCATCAAACTTCAAAAGCAACATTTCAAATAACATTTGCGCTGTATGTAATAAAGTTGAACATTCCCATATATAAGCAGTAAATTGTAGATAATATAGAGTTAAAAAAGCCATAAAAATAACTGAAAACATCATTGAAAAGGAAATCAATTCTTGACTTGCGCGTTTCAATGTATTCGAAAGGAGATTTAAACGTTCATTGTAACGGCACAGACGTAAAAGTCTTAACATCCCGAAAAAGCAGCAAAAGCCAAGGAGAAATGAAAAGATATCATTGATATAAGCTAGGAGTTGAAAATTTAAATATGTCCCGCCACTGGTTTCACGAAATAAACTTCCAATTCGTGATGCTTCTTTCGTACGCCATATGTGTATACCAACAGCTGCCCACGAGCAAAAAATGATTCCTAATTCAATGTACGACCATGCTTGTCGAAAATATAATTTCTTCAAGCGAATTATTGAGCGAACTTCCATAATCATGAAACAGATAATGAAGACGAAATAAATCGCCGCGCAGGTAATGTGAAAGGCAGAATTGAAAACTAAAGAACAACGTATATTGAAAGAAGAATTCGAATTCTTAGAAAATTTACCGTATAAATCCAACGGCTCAAATCGAGCACTCGGATAAATACCACTGCTTGATAAGATTTCAATGAGAATGGCTACGGATGTGAATATTGCGATGTTAGGATTGAATAAATTCAGTTGAATCAGTACAGCTCGTGTTGGAGAATCAATCCATTGCAATTGGTGAAGCTGATTGAGTTCATTCCGAAGTTTGGACAATGAACCACGAAATTCATAAACATAACCACCACTTCCATATGTTTGAAGTTCGCCTATATAAGGATAAGTATCGAGCTGAGCACTTGTTTGGTAAAGAAATGCTTGAGCAATCGATAAACTATAGTTTTTCGTAGCATTCATTGTCCAACCCGGTTGAAACGAACGTTTTTCTTCAATAGATAACCCGTATTCGTCATAACAGTGTCGAATAAAAGTTTGCATTGATGTCTTTATTCTACAAGTATCTAAACATCATAAAAGAAGAATATTCATTTCTGTTCAAGTATGTGCAGATCGCTATGACATAGAAATACCTGATAGGTAAACGAAACGGAAAACTTCTCTGAACAGGAACACTCAGAAACTCAGTTTGATAGGAAGAAACATGAAAGAGAGATTAGTACCTGCTTTCACTCGTAATTGTCGCATTGTTGCCCATCCGATCAAGCGATTTGTTCGATCGCTAAGAAATCCTATTGATGCGTTATCCGACCGTCCGTTATACCATTGCTCAGGTTCAATAGTTTCGATGAAGCTTCCTTCTAACCAAGTCCAGAATTGAGCAACTGTTGAAATCTTTCAATTGAATTCATATTAGAATTGAACCCTAATATAAGATTGATATACTTACAGCTGTAAAGTTGTATGACGCTCTCGGTTGATTCAGAAACAGATCATTTAGATGCCGCGCTTGAAGATATTCTTGTGAATTACGACTTAGAAAGCTTATGAGGGACACAACAATCACGAAACTTAAATACGACAATAATTCAGCGATGAATCTCCACATTTGTTTGTTTTTGTGTGTCACTTATTCAGTGACTACCAACGACGATGAGAAAACGAGAAAATAACCTGTTCTTAGCAGCAACTAAGGCTGTTAATAAGTAACTATTTTTATTAAATAGAAGTAGGCAAAAGAAGAGAAGGAAACTATTCACAACAGTGAATACATGAGTATAGACCATTTGCTATATGAAAGAAAAAATATATTATCTTGGAGAGCTTTGCGTTGGAAGAATAAATACAAGATTTTTAATCAACAAATCTATCTCTAAAAGTATGTCCTTGTCGATTTGTCTTGTTGCAAATACCGCGCATCAATGCTCGTAGTTACCTTGTTTGTCAGAAGCAATACAAAAGAAAGGCTCACCAGCGTTACCATGTACAACTGAGCTGATGAGAGAGAGAGAGAGATAGATTGCGCACTTGAACTCAGAAATATATTTTAGGATATCTAAGAGTCAATTTCGATTTTTCAGTGTTGCAGAAATTCGTTCATAATTATTCATAAAAATGAAAACATAGCTTGGCTAATTGTTGCTAGATGCACCGAAACCAATTGACCCATGAACGTAATTCTACGCACGCTAGAAGCCCAACACACTTCATTGCTGCTCAAGATACAATGATTACCTATAATAGTGGCATATTCGTCTACCGCCTGTCCTTTTTCAAACAAAAATATTCAATGATTTTCCTTTTCAAAAACTCCGTCTCATCCGAACACAGCTGTTTTTTTTTGCAATTAATCGAAATGATATTCATCATGCAGAATATTATACAAATTATTTTAAAATTAGATGTATGATTTTACCAGTATATGATTATCTCGAGCAAGAGCAGTCAAAGCCGACCTCTTTCGGTCTTCTACTGAATTGCCTTGCAAAAATACAACCAATGTATGATATAGTAAATCTTTTTCTGTTCTTCATCATGGTCTTCGTCTTCTATTTTGCGTTTTTTTCTCTCTCTCTCTCGCGTAAACCATAAGTCATTGCGTGCGCTTAGGACACAATCAACAACAAATAATAAATAACGACGAAAGAAAGACAAAACGTGTTTACGTATAGAAGCATCAGTCTGCCAGTGCGTGTTAGTGCACTATGCAGTATAAAAAAAGCAATGAACTTAAGCATCCGACGTATACTTTGAAGTTTGGACAAGACTAGTTTTATTATTTCTCTCGACTCTTCTTGGAGAACTTTTCGTTTGCGTCTTTGTAGAATCATATAAATGACGGAAACGAGCAGCGTGAAAGAAATCGTACCACCTCAACTAGATAATTTACTCAAACTTGATCCCTATCTTGAACCATATCAAGGTGAAATCAAGCGACGGTAAGAGAGTTTTCCCATAAGACTGAAAGAATGTTACTTTTTATTTAGTTATAATGTATTCAAAACGATTCTCAATCAATTGGACACAGAAGAAGGAGGACTCGATAAATTTACATCAGCGTACACACACTATGGTATTCATGTTGATTGTCGTACAAATGAAATAAGAGCAAAAGAATGGGCACCTGGTGCACGTGCAATGTATCTTCGCGGAGATTTCAGTTCGTATTCAAAGATTACATATGTCTTCAGTTGAAGAAAAATGTTTTGTTATCTGTTTTCCAGACAATTGGCAAGAAAAACAATATCCATTTACACGAGACGAATGGGGTATATGGAGATTAACAATTCCACCTTTAGCAGATGGAACACCAGCAATAAAACATGGTCAAATCGTAAAAGTATAATCGTAATAGACATTAATATTCCATAGACTGCTCTTTTTGTCTCAGTTGCTTATTGAAACACCTGGTGGTCAGTTGGAAGATCGTATCTGTCCATGGTCACGCTATGTTCAGCGAGCCGAAAAGGCCAACACATATCACGGTGTTTTCTACAATCCACCTGCTGAACAAGTATACAAATTCAAACATGAACAACAGAAAAAGAAAGAACGACTGAAAATCTACGAGTCACATGTCGGTATCAGTTCATGGAAAGGAGAAGTTGCTACCTATGAAAACTTCCGTCTTAACGTTCTTCCACGAGTTGTTAGACAAGGCTACAATACAATTCAATTGATGGCTGTTATGGAACACGCTTATTATGCTAGTTTTGGTTACCAAGTAACAAGTTTCTTTGCTGCTTCAAGGTTTGCTAAACTAGCGAGAGAAAACATTGTTTTCATATCAAGTCTTTTTGTTATCTTTTAGCCGATTTGGTACTCCGGAAGAATTGAAAGCATTGATCGATGAAGCACATGGTCTCGGTTTAACCGTTCTACTTGATCTTGTGCACAGTCACGGATGTAAAAATGTGTATGACGGTATCAATATGTTTGATGGTACCAATGGCTGTTTCTTTCATGATAATTCGCGTGGTTATCACGATCTTTGGGATAGTCGCTGTTTCAATTACATGCAGTAAAACGAATTCGACTTCTGAAAGCATGCAAAATCTCGTTTGAACTCTAATTTTAGACGTGAAGTTATGCGATTTCTTCTCTCGAATATTCGATATTGGTTGGAAGAATTCAAATTTGACGGTTTCCGTTTTGATGGTGTTTCATCTATGCTCTACCATTCCCATGGCATTGGTAAATCGAAGTGAACTTTGATCCCGATGTCTAATAAGTCCATTTCTGTTTTCAGGTCATAGTTTTTCGGGCACATACAACGAATATTTTGGTCTAGCTACGGATACTGAATCATTCAACTATCTCCAATTAGCTAACCATGTTTCACAAACATTATATCCTGAATCGATAACGATTGCTGAAGTAAATCTGTCCGATACTTTTGTTTAATTATACATTTCTTTTAGGAAGTATCAGGAATGCCAACCTTATGTCGTCCGATTGCTGAAGGTGGTGGTGGATTTGATTATCGTTTAGCTATGGCGATTCCCGATGTTTGGATCAAAGTTTGTATTTCATTGTGAATTCTCTTACTTTCAACTGTTGTTTTATAAAGTTATTAAAAGAAAAATCAGACGAAGATTGGCAAGTCGGAGATATTTCATGGACTTTAGTCAATCGTCGTTGGTCGGAAAAGAACATCGCTTATTCCGAAAGTCATGATCAAGCACTTGTCGGAGATAAGACTATTGCACATTGGCTATTTGATACTCAAATCTACACCCATATGTCGGTGTTGTCTGAACGTACACCTGTTGTTGAGCGTGGCTTAGCTTTGCATAAGATGATTCGTTTGTTAACATATGCCTTAGGTGGAGAAGGTTGGCTGAATTTCGAAGGTAAAGCATCGAAAATTACAAACATGTCATTCGCATGTAGTCTTATAGGTAATGAATTTGGTCATCCGGAATGGCTGGATTTCCCTCGCGCTGGAAACAATGATAGTTATCATTATGCTCGCCGTCTGTTTTATCTAAGTGACGATGAAACATTACGTTACAAGTATCTCAATGCTTGGGATCAAGGTATGAATGCCTGCGAAGAACAATATAAATGGCTTGCAGCAAAAAACACAGTAAGTAAAATGTTGATAATCATATATTATTTGTTCTTTTTCATCTATTTAGTATATCAGTCGACGACATGAAGGTGATAAAGTTCTCGTGTTTGAACGCGGCGATCATGGCTTGTTATTCATTTTCAATTTTCACACACATAAAAGCTTTCCTGACTATCGTATTGGTTGTGCTCGATGCGGAAAGTACGTGTTTGATGTTTCTGAAATCCAATCTGCATTGCTCTCGTTTAGATACAAAGTCGTACTCAACTCAGATTCGAAAACATATGATGGCTTAGGTCGAGTCAGTGATACTCAAGTCTTCCTAACTGAAGATACAAAATGGGACGAAAGACCCTTTTCATTCAAAGTCTACACTCCGTGTCGTACTGTTTTAGTGCTGGCATTGACCGGTGACGTGAAATAGACGAATAGAGACTGGTTTGACTATAAAACAGACCAAGTTTTAATCTCGCATTTTATTTGCTATTTTTGTCGATCGTTCAAGCATGGCTAACTTTTTCTTACTAGTATTGCATTTTGTTTGTCTTTCGCACGGAGAAAAGTAAATGAAAATTCTTCATTGTCCAATCATATATTTTATTATAGTTTCAGCAGTATTAGAATAAAACAGAAGAGAACATAATCCAATTAGAAAAAAAGAACACATCCGTCAAATCTTGTCCTAAAAGGTCATGAACCTTTTCGAAATCTGTATTTTGTCATTCTAATTGCCGTCTTCAACACAAGCATAGAATAGAATGCTTTTGAAAATAATTGAACATCGTGCTATTCTATCTGTCTTGTTTGTACATCTGTTGAACACGGAAGTGCACACATGAACATTTAACGATTTAAATCTATTCTTAGTGCAAACAAAGTCATTCTGCGAGGTTCATCTAGCTTTAGTCTCGAACGACTAGATTATTATTTAGACTTCTATTTTCACTTCCATACGGATAAGAAGCAATATCCGATAAAAATTGATGTCTATAAAAAAAAGCAAATTTATCTTCTACTACTTATATTCTCTGGTAGCTTTTTCTTATCAGATTGCTGACGTTGTTGCCTACGTGAATCATGTCTATGGACTCACCTGATCCAAATCTCATCGCGTTCTGAGTAGAAAGTATATAAACTGCTACCTGATCGATAGTTTCATTACTGAAAAATGGTTACAGATTTCATAGCGACGTTTTATCTCTTATTGGCAATCTTCAGTAGAACATACGCTTCGCTGCAATGTTTTAACGACTGTCATTTTACTCAATCGTTAGATTCTCCACTGACCATTCCAAAAGAATGCAACAAGACTCGGTCTGATACATTATGTCAAGTTTTATCCAAGATAGACTACAAGCAAAACTTGTTGAAAGTGACGCTCGGTCACGAAATTTTCGATGATCGAAAACGAGCATTGCTTGATAAATACGATTATACTCAAGAAACAACCACAATTGATTCAACAAGTGTTCGTACAACTCTATTTTATTCATGCACATTAGAAGATCAATGTGAAGGAAAATTTCTACTCGATACAGTATCAAAAGTAATTAAACAGGATTATACTTCCATGCAACAAAGATTAATGGATCTCTTGGGTTCTTCTGAACCGTCTTTAATAACTTGTCGAACATTCAATCAAACGGTTCAGTGCAATGGAACATGTGCCAGTGAGCGTCTTCAAGTTATAAATGAGGAAACTAGTCAACCGTCGCATATACACGATTCGCTCTTCTGTCGATCTGACAAAACCTCACCAAATGTGGTTATCGTGACTGCAAAAGTACCAAGAAATAACAGAACAATACTTTCTCGTACGATTGACTTTGACTGTTCGAAAAATAATTGCAATAGTTTGGAAACAACAGATCGTGTTGAGAAAATTGTTAATGAAAATTATAAAGCTTTTTACTAATAATAAAATCAAGTAGAAACATCTTTCTAAATCGTTCTGTACCGATGCGCAAATGTAATTCAAGTACTTGCTATAGTAGTTGACACGCGACATTCATCAGAACAGTAATTTTTCTTGAAGTATCCTCAGACTAACGACCGTTTTCGTCGGAACAACTTTCGATTGGCACTAAAATAACTTTCTCAATCTTTGCTCTATTATCAGATGAAAACAAAACATATCAACGGGTATATACTCTATATTTATCCCCACTCATGAAGTTGTTTACTACTCCTCCTTTGCTCTTCGAGACCTTCTAGTCTAAGCAAGAGTTCATATAATTATCTATCTGGAAAGACGTTTATCTTTCGAGCAAAAACATAGCCTTGAAAGGAGAAGCATCATTAACTGGTTGATGTATATATGTTTTTTCTTTGATTCGATCATCTTATGTAATGATCAGAACAATTGATAACGAACATCGAATCGAGGAAGAATACTGATTGAATGTTAGGTAAGTCTTTTCTATTAACCTTGTCCGCGTATTCATTTCTTTTCGTTCATATACGTATCGATGATGGATGATGTCATCATTGGGAAGAAGTCTTTCTTTTTTTTATTATTACATTTACGCATATTTGAATTTCTTGTCTTGTTTATAAAAAGGCTTCTTCCTTTTTATGTTCTTCTGTTTTTGCATTGCATGAAGGAGAAACCAAGAATATGCCAAACACCGTTTTCTCGTTCTTTCTTTCCTTCTTCGCACTTTATTTAGTTATCTCGTGTCCCTTCCACCAACATTACAGTTCAAGGTCCGTTCAGGGTTATTTCTGCATTTGTATATATACGTAAATGTGTGTTTGAATAGCAGCTTGAATGAGAGAAAAAGCAAAAAAATTGCTTCTCTATAATCGAAGTAAGCGTATCTTCAGTCAAACGACTGAGGGGTAGAGGGAGAGAAAAATGAAAAGAAAAAGAATATACTATTTTATAAATGGAAGTAATATCCTATTAAAAACGACAACGACCAGTTCGAACAGATGTTCAAGGTTCTTACATACATAGGCACATATAGTACAACCTTGAGTCGCACTCGATCGATAAGTTCTTTTCTCTTCTTTTTATATATTCGTTCATTGATTCAATCAAAAGAAGAAGAGAAAGAACATTCGATTGCGTCATCTCTTCTGCTCATTGTCGTCATTCGTTGTTGATTACATTTATGTATTTTTGAGCAAGAAAAAGAATGAAGGAGAGAATGAGAACGAGCGAAAGAAAAAAAACCAAAGAATACAGGAGAAAGCAATATTTGTTCTTGAACACACATCATTACGCTATGGTGGAAAAGCAAGAAAAGAAGAAAATACCAGCATCAACAATGAATAATAGTAAGAGTCTAATCGAACCTTGAAAGCTTCGTTGTCGTCGACAATGTTGATGTTACTGCTACATCGAAGGTTGATTGATCGTCATTATGTCGTATGTATGTATACGTCTAAAGAGAGTTTAACCTTGTAAAAACGATGAAGAACAATGAGATTCCCGAAATTCAACAAGTTGAAGCGACCTTGACCGAAACGCGAAGTTCTCTCTCTTCCTCTCGTTTTTCTTGTCTATGTAAAGAAATTCAAGGCAATTGATGAAGGTCGCACATGTTTTGGATGAGAGATAGAGTGACTTGTTTTATCATTGTTCGTTTTGCGCAATATACATTCCTTCTTTCAACTATTAATTTAATATTGATTCAATCTGTTGACTTAAAAGTATGCAATTGTGTCAAACTCCTCTGATCAATTTTCGTTCTTTTCTTATCACAAGTGTAATTAGTTTCTATGTATTTGTATTTTTCGCTGAGCAGGAAAAAAAGAAAATAATGTCAAATAATGATTTCTGCACACGCACTCAACTAATCTGTTAAAATAGGAAACCTTGATAGTTAGAGACAGAAATAGGCAACCGGAAGTAAACAATCCTGGTTCAGAGTTTGTTTATAGATGAAAACATATCTTCACATCTATATATAGAGAGAGAGGGAGTCAGCAAAGAATGAAGGATTATAAATATTCTTCGTTCTGTAGCTGCGTGATGATGAAAAGACTATTTTGTTAGGAAAATGAGGAATCAAAAGGACATGCAATGAAAGAGAACAGTTTTGCATTTCATTCATACATTATTATGTAACATCAACAAGTTATCTTAGAATATGTTTATCATCTTTTTTCGTAGTTGATGGCCTTGCATATAGGACGGGACGCGAGAAAGATAGGAGAAAGAGGGGTAGCGAGAGAGAGAGAGAAGAGAGAGAAAAAAGGCATTACATCAAGTTCGAAGGTTGACTTAATGAAGGCATGTATGTACGTGCACATGAACATAAACAACATCAGTTCGATTTTTCTCCCTTACTTGTTTATCGTTCATATGCATTCTTTCCATGTACATATATACCGGCCAGCGAAGATACGATTCATATCTCGAACGTATTTCCGAATGACATTGACTTTCTTTTTTTTTTTTATTTGAATTTAATTTTATGTATATTAAATTCAATTGCGAAGCCATTGTAGATGATGTAATACTAATTGAAGATTGATCTATCGGTAAAACATACATATACACATGCAAAAAAGGGCAAGTAGGAGAGAGAGAGGAGAGAATAGGAAAGATTTTTTCTGTGATACTTGACACTAACGTACTAAGATGTGAATCGAACATAATACTTACATTTTGTGTTTTCTAGTCAATATTATTCTTTGATTGTGAATGTCAATTGTTTGTTTANTAGTGACACATCGCTATACGTATATGTATATTGAACAGATGGTTCTCATGAGAAAAGAAAAAGTTTTTTTTCCTCTCTTAACTTTCTTGTTGATTTCTATTCCAGATGCTTTGTAAGTTAGTAGTCATTGACGGCCAAATGGTCAGATAGTAAGCAGTGCCGACCATGCATCGTTCTCGTCATCCAATTGACATTTCACTCGTTGTTGATGATGACAACAATGAAGATGATGGTTCTCCTCATCATTTTATTCCATCAGCAACAAACGACTATTCCTCACTAATTGTTGAATCACCATCGGACACAATGTACCATCGAACTCGTTCGCCCTCACCATCGCCGACCTTCTCTAATCATGGACAAGGGCCACAACCAACAACCTCATCTTCTTCATCACCAGCAACAAGCACTTCACTTCGTCAGACTCATCGTCGTTTATCACACAGTAGTTCACTTCTTGACTCAACTGGTACTAATAATAGCGTTCACCGCGATCGTTTGCGTTTCAATACATGGCCACGTCATCGAAAAGAAAAACGTGATATACTTGCTGAATATGATAAACGTTTAGCGAAATCAGTCGTACAAGAATTGGGTATAGGTATCAATAAGACCTATCGTAATCCATGGGGTAATTTGTCTTATGCCCAACTGATCACGCGTGCCATTGATAGTAGTCCATGGAAACGGTTAACATTAAATGAAGTTTACGAATGGATTATCAAATTTGTACCTTATTTTAAGGATAAAATTGATGCAAAAACAAGCTGGGGTTGGAAGGTAAATAAAATTTCGTACGATTCTTATGCGCAGGAAGATAAAAGTAGATCGTAATTGGCAAGGGTTTTTCCAGGAAAGAATTCATTATGAAAAAAAATTTAATACGTAGATTATACTTTACAAAGATCTTCTCAGAAGAATCCCTCGTCTTAAACATCTTTATTTTGAAATTAGCTTGTAAAAGTACATCTATTTTTGATGAATTCACGTATTTTTCTGTATTTCTTACAATAGAATTCTATTCGTCATAACCTCTCGTTACACAATCAGTTTATTCGGGTGCCAATTATTTCTTCAATATCGAAAGGTCCTGTCAAATACGTTTGGACAATAAATCCGTCATTTAAGAACAATTCGCCATATAAAAAGTATAGTCTCAAACGAAAACGAGCGGCCGCCGCCGCTGCACTGGCGTCTCAAGCTGCAGCAGCCGTTGCAGCTGTTTCAAATACCAATTCAACATCATCAACGTCGACATTGTCGTTATCCCACGAACGAAATTCTCCGACATCGACATCGTCGCAGCCGCTCATTAATATGTCAAATAATTATCATCGACAGTCATCAACAACATCAGCAACATCGTTACCAAAAGCCGCTCGTCTCAATGAACATACCTCAGGAAATAATTCGTCTACACTTAATCAACTATCAGTTGCTGCTGCAATGATGTCAGCTGGTGTCACAGATCCAGCAGCCTATCGTGCATTTCTAAATTCGCAGGCAGCAGCTATGTTAAATAAGCACAAACAACAAACACTATGTTCGCCAACAACACCAGCGACACAATCATCATCGATTTCACATCGGCCAACACAATCTTCAACTTCATTTGCTCACGATACAGGACTTCCAATTCCGAAGAAAATTGCATTAGGAGCAGACAGATACAAACAACATCATCAACAACAACAACAGCAGCAGCAACAGCAACATGCCGAATGGCTGCTATCATCGTATCGGCAACAGCAACAACAGTCACAATATAATGGTCGCCACCCGCATTCATCTGTTGCTAATAAAATGATGATTAATCAGCAGCAGCAACAACAACAACAACAACAACGTCCACCTTATATCCCACATCCACCATCTTCATCTTCGACACGTATGAATACTGATATGAATAGTTTACCACCGTCATTACAACGTCGTGTTGACTCACCACCAGCATATTCGTCAGCAGCTGCTGTCGCTGCACAAAATAAATTATTAGCTCAGACCAAACTTTGGCATGCTGCTGTGCAAGCTGCTGCTCATGCTCAACAGCAATATCATCACCATCACCATCATCAGCAACAACCACCGCCGCCGCCGCCAGGAATCAATGCTATGAATGAACTTCAAAACTATATGAATCGTTCGAATTCATCTTCAAATGGAAATCCTAATAAGATACCAACATATTTGAATCCTGAAACTTTAAAACTTTTATCGTCGACGTCTTCTTCGCCGTCATCGTCGTCAACGACACCAACCACAATCGCAACAGGAAGTAGCTCCCACGATGAACCACACAGTTATAGAAATGATCCACGTTACAAACTAATGCGTGCGTCATATCCAAATGCGGCAACCGGTTCATTACCGCCTACATGTATGATAAGACAGACAGTGAATCCTAACAGTTCATCCGTATTGACACCGCAACAACAAATTGACATGGTCACAGCTGCATATCAAAATTACCGACGACGATCAAGTGGCTTTTCATCAACAACAAGTCATGGTGGACCGAGTGATGACGAAAGCGATGAATATGTTCCACCAAGGAAAGATTCGGTATAAGAAAAAGACGTTATATCTATTGAAAAGTTATCTTGTGCTTCTTGTTTTAGTCGACATCGAATGCATCCAGTGGTTATGAGTCAGGCTTACCACATAATCGCTTGTCACCATCGTTACCATCATCGGTTCGAACGGGATCAGGATCGTCCATAACATCGGAAATGTCCACGTCATCATGTTACAATGCGAGTAGTACAAAATTTTCAACAAAACGTTTATCTAAGATAAACCCCAATGATCACGATATTGACATCGATGAACGTCAGCAATTATCATTGAATTCGGTTGGTGGTTATGTTGACGATCTAATGGAACGCATACGGAAGATGCCACCAAAGAAACGTTCAAAGTTCTATCAAATGTTAGATGAAGAACGACTGAAAGATGTGAATAACAATAATCCAGATGTTCATGCAAAATCGAAAATTGACGAAGGCGATGATGATGAAAGCCAGCATCATATGGCCATGGACGTGTCTCTGCCGCTGGTCGTTTCCGAAGTACATAGTGAGGATGATGATGATCGAACGCTGATTGAATTACCACCTAATGGCGAACGTGCTAATCTCAACGAAGACGACGACGACGACCACGAAGAAATCAAAAAGAAATTCAAACAACAAGAACAATTCATCGGACTAAATGAAAAGAATTACGAAGAACTTCGAACTATGGGCGTACCACTGGCGGTATTGAAAGCAATTGCTTTTCAACAGCATCAACAAAATCAATCACATAGCTCGTTGAATAATCAATTAACCAACTTTCTAAGCAAATCAACGACAAATTCTTCTGAAGATACAAAAAGTCTCTTGAATGCTCGAACCATACTTCGCCGAATTCTGCAGCACCACCAAAAAGAACAGCAACAGCACGGAGGAAGTAATAAAGCTTTAGTTGAAACTATGGATTATACCACTGATGAAGAAGGCGGTCCGATCGAGGAAGATGAAGATGAACATCAATCATCAATTGTTACACCATGCCATCGAAACGGCGTCCGCTCGAATAGTCATAATCCAGGTACTGTAACACTCAATCCTAATGATATATCGTCTTTATCGCCGCCCACATCCACATCATCATCGCCTGATGAAACTGATGTAAATCATCATTCAAGTCCAAATTCAATGAGTCGACCATCCAGCACACCTGCTGCTCTAATTTCGTCTGGTTGTTCATTTTAACGCTTTCGATTTCGACACACAGGTCTTGTTATCTGTCATTCTCATACTTTCTTCAGGGATTTCTTTTCCTATCTACTGCTCACAGTGCAACTCTACGTTTCTTTTTCTTTCTCTTTCTGGTGTTCTAAACGTCAAAGAAACCTCAAACAAACGAATTATCATCGTTACGTTATACGTTTGCTCAGAATGTCTTTCTAGAAGACTGAAAACAAAAAACCAACATTTATCCACATGGAACTACAAAATTCATCTGCTTAGCAGTTTGCCACCCATACATGTACATAAAGGATTATCCTCGCAGAGACCTCGTTTACTTTCTTTTAATCTATGGAATCTCTCTCTTCGGTTCTTTTTTGTTTCGTTTCAATAAGAAGAAAAAGCAAACGATTCTCGAATACTAGTGATAACAAACAAATCAATTATACATACCTAGATGAACGTTTCAGGTATCATGCTCTATTTTTTTTGTTTTTTTTTGCGTTGCGATATTGAACAGAAAAAGTATGTTTATATGAAAACTTTGCATCGTTTCGAATGAACGAATTGACTTGCCATAATTGTTCAATTTTTCTTCTTTTTTTCTTTTCTTTTTGTTTTGTTAATACTCGAATTTTCCTCTCGAAATTCTACAATGTTTTTTATGCGCATTTTTTCGTCTCCTCGAATACCGATTGTTTTGAACTGCTCAGGGATTTTTTGTCAAACTTGATTTCTTTTTCAAAGAAGCCAACTCTATTTGCGTGTTTTCGTTCTGGCTTCACAAACTTTTGTTATTCAGAGCAAACAGTCCGATTTGAATTATGATGACGATGATCATATCCGTATCAACCTTCAATTTGTTTCTTCTTCGGTTTTTTTTTGTACAAATATTTGTCTCCCTTGTCCCTTAGTCACTTTATTGAGCAGTGCTTAGATTCTGGATGTTTTTATCTTTTACCATAGAACGTGTGAAGTCGACTTATATCTATCCAATTTTGTGTACGTGTGCATGTATATCTTCTTGTCAGAACAGTATCATCTTTTGTCGTTTACTTGTTCGAGAAAATTCAACTATGAATAAGTAGATGACCTTTCGACTCTTGAACATAGAACACCTCTCTTTTTCCTCATTGACTGGTTTGTCTATTTTCCAACTCTATCATCGGTATTACTAGAATTCATACATTGATTCATTCATTCATTGTCTTTTTCTCCTTTGTATGTCACGGTGTCAAGTATATTCTTTTTCTCTTGCGTTTTTTCCTATTGTGTGTATCGTTTCTTTCTCATTTTTCTGTCTATGTTTGTAATAAGTTTTCTTTTGCGAATAATAAGACAAACACGAGATGACATATGTCTACGAAAACAAAGTCGACTAAGAAACATACTGCTAAAATAGAAAACGATTAGAATTTATTTGGAAAATTCGTAATTACGATTGAATTAAGAGTAGCGAAAAAGAGCACATCCATCATTTTATACATGCTGATAAATATCACTAGAAGAAGCGGCGGGCTTAGGAAGATGCATTGCAAAACCGCTTTGCGCAAACTCTTGTGGGTGGAATTTATACCAAGCCAGTAATAAGTTTTGTAAATGTTCAGGATGTGTTGCGCCAAGTGCAGCAGGATTGATTGCAAAACAGACGAATGCTGTTCGTACACCAGAACTAAGAATGGACGACATAATTGTACCCATCGTAATACCAATGGTAAAGCAGAAAAATGCCGCCATGCCGGCAATAGCTGTTCGTGAGGGTGAACTTGGCATGACAGCGTAAACACCGATGCCACCGAGTGCTGCAGATATTAGTCCGATAGCGATTGTCACGATGGTTAGAGCATGTCCAGCAAGATCGTCGTTGACAATCAACGTCCAACCTCGTTGTTGAAATAGATTAAGAAAACTTTGACTGGCAGCACGAAAAGATTGGCCAGTTAATGCTGCGTAAACAAACGCCCATTCGTTGAGATATCGTACGAGTCCTTCAAATATTCGAAGTACACACACAGCAACACAACTGATAAGTAGAATAACGATATTTCCACCTCGACGAGCATTGCTTTCATTGACTTGTGCGACAACACGTAGTGCTTTAATAAATGCTAATATCAGAGAACCAAATGAAATCGTGCCGAAATTTGTTGTAAACGCACGTTGGACGCTAGCTTCAACAGCATATTGTCGATGTGCATCAGCTGTAAACCACCATTGACCAACAACACATGCTGTAACAAAATGTGTGATATTTCGAAATATTAAAGCTCCCCAAAACAAAGATGTTAAGAGAACAATGGCAACTAGACCACCTAGAACACCATTTGACGATGATTTCTGATTACCGTTCATATAATATTCAAAACCTAATGCCATTAAACCCCAAATAAATACCCAAACGAATTGTACGATCAGCATAATAATAGCAACACCCAATACAGATGGATGACTGCGTAGTGCAGCACAGCCCACTTGTATATGAGCTTCAGCAAAAGCAACACGGTTTCGAACGAGGTAAATATACCAAATTGAGAGGAGCACGAATATTAGCGTGATGATACCCATTGGCCAAGCAACAATGAATAGGATCACACAAATGAGAATTTGAATTGCTACGCCCATATAAAGCGAACATTTAATAATTCGACCAGCACACCGTTGAAGAATAAAAAATGATATAAATGCTACAAGACCGCTTAAAGCTGCAGCACCAACAAAAACACGAATAAACAAGTCAGCATTGTAGTCAAATGTACTTCTTGTTGGATCGTCGAATGGTCTAAGTGAATCGGCACGAAGTGCTGGTATACCTAATGCAAATCCTAGAATAATTACGACGAGAAAATGAATCCAAAATGCAATAGCAAAGCCACGGTCTTGCCATCCAGCCCAACCACTCTGAGTTTCAATTTTCGGATATTGATTCGCAGGCGGGAGTGCATTTTCCGTTGATGGCGCTGGCCCTGAAGGATATGGTGGTGGTACTGCATCTGTATTTGGATCAGTAGGATGTGTTATGGTTGGATATAGAGGTGCTTGGCCACCTAGTAGAGGAGACTTTTCAGTCATATTTGTTTGTTAGTTATCTAAGACAAAGAGAACGGAATAAACAAGATGAGTTGTGTGCTGAAGTATGCATATGTTATAACATCAGGTGTGATTACTGCAAACATTTTTTTCACTCTTCTTGCCATTTATTACATCGTGAATGCTGACTCAAGTATGCGTTCTGTTTCTTTATCAAAAAGTGACTTCATGTATTACTCATAGGGAAAACTATACTTAGTGTTCTTACTCATTCTAATCTATTGATCGACTCTCTCGTGATTTCTCAAGTAAAACAAATGCAGTGCTAAGTGACGATTTCTGATGGAAGAGATGCATGCGCTGATGGAACTACGCCTATATTTGAAGAGTCCTACAAATTGTTACGAACGACGTGATTAGGTTGTTATCGGAAATCACTAATTCATATTTCGGATTCAGCGTTCTACATCTCTTCGTTTTTTATTTGTAATTTCACCAACTGGTGTAAGTACTATTGTGATAAACATCTTCCAAGGATCACTGATAAGCAATGTTATCTGCTACAGGTTTATGCTTTTCAAAGCACCAACTAAAGAAAAGAATAGTTCAGTATTGATAACTCACCAGGTGCATTCGACGAGAGACATATTCTGTTTCTACACTCAGTTTCATGCTACTTCAGCGATGTCTCCGACTAGTGAAGACAGTGGCGACATCATTGGTTAAACTTAAAGGAACTTTTTTGGAAATAAATTCGAATGTTTCTCGTTGAGAAATATCATTTTACATGAAAGTTTTTACTGTTTGAAAATATTCATAGACACGTTCTTGATCCAATCAAGACCAAGCGAGTACGCCATTTCATTTCATTGATTCATTTTTTTTCCTACACGAACGAATGTCTAGATGATGAATGACAAGAACACGACGAATGGCTCATCTTCAAGGCATAGGCACGCTTGCTGCTGGTGTAGCACTCGGTGTTCTTGCTACCAGCACATATTTTCGTTTATGGGAAGGTCAAACATCGAAAGACAAGACTGCTTTGTTTCGCTACACACCTGACTTGTCAACACAAACTATCCGCCGATTGGATTCTAATTTTGCCGTAAGTTACGATCGTCGAACGCGAATACCACTATGGACAGTTGAACATTTGACACGTGAAACGATCACTCCGGGTAATAATGTCGATCGAGGGAAAGCATTGTTTCGAGAAGACGAACAGATACATTCATTTTTTCGTGCAACACTGCAAGATTATCGCGGTAAGGCTAACTCGAATGAGTTTGTTGAGTAGCTGAAGTCAATCGTTTTCTCGTTTAGGTTCAGGTTTTGATCGTGGCCATATGATTCCTAGCGCAAATCATCGACATTCACAAGAAAGTATGAATCGAACATTTCTCCTGTCAAATATTGCACCACAGGTAACGTCAGAAACAAGCTCTAGTGGAATGAAGCAAAAACTTTCTTGGGTTTTAGGTGGGCCAAGGATTCAATCGTGATAAATGGGCACAATTGGAAACGTATGCTCGGGCATTGGTGAAACATTATCCGGGTGGTTTGTGGATATTTACCGGACCACTTTATCTTCCTAGGTATTTTTCTTTTTTTTTCATCAAATAACGTTTCTATTTCCTTTCATTCAGACTTGATCCAGCGGATAATAAGCTATATGTCAAATATCAAGTAATTGGTCCAAATCAAATTGCTGTTCCGACGCATTTTTTCAAAATTATCATCGCTCAACAATCTAGCGGACTATTAGATATTTACTCATACTTATTACCGAATGAACCGATCGATAAGGCGTTGTCGCTCGATGAGTTTCTCGTTGCGCCAGAACTCATTGAGCAAAATGCTGGTTTTCTAATAACAACTGATAAAATTCAGAAGGAACAAATACGTGCAATCAATAAACCATGGATTGACTTTAAATATAATCTACCAACTCATTCTCAACGACAGAGAACATTACCACCACCATCTGGTGCCTAACGTCGCTCATTTCAATTTATGACTTTATTCTTTTGTACGCGAAGTCTACATTTTTTTTTAAATGTAACACTCATTGTTACCATAAAGCAGTGGTGCATGGATGAATTCTGGTGTTGTTCTTTCAACGAGGGCTCTTGGCATGATTTATCATACAATTTCAATGCGTTCATTTTTCGTGTTTTTTTTATTGATCTTCTTTGTAATATTAAAAAAGAAATTTCTACACTATTCGGATGCACTCGATATCTGTTGGGAGTTGAACTCATTTATTGCGCTGACATTACAGAGCATTCTAGCAAGTTCTCCAACATGATAGCTACGACTTACATTCTCCTTTCTTCAACAGAACAAAACAGGAAGATGAATCACATTTGAATACACGCCATTCTTCTTTCCGTCGACGAAAAAATAAATAAACGCAGTTGGTTTTGAGCTATAAATATAGAAGTATTGCTGCGTACATCTCACAAAATTTTCTCTATCGACTCAAACATTACTCTATCTCATCATTAACACAATGCCATGCCGATGTGAAGGTATGTCTTTTGAAAAATATCGGTCAATACGTGCAAATATAGAAATTCATGTCTCTTTCTCTCTCTCTAGCTGGGAAGTGTTCATGCAAAGATGATTGCATTAAAACAGGCACATGTAAATGTGAATCAACCTGTGATTGTAATAAGACAAGTGAGCCGACATGCTTCTTTTCTACGGCTATTTCTGACTATTAACTTGTACTGATTTAGACCAAGAGTGTGGCAGAGAAGGATGCAAATGCGAAAACTGTCAGTGTCCATCTGGATCATGCAAATGCGGCTCGTAAATATCACCACTTATATATCACATCTTAATTAGCTTTCTCTGTTGTTGTTGTTCTTTTTGTTCGTCTTGTGCTCAGTACTTTTAAAATTGCAAAGAATGAATAATAAACGAGCGAAAGCGTCCAGTTTAAGTATCAAATAGTAAAAGTTTGGTTTTCATATTTTCTCAATCGCAAAAAAACGATTTAAATCTTCTTCCGAAGACAGATGCAGAATTTTATTTTCTTACACAATCGTATCAACAATAAAAAAAATCATTTGTATTTATCAAATCGAAAGTCTTAAGAGACACTTTTCACTTTGAACATTTGCAAGCTGAACAATTGCAATCTGTGCATGCACATGCTGATCCACAGCTCGTGTTTTCATGAGAGCACGACTTGCAGTCGCATTTGCACGAGCAACTGTCTTCACAATTGCAAGGGCCGTTTTGACATCCAGCACCACATCCACAACCACCAGCTAGACATGAAGATGGAACATAGAGAGAGGTGATAGTACTAGGCAAGATGAGCTTACTTTTGCATTGGCATGGTTTTGGCATGTTGATCGGTTTGTTTGATTTGTAGATAATAAGTAGAGAATGAAGAAATGAATGAATGAATGAATGATTGAATACAAAAAACTATACGCATATATATAGATGTTTGTGAAGAGATGGTTGGATCAATGTAGGGGTGTTGTCGTTCTGTTGAACAGCACCCCTTGTGGAAGGAGAGATAGATTACATGCTTATCAGAGCACCCCTTTTCGCCTATGTTGCACCCCTCGTTGTGTTTCCTCACATATTTTTTTTTTACTCTTGGTTAGATGCGATCCTGAATCATTACAAAAAAGGGGTACACGTAATTTGTTGTAGTCTACACAGGTGGCGATAAGAAAAAAGGATCAAGGCGCACTATGTTTCGATGACGTCATGCATGAGAAAAATTACTGATCGACAGAGAACAAGGTGAGAGTAAAATATATCGTATATGGTGTCATCGATGTGACTGTAGTTTTTGGGAAGCTTAATTCTGATAAAATATCTAAACATAAAACATCCGTATACCGAATATTCATTTCCTTAATTGTTTCTCAACAATAAATTATCAATCAACAGTGAATGTCTGAAGCGATCCATCAAAATCATCAGAAAGCGAAAAAAAGGGGGTGCTCTGATAAACATGTAATCTATTCTTCCCTTCTACAAGGGGTGCCATTCAACAGTGGAACGGCACCCCCTATCATGTTATATACATGCACATATCGTTCGAACTATTCACTCTCAGACATATATATATACCCACAGAATTCTGTTCATTCATTCATTCATTTCTTCATTCTCTACTTATTATCTACAAATCAAACAAACCGATCAACATGCCAAAACCATGCCAATGCAAAAGTAAGCTCATCTTGCCTAGTACTATCACCTCTCTCTATGTTCCATCTTCATGTCTAGCTGGTGGTTGTGGATGTGGTGCTGGATGTCAAAACGGCCCTTGCAATTGTGAAGACAGTTGCTCGTGCAAATGCGACTGCAAGTCGTGCTCTCATGAAAACACGAGCTGTGGATCAGCATGTGCATGCACAGATTGCAATTGTTCAGCTTGCAAGTGTTCAAAGTGAAAAGTGTTCCATATTACTTCAGTTTCGTACATTTTATGTAGTTTTTGATTGATCAAATAAAATTGTTGACTGTAATTGAATGAACTGTTGCAGAAAACAAAAAAAATCATATCTATTTCATTCAAGAGACGACGCGTCATCTTAAACAGAAGCTTATAGTTGTGAATTGTGCACATGCGTAATAGACCAGTATGACAATAAAACTTTATTTCGACGTAGAATAATCATAAAAAGCTTGTTACGCATATCGGAACAACGTAACTTAACAAAAGAGTACGTTCGACAGATGATAACGAACGCCTATGATCACTGGGTAATGATTGAATGTGAATGAGCTAACATATTTTCTCTTTTAATCTCTAGCAAATGTCGAGTTATAACTTAAGGCTATCCACCTTCTTTCATCAAGATCCTCAGATTCGTATCTTGAATAATATGTTCTGAACATACATCATTCCCGAACTCGTGCATTCGAAACGCTGAGGATTCAAAAAGCGTACTCAATGATTTGATTGCTTCAAACTGGCTGAGGTCGATTTTCATGTCAAGTAAAACATACGAATCACCACACGTAACGCACACACCCCCTTTGTTGTTTTCATTCTATGACCGCACCCCCTAAAATGATTGACGAATATAGATCATCATCCCCCTTTCTCTCTTATACTGAAATATAGGCACCCCCTTTTGTGCCAGAAATAGCTCACCCAGGTAGCCCTATAAATACAGTTGCGTTTTCAATGATGGAAGATACATATTCTACTTCTCTTTGAAACTTCAATATAACCCATAAGACTTAAAATGCCTTGCCGATGTGAAGGTATGTAATCGAACGCTATTTAGTATCATAATTTATTCTCATAATTGGTTTTTACTACAGCCGGAAAATGTGGATGCAAAGAGGATTGCACGAAAACAGGCAAATGCACCTGTGATGCAGGCTGCGACTGCAATAAAGCCAGTAAGTGCATCGACATCATTGTGTTCCGTTTCTATAGCAGAATTTGACTTATAGGTAAAGGATGTGGCAAGGAGGGTTGCAAGTGTGACGACTGTAAATGCGCACCTGGATCGTGCAAATGTGAAAAATGAACATAAGAACCTAATCTTCGGAAGACAATTACTTCCTGAAAAGAAGCATTGCTTTCGTTTATATAAAAACCTTTTTCTCATGTGATGTTTTTTTCAAAATTTTGAATAAATTGTAGCTGTTTTTAAGAATTATAATTCGTTGTTACCGACACATGAATATGTATTTTATTTATTTTTCAATATTCAAATAGATGTGATAAGACTGTCAACCCTGTCTTTGCTTTTATTGTGACCTATCTGCGAATTATTCAGTGTAGCAATCCTTATTATCACCTTTTTTGCGAACACTCTCAAGCAATATTTATAAAATATGATTGACTTTTGGTCGTTTCACCATCAACTAAGTTTTTCATTATATTTTGTCAAAAATGTCGACAGCGCGATAACTCCCCCCGTACATTAATGATTGTAATTCGATGTCTGATAAACATTCGAAATCTATTAGCAGACATCAGATAAATTCAATGTTATATGTCGAATATCACTCCGATAGATCTAACACAAACAACATTCAAGTACAATGTCATTGATATCGATAAAAAAGATTCCAAAGCAATGTATATTTTTCATGCGATAGTCTCCCGGGGAGGTTATATGAAAACCTAATATAATCAATTGATGTCTTTTTCATGATAAGAACAGAGATGTTCTCGTGATTTAATGCTAACATATCTGACACATTTGAAAATCTGAATAATACTTCGTTATATTTTCATCAAGAAAATCAGTTGAACGAAGCAATTGCTTGTCATCTGAAACACTTCAATTCTTAATAAATAACTTCCGTATTTACACAGAATAATACGACAAGGACTTTTTTTAATAAACTTCCGTTTAATAACAGGAAAATATCTGACGATATGAAAAGCAAATCTGATTAACGAAAGATGACAGTGAGGAAAATTCCTTGGAATAAATCAATTCAAATTTTATCTATCACGAAATCTATCCGAGGATATTAAATCGATCTTCGTGATTATTTCATCACTTTTTGACAGATGGTTAATGTAATACGAGAGGAATAATCAAGCGTAGGCACGTAAAATGAAATTGTCTCGCCGATGAAAAGAAACCTGAATCGACGTTTAAGTAATATGCATCAAGCTAAATCTCGATGGATAATTAAATAGTAAAGAAATTCTAAGCGCTTCCCTTTTCGCTTTGGAAGAGAAAGGCATTTTTCAATTAGATTTATTGAAAAAGAATAGAATTACTCTTTTAAATAGAGGTTTTGCTCATTTGTTAATAAGCGTCGAAGCAAACAACCGCAATGATAGCGATGATGCTTGTTGGCAACATCTTCAATTATTTATTCTTTAGGCGTTGTTTCCGTCAACCGGCATTCCATCTTGAAGGATTCTCCGCCTGACTCATATGCACATCTAGGCAATTCTTCTTTTCTTTAATTAGCACTTCAAGAAGGAAGTCGACAAAGAGCGAGTCATAGAAAAAGACGAAGAAAGAAAATGAGCATCAACTTGTGTGCACAACAGTAGAGTGAGCATTTTCAAGGTATCATATCAGTTTCATTCTATAGACAATACAATTTCTTTTTTCACTTGAGTGGACACTTATCGTGTGTCATACGTTGATCGATTCAAATGGACTCGTTTTTCTTTTTTGGCTTACTAAGTTAAAGACAAATCCATCAAATCAGTAGAATAGTAAGAAAGCACATCCGCGAACTTAGCGAAGCACAATCGAGGAAGAACTACGCATGTGCGAAGATAGAACGAGACCAAATGTACACCAATGCGACGAATTAAATTAACACATTGCGCGCGTTTAATCAAACGTAAATCATTACGAGATTGAGTCCGTGAAACCACGAACATGGATTGCATAAAAGAAAGATACAAGTTTCATTTGTATTAACAAAAAACGTTTGCTTCTTTCGATTGTTCATTTCTTTTGCGTGACATCCAGACGTCTTCGTCTGATTGAAAATGAAGCAGGTTGTGTGTGTGTGAACAGGTTCAAGCCTAATCCGTCGGGACACATTAGATGAAGCCAAACCAATGTGTATATATGTGTGTGTATGTATATAGAGATGTGTGTATGCACACACACACACACACTGACAGATGTTGTTCACACGAACTATACCGACATAGAAAGATAAGACAACGATCGATATTAAATGATTCCTTGTCTCCTTTCTTTCAAGGTTAGCGTATAATTGAGAAAATCTGCTTCTTTCATTAATAAGCGTTAATTTGCCAGTTAATACATTACGTCAGCTTAAGATTGTCTTCGCATGCGTTTTATTCTATAACAATTTTCCCTTCTTCAACGGTTCATTTCATAGAGGAGAGCATTTTCTTCTTCTCTTTCCTATGTTCATCAATAAGGATCATCGATCAGATCAACGACAATCGTATTCACAATAGACATGTACTAAATTGATTCTTCTAACTTCATTTAGAAAGGACCATCCGTGCGTGTACATCTATACATGATCTGATGACATACTGTGTCTAATGATGATGTAAGCATCGAAAGCGGCTGCTACTGTTAGTCCTACCATTGTTGTTGCCTTTTTACTCTGCTATCAATATTGAACAATGTACAAACACTGACGGCTGTTCTGTATCGATATCTAAAACATGAACATACATTCAGCCAGATGGTTAGAATGTATCTCATTCAACTTCTCGAGAGGTTCGCTTGTACAGTATCGCCTTCGTTTAGTTTTGTTTGTCAATTTTTTTTTCTTCTGTTAAATTCATTTCAGTGAGATAGTATTCTTTTCTCCGGCTGGACAAGTTCTCATTAGCTCGTCTCCAACGTCATCACTATTTGCACTTAGTTTCCGTTCTAGTCGCCGCCATCATCATACATACGCATACATATTACAAATTGAAATGGTGTGTGTATGTAAGCGACAAGACATGAGAGAATAGGAGAAACTTTGAAAATCAATTACTCATGTACATATCGAAATAGGGAATGTTGAGCTCAACCAAGTCAAACAAAACATCATGTTAAACTGTCCGTGAACGCGTCTTGTTTCTTTTAACATATTGCAAAATGTAGAAGAAAGTCCTATAAGATACTTATCATGGAACATAAGAAAGACAATGAATACAAGGCTCATTAGTCACTCAATTGAAAAATCACGTTCAAACATATTTCATAGAGCAAAAGAAAACGAATGAATATTCCTCCTTCTGCTTCTAATGAAGTCATCAAATGCGCAAAATATGTTTATCTGTGGAGATGTATCATTGAATCGATCATCATTTGACGTGTAATGTTTCGCGTGCTCCTAACGAGCTTTTTCAAAGTGTGAGTGAGCAGGGCGGATCATTTGCAATATGTGTATATAAACCTACTTAAGATATGAAGGAGAAATGTGATGAATGACAGAAGGTGAATGGATGGGTGACCGCTGGTCTATGATGCTGTCATTCAAAAAAGCATACGAACAGAAGAAGAAAAAGAAGAAGAAGAAAATGTTTCTCTTTGTTTCGCTTCCTTTCTCTCCCTCTGTGTTAGAGGAAAGAAGGAGAGGAGAAAAGCAAAAGTTATCCTCTCCACTTGAAACAAATCAACTTGATTCCTTTTTGCATTTTTTTCTCCCTTCGCTTCTCTCTCTCTCCCCTTCACGTTACTACTATATATATATATCCTAAAAAAAAGAAAGTCGTTTTCTTATACTAAAAAGAAGAAGGAGAACTTCCGTTTTGAATGTTGGCCACTACTTTGATTTCTTTGAAGAAAACTAATCGTCAATGGATTCGGATATACACTAATCATATCTAAGACAAAACATACATACAATTCGAAATTTTTATTTTAATCTATTATCTAATCAATCGTCGATGCCTATCGGATGTTGTCTATTGTCGTTATCATTTCTATTCTATTAATTTATCAACCTTATCAAACTTATCAATTGGAAACCATTGAAGCAGCTTTAGCTAGTACTGTTGAATTACCGTGTTCAGTCAATCAAAATATTGAACCAACAAATCCTGCAAAGGTATATGCTTCGAGGGACAAGTGTTTGTATGTTTGAATACAGTTTGTTATTGTTGGTATGCTATAGTATTGTTCAAAGAGAAGGGAAAAAAGGAGAATAAAAGCAGTTTCCAGGGGGTACACTATAATGATGACATCATGAGCAATACACAGCTGGTGAACGTATATACATATTCATTAATCGTTACTCAGCACGAAATTTTCCCTTTTTTTTATTGTTTCTTATCTGTATCATTCATTTTAATCGACATTTATTTAGATCATCTGGATCCGAGATGATCGAGCAGATATTGTCAGCCTTGATTCAGTTATAACAGTACGAGATCGTCGATTAAGTATTCAAACAAGGACTAGTATTGATCGAGAAGAACGCGTTCTACGTATTACTAATATCGAAGAACAAGATCATGGCCTTTATCGTTGTGTCTACGGTGATATTACATTAAACGAAATTCTTCTTGATGTGCTCAGTAAGTATATTTTCTTGTCTTCTTAAGTCAATAGACAAACTCATCCATACATTTCTACGCGCGAAGACCTTGTAATGCGCATCAATGTTTGTACTTTATCATATCCTTGTTTTGATCGTCAGTCGAGGCTCATTTTGACAGTGCAAACATATGGTGAAGGTGTATGTGCATATGTTGACTGACCTTCTCTCGTTTTCGATCTTGTTGATACATCGATATACATACGTATAGAAATGTATCAAGCGACGAAAACAATCCATCTCATAGGTTTACATTTGGATCTTTTGTGTGTATGTCATCCCTCCTTCTTATGTACAAAAGAGAGTCTTAACAGACAGAGTGTATGTATTCACATCGATATAAATAAGAAATACATTTGCNGTGTATGTGCATATGTTGACTGACCTTCTCTCGTTTTCGATCTTGTTGATACATCGATATACATACGTATAGAAATGTATCAAGCGACGAAAACAATCCATCTCATAGGTTTACATTTGGATCTTTTGTGTGTATGTCATCCCTCCTTCTTATGTACAAAAGAGAGTCTTAACAGACAGAGTGTATGTATTCACATCGATATAAATAAGAAATACATTTGCCATTATGACATCAACTAACACCTTTTTTTTCTTAAGAGTTGCACGATATCCGGAATCTGAATAGAGAAAGAATTTTCGATGTGTAACTTCCGCTTATTGATGGTTATTTCTATTTCTTCAATAAAAAATCTGTAGGAAGTCATTTAAATAGTGTCAGCAGACAACATAGCAGCCTTCACTTCAATTACTTTAAAATAAATGGTACGGCTTGCCTTGAAGGTATACAAATTAGTTTTTGTGTATCGACCATTCATTGTTCTGTTTTGTTATTAGTAATCTATCTTCTGGGTGATTGTCCACTCAATTGCATCTATTCTTTATTCTTTTCTTCGATAGACGTGCGTTTATGTTCTTAAACGATGTCAATGAGTGATAGGCAAAAGAAAGGTTTACACATACTCTACTAGAAAGGAGCGTACAAAGGCAGCTGCGGATCAGCTAATTGTTTTTCAAGTATGACATATACACCTTCGAACATAAAACAAAGAAAAGCAAATGATCATTTGATGAAGCATTAAATGAAAAAGTCTATTAGATCGTGCTCTAGACAATAATAAACGTAACAAAGAAATTAATGTGATCGACGAGTCAAAAAGAAAATGAATATCTCTCATTCTGTCGATATGTGTACGGGTATATTGATCAGCAATACATATTTCATCGATGTGCATTGTTGATAATAGCATTGATGAACTAACATTAGTTTGATGTCACGTTCATCACATTAGTTTGTCGATGAACACCATCTTGGGAGAGGATTTTTATCAGACACGTTCATGCATGTCTTTCATTGGATCGATTTATCAATTTTAGTACCACCAAGAATTATTTCACATTCACCGGAAGATATGAGTTTGACCGTTCGGGAAGGTCAAGATGCTCGATTCTCTTGTACGGCATCCGGTCGGCCAACACCCGTTATTGTCTGGCAAGTCAACGGATTATCCAGGCCAACGATGATTACAACAAGTAAGGTCTAATTTTGTCAGCAGAAATTGCACATCCGGTCACATCTACATTTGTATTCTAGTTGCGGGNNCCAAGAATTATTTCACATTCGCCGGAAGATATGAGTTTGACCGTTCGGGAAGGTCAAGATGCTCGATTCTCTTGTACGGCATCCGGTCGGCCAACACCCGTTATTGTCTGGCAAGTCAACGGATTATCCAGGCCAACGATGATTACAACAAGTAAGGTCTAATTTTGTCAACAGAAATTGCACATCCGGTCACATCTACATTTGTATTCTAGTTGCGGGTACCAATGAAAGTATTCTGATTTTGCGTAATGCTTCACGATTTGATTCGGGACGTGTCGATTGTTCGGCAACGAACTCTTTGAGTACCGTCAACCGACAATTTCTTCTACATGTCAAATGTAAGTGAAGGCTTCTAGCGAATTCGAATCGGTACAAATATGTCATTTAGATAAACCGACTGTAACGGTTCCATTTCATCTTTCTTATTTTCGCCTGTACGATTCGACAACGATAACGTGCCGTGCCTGTGCAGTGCCATCACCCACAATCTTTGATTTCTTTCGTCCAAAACACGTCGAACCTATAGAGCATGGAATCAAGGATAAATTTGACGAATTTATCAATCAAACATGTCGACAATTAACTATAACATTCTATGTAAGATATTCAAGTTGGTAACTGATTCCGTACTATTTTTATTTGCGTTTTGTCATCATTAGTTCAGTGATCCATCGTTCTTCGGACCATATGTATGTCGCGCCAGAAATTCTGTTGGAGTTTCGCATGCTGAATTTGTTCTCAAAGGTTATTAGAGATAGATTTTATCGAATGCTTTTCTCTATCATCGAGAATTTGTTTTTAGAATTAGTCCAATCGACTAAACATCTGAAACATATAACTGAACATCAACCTTCAACAACGCCCTCGATAGTTACTAGTACTTTATCATCTGTAATAACAAACAATGACGATTCACGTAAGTTAGCAATGAACTATGCAGACATGTCAATAGAAATGTCTTTCTTTCATAGCTGAACGTCATATTCAATATTCATACAAATCAAATACAGTTGTAACGGGAATCAATGCTCAGACAAACCGAGCATTGCAGTTGTCAACATCGTTTCTATTATTAATAGGTCTTTTGTTCATAACTAGTCGATGTTGATACGTTCTATTTTTCTTTCTTTTTCCCTGTTCGTGTCTCTTATTTTTTACAGTGATAAAATAAAACTACAGAGCTGTTTTGAAAGAGCAAACAAGACACTGAATAAATGTATCAAGGACATTTCGATTAATTTCTGTTTACATTCACTTGTTCATTTGGGCGAAGAAAAAAAAAAGATTTCATTCCAACTTAGATTTGGCTAGATTCGATTATCGATGCACTAGTCAATAAAAGAAGATTTCTTTTTAACTGAGTTTCATTCGACTGCAAAATGCTTATTAATATTCAGTTGAACCTTCGGAGAAAAGGACAATCATTCTGTTGGCCATGGTTGATCAAGGAAATGAATTGTGTGAATACGAAAAAGAGAACTCATCTTTTCATAATCAGAGCGCTTTGTACAGTTCTATATTATAAAAAAAATGAATACTTTTGAATAGGAGCTGGTAGTTAGCGACATCTGCTTTTCATAAAGACGAAAAACTTTTGAATACAAATGAATTTCTCAATAAATTTCTAAGGAAAACGAGACAATTCCATAGATTTGGATGATTGTTTTACCAAAAATGATTTGACGAATAGGAAATACAAGTTAGTAATTCGTTTCCATTCTTGTTCCAGTTCGATTGTATTACTAAAATAGTCGAAAACTTTTTCCATGCCAACTATTGTTCTTGATCCGCCATCGAAAGATAAAACAAAAGACAATCAAGCATCATCTACTGGTGACAACAAGGACGACGACGAAGATCACGTCACATCTGCTATTCGCAAAACCGGTTGTTATCAATTTCACGAGAAATTACAGGAATGCTATATTGAAAAGAAGGACTGGCGTAGTTGCACACAGGAAATGCAAGATTTTCGTCGCTGTATGCAAAAAATTCAACGTACTATTTCATCTCTACCCAATTCTACTAAACAATAAATCCCATGTCTTCCATCCGCGTTCGTTTCGCTCCTTCACCAACCGGACAACTTCATTTTGGTGGTCTCCGTACCGCTCTTTACAACTATCTTTTCGCTAAATCATCCAATGGGAAATTCCTTTTACGTATTGAAGATACCGATCGAGAACGTACAGTACCCGGTGCTAAAGAACAAATTCAATCTGTTCTCCAATGGACACGGGTTCAACCTGACGAACCGCCTGTGATTCAATCCGAACGTGCGGAAACTTATCGAATACATTTAAACAAACTATTTGGCAAATTCAATCATCAAAATCAGCCACACATTTATCGATGCTTTTGTACCACTGATCGATTGATGCTTTTGAGACATGACTGTAAACGACGTTCGCAACCATATAGATACGATGGACGATGCAGAAAGCTAACCGATAAACAGCAAAGTAAAACTCTAGAAAGTGTCTTATTGATTATTTGACATTTATTCTCTACTAGGTGAATATGTTCAACAAGGTGTTCCATATGTTGTTCGTTTTTCTCTACCAACTGATGAGCAAGGCATTCAAAAATACGATGATCTTGTATATGGCCATCATGAACATAATCCCTACGCTACCGAGGGCGATTTTATTCTTTTAAAGTCGGATGGTTATCCAACATATCATTTAGCAAATGTGATCGATGACCATCTGATGAATATTACACATGTTCTTCGCGGTCACGAATGGCAAACATCAACATCAAAACATCTCCTTCTCTACAAAGCGTTTGGTTGGACACCGCCTATGTTTGGTCATTTACCATTGCTCGAACGCGAACGTGGTAGAAAATTATCCAAACGTGATACAGAAAATGCGATCAATCCAATCGAAATCGAGCCCTATCGAGAGAAAGGCTACTACCCTGATGCACTATTGAATTTTGTCGCTCTGTGTGGTGGCGGTGGATTCATCGACCATGAAACTATACCTGGCAAAACGTTAGATGAAATGATACCTATGTTTAATATAAACCTGTTTAGTAGACATGCAGCCATTGTGGATTTCAAGAAGTTATCCGTATGTCAACGTGCTCATCTGAAACGTGCATATGATCAATCGAACGACAGTCGACAAGTAGTGATTGATGAACTTCGCGAAAAAGTTCGGAAATATTACCCTGAAAAAGATCCAACATCGCTTCAGTTGCAAAATGATTATCTAGCCAAGTGTTTAAATATGATCGATTATCGCATTAGTTTATTAGACGAATTGTTTACAGATAAGTCGTATGAATATGTATGGAAAGATCCGGAAGTAAAACAGGATCTTATTGATAATGTGGATCAATTTCGATTTGTTATTCAACAAACATTGACAAATCTTGATCAAATGCGTTTCTCTCATGACGAAGTGAAAAATTTCGTGAAAATTTATCAACCAAAGCAAATTACGAATAAACAAATCTTTCGTATTTGGAGATTAATTCTATGTGGATGTTTACAAGGGCCACCAGTTCACGAAATATCAACATTCTTTGGTTCGGATGTTGTACGAAAACGATTTGAAAATGCTCTTAAAATACTAGACCAACAAAATGAAAATGTCCAAGTGAAGTTGTGATGCGAGCGTGTGTATTTTGTAGTTTTTTTTTTCAGTTGAATAAAAGCAAAAGGGTCCGAGTTGGTTTTTGGCCTAACCCTCGTTTTTCGATTTCAGATGTTAATATCGCCGACGACTCCGGTGATCCAACCAGAATCGCATGACACACAGGAGAATGTTTATCCATCACCCGTAGATTATGACGATCAATTACAGATACTTGTAAGAATATTCTCAATGAGTGAAAAGATGTTTTGTAAGAAAGAACAAGATTGTTTAGTCGCCATCACCACCGAATCAGCAATTGCTCAGCGAACGACAAATCGTATTTGATAAAGCGTTAGGACAGATGCTTACACGGCACTATTACTTGGTACATCATGAATTTTTATCATTCGATCGATTTGAAGGGTGGATTTATACATATAATCGACATCGATATAGAATAATCATTAGTTACACATCATCATGTTCATGTCGAGAATTTCAACGAAATCATGTTTGTAAACATTTTCTGTTTGTACTCAAACGAATATTCAATGTAAATCTTTATTCACCTGATATTCGTCTTGCAATCATGCTCTACCATCAATTTACATCCATTGATTTAGAACAGATATTCCAAGGGCAAACTCGCCGACTCTGTCCAATTGTGACGCCGATGGCGGAAGAGAAGAAAAAGGAGAAACTACCTTTGAGTTTAAAACGTCAATCCGTTGATCATAGTGATGTTTGTCCAATATGTTTCGAACGTTTACTGGTGAGAGATAAGAAATTAGTGACATGCTTCTATTCCTGTGGTAAATCAATGCATGCCAATTGTATGAAAGAATGGAAACGTGTCAAAGGAAAGTCAACCAACTGTCCACTATGCCAAGCTAAATGGATGAGCGAATCGGCGGCGGAGAAAGCTGTACTCCAGCATTATTCTCATCGTTCTTATCCAGTTGAGAAACATGAACGATACATTCTTTGTTGTTTATATACTCCTCCAGATTGCTGCTAGTCATTTCTAATCACAGATATTTTTTCGATTTTGTTTTAGATTGATGAATTGATTAGTTTTTTCTCGTAATGAGTGTAACAAATAATTTCAAACGAAAGACATTTGCTGGTCAAAACTCAGCACCAGTACCAGCGAATGGAGCACAAGCTAAACGACCGAAACGGTAGATGACCGCTTAGCGAATGAGACTGTTCTAATGTTCTATGATTGTAGATCCAATGAAGATGACGAAGAAGATTTCATGGATGATCCGACCTTCGATGATGCTGATAACGAAAACAAAGAAAACGCTGTAGAACTCGGTAAAAACAACACTAGAGCAACTTCAGATATATTTATCCTGTCGAAATAGGTCAGGGCCCAGCGTATGAAGCAACGCATGTCAAATGGTCTCGGCCAGATATTCCAACAATCAATGCTTCGACAGATAAAATTATCTTTCAACAAGTTGATTTAGATACTTATACACAGACCGAAGGCACACCAAATGCACTCGATAAAAGTCGACCGCACACGCATGGTCATAGTACCGTGATTCGCCTCTACGGTGTTACCGATGAAGGCTATTCAGTGATGGCACATTTACATGGCTATGTTCCGTATTTCTACGCGTCCTTGCCATCCGATAAGTTTACGGCAGCAGATTGCGAACGTTTCAAGGTTTGTTTACAACAAAACTTCGAACTTTCGTCAGGAAATCTAATTTCTTCGGCTATCTTTCTAGCAAAATTTCCATGCCGCACTTCGTAGTGAAATGCGTGGTAAAGATGTCATCTCGTCGGATTTGGTACTGAGCGTTGAAATAGAGCAAAAAGCGAGCATCTATGGTTTTCATCCGGACGCTAAAAAAAATCAAGTTTTAAAAATAAGCCTATTGTTATCAAGACTTATCGCCACATCACGACGTATTCTTGAAGGTGGCTTTTCATGGACAGGAAATAAAAATCAGTTGGATGGTTACAAAACATACGAATCGAATATTGATTTTGAAATTCGGTATGGAATCATTCTGAGAAATGCAATAAACAATCTACTACTTCGTTCTAGTCTTATGGCTGATTTAAATATTGTTGGTTGTAATTGGATTGAAATTCCTGCTGGAAAATACTTCATACGACAAGTAATCGCACGTGGAATTACTCAACAATTAAAATTACAATCGCGGTAAGAACTCACATTTACTCGTAATTGGATCAGTTTTCCTTCACTTCTCTGTTGGTAGGTGCCAAATCGAATTGGATGTTTGGGCACATGACATCATTTCATATCCAGCCGATGGCGAGTGGCAACGTATTGCACCTTTGCGTATCATGAGTTATGATATTGAATGTGCTGGACGGAAAGGTCTGACAGGCGATGGAGGTTACACTGGAATATGCTTCATTTCTATTTTGCTTTTAGGAATTTTTCCGGAACCTGAGCATGATCCAGTAATTCAAATTGCTAGTATGGTTATCCGTCAAGGCGAAAAAGAAGAATTTATCAAAACTGTATTCACTTTGGGTACATGTGCGAATATCGCAGGTGTTGAAGTAATCGAATGCAAAACTGAGCATGAACTCCTCGAAGTATAAGATCAGTTTTGATGTCAATTCGAATGAAATATTTTTCTGATGTAGAAATGGGCAGATTTTCTGCGTGAAGTCGATCCGGATATTATCACGGGGTATAACATTCAGAACTTTGATTTCGCTTATCTTCTTGCTCGTGCTAAACATTTGAATATCAGCACGTTTTCATATCTTGGTCGTTTAAAAGTATGGATTGTTTTCCGATCAGCATAAGCAAAAGTTTTTCTTCTCCTCAGGATGTTAAAACAACAGCGCGAACAACAGTTTTGCAATCGAAACAATTGGGAAGACGGGAAAATAAGCAAATCAATTTAGAAGGACGAATCCTATTCGATCTCTTATTAGTAAGGAATTCGAGTCATCACTATGAAATCAATGTCTATTTGTCTTTTCAGGTACTTCTTCGTGAATATAAACTTCGCTCATACACATTGAACGCTGTTAGTTTTCATTTTCTTCAACAACAAAAAGAAGATGTGCAACATTCGATTATATCTGATTTACAAGTAAATATAAACATTGAAATCAAAGCTCAAGCAAAGCAATGTTTGCTTTCACCATAGAATGGTAACGCTCAAACACGTCATCGTCTTGCTGTGTACTGTCTCAAAGATGCATATTTACCATTGCGTTTATTAGAAAAACTAATGTCATTGATCAATTATATGGAAATGGCCCGTGTCACTGGTGTACCAATGAATTATCTACTTCAACGTGGTCAACAAATCAAAGTCATTTCACAAATCTTACGCAAATGTAAAGAAAAAAATCTACTCATTCCGGCAATGAAAGTCAATGACAACGGAGATGATTTTACCGGTGCCACTGTTATCGAACCTATCCGTGGTTATTATGACACACCAATTACAACGTTAGATTTTTCATCACTGTATCCATCGATCATGCAAGCACATAACTTATGCTATTCGACTTTGATCACCGATGGAAGAATCAAACAAAAGTCTGTGGAAAAAAACGTTGTGATCGTTTCGTGAGATTGTATTGTTGTATTTTAGTCTTTCAGAAGATGATTACATTACGACACCAAGTGGAAACTGTTTCGTGAAATCGTCTGTTCGTCGAGGTTTATTACCTGAAATTCTTGAAAATTTACTCAGTGCTCGTAAACGTGCAAAACAAGTATGTGTCACTTGATTAGTGTCATTCGGACTGGTACCATCGATTATTGTCTAGATGATGAAAGAAGAAACGGACGAGTTTCGTAAGAAAGTGCTCGACGGACGTCAAAATGCTTTGAAAATCTCTGCCAATTCCGTTTATGGTTTCACCGGCGCTCAAGTCGGCAAACTTCCATGTCTGGAAATATCTCAATCAGTCACATCAATCGGTCGCGAAATGATTGAAAAGACGAAAACTTTGGTTGAAAATGAATTCACAATCAGTAAAGGTTATGAACATGACGCGAAAGTTATTTACGGTGATACTGATTCAGTTATGATTAAATTCGGTGTGAAAACTTTGGAAGAAGCTATGAAACTTGGTCGTCTAGCTGCTACAACTGTCTCAGCTACTTTCATTTCGCCAATCAAACTGGAATTCGAAAAATGTTATTATCCATATTTATTGATCAATAAGAAACGTTATGCTGGTCTTTTCTTTACACGACCTGACAAACATGATAAAATGGACTGCAAAGGTATCGAGACAGTGCGACGCGACAATTGTGAATTAGTTGCAAGTTTAATCAGTACATGCTTAGAAAAGCTATTAATCGAAAGGTTTGCACATCAACCATTTCTATCTTTATTTGAAAACCTTTTCTGTCATCATAGAGATCCAAATGGTGCTGTCGAATACGTTAAGAATGTCATTTCAGATTTATTATGTAATCGAATTGATATTTCACAATTGGTTATCAGTAAAGAATTAACCAAAACCGATGGCGAATATGCCAATAAACAACCACATGTCGAATTAGCGAATAAAATGCGCAAACGTGATCCTGGTAGTGCACCAAATTTAGGCGATCGAGTTCCATATGTGATTATACCAGGAACAAAGAATCAACCAGCTTACGAACGAGCAGAAGTTAGTTAGAAAGAAACGTCGGATTGTTTCTAAAGTTGTATTCTAGGATCCAGTCTATGTTTTGGATAATAACGTTCCCATTGATACAAAATATTATCTTGAACAACAAATATCGAAACCATTATTGCGTATATTCGAACCTATTCTAGGCGATGCCAAAGCTGAATCAATACTTTTACGTATGTGAATTTTGTTTGTTCTTTTGAACAATAATCAAATCCGTGCGGTCGTTCTAGATGGAGAACATACATCGGTGAAAACAGTAGTGACATCCAAAGTAGGAGGTTTGGCAGGTTTCATCACGAAAAAAGACAAATGTATCGGATGTAAAACTGTCTTACAAGAACAAGGTATGTCAAATGTCAATGGACATTTCATTTCATCGATGTGAATATTCGTTCGATCTAGGCACTGCGCTTTGTTCGTATTGTAAAGAAAAAGAAGGCGATTATTATCAAAAAGAAATTGAATCGTTGCAAGAATTAGAAGAAAAGTTTACTCGTCTATGGACCGAATGCCAACGATGTCAAGGTGCAAGATTAGAAGATGTTCTGTGCACCAAGTAAGATTTCAGATCGATATCATTTCTCATAGTTGGACATTTCTTTTTTTAGTCGCGATTGTACAATATTTTACATGCGTCGTAAAGTACAAAAGGATCTTGCCGATCAGAATCGTGTCATCTCACGTTTCACTGTTCCTCCTCTCAATTGGTAAATTGATTCTCTGTCAGATACATGTTGTTATTTACTCACGAAGAAAGCCAAGAAGATTTACTTTCTTTTCATTCTCTTGTACAGATGATACTTTGTGTTTTCTTGTATTCCAATTCATATAAACTTGTAAAATCAATTCTTATTTTTTCCCCTTTTCTAACTTCTGTTGCTAGTCAAATGAGTACGATGTATTTTCCTTTCTTTTTTCTATATATCGATAATAAAGATGACAAGAAACAATAAAACAGTAAAGACACAACAATTCTATTAAGTTTTCGTATTCGATGTGCTGGGAACAAATGATATGATTGATGGAAATGCTTGTTGACGTTCCTGTTCGATTTTCATATTCGATGTTAAACAGATCGAACAAAAACACGGTAAATTCAGTTGCGCTTTCGGACACATTGCTGGTAATTTCTCTTGATCAGCTTTATGTTGATAGCAATTGGCAACATGTTGTCTCATCTCATCAAGTGATTTCGTTAACATGACAATGTAGTTTCTTGCTAGTAATAATGTTGCCATTTTGGATAGTTTACGTACCGATGGATTTCGCGCATAAGGAATGACTTCACGCAAACTATCCAAAGCAGAATTGAGATCATGCATACGTTTACGTTCGCGTGAGTTGATTTTCAAACGTAGATCGGTTAATTCGTCACCAGTTGTGCTATTTTCATTCGTTGGTGATGATGAAGTACGACGGCGTCGTCGATTTGTTGTTGTTGTCGTCGTTGATGAAGACGATGATGGAATATCTGTAGTCGATGGCGTTGGTGACGAATAGGGGAACAAACTTGGAAGGAATAAACCGTTTGTTTTTATTGACGGTTGAGCAAATGGAAGGAGAAGTGGATAAGTTAATGATGGAAAGATTGATGGCAAGTCTTGCTGATTTTCTTTGTTATGACGATCGTAAATTCGTGTTGAACCTTCAGTTTTCATCTGATTTTCTTCTTCGTCGCAAATGTTCAGTTCATGATCGTCTTCACTGCTTGATGCCATGTTATCGAAGCGAGTTTGTGTATCGTGAGATTCTTTTACGAGTGAATGAAGAGAGGAGAAAAATGGAATGTCAGATCGAAATCCGTTCACAATCTGTCAACATATTTTTCTCCGTATTTGTCAATTCCTATTCACTTTCACTCTCCGTCGAATTAACCAATCGTTTTCTCAACCGATGATTGAACAGTCCAATCATATCGATAAACGAGAAGAACGGCAGAAATTAAACAACATTTTTCTTTGCTCTTTCTCTCTTTCTCCTCCTTTTGTCATTGCACGTTCAACAATGAATCAATGAGAAACGCCGTTGATGTTCAATTGACAATCATTAAACGAAACATGAGAATATGTATTGAAATCTCCGATTACTCTCACACATGCTCGATAATATAGTAGAACACAACTGATCAGAAGACTGATGTGACACTTTTTTTTCGTCGGGTGGTCTCTATTTAACAGAAATAAAATGAACTCAAATTTATACCAGTAGTCTACAAATCGTTATATTTAATTGAGATTTTCTCGTTGATCAATGATGTTCACAAAACGTGATCTTGTTAGTGCGTACGGCTGTTGCCCTTGCAGCAGACAAGTGTCTCGCTGAAATGCACAGATGTGAAGGTCTACCGTAGTCAATTGAATCCTCATCAAACATTTGTTTCTGCCTCTTCCGTTTCTTGACTTTAACTATGTTGTCGTGTGTTCGAGCACAGTGGGAAATCGATGACTTTTTATTCATTCTATTCAACACGTTCGACACATGTCATAGATGAGCGAATACAAATGATGATTGTGATCATCTCGTTTCGAATAATAATGAAGAGAGAAAGAATTTTATTTGTTTAACGATTACAAATATAATCATCTGACAATAGGAAAAATCAGATCAATGTGGAATGTCCACACGCAGGTGGATGTGTATCGATCAGATGATGCGACAAATCTCGATTAGTTTGCATAATCAATACAAGATGAATGAGATATAAAATAGCACAGAACCATAATTTCGTTTTAATAGAGAAACATTCGTTTCATTAACATCTAATATGTCGAGATAATGAAGCGTGGTGGGCAAATGAACAACATATCCATGTTTAGATAGTCCTTTGGGACGTTACTATTCTTCATTTGACACTAGACAATATTTAATTCTCATCGAGCGAATGTTCCTCATGAACACTTTCGGAATATACAATCTGATGATAAAATAGTTGAGTTTCGTTCTTTTTCTGTATATGCATGCTCATCAGGCCGACATGTGACGGCATGCGGACACCTTCAATGAACGAATGATGCGCATATCGACAGTGACACGAATTCCAGCAGAGATCAAACTCATCGAGAAGTGTGTTGTGCATTCATTGTACTTAATCGAGAGAGTACACGCATTTGACATGAATTGTCAAGATGAAAAAAGAAGAGAACAATCTCACCAACGACAAATTATGTTGTGTCCTCATCAGCTTTCTTCTGATATTGAATAGGATACCTACACTTGAGTTGTTTGTCAAGTGTGTCAAAGAAATGAACGAAAAAAAAACAAACGACAATAATTAATAGACTTGTTTGTACGTGCAGTTCCATGCGGGTACGAGAAACATCGATTTCAAATATCAATCGAAACACTTCTCGTCATACAAAACGACTCGAGACAATGAACAAGATGCAAGATAAATGAGCTGTAATACACAAATGAACCCTGTCTTAAGGGACGAGACGATATTCTTTCCTTGTGTTTTTCTTGACACGTAACATTATTTAATTTGAATCAACTTGTGTGTGTGTGTATCTCCTCAATCAGTTAACACATATTTGAAATGGACTTTTTTCTCTCCGATGGATACAATCTAATCATTATAGGCTTGATCAACGATTTTCAATAAATTAGCTTCATTTTTCGCCTCGTTATATTCAGTTTGTCAGCATGTGAACAGCTTCAATCAAGGACGGACTGTGTAAACTGTCAAAGACGCGAATTCAAGCTGAGATCAAACCTTTCATATGCATGATATTTACTAATATTTTTCTACCTAGGTATTCAAAACTATTTTATTAATGCAAACACGTCGGTCATGTGACGTGGCGTGTTTTTACTTGAGACGATGACAAGAGAAAAAGCAAATTTATTCGAACTGAACGTATACTTATTTATTACATTCGCCACATCATTTTGTACCGTTCGCACATGAGTAAATGAAAGAAACTTTTTTTCTTCGTCGTTCTTCTTTCCGTATAACGACGACAATTGTCGATATGCAAAATATCAGTATGACTAATAGAAAGATAGGTGGAAAAGGCGAAACAAGGATGTTAGAAGGCATAGCTATCGAAAACATATACATAAAAATATTTTTTGTTGTTTTCTCATTTACCGTTGTAACTGTACAGTAACGTAGGAAAAAAAAGTCATAGATAATTATCATCAGTTCCAGGCGTACATATTTTCTATATGCAATTTCGAAGGAATAGCTGCTTGTTTTTTTGTCTCTTGAATAACAGAAAAATAATCAACAAGAAAGCAAAGTCAAATAAGTTCACAACAAAAAAAAAAGCTGACGTATGGTTTTTTGTAGAAAGAAAGAAAAAAATATATATAAATGAGTAAAGACAAGAGAAAATGATAAGCACATCAACAGAAAAAGAAACAGATACGCACAAATGAACCAAATAGAAATTCATTCATTTCATTTCTAACGGAGACTATAACGAGTTGTCATCGAGTTATAATGTTGATGGTGTATGAAATGATATTTAGCGTAAATTCGAATATGGTAAACGATTATTGCGCCGTAAATAACGAACAACGAGGTAAATCAATGCACCAAGACCGACGACAAGAATCATTCCGCCCATAAACGAAAGACCATCAAATTTTCGACCTAAAGATATGTGAGTTGTCTTGGCAAAATCAAGTATAGATTAATACACAAACCTGGGGTTGCCGTTGTTGGCGCTTGTGTAGTAGTTGTAGTTTCAGTACTAGTTGTAGTTGTTGTTGCAGTAGTGACAGTAGTTGCGGTTGCAGTAGCAGTCGTGGTTGCCGTCGAAGACGACGATGAAGCTACTGTTGAATTTGTTGTTTGACTCTCTGTTGCTGTTGTGCTTGACAATGTTGTCGTTGCCGTACTGTTGGTCACATCGACTGTTGTTGTTGTGGCCGAAGCTAAATGAACATAGGTATAAAGAGACGCATGAAAAATACATAACAACAAAGAAAAAATAATCAAGCAATTAACTCGATAAATGATTGATTTAATTAAATGCGAAAAAAAGCCTTTAGCATCTTTTACTTATTGATGATGGTGCTGCGGTACTTTCAGTAGTGGCACTCGTACTATTATTAGTATCATCGTTGAGTTTTACTGGAACGGTTGTCTTAACAACAGGAGTAGAATCATCATAATCGCCTAAGTCAATGTTGGCGCCAGGCAAATCCTGACCGTGTGAGACTATGACTACAGAAAAAATAGAAGCATGTGGTTAGTTAAGTGGAACAAATGTGATAACAATCAATTGGAAACTAGCGCATGCTTGTTCGAACTCTAACATGGTATATAATGTCCAAATATATTAATTTCTACAGTTATTAGAAACCTGTTTGCTTTTACCTAAGAAAATGATGGCAAATAGACTGCTTAATGCGAATTGTCTTTTCATTTTTGTTATACGATCAATTGATAGCAATCTGAAAGTTGAAATAATTGTAATGGTAATCAAAAACAAAATCATTAACAAACATGTATGAGTTATGAAATAAGAAAATCAAAAACAACTCGACCTCGCTTAACAAATAGTCTATACTAGATTGAAAGTCGAAAAAGTAGATTGCACGAAATAAATGACTATCTGTCGCCCTATTAGCATAAGAACAATTTCAGGAATGAGATAATCTAAGAGAAACACGTCATTGTTTTTGTGTCAACAATCTGTGATAGGGTAGCAGCTTGTGCTGCTGCTGCTGCTGCTATTGTTGTTGTTATAGTCTTGTGGAAGATGATAAAAAAGAACAGAAAACGACATGCGCATTCATTTAACAACAACCATAAAAAAAAGGAGAGAGTGGTGCTCCAGTGTTCTGTTACTGCACATAATATGCACTCGTGTATTACTCAGCAAGCGACTTGTATGAGTATATACCTCCGAGTCATTGTGGACGGAGATTGGTGAAAGCTGGAAATAGACAAAAAGCATAGAACAGGATATATAATCGTATGTGTATATGTATCTCAACCAACAGGGAGAGTTGCGCGTATCATCATAGAGACTACGCAACAATTCAGTCGATGCAATAATAATTAAAAATAGACGTTCGTGCCATCTATCGATCGACAGTAGATATTTTTCTGTTTATGAACGTGAACATAGTGTTTTCAACTATTATACGGTGTCAAATCAATTTAGTAAATGAAACAAAGATAACTGATGTTTTGAAGATGACTTTTGAATTGCTGTGTCGTTATCGAAACAGGTGACGGAAATTTGTATTTAATTTGGAATATATATGCGTATATTGATTGATAAACACACCTATGTAGTGTCGAACGTTTCTCTGCATTTTCTCTAGTTTCGTCCTTATTGTTTGCTACGCTTGATCGATCCGCAGTAACTATAAACTTCAGTTGCTTTCTCATTTCTCTTCCTTTTACATTCTCTCTCCCGTTCACAATAGATTGTTGATAGCATTGACACTTGGTCTCAGCCTTGAGCTAATACGACAAGGACGAATTTGCAGTTTTAAATAATTGTAACAAACATTCATGGCATCATCTAATGTCGTCGGCTCTCCTCCAGCATCGGAACTTGGAGAAAACACAACACGTCTTCGTGGTGCTAGTATAACATCAGAAGATAGACAAACTTTACGCAGTGAGCGTAGTCATCGAAGTCAAAAGAGTCAACGTAGTAATCGACAAGGTTCAATCATGAATACAAATGGAGGTAATGGTTATACTGAAAATGCTCTCGAAGGATTTCAGACCCCAACCCAAAACCAAGGATCAGTAGCTGGTGCTGGTATACCATATGATGCAATTAGTGTTACCTCAAGAAAGAGTGGTATCACAAGTGATTCGCCAGTTACAGCAATTACAAGTGTCTCTCAACAGCCAGAAGTTCAACAGCAACTTAGCAATCATGGTATATAATTTGTTGAAAGAGAAAGTAATTCATAGGACTATCTTTCCATAGGTGCCAGCACACAATCAACAGTTGGTGGTTATGGACCAAAGCGTGGCAGCACTTCATCGCGTAAACCTTATTTCGATGTTGCCAAAGCTATCTTTTATCAAGCTGATAGCGATCATGATGGTTTAATTACTCGAGAAGAATTTCGACACTGGGCAGAACCTGGTATTGTTTATCCTGATGGATCACAACATCGGCGGTAGGTCTTGTTTTTCCTATTGAATCCTTCTAAGTCTCATGAACATATATTTCTTTACTCAAGATCACGGTCGATGTTGTCAACAGGACGCGCAGGGTAATTTCGTGTGAAACTTTCATCGTAATCATTCCCGAATATATTTCTCATTTTTAGATCACGCACACAAAGTTTATCAGGACAATTACCGTAATAATTTCGTGTCTTCAGTCATTCAAGTTTTTAATATGATTGCCTTGTTCTTTTCAGACCTAGAATTCCAACACCAGGAGGCCAAATACCGTAAATACTAGTCAAATAAGCGAAGTTTCTTAAGGAATATTTTGGTTGCTTTTCCTTTAGATCAAGAACTCAAACTCCTACTCAACAATCTGTTCTTAATGATGCTGGTGCCAATGTATTCGACGAAACCAATGCTAATGCTGCCAATGAAGCACCTGTAGATATTGATTACGGTGCAGTCGAAGCATACAATGTCGCTATGCGATCATCTGTTGATCTAAATGCTGACGATTCATCGGGCAGTATATTTGGTAGCGGCCCTAATGGTAGTGTTACCAATGGCTCAAGCGGTGCTCCCCGAACGAGCGTTAGTGGTGCTCCTCGAGGAAGTTTTAGTGGTAGTACTAGAGGTAGCGTTAGTGGTGCTCCACAAGGTAGTGTCTATGGCACTAGCCGATGCAATGTAACAGGAGAAAACAGAGCCAGCTTCAGTGGTGAGCCAAGAGCTAGTTTCAGCGGGGAACCACGCGCCAGTGTTAGCGGCGAACCACGTGCCAGTTTTAGCGGCGAACCACGGGCTAGTTTCAGTGGCGAACAAACAGCTACCTATGGTGGAGAACCGCGAACCAGTGTTAGCGGAGCTCCTCGTGGTAGCTTCAGCGGACAACAACGAACTAGTTTTAGTGCAGCTCCCCGAACTAGTTTCAGTGGACAACAGCGAACCAGTTTCAGTGGCGAACCACGAGCCAGTATTAGCGGTGAACAACAATATGGTTTTAATGAAGAACAAGTAGCTAGTTACGCTGGAGAACCCCGAACCAGCGTTAGTGGAGGTCCTCGTGCCAGTTTCAGCGGACAACAACGAACCAGTATTAGTGGCGAACCGCGTGCTAGTTTCAGTGGCCAGCAACGAACCAGTATTAGCGGCGAACCACGAGCCAGTTTCAGTGGTGAACCACGCGCAAGCTTTAGCGGTGGACCACGTGCTAGCTTTAGCGGGGAAGAACAAACCGGCTTCAATGGTGAACAACAAACTGGTGTTAGTGAAGAGCAAGTAGCGAGTTATGGCGGAGAACCTCGAGTCAGTGTAAGTGGAGGACCTCGTGCCAGTGTGAGTGGAGGACCTCGAGCTAGTTTCAGTGGAGAAAATAGAGCCAGTTTCAGCGGTACTCCCAGAGGTAGCGTTTCGGGCGAACAGAGAGTTAGTGTTAGTGGTGCTCCCCGAGCAAGTTATAGTGGTAGTGCTAGAAATAGTACTGGATACGGAGCCCGAGTTAGTGTTAGCGGTAGTGCGCATGGCTCAGGTGCTCGACGCTTTGATGTTGCAAGAGCAATCTTTAATCAAGCCGATGCTAATCATGATGGTGTTATAAGCCGAGAAGAATTTCGTCAATGGGCCACATCTGGTCTCTTACCTCCCAGTGGCCGAACACAAACCAGTCAAGAAGGAAATGGCAGTCATCGAGCCAGTGTTGGCTACGGTTCAGCAGCGCGAAACAGTTTTGCCAATGCATCAGGACCACGAAATAGTATTGGGCAAGCTTCAGTTCATCGAAATAGCATTAGAACTGGTGCTACTCCACGTAACAGTATTGGAAATGCTTCTGGTCCTCGTCATAGCATCGGAAATGCTTCTGTTCAACGCAACAGCGTTTTTGGAAGTGTTTCAAACCCCGGTCAACCATTCGGTGAAGAAAATCTCCCTAGTGGAGATGAATTTCAACAAAGTGAATTTGGTGAATCCGCATCAAACTTTGGTTAAACAAAGAGCCTGTTCTCTATTCAACTATACATTTTATACAGACATTTTCCATATTTTGTCATCCGTCCTAGAATAGTTTCTATGTTGTGTTCAGTGCTTCTGTGTATTGATCTCAATGTATCCTCCATTTTAAACGTGAGTCTTTTCCTTCCTTTTGCTTCCTTTTTCTACTCGAAATCTATTTCATAAAGAATCTCTGCGTCTTTCTTTTTTCAAGTTTTGTCAATTTGAGAATAAATCAGAAACAACTATCGAAACTTGCAAATGCACTCTATTCATATGTGGTTAATTTCAATATGGTTGGTTGCATGCATGTTGTGTTGTATATACATAAAAAGGTTAACCGTCAGATTTTAATAAAGTTGTGGTTATGGTGAATTATGCACGCAATTTATTTCAATTTCACGCTAAGAATTAGTCAGACGTGCTCGATTGGATTACAAAATGAATATGTCATGCATGACTGGTATTTTAAATAGAACGGAGGATCAGATATCGTCGGAATTCGAAAGTGAATAAATCAGCAAAAATATTAGGTTAGCTGATTTTATAAATCGTCCCAAGACGAGCACGACTTGTCCCTCTTAATTAAATGAGAGTAAACGAAAACGAGGCCTCTCAACTATACTATTTTATACTAATTACTTTCTTCGCAAGATAGATAAATAAAAAGTAATTTTACTTTATTTCTGTTGATCAATATCATCATCGACCCAAGAGGGAAGACCAGAAATATTGATTATCGGTAAAGCATGCATAGACTTCAGTGATTTGTCAGTAGAGCTTTCTATTGTCGGAATGGAAATTTCTTCTTCATCGGAGGAGTTCTCTTCATTGAAACTACTCTTTCGTGCTGTCATCGATTGTGCTCGAGTGTACGATGTTGTTGTTTGATTTTGATATTGTTTCCGTAACCACATCGTACTTCGACGACGTTGTCGCTCATTTGTCGCTAGAGCTCCAGCAGACGTATTCAGTAAATTGTGAGTTTTCGAATCAGTATAGATACCGCTTTTCACTTGAGGCAAAAACGTGGCTCGTTTGGACGGTGTTACAGGAACGGATGACATATTTAATTCGAATGTATCAGGATTCGATCTGGATTGAATAGCCGCAAGTGGAATACCTTTGACGATATTCTTCGTACCCGTAGGTATAGAAGTCGACTGTGTTGATGATACTTGAACTTTTGAGGAAGAGGTTGGCAGGATAGTTCTTTGTGAAGGACGTTTTGTTCCAGTCGATGATTTAGAACGAAGAATTTGTACACTGGTTTGAGTTTCTTGTTCAGGATAGTTTTGATCTAGCCAAGCTATGAAAAAGATAAACATAGAGCATGCAATCGTACTCCTCGAATAGAACTCACGAGGAAAACTGTTGGACAATGTATGATTTGCCCGCATTGTATGGTTATTCTATAAAAAGAAGAATAAATCATACGCATGTACAGATATTGAAAAAATAGGTATTTGTACTCCGTGATTGATGTTCGATGGCAATGCGTGTGATGACATCTGCCTTTCATGAATAATCGTTGCATAAGAATTGTTTGTATTCGGAAATTCATTTCTTAACAATGAACGACATTTGGCCGGTAATAACCGATCTTTACATAGAATAATACCAAGAACGATTAAAATGATTATCAAGAGAAGACCTAGCACAATGCCTAGTATAATGTACCATGAGGGCGAGCTTGACTTTGATGTGTCATTCGTTCCGTTCTGAACACAGAATTAACAATCAGTATTTATTTCCATCAAATTACAACTTACAATCGAACCACCGGACCCACTTGTTGAAATAGTCATTGTACCATTGGCGACTGTTGTTTGTAGTGTGACTGCTGTTGATGTAGATGACCAATACGATGGTGGTGCTAGAGTATGCAGTGTGTCATTTGGATAAACCGAACAGAAAATATCAGTCAGATTTGGTAGACGATAATTTGCGCAAAAGTTAGTTTCTGTGATGTTTGAAAATAGATATATTTGCCCATTCATAGATGAAGGCGATGTACATTTGGCTTGGGTTATCAATGCAGATCGATTTAACATTTGAGGGAAATCATTGATATTGTCTTGAATGTATGAAACTAGATAATATGATTCACAATCACATATTAGAGGATTATTTGTTAATAACATATTTGAGATGCCAACAACGAAGAAGGCGACACTGTTAGAGTTTGTCGAGGTAGAACAGGCACCGTACTGTTCAAGTAAAACATCAGATAAACGCTCCAATTGATTGTCATTTACGTAGAGAAAACGTGGATCGGGCGTTTCAGTGAACTGTTGAAGAGATATAGGAATTTGATTCGTATAATTTGCAATCAAATTATGACTTAAATCAATGACCATTGTCTTTCCTAAAGCAGAAGAGTGTACCTGAGTTTTTCAAAACAAGCAAAAATACCAACCGGTTTTAACAAATAGTGGCCAAAGATCGAGATTAGTGATCTGATTCGAGCTAAAATTCATATTTATCAGTTCCGACGGAAAAGCGACAAAGGTTGCACTATTGATCGACGGCATTCGCGTCAAGTTATTCTTCGACAGATTAATCGATTGTAACATTCCATTGGCTTGGAAGAAATTCATTGTTATATCAGTGATAAAATTGTCCGACAGATCAATTATCAGAAGATTCGAACCGAGACCGGCCAGTTTCGATGTATTCAACAGGCCTCGAATCATATTGAACGAAAGATCAAGAATGGCAATCTTTGGATACGATACTGAAATATTTGATGGAAATTCTATCAGATGACCACGAATACCATTGGTTGATGAGGCCAAACGTAGCTGAGTAACATTATGTTGGAGTGTACTATTGTTAAGTGTAGGAAGTTCAGTAAGATTCACTGTTGGATCACAAAGAATAGTTAAATCTTGATAATCAGCTAGCGTACAATTACATGATACATTAGGGCATAAATCAGTTAGTATAAAGGAATAAGTATTTGTAAATAGCAATGACTATTAGAAAATGCATAACATCGATGATTAAGATCATAGAGAAACACTTACAGCTAGGATTAGAAAAAAACAGTACATTTTCAATTGTCAAGTATTAGAGTTACTAAGAATAACAAAAGAACAAGTGTCATTACAAAAATTCTTTTATTTTCTTTTCTCGTCTATTGTTTTCAGTACGTTGTATATATGTAACTAAGTATTGTACACGATGCAGAAGATACCTTAGAAAATGAGATTGAAAAAGAAAAGCACGAACAGACACACTTTGTAGAAAAAAAATCTATTTTTTACATTGGCTGCTTGAAAGCAATGCACTTTTGCTGTACATAGTATCTCTCCGTACTATGATGAACGATTTCAGTAGGATGATATTGTTCTAGCTTTATTTAACAAATAAACTGTTCTTTATTAAATTATCGTCCATAAGACGGTTAAACGTACACAAGCAATTTATCACGAAAAAGACAAATAGCGTAAAATATAGTATATTCAGTGGACAATGAAATGAAAGAAATAGAACGATACCGTTCTTAATCTTTGTATACTTTTATACATCCAGTCACCTGTTTACGACATTTGATATTCGGACATGGCTGGTTTCTATCAAGAAGCGCTTGCCCACAGTCGTAACAAACGCATAAATGTCTACACGGTAACAGCAAACCTGATAAACCATTTGGACATACTCTGTACGATATAGTTGCAAGGCATCCACCACCAACAGCTGGTGGTAATGTTCGTGCTTCGCTGTCAGTCGGTCGATAAACTCCAACTAGACGAAGACCAGTGATACGTCCATTCATGAGAATCTCTAATTGATAGGATGTTTGTTGCACTCGAGGATTGTCATTAACAGTTAAGTCTATATTGAATAGTGGTTTAACATTTCGATTATCACAAGAAAACGTGATCACTCCTTCTGGTTGTACACGGAGACCAATCTCATCACCTAATGTAAGATGATCGAACGTTGCATCAATTTCTTTTCGATGTTCATTCGATGCTCTACCGTCGATTAAACAACGAATGGTAAAGTACGATGACAATGTATGATCCATATCGAGAACTTGCAGAACAATAGACATACACCGTTTAAGATTTTCATCCACGATTATTGATGATGTGGAAGACTTTTTCACAGCTATATTATGAACCAATTCGCAAGTTTCATCACAGTTTGTCATTTTTAAAAATCCGGACGACAAATCTCCACTGTAATATACGGAAGAGGTTTCCTGCTGACAATTGTTTGTGTATTGAAGGTAACGTTCACGTGCTCGATCAACTGGATTTGGCAACACGCGTGCTTCTGTTTGAACGAGACGAATTTGAGAAACACTTCCGTTCAAATCAAGTGCACACCAAACGTCTTTGGTTATTGGAGACACAGTTAGATATTTAACGAAATCTGTCTGATCGAAATCAATATAAATCTAAACAGAACCAGATGTATATACAGCGATCACACGATTTCGAAGTAAATTATTACTTACATCACCTTCCGCTGTATATTTAAGACGGATATACTTGTTTTTTTCTATACTTGGGAGTTTATGTAAAGTTGGAACAAGCCATTCGCGAGAATCATTGGCTGGCATCAATCGTGGTAATGTCGTAGCTGTAAAATTATCTGGATTATTCGTTGTCAAACCAAATCGAATAAGTCCGTGATATTCTTTCGTTAATTCTTCGATGTTGAATTTGACAATTTCATGAGATAGAATCGGTCGATTGGTAAATAATAATGTGTTATTCAAACGATCACGAGTTGCACGTGTATTATTCTCACTCAATCGAATCTGATCACCATGCACTCGATGAAAACGCAGTGGTTCGACAATCGGCAATTGAGAATGAGAGTTTGTAGCCATTAGTTGAAATGTTTAAGACTTGAAACGATGCAAGATTTTCTTTGAAGCGGCCAACAATTTACTATGTCAATAGAGATCTACAATGCAAGCTTTTCATCGAAGTAAACAAACTCATATATCGTAGTGGACCGATTTATTCATCCATTCATATATGCCCGATATCACCGAGTCAATAGGAGAACGAATGAATCGTCTTCTTTACTAGTGAAAACAAGTTTAGCAAAAATCTTCACTCACTGTTAACAAATCGACCGTTTCCGTAGGTTTGTATCCATGCACGACCTCACTCAAAGCGTTACAATCCACTTGTTTGTTCTTTCGTCACATCAGCACTATCTATTAAATATATATATGTAAATTGTCACTCACTGCCATCTATTGGAAGCCTTCGATCAACGATGATTGTTCTCCTTTCCTTAAAAAGACAGTAAACATGATCATTACTTGTTCTTACCAGAATTTAGTTACAGCACGCGTTGTTGTTTTCTTTTCTTTTTTTTCTTTTCTTATCTTGATTACATCGAACTACGGATTAGATTTAGCAATTTAAACATAATATGCTTTCACCAATTCAATTTCATCCGGTTCATGGTGAACATATCAAATTATCACGAAATAATACTGTAGCCAAACGTGTGGACAGCTTTTGTAAAGGCATCTGTTTCAGTAATCGAACAATTCAAATACGAGAAAAAATTTATGTACGTCTTCTCAATAAAAGCGTTCAATGGACGGGATTTCTCCGTCTTGGCGTGACCACATGTGATCCAAACACACATCGAACATCGACATCCTTACCTCGCCATGCATGTCCAGATTTAACGTGTCGACCTGGTATGTCACTTTACCACGAAAAACAATTTCATTTTTCAAAATTCCTTTTAATTTCGATAGGTTATTGGGCTAAATGTGTACCTGAAAATTGTTTTGATGTCACAAACAAGTTGACCTATTTTTATGTTGATGAACATGGAGAGTTATATTTAAACACGCCATCTGGAGAGATTTCTTTATTGACAGGTGCGTAAGATTTCCGGAATAGACTTGTTTTGTTAGCATTTGTCTCTCTCCGTAGGAATATCCGTTCAAGAGCCTCTTTGGGGTCTATTAGACATCTATGGAAATTGCATAAGTGTTGAAATCGTTGCTGATCCTCAACAACGATCAATATCACTCAATGATCAATTTCGAAATATCAATGGAACATTTACCACACATTACTTCAAAAATGTGCGTGACGATCTTGTTTCAGTGCCATTCTTGCCTGTACATAGTTCATCAATTACATTTTCCTCCTCGCCGGCTCATAATCAATCGAATCAAACCATAGTCATATTTGATAATACTAAGAATGTTGAAGGCTTGGCCTTCTTTTCTGAGCCATTGACAACCAATACTGGTGTTCTAATGCAAATTTTATCTATTGCGCCATCGAACGAAAGTCGTCTACGCTCAACAACAGCATCAGCATCGAATTCCTTAGCTTCACATATACAATTCGGTTTAACCAACTGTGAAATCAAACACCTGTTACGCACAAAAGATATTCCACTGAATGTCGAACAAATAAACAATCGTTCAGAATGCTGGATTATACATGACTTTAAATTGAGTAACAAAACGACGATCGATCGCGACGATGAATTTTTATTTACATTCAATCAAGATGGCATCATAGAATATTCTCACAATAACTCTAAGCTAAAAGATTTTATCCACGTGGATCCAACACTTGACTATTATCCATTTCTTATTCTGAAAAGCGATATTGTTGCTGTACGTTCAATGGGTTATCTAAAATCACTTAAAAAATGTCAATCATTGTGTGAAACGAACAGCTTGTCAAAATCCAATGAAAGTTCGTCTTCGATAACAAGTGCTCACAATAACAATCGTAGTGATAATAGCATGAAGAATGATTTTGACTCGAAATTATCTCATGATTGTACAATATGTCTTGATCGTATTCGAGACACAGTGCTTATTCCTTGTGGACATATTTGTTTATGTTATTCCTGTGCAGAGGAATTGCATCAACGTGGTGCGAGACAATGTAAGTCGACAAAAAAGAAATTTAACTTAAACTTGTGTTGATATTCGTTTCACCTTTTCTTTCAGGTCCTATCTGTCGGGCGACTATTACGACGATAAATAGAGTCTATTTGGCTTAGTTACGAACCTTTTATTGTAAATACAAATGCTCTCAACTATTCAATGAACAAGTGTTTGCAGTTCGACAAAAATCTTTCTAATCAGTTCACTATCTTTTTTTTTATTTCTGATAACTGTGAATTAATGTTAAATCAGATTCTTCTTCATAATGTACCATGAGTATTCAATGGACATCAGTTTTCTTTTTTTTCGTATGTATTGCTATTTTTCTTTTCTTCGTATCATTATATGTCATTGTATTAATGTGCAAACTAAAAGTTGAAGAAAAACGGATAGATCGCCATGTACCTATGTCAGTCTAATATTGAAGATGAGTAACACGATTGTTTTGGATATGGTTGTTAGGGGACTATCTCTATGAAGAGAGACTGCTTGATTTGGTTTCCCTTCACTGATTTGTTTCACTTAATGATTGATTTGAAAGATCGTGACCCAATTTGTGTAGACAAGAGATAAGCAAGTTTAAAGCGTTTCAAGACGAGGATGCGAAATGATTTTATTGGAAATGTGAAAGATAAAAGTACAAATTTTGAATTACATAATTGAATTATGATTATCACAATAGAAAACATTGACAGTAGAAATCAGAAATCAAAATTCCTTCGTTGTTTTTTTTCATTTGATCAGGAACCAAGTTATTCCAAGTGCTGGTAGAGAAATAGGTAAATCAATATGGTAATCCCGAGCTAAGGTATAGTTTTTCCAAGGATTTTCCTGTTCAGACACTTGTGCTACATCAGTTAAACCAGTATAATAGAGTGGGAGGACTAAGTTCGTATCTATTGGATTTGATGTCGGATTGAATACCATAGCTAAGCCTACGTAAAAAAAACACGTGTGAAAGTCAATAAATTCTTCAAGAAAATGAATTACCCTTGATATCATTGGAATATGGATCCACATGCATGTAGCTGTCAATTGATTGCATATCAGCACGACGGACCTGTGAGACGAAATCATATGAATAAAAAAGATTTTTCTATAAACAATGAAATAGTGCATTTCGTTTATCTTACATGAATAATATCACGAATGAGAATGGGCCGATATTTTTTATAAAAATTAACCCACTTTGTTACTAATGCTTTCGTAGCATTTGTATCGTATAAACGATAACCTCGATAGCAAGCAGCGACACCCGCACCTGAGCTCAAGATCATGAACAAATCAATGATAGTTGAATGAAAAACTTACCTAGATATTGTGCTAACGCCCATTCGTATTCGATTTGGTGAGCGACCAGTGGCTCGAACTGCGCTGCTGCACCACCACCATGATAGACAGTCAAAGGGACAAACATCCAGCCTATTGTTGGAATTCGTTCGTATGTATCATCGAACATTCCTTGTCTATAATTCGAAATAGGATCACATTGAAAGACTTGAAGTATGTTTACCTAGACACACTTATATCCATCCATCGTGGTAAAGAATATTGCTCTTCGTTATAACCCATTCCAGTTTTTGATCCGCCTTCATAGAAATAGTAATCAGGTTGATTAATATATACCGAACGTTCACGAAGTGTACGGAAAAAGTTTCCTTGTAGAATATTCTGTCGATAAATACTGTCATCATTATTTCGATGATGACTATGAGTAGTCGATGCGCATGAATATCCACCATACGGACCATCCGTTTCTACCATGATCAGACCAGTACGATCCATAAATGTCAATGTGTGATTCAACAGATAATCGTACCATCCCGATGCGAAGCATGCACTGTCACGTGGTTTACCAGTGTGTGGATCAATGGCCATCCATGACGGTTGCACTTCACGTGTTAATGCAATTAAATCGTAGCCACCAACTTCAATGTTTTTACTCTTGGCATAAGCGATATCGCTCGTGATTTGTTCGATGTATTTTTCATTGCTGGATTCCATGTCAAAGCCAGATCCAAAGGAGTAAATAAGCATTTCAAAGCCCACCTCAGCCATTTGATCGATAGCTTGACGAAATGCTGGTGAACTTCCATTAATCATGTGAAAGAAAATTGGATTTTCTTGCGTATGAGGTGCTAATAAACGAATTAGACGGTGCTTAGACAGAGCAACACGTTCTACATCAGATGAACCAATGACAAGTTCATGTACGCGAAACGACGATAACTGCGTTACGAGTGGAACAATGATTGGATGATCAGTTTGATACGTACAATTAACCAAAGGTGGAAATGAGCCTGGAATTGTATTGACTTCGACATCATTTGTCCATAAAACATTTGTGCCATGACCCGCTGGTTGATCATCTTCAATATATAACCATGAATGACCAAAAGGAGACCTATGACAAAGGAAAAAGAAAATGATTTCCTTAGATAGTTCTTTTTCTTCAAATACCATGGTTGGTTTACAGCTAGAATTTCTACTGAATTGAACGAAAGATCAATATCACCTCGACCACTCGTATCAATAACATCGATCCATTTAGAAAGTAATGGTATGCCATCGTACATTTCATAATTGACAACCACAGTAACATACTTATGGAATAATGGTGCATAGTATGGTGCTTTGAAATAGACACTCAAATGAATGCCTTTCGGTGGCCATTGTATATCACTTGGAGCAAAACGTTTTGGTGTGTATGAGAAGGGAGCTTTAGGTGTTCCGACTTCGTAGGTCGAAAAGTGGAATGCTTTTACATCTAATTGTTTATTTTTCCAAAAATCTGTTCGATTGAAATATGCACATTGGGTGTTGGGTTTCACTCCGCCAATCGCATATTGAATTGTATCTAATGTTATCACAGCTTCAGGTTTGACGCATCGTAACAAACTGGAATCAGTCGCGTGCAAATCTCGAAAGTCGATAGTTGCAAAGTCAGGTTCAAGTAGGAATTCTCGACTAATCAACGTATTCGAAAGGAGTAATGTACCTGCTGGCGTCTTGGTTAGTGTTGTGACATCGGTTATTTTATCCACCAGCCAATCTCTCCCTTCAATAATATTTACTAGAAAGTAGAAGAACAAGAGCCAACTCCAATTATTCAAGAGTTTCATCTGAAAGAAAAAATGGCGCATTATTTTGGTAACAACTCACACAAATCAATGGATGATGTCCTATTTCTATTCTCTGATTAAACAGTTACTATCCAAAAGTAAATTCTATTGGATAACATTTTCCACTAGTCTTATCTTTCTCACAACAATACTTCAGCGATATTATCGTCTGCGACATGAATACGAACATTATGATCGTCGTCATCAAATGTTACAGTCAATTACTAATCAAAAACAAGATGAATTAGAGAACTTAACGCATCATATTCATCAATCGTTACTCATCCTTGAAGATCAACGAATAATTTCCATTCGAAAAGATGAATACTTCCAAAGGAATCCATCTACATGTGTCTACGATCATGGCGATCATTTGAAAACGTCACATTTAAGATCATCTGAACAACTCTCAACCGACGATGACACACAATCAGATGAAGATGATCCTTTATTACAACGTCTGAAATTAACAAAGCCAAGTCGATTGAAAAATTCACCACCTTAATCAGGAGAACCTTTCAGAATGATAAATATGCCACAGAACCTTTGAAAATAGATGCGATCGAATACAGATAAATCAAACAAATCGCATCTTACCAACTCAGTTGTTCGTTTATAGATCGATGTGCATTGATTAATCGATTGTACATCAGTATCCAATTGTTCAATAATCAATAATTTATAGTTGATTTTCAATTTAGATAATTTTTCGAGAAAATAATCATAAGCTGGACATTCGACGGATAATGTTTCCGTGTAAAAATTTATTCGTTTTTCGATAGTGATATATACTGATTGTAGTTTTGATTTCGTTTGAAATAATTTGAGGAAAACGTCAAATAGTGCATCTGTGAGGTCATCATCATAGACAACTAAATGATTCCAATGAATAATAGAGCAGCAGAAAAAAGATTACTGATAAATACCATCAGCTGCGATGATGATTTCGATCTCATTATCGATTGCATCACAATCGTATTGTTTCCAGTTCAATTTTTCGATCTGAACGCATTCGTTTCGGCAAATACCCTCGTTAAGTCGAACATTTTCTCGAATAATTTCCAATAGATCAGAATCATAATCTACGAATGAATCAAACTACAAGTGAAGAAGAAATGAAAAGACAACTATTCCTCATACCAGTCGAAATGACCTTCGCTGCGAATCGACTAGCAAGAACTGTACACAGACCAACTCCAGCGCCCAATTCTAGCACAATTCGATTTCGAAACCGATTCAAATTCGTCAACAGATAGTCACAAAGAAGTAAGCAACCGTTCCACAATTGATATCCACATTGAACAATATTCGTTTCATTTCGATGAACTATGAAAGATAAAAAAACCCGAGTAATTGCTATCTTCCACAGTAGAGTTTCGAAAGCTATTCTTGTAGAATATTGACAGAAGATATATCAAGGTCATTACAAGGCAACCTGTGTCTCAATGTCTTAGATAACAGAACGACTGTGCACGCCTCTACGCGATATGATTTCATTGGATATACTTGATAGTAGTAAGCAAATGTTTGCATCTATCTAGAACAAACGAAATGAATACCTAAGATAATATCGAGACGCTCTGGACGATTTGTGACAAGATCACCATCATCATCAAATTCGATACTGTCATTGTCGTTCTTTGATACGAGTAGAAATTGAAGAGTATCTTTCACCAGTTTATCTTCTGTCGATGAAAATACATCGGAATGAATGAGATATGGATCCGTTTGTTCTTCGTACATTTATCAGAAAAGTAGAAGCAAAGCGAGAAGAAATGAAAACTTTAATAACAACAAAGATGAGAAGAATAGTTAAATCTATAAAATAACAACAAATAAAGCAATACACAAGAACGAACAGCAAATGACGGTTAGTGATCGAATAGAACGACAAAAGATCTATGAAACTAAAAGACAAAAATCGACTACCAAAAGTTTGGATCATCAATGATGCCAAGTTTATTTCCTAATCGCCGAAATTTCGCTCGAACTTCTTCTTGCATCAAATTGAAACACATTGCCATTAATGATAAACCAAGTAAAACATACAGAGCACATATGATCAATTTACCTTCAACTTGAGTCGATGTTATCGATTTACCAGGAACAAGATCACCTAGAATGAAATCATCAGATTTTTTTCTTTCATTTCCTAGCTCGGTTTTTACCTAAACCGATCGTTGCCAATGTGACAAAACAAAAATAAGCACCGTCCAAAAAATTCCAATTTTCCCATTCGCTGAAAAGTACAGCGCCAAGTATCAAATAGGATGAGAGTAGTGAGAGTGTGACACTGATCGGTATGGTAACTTTACGATAATCAACGCTTAAGTTATCGACAAACTCGACGACATTAGTAGGAGCTGGTTGTTCCAGATTAGCTACAGGTGGCTGAACCGAAGTTGAATTCATTGTTGTTCCCATCGAAGATTGAGGTATAGATGAGGATGCATTACGTGATAATTCGACAGATTGTAGTGCACGTAAATTCCGTCGTTTCTTCACCATATTACAGTATGAACAGCAGATATTGCAGTAGATGAAACGAAATGCATCAGCCATAGTTGAACCGATGTTGGCTAAGCATAGCAGCATCAATGGGATACCGAAGATTGCGTAGATCATTGTCATGATTTTTCCATAATTGGTTTGACTAGAACGAAAAAAAATATGAGACCTTATCGAGTGGCTCTTCTTTTGTTCTCAGATTCAGTTTTGTTTTATCAATGCAAGGAAATTGCCATTCATCATCTGTCATTCGAACTAATCAAGATATCTTTGACAAGTTCATTTTCAACAGCTGTATGTATGTCAAAAGAATCCGTTTTATGTTTATATAACTCATCTTAATGTCAATTACAAACATAATTCTGTCATCAATAGATGGACATTAAGTTATTGTTGGTAGTCTCTATGAACTAATCAATTCAATCTGGATATCCATCTAAGTCAAGGATAATAATTAGATTTTTTTTACTTCATTGGTTAACCTATCCTATACATACCAAGTAATGTGTCCGTAACCTAAAACAAGACGGAAAACAAAGTTTTTTTTTGCGGAAAAACAAATAGACAAGGATTCCGTACCGATCGTTGTTATGACTGTTATTGCGTAGAGAATCGCCCCTGGAAAATTCCATTGTTTCGTATCGTCTAACGATCGTTCGCCTTGATAGCCACGCTTCGTTTGTTTAACAATGTCTTTTTGATAATCTTCAAGGATGACTTTAGCTGCATGCATCCAGGTATCGGGATGTAAATACGACGAGTTCATACTATGTTGAAGTAATCTTTCGACAGTTATATCGAGATGTTGTTGCACTTTGTTCGCTTTCTCATCTTCTGCATTTGCTTCAAGAAATTGAAACACCACACCTCCACCGAATGCATATGCGACGACAAGCAGACAAAGGCCAACGCGTGAAAAGATAAATGTGGTAAATGATTTGCAACAATTTTTGCAACGTTCCATTCTTTCCGAGTGAACACTACCTGGCACGAGCTGTTGGGCAGTAGAACGTCTTTGCTCCTGAAGCAATTCATCTCGTCGCTGTTTCCTACCAAGACGAAAAAAGAACATGTTCGAATTCGATTGAAAGATTGAGTAATGATTGTTTAGTCAATGTAGACGATAAGAATCGCAATACTCGAAGATTAACACTAGCATGCGTGTTAGTGCCAAAGCTGAGAAGAACGAACGAGAAAAGGGAGAGTGATTGATTTATCCAATCGAGAGAATTAGAAGAACAACAGAGAATCTGTTTACTTGATATCTTCGATCGGTTCTAATGATGACAACGGATCGGCAAAAGAAGAAGAAAAAAGAGAAGGAGAGAACAAAGAGGAAAACAACAACGATGACGAAGATACAAAGCAATCATCCCAACTATGTCTGCTACATAAGAACTGTATACACTCGTATGTTATTAACAAAATGGACAAATTAAAGTACAAACATATTCCGTAATCGGCTTAGCATGTGTTTTCATCACCAGGAGGTCAGAATGAATAAATATCTCTACTTCTTCAAGAAAGAATTCTCTGTTGTGACTAACTAACTCACTGAAGATAGTGGATAAAGAACGAAGAAGACCATTCGATCGCTGACGAGAAAGATGATCTATTGTATTATTAATGACATTTATCACATTCTAATATCTCAGTAGATAGAACGGCAATATTTTCAAATGATAACTATAATATGTACGTGATGTAATATTTATCGACGATACTGATCCTCTTATGATGAATTATCTCCAACATAAGAAGATTGATGAGTTTCAACTCAAAGTATTCATCGACGAGGATTATACTCACGAAAATTTCCCATTTCTTGTTATTGATAATAATCCGATATTATCATACAAGCTGCCATTACTTGACGAACGATTATCATTATTGTTATTGTATAAATACGACAATGATCCGTGATAATGTCGATTTTTTGCCTCGAATAACATTCTAATTTATGCGTTTGTACCTCAACTATTGTCTTGCGATGGCAAAAGACATAGCTCTCTGATTGCTACCGTACTGTCGTTTGTCTTTACCATTAGGTCAGTGACTACAGTTAGCACTAGTAATCGTCAAACGACTGTCTTTTCTTAGCTGTCGCCGTACTGTTGAAGGCAATGTTGTATAGCCAAGAAAGAAGTCCGTATCAACATACTTTTCTAATGTTCTTTTCCCTTTTTTGTGCTATATTCTTAATATGTATTGTCTAATTACAAGACAGTTCCTATTTGTTTGATTGTTTAACACATATATACGAATAAATATCGAGAAATTCTTCGGGTTTTCTTTTCTTGGACGTTTATTATTACTAATCGGATAGAAGAATGATAGAAGACAGGATAATATATTGGAAAAAAATCGCGAATCGGAGGTTACAGAAAAAGAAAAGAGATAATATATGAAATAACAACTGAAGTTTAACCCTGGTTGTCTCAACAAACTTATCAAGAACTGTAATCGGAGCTTGTCTAACTTAGAGGTTAGATTTCCAACGATATCTTTATACAAATCAACAAGTTACTAGCCATACATCATAACTTTTCTTTTTCAAACAGCAACACACCTGTCTCAGATCATCAGATAGCAATAAACCGAATAATGCTTTTCATTATTATCGATCTGTTCGAATCTAATGTCAGTATGCATAGCTAACCATAAATATAAGTATTGTCGAAAATGAACTGAAACGAATTCGATATCCTCTGATAAGTCATACAATCAAACAATGACACCTATGAGACGATAGTGCATGCTATCACAATCTTCAATAACGTATATTACAAAAAAACTGTACCTCAGCTGGTCGCCGCCGTCTCATCTTGAGTTCTTGATTGTCGAAGGTGTCTAAGTTCAGTAGTTCACTTAAGTCTGTTGTTTTCTTTCGGCAAGAACAATGGAAATATAAGTACAGTTAGTTAGTCTGATAGCCATATATATATATATATATATATACACGCACGCCTACTGATGTAAGTTTTCTCCACTTTCTTCCGTCTTATTCAACTTGTTTCTTTGAGATGTCATCACTTTTGATCATATGACATGTGCAAGGAATTACTAGTTAGTAGAAGTGCATTCATTCAGAAATACAGAGGAATCAACTATTATCTTCGAGAAACAATTACTTAAGTGAAAAGAAAATAATCTAGGAATACTTACATGAATTTACTTAGAAGATTTTATAATGATCAATGTGATATGATTACAAATGAGTTCAGTAAGTGAAATCGAACTTAGACAATATCGTTAATTGTTCGGGAATACCAAGTATGGTCTTTTGTACTTCGACGACAAGAATAGAAAAACTGTAAGACGATCTGACTACAGTCAGAGTTCAATGTGAATAGAATGAATTATTCAGAAAATGAGAAAAGATTGCTATCTGCATGGAAATTCAATCTACTTATTTGAATACAGACATTCCTAATTAAGATTTATTGAGAGAACTGGCATACTCTCCAACATGAATGAGAACTTCGAACTCCTATATTTTGGTGTGTGATCGAAAGAGATCTTACAGGAAATGAATGATATATATCAAGACATATAGTTGACATTATTACTCCTTCACTTAGAATCACCTGTTCTTCGTGAGACTATTTCGAACAGTTCTCTTCATAGAAAAACAATCTATGTACTCTGTTTATTTACGCATCGTAAATGCCTGTCGCATCAAAATATGCATTCATAAATCTAATTGCTACTTCTTCATGCTGTTAAAAGACGAGAAAACCTCTTAGTGATATTTAGAATCTTCTCTTAAAATCAAAAAATCATTCCACAGAAAGCAAAAGTAGAGAAGCTATGTTACCGATGCATTGTTCTGTGTTCTATGCACGTAGATGTTATGAAATATGGTTTTTCTTACCTCACTTCACTGCGTCGACGAAATAAGTCAAATATATCTTCGAAAACACGATAGTAGAGAAGCGACATTTAATGAGAATATAATGATTAAATAATCAAATCTATGTATATATATATATGCGACGAAAATATTGTATATATTAAGAAAAATTGAGGGGAGAAACCAAATCGTAGAAAACAATGTGTTAGTTAACAAATCGTCATCGTCTTTTTTCAGACCAGCTAGTTCTTCGATGGAGTTTGTTATAAAAGAGTACAACTAAAACTCGACTTCTTCATATATGTATATATGTATATATATATACATAAGTGTCAGTTGACTCTCCTATCGAAGCAGACATCCACGACAGTTGCCTACATAAAGAAAACCTCGGAGATCAGCGTTTGTGTAACTATCGTGTCGATGTACACTAATGTTGTTGTCAGTCTCATTGGTGCTAGTGATGGGCTAGCACTAGTGCAAATAGACAGCTGTCAATTAGCCTTGTTGATATAGAGCTAGTGATTTGTGCCTTGAAGAAAAATAAATACTAACCAGAAAGTCAACTTTGTTCTGTAAGATTGAAAAAGCAGATTTTTTCAATAAAGAATATTCGAATTTCATTATCGACCTACATGGATATTTATTTACCTTATTTCATGATGAAGGATTCGGGAAAGACTATGCACGGCATTGTAGAATATTAATGCCATTTGTTATTGTTATCTATTTGATGTGTCGAAGTAGTTTTGCTTTTTATATAGTAGGTCAATTTCTAATCGATCAATTATTGTCGGAGAGAGAAAAACGTAATCAAACATTAGGGGGAGGAGAAGAAGAAAAAAACTACAGCTCTGACAGTTGTTCATGTAGAATAATTAATCAAATTACTGTTCGATTAATAAACGCGTCAGAGAGCGAAATTAATTATTTCTTACCTTGTCGGCTTGGAAAAATAATACATGGAAATATTTTGCCAAGTGTTTTCTAATCAATGTTAGAGAAAGTGAAATACATATGACGAATGACTTCTTCTTCCCCTTGATTAATTTTCTCAATTATTTATCGGAAGAGAAAAAGCACGTCGTTTGGATAGCAAAAAAAAGATCAACAAGATCTTTTTGGAAGGAAAGAATGTTGATTAAATAGACGAACTTTATCATGAACTTGATTTGTTGAGAGAAACATGTAAAGAAAAGTGAAACAGCGACGACGACGCAAGTCGTATATATAAACCCGAGATGACAAATGAAAATGTCAGCCTCCTAGTGAGAAATGACCTACAAACAATGGACACCTGTCTCGAACTTCATTAAGCAAGTCAATACCCTCGAGCAATCGGAGAGTTTTCGACTTCTCTTCCTCATTAATAATCCACAGTTAATAAAAACACTAAGTTGTAAGTAAATCATTATATTCTCATTAGTTCTGCTTAATCATATTAGACTTTTCGGAAAATAACAGCGCATTGGCATCTTCGGAAAACTTTACAGCAACGGGATATGATAAAAGAGATCTCCGTTGCAGCCACGGTAAATATCAACTTTGGTACATTTGCGAGAAACATAAGTACACAAAAACAAACATTGTATAGGCGACGACAAATTGAATAATTCAAATCAGATGTTAACAAAATAATGGTACCAAATGGAAACATCTGACACTTTATGTTTTATGTTAGAATTTACAAATTGTCATTCAGATTCTCTCTTGCATAAAGTGACACACCGTGGTAAAGTTTTCTGATTGGTGCTTTGCTTCCTACCAATAGAAAAATGTTTTGATGTCAATGATGGTGCCCCTGTGTATTTATTAAATTTATTATTATGTTATATTTTCCTTCGCAATGAAGTTTTACGACAATTGACTTCAGCGATTTTGTTTTTACTTATCTTTACAGAAGATTGATTAGTTGACCAAACATGTCGATACGTTCAGAACGTGAAAAATCGAAAATGCAGGAAAAATATCAAATGATATTGGCACAAATGCTCAAAGAAGATGATAATCGCTTTTGTGTTGATTGTGATACAAAAAGTAAGAAGATGCAAAGTGCATCAACATGTTCTCATACTTCCGTCTTTGCAGGTCCTCGATGGGCTAGTTGGAATCTTGGCATTTTTATTTGTATTCGCTGTGCCGGTTTTCATCGAAATTTGGGTGTGCACATATCGAAAGTTAAATCAGTTAATTTAGATTCTTGGACAGCCGAACAGATTGCTGTATGAAACGAAAAGATTTTCGTTGACTTGTTTTCAAGAAATATCTTTCGGACTATTTAGTCGATGCAAGCAATGGGAAACAATCGTGCGCGTGCTGTTTATGAAGCTAATCTACCTCCTGGCTTTCGACGACCTCAAGCTGATTCGTATGTTCAGAAAAAGACTTCTCATCTTCCCTGATCATTTGTTACTTTTAATGAATAGTGCTCTCGAATCATTCATTCGTGCTAAATATGAACAACGCAAATGGATTGCTAAAGAATGGATTCCACCAGAAATAACGGTGTCTAGTGATGTCAGTGTTGTTATGTCTCGTCTTTTGTTTTCATTTGTTTACACTGATTGAAAAGATGTTTGAATTCAAAAAAACATTTCATCATAATTTTTATTTGTGTTTAGTTGATTGAATCTGAAACAAATCAACGACGTGTAGAACCAACAGCTGACTCAGGACAAGTATGCTTTGATATTTTACTCTATAGATGTTCTATTTTTCAAACGTAATTTCAGACAGAAAAACCTGTTAGCAATAACATTCCAAAAATAAAATCATTCGCAGCACCAGCGCCAGCTAATAATCCAGTACGACAAGCAGGTAATGAACGTTCAACACCAACCAATCAGCCATCGATTACCCCTTCACCATCAACAACATCGATCTCAACACCAATTCAACCTGTGGCTGCTGGAAATCCACCGAATCTGCTAGACCTAGGCATGCGAAGTCTAATGCTGAACTAATTGCTAAATTAAGATCAATACTATTGTAGATGAACCCTCATTGCCAATACCAGCGGCGACACCAACAAATACAACTACTTCAATAAAACCAACTCCAACTAATATTATTGATCCTTTGCATGAGATATTTTCGGCAGGACCAACGGTAAACACAAACGTAGGCAATATAGCAACGCCAAACTTGGATATAAATATCGAAAGTGCGTTTTTATCTTCAACTGAAACCAACTCTGCGACGAATTCAAGCGGCGTTATGACTAACGACAAAATTATGGCATTATTCAACACACCTTCAACATCTATGGGCGCACCTCTAGGAGCAAATATTCGACCGCCAATGATGCAGTTACCTCAAAGTATGTTCTTGAGGGTACTGATAGAAGAGCATCTCAACGATGATTTCTCTTCATTTAGTGAATCCTGCTGGTTTTCCTCAACCACAAGCTCAACAACTTCATTCTCATCATAAATCAGCGTCATTCGGTAGTAACCTCTATCAGCAATCGTCTCATCCTGGATTTCAATCTCAAGTACGTTTCTCCTCATGAAAAATACCAGTTTTGCTCTTTTCCACGTACTAATTCGATCGTCTCTAGCATGGCCATCTTTTCCCAACAACAACAACAACAATGCCTGGAATGCATGCTATGAACCATAACAATTCTAATAATATGAGTTCACCTACTCTTCAAAATACGCCGTCAACGTTTACGCATGATCAAGTAAAGCAACACGATGATCTTCATTTCTACTCTAATATTCTTTACTCTTTCTTTAGTTAAATAATCAATTTTCTCAGTTTGTTCCATTTGCAAACTCAAAAACGAACACGTCGGCGTCAGCCTTAATCTCTGGAATGCCAACCCGTCCAGTAACAGAATACATGCCCGCCTCATCAGATCTACTTTGGCAATAAACTTTCGTTTGTGGAACATTGACTGTTTTCCTTCTACTCGATTCTTTGCTCGAAATGAATCTTTTCTTATCCCAGTGTCTGTGCTTCTTTCTACGTATTTTCTTTTATCCAAAACCAGAATACATGTCTACATTTGTCGATTACACGCGCGCGCACTACACATATACCCATATTTTTCTTTCTGATTATCATTCTTCTTCTTCTTGTTGTATACAAAAATACTCATTCTCGATTTTGTTGAGTGTCTATGGAAATAAATCGTACACTATTTATCAGAAAATAAACGCGAAGTATTTCATGTCTCAATTTTTATCATCTGCATCCTATTGTATAACAAAAGCATCAGTATGTTTGAGAATTTTAGCATGGCTACAAGAAGAAAAACTTGTTTTATGTGATTAATTCTACACGAATGTAATCCAGATGATTTTCTTTTTCTGTTTATTACTATAAACACAATGATAAGATATTTTCTGTACAAGAACAATAGGTCAAATGGATATGCTTCTAATAGATTGTTCCGCGCATTTGACATTTTTGTTCTCTTGTACGCATTTTTCGACGAACATTTCGTATTCGAGCTGATAAGCGTGAAGTGATTAGACCCTAAACGAACAATTCTACTTCGATCGATAGCTTTTCGTTTTGAAAATACATACATGAGGATTAATTGTATCTTCACACGCGAGACAAGGATATTCATTAATCAGAGCAATACCAATCTTTTTGTATTCTACTCCATGAGTCAATTGTGGATACACATTCATATAGAAATCTGCTGCTTCACGTATCAATTCATTCATGATTGATTCAGGATTACCTAGAAGAGATTTCGACATCAGAGAATAATACATCATGTTGTTTAACATACCCATGAGAAGTTCATGTTGAACTTTATCACTAAATGTTGGTAATAATGGTTGATCAGGTATGCGACTAAGACCTATTTCCTAGATACACGAGAATTTGAAATATTTCCAGTAGAAAATGTACTAGAGCATCTTTACTTCACTATTGTTCACAGTGATTATTGATTGTGACCGTTGTCGTGTGGACGACGATGCATAGTGTGGCATTTCATCGAAATTATCATCAGCTGTAACTCGTCGTGCACGTTGCTGTTGTTGTTGATTACCAGAATTTTTATTGCTAGGAGTTGATGGAATCGATTTACTTATTGTTGTCTTCTTTGCAACACGTCGACGCGGAATCGGAGGATCAGAAATCAAATCCTAGAGAAGAAGAACGTTGTAAAGACAATATATTCATATTTACAAAGAAGCTACTGATTGGTAGTCGGTACGTGCTGATTTGAATATGGATTCATTATCTTCCTAGAGAGAAAACAGAGCAATACAGTTGTCAAATGTTCAATGAACTTACAAGAGATGGACTTCGTTCGCGTCGAAAGTTAATTCGTTGACCAGGAACATTCGCTAACTATAATAGAAAGAAAGAAAGATGCAATTATAAACGAACTCACAAAATAATCAGATAAATTTACTTCAAATGAGCCTTGAGAACCATCATTAGGAACAAGAAAGTCATGTAGAAAGATAGTTGACGAAGACATAATGATAAGTATATGTGGAGAATTTCCGAATTAATAAAAACAAAACAAAAAGAATCTGTCAGGCGAATCGTCAGAAAAAAATAGTCTCTTGTGATTAGTCGAATGCGGTCAGATTCAGTATTTATCATAGATGTCGCCCGACGACGCATCTATTTTTACAGATTGTCGATTACTATAAAGAAAGATTTATGATCCTTTCGAGGATTTTTAATGACAATCACCGAGTACACGTTTTGCTAGTGCGTGTCGATTTTCTATCGAGGAAATTGGAGAACGGATGTGATATTTCTTTCGTCTGCTCGTAACAAAAGAATCGAAAGGTTTCCATGCGCATGTCAATATATGGATCATTTGAAATGTTTTCTGCTTTTTTCGATAAATTTAAAACGAATCCAAATAATCGAAAAAGAAAGAGAAAAGAAAAGAAGAAGAAGAAGAAGGAACAACTGAATGCTTTTTGTTTTTCGCGAATCAAAAAAACATTAGTTAGAAGAAATACAGACAATAACACATAAAATCTTATATGCAAATGACATGATAACAACAACACCGAGAACAACAGCACAAAATCAATCAGTCGAAACTCACAGGATCTTGGGATGATAGAGAAGAAAGGTGTAATGAAAGAAAAACAAAACAAAACGAGACTTGCCAATACATATCTATACATTGAAAGAGAAAACGAAGATGAGAGGAGAGAGAGAGAGAGAAGAAAAAAATATTGCTGTAAAAACAGAACATACAGCTATGGAAATCGAAAATAAAAGACGCATATCTAGGCGTTTGTTAAACATGAAAAATAGAAGATATAATTATTGAAAGAAAGAAGAGATATTTTGGCTTATTTGTCTTTGTAGTGTGTTTTGGTTTTCTCTATATATAAGAAATGTTTAGAATTCTTCAAATTCTTTTCCAAATTTTTCCGTCGTTGCAATACGAACTAAACGAAAAATAATCAATTAGAAAATTGGACTTCATTCAAAGTCTTTTCTTACGAGGTTCTTCTTCGTAATCATCAAAATTGCTTGCATCACCTACAATCGAATACGTCAAAATTTGTATGTTCGAAGAGCGTAACTCAATCTTACCGGGCCCTTTTGTCTTCGGTATAAATGGTGGTTCGACTTTTCGTTGATAGATAGCAATCCAGTCCGTAGATGCGAACCATTTATGTGTTTTGATATCATCTACGCCATTCTTCAGATTGCCATAACGTTTCGTTAAATCGACTTGGAGAAGATTACGAAGGATATCTTTTAAATCACTACTGAAATGGGATGGAAAACGAACCTAAAAGCAACATTTGATTACAAAACGTTTGCTGTCTAGTTATTTCATCTATCTTACTTTTCCGGAGACTATTTTCTCATAGATTTGGATTGGTTGATCAGCGAAGAATGGTGGATAACCCTTAAAAACGAAGTCCCTCACACTTCAGCGTTAATCAATTCGCAAATTCTACTTACAGCTGACATTTCGTACGCTAACACACCTAACGCCCACCAATCCACGGCTTTATTATATCCTTTCGACAAGATAATTTCAGGTGCCAGATATTCTGTTTGACAAAAAAAACAAATCGTGTTCAACTTCACAGAAGCGTTCGATGAATGAAGACCATTTACCTGGTGTACCGCACAATGTCCACGTTCGACCTACAACAAAAAGTTTTTTTTATAGCTTTGATCTCAATAATAGATAAAAAAAATTGATGAAAAGAAATTCCATCAAGATAAACATTCTCTTTCCTCTCGGGATCTTTCATAGGTCGAATTCATGACATCAAATGAACTAGCAGTGTTGAACGTTCGGGAAACAAAGGTCAATCCGCAAATAGTCATTTTCTACTTGTAAATACGATTCATTTATGTAGCTAACGATTAAGAAATTGCGTTGTATTCCACATAATTATTAGTTACGCATTCTCATTTTCCATTGGCGATACTTCGTAGTGTAAATTTCATTCGACAGTAAAGTGCGTCAACTCCTGACTAAAGATAATTAGAGCAACATCATTATATTAACACGACTAATTTATCTATTAGAATCTCGTTTGCCTTGATTCATATTAACTAAATGAAGTCTATTCATGACAGCATGACGTATGTTAAGAAACGCAGTTTTGAATTTTATTTTGCTTCGTCATAAATACCTAAATCATATAAATGAAGTTGCTCTGCTCTTCGTCCTTTTTTTATGAGCGTGCGTGTTTGGCATTAGTTAAAATCAACCAGCTCTTACCTTTGATTTTTTTCGCGAAACCAAAATCTGTTACTTTCAAGTAACCTTCAGCATCGATCAATAAATTTTCCGGCTAGAAGAAATATCATTCGATCAATGCAAGACTCGCTTTCAGGCACAATTAGTTACTTTAAGATCGCGATAAAGAATATCTAAGTAATGAAGATATTCGAACGTCAAGACAATTTGTGCCGCATAGAATCGAGCATGTTGTTCACTGAAAAGAAGGAAAATTAGATTTGCATTGTCCGTCATACGGATTGCATACCTGAATCGACCAACTTTACGTAAATGACTGAACATTTCACCACCGGGTACGAATTCCAAGACCATATACAGATATGAATTGTCCTAGACGAGAAAAATCCTTTGCTCGATCTGTCATGAACAAAAACAAACGCCTTACTTTGAAGTGATATTCCAAATTAACAAGGAAAGGAAATGAAATAGCTTGCAGGATTCGTTTTTCATTAAGTGTATGTTCGATTTGTTTTAATTTAACAACCTACGTTAGTCAATAGAGTCGAATCGTGCAAAGTTTCTTTTACAAAGTACTTTTTGTTTATCGAGAATTTTCATTGCATAGAAACTACCGCTTGCTTGATGTTTAACAAGCATAACACGTCCAAAGGAACCTACAAGGAAAACCATGACGAAATGAGTCTGTACTTTTCTATGTTGAATTCTCTTACCGGTTCCAAGAGTTCGAATACGATCAAAATCTTCAGGTTTGGCGGTATTCTATCGACGAAAAAAAGAAAATTCAATCGTGGAACACTCGAGATTTTCCACCGATTCTCACCTGGCTTGGTTTATCATATTTGGATTGAAATTCATCTTTAGCTTTAACTAAAAATGCTTTCACTAAAATGAAAAATAATAGTTTAGACTTCGAATGCAACTTTTCTTTCGTCGCGGGAATCTCTATTCGCAGTGATGTGTTCAAAAACTGAATGAATTTCACGTCCTAATATTTCTATGAGAAACTTACTCTTACTGATTAATAGCTTGAACTGTTTTTGCTGTTTTGACGCCTTAATACGCAACGTCGACCTTGTATATATGAAAGAAAGAAGAAAAAAATGCCGAGTTACTCGAGACTTTTTTTTATCCTGTTGTTAGCTGGAATGTGAATGCACATTAGTATTATCTATNCGACCTTGTATATATGAAAGAAAGAAGAAAAAAATGCCGAGTTACTCGAGACTTTTTTTTATCCTGTTGTTAGCTGGAATGTGCATGCACATTAGTATTATCTATCTTTTTTGCTAGTTACTAGAACGGAAAAAGAGGGAAGCGGAAAACAGATGCTCGATTAATTTGCAAAAATCATCCTTTTTTCATATCTAAACGATGCTTGATTATATACCGTCGTGGCTGTGATGTTCTTTTGTCGATAATACATTGAATAGGAAGGAAAGAGAGAGAGAGAGAGAAAGGGAAAAAGAAAGAATTTAGAAATCTAACTTTTTTTCGTCAGAATGTGAAATTTCTCTATTGATATTTGTTCTCATGTTGAGCAACTCGATAAGTTCGAGAAATAGATTACATGAGAATCTATTTTTGATGAACAAATCTCCTGAGAACGGAAGTAAAGCCGAGACTAGTCGCTGTTGGTTATTTGATTCAATCAGTTTCGTAGCAAAAATCAGATAGAAAAAAACATCTTGTTTTCTACCAACGAAAAAGACACAATGACAAGGCGATCATCGATTTAGATCTCGCGATTGTAAACGATTTTTTGCCGTAATTATTTCAATCATTAGAAATTTGCACTTTAGCAGATCAATTTCTCTTGAGAAGACATATACAGATTTGTTCCATTTGACCGTAATATATTACAAACCTTAAAAAGATTTGTCGTCGATAGAAACGACAACATCACTGGTGAAAACTATCAAGTCACAAAAAACAATCAGCGTGTGCATGTTTGTGACGAGACTCGTTGCTTTTCACTCAATGAGTTGAGCAGAGGTTCGAAGAAGAATGACAATCGCATCGACCAGAAGAGAAGAAGAACAACAACAAAAAACAGCATAACAAGTACTCAAACAGAACCAGGACTAGTCGAACGATAATGCTCATTCTTTTTGTTTTCTTCCTTTCGTGTTTTTTCCTTTTCTTCTATCATGTTATTTTTCCTAATCATATCTGGTGCGTTGAACACAAAACAAGTTACAAAAGATTGATGTCATAGAACTACGAACAAAAGAAAGAAAATTTCAGTTAGTTAAATCAGAAGACAACAGCAATATTTTCTGTCTTAGACAACGTAAATCTATCGTGTAAAAATAATATACATATATATGTATGTATACAGCTGTTACATGCTATACTTATAATCGATTCTTATTTATGTACGTGCGACACCTTTGCATTAACGTATACATTAACTTTTTTTTCTTCTTCTTTCTCTACATAAAAAAGAAAACAAAACTTGTGCTTGCAGACACCGCTTAGAATAGGACGACGAAGAAAAAAAATGATATTACAACACGCATTTGCATGATTTCGAGTGATTTCTGATAGATAGCCGTTTTTACTTTGCAACACAACAAAACTTCTTTGCTCCTTCGCGGTCTCACTCCTTTCTCAATCTTCAGCGAACGTTAACGAACGCACACATCTAGAGGAAAAGATAGGAAGCGAAAGATAGAGTCAAATAAAAATCGAGAAGATATGCAAATGTCAAGCACACATCGAGAAAATGTCACGCTCGATGTATTAGTAACATGTGTCTATTTTCTTCTTCATACTTTTTTTCAAAAAAGGGAAACGAAGACCAGTAGAATATGGACAAATATATCAAAAGGGTTTTCTTACGAAACAAGATATAAATGCCATACCTCTTTCAGCTGATTGAACATTGATAGAAGCATTACTAGAAGATGCTGATGCTGACGATGACGCTGATGCTGCGTGGTGATGTGAATCATGTAGAGACGAATGTTTACCATCAATCGAATGACTACTTTTGAGCGATGAAGTTCCTTCTTTGTCTTTTGATTTCGACTTTTCACTTAACTTCGATGATATACGTTCTTTAAGCGCCTGCATGACTGACTGTATGCAGCAATGGCAGACACAGAAAAAACTGTTTATTAGAACGGTGTCGCACTAATATAAGGATACTTTCGTATGAATATGTGTTACACTTTCTTTTCTTGTCGCGTACGGCTAGAACAGAAGAACGGTGGTGTTGATCGCGGCGGTAGACTGTTGTCGCTGTTGCTTGTTTTGCTTCTTGTCGTCAGTGATGGTAGTGATGTTGGTGTAGTATAGACGCACATTCAGTAAGCAGTCAAACTGAGAGAAGAGAGAGAGAGAGAAAAGAGAGATAGTCTATCGGCTTTTTTGATTTCTTGCGCATGAGCGTGGCGCGTCGACGCGAGAGATATTTATCGCAATATCTTTCCGACACAACGAACGAGCGAGCGAGCGAGCGAGCGAGCAAGCGAACGAACAAACGAACGAACGAATAGAGAGAACAAGAAAGAGTATCTAAGTACACGGAGAACGAGAAAAGCGAAGAGAGAGAGAGAAAAGCAAGCATGTATGTTAGCTAGCAAAGACTCGTTCGAAGACGAGAGAGAAATAGCAAAGAAGTTTGACTCTTCGTACATCGATGTATTAGTATGAGAAACATCATCGTTATGTTGACGAAGTATTACAGAATTGTAACAGTTAAAATACATTCTTATCCAATTTATTTGCTTGTCTTTTTCCTCGTTTTTTTTATTCGTTCTTTAGATTGAGAGGAGTTCTTGACAGTGCGTTTCGTCATTTGCGATCGTTAGTTTTTATGATCACTCTTTATCGAATGATATATTGTAAAAAAAAGTCTAAATGCCCTTGATCGTACACTCTTATTTAATCATTTTCAAATAGACAACTTGCAATCGATGACGTTTATGTTCGTTGATTGAGATGAGAAACCTTGTCTGTATATGGGTTCAAGTCGAAGAAGCAAACCGATCGGTGATTGAGAAAGATAGATAGAGAGAGGGAGAAATTTGAGTATATTGTTTTGGAATCAAACAAATCGAAGATGATTACAAAATGCTACATTCATCTTCAGTGAAGCGTTACAGCGATCTATTTGTCTGAGCAAAGAATACGAAAAATTTCAACTAAAACCATGATTATCATCGTTGATTCGCTTGAAGATGAGAATTCATTTATTTTACATGATAAGCATCAACAAGCGTGCTATGAAATAATACTATTAGTTGCTTACGAGAATACACTAATGCGTAGAGAAGAATGCAATAAGAGAGAGAGAGAGTCGAAAAGAAAAAGAGCTATCATTATTGTGGAATGGCAAGATTTTGCTTTATTGCTTGTCTTCGATATTTAATGAATTTTTTCATCAATAATTTGTGCAATTTTATTAGAAATAAAGCTAATATAATCGGAATAAAATGTTCAATTAATTGTATTTTTCTCAGTCCGCTCGGTTTCCTTTGTGACATGCCAACAAACAAAAAAGGCAATGATTGATGTCAATGTGTCCCGATATATGAGTTTTACTGACGCCCTCTTTCTCTCTATTGTGCGGATTTCAATTGATATAAGTATCCGATTTCCTATAGGCACTCAGTCTAGTTCTCCTCTTCTCAATAGATGTCGCCAGTCACTAGCGAATTGATTTTCGTGACTTATTCATATGCCGGAAGGGAGTGTGCACCTTGTAGTTCAAAAACGAAAACATGTGTTTTTTCTCGAAACTACTTTCGTGTTGGTTTATTCATTTCATTGATAAATGAAGATAAGCTAACAAACGATAAAACTCATTCTTGTTTTTATTGTCTCGTTAGCTTTTCTCTCGTTTTTAAAGTCGATTTCTTTTAACATGCCCTTTTCTCTCTGTCTCTTTATCTCGGTTTTTTACGGCATTGTATAGTTGTTGTGCATGCAATAATGAATTATAACGTTGCCGTGTCATTCTTCTAGAGAACGTGCTATTTTTTCTATATCTCTTTATACACGGAGAAATTAAATCTTTGCACTTCGTTGCGCATGTTTAGGACAAAAAAGTGCACAATTTATTCTGTAAAAAGATATGTTCGTTTAATTAGATGGAAACGTCTACGACGCAGAAATGGTTGAATAACAACGAAGCTGATATACAGAAGTCAATATCTCTTCACATGAAAGCCTTTCTCGACACTCTGATCGAGTTTAAACGTTCAGGAAAAAATTGGTTTTAGAGAAAACACATTTCTGGTCTATGCCTTTCGTGTGAACTCTATGGCGGAGTATTAATGATGACAAGCGAAAGAAGGGAAAGAAGGGCATATATGATGCACATTAAAACGGATATATTCCATGTTCATCTATTTCTATTGACTCTTCTCGTGCAACTTAGTGTGATTCTATCTCCTGATTGTTGTCAGAAGATTGACAACAAACTTTTCTCTTCCCTTTCCTGTATTCATTATTAATACGAGCTACTTTCTAATCTTTAATGATATTCAAACTTTCATTTCTTGTCGGCTAGACTATTTCACAGAGAATCTATCGGATTCTTTCATTTCTAATGGCCTCCAAAATCCAATCTGTGTGTGTGTGAATTAACGAAGCTAAATTTAGATTTAGACTGTAGGAGGAAAAAGGCGATGTCTCAAACAAAAAAGTCAATTAAAATGTCTTTCTGTCTACTTCAATCAATGCTTTACTTCTCGTAACTGTCTAATGAGAATAAAAGGCAGACTATATGCCGACTGGCTTTCCAACTGTTTGTTGCACTCACGGTGATCAATTGAATAGTTACTGTGATACGTAGACAAGGCTGCTGAGCCGGTATGTTCGTCGATTGTTGCACCGTTGGCTGCAGCTGCTGTCGTTGTTGGCGAAGATAATGATGATTGAAGGGTAAATCCTGATGTCGATACAGTACTAGTATTTGTTGGTATTCCACTGGTCGACAAAGAAGATTCATCGACACTCGATGCACTGGTTTCTTTACTTTTTTTAAGTTTTCGTGAAGGACGAAAACGCTCTTTGAATGATGGCATCGTTCCGAGGAATTCTTACGTGAACATACGCTGATGGTCTTGGTAGTGTCAATGTGACTATTCTTCTATTTAGTTCTCAGTTTTTCATATACTTTCCGGTTTCTTCTCCTTCTCGTCCTTCTTCTTCTTCTTCTTCTATTCTTACACTATTTTTTTCTCGCGATAGTTTTCTAGATACAAAACACACGCACACACAGAAGACTGCAGCGCGTGTCGCAATGTATTAATTTCCTACCCGTATTTTCCCGTCGTTTAATATTTTTCTTTCTACTTTCTCTCATTCTATTCAACACATCAAATGCAGACATACACAGTCAAATATATTTCTATTTCACTCCTTATGACAAGCATAAAACTCTTCGTTTTTACTGATTATTCATGTCTCTCCAAAACTTCTTGTCCTCCTTTTTCTACTGTCACATTTCCGATGTGTATATAGAGAAGAACAACTAACCCAAACATGCATCAAAATGACATTTGAAAAAAGGTAGTTTTTAATCTTGGCTTTATTCGTGGTTTTCAATAACGTAATAGAATAAATCTTTTTGGGAAGGTTTATTATCAACACATATCAATGACAATTTCGTCGTTAGAGACTTTGCTTTAGCATACGTATATTTATTTCCTAATTGCAAGTGATCATGTCACGACATTAATGAAATGAGATTCTTTCTTTTCAAGGAGAATCTCAAGACAAAATCTTTGTTTTTCTATAAACAGGATGTCATTAGTTTCTGAGATACAGGACTTATTACTGCGGATTATTTATCATTGGAAAGAGACGAATGCACAGCACTTGACTAAAACTGCAAGTTGGACGACGGCGAGGAAGGAGAAGAAGACGAAGAATGAATGAGTATCACTATCTCTGCAGATAGAACTTATCTCAATGAAACCATATACAATCATTTTCATCCATGTCACAAGCAATTTATCAACATAAAAACGTGTCTACATCGATACTGATCTTTCCTATTCAACTAAAAGCGATCTTTTCGCCTCGAGTTGATTTTTCCCGTAGCTAAAATTGTTTCGTTATATCGGTTCAATACATCTACCTTTCAGGTAGAAACCGCACATACACCGAAGAATTTATTAAAGTTAGAATACAATTGTTTTCGACAAGCGAAACCTTTCGCCTTAGATTATTTATTTTAACATGAATGTCGATCATTGCTTTCAGTTTTGTTCAAGTCTCGTGTGACATAGTGGGAGGATTTCCTTTCTTCTTTTCAGATAAAAAGGTGGGTGATGTAACAAAGATATTCAATACAAAAAATCTAATAGCTTTTGTGCGTATTTGAAAGTAAATTACATTTAAATATAGATTCTACTGGTTGTGATAAGAAGAGTACTGGTATGAAAGGAAAATAATGAACTCCTACGTCTCCCTTAATTTTTTTCGTCATAATAATTGCCAGTTCTTCGAGTACAAGGAAATGTGTTCTTTGAGAACAGGTTCGATATCAGAAAATCGTAGAAGACGCTCATAATATCAAAGAGAATTCTATAAATTTTTCATGCAGAACTTGCGAATTGTTGATATTTACAGTACACATAGTCATGCTTCTTGAAAACATGAGTCAAACCTCGAAACAAATTCTACTGTCTTATAATTATTCGAATGCATATCATATTCGCCGTGACATTTTAGAATATTTCTAGAAATTCGCTAGGAATAGCAACACTTAAAAGATACGCTTTCTAAACGGTATTTTCCATCAATTAGTGCGTTTAAAAATAACATGTCAAGAATATTCTATGATCTACTCTCCTAGTGCCATAGACACAAAAAGAAGCATTTGATAAACGTTCGATTAGTCTATTTATCATCGTAATTTTTGTCGCGAGAAAAATCTTGAACTTGAAAATCGAAAGTCGATCACAAGTTCACCGGGCCTGTAAGGTTTTCTCGACCTTATCAATCATTTTGATTACAAATCGAGCATTCTTTGATAATAATAATGGGTAGCAGTCGGATTCTGTTTGCTTCTAAACGCGTGAGATACGATTTTGAAAATCGATGTAACGCTTCGAATCAAAATCATCACATTCATTGATCTGCTGATTAAAGAAAAGAGGTCAATATTCGTATTCTCGAAGATTTTATAAATAAAACTCGTTTCTTACCTCCAAACGGATATGAGATTTATATCTGTAATTTGTTTTCTTCTCCGTCATATCCTCCAAACGATTTTTTTCAATGAACAGATCATATTCATACTGAAGAATACTTCGGAAGTTCAAATGGTCTTATCTTGACGTTAAAGATCAAACGTCATCGCTAATGAATTGATTCTTTCTGGAAGTTTAGTATAAATTAGTCGACAGATCATTTCCGACCTTAGAGTCTCGGACTTTTCTCAAGTATAACTCGTTGAAACTTAATAAATCCAAGCACTTTCTTTTGTTACCATGTCAAAATATCGATACTCGATTTTCACATTTCTACCACTAAAGGTTACCACCGAAACTTCTCAGTAATCACCGAACAAATAGTTTGTTTACTTCTCAACTTGATATTTTGTTATCAATATTATTATCCTATCGTTCGTTGATAAATAGAAACACATGTAATATACACATATCTACTTTATTGTTTCAATGCATGTGATAGTTGTTAGAATATAATGGCTTCTAGCACCCTTGTAATAAGTATTATATAGAGAAAAAATAACTTCATCTATTCATGAAAACTATTCATTTATCTACTTAACCATCCATGATAATACTAATGTTTGAACGCATTTCTTATTCTCCTGAGAATAAATGTGACTGCTAACGTTAAAGTTGCCCGTTTTTTCCCCTTCTTACCATTCTCGACTTGATCGCCCTTTTTTCCTGGATTTGCATTTCCCATAATAGCCGTTTGCTTCTATCCTCGTTCAATTGATGTTCATATGTATGGAAAGAGATTGAATCGAAGATGACGATGCTGTTGATCTTAACAATAATAGGATTCGCCGATGAGAGTGCCAAGTAAAACTCGTCTTAATTTAGAATAAACATCTTGTTTTCATGAGCAACACTTGTCAAATATCGATGTATTTCACCAATCAATAGATAGATGAATGCTAAAAGAAGAAAAGGATGAAGAGAACGCACAGCATATTTTGTAAACTAGATGTAGTTAAAAAAAAACGAGAGATGTAAGCACTCAATGATAATCATGATGAAATGTATGCGAATGAATGAGCATCGTCGAGCAATGATGACGAGAAAAAGATGTAGTTTTCTCTCGTTTTTTGTGTTGAATAGGATGATAATGGAAACGACACCATTATGGAAGCGAAAGAGGAAACCGAAGAAAAGAAAAACTTCAATTTCTTCTTTCTCCACTTTCTTTTAAATCTCATTGAATAGTCTTCACTATAGCTGTCAACTCGATGAAGATTGTCAGCGACATTGAAATTTCAGGTGTTCGAACGAAAAAATAAAGAGAAAAGAGATCGATTTACTTCAATATAGACGAGATACATCCTTACGAAACAAAAAACGTGAAAGACAAATACAATTCCAAGAACAACGTCGCAACAACAACAACAACAACAGGATTTCTACGTATTCTGACACACGCGTTGATGCTTTCTAATACAAAAGACGATTGTTCATGCAATTTGATGAGAAGCCCTAGCCGACAAAAGAACGATATAGAGAAAGGTCTATAAAGAATGAGAAGAGAAAAGAACGAGAAGAAAGGACAAAGCAATGCCTTCTGTCAGATGTAACGTTGACACCAATAGGAGCGCCGACAAAAAAAAAATTTGAAGGGAAAACATTTTAATGACGACTCAACACACTTTCTCTCTGGTTTTTCTCCTTCGCTTTGTTTCGAAGCTTGTTCTAATGGCTAGATCTAAGCGACATTGTCCTGACTTTCCATCTCCTCGCATGGGTTTTCCGTTGTTTATCATCTTATCGAAAAGGTTTTTCCCTTTCTGTCGATATCGAACTCCTAATTAAGAGCGGAGAGAAGAAAAACACAACGTCGCCGAACTCATTGGGTTCTTTTCTTTGTCTCTATTGTCTAAAATCATCTAGTATTTACAGATGATAATGACGGCAACAATCAACGATGACGACAACGACGGCGACGACTGTCTTATGTTGATGTCAACGATGAAAGCGAACAAGTAAAAGATCAACGTTTATCAGACAGAAATGCAAGGAAAGTTTAATTTTCCGATTAACATAATAGTTAACATTAACCAGATTTCACTCAATCGAACTGCAAATCAATACGCTTGTTTGACCTCGAAGAGTTTGTAATTCTGATCCATGCACATCATTAACATCAAACAGTGACAGATCGAATGAGAATTCAATGATTTTTTCATAACTCAGGCAAACTCCTAGTATACAATCGGCTACAATAGTAAGAAGAATCTGATGGATTATCACACTTTGAACTTCTGGCAATTATTAGATTGGAGGAAAAGGAGAACTAGATTATGATATGAACATAACATTGAAGAGAAAAAAGAAGCAGAAATACTCCTAACTATCCTCCCGTCAATCAACAACTTCTTTTCTTTTTCTCGTACGCTCTCTCTCTCTCTCTCTTTCGGGTTTCTGTTCTTACGGCTTCTAGTTGAATAGGAGAATCACGGTTGCATATGCCGACTTGATTGAATTACGCTTTCTGCTTCTGCTTCTTTTTATCAATATGTTCCGACGGTAGATCATTATGACTTCATGTTGCGGCAAGTCCAAACGACAGAAACATCGTCATTATTACAAAAAAAAGAAATAGTACAATGCGAAAATTACTGATGTTTTTGAATCATAGGTCGCCCTGCTGTCCTATTTTATTTGTTTATACTTCAGATGAAAATTCTTCATGAAGTTCTCCATCTTTTCATTACCAGAATATTTAGCTGACAGCTTGTCGATCAAATTCTGTTCTATATAAACCATGTTTACATTTAATCTATTTGATTATTGTTAAACATATCTGTCTATTTAATTTAACAAAGGAAACAATCATTTCGCTTAAATTCCCTCAAACACAAATCTCTCTGTTTCACATTTCTATTCAATTATATGACACTTTCCTCATGAAATCCGATTTGCTTTTCATACTTTTAAAGACAATTCCTCGCTTATTGTCATGTCTAATCTGACATATTATTCGATAATAGAACAACCATTTCCTGCACACTGTTGAGCATGAGTAGAAAGACGTACCAACTGATGTTTTAGATGGATTCAGGGCAAGAAATCCTATCTAATCTGAATGGTTTAGGTGTAACTTTATTCCCTTTCATAGAACTGTATTCTGTTTCAGTTACCAAATAACAATTAAACACACAAAAGAAAAACAAATAACAAGATAGTTCTTGAGATGAAAACCAATGTTTAATTTAGAGATATAACGAAGCGGCAAAGATAATATCCCGTTTAATCTTTTCCGTACCTAGAAAAAGTCAATGCAACACTTGAACTTCTATTCATAAATCACTACTAAACAAATTTACCTTCAGCAAATTTTGCCTCGAGTTCAGTATTACCAATTGCTTTAGCAGCAGAACACATTTGTCGAAGTAACTCTTCAAGTCGTCTCACACAACGCACAATCGAACCTAATCATGATCGACAAAGTCAAATAGGAGAAGGTTTTGTTTCATTCATAGAACTACCTTCATAAATTGATGTCATTTTACATATGCTAGCAAAGCTTTGCCCATCAACCCACGCTTTGATAACATCCATCATGTAGGGTTTGAATGCATCCACATAGCGTTCTTCGTCCATTTCGATCTTACTTTCAATTGACACTCGAGCCACTCGACGAGCTGTTTCCTACTCAATAAATCGATATTTCGATATGTTTTATGAAATCAATACTAACCTGCATGAGTCTCAATGGTCCCGATAGTTCTTGTGGTAATTTAGGCATTTCATTAGCTTTTTCTTGAAAGACAAAACAACTAAGCAAAGCACAAGCTTGACTAACAGTTAAATCATTGAAAACTCCGTTGAAGAGAAGTTCAGTTGTCACGAGTTCGTCACCTGTATCAATTTCACATGCAACTCGACCTTTCAAATCGATCACATCAGCCGAATTGCAATAACCTAATCGACGTAGAACACGTTTGTACTTCTTCAAATCACCTATTTGTAGTAACGATTGAGCTTTCTTCAAATCATTCTTTGCTTCGATAACTTGTCGCTCGAGATTTGCTTTATGTTCATAGAGTTCATAGAGCTGCTTCAATTGATTATCTTTACTCAGTGGATGTTCATTGATACGTGTTTGAATAGTCGAATGTTGTTTTATACATGATAACATTTCTGTTGATTTTATATCCATATCTTTAATTGGATCGAGCAATGGTAATCCGAGCGGATGACGTCGCTTGATTTCTTGAACAGATTTTAACACACTTTGACGAGCTTCTTTTGTTCGTAAATCATCTGGTAAATAAACACGTATTGCGCTGACATCACGTATTAATGTATGTTGAATGGGTATTGCCTTTAATGATTAATAGACAATTTCTGAGATCGAAAAACAGAAGACATTAATAATCATAAATAACTTACTTTCATTTCGCCCTTCTCTGACAAAGGACATGGTTGTAAATCATTTGTTGATTTCTGTGCAGCACTCTCTGGTGTTAAATGTGCGAGAACATCGATGGTATATGTAGGCTAGAGAGGTATCGAGAAAATGGAAACAAATTGAATTGTTGTGATTAGCAAAACATACCTTTTCGCCTGCTTTCTTATGAAAGTTCAGTACAGCGCACCAATCGAAATTTGTGTCACCATGTTTAACCTAAAACGAAAAATCTGATTAGTATCTTTCGCAACCATGTATTTGATGATTTACGGTAACAAGTCGACCAGGTTGAAGAAATGGCAGAAGATATTTGGGTTCATTAGTCATCAATGACATTTGGTCTTGAATTGATTCGAGTTTTTTCTTTAGTTTATAGTATCTTGCCACTTCTTCTTCATTTTCGATTTTAAGTGATTCATATTGTTCTTCACACTTCTTCAATTCTGAAATATTCTCGATTGTTAACAAAATGGTTTGAAACATCGAATTTCTCTTACTCTCTTGAAGTGCAGGTATGGTTGAAAAGTGTTGAAATTGGTAGAATGATCTTTCGAGCATAAATTCCGGATTAATACCTTCAACTCGCAGTAAGTTTAGCACCATATTGTATGTCAATTTAAACGAACTATTCAATGGATCAGCTTTTCCCTAAAACGAATGCATGAGCTTGACTATCGATTATTCTTGTCGCTTACTTTCACAACTTCTTTTGCTGTTGTCGGACTCATTCGCTCGTCGATGATCAAGACAACAATTCCACGATCATCTTTTCCACGACGGCCGGCACGACCGCTCATTTGAATGTACTCACCCGAAGTGATCTACAATTGATCAAAAGATCTACCAATGACCATTGTTTTCTCAATTCGTTTCTTACCCATCGTAATTCTTTGCCATCGAATTTCCTCGCTGCTGTGAACAAAACTGTTCGAGCAGGCATATTCAAACCCATACTGAATGTCTCCGTGGCAAACAAAGTCTTTATCAAGCCTTCGCCGAAAAGGATTTCAATCGTTTCTTTGATGATAGGTAATAAACCGGAATGATGAATACCGACGCCTTTTTTCAACAATGGTAGAACCGTGTTAATTTGTGGTAATTTTTTATCTTCTTCAGAAAGCAGATCAATGGCGTTCGTAAAGACTTCTTCAACAAGTCGTTTTTCTTCGTCTATAGAGGGTGAAATGAAAATAGTAACATGCTTTTAGTTGGTGTCTGAGACTTACCAGAGTTAAAATCAAGTTTAGAAATGGCACAAGCATAGGACTCGCAATCTTTTTTACTAAAACTAAAAACAATCACTGGAGCTAAGTTTCGTTCCATGATCATTTTCACAATTTTAAAAACATTGGTTTCGGCTAAATCATAGAATAAAACAAAGTATAATTCGGTTTCTTGACAAGCTTGTCTATTCACCTTTAAAACCACCTCGTCGGCCACGTTTATCACCTTTAGCTGCATCACCCACGTCACGTAACGTGGCCATTGCGGCACTAAAATTATCTTCTCGAAACTTTCCCTAAGCACAATGACAACGAATCCAAACTGTTAAGATTTCTCAACTAGATCATACTGTTTCATCAACAACTAAATGAAGACCATCGGCACCAGCTGGATAGATATAATGATGTAAAGGAACCGGACGCATTTCAGTATAGACAACATGGCAAGGCTAGAGGACAATTTGTATAGGAACTTTTGTTTTCGGTTCTTTTTCTCATACTTGATTATGAAGAAAAGAAATCCATTCTGCGAATTGTTTCGCATTTGGAATTGTAGCCGATAGGAACACATAATGAACGTTATCCGGTAGGAGAATAATAGTTTCTTCCCAAATAACACCACGTTCTTAAAAAAGAATACCAAGTGAGATCCATTATTTTGGTCTATTCTTTCATACCTTTGTCACGAAGATAGTGAATTTCATCGAAAATAACCCAAGCCACTTCACGAGTAATCTCCGAACCTCGATAAAGCATAGATCGAAGAATCTAGATAGGAAATCGTTATCTCTTCCTCACCACAAACACTAAAAATCGTTAATACATACCTCTGTTGTCATAATAAGACATGATGCAGATGGATTAATGGTTACATCACCGGTCATTAGACCGACATCTTTAAACTCTTCGTGTAATTCACGATATTTCTGGTTACTCAACGCTTTAATAGGTGTTGTGTAGATAACACGTTGTTTATCCCGCAATGCCATTGCAATAGCATACCTAGACGTAGAGAATATGAATAAAAAGATGAACGATGGTCGTTGAATGATGGTTATACTCGGCAACAACGGTTTTGCCAGCTGATGTATGAGCAGAAACAAGTACGGATTGATTGTTTTGTAGGCAAGAAATAGCTTCGCGTTGAAATGGATCGAGAGTGAATTTGTACTCTTTAGCTGGAGGACCGACAGCTGGTTTTAAAGGAATATAATCGAAATTCGGTGGAAGAACAACCTAGTTTGAAAAAAGTAAATTCTATTAGCGGTGAAAAGATACCATCAAACGAGATAAACCTCATGTAAACATGATCCAATTGTCTCAACTGTATGCATTTTCATTTTTGTGACGTTGTTGAAGAAACTAGAGGGAGATGCAGAGCAGAACATAAGGTAAGAAAACGGGCATTTAGTTATTCATTACCTTCCGGTTTCAGCGACTAATTCAGTTCGAGATCGTTTTGAATGTGAATTCGATTGAAGATTATCGTCATCATCATCTTGATCTTCCAGCACACGTTTGTCTGTCGAAGATGCATCACCATTACTAGTTGTTCTAAACAAATCAAAATATGTTAACTTCATATTTATTTATTCAAAATAATCGGATCTCGATTTGGTGTAGACTGACGGGAAAAGAGTAATGTCCTCGCTCAAATTCAGATTATTCCCATACTTCATCTGAGTGGTGGTAGTAGTAGTAGTAGTGATAGTCGTTGTTTGCTGAATAATTGTAGCAGTCTCGGGTAGTTCAACAATAGCACTGGGCTCTTCTTGATCGAAGACATCAAAAAGTGCGTTATCTGCCATCTCTATAATATTTAATATCTAGAAAATATAATACATCCTAGTCTGATCATTTTATTCAGAAAAAGTTATCGTTAACATATTTAACTTGCGAAATACTCGTATTCTGATTGGTCAGAATTCTTACCAATCAAATCAATTGTCTCTGATGCCTGGTAACCATCGATAAGTGAACATATGCAATGGTTACATACATCATTTCAATCAAACTTAGAAAGTATTCTTAGATAAAAAGAAGACATGACTGCTGGCTCAATACCGGCTCCTTCGATTATTCCTTTGCGTGCAGCCCAATACGGACAAACACACAAATTCAGTATCGATACAACAACATTGATTGAAATCCATAGTGATGCACAAAATGTTGACATCTACTATACACTGGATGGTTCTAAACCAGATGCGTTTACAACAATAGCAACTCGACGTTCGACTATTCAGTATAAAAAACCATTTCATGTTCCTAGAAAATTTGCCAATTCCAAAGTAACGATCAAAGCTATTGCTGTGTCAAAGTAAGTCATTTTCTCGATATGGAACTTGTTGAATTGGGATTTTATAGAGATGGAATGCGAGAGAGTGGAGTTGTTACGAAAAAATTTGATGTACAACCTGGCGATACAGATCATTCGCCAACCGAAGACAACGAAAATAGGTTTGTTTATGAACTGCAACAGGAAAGAAAGGTAAGAAGAGTTTTGTGACCGACATTATCTTTAACCTTGTTCAGTTTATATTACTTTATGAACGAAAAGAAGGAGGTATATCCGCAGTCACTTTGATGAAAGAAAAGAAAAGAAAAGAAAAGCTTCGTGTGTTTAAGTTAAATAAAGTTGCACGAGATAAGACAATATATTTCGATGTTGTAATCGATCAGATTCATAAATACCTAAAATAATATCATGTTCATTACTGTTGTAAATCGATTCATATAATTAGGAATTAATTCGAAAAATTCAAGATGAAAATCAACAAATGCAACAACAACTATCTGGTATAAACCAAGAATAACTTGTTTGTACTCACGTTATTGCTTCTCTTCTGCATAGAATCAATGCAACGCGCAGCGAATGAATCCATCGTTCAAGAAAAGCCGCCTCGTTATACATACCCTGATCCGCAAGCACAAGCGGGTCGTTTACAAAAGCAAACAGATTTCCTTCGCTGTACTCATTGCTTTGCACCACGAACAGGTGATCTATATGCGCGATTCTGTTCAGAGTGTGGTCTTCCTTGGCAAAGTCTAACTCAAACTCAACCTCGATTACATCAACCGGACGGTCATTCGGTAATGCAAAACAATGATCTAATAGGTTTAAAAGTAGCATAGCTGAGATCATTTTTTAGCTTGGTACATGTGCCAATTGCAAATCAACAGTTCCATTCAATTCGGAAATTTGTGTTGTTTGTGAAACTCCGCTTACACCTGAGTATCAACATCGAGTTAACGTTCAAAACCAGGTTCATTTTGCTTTCTATCTGCACTTGAGACTATTTATTGATTTGCATTTTAAGACAAAAATCTTATGTCCTCAATGCAAAGCAACAAATCCTGTACACTTACGTACATGTATTATCTGTGAAAGCAAATTAATGCCAACCACATCACCAGTAAATTTCCTTCTTTTTCTTCATTTCTGATCAATTTTTTTCTGAATTTATTTCAACAGCAAGTTCAAGCAACGGTATCCATTCCATTGGCTCCTAAACCAAATGGTACGATGATGACATGTTCGAAATGTTTTCGTTTAAACAATGCCGATGCTCGTTTTTGCGATTGGTGCGGTGCACAACCAGAACGAGCTTCTGTGCCAGTACAATGTACCAAATGTCGGGCTGAAAACGATCCATATGCAAAGTTTTGTTTAACATGTGGTTGTGTTATTGAACCACCGCTACGTGTCATCGACGCACGTCTTCGAAATGATCTGAATATCACGGCACCATCAGTGCTTGGTGGTGTACGTAAAACTACAGCTTTATTTTAGTGAAATATGTTTTTTCGCTTCTTATTACTAGACGTCAACACGGCATTCAGCTAGTCCAACATGGTTAAATGCGAATGCAACGTTTAGTCACTATCGTCAACCTTATTTGATCACTAAAAGTGAAGCAGCAACTCAAACACATGGAATTTATTATCCAAGTGCAAAAGAAATCGAAATTTTGATCACACAAAATAGGCAATTACAAGCAGATAGAGATTTCAAAGATCGTCGACCGATATTAACATCTGTCAGTCCAGGCAAAGGATACTGGAGACAACAGATGGATCACGTCTGTGCTCATTTGAAAGCGTACGCTGTGAATCGACCAGATTTTCGATCGTTAATCGGTAGGCATTCCTGTGAAAGTCATTACTTGACAACTTCTATTTCTCTGTCTAGGTGAACCTCGTATGGGCAAAATGATTCATGCAAATGTTCATGAAAATGAATATCAAGTATCAATTCAAGCTGTTTTTCGTAAACCAGAAAGTTTAAGTCAATCAGCGTTTTATATCGATGAAACCAACGGACAATATCCAATGAATAGTGAACGTAGTTCAACATTCTCAAGCGCATTCAATTCAGATGGTATCTCTTCTCGTTGAAAATAGACCTCTCTGTTCTTCTAATATTCATTCTCTAGATGAATATACACGGGAGAAAAGCAAAACAACAAAAACCAAGAAGCGACCTAAGAAACGCCCCCAATCGGCCAGCGCGACTGGTATCGATAGTGTAAGCTAAATCAGATCATACTTCTCTCCTATAAATATTCTCTTGATTAATTAGCAACCAAATCGTGCTCTTTTGAAACTACTCGAAAGACAAGGTGGTGATACTAACAGAAAATCATCCAATCGCGTTGATATTTTACACGAAGTAAAACAATTATTAAAAGAAGGTGCCGATGCAAATCTGCGTAACAAAGAAGGTTTCACTGTCCTACAATTGGCTATACGTAATCATCATCATGAGTGTATCGAAATGCTTATTAAAGACGGCAAAGCTGTACTAGATAAAAGAGGACCGTAAGTTATTTGATAAACTCGATTGCACTCTACGATTTCGGCCATGATTTGTTGTAAAATCTTTTCATAAACGCAGAGAAAAAGATTGAATTTCGCTGTCGCGAATCAGCAAGTAGTCGTAAAAGTTTATTTGAATAGTAATCGTAGATTTTTCATCTTCGAAATGTTTTCACACTTGTTTGTTCGACAATGGCGTACACATGAATTCATTTTGTTCTGTTGTTTTTCAGACGAGGTAATACGGCCTTGCATGAATGTTGTTTACTTAAAGAAGAAGGCATTGAACCACTAAAAATTCTTCTCAAGTAAGTTGCGCATATATTTTCAAGAAAACAAATCATCACATGCATGTTGTGTTTCATCAACAGAAATGGTGGCGATCCAAGTTGGATGAATGACAAGAAAGAAACGGTTATCGATGTGGCAACGAAACAAAATTCACGCGAATTGATGCAAGTCATCGCGTCTCATCGAGGCCAACAAATGATCGATCGACAAAACCGAATCTATGATGAATACGCTCGGAATACAAACATGGATGGTCATCGATCGTCATAAGAGCAAAAACAACGAAACATTCGGACAAACGATATTTTTCTTCTTCTTCAACATAGGATAACATACATATGTATACATATGATGTGTGTTTGTAGTTCGTATTGTAATGAAATGTTTTCAAAGTTGGGAAATAAATTCGAAATGAGATACTCTTCGTTGTGTTTCCTCGTCTGCTTCTTTTAACTATTTTCGTGTGCTTTATATATTGCTTTCATTGTAACAAACATTAACAATAAATCAAAGAAGAAAATTTCTCATGATGAGGATACAAAAAACAAATGAATCATCATAGCAAGGAAGTTAACATGTTCGATAAACAATTTTCGTTGCAAGGATGATGATGTTGTTTGTCAAGTATTTGTTTCCAACTGTGGACTGTACAAATTTGAATGAATCAGTTCGATTCGATTAAGACAGAAAACTTGAAATTGTCCCTAATTGTGTTTTGAAAACATTTAGCATCTGTTTTCGATTCTCTCGCGTTTCTTTTCTTCTTTAATTAAAGACGTGGACGAATGAATGAGAAATGTTTGCTTTACTTCACACTACTATACACGCTCAGAACAAAAAACAACTTCATCGTCTATTATATCACATGAAGAAAGAAAATATCCATTTTGGAAGAAAAGAATGCGTCAATCATTTGTGATACTGTCCATTAGTCTGAAATTTGCCACATCGAATTGTATTAGCGTGTGTGGAGTTCTCTGCATACGGTTGAAAGTCTCGAACTAATTTTGAAATCGACCGTTTTTGCCTATTTTCAGATTAAATATGTCAACACCTCTGTCACATTCACTTGCTTCGACAGAAGCTGTGGCTGGTCTGGATGATTCAGTGTTTTCACCAGTTCCTGTTAATTATGTATTGTATGAGCAACAGCAATCGAGATCGGTGTCCTCTGCGTCATATGGGGATGAGATTGAAGATGATGTCGACACGTCGGAAGAAGAAGAAGAAGAAGCACCTATGTCCGCATTTTACGAAGCAAATGGTTTGTAAAATGATTTTTTTTCTTCATTCCTAAATGCTTATTGATATTCGAAAACTATTAGATGCTCTCATGAATGTGCTAAAAGCACATGTTGAATTAACGGGTAAAATCTTCATCTATTTGCTACATATCTGTTCCAAATCGTTGTTCTTCGGCGAGTTGCATAGAATCCAAGATAAAATATATTTTATTACTCGCGTTATAAATCATTCGAAGAGAAAAGATAATGTGAATGAGACAACTAATCAACAGCAGAATTTGAAATATCTCATTAGATTATTGTTCTCGAAAACGAGGTGTCCGATGTATTTATGCAAGAATCGTAGATATTGTTTATTCTAGTTAAAACTTTTACTTATTCACTCGAAAAGCACCCAATCGCTTCAAGTTTGACAGATTACATGATCATCTCTCGCCACAAGTGTGCTCATCGATTGTTCGCACATTACATGTGTAACAGAATCTTTCCTCTTATCTACTTAAATTGATATCATAAAAAGAGAAATAAACGAAATCTATCAGATCAGTATCGAACGGTTACCGTCCTCACCTTGCTCATAATCTTTCTGTTCTTCTAATGTGTCTTTACTTCTGATTTCTTTTCATTCTCGTCTTTTTTTTTTATTACCATAGTGAGAATGAAGTTAGATGAACAAATAATAGCGTTTGTTACCATCGACGCACCTTGTTGACTTCATTCTTCTTTGATTTGATACCACTCGAAAGCGCATGAAAACGAAAGTACAATGAATGTCGGTTCGAATTCTCTAGTCTGCTTCTTTCCTTACATCAAAGGAACCGTTTAAGTTCGAATTAATTCTTTCTCGTGTGAAACACTTAATCATTGACATATTTGATGTTTTTGGTAATAGGGAAGCCTGAAGTCGATTGATAATCTTCGATAATTTCTTTGTTCTTCTTCTCTAGCATCGACACATCGATATTTAAATCGAAAGAAAAAGAATGACTACAAAAACTCTTCGAAACATGTTGTAAACGATCATAACAATCATTACTCCAAACAAGTACGTCAATTTTTGTTCGATCAACTTCTTTAATCTTATGTTTTCTTTTTATCGATTTTTCTTCTTCTTCCACCAAATCGTGAAATGAATTTCTCTCTTTCGACTTTTTTCTCCCTCGTAGCAGAGATGTCTTGTTGTAACGAAAGCAAACTGTAATCAGTCGATTCTCTGGTAAACTAATGCGAAAAAAGTTCTTTTCTTTTCTCATTTGTATAGAATGACGGTGTCGATAAAGCGAAAAAATCGAAAGATTGGATTGAGATGTTTGTGACTGTCAATGTCATCCATAGCACACGTATAGGCGTCTGACTCTCTCGATGCGCGCACATACATGTCTGAATTGTATTTTGCTATTGGCTTTCTTTTTCAAATTATTTCTTTCGTATTCTTATTCATTCTAGAGTTTTAACTCGGATTATCCGTCCCAATATTACGATACGAAATTTGCCAAACGCACGCGCTCTGCACCGAATAGTAAGTCTTAGTCATTCAGCTATCTCTCTCAGTTATCTTTTCGTTTTTATCTTATTAGTTGCTTTATCTCCACAACAAGTGAGTAAAACGATAGTGAACAAAAACACTTCTGATTGTTTCGATTCAGATCATCCATGATCAATATTCAGAATTAAATACAATTATTTTCAATACTCGATATCCAATTACAGCTATGGAACATTTTATAGCCCATAATCCGCTTGCTTCACCACCATTGAACACTTCGTCGACATCCGAGCCGAGTGATCATGGCGTAACGAATCTCGCATCAACACCATTGTCTCCTTCATCGGCTATGCGCTCGCCTCGCCCTCAACGAGATTTAATGTCGCCGCGTCTATCTGAAACAGCCGAAGTGACTGTCTATCCATCGTCTGTTAGTTTAAGAGTATGTATAAACATGAAAAAGCTGAATGTTGTTTTTTCTCCTAACATTAATGACGAGATTTCATGACATGACAACGTGAGAATAAATAAATAATCATAAGTATCATTTATTATTGTTTTCTTTTGCTCGCAAAACCAATTGATACCGACGAAATAAGCTTGAAAATTTTGCAATTTTAGGGTCTTCTCTCTTATCAAGATGTGATGAATGCTATTGAACGAGAATTTCATCTTCATGAAGGACAAGAACGAGAAATTATCATGAAATTATGGTTAAAAGGTCAAACAATGATATCAATTTTACAGCGATATCGACACTTGTTACAGGATCTTAATTTGGATGATCAAGATTTCGTTAATGGAATGAAAGTTAGTCGAATTTCAATGCGGGGAAACTCTGACGCGAATGTTATCTTTGTTTTCTTTGTAGCAAATACGAGAAATGGTGAATTTCGCCGATCGTGATGTTCATTACCTTCGTGAACAGACGATAATGCTCGAAAATCAAAATCGTTTTCTCGAAAGTGAATTTCAACGACAATTGGATAAGATTGTTTTGGAAAAAAATGAACAAATCAATCGTTTGATTCATATTATTGATCAAACTTGTGCGCCACCAGCCGAATTTACTGATCAAGTTCGAAATTTCCAACAAACAACCAGTAAGCGAATCCAATTTGAACGTCATAAACCGAATTTTCTATTTTCCTTTCATCTCCAGCACATTCAGATATCTTTTCGCAAAGATTCGTCCAACAAAATATCGAATTACAACATGAATTAGAAACTCTCCGAGCTAAACTTGAGTATACCTTCGCACTTCTGAATGAAAAGCTAGATCAACACGGAGAGATCGCATCTCCGTCAATTATTCAAACAGCTATCGAACAAATGCGCCGTTCCGATATGAAATTGCAAGAACTTCAACTGAGAACATCGTATCAACAAGAAGAAAACGATCTTCTTCGATACATCGTAAGTTTTCATTCGATTTGCGCACTTCGCCGAACTCGATACGAATAAAACACGCACACTAAATTCTAGAATCATAATTCATCTAGAGACGTAAGTGTAGTCAAAGCAGATTCATCTGTAGTTGTTGATTTCCGAATGCTCATAGAAGAACCGTAACCGACCATTCGATCGAAAGTTCTCTTATTGAGCAAAATTAGAAACTATTTTGTAGAAAACTAATCAGATAAAATCAGATTGTTTTATTAGATGAATAAATCACAACAATCCTCCAGTCCCGATGTGACGCAATTGTTTAGCATCATCGAACAACGCTCTCTCGAACGGGAATTACATCGTGTTCGTCATGAGTTGGAGCTAACTGAAAACAAAATCGTTGATCTTGAACAAAAAGTAACGAACTAATTCAGATTGCTTCTGTCAGATTTGATTCAATATTGATTTAGTTTGAAAATTCGGATGAAAGTGTGAAATTCAATATCGAAAGATTAAAACTCAAATGTGATGTTTTACGTCAACACATTTCCACCTGTAGCCGACGCTTGAACGAAGCCGTGCAACAATTTCCTGATAAATTTCTCGATGATCATGACACATCCAAGTAAAATCTGAACAAACTGAAAAAATCTTTTTTTTGTAATAGCTTGTTTTAGTCTTGAACCGTGCCATGACGATAAAGAGGTACAGGCAAGTTTGATAAATCTCATTTGAAATCCATCGTTTTAGAGACGTACAATTCAATTCGAAAATGAACTATTCACCGTTCGTCAACAATACAATGAACTGCTTGAATATTCGAACACGATTAAATTCGAACTGGATAATGCACGAAAACAATTACATGAACGATCGTTGTACGATCGAGAAACAGTAAGAATCCAGTGAGATATTTGAGACTATCATCTTAATTCAACGAACACGTTGTTTTCGAGTCGGTCTGTTAGGAAGATCTTGAACTGTATTGAATTCTTCTAGTTCAATTCAAGCACTATGGCACACGATGCATCGGAATTGGAACAAGAACGTCGACGTGCCGGTCAACTTGAAAATGATTTAATATCACTTAAGATCAAATATGATGATGTATGTGAACGTGTAACAGCTGCAACACTTCAACTCGAACGTGTACAAGTTGTACTTGATCAAACCTTACGTCGCTGTGAACAACTCGAGAAAGAAAAGGTATGTCTAAGAAGAACATTTTTGTCTTCATTCTTCTACAGATTTTACATACGCGTAAATCTTCTTCTACTACTTGACTAGTTCAGCTACGCAAGAAACTGGTATTGTTTATTTCTTTTTTCTTTTCACACTTTTCTATCACTCATACATCGAACCGAACTGGTTCTTTATTCTTTCTCTCTTTTCAATACACCATACTCTACTTAAATCCCTGTGTATTCTAGACGAATTTTCCACCAGTACAACCGAGTGTTTTTTATCACCCATCACAGGTTCATTATTATTAAAAAGGCAAACACTCCAACAAAGGAAAACATAAACTTGTATTTTATTCATTTGACAAATTGTTCATTTTATCGCTCATACTGATCGTAAAATACATAACAAGCCTGTCAAAACTTTTCTTTTCGAAGATGAAACATTCTTCACTCTTTCTCTAGAACAAAACTTTCACACTAAGTTCTATTCGAAAGAAAATCTTCTCAACAAAACCAAATCTTATTGTTTCAGTTGCTTTCATTGTTTTATCTCTCTCATTTTTTTTCCTCAATTGCACCTATCCCTATATTTTTACTAACGCAGTATGCCCAAACACGCTTGAATGTCAAATTATCTCTATTTTATTATCATTTTTCTCCTATACAACCAACGATTGACTTTCAATTATCGATGTTTTCTCTTGTAGTCAGAAATTAACTCCAAATCGGAACATTGCTCGCAAAACATTGCTAGCATCACAGCCAAATACAAAGACAAATTGAGCTCAATCAAATCACGTTTGTGAGTAGCGAACGATGTCGAATCGGCGAATGTTGGATTTCGTGTTTAGGGAACAAACGGATCGTGAGCGACGTGAAGCTCAATACCGCACTGAACAATTGCAACATGAAATCGAACGATTGAAAACGGAATTAACACGCAAAAAAGAAGTGATTCATGGAAAGGATAAAATCATTCAGGATACACAATACAAAAATCGAGAAATAAGTTTGGAACGGCAATCGGTCGAAGAGAAAATCACCAATGAATACAAACGATTAAACGAACTCGTTGATAAGTATGTTTTGAAGATGAAGTTTCCTTGTTAATCACGTCTATATTAGAAATCGTCTACTCGAAGAAGAATTAGAACGTATACGACATAGTCAGATATTAGAAAATATTACTGTTCGAAGGTAAGACTAAACTATTCGATTTCAATCGACATCATTGCCTTGTTAGAACTGATGTTATCNAAGAAGAAGACGAAGGAAAAAAATGAAAAGAACTCCTACTTTCCTCAAGCGATATAGGACGTGCGTCGTTTCCTCTCATTTTGTGCGTGTGTGTGTGTTGAAGAAAGACAAGGATGATCGTTTCCGGCCAGATGGTAATGGATAAATGAATTGACTGATGAGAAACACGAACACATTAAAGTGAAAAGAAAATAAAAATGATCAATTGACAAACAGACGTGTTCAATTTATTGATTCACATTTTTCATCAATTGCTCGTTTTGCTCACTGATCGTCGGAGATTTCTTACTCCGCTCTCATCTCTATCACTCTTGGCTTGCATCAAACAAATTCATACATACATACATATATGTATGCATAAATATATAAATAAATATAATATAATGTCGATTTTCGAAATGTCGTCGTTTCTTTTCTCTTCTTTCTCATGCGTGTATGCGTGTACATATATGTGTATATACGGCCTCTAGGTCTCTTTCTTTATCGAGGACGGTTACTAGCATGTTCTAATCAATTTGTCAAATGATGTAAATGTCGATAGTCTCGTTTTCAGAAGAACACACGCACACGTTTGCATATCTATCTATCTACCTTGCTGTTATTGTTATTATTATTATTATTTTTCTTCTATCTACCCTATTAAAATATTTTCGACATGACTACTCTTATTATTGCTAACATTCGTAAACTGATCGTCATCGGTCTTGCTCAATATATATACATATGTATACATATTAATGTTAATTAAGAGCATAGGTACCGTGTAATCAGCATAATCAAGCACAATTTTTCGCTTGCAAACAAGTCTGCTCAGTTTTTTTCCTGGGTGCATGCTGGCAACATTATTGCTAGTGGTGACAAAACAACTCATGCATTATTCATAGAGTAATGCCACTTCCAGAAGGGAAGAGCGAGTGAAAACGGGAGGTAGAAGAGAAGAGCGAAGCAAGGAGGCAAAAAAAAAGATGAGAAACAAGCAACCTGGTGCCTGTCAGCTTTCTTTTTCTTCTGTATAATTAATGAGTTTGACTGGATCGTTTTGTACGGATGATTGATATTCATATTTGTAGTAGCACAACAACTAACCTTCGTCATTATACGCTGAGTATTGATTATTGTTGATGATTGTCTACTGAGTTTTTCAACGAATTCTACGAGGAAAAGTAAGTCAAAGATACAAGTACCAAGAGAGAAGGTTTTATCGTCTGCATTTATATTTTGTTCGTGGGTAGTCCGCAATAGATGGATAGATAGATAGATAGATGAAAAGTAAGGAACACGTAAAGACGGCTTCGACGACGACGACGACAACGACGACGAAAAGGACAATGTTACATTTGCGTGCGTGTGCGAGCGCAAAACAGAACAGCTGAGCGGTGTAGCGGTTTGAGAAAAAGGAAAAAAAATGAAGATCGATGAAGAAAGGAAAAAAAGAAAAAGAAAAAAATGTTTCGTTCGCTATGCAACGACAGATCTTAGTCTTCTTTCTTGCTGTTTTTACATAGAAAGAAGCAAAAGTAGCCGCGAGTCATTGTTTATTTTGTCAATATATATATTTATAGAACATTCTTTACTAATCGATATTCTCTTCAGATTCATAATCAAGCAAATCGAAATCGATTAAAGTCGCCTTTTACTTGGAAATGTTCAAATTGACCAAAATAAAGATATTTTGCTCGACAGGAACCGCTTGGTGACATAGATGGCAAGAGCACGATGAATCTAGAATGAATAGAATGTTCATTTTTTTTTCTTCCGTTGTATTTGCACAACATGATATCGAACTAAGAAAGACTTTGCCTTTAATTCAATAGACATTGTGTATGCATCGTACATCGTATTGAAGCACATGATTGATTCTTATGAGGTGCTCACATATACACTTCAATACATACCTAGGGGGTCAGTTAAAGGAGACTATGCTTTGTATATACATATAGGCATACTACTATTGTTCATTCATCTCATCTCTGCATGTTCATATTCTTTCTGATTAAGACTGCATGACAATACATCCCGAAATGAAAGAAAAGGATATTGGATCTTTTCTCTTACCATCACACACACGCATACTCTAATTGAAATGCAATCGGGTATTCATTGATTCACTGATTTTTTCCATCTTATTTGTAATAGAATAAATAGTAAGAAAAAAGAAGAAGATGGAAAATACAAATAAACTGTAGTGAGAAGAAAAAAAAACGAACTCTTTCAATGCCATCGCCTGCCAAGAGCACCATAGGCTGGCTTATTATCGCAATAGATTGATCGGTAAAGGATGAGTACTACTGCTGTCGACTATCACCTTTCACCAGAAAGAAAACGAAAAATAACATATAGAATATACACGTATGTTGAAAGAAAGAGAGAGAGCCTAATTGATGAAACACAGCATGTGAGATAAACAGCAGTAGCAATAGCGATAGCATACAGTATAAAACGATTAGGACAATGACTAGAGTGTAGGAAGACAAAGAGCAAGGAAGACAAATTCAACGAAATATCATCGGCCAATCTACGACAGATATAGGTCTTCTAATGTTGCCATCGAATAGAAGATCAATCCAATCAGAAAATGATAATGAATCCGTTGTTGTTGCTGCTGAATCTGCCGATGATGTTGACGATGAACGATTACGAAGCTGATGAGGATGATGAATGTGACTATCTAATCCAAGGAAAGCACCAGATTCATCTGGATCTTCCGCATTATTATTCGATAATGACCAATAAGGAACAAAGAACTTCCGTCGTATATACAAAGCTAATACAGTTGATGAAATGAACTGAACAATTTGACGCTTTGGTTCGTCTTCAATATTACTCGACAGTTCCTTGAGCCATTTCGGTGAACGATCGCGATATAGAACAGCAAAGATCATTCGAGAACTAAATGACAATGGAAAATATCTTGTTGAAAATGGCCTAAATAAGTCCGATAAGTTCTTCTTTGTTTATTTCGTGCATTCTAATCGACATTCTATTTTGAGATACAGATCTTTATCCTAATAAATTTATTATGCTTTTCTTCTCTCCAATTTTTCAGCTAAATTAATCAGGCTTTAGACAAGATCATATTAAAAATTTTTCGTTATATTAAACAAAAGAGAAGGAGATCCTTTTCTTTCTCCCTAATCTCGTGTTTACATTAAAGAATTCTTTGCGCACAGCTATTTGACCTGATTATTTATAGCATATGCAAGAACTTCGTTAGGTGCAGCGGACCGAACTAAATAACTGAGAGGCTTGATGAAGTTTATTTTCTCCTCGTCAAGATATGACTTTTCTGCATAAGGAGAAGATCTTTAGTTAATATAGATTAGCCAAATTTAGATTCATTAGTACAAAGGGCTTTATTTGGCAGGTCTTAACTGTTTAGCAGACTCCATATGCTTGTACCATTCAACAGACAGAAGTTTACTGAATACATACTCATTAATTGAATTAATTTGTCTGTTAAAATGAGCAATGCATGAATCGTCTGTTGAATCAGCAATTAAAAGTAAAACAATAACATTTGGCGCACCAGGAGCTAAGTAGGATTGAAGGAAACTTTCATCAAATTCCGAGCATTTGATTGCATTGATATGTGCTCGACTGAAACGACTTGTTTATGAGGAAACAAACGAAGAAAAAGTCCTTTGTCTTACTTTAAATCATTCGATTTTCGGGACGGGGAAGATGCAAATGATCTTCGAGGTTGTTTTATATTAGTACGAGTTGAATTTGTATCTGAATTGTGTTTTGAATACCACAAAAATCCAATGATCGGCGTAAGCATTAACCAAAATTGATATGTTAGAACATATCCTGACCTATTGAAAACTTCACAAGTCATGTCGAGTACAATCGATGAGAATTCTACTGACAGTGAGCGAAGAATTGGACTTCTCTCGAACCAATAGTTCCATTTGTCTTGAATTTGATTGATCAATTTTGTTACGAAATTCTGCAAACGAAAATGAAAGGAATGTGATAAATTGAATCAAGTTGATCTTACTTCGTTTTGTTGGTCTAGGTTGAATATCGGTGGTAGTGAATGTTTCTTGGCGTTTTGCCAACGTGTTGTTAAGAATAGCTTTAGATTTGCTTCAATATCAGCAGCAATATTGAAATGATTACGCTTCAGTTCACTCAGAGATTTCGAATCAAATTCGATTTCAGTATTCACTAATTCAATTATATCGTCAAGCCATCGACGAACGGCAATGATCTTTTCGAACAAAGAATATGTTTCTTTGAATTTCAATTGCATGAACAACTTACAAAAAGCTTTTTCTCATCGGCGCGATAAATCGATGAGAAAATTTTGCTAAAAGCTATTTGTTTGTTCGGCGATGTGTCAAGATAGGCCATACGTGTGCCATATTGTTGAAAAATTTGCTTGGCAAGGAATAGAAACGACGAACGATACTCTTCGAATAGTAACGGATCACCAATGATTAGAAAACATAACCTAGAATTACGAAATGACGTCCCATCGTTCAATTCCAAGTGACCTACTTCGCTGAATTAGCTTGGCATACTAAATTGAATACATTCGTATTTGTTATGGTTGGTAAGTGAAGGAGTTGATTTGATTCGAATAATTTTTGAATATTTGAAAAAGTTAAATCATTCTAATGAAGCGAATTGTCAGTCATCAATCGCTCGATTCTTTCATCTACTCACTTCTTTGATCACCGCAACGGGAGTTTTCTCTTCTTTAAACAATAGAACTGTATCAGACGTCGTTGAAATTGGTCTAAGAAACGATGGTAATTGACTAGTCAATATCACAGCTATCGAAAGAAAATGAAGCAAATAAACGAAAATACGGAAAAGAATTCTTGTGCTTTTTTTTCTCATACATGAATTGAATACAGCACACTGAATTCCTAAGATATTCTGCAAACAAGGTACAACAAATTTTAATGTTGGTGTTTTCTGCCGTGTGATTAAAATCGCATGAACTCGATTTGTTTGATTGTAAGATGATATTAACGATACGATATCATCAGCAGTTTCTAACTAAAATATCAACAAGCAAATCGGTCATTAATCAACAAGATGTTTCTTGTCATTTACCATGCGTATGTGACGTTTGATCGGCATAGATTTCCGGACGAATTCTTTAATGTTGCTCTCTGTATAATGACTCGATCGACCATGATCATTAAAGTGATAGACACGTCGTTGACTAATTACACATAAAGATGGACTGTTGAAGATGCCTAATTCATTACTTAAACGTTGATCATTAACATTGAATTCTGCTGTGCCGATTCCGACGTCATTGAATTGTTTTTCCAGAGAACGAAATATCATTAAAGGTTGACGACAATGTAAACAAAATGTTGTACTACCAAAAAGCACATATGGTTTCTTATCACTATTTGGGAAAATATTGCTCAAAAATTCACTAAAATTCAAATAAGAATAGAATAATTGAATGGTTAATTCGAATTTCTTACCGTGTATGAATAATCTTTTTCGCACCTGATGGCACTTCTTGAAAAAAATGAAAATCACTGAAATGTGCGCGAAATACATCGTATGGATCACGAAAATGATTTGTATTAAAGCCGCGATGATTGTCTTGTGAAGTGGTACCATATTCGTCATAACTCTGCCGTTTAGTTGAGTCCGAAAGTATCTAGACAAAGAAGCTTCTTTTGTTTCGAAGTCAGCTACAGATTAACTTACTTCATAAGCTGCATTGATTTTTGTAAATTGATCATGAGCGTTAGGTTCGGAATTTTTATCGGGATGCCAATGTTTGGCTAATTTCTTGTAAGCTTGCCGAATATCTTTATCTGATGCTGTACGAGGTAAACCAAGAACTTCATATGGATTGAAATTATTGTTTTTATCAGCTGATAATTTACACAGACAGATGAAAAAATAAATGAAGAGATATTTGACTAAATGCATGAAAAAGTTCACGAATTAGAATGAAAATATCTAAAAGAACAAAAGATTCGCTAAAAAAAAATCATTTATATATATATTTATTTATTTACATAAAAAGACCTCGGCAAGGCATAGTTTCTTTTAATAATAAAAATTTATCTAATTTGCAGTTGTGAAATCACATTTTAATCTCGACAGACGAGTGCAGTGTGAAAGAGAAAAAAATGAAATCCAATAAAAAAAAGGAGAAGTTTTTCGGCTACATGTATCAGATATATGTAGCAGTAAGATAGAGATGGAATAGTGAAGAAGACAACATATCGATCGAGTAGATGGGAGGAGTAGACTAGAATACATGTATTAATTTGATCTAGTAGTAATCGTTTTTTTTTATAGTGCTGTAAGGCCAGAAAACTGACGTAATTTTTCCATAACAAGGAAGATAACCGTTGTTTGTGGTCCTAAAAGACCGACAATGTTTTGGTTCGATGAAGGAATGAAAGCGAAACATTTGATAGATAACTTACCAAGTCTGACATACGCTGCTGACCATCCACGTAACAGGCCTCTCAAACCTTCTTTATGAACAATTTTGTTAGTCAGTTCCATAACACCAGAATCTCCTGCTGCATACATATTCGTCTTGATTGTATCGAGTGGTGCTGTTATTGTTGTGGTAACAAGTCTGCGAAAACCGAAAGTTCACGAATGAAAAAGTCATTGGATAATTCTACAAACCCAGTGATCAATGATGCACCTAGATGTAAATTGATTCCTTCACCCCAACCAGTAATTTGTATCCAAAATCGTTTAGCATGATCATATGTCACACATTGTGTTGCTGTAAGTGCAGCTAAAGTCAGATACCAAACAATGACACATGCCATCGTACACGATTATCTTTCGAACCTGTTCGTACAGCTGCCGGTACAGTACCAACCCATAGTCCTTTAATTCCATGATGTTGAATGACATCTTTTATCACATGCATTGATGATCTGTATGGTGAATCTTTTGCTTGAAGCTTTGTTTTACATAGATCAACTGGATTCGACGCTACAGCTGCTATGCTACCGGACAAACAACCAGCAGCAACATTGCGAACGAATTTCACCGTTGCTTGCTTATCATCGGTGACAAAACGTTTAAGAATATTCTTTATGGGCCCATAAGCGCCTACAAAAGCATTGTGAAATGTACTATTTTTCTCTGATTACGATAGATTTACCAAGTCGCACTCCACCGTAGAAAAGTCCACGAACGATAGCCGGCATAAGACCAGAATAAAATGCTCGAACACCTTCCTTTTGATAGATTTTTTGTGTTGTTTCGATCAGACCTGCTTTCATCGCTGATTTTGACGTTGTCATCGCTGCATTTGCTAATTGCAAACGTACTTTCAACACCTCAACTAAATGAAATACGTAATGATTTAGGAAATGAGCACATCTCGATCGAAGATGAGTTAATTCTCTTACTTGGTAGTGTCACAACATTAGCAACAGATACACTTAAACCACTGGTAACAAACTATAACAGTAGAAAAATAATGTGCATAGATAAAAGTGCCGACACATTACTTCTTTCAGAAATGGATGTTCACGTATGTGAGGCTTTTGACTCGCGGTTAACTTTATATCATTATCGTCAATCTTATTAGCAAGAGATTGAACAGTCGCACGTGCGGCTACTGCCATTTGATAATTCGTTCGACTATTAAGAATCAAATTGAGTAAAGAAGTGTATGAATTTGACTAGTATAGAATTTGAAGTTTAGTTTGATATTTCCTTGTGAATAATAGTTAAATTTGATTTAGCCAATCATCTTTCGCAACGAAATATTTTAACACAAGATTTCTATAAGGATGATATAGATATTGGCTGGAGAGAGAGCAAGAAATCAGAATGACCTTCTAGATGGCATTAAGATTCGCTGTAGCGTTAACGAAACATTTGATTTACCTTGGAAAAAAATTTTTTAAAGTAAAATTTTCAACAAATATCGTCGTTAAATCTGAATCTATTGTAGAAAATGCATTTAAAAAATACTGATTTTCATAGTGACATGTAACGTAAACCAGCACCATCTGCTTGATATCGGACATACACTCAGTTGTCGGACTTACTCGTCACATGTTACATACGGTACGGTAGTACACGAGATGATTTCTATTTCTATCGTGAAAAGTTTGTTAAGAACGTTGATTTTATAGAATCTTTCAAATATCTATTTTACTTAGAAATCTCGTTACAGAGATTGTGTTTAAAAATTGAAGACTAAGTCTGACAAGAAACATTAGTTGATTTTATCTAGAGTACTTTAGGGATTGGTAGTGGCGGAAGTGAAAGATAGCAGCCATTTATGACAGACAACGTAACGGACAGAACAGCATGCCCGTTAGTTTATCACGATCAGACATATTCTAGATCGAATCTTGCAGCAAATTTTCGGAGGGAGCGAAGACGTTTCTTGATTTCTGATTGGTCAAAATCAGTATGTACCAAAGTGCATTAGCAACTTACCGTAACAACCGAAAATGATTCTAAAACCTGATATTCAGATTCCGGTCTGATTTGATCGAGTAATCGTTTGATTTTCACTTTCAAAATCTGTTGCAATGATATTTGCCAGAATGTTCAATGGTATAAACTGGATCACCAGTCGAAGAAGAGTTGTTTATTTTTCAGCTTCTTTGCAATAAATTATTTAGACATCAGGATTACGTTCTAAATGTTGATTTTCGTACGTTTCTTTCAGATCGAATTTAACAGTCGAATCATCTCAACATGTCGTCGAAAATCACTCGCGTAAGTCAGCGAAAGCTGAAACAGATTCGTGTGATTTTCATTTTCAATCTAGGATATGCTCATGGAAACGGCAAATAATGTCTTGACATACTCCAACGAAACCAAGAAACGTAAATTCGTCGAAACAGTTGAATTGCAAATCGTTCTCAAAAACTTCGATCCATCACGTGACAAACGTTTCAGTGGTACTGTCCGTCTTCGTTACATCCCCAAACCAAAATTCACTGTCTGCGTTTTGGGTGACGAACGTCATTGTGATGAAGCTCGTGCTAACAATATCCCAGCAATGACTGTTGATGATTTGAAAAAATTAAACAAGGATAAAAAGCTCGTACGAAAACTCTCACATCAATACGATGCATTTCTCGCATCCGATGTTGTCATTCGACAAATCCCTCGTATTCTTGGTAAAGATATTCCACCGTAGAACTTTCCGATTCGATCTTCGTTCGTTCTAGGACCTGGTTTGAACAAAGCTGGTAAATTTCCAACAGCCATCACACACAGTGATTCGTTGGTACAAAAAGTTGAAGAAATTAAATCAACAATCAAATTTCAAGCTAAGAAAACCATCTGCTTAGCTGTTGCCGTTGGTAATGTAAACATGACACCCGAAGAATTAGCTGCTAACATTAACTTATCGGTTAACTTTCTTGTTTCATTACTGAAAAAAAACTGGCAAAACGTTCGTGCACTTTACGTGAAATCCAGCATGGGTAAACCACAACGTCTCTATTAGAAACCGTCTCCACGAACAACTCACAATAAGAAGAGGAAAACAAATCAGCTGAACACCATCATGATTATTTGTTTTGTTTTCTATGTATGTGTTGCAAAAATCTTTCGAAAATAAAATAAAATTAACGCATACATACCGATGAAAAAAAAACAACCCAACGAAATTATATTAAAAACTGTATAACTACGTGAGATTTATTTTACTCGTAGATAGATTCTTTTTGCAAAAAATGAGCACTTATCGACGGCATTCAGGCACTACCGACAGGTACGTTTAGTTCATTTTCTTCTTTGTTTTCATTTTCATTTTCTTATTTTATTCCAAGATAGCTAATTTTCATATTAGACAAAACGCAAAACTACGCTGTATATACTTCTGTCTTTTTTCGAATGTTTTCTCCTCTTTCCTTCTAAGTAATTATTTTTTACGCTTGTTGAATGTTAAGTCAAACCATGTATAACATGCTTGACGTTTTTCGCGATTCCTTTTCCTTGTATGTATACATATACATATATAGACATGTGTGACTATAGTGTACGAAAGAAAAAGTAAAAGAGCCGAGTTGAAAGTATCGACTTCGATCACATGTGAGTAGTCAGTAGGTTGTTTTTTGTCAGGGATTTTGAATACAATCATAGATATTGAAAAAAGAACAATGTCGATAGAAGATGCTACCAAAGAAAAAACGTTGCATGCAACGAGTGATTCTAATGTAACTGATGAAAATCAGAGTAAAGAATGGTAAGAGTTAACATAATTTATCATTGATCTAACTATTCTAATCATTTACCCATTGTTAACTTGTAGACCCATGATTTTAATCTTTGTTTTAGTGATTCAGATTATGATGATGATGATGATGAAATCTTGCAAAATGATTCAACGAACATTTCACCAACATTAGCGAAACGTCGTGTAAGTTTTTTCACCAAGCAAAATAAGACTATAAATGGTAAGCCACATACTACAACATCACCATCAACGCCAGCGTCACCAGGAACAAAAATGCGTCGACGACGGCTACGTACAACTAGTCGCTCAGGCGATGATCGAATATCATTTCGTGGACAAAAGCCGATTTATACAGCAGGTACATATGATCATAAACAAATGTTATTTCTATTTTCATTTTGTCAAATAGGTCGACCCGCTTGGTACAATGCAACAGGTGAAATCAAAGAAGCCTTTATGATTGGCATTTGTGGAGGTAGTGCTAGCGGTAAAACGACAGTTGCACAAAATATTGTGGAAAAATTAAACGTACCATGGGTTACGTTGTTATGCATGGATTCCTTTTACAAAGTAACCAGACAAGAAGATATTTTCTCGTAGTTGCATTAATATTCAGGTACTTGACGATGAACAACATGAACTTGCCAATGAAAACAATTATAATTTTGATCATCCCGATGCATTTGATTTTGATCTTTTACTTGAAACACTTAGAAATCTCAAAATGGGTAGACAAGTACAGTAAAAATCTGAACAAATCACTTCTCATATCTGCGATCCTTTTTCTTCCTGTCTTGATCTAGGTGGAAATTCCACTCTACAATTTCACTACTCATTCTCGTGAATCTCATACGGTATATTTGATCAAGCCTAGGCCAATATTCACTTCTTTTTTTCGATTTTCATCTCTAGAAAATACTTTATGGTGCTAATGTAGTCATTTTCGAAGGCATTTTGTCATTTGCTAGTAAAGAAATCCTTGAAGTATGTGATTCTAATCGAGATCGAGTTAATACCCGAACAACTTTCCTTTTTAATTCATCATAGATTCTTGATATGAAAATCTTCGTCGATACGGATGCAGATATTCGTTTAGCACGTCGATTAGAACGTGATATATCCGAGCGTGGTCGAGAGATCGATGGTGTCATACAGCAATATACACGTTTTGTGAAACCATCGTACGATCATTATATTGCTCCAACGATGATCTATGCAGATTTAATCGTTCCAAGAGGTGAGAAATGCAAATTATTCGCTCATATCGACATGTTCTTCATTACACTGTGGAATGACTGGTTATAAATAACCAAATCATTCTTGCCGTATCATTTTCCAGGGTGAAAATATGTTCTAAGAGCATTTTTTAATCGCTATCTATTGCACAACGCAATCCTTTTGTTTCAGGTGGTGAAAACAAAATCGCCATCGATTTAATTGTCCGTCATGTAAATCGTGAGCTTCATAACGTATGTCTAATCATCTCCTGACGCCTTATTTTCGACTAATCTCTCTTCGGAATAAATAGCGTGGCGTCAAAGTAAGAAATGAACTTGTCAATAATCTGGGACTTATGCGCGATTTACGTATGCCCGATACATTCTATCTTGTTGAACAAACGGCGCAAATTAAGTATCTTCACACGATCATTAGGTAACAATGTTTTACTTTCATTCTGCCGAGTTTATTCATTTTGGCAATGCAATTTTAGAAATAAACAAACATTTCGTGATGAATTCATTTTCTATTCCAAACGTCTGATGCGTGTTTTAATTGAATACGCACTTTCATTATTACCTTTTGAAGTATTGAATATTTGGAACATAATTTATTAAAAGCTAACTGTGAAACATCATTCTAGGATGTCACTGTGGAAACGCCCCAAAGTCTGTCATATAAAGGAAAGAAACATGTGTACGCAGATGTAAGTTATTTTTGGAGTATTTCATGAAAAATGAATTCACTGTCATCGTGTGCTTATGAAATAGGTTTGCGGTGTGTCAATTGTACGAGCCGGTGAATGTTTAGAACCAGCATTAAGTGAAGTATGTAAAGATGCAAAAATTGGCAAAATTTTAATTCAAACGAATCCGTCTAATGGTGAACCAGAGGTAATAATGTCGAGAATTTACTGATCTTTCCTCCTATTGATATATAATTGGAAAAAAATCTTAGCTTCATTTCCTTCGATTACCTCGAGACATTGCTAATGCTTATGTATTTATTCTTGATGCTACTATCGGTAATAAGATCTCGCAGTGGAAGATTTTCCAATAAAACTAAGTCATTTCGTTGTAGCTACTGGAGCAGCTGCGCTTATGGCCATTCGAGTTTTATTGGATCACAACGTCCCAGAAGATAGAATTGCTTTACTTTCTCTGTTGGTATCTAAACAAGGTTTGTTTAAAATAAATGTATTTTCGCGAAAAAGTACTCTCCTTCTCGATCCAGGTGTTCAAACTGTTGCTTATGCATTTCCGAAAGTCAAGATAGTTACCACGGCATGTGATACACAACTTGATCCAGACACAGGTTTTATCTGTCCAGGTTTAGGAAATTTCGGTGATCGATACTTTGGTACGGATCCTATTGGATCTGATACTGAAGATTCCACGTATGGTCAAGGCGGAAATATGAATTCCACAGTCGATTTACTGAATTCACCGCAAATACTATCGAAAATCAACCATTTTCGTCAAGATTCATCGCCGCCAGCAATATCGCGATCGCTCGATCAAGAAGACGTCTTCGCTGCGAACTAATCAGGTGCTCAAGCTAGTTTTAGCGCTACTGTGAAGTTATCTATTAAACATTCATAAATTTGAAGTGCTTATATCGCTATTTAGTAATTGCTGTTTTCTATTTTCTATTCTATCATATCGATCGTATGATACTGGAGAGAAAATTCCGTGAAAATAACTCTAAATCTCTGTTCCATTTGGTTTGTTCGTTGCTTACTACTGTTATTGTTTATGTTCTTTTTTTTTTCTTCTGATAAGTTTATCAATAAAAAGTGATGAAGATTTCTCTTTTGATTCTCTGACTTTATTGAAGACAACAACAACGCACCAATCATTTCTAGATGACATCCACAGTGACTGATACTGATGAGAAGAGTTTTCAAGAGAATATCTCCTACAAACCAGGCGTCTTTCGATATCACGATCTACCGACGAAGAAACGAAAAGAATTGTTTGATGATCGACAAAGAGAACTCAATCCTTGCCTAAAAGTAAGACAGCTCAGTATTGCCTACTCTCATCGACAGTCGACTTAGGAATCGGAGATAGCCAATGCTTGTATCTTGATGAACAGCGATGACCAACAGCAGTGTCGTGCTGAAATGGAGAATTACAAAACATGCAAACGCTTTTGGGTAAGAATGTACTTTACGATTAAATCTCAATTGTTCTTAATTGATTTGAGATGAATGCCAAGTAAGTGTGATCATGTGGGAGTAGATGCTCTCCGAAGTAAATGATGTCCCAGGGGTTGAATAGTATTTTGTATGCTGAGCCAGGTTTGTTCAATCGTTGATCAAATAACATAATATCACGATCGACAAATTCAATTTCTCCAATTTGATTAGATCTTTGACTATGTATTCGAATATAAAACAAACAGTTTTTCTGCGATATAAACAATTGCATTTGTAAGATTCTTCAAAAGAAAATCGGAAATAGATTATGAAAAACGAATGAGCTGAGAATAACGTCATTATCATGAAGGTTGAGAAAGAATTCATTAATACCTCAGGCAACAAATTATTAGCTCCCTCGAAGAGAATTTGCCCATGTTATTTTTCTGGTAAAACTTGGAAATGATTGTTAAAACTCAAAGATTTTCTTGGTCATTTTTACAGACAGCCGTTCGATCATTCGCAACAACAAATCATCTTCTAAGAAACGACGGTTTTCCGCCACTATCTCAGCGGCCGATTTGGTAAGCTAGGAGATCTCCTCTAATGAACGAATAAGAATTTGTTTTAGGAAGAAACAGTTACAAACTTGGATAGAAACAAACAAACTAACGGTGCCGGATGAAATCAAACCTTTAATATAAACAATATCAAGGAGACTTTTTTTTGTAAATAGTACCCTTTCATCCGTCTTGAGTTTTCACTATTTGATTTTAAATAAAAACAACAAAACAGTAAATTATTTATACAAAGTCAATGCTAATTTCACTCGGCAAACATCATCAGAAAAATCTCGATTTTCTTTTCAGACAAGTTATGTTTCGTTTTCGATTGCGTCTTCATCCATCCTATTTCGCTCTTGCATCTTCATTCTTGTTCAATCGTTCAACCAAATCTGCACCTATCGAAATTCCACCGCCTGATCTCCCTCGAACACCTTACCAGCATCTGAACTGCACCGGTTTCGAATGTATTCGCGAATCGTCAATGATTGCTCTCACATCCTCATCGAATCTGCTCAAACAAACCCTATATTACTATTCAGAACTAACCCAACGGTACTGCTTGCACATAACGACGATGATCGGCATTTTACACGAGTACAAGAAACATGAAGGTTCGGGTCATGTTCAACAGGAAATCTGGGATGTTTTTGTTCAACAGCGCTCAACTTTAAACGATATGAAAAAGGAGCTGTTACGTCTACGTTTACTTTTAACAACTATTGATCGAATGGTCAACGAATCAATTGATGCTTGTTATCAAACCCAGGACGAAACTGTTACACAGTTAATTTCGAATGAGTTAGTTCACTCGAAGCGTATCATTGAACAGAAGGAAGAAGAAATCGTTCGCAATGAACGAGAACTAACTGAGGAACAAGTGAAAGTGATCGAGAGTCCAATTGATGAAAATGCTTTGAAAAATTTGTCAAACTGAATATTTTTTGCTTTCTTTTAGATATAATAATGAATTGAATGGACAAAAAACAGGCCTGTTCGAATTCTGAAGCATGTCTTCAATTTATCTACTCAAAATTTGATTCCTACAAACAAATCCTCGACGACGAACAGCATGCATGTGAGAAACTGATTGCTTCGATTCGCGAGCACATACGTCTGTATGATAATGATGATGAAAAACTTCGTACAATGACAGGATTCAATGCAATTGAATTAGCCAATCAACTCGCTTATTTCGAACAAGAAGCTTTCAAAACCTATGAAGAAAATAAAACATGTAAATGATGACGATTAATGTGGAGAAGAAGAACGTTGCTTTTGCTCTCATAGGTTTGTTCAAGATGTTTCAGAGGTTGCTCAGTTTCAATCGTGATTATTCTTTCAACGAAGTTTTGCTCAATGAACGTCAAATAGCTGATTTATTTCAATATCGGCCATCAGTGTTACCAAATATCAAACGAATTTCGTTTCCGAAACATTCCAATTCATCGTCGCAAAGCAATTCGATGATGCATCATACCGATCCATCTCGTTTGATCTTTCCGGAAGCACTGAAAGCACCTGTACAATCAACGACCTTTAGCAAACGAGCTGATATCGAAGCATTCCAACAGAAGCAAGGATCTATCCAAACGCGAATTGAAAGCAATGAAATTGATTTAACTCAACTCATACGAGATACCGTTCCGATAACATCGTAATACTTTCCACTTTTTGAAGAATTATTTCTTACTAGTTCTTATTTTGTTTCTCAGAAAATCTCAATTTAACTTTGCTAAAGTCTCGCAACATTTCCAACGACAACAAAATCTCACCACAGCACCACGAAAGAAAATCTCCAAGCCAACCGTTCCGTGCAACGATGCATTGCTCACTGCTGCCAACAAACGATTTATTCTTCTGTACAATATGAATACATCCAGACTACTCTACTTTTACGATACACAAAAAGATGAAACCAAAGAATTTCCCTGGGATGAAGGTAAGACAGATGCTAGTTCCATTAACTGAATGAACTTCTCGGATTGGATAACAATATGGAGACAAAGCCTTGCGCTGATCAGTCCTTTCAATCCACAAAGACAGATAATCACATTCCGCTATTATCTTCCACTCAACTGAAATTTTTTTCGAGGACTAACCATCATCTCTTCTCTTGTTTAGATATTATTCTTTCACTTGGTCATGTTGATGGTAGCTTATTCTACATCATCACAGCAACAAAAATCTTCCTCTTCGACATCATCAAAGAGAATTTCGATAGGCAATACTTTCTTTACGATACTCTTTACAAAGATTTACTCCTACTCACTACTAATCCTTCCTACCAAACAGCAATAAAATCTAACAATCAGATACAATCGATTGCTTTTGACGATTTCTGTTACTATCTGTATACAACGAAAGATTATGAACAGTTATTGATAAAATGTTCCATAGAAACTTTTCATCATGAAGCCAGTATAAATTTAACAAGGCGCTATCCCGATATTCAATACTTTCTCGGCTTCACAGTCACAAGCAAAGGCTTAATAACGTTTTTAATTCAAGATAACCATGGTTTTCATTTATACTTCTGTGATGAATCTCATAATTATGATCTAATTAAAAAACTGTCCGTCCGTGATGCACTTGAACCAACGAAAATTGTCACAACGTTTTTATCGAATATTCAACTTCGTGGTTCAACAACAAATAAAAGCAAATCGGGCAAACAAGTCTGGTTTGTTTTAGATCGACAATCTAATTGTGTACATTGTCTAATCCGTGAAAATTACTTAACCAAAATCAATTCACCGACTGAAAACTTTATTCAATCAGTGACGATATTTGATACTAAACTGATTTTAGCTTATAGTGAATTATCTGTGGATATAATCGATCTTGACAATCATTTTTCTTCGTGGTCGATTTATTAAAAAGATGATTAGTTCTTTTGTCGAATAATGTCATTCAATGAAAGAGTTTGTTTTCTGTGCTAGAACGAAACATTTGAAATAAACTAAAGTTTCAGTTGAAATTTGAAAATGCACACGTATTTGCGAACAAGTTGACATTCACAATGTCCTTTCCTCATCTGATGTTTATCTAAGCCATTAGGAACAAAACGTAATGCAGCTTCGATTGATAATCAGAAGACTGATGACATAGACGAGTAATATATGTATTTGTCAATTGAATTAGAAAATTTGGTGATGGTTGTAATGATGAAGATAGAAGAGCAGTTCGCTTTTCCTCTTTCTATCTCTTCAATTCCATTATATTGTTTCATCGACATGCATTTTCTCTTTTCTTCTTTTTTTTTGCTATTTCTCAAAAAAAAAACGTCAAGAAGAAAAACAGCGCACGAGAGAAAAAATCATCATCCAAACACAACACACATAGAGACAACATACAAAAAAAAGGAGAAAGTGAGGAAAAGAGAGAGAGAGAGAGAGAGAGAGAGAAAGACGAAGGGAGGGAGAGAAGTCAGAATCAACAACTTAGTCCTGCTTTCTCACAATGGAACAACTTGAAATGTCTCTAGGAAAACAAAACACTGTTCGTATTTGATTTTTCTATTGAACATCTTCATAACAATTTGTATTAATTGAGCAATGCTTATCATTTCTTATCATTCTGACAAGAAGAATAACAAAGAAGATTATGGGTTGTGTTTCATCTAAGAAGAAATTATCCAAATCGGATTTAGAATTTCTTGAAGAGAATACGGAATTTACCAAAGATCAAATTATCGAATGGTACGAAGGTTTCATTGTAAGTACCAATCAATATGGCAATGTACGAAAAACGAGAAGAAAGGACTAGAAGTATAGGCAAAATATCGTTTCTTTCTTGCTTTTATATACATCAAACAATCATATGGTTCATCGGCACTGTGAAATTGCTTTTCCTGTTAGAGTCTATGCTAGTGACTGACTAATGTTCGAATCATTTAGGACTTACATCTCCTAACTCATGCTTTCTTACCATCATCGCGCCTCATTTCTCCGAAGATAGAACACGCGAGGCGAACTACAAAAGCTCTTCTTTTCTATCTCATAGTTTGTCAGTTGACTAGATCTTAAGATGAATATATCCCGAATTAATTTCTCGTTGGATAGCTGCTAGGAACGTCTTCTGATGACAGATGCGTGAGTGTATTGTCAAAGAAAATAGGATCAAGTCAAGAAGTCAATTGCACAAGTACACACATCGTATATTTGTCCTCCTTATTATTTATCTATTTTCTTGCTCAAGCATTGACACAAGCGATCTTGACTTTCGAAAGATAGATAGATATATATGAATAATGTGCGAATGAGAAGATGTGAATACAAATACGAATATACACTTTTCTTCTTTTCTTCTGCTGTTCTACGATTTCCCATGACAAATCGCAATTTCATATAACAAAACGTTTTGAATAGATGATTTTTTTTCTCCTAGGCTTTCCGCTATAAGATACGCCGCTCGCAGATCACGTCGTTTGACGATAGTCTCGAAATTGATTCGTGAACACAACTGAAAACATGTTTGCGGAAAGGAGAAGAAGAAGCATTAGCGAAATAGATCAAGAACGAGAAAGATATTTAAATATATAATTATATTTTTATTTAGTTAGTGTGTACTAGCGCTATAAATAGCGAAGTCTACGTTGCGAGTGAGAAAAAAAACAATAACAACAAAGAGAAGAAGCAAATGATGCGATTTGTTTGAAATACAAAAGAAAAGAAGAGAGAATGATCGATTTGCTGATGTTATTCGGACTTATCAAATGATCAACGAAGTCGAGTGAAATCCCCGGAGACACGAGCAGAGCGAATAAATAATATAGTTGAATCTATTTACAAAGAAGAAGAAGAAGACGAACTCATTCATTCAACCGGAAAGATTTCTTGATAATTGATTAAATTTCAAATGAGAAACCAATCTTAAGATATCAATCATCACGATCATTTCCATAATAGTCCTTTTCATTCAAGCAGATATATAAATAGTCGATAAAAAAAGAGTTTAATGATCGTCATTTGAGCAATTACAACGGAAGACAAGTATGTAGAACCGTCAATCGACAGGAAAAACGGCCAGAACATTTCTTTTTCTACATTATATTTCTCTCTCAACGTAGATCGATTTTACAACGAAGAAATTAATATTGTATTCTTGACACAGGAATCTCGATAGAAGCTGATGTCATATGTTATCGAAATTAATGATTCGTCATATGTGAGAGTCGTTTTATTAATCGAAGAGAATAGCAAGTTGATTCCATGCTGCATTCAAGTCGTTCTAATATATTCCATGGAGAATTTCTAATCATTCTATTATTTAACCGATTAGTATAGAAATCGGGCGGACTATATTTAGAGCGAGAAATGAGCATGGAAAGCTGAGATGAACATATTTAATTGTCGGCAATAAAGAGATTGAATGATTATCATATGTCAACAAGCAGTTTGATACATCTTAAGAAATGAATGTTTCCGCGTCATCATGTCGTTTGTCTCTCCGGAAAAAAGAAGAGAAACGAAGCAAATCCAATTAGAATTGAATATCTCTCTCATTGGTTTTTAATGAAGACGAGAAATTAGTCAAATAATCTTGTGGATTTCGAACTCAATGAACGTGATTGTTTTGTCGATTCATTTAGCTTGATTGTCCCAATGGTGAATTAACAAAGAAAAAGTTCATTCAAGTCTATCGACAATTCTTTCCAAATGGTCAGGCGGAAGCGTTTTGTACACACATCTTTCGTACGTTTGACGCCGACAATTCGGGCAAGATCGACTTCAAGTAAGTTTTGTTTGTTTTCTTCTTCTTCTTCGAAGACATAATTAACAAGTCGATCATCTTAAAACACACATTGTTGACAATTTCCGTTCCATGTTATTCATTAATCGAAGTTCTTTTGTTGTAAAATCTACCAATCGTCAATGACATGAGCAAATGTTGTCATTCTAATCAATTATTCATCCTATCTCCGGAATTTGTTCTTCTTATTCGTTGACTAATGCCTTAGGATATTGATGACGTGAATTGCTCGGTGACATCGATGGTCTCATTACTTTTTCTTCTTTCACTTTCTTTTGTATATTTAGAGAATTTCTCATGGCAATTAATATAACAGGTATGAATTCTTTTTAGAAAGTATTGAAAGAATGAAATTGCTCGTGCGTCGTTTAGCTAAAGGTAATCCCGAGAAGAAATTGAAATGGGCTTTCAAAATGTATGATATCGACTCGAATGGAAGTATCGATCGACAGGAAATGCTGAAAATTATCGAAGTAGGAATTATTTATGTCATGTCAGAAAAATAAAAGTCGTTCTATTCAGTCCATCTATGATTTACTCGGTGCTGCTTCGACTCAAAAGGCAACGAATGGGGCCGTAGAAAGCCGCGATGCAAACGATACACCGGAAAGTCGAACAGCACAAATATTTGCTGTTATGGTAAGTTAGAGTATGATTGATTGAAAGAAATCTTTCTGTTTTCTTTCTCTCTCTCCCTCTCTGTCTAGGATGAAGATAAAAACGGGTAAGACAAATTCATTCGTTTTGAATATTTAATATTAAATGAATTCCTTTGTTTTGCTTCTCTCTATGTAAATAGAGTTATTACCGAAGAAGAATTCATTCGAGGTTGTATGGCCGATCGAGTCTTATATCAAATGTTAACAGCCGATACAAGCGATCCTGAACGATAATGATCTGTCCTATGTGAATAGTTAATTTTTCTCCTCTTACTAGTCCAATTAATTACCAACTACAATGAAACTTTGCTTGAAGTCATTGTTATTCATATTTCCATATCTGACGAGAATGCGCATGCATCTGTTTCTTTCTTCTGTCATTTACATTTCTTTATATAAACAAACCTATCTATCTATTTCCTACCAAGACTTCTCTTTCTCACACACTCGTTTTCTCTTCTTTTTCTTTGTTCGTTGGATTTTTCTCGTCTTGTGGCTGTCAGTGTATATGAAAATACATACATCAAACGTGTTTTGATTTCATGTCAACAATAATAAGAGAAAAAAATGAATAGAGTTTTCAATGACTTCTTTTAATCAGCAAATTCAATATCAGATTCGAGCTCGACAAGAAAAGTAATTAGAAATTACCAAGAAAAGATACGTTGAACCTTTTGTTCTTGAAAATATTGACGACAAAATATAAGGAAATTGGAACTATCTATGAAAATCTAATGACTTTTGTGTTGAAGAAAAGTTCGCAATTTAATAGCAATTTCCTTCAAATAAGTAATTACGTTTTTTTTCTAATTTTATTATAAAAAAAAAGATGAATTGAATATGACAATGGATCGATTCATCTCATTTCCTAATCAAGATGGATGTACACTGTTTGTACTATCTTCAATAGGAAGTATTCGACCGACTGCCACATATTCTAGAGATCTCTGAGGAATATATGACTGATAGCAAAGGGAATTCTTCTCCCTTTGAATTGATCAGATGTTTGATAAGACGCTCTGTTGGGTATCGCGCAGAAAACTGCTTGAAATCTTTTTTGAATAACTATTAGAAATGAGAAATTCAATATTGAGTGCGCATTATTTCTCATTGCTATTGAATTTTTATTAAAAAGAAACGAATAAATCTAACTTTTAAACATTCGTATTCATCTTGCACCACTCCGATGAAATCAACGATAAACATGAGTCAAGTTTGTGTCAGCATTTCGTGCGTAGACGCTTATCTTATCATTCGTTGATTCGTTTTTATATAAACACGATTCGAAGTTTTAAGTAACAACATACTCTCGAGATAACATGGCTCAAAATACCATTGCACCATCAGGTTTTGTCGGCGACAAGCTATCGTCAGCAGATGCTCAAGCATGGGCACCTTCTCCGGATGCAATGTCCACATCGAATGTAAACATGGGGGTGCCAAATGATGGAAAAGGCGTACCAAATCCAAGTGAATATCCAGCTCCATCAGCTCCTGATATCAGTGAATTACCACCAAACTATTTCGATATATCCATTGTACCTAATAACGTTGTTCTACACTACAATGAAGTCACACCGTATACTGAAGCATCTAAAGCGGAAGTTGAACGAGATGGAAAAGGTGTTCTCTCATTTGACCCCTTGATTGACAGAAACCCTGATCAGTTATGGCTGTATTTCATGACTTATTTGAATGAAAAACCAGCTGTTAGTGTTAATATTCACGGTTATCATATTGAGGTATGACCTAAATCTATTTTGATCTCGATCTCTATTTCTACACATGTATATAGCACTACACTACTTACGAGCAGCACCGTTCAGCTGACGGAAGCTATCACACACGTCCTGTTCATCGCACTCGTCAAGTGACTGACTTCAATTTTGCTTTTGACCTTTCATCGTATGTGTCTCAACAATGGTGGCGTGTCGCAGTGATTCCTTCAAATAAAACTGTGAAAGCGGGAGAAACGGTATCTTTACGAGATGCTATAGAGCAATATACACGCTCAGAGAGAAATATCAAAGAAATTGTTTGCCAAAAACAAATCGTCGGATGGAACTTTCATGAATTACAGGATAAAATTAAAGCGTTGATTTATTCGACTGGCTATCGAAANTATAATTTTTCACAGGCAAAAACTGATGATTTTTGAGAAGCTAGTTTTTTTTCCAACTTACCAACTGATTTTTGGAAAACTGATGATGTATTCTAATAAAGCTTGTTCGAATGTACAAACTAACATCGACTCAATTGTTTTGAGGAACTCAAAAGGGCCGAGCTGAAATAAACTAATGAGCGCAGTCATGTGATTCTATAATTTTTCACACCACTGTATATTGAAAAATTTTCTGGATTTAATTCTATTCGTCAATGCTATGGGACAATATTTGGAAGTATCTTGACAAAAATAGAAATCTCCATAGACTCCGATGGGAAACATTTGGCTCTTCTATGCTATGATATTTTCATCTCGTCTTGTCCCACTAGAACTCTGGTGATATCTATAACTTTTTCTTGCTTTTACAGCTCTATGAGTCATACATTTTTCTTGTTCTGCCAATCGTACTTACGAAATAGGTAAATAAAAAGCAATGTTATTGCACAAGTCCTATGAAAATGGAGAAGGCGTCTTCTTCACTTACGGAAGTAGACTAGAGGTTGTGAAATTTCTTTATATGAATCATTATTTTTCATTTGAGACAAGAGTATAAAACAGTACTAAACTTACTTGACAGAACTATCGATCAAAGCAATAGTAATCGCATTGCTCTTCTGTCGTCAGATATATTCTTCACTTCACTTTTCGGTATGCCTTTAAAAAACACATCGAGATAAGATTGAATATCATTATAACTTTCTTTTCAAGAGCTAGGAAAACGAGCATGGCAGAAAGCAACGAAATGGTTATAAAACGCGGTGGAGGGTATATCGGTGTATTCGGCGCTCCTATTGATTTAATTGCAAAGAACATCGCTGATGCTGCTGGTATTACTGCCATTCCATCAGCTCCGTACCATATAACACTGATAACTAAGGATGAACTACGGCACTTAGCAAGTGATCCATCGAATAAAGCAGATGATTTATATGATAGTGCATCGAAAATCGATACAAAACATTTATTCTCACTAGGTCTTGGAGGTGATCCCAGAGGTGTATGTTGGGTTGTGATTATTTGGAATGCTGGAAATATCTTTCGTAAAAAGTATGGACTTCCCGTCAAGCAATTCCATATAACCTTAAGTAACAACGATGACCATTCGTTGGATAAAAGTCTTTATTCATTGCTTGAACCATTTTCAATGGAAAATCAACATTTAAATACTATTGATCATCTCGTCCTGTCATACAACTTGTCTGACCAATATGATCAAGTCCTTATCTACGCACGAGAAATGTGTAGTCGATTTCCTGATTCGGAAAAGAGTTGGCTACGCTTGGGTGATATCGCACGACGTAACGAACAACACAAATTAGCGATGTTAGCTTACGCTCGAACAATGCAACTCGTGCCAGGACATGGAAATGAAAAACTCCGTGAATATTGCTCAAAAAAGATCTTTAACTGCGCCTCCATGTACACCGAATGGGGATGTTTGTTTGGCGAAAATGAATTAGAGCAAATACCAAATGAATTGAGACAGCATTTGTTTACACATTGGCCTCAAATCATTCGTGAACATTTCGTGAATATATATTCGGATGAACAGCCACAATTTAGTCAGAATACACGTGATCATCTTTTAGTACCATTTGTAGATCCAAGAAGTGTGAATCAAAATTTAGGTAAATATCGTAACTTTCCCTATCGGAGATGAAACTGTATGATTCCAAACAAACTTTAGAAATGTTTTCATTACCACGTTATTTTCGTTGGATTGTGCCATTTTTCCTCTCGGTCATGTCAACTCCTCGTCATGAACGTGATATTGATGCACTGGCTTCTCCCCATATTGGTGTTCGACATGTAGTCACGCTAACTGAAGAAGATCCGTTGCCTGAAGAATGGTTCTTTAACAAAACCATATCACATACACACCTTCCGGTTGGAAACTATCACGCACCAACCATTGAACAAGTCGATTTATTCTTTCGACTGGTGACTGATCAAGCAAATGCACCTTTGCTAATCCATTGCGGCGGCGGTAAAGGTCGAGCTGGTACGATGATTGCTTGTTATCTGACTGTTTACGGTTTCCAGTCACCATCTGCTCAAGAATGGACACAGCCACGTATGTCTGCAGGTGAAGCTATTGAAAAATTGAGACAACTACGACCAGGTAGTATCGAAACCGAAGAGCAAGAACGATTTGTTCATGCATTTGTAAGTATTGTGTGGAAACGCCAATCACCTTTGCCACCATTACCAGCGGAGCCAGAAGGACTTCCACTTGAAATCGAAGGACTCCTAGATGGAAATATTGATTTAGTAATGCTTTGTGGTCTACCTGGATCAGGAAAATCGTATGTAGCACAAATGATGGTCATACGTGATGAACAATGGACAATCGTCTCTCAAGATGAAACCAGATCACGTGATACGTGTGAACGTGAATTAGGTCGACCTGGTAAATATTCGAAAGCGATTCTTGATCGTTGTAATCCCAATCGAGAAGATCGAAGGGAATGGTTAGGTATCGCGCATTGGGCACGAAAACCCATCTGTGTGTATTTTGATTATGATCCTCAATTGTGTATCTCTCGCGCACAGCAGCGTACTGATCATCCAACGCTCGTGCCTGGTCAACGCGTACGAACAGCAGTTCAAAGTATGCAGCGACAAATGGAAAGACCACGACTAGATGAAGGTTTTGCAGCTGTATGTGTTATTCGCTCGTTCGATGCCGCCAATGAACTCATTAGAAGACTAACACCGGTCGGTATATTGAAGTTTTTACGCACGGGTCATCTGATGAATTTAGGTGCAGCGGCCGAAGACGACTTTCTAGTTTCATTCAATCAATCAACACATTCGCCATATGTTGTCATTACAGAAAAAGTCGACGGTGCCAATATGGGCTTTTCGTTATCAGCTGATCGAGAACTACTCGTACAGAATCGATCACATTATGTCACATCGAATACACATGCACAATTTCGTCCACTCTATACATGGATTGAAGCACATCGCGAAGGTCTTTACAATATTCTTGATCGGGATAATTCATTTCCTGAACGATACATTCTCTACGGCGAATGGCTCGTTGCAAGACATTCGATTCCCTATTCTCGATTACCTGACCGATTTCTTGCGTTTGATTTGTACGATCGGCGAACAAAAACATGGGCCGATCGTGACACACTCGAACGATTACTTGAAGGAACGCAAATCTCACTTGTCTATGTTATGTATCGAGGACCACGACCGGCAGATAATGTTCTCAAAGGAATGGTTCAACAACCGTCTCAGTTCTATGATGGTCCAGTCGAAGGTATCTATGTCAAAGAAGAACAAAACGGACAAGTGATCAATCGTGGTAAAATTGTACGAGCTGATTTCACTGCTGGGATAACGGAACATTGGGACAAAGCACCGATAAGAAAGAATGGGCTTATTTTTGATGGTGATGATGTTGAATAAAGTTGAATGTTACAGATCTTCTGTCTATTTTTCTTAAAATTTCATATAAAAGACTGTACTCTGTTGATAACATATTTTCTATTGTCATGTCACATTGTCGAACACTAAAAACAATGAGATACAAACGATCAAAACATGCAAATATATAGATGCATCGATATATCTAAATTTGACAAGAATACTATGTAATAGTTTGTGATTTGTGACTGTCGAAAACGTAGAAATCAATCTATTCTCGGCAGATTTTGTACAATGAATGATTTGACACATTTCATTTCCTATAATTTCATAAAATATCTCAATTCATCATCTCGACAAGATCGTTTCGTCATACTCGATCACACGTTGAATGGTCCATGTCATGATATTCTCGAAATGCATACTGTTTAAAGCCCATGCTTTTGATGGCTTGTTCGGTTAATCGAGCCCATTTTAATTGCACTAATGGATCTTCAGTTCCTAACGTCGGAAGACGAATAAGATTACATTTATAGAACGACATTCTTTCTCTTTTTTCAAATTACCGTGGCATTGTAAAATAGGTAAATTTACTTTTTTGCCGCCAGACACAAGTGCCTAGAACAATTAACAAGTAATTCAACTTTCGAACTCAATCAAGGAAACCCACATCTGGAAATGTTGATGCTAAAGGTAACCATGACGAAAGTGCTACAACACCACCGAGTGTATGAGCATATGTCAATGCTAATAATGAGAGAATTTAAGATCAAACACGCAACCAAACGAAGAGACTCTACCTGCATGAAGAGCGATTGCTCCTCCCCTTGCAAGAATATGAAAAACATAAGTAAAACTTCGATGAAGTGATTGAACTTACATGGAAAAGCCGCCGATAATCTAAAAGAAAGTGTTGTAGAACGTCAACAAACTATAGTTATATTTACTATACGATCAGGTGAGATGCCATTGATAATTTCGCTTTCAATGAGCTCCTTTACTGAATAAGAAAAACATGAAGTGAAGAGTTAGCTATGAAGATGACAACTTACAAAATATCGATGATTTCTCGATTCCTTCTTCATCTTCTTTGACGTTTTGATCAAGACCAAGAATATCAAACCCTATTGATATATTAAATGAGATTTCCTATAAAATATTCGATTCTTTTGTACTAACAACTTGTCATTGCCAAACCCATATTTAATGTTACTTTTCGAACTGGACTGTTAAAGAAAAATAATAAATCCGATCGAAATCACCGAAACAGATCTTAACAACATACGCTGTTGGAAAAATAAATTTTACATATGGAAGTGCCTTTACTATCTGATACGCTTTAAATGCATCATACCAACTTCCTCTAAACACATACAAACAAATACAAAAGATTATTAAACTTCATCTCTGACCTACCCGAAATCACCCAGGCCATGTAAGAAGATGACCTAGAAAGAAGCTTTCATTTTATATCTATGAAAATATTTCTTTATTTACAGTTGCTGTGTGTTTGTCACTGGCAGGAAGAATAACTGGTTCCGACATAGTTTTCAAAATGCTGTTCTGATCTTCAGATTGCGACGATGTTCGAGGTGCATTCAAACAATGATTCAATGGCCATGTTGTTGAACATGAATTTCCCATTCAATCAAAGAAAATAGTGTGAAAAATTGTTTCTTATCTTAAATGAATAGCAAGCAAAGCATTGAAAAGAAATACTCGTTAGCAAAGTATATCAAATCGTTTTATTTCTGGAAGTATTGTTGAATAAAATCAATTATATCTTTCATTTCCTAGAATGAAAAAAAAGCATCTAATTAGTTGAAGGTAATTTCACCCACATACTATTCATACAAGTATCTCTTTGCCCGTCGTTGAGAATGATCTTTTTCAGAAAAGAAACTCATCATCTTTCTCTTACGTCACGCTCTCTTTCCCTGTCGCTAAAAACAATCGTTATGTAAATGAACAATCTACCAACTATGAACATTTTCTTGATCGTCAATACATTAAACTAAGCACGGATTTTTGATGAAGCACTTATCTATTCTTTTCTCTCTTCATATTCATGATTTAATCGTGGGAAAAAGAGAATTGTCCAACTAACGCTTGAATAGATCTATTATACACTTCATTTCACGAGAAAATCGCTCGTATGGTCTCTGATACTTTCAAAAGGAGAAATATTCTTTAACCCATCTGCTTTTCGAGTACACTTACACGCGTCAAAATAAAGGCATTTTCTTCACATTAGAGTAAACGTTTGACTTTGTTATGTACACACTTCGTCTTCAATGAGAAATGGCTTACTTGTTCACAATCAGTATGATCCATACCATCATACTCTTTGAAAGTATATTTCTGAAATCCCATGGATTTGAAACATTCTTCGCTTAATCGAGCCCAATCGATATGTATGATCGAGTCTTTGTTGCCTATTGAAGTTTCAAATCAAAAGTGTAAATTCTCTTTCTCGAGTGATTTACCATGACAATGAAGTATCGGTATAGTCTTCTTCTTCTCACCAGCTATCAGTGCCTAAGAATAGAACAACGTGTAAAAATTTCTCTGAAAAATACCCTCAGATTTACTTTAGGAAATGTTGATCGCAGAGGTAACCATGTCGAAAGACTGATGACACCTCCGAATGCATCAGACGATGTTAACACTTCGAAAACAACATATCCTTAGTAAGCATCGATAACACTCGAGTAACAAACTTGATACCTGTATATAGAGCAACTGCACCGCCCCTGAAATTTAAATCAGAATATGCGAATCAAATGGCACCTTTAGGAATTCTTACATCGAGAAACCTCCAATGATCTAGCAGAAAGATGCTTCTATAGAAATTTTCATATTCAAAGCAAATTTTTCTTACAATGCGTTCTACTGGAATGCCATGTTTCGTTTCTGCCTCGACAAAACTATTCACTACAAAGAATACAATGTTAGACGATTACACAAATATTAATTACTAAAATGGACTAACAAAACTGCGATGCTCTTTCGATACTTTGTTGATCTTCTTTTGCAATTTGATCAAAGCCGTGAACGTCAAACCCTACGATAATGAATAGTTGATATTCGGTTTCTAATCATCTGATTACTTACAACTCGTCATTTCTTCACCGTTATTTTTCGAAATTTTCATAATTGGTCTGAGAAAGAAGACATGAATACAAATATCGGAATAACAGAATTCGTCGCTCACGCTGTCGGAAATACAAATTTCATGTATGGAAGACTTTTCGGCAGGTTAAAGTAATTAAAGTCATCAAACCATGTTTTACTGTAATGAAAAGAACAATCGAAACCGTAAGGCAACCGTTGTTAAAGTTACCCGATGTCATCTAATCCATGTAGAAAGATGAACTAGAAAGAGAATTAATTTTCTTACGACAATATTACGTCTTACAGTGGCTGTATGATTTCCACTCGGGTAAATGACTACCGGTTCAGTCATTCGGATAGTTTAATCTAAAGTAGAACTCGGTTAGAAGTTCGATAAGTATGATCTACTATTTTCGTCACGACGAAATAAAGAGAAAATCAATTGGAATGTAAAAACAAGCATATATTCTTATTTGTGAGATATGCAAAACAATCTTTATTCATATTTTCTTATCATATGCGCATAAATGAACGCAGTCTGATTATCTTTCAAGAGCTGTCATTTTCAGTGAAGTATCGAGAGCACTAAAAAAAGGACTAGATGACAAATCCATATTCCATAGTTCACCTAAGAAGATCATGAATATATGACCGTTCTCAATAGATGTCCTTTGTTAACGAATTGGTTTCTGCGAACGTAAATCCAATTCTCATCAGTTTCTCTTCTTCTACACTCATTCTTTTCAATGACATGGAGTCTGTGCAAATGACGTTTGATATAATTGACTAAGAATTATAAGCATCTATAATCATACTTGACAATCTCATACTTATACACTACAATTAATCTTGTAATTAGAAAAGACTTGTGACATATTTGAAGAGTTAGATGGATGGAACACAGCAAACATCTAATGAAGCTTTTAATCCGAGCCTAATCATGACAAAAGTCCAGTATGATTGTTTTTCCTTTTCGCGAGTTAGAATTTTATTCAAAAATGTCATGTCGTTCTTCACAATAACCAACGCCCTCGCATAAATTTGTCTTCTATTTAGAGGACCTACATACAACGTGGACGAATGGCGAAAGATGAGTTTTCTAGCAATTGCAGTGCATCATCGTCCACATTTCTCTAAGATTTCGTTCCTTTTCTGATGGATGCACTCTGCGAACAAATTGATAAACTAACTCTGGATTATCTAGAAGAATTTGGTCATCTACTCGCCTGTAAACAACTGCTTGATGACACTGTCAAACAAGGATACTTTAATCTGTCGCGTGCACGTATTATCATGGGTGTAAATAACCTCTCGCGTTTGCAATATTCCGAAAGAGATCCAATGATCGCTGCAACGAAAATTTCTATATCGTCAGTATCGCCATTTCAAGTCGAGAAAGAAATCGATAAAGAACATGGTGATGATGCTTTGAAATGGTTTGGTCTTCTCAGTCCAAATGTATTGAAACAGGGTCAAAAAGCTTTTCAAAAGACAATCGACTTAGTTTTAGAATCATGTAAACGACAAGACAATGTTTTACAATTAAAATCACAGATTGAACAGTTATTAAAAGAAAAACAATCATTTTTATCGAAAGAAAATTCCGAACAAATAAAAACTGTAAATTGAACTTTGATTCTAGATGAGTGAACCAAATCGAGTTCAGATTATTCGACCACATCAGTCTATCAATGAATTCATATATCAAAACCCAAATGATTCGAGCACTACCAATCGTATACAACAACAAGAACAGCTTCTCAATCAATTTCAACAACATCAAGATTACTACAAGATTGGTTTTAAAAACTTATCTGCGATTCAATCAATGTCATTAGCAGAGAATTGGCCAATTATTGGTGGAAATGCAGTTACATCATTTTCCAGCGGTTTTGTAGGTTAGTCGAGTATGAATTCTTTTCATTTTATTCTCCGACAAAAAAGACAGTCTATTCGATGTATGATTCAACTGAACAAATCATTACTTTTCACACAGAAGATAAAGAAAACGAGTTGATGTGTGGTGAACTATACATTTTCTCTAATGATCGCTACTGGCATATTTCTTCGCTGTTCAGTCAGTCCGAACAGTTACACTTGAGTTAGAGTGGCATGTAGATAACAAAACGTTTGCTAAATACTTCTCTCCAACATCTTTTTCTCCTGACCCATTAACATTTCAGCCCGAAATCGATTCACTATTCCATTTGCATTTTACATTTGACACTCAACAGAATTCGGAATATGTTCATTGATATATATGTGAATGTTACGTAAGTAGATACGTAGATAAAAGAAAAGAAAATTTGATTAGAAGAAAGATCATGATAAGAAGAGAGAAAAGAGAAAAATCATGCTAACGGCAAATGAATAATGCATGAAATTAATGATAAAAAAGAAAATTCAATTAATCGACATGTTCATGATCATCAATCTCAAAGAAAAGACGTTTTGTTTAATTAAATTCTCGTTTTGTTCTATTCTTTAGCTGGAATGATCAGCAATCGCATCGGCCGTAATCTCTGCCTTAATCTGACGACAACTGTACGTCCAGCAAGCGGTGCTGCCTTTTTCACTGTTACTTTTGCACATTTAAGCGCTTATTATATGGGAGTTCTTCGGCCAATGGTGTCCGATGATCCAGCACTGTGTCCCACATGTTTAGAAATACGTGCATTTGCTACCGGAAGTCTCATACCGATCGCATTAGGAACCGGTATTGGTGTTTGTGGTAATCTATCATCATGTATTTTAAATAAAAGTATTCGCTTGCCGCAATTTAATCTGCGAGCGTATCCGGAATGGCGAGAATTCTTCACCCGACATGTTTTCAAAGGAATGGCACATCGTCATTTTTTTCTGTATCCGCTATTAAATGGGTTTATGTCGTCGCTCGTACTCCTCGGACAAAGTTACTATTGGCGAAGTTATCTTCGACAATATTTGGATTCGATTAATGAAAAGCCAAGAGAATACCGAGAACCGAAGAAACGAAATAAGATTATGGGTGCGATAGAAGATTTTTTTACTACTGCATTTTCCAGTAAAGTAAAGTAAGATAAACGAATCTATACGGTGTAATCTTTTCCTGTTGGTCGTCAATCTCTTAGTTTGTTTACAAAATAGACAGGTTTTCCATTGTTTTTCTAGATAAAATGTCAGGTAAAAAAAAGGCGGAAAATGTGCAAACAGGAACGAGTGCATCGACTCTGTTGATTGTTGCCATTGCGGGAGGAGTTATTGCTGTCTCTTTACAGCCATTAATTCTTGCGTTATATTCAAATATTGGTTCACAAATTGCAGTACTGTTGAATCAACAGCCACCTAATGTTATTCCCATTCAACAAACTACGACAGTAGCCACGCTGACGACAACAGCAGCTGTCTCAGTAGTAACCTCGAAAGTACCGAAAACTACAACAGCTACTACTACTGCTGCAACGACGACAACGACAGCGAAAACACCGGTGGTAAAGAATGACCCTACTGTTGACGAAGAACCTATACTTCTCAAAGATGAACCATTGACTGTAAAGTTTCCCGAGACTACAACCGAAAAACCTAAAGAACCGAAAACATCACCAAAATCGGAGGAAACAACCAGCAAATCCCAACGTGTCAAATTAGAAAAAGTTCCTCAACAACCGGAAATTATCGATGTCACTGGGCGAAATAAAGAAATTCCAGATGCAGTGAAAAACTTCAAATCAGTCACAATAAGTATGTTGCTAAACATCTGTACATCATCCTTAGTCTAAAGCACAAGTATACTATCAGACATGATAAAAACCAAAAAACTATGGATTCCTATACCGAATTCCAATGGTGGTCATCGTCGTGTACCACCTATCGCTATTCGTGCTGGTAAAGAGCACAATAGTAGTGTTAAGTAAAGATTACAATCTCCGATCGGCTGCTCTGTGCTCATAAGAATTTCTTGACGTTTAGCTCATACTTTTCATTTGTTTATCATTCTTCTATTTAGACATTGGTTATTCGAAGAATTTCTTTCACATGATGAATGTATTAATTTAATCAAAGTACATAAAGAACATGTCAAAGAAATGAAAAAAATCGATCCAATCATATGCTTTGATAGTATTCAAACATTACGAAAACATTTGAAAGATTTAAGACCCGACACTGAAATTCGCGTGACACCGAATGATTTTACCAAAGGAACAACGTGCATGAATGAAACATTTTCATCCATGCTGAAACAATGGGGTTTGAAATGGTCGTATTCAACTGCGTTCTATCATGGGGAAAGTGCGTTTTCGAAACTACTATCCGCACGTATCGAAGAGGGTACAGCGTTACAACAAAGTCACGGAGGAAAATTTCAAATTACATCAACTGACAAAGGCATTGGTAAGTAGTTCAAGCACACTCTGCCCATGAAATTCGCTTTATTTTCTGAAAAGGTTACAAAGCACATCATGATTGTACGTTGAACGGTTTGAAACAAGATCGTTATGCTACGTTTCTAGCCTATTTGAATACAGTAATGGAAGGCGGTGAAACCGAATTTCCTGGTAGGGCGCTTTTCTTTTACAAAAGTCGCAGAAACTATTTAACATTTTTTTTTGAAGAATTGGATATAAAAATCAAACCGAAAGAGGGCCGAGTGGTTGTTTGGAATAATATGAATGAAAAAGGTGAATGTGAAGAGAAAAGTCTCCATTCAGCGAATATTGTCGGTGATGAAGAAGGAAAGTTCGTCTTACAACGATGGTAAGTTTCTATTCAGACGAAAAATATGAAGGATTAATTGATATTTGAATAGGTACTATTATGAGAACTTCTATTCACTGGGCAGACGTCCGCCAGAACCCGATCTACCAGAGCGAAAACCAGGTCAAATACAAGTCTCATGTGATGAGTATGACATGGGAAGTTGTCGCGCATATGGTAAGACGATTGTTCTTCTCGTTAATATTTTAAACGTCTTATTTTGTTTTCTAGACGAATGGAATTACCAACATATCTTAAAATATCGTCATGTCAATCATAATCTTATTTGATAGACAACATCTTGTCTTTTTCACTTGTTTGTTACAATCATTTTCATTTTTCATTATCTAATTGATTTCAAAATAGGCAAACAACAGAGGAATTCCTTTGTTGAAACAAATCATTCGAATAAATTCTTTGACCTTCGGTTGCTTACAATGATTGCGATTGATTAGTATGTGTATATATTACCGAGCGAACGAGAGGAGAAGAAAGACGAGAAAAGTACATGGATCGAAAGTATCGACGTGATGAATTAAAGATAGTTTATCAACATATTCTCACTTGTGCATGCCTAACAGACAAAATCATCGCGTAGAGAGAGAAAGAGAGAGATCATAGTGATGTATAAACAAAAACGAATGAAAAGAAAAAAATTGTTCGATTGATTTTACATAGGCTTGTTTTCTTTTATGACATGATAGATACCTTTTTTCCTCAATTAAGTCCTCTCTGGGTATAGTAGCCGTTAGGATCGAAAAACGCCTCCGATCTCCACATCGAAACATGATATTTACGTTATTCAAATGTCTATTACTCAAGAAATAAACGTTTTGTCACCATTTTTACTCTTGATGTCTCGCTCCTCAACAGGGATACGTACAGGATATATATATATCTTAAATGCAAAAAAGCGATAATGAGAGGAAGAAGAAAAAAAAAGGAGTCGCATTTATTAGAGAGACGGAATGTTTGCCTTGTTCTCTCGCTCTCTATCTCTCCTTCCCTCTCTCTCTCTCTACATCGTCGCCAATGAATAAACCACAAGTAGTAGAAAAAAAAGAATAACAACAATCTATTAACTTTTCTTCTTTATGTGCGTGTAGGCTGTTCCCAATTCTAGTTCTCTTTTTAATCGATAGTAATTGTGTGTAGACAGCTCAGTTGAACTGAGACTATCAGTGAGTCTCGTTTTTTTTCTTGTTTGTGGCATCGAATCTCCTGATTACGTTTTCTTTTGCCTTTCGCATCAGTACACTTTTGTGTTAATCTAGAATATCACACATAACAACGATGAAATATTCGTTTATAACGATCGTCATCTTCATTACAACGATATTAGCACGATCGGGTGAGTAAATCTGAAAGTTCAAACAGATTCGTAGTTTAACCATGACCTTATCAATTATCTTTTGAACATAACTTATCTTGTTCGACGAGAAAAAAAGACAGATCAATGACGGAGGAAAAGACAAATTCCGTTTGTTTCGCGTTTTTTAGGTCAAGCGGACGAAATCAACTTTCGAGATGTGTTTACGAAAGCGATTAAAACGCCTCAAGACCAGAATATTTTGACACGACTTGAACAAAGTCTACCGCAATTTCTCGATTTTGATAGTAAGTTGAACTATTGCTCTCAACAAAGGATTACATCGATCCTTCGTTGTTAAATCAAACAGAAACCATTCGAAAGTTTAAATACCATTTGAAACCTTCAAAATGACTTCCTTCTTCTTCTTCTTTTCTTCTAGTACCTTCAAATGAAAATGTCGACAAGTTCGTTAATATAAACGCATCAAACCCGATCGAATAATCATATTTCATCTTGCTTCTAGAGTGTTCGCGAAATTCAAAGAAGCAATTCGATTATTTCCAGCTAATATTCAACGAGACACAGCACTTAATGAACAAACTGCACGGGATATATTTCCTGCTCTACAACCAATTTATCGCTACGTGAAGGTTCGATCTGTTTGTTTTTTATCGTTAATCGATTTCTTTCATTTACTTCACATGATTAGCTTGCGCAGTTAGAAATTACCTTTCATTGCTTAAATTGCTTCATTGCACTTTATTTTCTTATTCTTGAGAGTAAGATAAAAGAAGAAGACAACTTATCAATCAAAGGAACTCGCTAGTCGTAAGGTGATGACGTCAAGTTCAGCTTATTTGCCTTTCTAACTGATCTCTACGTGAGTAGAATTCTTTCGACGAGGACAAACGCTTATCTACATAGCTGCTTACTAGAACATATCGTCAATTATGTCAGGAAACCAAAAAAAAAGGATGAGTGGGATATGTTATTGGGAGCAGCAGAAATTACAATCGTTGTCAAAACAAACAAAGCTTTTATTTCACTGCTGGGCGATATCGTCAGTTGTTCTCGTTTTGTTGTTTGAAGGTTAAGCAAGGTTTATAAATCAGAGACTTGTCAAGGATAGATTATAATTCATCATAGTCAACATGATGATATTGACCTCAGATGCATAGATTAACACTTTACTTCATGCAATCGATGATGTCAATGCAAGCGAGAATGACCATGACTGATGATCTTCATCCGCCTTTATGTACAATGTCACATCAATTGTCTTTTGGAACGCAGAGATCGAAGAACAACTGTTAGCACCTCAAGGTGATGATTAATATTTAAAAACTGGTGAAATGGAAAGTGCATATATGCGACATTTCAAACGCGCGACTCTCGAGAATATTCCCGAAGAGTGGAACTATCTGTCTGCCTACGTAAAACGCTGTTGGGGATGTATTATCTATTGATTTGCATTTGCAAGAAATATCGGAAAATATCTACTGAAACGTCAATGTCTAATGTTACTTCGATGAGATCATTCTTGATCGGATCCTTCTGTTAAGATACTGTTTTCTATAATAATTTATGCTCTCTACTATCATCAGCATCAGCAGAACAACTATTTCCGTTGAGATAAGGAAACAAATGTCTGATTAACAGGTTGTTTACAGACGAAAATACTTGATTTCGACAAGAATCAATGGTTATCTTGTTTCCTAGGAATCTGTTTGGAAGTCAATCTTAAAATTGATCGATTTACCACGGCAATTAACACAAATTCCAGCTCGAAATCTACCTGATGCACAATTAAATAATCTTCTCTCGTATTCCGATGACAATACCGTGTCGAATGTTCTTGATTTCAACTCGAATCGACAAGTAACACTGAAGAAGCAATCTTCCATCGTCAATTTGTTCTCTGTAGGATTTTAGTGACGAACAAAAATCAATTCTTGTGCAAAATTATATCAATCGAGTCAAAACGAAGCTCAATGCCACTAATTTCCAACAATTAATCACGGAAAAATTAGGTGCATCCTTTCTTCGGTACCTTCCAATTGATTTTCTTGCCCATGATACGATTTTCAATGAAAACAGCGTCATTCGTAACATGTGCGTACGATTTCTTCTCTTAGCACAAGTCTTTACTTATGCCTATCATCTTTTAGTGCTACCTGGCTTCATTTTTTGAACCCTGTTCAACGTGATGCGGTTGCAAGTAAAATCTATCGAACATTAACCGACACTACAGGTAAAATTGCGCAAAATAATGCGCCATCAAGTCTGACAGGTAACGATGCAAGTACATTGAACATGATTGCACGCACAATGCCAAGTCTGTCGACGCGACAAATTATCAATGCTGTCGGAGATCGTATTGTAAATCGACTTGACTCGTTCGTGTAGATTTGTATTGCATACTTTTTCTAAGGTACCGCTACTTGAACAATCAAGTGTTCGAGATGATCAATCATGTACGACAGCGCTTGCCCTGCTTAATCGAACGATTGAATCGAAGAAAACAAGTAATCGTTATTTCCGACCGAATCTACAGTAAGAGATGCTGATGGATAATGCTTTTCTCTTGCACATTTTCCATCAGATTGGTACAACGATGGCAAGAATGCTACAGTGGATGTGATCTAAACAATCTGTTTTCCAATCGTCACGAATTGAAAGAATTGTTGAAAAGTCATCCAAGTCCGGAAGTAAGAGAGAAGAAAATTTTAGTAAAGAAGAAATTTGTTTGTTTTTTTTTTAAATTAAGAGCTGTGAAAATCTTGTACATGAAGTGAAAAAGGAATACGATCTCGAACGTGATGTTTCGGCTCATAAACTGCGCGAAGTTTCAGGTAAAATTGATAGTTCATGAACGAATTGCAGAGAAAATCGCATTAAAATTTGCATTTAGACGCTTTTGGTTCGATCTACCAGGCTGATGAGATCAGTCAGTTGAGCGGTGAACTTATGGCTGAATTAGGTCGTGATGAGAAAACCTTAGAAAAACTCGGTTCACAAGATTTGACACCCAACGAGGTAAATTCTAGTTTTTTTTGGACAGAAATGACGTTTTGAATTTCTTCCAGGCTCGAACAATCATCAATAAGATTCCTCGTTCGACTCAAAATCTTTGGGGAAAGAGCATGCTTGGCAAATTAGGTAATCTCATTCCTGGACTGGACAATGCCATTCTCAAACAGATCTTAACTCGGGGTCGAGGAGATTTACCGTCATTGTTCAATAATACATCTCCGTCGTTCATACGAAAACTCGTACCCAGCAAAATTCGACTTTTGATCGATCAAGTAAGCGTATTGATGAGATTGGCTTTCCTTATTCTAATGTTCGTTTGAAGTACGCAACTGAACCAAATCTCGCGAAATATCGACAATTATTGGCTTCGGATTATGCAAAGAGATATATCAAATCTGAAACGTTGACTAGAATTCTTCAATTAGCCCCTGACGTTCTTCGTTTGATACGTTTCACTCCTGCTCAAGTAATGAAGAAGAACAAACGTACCTTGCATCTCAAAGATTTCATTTTAGGCCTCGGCAGCCATTGCGAATCACTTAGATTCCGAACGAAGTTTCGATGGCAGTCTCAGTAACTTGGGAAAGATAATGAATTTTATCAACGGTTTAACTAAAACCGATGTGGAAAAGATCAAACCGGAAGAATCCTTACAGGCTATTCAACAAGTTTTTGGTAGTGCAAGAAGTAAAAACATTGATAGTCAAATGCAGTCGAATACTGTAAGTGAAAAAGTTCCTCTCTTCCGCCAACTCAGTTCTCAATGAGGTATATTTAGCGTTACGCATTTGGAAATGTTCTACGCCGCGGTTTACAAACGAGTGAAGCAACACAAAAGACCGATGATTATATCAAAGGACTTTTCCGTGAGGACAATCTTGTTGACGACCTCAATCCACAATTGTTTACAACGATGACAAACGCGGAACTTGATGCTATCAATCATTTAGATAAAGATCAAGCCAATCGATTTTGGAACGCAATTGGTTCCATCCGTGAACCAGCTTGTTGTTCAATTGTAAATGAAAATCGTTTCCGCTTAGCTGATTACGCTCTAAGATGCTATGTGAGTATACATCGCTCTTTTTCTTCACATAAAACCGTATGATTGTGTTTAGGGTTCAGCAACAGGCGACATCGATGCGTTCAAACTGTCTCAGCTGGGACCATTCCTTGTTACAAGTTTACGCGCGAGTGACATTCGTCGAATTACAACTGATGGTTTGATTAACAAGATCAACTTGTTCAAATCGAACTGTTTTCAACCAGCTAAAGCTGAAGCTCATGCACTTGGTGCTCGACTTAACGATGCACTTGGTGAAGTCGATGACGGACTCAAAGCTCTGTATCTTGATCTTATTGGTGAATTAGCAGCCTATCTACCGGCGGAGGTATCTGCTCCGAAAGTAAGTTAATCGATTTAAAGACGCGCACTAAACAACATGATGATTTTTAGCATGTATTAGCACAGCGAGCAAATTACCTATCGAAATCTTTGGACAAACTTCACAATCGTGATGAAAACTGTAAAATACCTGACGCAGATGATTTCTTGAGCAAATCAACTCTTGGTATTAAACGAACGTTGGCCAATGCATTCTTAGATCAATATTCTTCATTACATCCTTCTCGTAATCGTCGACAAGTCAGTCAAAGTAAGACTCTTCATATGTAGATCGTATATCAATGAATAATGACGTTTAGAACGAAATAATATAACTTGTCAAGAGCTACGACAGATGGGTTCAGCTGTCTCAGCTCTCTCGTCGGAACAAATTTCGTCGCTTGATGATGATGTTCTCGTTCGATGTATAGATGCGTTTGGTGCAGTAAAACAATACAGCGGTGATCTAACAAAACAAATTGCTCAAAAATATATTCAGGTTTGAATTGAACATAATTCCGCAAATGATTCGATTGTCTGTTGATATCTTAGGCATTACAAAATCAAGGTCGACACATTCAATCTCTAAGTCAATCGGAATTATATCAATTGAATTCGATCTTGATCGGTTTTAATCCAAATGAATTGCTACAATTACGAACCGAATACTTCCGCGATGGATATTTCCTCTCGTTTATTGGAAATCTCAACGGTTGGACACTGGCTCAAGTAACTCAACCTAAACATTTCTATTTCTATTTCATTTTCTCTTTTCTTTCAGTTGAAATCTCTGGCACAACTAGCACTCAGTTTTGAACAACGCCTCACACCGACACTACTTGAAAATGCTGGCAAGATCCTATGTGCGATTGACGATGGACTTCTTCGTCGCATTCCACCTGAAGAAGTCAAGTAAAAATCGTTCTTTTCTTTAACAAATATTCAATTTCATATGTTAACAGATCGTATCTATCTATTTTGGCCAATATCGAATGTCCAAATGAAGCGAATGTCAATTATTCATCAACATTGTTCGATGTTGTTAAAACTATCTATCAGACTGAGATTCACCGACCACATATCTTTGGTTCATTGGGTACAATCGCTGGTGGGTAGTTCAATTTCTAGGAGAAGCGTTCTCATTGTTTTTCTTTGATAATAGCCGGTTTGAAATCTGGAGATTTGAGTGCCTTGTCTCCTGAATTGTGGAATTTCTTTCCTCAACAAGCACTCTCACGTCTTCCTCAAGACATTTTTAAATCATTTAACAATGAACAATTACAAAATCTAAATATTGAACAAATTAAAACTATTCCAAATAGTTTACTCAGTTCACTAAGTCGAAAACAAATGGTTATCATCAACCAAATCTTGTATCCATTCAAAACATCAGGTGAGTAGCTAAATTTCCAAGATTTTTTATTCATTACCTCTCAATCCCAATCCTCAATATAGAAGAACTGACTTATTTCAATGAAAAGACAACGAATAATACTGATGAACCGAATATGAGTGGTATGGAATAGAGATCATTGCATGATAAAGGGGAAATTAGAAAATCATTAAATCATCTTCTTTTTCTTCAAAAATTCATTTATGATTATTTTGAATGAATCAACTGAAACTTGTCGTTTTTCTAGGCACAATGGCGAAATATTCATTCTCCATGTTAACCATCTGGCTTCTACCCATCGTATCGATCAGTTTCATGTTTCGATTCAATTAACACACTGACCGCGACATGAAAGTTAAACCAGCAAACATTTTATTGCTTAGCAATACTTCAATCTATTTTATTATTTTATAGTTTAGCTTGTTTTGTTTTGTTTTGTTTTGTTTCGTATGTGTGTGATAGTACGATGCTTTTCCTATTTTAGAACAGTATATGGTCTATACGCTTTTTAATTGACTGGCGGCAATTAATAAAAATTTCATATAGTTAGAAAGCATTTTATAAACTCGCTTTCCTCATGAATAAACATACGCGTTGATGTGAAATGCTCTCGGATAAATCAAGGTCTACAAGTGAACATTTTTTTTTCTTCTAATGACATCAATGGATGCATAGGCAAAATCCAGGCAAATCGAAAAATGAAATCTAGATGCGAATTATTGATACACAAATATTTATTTCACGATGAAGTGCAAGATTATTCATCGCGTTTTTCGTTCTTGAGTTTCTTTTATTTTGAAAACGATCTACATCGGTCTAGAGCTTCATTCGTAATAAATTAATTTATAAGCATTCTGAAGTCGTTGAGATATTTCATGACAAACAAGAAAAAGTCCGTTTCAAACGAGATTGCTTGATGAGTACTTGAGAATGCAATATTTTCTCTTCTAAAGTATGTCGTTAATTCAAATATTATTCACTTCTAAAGAGTAAAAAACAAAGCTGTTTACTGTTTCGATTGATCTTTGAATGGTAAATTGAGAAGAAGTATCAAATAGTGCAGTACTACGAGAAAAACAAATAAACTTCTTTCCATTTCCATAGAGCACATACTTTTCACATGTGAACTGAACTAAAACTAAAAGTTTCTTTTTATATTCCTTGAAAATAATGCATCTTCCGTTTTTCACATTATGATTTGTTTATACGTGAGGAGAGCAAACAGTCTACTGATGCTTTCAAGACATTGGTGTATACATGTGATGAGTAGAATAAATATGAAAGATTGATGTGTGTTTTGTAATCGTATTCACATTGACCGAACTCGATCAAATATCCATTTATTACTTTTTGTTGAAAAACGATCTATTTTCTCGTGAAATTTCGTATGACAACACATTTTTTTAGTATCCGATTTTGTTTGTGTATCAATTACGTATGTATTCCTATTTTCTAATATACGCCGTACTTTCTTTAAATAGATCGAGATAAATTTTTCATAATGACATACTTGATTTGTGTGAATAGCAATTCTCTACCACGAATTCAGGCCAATTATCAACACAAACAACAGCAATTTGTAGATAAAATGTATTTTCTATTGACATAGTACCAATTTATGGATTCATAGGGCATACAGAGACATGTATAAATATCTGTATTACAGATTGTGTATACATATCATTTGTGTTTATTCCTAACCATGAAATACTTTGCAATTCTATGTATAATCGTTATCCTGTTGTGTGGATTTGTACGTTCGCAAATGAATGAAGACATACGCAGTGTTCTAGAAGGAATCGAACGTGTTCGTCGGCAATCTTCACAATGTGAACCATGTGGTGTCCGCCGTCTACCATGCTGCTTTCCCAATCTTTGTCAACATCGACCAGCGAAAATAAGTAAATGTCTCAAAACTAGAGGATAGTTTACACTCGAACACGCTGTTTCTTAACTTGCTACGAAACTGTCTTTTAATTCCGCTGAATTTTTCTGTACTAATCATTTAGCAATAAAAATTCTTCATCCTAACCAGTCATTCAGTTTTAAAGATAAAAGAAGCCTTTGAATAACATTTAGTTAACGAACCATAGTAGTTGTGACATCTGGCAGAAGCAGTGAAGTTTTAAAATCTTGTTAACTGCATTGACATGGAATGATTATTTGCGGATCGCATGGCTACATGATTTTAATTAAAACGCTGGAAAGCCTGTGTGACAGTGTTTGTAAACACATCTTAGATAACATACCGAACTATTATTGATTGTTTGATATGTTCAATAACAGCACGTACTGTAACAAAGTAAAGGCAATACGTATTACGTAACGTTATCGAACAGTTGTTGACAACTGTGTTCTGATGTGTTCATTATCAGGTCAATCATATCTATTTCTATTTGTACACTGAAATTTCGATGAAAGTTAAGAGATCATTTTTGAAAATGTTTACTAACGCATTTCATTCATTGACAGTTCACCTTGAATGATAAAAGACAAGTGCAAAGGAGAACTTAGAGATTGATCATAGCTACAATCCATTTTCGGTGCAAAGAATCGTAAGATAAGCTTATCAGACGACCTTGTACCTCATCATCTGGATTTTGACAAAGAAAACCTAATCTGCATCAATCACAATGTGAGTATTTTCGTCTTTTATCAATTAACAGATGTGCATATTCCAATGAAAAGATAACGAAACCTTTCTATCTTTTATTCGGACATTCCTACTTATTCTTTTTTGTATTCAATTCCTATATGCAAATATTCGTAACCCTCGAATGTAAAGATAAGTATCACATGTACGATATTGTAACTATTCGTCATAAAACTATACGTATTCGGTTGGGCATTGATTCAAGTGCATTTTTTTATTATTTGATAATAAGTGGGTATATGTTGAAAAAATGCCGAACTATATGACTAATAGATACCTTTTTCTCTTTCCTTGTACGATGTTAACGATAATTAATCGGGTTTTACAGGTAATATTTTCTTGCAATATAATTCAATGAAAAAAGTACGACGCAAGAGAGAAAAAAACAAACGGATAACTAAAAGTGATCCGAGTCCATCTCAATCTAAACTGGAAAGCAGACAAAATCACTATTTTCCACTTTCTCTTTGACTACGTGTCAAAGTTTTATCTTATTTTGCTCTCTATATTCTATATATATATGTATGTGAGGGTGTGTATATGTTCTCCTTCTGCTGCTGCCGAGAACGGTAGATAGTTATTCTTTCTTTTTTTCTCCTTTTCTTTTTCTTCATCTCTTTCTTTCGTGTGCACTTTTCAATATCACTACCAACTGGCCGACGATTCAACTGGTGTCGCGACCCATACTCTTCTCTTCTCCAGTTGCCAAGATATTCAACTTCACCTATTGTGTGTGTATGTGTTCAAATGAATAGATCGAACCTATCAAGTTAGTTCTAATGTTGCGCGTTGCAACGATTACTCGAACAAGTTCAGGCTACCATAGCCATCGAAGTGGCGAACAGGTAAATTCAAATTTCACTGCGCATATTTCATGCTTTGATTATATTGATTTATATACTTTAAAAGTTCGAATCTAATTGATTTAGTGTAAATACGTGTTATTTTTTTTCTATTTTCGAAGCACGAGATACACTCTTTTCGAGTATAAACGATAGAAAATGAAAAAGAAATAACGGCACATGATCTTGTTGCGACGTTCGTTAGTGTGCATGTATGTCGATACATACAGAATAATTTTCGAGTAGAGCGAACGAACGAAAACAAGCTCGCGACTCGCACCTGCAAGCTTAACCTTCATATTTTGTATTTAGAAATCAACATTCATAGGCATTCTTGTTAGTTGCAAGCGCGAAAACAACATCATGTAAGAAAGAAACATCTGCTTGGATAGAGACCAAAAAACATGAAAAACGAAAAAAAAAAACTTCAGAGAAGAACTTCTTTCCTTTCGTTTTGTTTTCTTCATTTTGATCGAAATAGTAGCCGTGAATGAGTATATATATATATGCACACCATATGTTTGGACTTTATTCATTTCTGTTCTTCTGATTATTATTATTATTATTATAGTTCCCGATTGAAGAAGCACGACATTGATCTACGCTGTTTTTCTTTATATTTGATTGTATGATTTTATTGTAGCACGTTACAAAAGCCAGAAAAAAGCGAATCGACATCCATTCATCCAACTGTTTCTCGTCTCATACATGAATGAACATACTCACGGATGACGATGATGATGGAAAAAAGAAGCCACCTGCCGTTGTCGCCGGTAGGCAAATCTCCCTGAGAAATGAGCACAACTACACTGATGATTAGAAATCAGCTTTTGTTTGCTTTCACACATCGACAAAAACAACCGATACAGATTCGAGGGCTTTCTTCTATTGTCTGGTGAATAACCAGATATTTGATTTATCTCGCAATGTATGGAAAGATAAATAAAATTACTATGTGAAGATATGTACACATGAGAATACATCAAAAAGTACACGTGATCCCTAGCTACGAGACGCGCTCATTGTGCATCGTATAGACTGTGAGGACGGAGGCAGAGAGAGAGAGAGGGAGAAAAAGACGGGAGCTTCGAACAGCTGAGTGATTTTATTTTCTCTTTCGTTCTTTCATATGTACGTCGCCTATGGCTGCGTTAAAAATGCATGTTGCTATTCGATCGCCGTCGTCGTCGCGTTTATGTTTTTTTCCTTCTTTGCCTCTGTTTCTCTCCCTCTATCCATCTTGCTCTTACTCTATCTATCATACAGTTAATACTATTAACAAACCTTATTTAGTTTCTGCTAATATCTGTCGTTATTATCGCGCGCTTATATCGACATTTTTGAGACGTACTTCGCAGCAAACAAGGGCGTTTCTCGTCTATAATCTACCAAAAACAGAAAAAAAAGGAAAGGTAGAAACAGAACAGAACTTTATTGATGAACATTTCTTAGCCTTGTTCTTGTTACTTACGTTATAATTGAAATTATATCGTAAAAACAATGAATCAGGAAAAGGAAGAAACGATTATTGTGGAAGAAGAGGTGAGCCCCATTTCAAGACATAATCACGAATGAATCTAACTCGACCTACCTATTTGAATAACGAAAAACTCACTCGTTTATCTGTCTTTTTAAGGGCAAAGATGGCGGTGGTGTTAGTGAAACGGCGAGTAGCGGTTCAAATAAACATCAAGCACATACTGATGATGACGATGACGACGACGGCGAACCTGTTTATATCGAGTCAAGTCCATGTTCTCGCTGGCAAAAACGACGTGAAACAGTAATCGATATATTTCTATTCATTGTATGAGATAAAGGTGCCAAACTTGTTTTCAAGGTTGCTCAACGTGACATTCCAGGTATCGATGCATCCTATTTAGCCATGGATACCGAAGAAGGTGTAGAAGTTGTTTGGAATGAAGTTTTATTTTCTGAAAGAAAGATTAGTGATAGTCAACATGTATGTCTCCATTCTTCGCTAAATTCTTCCTCGATTTTCACTTATTTAGAATAAAGTTAGTGAAGTCTTCGATAAATTAATCGAACTGAATCATATGAATATCGTGAAATTTCACGGCTATTGGCAAGATCGTGCCAAAGCAGATGATCGTCCCCGAGTAAGCTTTTGTTTATTTTTAGAGAAAAACAAATGCATATTTACTGCTATTGGTATGTATTAGGTTGTTTTTATTACGGAATACATGTCAAGTGGCTCGTTAAAAGCATTTTTACGTAAAACAAAGAAGACGAAACAAAGTTTATCGAAAAATTCCTGGAGACGATGGTGTATTCAATTATTATCTGCTTTAAAGTATGTTTAGAATACTAATATCAACATTCTATTTGCACATTGATGTATGTATATGTTTTTATTCGTCATTAGTTATTTACATTCATGTGAAGAACCAATTATTCATGGTAATTTAACCTGTGATACAATTTTTATACAGAATACCGGTCTTCTAAAGATTGGATCCAGTAAGTTTCGTTCGGTGATGGATTTTCTCTCGACATATTAACGTAGTTCGTAAATGTAAAGATAATCGTTGTATATATAGTACATTATCCTCAGCTGAAAGCATTTGCTGACATGAGCATCGGTAGGTTTCTAACGTTTGATGTTTATTACTGTTTTTCTATTTACATTTTTGCTTCGATTCTGTCTGCTCAGCTGTAACTAATTGATTCAAAAAAAAAGGTCGAAAGCCAAAACACTTCAACCAGTCTTTTTTTGCCGTGTGAATGATTGAATCGATCTGTTAAAACCGATTACATGTGTTCTTTTTTGCAATTTAGTCGCGCCGGATGTCCTACATCGACATGTGAAAAGTATCTCGGATTCATCGGCGAAGAATCTACATTTTCAAGCTCCAGAAATCGATGAAGGTTTGTTGTCGGAAAGAAGCGAATACATTTCGCATCGTATTTGATAATTGTAGAATTAAATCAGATTACGACAGCCGTTGATATTTATTCACTTGGCATGGTAACACTTGAGGTATTGTTTGTTTCTTTTCTTGTAAACGAATCATCACACGAGGGGAAGTTTGCTTGAGCTTGTTGTTTGCTTAGATGAATAATGAATAGCAGACATGGAAAAGGATGTTGCGAAACGTTATAATGGATATTTTCCATTATTTTGGATGAATAAGTCACTATTACATTGTATAATTTTGAGTGAGAAGAGAGCCTAGTGAGATTTTTCAAAATCGGATCGTTCGTTTGCTACTAATTATAGTTAAAGTCAACTCGACTCGTATGCGAGATGAATTTATGAAGGAAGGCGAAACCTACGCTTATTCGGACTGTCTGCATAACTACTAAAAAATTAATTATGTTAAATATGCGATAAACAGACATGGAAGAAGATATCAAATAATCCTGTTGTTATTCGAAATTGTCGGAAGATCGAATCTCTTTATATCTAGATGTGTAATCTTGAAATGGGCGGCAATGGTGATACGCATGCCATAACTGATGATATTGTGAATGAAGCGATTGCAAATTTGGATAATTCTGTGCAGAAGGTAGAAAAACAAACAAGGTTTTTTTTTAGAGAAATAAAATTTTCATTTGTATTTCTCATACATTAGGATCTCGTTTTAAAATGTCTTCAAACTGATCCTGTGAGACGACCGACAGCACGTGAATTACTCTTCCATCCAGCTCTGTTTGAAATTCCATCATTAAAACTTCTGTCCGTTCATTCGTTGGCAGATGATATTCGTATGTTTTCGCGAACTAACTTAGCATATTTATATGTGTCTTTCTCGCACAGGTTCGAAGCCAGATCGATCATTTGTTTCACCTTTTCATCATCTTTCATTATCGGATCAGATCTTTGCAGAATCTGAATCGGTTCGAGAAGGTGTCAAACCGGTTATCTTCACGTATGTATTTTTCCGTCCCTGAATATCTCGAATCTCCTTTCTTCGCTTTTAGTTACAAAGATTGTCCATCATTTGATCTCGATAAACTTCTCGAAGATGTTCAGAATGGCTTATATCCAATCACAGCCTACCATTTACTATTTCCGACAAATAGTACTCTAAATCTCCTAATAAAATCTCCTGTCTCAGATAAAACTATACCAACTTCCTCGTCATTATCATCATTTCAACCATCAACATTAATGAACACAGATAGCGATTCAACTACACCCATACAATCAATTACAGATCCATCGCAATTCCATTCGATTAATGCAAACGATTCTAATTCAAACGCCGCGTTCACGAATGGAGTCAAGTCACGAGCGACCACATCATCGTACGAACGAACAACGTCGACAACAAATGATGCAGATCATCATACAAATGATTCCTCAACGACACTTATGAATAGTAGCTCTTCTACAGCATCATTATCCAATAGTAATGAGAAAGAAAATCGAAGAATTATCGATATACAATGTAAAATAAAAACGAAAGAGACTCGATCATCTTTGGTAAACGGACGACTGATGATTTCTTATGAAATTCCATTTAATTTATCTCTAGTTATTCATCAGTGTGAAATTTCAAGATCGATTACAGCGTGATATGACGGCAGAAATCGAATCAGATGAAACGCCAAGTGGTATAGCAAAAGAACTCTTAGAACTCGGTTTAATTCATGAGGTAAGCTTTCCAACTACCCGTGTCCCATTGAAAACAATGGTTTTTTTTGGTCTTTTCAGAGTGACTATGCACGTGTTGAACAATCAATAGACAAAGCATTTAATGCCACAATTACATCTCCAGACGTTCTGAATGGCACCTCAACTTCGTTACTTGACGTGAAGAAAACAGCTGTTGTCGCTGCTACAGCTGCACTTATAACATCCCAAGCTCTACAAAATCAACTGAGTACATCATCTCCAACCAACGGTCCTCCTCTACTCGACGGAAACAATCTGTCGGCATGGTCAAATTCTCCGTCACAACCGGTTATGTTTTTACCGACTTAACTTTTTTCCTTGACTGTTTCCACACTTATGCATGTTATCTTGCAATCTCTTCTACATATGAATTTAAGTTCGAACATGTAGAAAATGGTGCTTGCGTTTTCGTATGCATATCTATATACATTTATGTATATTGACACAATGTAAACCTTGATGGTTTTCTGTTTTTGTGTACGCCAAACGATCTTAACTTTCTCTCTTATACATGGTTTACGTGTATGAACCTTCAATTTCCTTTTTTTTTTATATAATAATTTATTCATTATTATTAATAATATTTTCTGTTCCCTATGCCTTACTCTTTGCAAGATTGACTCTACCTGTTTTCTGGTTTCTTTCCTTCACAAGTCTTTCGTTGTCCCTACGTTTATCTTCGTGCGATGGTAATTATTTTTTTTTTGATTGATTCAATTTTTTTTCTTGTTCTTTCTGTATGCATGTAAGCGTCTGTAAGTGAGAGTGAAAGCTAGAAGTTGAAAAAGAAATGATATCGAAAATTTGGAAAACACAAAAAAACTAACCGTTCTATTCCTTCATCAGATATTCTAATGTACAACTGTTGCTTTTATCCATTTCCAATAGTGTTTTACAATGTTCTTCATGGATACGTATTTGTGGTCGGCATGTTTTAACAAGTTGATACGCGTCCATGAGTGACATGTTCGTCGAATGCATCAGATAGGCAATAGCTATGAACGGTGTTCGACTCATTCCAGCACGGCAATGAATCAGAACACGATTGGTTGACTTTTCATGACGAGTTTGGTCAATAAATTGAAGAATCAGGGGAAGATTTCGTTCACATTTGTGTTTAGACACACCATCCTCGATGTGAAATGTCCCATAAGTAAATTCCGACGGGTAGTGACATTTGCCAGCTAAGTTTACAATGTGTGTAATGTTGATTGAATGCAAACCAGCGAGATTTTTTGACGTTTGACTACTGCCAAGATAGAGGAAATTGTCAATCAGTTCAGAATATTCGAAAGATTTTATCGACAATTTCGATTGTTGTTGATGTGCCATGTGATTCGAAGATAGATAGAACACTAATAACTGATTTGCTGTTGTTATTCTTTCTTTTTGTATGACTAATGCAAAATTGCGTAAGTCTTATGCAATAATCACGGATTCAAGACATGTTTTAATGTTTTTTCCTGCTACAGTCCTTCAAAGCGTATGAACGTAGTTATTCTACAGGAAACTGTCTCGAAAGATTAAATTATTTTCTATTCGACCTTCTCGTGTCAAAAAGACGCACACATCGATTATATCTTTTTAATCTTACTTCATCACTCTAACATAACAAATTGGAAAATTTGTTTATACTTCACATAAATCGTTCGTTGACGATCATTCTTGATCATCAATTGTCTTTCCGTCTCATAGGAAAAAATAATTCGTCTTGAATTCAAGTCGGTCATAATGCATTAGTATAAAAGCATAGATCACATCAATGTGAAACTGTTCTCAACTCGGGAAGAATGTTTCCGATAATGCATCGAAAGAATTTACACCCGAAAGAAAACTGATGTCAATCTTTCTTTATTCTTCTTCTTCTTCGTGTACTCATGGCTGTCAAATAGGCAACACAACAAGAAAAAAGATAAAAAAAAAAGGAATTCCATAAGTACCATTCCCTTTTAGACAACGTCTCCGTTTGCCGTCATAATGAATGACATTATTGTCGAACTGAGCTCAAGTTTACAAGGGTAATTCCAGCGTGTGCATCCAAAGAATTACCATTACATCTAAGAATATTGCTTCTGCGTAAGTCAATCGTCGGTAGAATAAGAAAACTATCTCATCGTTTATTCATCATCCTTTTCTTACGAATATGCAAAGAGAAAAAAAAACGCGGCGAAGAATTTTCTCATTTGAAAGGTTGAAAAAGAAATCTCCAATATGGAAGATCGTTTGTTTTTTTTTTATTTTTATTTTTAAATATGTCTTTTCTTTGCAAGTAAACAATCTTGAAGCAATATCAGGTATTTTTTCCTCATTTCTTTCGTCTTTCTATTCAAACAGCAAAAAACTACTTGGTCTTCTACCTTTTGTCTTTACTACGGTTTCGCATCTAATCAAAATTAGTTCTCTACAAATTCCCTACCAAGATTAACTAATTCAAAATTCTGGTTCTAAGTCTATAATAAAACAATCGAGCCTTTGATGATTTCATAAATTTTGAAAGCTTAACTCTAATCTTTAACAATCAGATTTCAGTCGTTGATAGGTACAAGTTTAATCTTCTTATGTAATTGCGTTTCGAAGACAAAAATGTATTTTCTCCTCTACGAATCACATACGTTTTTAATATCAACACAGAGTGTAGAAATACATTAGTTATAATGCAACAAACACAGGTGATTCACTTTTTTTTATGGATGTCCTTCGTCTCTGCATTGGACGGTGTATAATTTGATTTGATTAATAAATTCGAGAGAAGAAAAAAAACGTACGAGCAGAAGAGTAAAGCATCATTCATACGACGACATATTCTTTCTCCTATGCTCGTTTGATGTGAAAATATTTTCTCCGCGTAGGAAGAAACTAACAGACATGTGTGTAGTAAAAGACACGGCTCATATACAGGTGTTTTTTGTTTCCCGAAGAAAAAATCTGTAGCGTTCGAATATAGTATGAAAATAATATTTGATTTTTATTCTAGCGTAGTTGGTTGTTCGCGTTTTTAGGAGTCATGCGCCGTATTTCACACCGATTGTTGTTATCGGCAATTGGTTTATCTGTAGGTTTTATTTTAATCGTCTTTGTGTTCAGTCATTCAAATGGTGGTGATGCTGCGTCTGAGGAAAGACCTCGTCAATCTGCCGCATGTAATTGTCCAGAAACATCAAAAACTAAATCAAATGTCGCAGGTTCATCGGTATTCATTCAAACTTCAATTTCAAACAAAACTGTGACATGTACAGAAGTCAAGAATACGTCAGCAGTCCAACGTGCAATCCTTATTTTTTATCCACATCACCAACGTGACTATTTCTTTCCAGAAGTCAGATGGTAAGCAATAGCACGCAAGAAATATCGACTGCGTTCGTACTTGGCCTGATTTTATGCTTCACTATTGACTTAAGATCAAGTAGCTCTTAAGAAGAAATTTGTCGTGTCTGAAATTTAAACTTTCAGCGTCTTGAATTCTACTATTCTTTCTAGGCTTTATCGTTCATGGGTTGAAATGTTGCGTACTCAACCACGAACGTGGCGAACGGATTTTGTGATATTCACATATAACTTTTCCTCAGAGTTTCGAAGTCTCGGTTGTGTGAATCGCATACGAACGAATAAAGACGAACCCTCGATATGCCGACTTTTTCTCTATGTACCTGTACAATATCGAACAGCACAACTGATAAAGGATAATTTTCAAACTGCATTCGATAATGCCAAAAGCGTTATGGCATCCTATAAAGATATGACAGATCCTTTTATTGGCGTTCCTATACCAACCGATGCGCAAACATTTGATGCACAACGTTCTGATTCTCTCTACAGAAATCTTCGATCGTATGGTTATGTTGATTCTATTAATACAATCTACGAAGGTTATTGGACTTTCAAAATGTATGATTTTATTCTACGAACAGATATCGGTAGGTAATTGGTTTCATATTATTTGTTAGAAATAGTCAAGATTCTGAAAAGTAGTCAGTGCTTGTCTGTAGTATTGAAAAACTTATTTTACGATAGAGACAAGTAAGTCGACGTAGATTAACAGAAGTTATATTTTGAAAAGGAAATACCAAAGATTGTTCGTAATTATGTGATACTTTAGATGTGTTTATTTATCGGCATTTTGCTAATTATATTCCACAAAATTGTTCGTTTATAACTGGTGGTGGTGGCTATGGAACAGATTTCAATCGCCGAAAATTAAAACGCATTTCTCGTGACATGGGTTTTGCTCATGCTGGCATCTCTGGCATGGGTTCCACTTGGTTCGTTCGAATTTCATTTTTAAATTAAACTCATAGGTTTCTTCATTTCTTTCTCTCTTTATAGGTATGGCTCGCCATATGATGGATATCTAGTAGCTAATCAAACTTTGAATGGTATGTTATGGTTAGCGCAATATGAATTTGCAACTCCGGAACGAGAATCGAAATTAGGAACGTTGATGTGGCCCGAATGGTACATAATTATGTTCAAAACTTGATTTTTCTGCATTTGAAATGTTCATTTAATTTTCAGGCATTACGGTGTGTTACTTCTCTACGGTCAGCATTTAGCATTGAATCACTTAGTTGCTACAAATGAAATTCGAATCATTATTGGTAACAATCTTCTCGATCAATCAACGACCGACAAGAGTAATTCATACATCCAGCAAGGTACACGTCTTAATTTACATTGTTGGCATACAAACGAACGTTTTTCTAAATTTGCTTTTAAACTCGGCCATTACAATCAAAGTGAACTGGAATTATATCGAAACGATATGACTGCCCAAGCATATGTAAGAAAAAAAGGAGATAGAGTTTCGCGATCATTTCTTGCTCTGCATTGTAGGCGATGCGAATGGCACTTGAATCGAAATATATGACACTTGAAGAAATGGCTGGATTACTTAAAAATGTATCTGTCTCATCGTAGCCTGACTTGGATCTCAAATGTTGACAATCCATTACAACAAATTATTGTTTTCAGTTGTGCTCGAAACATTCTTTTTATAAACTAATGATTCGATTTCTATTTTGTTAAATTTGTTTTTTTTTAATATCTCGGTTCGTTTCTTCTCTATTGAAAAATATCAGGTTAGACAACAAATTTCTTCCGTGCAGATAGCTAGACAATAGTTTTCATGTTGTAACTATCGCCCATTTAGAGATTTTCAAGTACCTCAAATAAGTATTACTATAGTCAATATTTATAATAGTTTCTGGCCAAAATTCTCATTGCATGCCAGTAATAACCTTTCATTCTCGTGCTATTTCCATTATTATCCTTACATATACGAAATAGCTTCTCTGGTTGTAAACACACATGATGTTGATCATCGTTAGCAAATAGAAAAACATTGACAGATCGTTTTGGATTTGATTGATTCTCTTCCGTAACATTAACATATTTGATGACTTCAAAAGAAGTCGTCAGTTTCAGTCGTTCGTCATTGTTGATTAATGAATGAGGGTGCAGTAATAGCTTCATCTATTGAAGTTTCATTGAATAACTGTTGGTTATGTTAGCATTATTCACGTTATGTTTATATAACATATAAAACAAGCAAAAATCAGAGAATAAACTGTCATTTGTCTTTCCCTAAGATGTTCTTGTCTATTGCAGACATAAAGGTTAAGATCTACTGCGTACACATATTAATAAACGGAAATGAATGTTTGCTCTATAAATACGATGAACAGCACACTTCAAGGTAGACATTTATATTTCTCGTGTCATTTACAATGTCATAACATTGAATAAAACATTGTCGTGCAAGTTATACGCTAGTTTATACTGTGTTCAAGCACAGATATCTATTAACCATGTTCATGTCCATAGAAAATAGTCGTCTTGAAGTGAACTCATGATTATGATTATGTAAGTCGAACAGATCGTTTTATCAGAATCAATTAAACGAAGTTGTTATTTTTAGTCAGTCGACCGTACTTCTAATCCAGCAGTATGAATGCATCGCTGATGAAGCAAATCAATGGTAAAATGATATCTTCTGATGAAATCTTTTTCTCTCCGTCTTCTCCAATAAAAGAGCCATTGTCTTTCGATGTTATTTGATATTGTACATTACTGTTCGTTAATCTTACAGAAAATGACGCACACGACAGTGAAACTTTGATGCACATCTATTATAAACGTGAAAATGTGTAAGCGGAACTCATTGAGACGATAAATCGCATGTTATGAATGTTTGAATTGACGAAACTTGATGCAAGTAAGATTTCCTTTCGTATTCAATGATGATATGAGCGGGCAAATAAAAAACATGAGTAGTTTTACTGCGTGAAGTTTTGTTATCAGTTACAGAAACGAATAGAAAAGACAAAAGTTGACTTCTCTTTTCTCTTATCTCAGGTGCGTCATCCAACGATCGCAATAAGCATTCGGTCGTCTGACACTAACACTTACGGTAAATTTTTTCAACTTTCATTCGTATCACTTTTAATCCACGACTATGATTCAAAGAAAAGGCGCATTGAACTATAAAACAGGCTCCTACATCCCAATAGATTCATCAATAGTTCTGTTAAAAGAATACTGAATTATTTGGTTAATTAGACATTTAAACAAGCAAGAGTAGCTCGATTAACATGTATAAATATTTTAGTAAGAAGAAAGCATTGTTAGAAAGGTTTTAGTATAATTATTTCGATAATGGATCCATCCATTGCAACACAGCAAGGTTTGAAAAGATAAGATTGCAGTCAATCCGTACTAATGATGGTACCAGGTACGCGTTTTAATATGATACAGTGTAAGAAGAGACTTTAGATTTCGATATGTCCAGTATTTGTCGATAAAACGCGAGGAAGGAATTTAGTGCGTGAAATCTTTTTGAAGGAGAATCAGTCGGAAGAAATGTCGGTTTCGTGGGGAGGAAACGTGCTATTTTTTGCTTAAATATATATGTAATGTCTTTAACGTTGTACGTGACTTTCGAATAGTTCATAATCATCGTTATTATCTTTCCTGAGACGATGAATTCTCTTTCAATCAATGCATTAGACTTAACTGTTAGTTTTGAGAATGAGTAGAGCCGCAAGTAGCTGCTTTTTACAGCGTTTTTTTCTCGACTAAGAAAATCCGGAGTAATGGATATTTGATACGCCTCGTATTTCCAAGAGAAAAAATTGAAAAAAGGATTGTAAACTTACTGAGTATTATACCAACATTTGGTAAAGACTGATAAATATTTTTCGTGAGAAATAAATCGTTATTTTGCATTCTTCTTTCTGTACTGACGCAAATGTTTTTAGCTTCGGATGAATTTATGCCGTCATTACATGTTCCTCGTTGTAAAAATCGTAAACTGACCATTATTTGTTTGATTGTAATTATCCTTCTTGGTACTAGTCTGACATATCAATCATTTATCCGTTATTTTGACAGTATAAAACAAGTAAGATAATTAAATGTTCGAGCATCATTTCCAGTTTTCGTTTTTGTTTTATGTTAGTCACGTATTTATCTCGAAGAAAAACCATTGAAAGGCAATTCTACTTCTATACAACGAGCTATTCTAATTTTCTATCCGTCAACACAAGAATCACATTATCTGCCTGAAGTACGATGGTTATATCGATCATGGCTTGAAATGATGAAAGTCGAATCAAAAGAATGGCGAACGGATTTCATCATCTATACTGAATATTACTCTTCATCATTACAACAACTTGGATGTGTTCTCAACGAAGTACGTATGGATGATACTGAACCACCGCAATGTCGAGTATTTCCTTATCTTCGTATATCCAATCGTACGATCAATTCCATAACTCAGCGGCAAACTGTTTTTGCCAGCTCCGGCAAAAGTGAATTTTTTCAAATCAATACTGCACGTTCGATCGAATTGTATCGTGAAATGCAAAAGTATGGATATATTGATTCAGTAAATATTATCGCTGAAGCCTATCCAACATTTCAATACTATGATTTTATTCTAAAAACCGACATCGATGTATTCATAACAAAACAGTTTGCTAAATATACACCCGTGACAAAAAACACGTTTCTCGTTGGCCTAGGTGGTTACTCAACACAATTCAATACTCGCCGTCTAGGACGTGTCGCTCGAGATATGAACTGGCATCATCCAAACATAACTAATATTGGTTCGACTTGGTAAAGAATATTTTCATTTGCTGAAAACATGTAATCGCATCATCTTCGTGTTTTTCAAGGTACGGGCCACCATACATTGCACAACGTATAGCGAACTTCACATTAGACGCTATGCTACATTTGTATATATACGAATTTACTAAAGCCGAACATGAACAAAAAGTGGGAACAATCTTATGGCCTGATTGGCACTACGGTGTGCTAAGCATGTATGGTACACATTTAGCTGTCAATCATTTATTTGTTTCTGACAAATTTGACATAAAAAAAGCAGATCAATTACTGGATCAATCAACAACAAACAAAGATCCATTTGATTTACAGAAAAACAATCGTTTACATTTACATTGTTGGCATACGGAACAGCCATTTTCTAAGTTTGCATTCAAAGATGGACGATACAACAAGATTCATCCGCGTACACTTTACAATGATACTTCCGCACAAGCTTATGTAATATAAGACTCCCAATCGATATTTTCTGAAAATAACTCATATTCAATTTGATTTTAGGCCATGCGAATGGCATTAGAATCACGGTTAATGACAGTCAACGAACTTGGACAACGCTTACATGATATCGGTGATGACAAAATCGCGCAAATCAAGCTTTAGATGTCTATTTTGTACACGTATTTTATTTCAGTATTTCTGCATGTTTTCTACTATCCGGTGGTGCTTACGCATCGAAGAACTGTTTCATAGGACAATTTTTTTAAAGTGAATCGTGATCGACTACTCGACTGTAACTTTATTTCGGGTTTCTTCAAAAATAGTAGTATGATAATCTACGGTTTATAGTGATTCAGCTCGTTTATAACACAAACAATCGATATCTACATCGATTTCTCATTGATGATATTGCTTGTCAATGTATAGGCTCTAGCGAATAATACAACGATATGTAACGCATGCTTTCATATAATGACGTCAGCTCAGATAAAGAATACGAATGCATACAAGAACTAAATGCCAACTTTGAATAATTGTCGACAAAGTCTACGACCAGGTAAATGATATATCCAACTAACAGCAGGTTTCACGTCAATTGTTCGACGGTTACAACTATTATTATTTTTCTCTAGTCACGCATTGCACGTAGGGTCTTTCGAAGCTTTTGTGCTCCTACTTACTGGCTGGTAACAGATGTCAATGTGTCATTATGGTTACTAAATGATGTATTGTGTAAAAGTACGTCCTCCGTTCTCATTTGTGTATTTACCCTTTCGAATTTCTATGTTTGAATTTTTTTCTTATGGCAATGCTTCTTAAAAAACGTGGTTTCTCTGTATTAATCTTATCTTTATTCGCTATAATCACTACAGCTCTGCTTCGACAACGAAATATTTGGAATTTCGTCGATGCATCAATTGTCTATTCTGTGACAAAACGAGTGAATCTATTACTTCTAAATCACGCTGACGTACGAATCCATCAACCAATATCGTCAACGATCACACGCGGTGTGTTGATTTTCTATCCTCACAATAACGAAATAATTTTTCGACCCGAACTACTATGGCTTTATCACTCGTGGGTGGAAATGATGAATTACGAACCGACGCCGTGGCGAACGGATTTAATTATTTACACAGAAGTTTATACAGTCACGCTCAAGGAACTTGGATGTGTGTTGAATCGCGTCCGAACGGATAAAAATGAAACACCACAGTGCCGAGTATTTCTTTATCAACGAATAAGCTCAAGACGAGTTCAAGATCTCTACAAAAAAGTTAACAGTCCACCATACCAACAAATAAATGTCCGACGCTCAATACTACTAAGTCACAATCTTGCCACATATTGGTACATCGACTCCATTAATTCTATTGATGAGTGTTATCCAACATACTCTATGTATGATTATATCTTGCGTACGGATTCGGACACTTTTCTTACGAAAAATTTCGGTAATTTTACTCCATACAACGATACGATGCTGATTGGTCAAGGTGGCTATTCGACAACATTCACTGAGAATCGATTGAGGCGCATCGCACAAAATATGAATTGGCTTTATGCAAACGTGAGCAATCTTGGGTCAACTTGGTATGCTATACTCAATTCTACATGAGACTAGAAAGGACTAATAAACATTCATTGGTTTTATAGGTATGGTCCGCCACATATAGCTCAAAAGATTGCCAATCGTAGCATGGATGCTATATTATATCTTGCGATAAATGAGTTCACTCCAGCAGAACGGCAAGGCAAAGTGGGCGTCGCAGTAAGTGTATTCTTTCGTATCCTTCGAACAGTATTATCGATGTGATTGGAAACTATAGCTCTGGCCCGATTGGCATTACGGTGTTCTTCTTCTGTATGGCTGCGACTTGGCCATAAACCATTTAGTCGCGAGCGAAAGTATCAGTATTAGATTAGCGCAAAGTTTGTTAGATCAAAGTACAACAAATAGAGATCGAAATGATATAGCGAAAAATAACCGCTTGCATTTACACTGTTGGCACACAAATGATATATTTTCGAAATTTCAATTCAAAGCAGGGAACTACAATCATATTCAATCGCATACATTGATAAATGATACATCGCCAGCTGGTTTTGTAAGTGAAGTAAATGTGTTAAATTCTCTTCGTAACCGTTTGATCTTTGATTTTAGGCATTGCGAATAGCATTAGAATCACGTTTAATGTCATTGACGAAACTGAAACAAACACTTCAACGAGCGAAAAATTCGTCTAATGTCTAATTCTTATTTATTTTCTGTTATTATTCGGTAGAAATAAAAATAAAGTTCTGAAAAATTTCTATTCGAACGATTACTGTTCTGTTCACCGATGTTCACTGACATCTATTGAGATATTTACAAGCAACTTGATTTTCTTCTTCTCATTCTAGTTGATTTTTCGTAGCGTATCAAATTGATCTATGAAAAGAAACTTGACATGGCGTAATTGTTTAAAATTTGTACTTTTGTTTTTCTTTAAAAAGAAATTGGCCATTGTATCTCGCTCAATATCTTCTTTCAGATAAACTCGATTGACGAAATATGGATAAACTCATCAAAGACAATCCTTTTCAAATAGTTTATAGATAAAACTATTCGTGTCTCTTCTATCTTCACTCCCATTCCTTCCATAATGACTAGTCGTGAAGGATTAAGTCGAACACGTTTGCGGCAAACAACACCCGCTGCTGACCAGGTGTTAACACCGTTAGGCCGCGCTCCAACTGCACTTCAATCGGTTCCAGCTCCCACGCCCATCATTCCCATATCTTCGACATCGGTCACCACAACAGTCGTTCAGAATTCTGGCAACGCTCGTCAACGTCGAAATGTTACGAACAACAACACGAACAGCAGTAATAACAATAATAATAATAATAACATTGAACTAGATTCGGGTTCGATTGTTGATGTTGTTATATTTGATACATCTACACCAACGCCGCCTGTGCTAACATTCGATGCCGAACAATTTCGTTCAGACATAAAAGCCAACGGACATGATGAGAAACGTCTAGAACAATTAATACTCAATGCGATTAACTATTTCATAACAACATCCAAACGTTCAACACAACAACAACTCGCCGACTATACTGTCTTAACATTTCTGGCTTGGACTGCATCGTTACATGGAGAAATATTTCGACTTTCATCGATTTCAAAAGCTATGTGTAACCTTTTGAAAGGATCTTTGATCACAAAAACAATGAAAGCGTTTCCAACAGTTAACAATGGTAATAGTGTTGGAACAACGACGACGACCACAACACCCTATACACTGATTTGTCAAATACTTTGGCTGGCGTTTAAAGTAAGGAAACAGTGATGTCGTATTTATCTTGGAATGAATTTTTTAGGATCAAACTAATTGGCCAGACGAATTCATCGAAGCCTATATGGAAGATGCATTAGGTGATCAGAATTGGATAAAAAATGCGGACTGTCAATTGTTTGTATCCAATATTGAAACATCTTTTCACACACGTCCATCGACATGGAAACTAGATCGATCCAAAATCTTTCCAGTGGCTCCTTTTTCCTCATCCGTATCAACTCTCAACACCAATGTACCAATCTCCTCAACTCTAAACGATGAAACCAGTAATGATAGTAATACCAATAACGAATCGTTAACCGTCACAGAATCAGAATCATCATTAAATGCAATTGACGATTCCATGGTGATTAACAATAACACAATGAATAACAACAGTACCGATAATCAATTGATTGTTCCACGTTACGAAGGACGTCTGCAAGCTATTCAAAATCTTCTCCAAACCTTGTTAGCCACTCATGAAAAGCAGAAAGCAACAACTGGTAGTTCAACCACACTCAATCCAACAAATACGTCAACGACATCATCATCAAGTACTAGTCAACCACATGAAACAGATAAACTACTCTCCCTACTTGAACATCTATGTGGTTTACCTGAAATTCGCTTATATATTCTATCTCATCTGGGTGTTTGGTTGCAAAATCCCAAACTAAGCCGTACGGCTGAGCGACTAATGATGACTCTATGCGAAAATCTCACCAAGCCTCCCTCAATTAATGGTACCACATTAACCAACGGTCATGTAAATAACAATGATACAGCCTATATAGATGAACGCGCTATTGAACAATTAGTCAATTTACGTTTTAAAGTACGTGCATCAGGTGTAACCAGCAAAATGCATATCTTATGCGTGCGTGAGATGTTGAAAAACGATGTTAATCTTGTTGATATTATTGTTCGTTTTATTATTCATAATGAATTACAACAAGCTTCATCACCGTCGTCAACGATAGTCACAAGCAAAAATCCGAATAATATACTGTTACTTCATGCTTGCTGTCAGTCTCAACCTGAACATACGTGTCAATCATTAGCTTATACTATACAGAATGTTCTTTTACAGACAAATGTGACAACAGCGGCGAAAGATTATGAAAATTTGTTGAAGTTAATTCGACCGTTCTTACGTGAATTGATGCGCTATGCGAAGAACGATTTCGATCCGATGAAATTTTGTATGTATCTAATCGATATGCATTATTCCGCGTCTCTACAACAACAGTTTTGGATTATGGTTCATCAGCCGGTAAGAACAAGTCTCTCTCGAATTGAAAATCTCCAATATCTCATTTAGGATCCACCCGCCAATGATATAACTTCTCATCGTCTATTGAATCGTCTGCTCAAATGTGACATGTCCACTCGCGAACGGTTTCTCTACGCTATAAGTGATCTCATACCAATGATGATACTTGCCTCAGCGCAAGCATTCAATTCTCAAAATACACCTACGAATGCTAATGTTCTTAAAACGCGTTCATCACCAGCGATAAACTATGAACAATGGTTACTATTTATTCAACGGATATCCTATATCCAATGCAGTTCATGTCTATTTTTTCTTTTTACTCTACCACGTTTATTCGATTTAGCCCCAACGATACAACCAACTAATTACGTTGCTTGTCTATACAGTGTTCTCTTCACCAATTCAGCAAATTCATATTTACGCTATGAAAATTGGCCGCCTGAAGAACCATTGGGTTTTCGTACTGAGCTCTTTCGTCTATCATCCGATGTACCATTACTTGGCGAAACTTTATATTTATTGGTACAAATCGGTTTAACTCCACAATTCCGTATTGCCTCATCAACAATCATCGAGTTAACCGATCTAATTATTCGGCGGACATTACTTGTCGAACAGAAAATGTCGAATGATTATACATCGATCTATCTACATTTACCCGAGAATCAATGCGAAATTTTCTTAACGAAATTTTTTGATCTAACACGTTATCACATTCCTATGCAATTTGCATTTCCTCCAAATTATCAACGACCGCAAAATCTGGCAATCACTGAAATCTTTTGGAAAGCATGTTTGATATGTTTGCTCTTAGCATCACATGATCCTCAAACCTTCGGTCGGTATATCTGGTTATACAAACCGCAAATACGTTTATTTATGGAAATGTTATTAACAGGTGATTACACCTATCCACCAAAATCAATGATTGAGACAAAGAATTTCTTAGAGCAATTCTATCATACCGAACGCGAAAGACTACGCGAAGAGAAAGATCTGATATTAGGCTTAGAAAAACATTTAGCAGCACCGAAGACTATCGATGAAACGAATAGTCAATTATTGGGCAAAGTCATTGTCTTAGATTTAAACCAAATCAAACGACCGATCGGACAGGATAAAAATGAGAAAGCCTTCTACAACTTAATACAAGGTATCAATAATCAATACAAGCTATCGTCGATGTTATGTCGTTGTCGTTCGCCAGATTTCATTCTGGATATTTTGAATCGAAAAGAGCAGCAAGGTAAAGGACGATTAGATAGTCAAACATCGTGGTTAACAAGTCTGATCGACTCGAACATTGATTGTCTGAATGTTTTTCCAATCATTTGTCTCTGTGATTATTTTCAACATATGATTATGATTTATAAGAATCCCAATATTCGAAACATACCATCGAAGAAAACCTTGAATGCATTAGACACGATTCTAGTTCGATTTAAATCAATTATTCAAACTGTCAAAGAACAAATTCAAGCAAATAAACAAGTAAGAAACACGAATCACCTAAAATGTGTGACATTGAACTTTTCGAATACATTCATGTTTTCTTTTTTCTGTAGAAAACTTCGCCTCAGATCGATGATATGGCCTGTATATTCAGTTATTTTCTCAATTGTTTGAATTCTAATATTTCTACGATGCGTTCCAACGCTTGGCTTTGTTTACATATTATTTTAAACGATCATCCACAAATGTCAAATATCGAAGCACTTCTATCCCGATCCGAGTCGATTTCCGAGCCTAATATTGAATTAATTCTCACCCGTTTAGCCCAATATAAATCTCTAGAACAAATTCAATCATTAATCAAACAAACTTTATCCGAAACATGTCATTTCGAAACAAATATCAAAGTTCTTCACTACTCAATTCTATTTATCATCGATCATTGTCAAATTGAATCCACAAACGACCTTCTACTATTATCCAACTTAGCACAAGCGTTGAATCGTCGACATTCGATCCTTTATCTTCTCATACAGTTTGATAAACAATATAAACTAATCGAAAAGTTCTTTCATCTCATGGTGCAATTGTTAATCAAAAAAGTTCAATTCGCTCTTCACCATCCTATTCATATTGAATCAACTGGTGGCAGTCCGGATGAGCAAATTCCAGCACATGTTCGAGCATATTTAGTTTTACCAAACTTTAACGATGAACAGATTCGGATATTTAAACAACTCCACAAATCATTGAACATTAAAGACGATTTGAAGTGGACAAATCAGAAGGATAAACAATATATCGAGATTGATTCGAAGTTAGTCGAACTGTTATTGATTTTCTTAGCATATTTTGATTTCAACGATCAACAATTGAAACATTTACATGAATTCGCTAGTTTAATTCAGGAATTCTTTCTTAATACCAGTTCGACACCATATTTTTCCACGATTAAGCAAATCAGCCGACCAATACCCGTGAAACAAAATCAAGAAGAGGTAAGCAAGTGTTTCATTTCTCACTTTCAACTCTTCTTCCGCCCTTTTAGAAGCCAACTACCGATGATAGTTCCGAACATTTCAAACAATTCGCTATCGAAGATGCCGATCAACGGGAGAATTCGCGCAAACGACGCTTATCTCATGCAACTACTTCCGAGAAAGTTTTTCTTTCGTCATCGACCAATTCCACCTACCATCTCGTACCGATCAATGGTGAAACTAAACAATCGTTGTTCCTTGCAGACGATTTACAATATTTCATCTTCAAATCCAAGAATTTTCCATTGGTTAAGCAATGCATCGATCAAGCATCTTTATTATCCTGTTTCAAAATGCTGAAAATCTCGGCTGTCTCTCGTGAAAATATGAAGTATTTATGTGAACATGTTAATGGACTGATTGACTCGCCTGAAAAATCAATTCAGACGTACATCAAACACTCGTCTTCTGTTTTACCGTTAATAAATCGTTGGATCATAGAAGAATTACCTGAAGCAGTCGAATTGGCAGAAAAACTGAAAAAACTCGTGGAAAAAAAGAAAAAATCTCATTGGTAAGTCGACTTTTTCTCGTAAATCATCCCACACTCCCTCACTTCTAGTACTGCACAAAATTCCACCCAACAGAATAACTTAATTCCGACAACATCACGTAGTTCTTCATCGATATCCGATCAACTTCAATCATTTGACCTTCGTATAAACAAACTATGTGAAAAACTTTCGACAAGTCAACTTTCCACTGACAGCCAAATGGATACGTCGGACGCAACGATCGCACTTCCATGGAAAAATTTAAATGAATGCGAAGTGTTACTTCGATGTCTCGTGAAGAAAACTCTCGATCCAATCAAACGTCGACAATTGCTCATTCAATTGCAATGGTTGACAACGAACTCGTCAGAATATCATTCGCAAATCTTTCAAACTATGTTAAAATGTTGTCAATCAGCCACTAAAGATGCGTTTCTGATGAATTTTACCGAACAATACAATACGTCCTTGGTACTCTTGGATATCTTAATGAGAAATAAATCGATAAATGATGAACAGATAAAATTGATTCAGATATTCGATGCATCGAATATTCCCGATCAAAATCTTATTCGAATGAAAATCAATGAATTCAAACGCATTATGGAGCAAAATGAACATTTGAAAACACCAGTTAAAACAGCAAGCACTAATTTAACCGTTAATAACCTACTAGACATCCTTAGCTGTGATCATTCCATAAGTGATTCGAGAATCGAACGACAATTTTATAGATATTTGAAATCTAATGTTCAATATGAAGATGAATGTAAACGTACGTTAATCAATGTGCTTATACAAGCGGAATATAAACTATCCGAGCCGACGATTGGAATGATTTTAGATCAATTAGAAAAAATGGATTATAAATCATCAAAGTTTGTTTTTTGAATTTGAAAGTTTCACTACGACATTGCTGCTGTTGTTTTTTCTTTTGTAGATCATCGAATATCTATGCTAATCGTCTTCTCTTCTCTCAAAGAACCCAATCATCGACATCTCAGCGTTTGTTATTAAAACAATTTCTTCATTCTTGCGATTGGCCAATCATACTCACTTGCATCTCCGATCTTTTAACGCTCTCATCTTCATCCACATCTACTACATCGAATGAACCGATACGAACGTCTCATCGTAACCAACGCCTAGTATCGACATGCTCATTAAAACAATCGCGTTTTTCTCTATTGAACAACCGGGACAGTACATTAATTCTTGACATGCTAGAATCATTTATAAAACTGTCTCCGTTATGGTCCGGACGAGAATTTAAAATGTTGGACCGTTGTCATGATGAATTATTGATCGATTTGAATGAAGAACATATCTATACATTGATTATTTGCATCCTTGATGAAGGTGATCGCTGTTCGGAGAATCTCTATGATCAATATCAAAAACGTTATGAAACAATCGTGTACTACTTGATTAGAACATCGGAAAAGAAAATTTTGTTTCAACAATGTTTACAGAAGATTTTTATCGACTCGGATGTTCACCATTGGTTGAAAGATCTCCTTCCATCGTTCTATTTTATTCTCTATATCAATCAAGCAGATTTGTTCACAGACAACTTTTATTTGATTTTACCAAATCTATTCACCCAAATCAAACAACAATCGAAACAATTGAATTTCATCAATACAAACTATGATTATATCATCCATGATCTGTTGATACGGTTGAACAGTTACGATTTGAATTCCATTGAGAATTTCTACGAAATTAATTTGCTATTGAAATATTACGTTTCGAAACATCCGTTCTTGTTTCTTCGACATTTGAATATGATCAAACTAGATCTACAATCGCGATTGTCAACATTAACATCCGAGGAATTCAGCCGAAGAAATTCCAAACATCGAACGTTTTTTCTTTCGTTATTCGATTTGATCTTTCGCTTAAAACCTTACATTTACGATCATATCTACGAAGAGGATTTACAAGCAATCATCGACGTTTATGTACGTTTACTACTAGTCCATTTGTCAGCATTGAATACATGTTCAAAACAGAACATTCTCTCGTCGAATTATCTGAAAGATATCCTTTACCTAATTGGCGGAATATTAGAACTGATCTATGATTATTTGTATTCAACAATTAACAATCCACAACATTATAGTCTGTTTCGAACATATAATACGAAGTTCTGGGAAAAGATTCAAGAGAAGATTCAAATGAATAAAGATTTATATCAAGTGTTAGCGTCTAACAAGCAGAATCGAACGCTATATCATTTAACACAATTGAAAGTACTCTACGAAGCTATACGAAGTGATGATCTAACAGGTAAATGACTTGCAGGAAACAAAATCGAATTTCTCTAATGCTCGCTTTCTTTAGATTTACCAGCAAGCGAACGAATTCCATTTGATTTTCGTCTTTGTTCGATCAGTCGATCTTCAATCGATTCGAATCAACGTCAAAAATCGCTTGATATTCAACAATATCGTATGAAATTGTCACTTCCAATCGATGAGTCGACGTCGTCAGTGATCATCGATGATATCCTATTAACATTAAATGAATTAAAATCACATGTCGATCATTATTTAACAAATGATCATATCGAAATACTTTTAGATTCATTAACAACTTATCTTCTCAATGGTAACAAACAACTAATCGAACGAACCTATGAATTCATTTTTAAATACATGGAAAAATATCCTCAATATTCACTAATATTCTATTCAACGTATATGAAGTGTCTTTTATCGACGAATTCCATCGTATTTCAAATCGCACTGGAACATTTTTCACATTTTATGATTTATTTTCAATCAAAAGCAACAGAACTTTTCCACATCCTTTTGAAACAAGGCCTCATGAATAAAATCGACGTGACAACATCGATTACACAAGCGATACGTTTGCTTACTCTCCATCGCTACGATCCTGTTACCTATACAAATATATCCTCAACAATGCCGTCAACAACAGCAATAACGACGACGACAACAACAACAACTGTTACAACCACCAATGAATGATGTTTATCCATGTGTTTCTCCCTAAAGTCTTTCTTCTTGTTCAATATCGGTTAGCTTAAAAAGAAAGTTTCTATATTTTCGCTTTCTGTATATGTGTGTGCGTGTGTATATATATATGTGTGTATGTCTATGTGTATGTGCCCATTGAAATAAAACAGAATTGAGCTAAGTAACATGTAGCATGGGCTTTTTCTTTGTTTTCTTTTTTTGCTGATGTTTGAGAAATTCTTATTCTAGATGTATTCGAACATTGGAGATGAAGGAAAAATTGAATGGAATAAAAAGAACGCTGACAGATTATTGACATAATTTAAATATCGATGATTTCAAGTGTGTCATTCTATTTTATTGCAGATATGTCTTCAAGTTCATCTTCGGCGACAAGTTCTAGTAAATCTGATAGCAAAGCAGTCTTTGTAGATGCTGAAGTGAGTTCGCCTCTTTGTAATAGGTCTTGTTTAGTTGATATTTTCAGATCGACGCATTCCAAGGTCTTGATGTCTCACGTTTATCATCAGAAGATATCATTGCTCGAACCCGTCTGTTAGACAATGAAATCAAAGTTTGTATTTGAGTACGAATTGAACACAACCGAATGGCAATGATTGATTTAGATCATGAAGAATGATATTGTTCGGATATCTCACGAAACGCAATCAACACGGGATAGAATTAAGGATAACAAAGAAAAGATTAAAGTGAATAAAACTTTACCTTATCTTGTATCCAATGTCATTGAGGTAGAAAGTGAATTTGACAGATATTGTTTTTGTGATAAATTTGACAATTTAGTTATTCGATCTTGATCCACAAGGCGAGGAAGATGAAGGTGCAAATATCGATCTCGATGCTCAACGTCAAGGAAAATGTGCTGTGATTAAAACATCAACACGTCAAGTAAACTTTCACGAGATATGCACCAACGGACTGTTGGAGACACTGAGCTTTATTTTAGACTTACTTTTTACCAGTTATTGGTTTAGTTGAACCGGAAGAAATGAAACCGGCTGATTTAGTTGTAAGTGTTGGTTAGATCGATGAGAATCGAAAAATCTTATGTCTGTTAAATCACCTAGGGTGTGAATAAAGATTCGTACTTAGTCTTAGAAAAACTGCCTGTTGAATATGATTCACGTGTCAAAGCGATGGAAGTTGACGAAAGACCAACGGAACAGTATGGTGATATTGGTGGTTTGGATAAACAAATTCAAGAATTAATCGAAGCTGTTGTTCTACCAATGACGCATAAAGATCGTTTCTTGTCGCTCGGTATTCAACCGCCGAAAGGTGTTCTACTCTATGGTCCACCCGGCACGGGCAAAACTTTATTAGCTCGTGCTTGTGCTGCACAAACGAAATCAGCATTTCTAAAACTAGCTGGTCCTCAACTCGTTCAAATGTTTATCGGTAATTATCACAAAACGAATGTCGATGATAAAATTCGCGTGCTTTTTAGGTGACGGCGCAAAATTAGTTCGAGACGCTTTTGCATTAGCAAAGGAGAAAGCACCAGCAATTATTTTTATCGATGAATTAGATGCTATTGGCACGAAACGTTTCGATAGCGAAAAAGCAGGTGATCGAGAAGTACAAAGAACTATGCTTGAACTGCTTAATCAACTCGATGGATTTCAACCAAATCATGACATTAAGTAAAACATTTCACTAACATCAGTTAGATAACCAATTCGATCCTTTGTTTTACTAGAGTCATTGCTGCAACAAATCGTGTGGATATACTCGATCCAGCTTTACTACGTTCCGGACGACTTGATCGAAAGATTGAATTTCCTCATCCAAATGAAACAGTAATACCAGTTATTCGTAGAAGACAACAGAACTTTCCATTGACTTTTAGGCACGTGCACGTATCATGCAAATCCATAGTCGTAAAATGAACACAAACAAAGATGTTAACTTCGAGGAATTGGCTCGATGTACAGATGATTTCAATGGTGCACAATGTAAAGCTGTTTGTGTTGAAGCTGTACGTTGAATGCTCGAATGCTAGTCGTCTAAAAGAAAAGGCATTGCGTCTTCTTTTTGCTTTAGGGTATGATTGCTTTACGTCGAGGTGCAATTGAAGTTCAGCATGAAGATTTTATGGATGCCATTCTCGAAGTTCAAGCGAAGAAGAAAATGAATTTGAATTATTATGCTTGATATAATCAAGATCGTTTCTTTTATAGTGAATTCAATCCTGCGTTTGTGTTATTCTATTTTCATTTTCTCCTTTTAAAACAGAAACAATAAAAAAACCCTATAGCTACTCAGATTCGAATTCATATCATCTCTCAATTAACTTCACTACCATTATTCGATGAAAGAAGTTGTTCAAACAACCACGATTGCCAAGATTCTCGCCGTTTGACGTGCGTCACGACTGGTACTGCTGCTGATATATTTTCTTGAATTGGAAGAGCGTATGCGGTTAAATTATACAGAGCTGCACTACTAATGTTTGTATTGTTATTCGGACCAAAATATTCTACACGAATGAATATCAGTCGATTTACTTTGAAACGAGGATTATCTTTTTGACTTACTATAATGAGCGAGATTTCCAACACCGATGCCGACCCCAGCGCCTATTGTCAAAACTGCTAATGTACTGAGAAAAACTATTCCAAATCGACGTGTTGCTGCATCACTTGAAACAATAACATCATAGTTTATTCATCATCTTATTTGTCTTTTAACATACCCTTGAATCGAAGTATGAGGAATCGATGATGTGGCTATAAATGGCGTTTGAGTAGTTTGCATAGTGATTAATTTTCAATGGAAGTTAGTCGTTTATTTAAATAGAAAAGCGTACAAGTTATGATTATAAGCAACAAGCATCCTTATTCAAGATATTCTTGTTTACTTTTCCTTCGCATTCAATGACAAAACACCATTCTAAAGTCACGCATCATAGACCAAAACGAAACGATTACCTCTATTTTGATTTGTTAATTTGTCTCCTATCTTGAAGAGCACATCAACTAAAACAGAACCTATTTTTCACATAAATCATTCAAGACAGATGATCTTTGAAGACAACGCATTTGATACTTGAAATTAAGAATCCATACATGTTCAAGAACGTGCGAAACTTTTCTCTTAATCACATCAATAAAATTCGAAGTTGATCTTTAATTTGGTTTCATGTTATTTTTCTATTTTTTAAATTGACGATGTTGAAGATGAAAAATAAGATGCAATCAACATCTCATCAACAGGTTTACAATGGTTGTCAATCATTTATTCGAACAACATAAGTGGATACATAAGTGCAGATCTGAAAAAAATCTCGAATTCTCTCGCTTTTTTTTCATTTCATCATCCGACAAGCGTCTTTTCCTTCTTCGACTGATTAATGTTATTCCAATCTACTAAGAACAAGCAGCGTTTTTAAAAATTCACTACGTAGTAGAGAAAAAATAGAAATAACTTGATCATTGTCACTGAATATTTGCTTTAGTTAACATTCAATAGAACAAACGACAGAAGTCTATCGGCTTTCTACGGTAAATTTCTAGTGACATTTGCAAAAACGCCACTATGTTTGATACTACCACCCACATGCCGCCAATCGACCACCGTGGCAGTTTTAGTAAAAAACGGATGAACCTACAACCAACAGTAAGTCAGAAAATTCAACAGACCGTTGTTAGGGCAGTGAGAATCTTTTCAGCTACCAATTCCTATTACATATTCGACAGCAGCGATTCCGACATTCGCACCATTCGGCACTGAATATACACCTGATCAAAAAACGAAAATCGTTGCCGGTCGTTACATCACCATTTCTGATCCAATCATCGTTGTGCCGAAGAATTCGTCGACATCCATGAGAAAAGAAATGTAAGTTTCACGCATTGTCTTCAATCAAATAGCTTTTTGATTCCACTGCAAGAAAGAAAGTGAGCACTTGATTGATTTCACGTTTTGGTGTCATTCTTTTTAAACGAAGGAAAAAAATTCATCACACTCGGTGCGATTAGAAAAATGACGGGTATATTTCTTCCTGCTCGTTTTCTTTTGTTCTGATATGAAAGACACTCACCAATCAGTGGAAAAAAAGAAATCAAGTTGCCCAAGCAACTGGTTTTGCCATTCTTTGTCGTCGATAAAAAGACAGAATAGTAACAACAACAAACACACACATACAGATGAAAAGAGAAGAAAAAAGAAGTACAATAGTGTTTGTTGTGTCTTGACGATTTTTTAAACGCATCATCTCTGTTCAATTAAAACGAAGATTTTCTTGAGTTTTCCATCCGTGAATGTCGTTTACGCGATCTCAGCCCATTTCCAATCTGGTCTAGTGAGAAATGTTTTCTTCCAATTAAATTTCTATTCCATTTACTCTGTTCTTTTTCGTCTTCAGTGACCCAGATCTAGCACCGACAAAATACATTCAACATGTGCACGCTGTGGACAGTGCTCAATGGCCATTGAACGCAAAACAAAGATTCGATACCACATATCGTACGGAATATACCAATCGTATCCGACATCCGGTATGTAATCACAGATAATCTTCACTTTTAATTCTTGTCCATGGTGACAAAATCGTCAGAAAGAATAAACGAGATAATGCTATCTGTCTAGGATTATGTTCCATGGTATCAGCAATCGGTAATTAAATATTATTGTCTATCTTTGTCGACAATGTTCTTTGCACGTATATATCGGAGGGAAAAAGCTTCTTTTCTATGTTTCACGCGTTGTTTCTCATGTGAAGGTGAAATAGTAGCAAAGTATATCGCGACTTCATTTCCTGAAAAGTTCATTTCATTCAATTCATCATAGTAACCGTTCATACAGGAAAAAACATACTTGCACATCCCTCTCGCGTTTAAAATTGTCAAAACAACAAACGCACTCCGTTCTCTTGTTCTTGTTCTTCTTCTTCTTTTGATATAATTCTTTTTCCATGGTGACAAATTACACTTTTCTCTCACGAAACGAATATTCTTCGTTCGTAAGAGTACTAGTTTAATTGTTCCATTGAAGATTAAAAACAGATGTTATTGTATCAGATGATTCATACGCGTTTGTTTTTTGTATTTTCAATTAGAATGAACTGGTAAGACCAGTGCGACAACCAAAATCATCATTGAATAACTTCCTGGTTTTACCACCGATTCCTTCGAAAACAAATGAGTATACTGAAAGATCAACTCAAAATAATCGATTAGACGGTCAACAATTGCAAGCACCGTTCAAAGATCAAGAAGTACCAAGTACATCATCAAACTTCTATGATTCACAGCGACAACAGCCAAACACAATGAACAACGATGATCCATATTTACCTGCAGAACCTGTTTTGTTAACTGATTATGAAGAGCAAGGTCTATCCGAGCAGATTCGTAACCAACTAGCAAATCCAACAATCATTGATCGATTAAAGTTATTCTATGAAGAATTAACTAAATATGATCCAAATATGACAAATTATGTACACTACTCTAATATTCAATTGGTTGCTTCACAATTGGGCGTATGCTAACTCCATCGTTTCCTCTATGACAATCCATTCTTTTCTACTTTAGTTAAATTTACAAGAAGATACGCTTCGTTTTGCCATGTGCAAATTTGTTTCAGTCGATCAAGGACGTGGTTTTGTTAATTATGAAGATATGGTTCGATACTTTGGCAAATGCCTATCATCCATCTATCCGAATCAATTCGGGTATGTTTGTCTATTTTTCTATCCGGAATATCTTTTCGAATCATATCATCGAAAAATGTTCATCGATATTTTCTTTTTATTCAGTTTCTCACGATCTTTTGACTCTTCGATTTATACTAATCCGAACCTCTATGATTATCAACAGCATCAATATTGATGTGGATATTAACATAACCCAGTCTTCCCCCCCCCCTCTCTCTCCCTTATACTACCTTCCCTCTTATATTCTTCTTCAAGCCCTATTTGAGTGCAGTGTATCCGTCGCATTTTTCCTTTTCGTCATCTAAATATACTCCCAGCGAAAACCATACGCACAGTATCTTATCTCGGTGTTGTCAGTTGTCACTTTATAGGAGTCGACAGTACCAGCATGGTAGACACTGGTCACTGCATTCCCGACATCACAACTATGTCTTTCGAGGGTAGGTATAGTAATTCAAAAGCTAATCTCATGAAGCTGTCGATAATGCTTGTCCACCGTTCGTTCTATTGATTTATTTTCTTGTTTCAAATATCAGTAAGTTTTGTCGTTTTACTTGGATCTGATTTCGTCACAGTAACGTGATGAAAGATGAAGTTCATTGATAAAGTAGGAACGACAAAATTACTGTTCTCTCGTTTTCTAGTCTTTCTTCTTAGCTTTTGCTTGCATGTGAGCTGCGCTGTACACAATAATTTTGAACTGCATGATGTTCATTATTTAATAGACAAACGTTTGATTCAATTGATGATGATTTGTTTTTTGTCGTATGCTCATTCTATCGTTCCTTTCTTTTAATTAGTATGCAATCAGAACCCAATTACCATATGAATGGTTATAATAATGGTAATGGCTTTTATAATCCGCCAATGAATACTCAATATCCATATCAAGGAGGGATGAATAGTTATGATGAACAAGCCAATTTTGATCCTGACGAACGACAAATTCGCATTTTATTAAAACAAAATATGAAAAATTATGAATTCAGTGGTGCGATTGACTTCGATCGGTTGTATAACGAGTTACGAATGGCTGATAGAAATCAAACAGGTGTTTTGAATCGACAACAGATTGAAGAAGCTGTCTATAAAGTTCGTCTGCCAATACAACGTTCACTAATCTTTCAAATACTTGAAAAACACTGTCGAGCTAATCCGTCTTATTACCGATGGGATGCATTTGTTCAATATCTAAAACAACAAACGACTGATTTGAAAGACGTGCCAGATCGAACGAGTCCTTCAAGTTATTCACAAGTAAAACAAGCGACTTTCTTCTCGATGTGACTCGCATACCTTGTCTTCTAGAATGTACCACCTCGTTTGCAGTTACTTGAACAACTCCGTCGAGAATATAGAGATAGAGAACGAATACAAATCATTGAAGACTACAACGCAAATAACAATGTTCAGCGATTAGTAGGCAATCGTTTTCTTTGCGAATATCCAATAAGAATTTGATTTATAGGATAGTAATAATCCGATAGCATGGTTCTCACGGTTTCTACGCCTTGCTAATGCTATGTATAGACATCGTACAAGTACAAATCGAGAACGTATGTGAAGTTGTTCTATGTTCAAACGATCATTTTTGTTTCTATATTTATAGAAGATTTTGTGTTGCCGCGCGAAGAAGCTCGTCGACATTTTCGCGCTTACAATCAAGTTTGGAATTTAAATATCGAAGAAGATAAACTACAACGAGTTCTGGAAGCATGTGGTCGAAACGCCAATGTTGGCGTAGATGATGCACTTCGATTACTAGCAAAATGAACATAACTTATGATTTTGAATAATATCTTTTCCTCCTCTTTGTCTCAAAAATAATTCCAACTCACACGCGGAGACGAATAGTGGATATCGAATGTTATTTCTTTCATCTACTTAATTGATAATCTGTTGTCATGAAATCTTATCTTGCCTTGTGAGATTGTTTGTTCTGTAAACAAAGTCATGTTTTTTCTTTGCACGCTTCATTTCTCTGATGATTCTCATCTCCTAATTTGAAGAACACTATTACAGTGTTAGTCGAGAGATGTTCGACAAGATAAGATTCCTTGTCACCTTTGTCTGAAATCGTTCAGTATAAAGATGTTTTTCTTGCAGTTTAAAAGTGAATGTCAACACGATTTTTCCTTGAAACATGTACAATTCAAACAAACGATAAGAATCCAATTTGTCAAAATGTCCCGAAGGTAAAAGACAAGTTTCAAAGTGAAAACACTCGGAGTCTTCCTTGACGTAATCATAGGTGAATGCATTCAATCATTTACATATATAATTATTTGACGTAAAAAATCACTTGAAAGATTAGTGAAAAAAGTTGCGTCGATCGTCGAAAGTTATCAGCACAAGTGCCATATAATGCAAATATCGTTCAAATTCTCTTCATATTGACATAGGAGAGAAAAAAGTACACGAGAGAATTTTATGGATCATACTCATTCGTATATATACAACGTGTCAATTAACTATATTTTGATCTGTTTTTAATATGAGTGTAATTGCAATTGATGATGTTTTCTTTTCTCTCTTAATTATACATTTATGACAATGAAGATATATATCATTGAAAAATAAAGATTCATTTCGAATAGCATAGCTCTATTTTGATCAGATCTCGATTTAATATTCAGACACGGCGAGCACAACACGAGACACTCGTATGATGCATATAACTACACAGTAAGTCATTTGATTGATGTACAATTCAGTTTGTCTTTACTACCTGAGCTCTTTTTTTTTCTTTTCTCATCTCAACTTGAGAATAGAATAATGCCGCCGCATACTGATTACATAGGTTGTAATATGTAAGTAGTTAGAATAAACAAGGCTTCCTTATGTCTACATGTGGACATGTATGTACACATATACATATGAATGGTGAGCAATGGCTTTTGAGATTACAATCAAAAGACACAAGAGCGTATTTATAGAAAGCGAAGAAAACATTTTCGCCGTTGTTGTCAAAGCAGAGGCAAAAATGACCTTGGAGGAGCAATTAGAGTATATATATATTCTGTTGCTTCTCGCTTTTTTTCTTCTTTACGTCGATAACGATTATTGCATATTGAGTCGATGAGGGTCAAGCAAATACAATAAATGATTTTTTTTCTCTATCTATCAATGCAATAACGTTTAATCTATTTTTCGATTCAAATTCATGTCACACCTAAACGAATCAACACAACAATAACAACAACAAGATAAAAAATAACAACAATTATCTCGAATTGTAAAAACTGATATGTGTATGTATATATATTCGAGCATTTATACAAATACGATCAACATTTTATTACATTTGCAAGGTTATGACAACGATTAGAAGTCGACATTTATAATGATCTCTATGTTGCAATAGAAAAAGTTTATTTCAATACGTGTAAATGGATACGTATGTATTCTCAAATCGACTTTCAACCTTCAACATTGTATATTATGATGAAATAGCGAATATAGACGTGTGAATGAGCAACAGAGTCATGTTCCGTTGCACTCGAGTGCCAACATATACTCGGGTATATATACATGTACATATACATGTAGATGCAATATCATTTTCTCTCTCTCTCACTTGCGTCCTCTTATCTTTCGGGCTCGATCTTTTAGGCAGGTTGCCATTATGAAAAAGAAAAATATAGAAGGAATGAAAATGCGATGATCTTTATGTCAAACTGCGACTATCCTATGTCTGTATTCTACGATCCCTTCCGCTGTCTGTCATTCTTGGTCATTACTCGTGTGTGCTTTATTGTCATTGCAAGTTTCTTTTTCTACGTCTTCGTTCGTATTTCTTTCTATCTTGGACACATGTGTGCGTTTTTTCTTCTTCGTCGTCTTCTCCTCTTTTTTCTTTATTCATTTGAAGACGCAAAATAAGTTGATGAAGAAAAAGAAAGGAACTAACTCATCCGTCGAAGACTACATACCAAGCATATTTTTCGTCCAACATGACGACATTCTTTTGCGTTGTTTGTTGTCGGACAATCTATTGCCTGAAGTCAATCGAGTAATGTCAAAAACTTGTTTCGTTCAAAATCAATCAAGTCTTTTGTTTTTTCAATCTTCGCACAACATTCGACACCGATCGGTAAAGCATTTTCTATTCTTTTTCTCGTTTTTTTTTCTGCGCCTTGAGAACAAAAATCAAAACACTCATTCTAGGAATAACCTTGTATCTCTACTGCTAAGCAATTGCTTGCAGTATCGAAATCTATACGCCTATGTACATATATGTATGTTCCCTTACTACCTTGCCTTTCCACTTCAGTTTTCACCACATTATACGAATGGTAAAGTGTTTCAACAAATATTTGACAGTATAACACTAAAAAAGAGAAAAAAGTCGAAGTAATAGGATGTTGCAAATTTTATCGATGAAAAAAAAAGAAGAGTGTATATGTGCGCATGTCATAAAGAGAAAGTTACGTTTATTTCACCTGAATAGACATTAGACATATATGTCTCTCTTTTAACAACTAAAAAAATCATCAAAAAAAAATGAATGATTGACATCTGTATTTTGTTATGCCAAGGTTAGTTTTTGATCTAAGTATTCTGCTTTAGAGTAATTACAATAAGAAACATATCCGTCTCAATCATGTCTTTTGTTGACATGAGATAGCACTGTAGGGAGAAGTAATAAATTTCAGGCAGTCGTCAATCATTCGATTCTATTGCAAAACAATAGAATAGAAGTGACTCAAATGCTTTTCCTTTCAATTTCTATTCCAGATGTAAATTATTTATTAAGTATAAGAATATAACAAATACGTAATGGATCATTTCAATTACGACAATTCATCATCCGTAAATCATCTCAATCCTATTGAAGGTATACAATTTGATGGACGAGCCTATGCACTCTTTGGTAAGTAAAAAGGGTTCATTTGATAGAAAAAAAAAGAAGAAAAGATTCTTCTTTGTTTAGATCCTAATTTTAAAATTCACGATACATTGACTGTAAATTTTCAAATACAAACATTTGCTCATGATGGTTTAATCTTATGGATTGGCGATTCGTTACCTGAATCAAGTTTTACGATTGAAATTCAGAATCGTCAGGTAAATTCGTTCAGATGATTGACTTGTCTCAATTCGATTATCTTGTAGCTTATTGCTCGTGCCGTTGTTCGTGGTCAACCATTTAGTGTACGTACAAATTTTACCAAAAATCGTCTTTGCGACGGTGTTTGGCATTGCGTTCAAGTACGTCTTGACGGTAGTCTTCTCTCGATGAAGGTTGACAAACGACAATTTACTAAAACAGAACCACGTATTAATGCAGTCGACATGCGCGGTCCATTGTTTATCGCTGGTTATGCCGAGAATTATTCTCCACCGTATTTATCCGTTCGCACGAGAGATTTCTTTCATGGAAGTTTACGGAATTTAAGAATTAATAATAAACATGTCGATTGGCTCATGCCGCATGGCAGTGGTCTGGAAGCTGCTACACCAGAATTTCATCGATACAGTTCCGAGACGACATCAAATGCTTTTCGGCCGTTTTCAAGTGCAGCAGCAGCAGCAGCAAATCGTACCTATGAGACGACGACATTTTCAACGTCCGCTACATACGACGGAAGAAAAGTTCATTGATGTTTACGTATGAATTAATAAACACTATAAGCAGGAACAAAACAATACAGTGATGAAATTCAATCCGGTTTTTGTGATCTACGTTTTTCTTTTCTTTGTGCTAAACCATCATAGAGTATTGTCTATGAAAACTATTCTATTCCCCTTCTGTGTGGTTTATATTGCCTCGCACTCTCTCCTTTTTTTCTCTGGTTTTTATGAATTATTATCTTACAATTCTATTGTCAAAGGAGTGGTATGGTATGTTTGCGCGTTTGATCTTTTTCTTTTGTATATATAATTCAATTGAGTAGTATATTATTACTCAACAAAAGATTTAGAGTAAACCACCTTGAATCTTGGTATTTTTTTTAAGATTGAAATCTAAGCTTAGTTCGATAGTTTCAATGAACGAAAAGAGAACATCATTGAGCATAAGCTGTATAAAATTCACTGAACTCATTGATTGTTCTATCGTAGAATAAGAATGAAATACGATGATCATTCACTATTCAATCGAATACAGTGGACATCGATCACTTTCACTAAATATGTACTATATTCTTCGAGGAGATGGTTGTAGGTACTCTCCATTCCGATTATGATCTGATCGTCTTTTTAATCGGTGGAAACATTAGAGCATATTGTTCCGATGTGAGGAAAATTCATCCATCATAGCTAATGGTGATGATCATATAAGGTCTTTCTACTTAGAGTCTTCAGGCTAAAATATGTATATTATATGCACTCAACCATTCGTCAAATTCTGGTTATGTTAAACTGTACATTCTCTTCAAAACTGCAATGAGTATGATCATTGTATGATATTCTATCTATTTAAACATATGTATGTAAAAGAATAAACTAAAGTTAAAAAATATGAGATAAATGGTTAACTACATTGGAAGAAGTTAGAGTATAGATAATTTGTTTCGTCTCTCTTTCGCTGAAATAAATATAGCTGACAAAATATTTAAGAAGAAGAAGAAAAGCGTTCATTTTTTGGTAGCCGTATTGATTTCTTCTTGTTCTTTTTCATTGGGCGGGTCTCGTTCATCCTTTTGCCGTTGTAAATAAGGATTTGGTGCATCAGATCCAACATCAGCCAATTTATGATTTACCCTAGTTTTTCAAAGATCTTCGCATAGAAAAAGCACATTTCACAAGAATTAGTTCACCTACTGTCGATGCGTAGCTTCATCTGCTCGTACTGCTAGTAGAACATCTTTCATCATTGCATCGTCTTTGAGTTTCCAATAAGTTTTTGCGATTTTCGGTGCCGAGGTTTTCGCCCATATAGGCAATCGACCGGCTTCAAGTTCTTCGATGCACCGAGTGTACGTAATCACTGCTTCTTCTTCGAGAAAGCCAACAAATCGATGGCAAATTTTCGGTGAACACAGATATGTTAGAAAAAACGCATTGAAAAATACTCCTTGTCCAAGTAAAACAAACGTACGAAAGATCCATCCTGGTTGACGTAGTTCTAAGAATGTCAACAGATGCATACGCTCGTTTTCAGCTTCTGATAGTAGTGTATGAATCCATCCATGATCACGTTGCATTGTACCTTCATTCAATGGCATGCATAAATTCTCTTCCAAAATATGTGCTTCGTAACTTACGGAGGGATTTCATATGACGACTCATACCAGCCACCATGCCAGGCACACCTGCGATTGACTCTAGGAAAATGATCCGTCTAAGCCATTGCTTTTCTGTCATCGTTTTTCTAGGACGTTGATTATTTTGTTTACTGTCGGAACGTGCTCTGTTTGGTTCATGAATGTAACCAGTTAATGTGTCGAATGTGAAACGTAATGTTTGCACTGCAGCGTACGCAACTCTATCGTGCCATGATTCAAACTTTTTATGCGTGACTTTCACCTCATGAAGTTCTTTTTCGGAATAGATTTCATGATACATCATATAATCACTCGGATCTGGAAAGTTTGGAAAGATAAGATGGTGATAGTTGAAACGAATGAAAAACAAATTTTCGGATACAGACGTTTCCCTTCGTTTGATGCTTTGTCTATGATTCGCATGTGTGGTTGTTCATCACATGCGGCAGCTTTTTTTGATTCTTTCTTGTCCGATGTTTTTTCTTGGTTCAGAAGAGGTAGACATGTGTGAAGAAGACGATGCCGCTGAAAAGCATTTCCATAGCGAATTGGCCAACTAGGCGATGACGATATTTGAGAAATTCGAATCAATAAATTCGAACTTTTCATGCTAAAAATCTGCAAATTAAACAAAAAATGTCGCCATTTTCAGGATTCTTCTCTTGAATTATCAGTCATAAACATAAACAAAGAACGATTAGAAATGTGTCTAATATTGTCATTTATTCTCGTCATTAATAATAATTATATAAATTGTATTTCACACCAACCAAGACAAATACGAAATACCTTCTATTGATATGTCAATGTTATCTCATAGCACATGCAAGACACAAAAAAAGCTACTTCATCGAACCTTTTCTTCGGACATAGCGATTTTTCACTTGTTCAACACATTTATGAGCAAGAAAAAGCATACTGGAAGTTAACAAATAGAATATCATCCAATATGCAACTGTATTATTAGGCATTTTGGTTTTGAACCAATTGGAAACTAAGCCAAGCACTAATACCAAACATGATACCGTAAAAAGAAGTACACCTGAGGTCGCATGATAAATACGGAGTTGTGCATATGAGAATCCCAGAGAGTGAATGTATTGTTGTAGAACAGTAAGAAACAGACCAGCAAATGCTTGCAATAACGACCAGATAAATGCGATCAATCCGATTAAACCATGCCTATGATAAAAAGATCGGCTATAAAAAAAGATTCTTAATCATTTCAGGTCATTCTACCAAGTAGTGAAATGCGGTTTATTTCGTTGTGATTTGTTTAAATAGATTGCTATGAAAGCAATTACTGAACAGATAATACTTCCAATTTGTAGAGTTGAATGGATAAAGATTTGTTTTCGTCGTGTTAACGATGGAGAACGAAATGCATCATCTGTCGAAAAGATATAGATCGCTTGAAACATACAACCGAGATACTACAAGAGAAGAATGATCTCAAGCATTATCAAATCGTCTCATTGATTCTATACTTACACTAACAGCCATCAATGACGGATGCAGTTTGAACAATCCATTTTCCCATATTGATAATACAAGAAATAGAGCGACAAGCGATAGAGAAACAACTGTAGCTACTTTTCTCATTCTAAATATTAAAAAAATACGATTATTTCATTTCAGCATATAAAATGTCAAAAATCAAAAGATAATTTAATCATTTAATCATAAAAGACAATCAGTTCCTATCACAAATGATAAACAAATTTTAAAAAAAGAACATTCATATTGCACTATATGGAAAGACAAGACGACGTGGATCAATTGAATCGCTTCAAAAATTCATCTGCACACATACGTGCACGCGAACTGACCGCTAAGTTCATTTCACTAATTTCTTTATCGATTTCTTCCAGAAAATAAACAATAAAGTCAATTAAACGATGTGTATACATCGTTTCAGCATGAAAATTCGTCACTAAGAAACTGATGTCATAATCCTAAATAGAAAAAGTTCAAAACTGACATTGAAGTATTATTCGAATTCTACCGGAACAGGTTTCCGACGAAGTATATAGAAATCATCAGCACGCTGCATCATAAAACGCATCAAGCGTTTGCATATAAGCTTCTTAAGTTCATCACTCTATTGGAAAAACGAAAATATTCATTTACTGATGATAAAGATCATAACAATTACTTGTTTAACAGCAATACTGACACGAATAGAGTTAAATGAACCCTCGATAAGAACTCGCTCGTTGACATTTCGACTAATTATCAATGGATTTAACAATAGCAGTTTGGAAGTTCTAATCAAACGAAAATCAGGAACTTTTTTTACAAAAGAAAGTACGTACTTGACTTCGACCTCAGGTTTATTATGCCGTTCAACCAGTTGTGATTCAAAATTCTCAATGCAGAATGCTGCTTGAAGTGTTGCTCGAATAGCATCCAGATATGGTTTGACAGTAGGCGTCTAAATCGATAGAATAAAACGTTAGTTTCAACCTAAATACACTCCATTCTTTACTCTCGAAGGCACTGATTGAGACATTCTGGAATTTGAACAGCTGAGTATCACCAATAATCACAAATGAATGAATAAGAACGATCAGAGATAGGATAAGATTAATGAATAAAGTAGAAAACAGAACAAAAATGATTCGTTCTTTTCTAACACTATCTCTAGCAGTTATGTCTGTTTATCTTGCTGAACAAGCGCGCCATCTATTACAAATATCTACAGTTTGACTATTTTCAATAGGAATAATATTTTTTATGGAATTAATCCGTTTCGTAGTGTTATTTCGACAGTTTAAAATGATTTTATCATTTTTGAACTTGAACCTCAAATACAATCCAGTAAACTTATATTGGTTCATTTAGATTTTACGGACAAAATTTAAACCGACAGATGACATGAATATCAGTTCAGTTGCATAGTGTATTTTCTTGCTAATGTGCAGAAGAATTCGAAGTTGAACTATCAGAAAAAGAAAGTTCATATTGAACTCGATTTTTTTAAACTGATCGAAATATGCGAGTCAGCTATCATATCAGTTTTAAAACTTTTTAAATGAAATACTTTGCTTTAGAATTATTCGAATTTCGTTTGAAGAACCGAAAAGCACACAAGTTGATTAATAGCGCCATCTTGAATTTTGCTTACCTTCTATTGACCGATAGATTGTATATAAAACCACAAATAAGACTTAAACATTCCTTCCTCTAATCGATCGAAAATTTCTTCTCCTGTTCTAGTGTTTTATTTATTTTAGATTTGTACTCTTGCGCAAACTGTTGATATCTTTCGCACGTCGGGTCAATTGAAAAGATGGTATGGAACTTTTTTCATAGATTTACAACTGAAAATAAATTTCGCTTGTTTTTTTTTCTCTTCGATTTAGTCAAACCTCTACATATTATACGAACATGCATCAGGCTATGCATTATTTCGTGTTCGTGAATTCGAAGAAATCGGTATGAGTTTACCTCAGGTTGAAGCAAGTGTAGTCGACTTGTCCAAGTTCGCTACGGTTGTTAAACTCGTGGCATTTCACCCATTTCAATCTGGTGTTAATGCACTCGATAATATCAATGCAGTTTCTGAAGGTAATAAATGATCATATCATGAAGACAAACAATCGAATTGTGACTTAGGTTTGGTGCATGATGATCTTCGAACATTTCTCGATACGAATCTACCAAAAGAGAAGAAACGTGCTAAAATGAGTCTTGGTGTGGCTGATACACGTATTGCATCTGCGGTCAATGAACTTTTCTCGATTACATGCCAACATACGGGTGTTGTGCCTGAACTTTTACGAGGTATAAGCTTCTTTTCCTTAACGATTATTCTCTCGACTTTTGACTACTTCGTTATTAGGTCTTCGATTACATTTTCCAAATTTAGTCAAAGGTCTCACAGATCAAAATCAGAACAAAGCCCAACTTGGTCTAGGTCATGCATATTCACGTGCAAAAGTTAAGTTCAATGTCAATCGTGTGGACAACATGATTATTCAATCGATTGCACTACTCGATCAACTCGATAAAGATATCAATACATTTGCAATGCGTATTCGGTAAGATATCACCTTGCTGATAGATTCATTTTGAAAAACTAGGGTTTCTTTTCTTCGTAGAGAATGGTATGGATATCATTTTCCAGAATTAATCAAGATCGTACCAGATAACTACACATATGCCCGTGTTGTTCATTTGATTAAAAACCGAAAAGAATTCTCAAATGATCGAGAAGAAGAACTAGAAGCGATTACAATGGACAGTGGTAAAACAGCTGCTGTTTTTGAAGCAATGAAAACAACAATTGGTGAGTTCGAAGGGAAGAAATTACGAATAAAATGTGCTCGTTCTAGGTATGGATATTTCACCAATTGATTTAATCAATATCGAATCATTTGCTAATCGGGTTATTCATTTATTTGAATATCGAAAGAGTTTACAGGAAGTAAGCAGAATGAATCAACTGAAAAAAAAACTCATTTGTCTACAATTTCTTTTGTTTAGTATCTACGAAGCAAAATGGGACAAGTAGCTCCCAATTTAGCGATGTTAATTGGTGAACAGGTAAGAATTTTCACGAGATTGAGCTTGGCCAATCAAATTCGTTCCAGGTCGGTGCTCGTCTTATTGCTCATGCTGGTAGTTTGACAAATTTGGCCAAATATCCAGCGTCAACCATCCAAATCTTAGGTGCTGAAAAAGCTCTCTTTCGGTAGGACTCCATTTCTATCTATTTCGTGTGACATAGTAGTTTTTCATCAATAGAGCATTGAAAACCAAAGGTAACACTCCAAAATATGGTCTTATCTATCATTCATCACATATTGGCAAAGCTAATACACAAAATAAAGGTCGTATTTCACGATATCTTGCCAACAAATGTGCGATTGCATCACGTATCGATTGTTTCTCCGGTACGTTACTGTTGTTTTTGTCGAAAACGACATTTTCTTTTTCGATTCTAATCGAATAGAGATTCCAACGTCTATTTTTGGTGACCGTTTGAAACAGCAAGTCTCCGATCGATTGAAATTCTACGATAGCGGAGAATTGCCTCCTAAGAACGTCGACGTCATGCAATTGGCTTTACAAGAGGCTGAAACTGAACGGGAAGAAATTTTAGCCAAAGAAAAGAAACGAAAGAAGAAAGAGAAGAAACGTCGAAAAGAAGCCGAAGCTGCAGCTAACGGAAACGGCACTGTTGCGCTCGAAGAAGGAGTTAACAATATGGAAGTGGCTTAAAGATTTCGTCTTTGTTTTTGTTTACTTCTAGTTGTTATTATTTGTTTCGGCAAATAGTGGAAAAATAACTTCTTTGTTATGAAAGAAAAAATAATTGTTTAGTACAACTTGTTTTCATTTGTTGTAGATTGAAAAAAGAAGCATAACGCTCGAAACAAGTGATAGAGTATGACATCGAGAAAGCAAACACCGAGTGATTTTCTCAAGCAAATTGTTGGCCGACCGGTGGTGGTGAAGCTCAATAGCGGTGTTGGTAAGACGATTAGTCGAACGTATTATTAGTTTTGTTTGAAATATGATTTAGATTATCGAGGTGTATTGGCATGTCTTGATGGTTACATGAACATCGCTTTAGAACAAACGGAAGAATATAACGGTGGACAATTGAAGAATAAATATGGCGACGCGTTTATTCGTGGCAATAATGTTTTATATATCTCGACTCAGCGAAAGAAATAAAATTCCTATGACTGTATAAAGCAAAAAGTCTCAGAAAATGAAAGCATTATTTCATAATAAAAATGAGTTGTGCTAAAGAGATATTCGAGAGCAATTGTTGAAAGAAACAAAAAGTAAGTTGACAGACTGAGAGAGATTCCTTTTAAACGGATGTGGGAGTGGGATTGATATTCCATCGAGTACATGGTAATTGGTTTTGTTCACGCATACGAATCAATGTGTAGGCGAATAGACCGAATAAAGTCATCATAATACCGAGAAATTGTTTAAAATTCAAACTTTCTTGGAATAAAATGAAACCGCCAACAAGTATTGAAACTGTTTTCATATGACCAATCATATTATAAGTTAGAGCAGAGCTAAACGAAAAACACTGAGTTTACGTTTGAACACAATTCGAAAGCATTCACTTACGTATTTTTAATGACCCAATAAACGGATAAATTCACAACAAAAGCAACAATACCCGATGCGACAACAGCAGCAATTGCCGTACGTTGTTGTTCGTCTGTTTCAAATGATGGGAAACTTTCCATAACAATGATAAATGGAATAAGCAATAAGGCTGATAAGGGTGCTTGGTAATAAAGTAATTGCTGAGAATTCATTTCTAATTCTTTCAAACGTTCACCAATCCAAACCTGATATAGTGATGCGGATAGAATTCCAATAGCAGCTATAACTGTTCCCAATAATGTTAATTGAATATCATTAACCGAGTGTGTGGCTACACCAACTACGACAGGCACTAGTGTTGCTACTACCATTCGTGAGTACTTCGTTTTATAATATTGCCATGATATGAGAACAACGACTGGTGTTGTTAAGATTTTGAATAGTTGATATGTCCCAATCGTGTTATATTCTAATGATAAATTCGTGAACACGACGAAAGCACAGAAGACAGCTGCTAACGGCAGAACTTTTTCCAGTGCGATAGTTTTACGCACGAATGTATTCATTTGCAAACATATGAGCAAACCTATGGATGTGAACGCCATTTGTATAGCAGTTAATGTCATTGTTCGGATTCGGCAGTTCTTGAATATATATTTATTCAGAAATATAATACCAATCGATGCGATAATATTAGTGGCACAACCTAGAACAACTCGAACATGTTCTCGAAGCATTTCTGCTGATGACGGAGCTGATGAGCGCTTAATTGTCGGAGGATTAATATCGGCCTAAATGGAAAGGGAATACTTGAAGAATTCGAAGAATATGGTACATACAATCGATGCTCTAGCTTCCGGAGAAATAATGTTTTTACTGTCCGTATCATTATGAGAATAGTTTTGATTTGTTGGCATTGTGAATGAATCAGGATGGAATATGTTCGAAGAGAAAAGCAAATCTGAAATAATCAAGAACAAGTAGTTTTGCAGTCATGCGTACGAGAAACTGACGATACAATATTCGACAAAATATCTACACTATTCGCACTTGGTGGTTCACATACAAGGTTAGAGAAAAAAGGGAAGAAAGCAACAAAACCAGTCAATACCATCGATTTTCCGGAAAAACACGTCCTACGACAGAAAAAAAACATTTTTCGTCAAGTGTAAGTTTCCGTTTCGGCTGACCAGTCACTTTCTACTGGATATATCCGCTTATTTCAACGATAGCACGAGAATGTCATGAAAAACGAATAAGTTACGAACAGGACGCAACGTGGTGACTGCCGATGTGTTTAAATATAAGCACACACGAGGGTATGCAGCAAAAAGCGACAGGCAGTTGTCTACGTTTTTCGCGCGTTCTTTTTTCACCTTCATTGATCATTTGAAAATGAAGAACGAACAAAGAAAGACGATTGTATTGAGCGATAAGCAAATCAGTTTCGTCCATGAAAAATTCGACTACGAACAACCGTGTTGTGTTAGATCACAAAAATAATATTACATTCGTATTAAAGAGCTTATTCTATGCAAATATTTTCAATTGTAAAACCGTGATAACATCATCCGAGTTTAATTAGACGCTAAGATCGAGTCAATGTCGTTAAGACAACCGATACGAATTCTTCGTATTCCACCGTATTATGATACTCATCTGGAAAGAGCAATCAGCCGATTGATTTCGGCTCATGAACATATTGAATATCAATTATTTACGATTGATAAAAAGCATCTTGCAAAAAATGATCTCAATCTATTGTTGTCGATGAGTCGAACGATAATTCAGGAAGAGCAAATCCAAATGTTGATCGCCGATAGTTGCGAAAGCCAATTGATTGTAGCGAAATTAGGTCAGGAATATCCACAATTACGAAGTGGTGGCATGAATTTCTTGACTACACTTCATTGTTTCAATCGACTTTTGATGATCGATTTATTTGGTGAAGATCAGTGTATTCTAACATTGAATGTGGAAATATCACAAGACTCGAAAAAAGATATTTTATGTATCGAACATTTCTTCGATCGAAAGAAGATGAATGGTTATGTTAAATCATCATATAGCTTGGGCAATCGAGTGTCCAGTTTTGGTTTTGCAACAAGTGAAAGATTAACTGCACTGTTACCTATATATATTGAAGTTTACGAAGAACAATACAAAACAAACCTGCAATCATTCTTTCAAGTCTATCTTTCACAGAAACAATGTCTATCGTTGTTCAAACCAAGTTATTTGATTCAACCTTTTTACGACCTAACGACATATCCTTACTGGCGATTGGTGATTGCTAGCGCTTGTGTATTCGACAAGGAGATCATCATGTGGCCATTAGTCGATGGCTATTCGGGATGGTAAGAAAATCTTTGTAGTCTTTAATCATCATGATTCGTTTTATTGTAGGCCATTTTTTGCTCAAAAACCAATAGCAATTATGCCGATCATCATCTGTCCAAGTCGACATTTATCAGTCGAACAACAAAATAGAGTCTATACTCGTTTTCGTGAACATCTCGATCATTTAATATCGAATGAACATCTTCGGTACGGTTGGATCGAGTCGTCATATTTTGTATCGACTACGGACGAGATTCGTTTGATTTCAATGAAACCTACATACTCAGCGTATTTAACAGAGGCATTCAGTTTGACAAATGAACATGGAAATCCAATTTCAGTTATGATTCAACTAGTAAATCGGCAACGACCTTTAAAACCTATTCTGAATGGTAAAACCGTTTATATTCATCGATTATGGGCGATTATTACACAGAACAACCATGTCATCGATAATTTTATTAATATGTCGGAAATCAAACGGATTCATCGTTCAAATTTTAGTTTGGATCAATATGTTCAACTAGGTTTTCAAGCAAACGAGCTCATCCCCATTTCTAACCAACAAACATACACTGAAATTGGTTTCATTCAAGTCAATGGTAAATATCACGAATTAGGTTTAACAAATCTGATAGAATTTCGTTCGTTATTGCTCAAAACACCTCAATTGATTCCATTCAGCCATCAATCGATGTTAGTCAATGATCCGTTTGAATTCGATCCAGTAACATGTTTACCGTCGAGTGCATTACTTTCACGTCTAGATGAACAACGAAAAGAGGAACGTAGAGATTTGATTTAGACATTGAATCGAACGTTTATTAATTCGTAATAGAGTTGTTTACAAACAAAAAAGAAAGATAAACTGAAGTTCTGATGTGGATAAGTAACGGAAGAATGTGAAAAGAAGACGAATAAAATAAATTTCTATAGAATAATTAAGAATAAATTCGACACTGTTTCTCGTTTTATTAGACATTCGATAGAATAAAGGAGGAAAAGTCAAAACTTATGTAGAAGACATCTCGATTCGTATGCGATTTATCAAATGAAAAACATTTCACCGGACGGTGTAGAAATCGATTATAAGAAAAATATTCCAAGTTTAGTTATCCAATTGACATATCATAGCTACACCACGTCCTATCCAATGTTCTTCAGATTTATCAGATGGAAGCTTCATTGCTATCACAAAGTTTGTACTATGACCTGTTGTTGACAACACACCACGACGTTCGGTTGTTTTGTAAACAGGTGATGTATACGATGGAATTTGTTGTAATTCGTCACGTTTAGCTGGACAAATCCATATGACAGGCATGGTATCGAACAAAATCTTTGGCTGAGATTCTGCAAGTTTACGTGTCTTACGATCGTAGCGGGCACCTTCGAGAAATAGACCTTTGATGTACGCTCCTAAAAGAGATCAATCATGAAAACATCTGAACGAAAAGATTCTTCTGCTAACTGACCATCATCAGGTGCTTTGCTAGGTTCTTTGTCATCCATTACTTCGTAGTTGAATCCAAGAAGATCGATGGGTATGGTATATTTTCGAGCATAGTTTTGTTGAACACCGGTAAGGAAAGCTTGAGTAAAGAAGAAACCACTGATCCATAAACAGCTTGGCACACCTTTTTCGTACCAATCCTAATGAAGAGAAGAAACATCTCAATTAGAAAATCGTGTCGTAACGAATATTTTTTTGTTTCTGCTTATTTTTATAAGAAAAAACATAATAAGGAGAGGAAGAGAGGAAGGAGCTTGTAAAGTCTATACTTAGACAGAAGAGAAAGAATAGTCTGTTTATTTGTTTTCAATAGAGTTTCATCGAATTTTCGAATAGTCGTGCTAAATCTTCTTGTGTATGTGTCAACGGTGCTAACTTCGTGACACGTTGTTGCGGTAGAGTTGCTTTGACTAATGTTGGTATATCATCGTTGGTATAACCCAGTGCTTTCAAACCATTATCGACATGAACACTATGTAAGAATTGGCGTAAAACATCCGCTAGAATTTTACCGGCATCTTTAGACGAACGATTCATAAATTTCGTTTTCGATTCACCACCTGTAGCTAGAATTGATGCAACTTCTAAATGACGTTCTGGACATGCTGGAGCAGTAAATTCAAAAACAGCTGGTGATGTCATTACAACCGAAAGACCGTGTGGTATGATTGGATGATCTTTAGGATAATCTTTAGCATGATACGCTCGAACATTACCGGATATACCGTAGGACATTCCATGGCAAAGGTGAACACCAGCATTACCGAATCCAATGCCAGCTATAGTCGATGCTAAATGCATTTGTGTTCGAGCTTCATGATCATCATTTTGGTTTTCGATGGCACGTCGGAGGTATTTTGCAACAACTCGCAGAGCTTCCAACGACCAAATATCACTAATTGGGTTGGAACCTTGATAAGTGGGCCGTTCAATTGGATCACGTGGTCGAGGCGTTCGTTCGTTGTATGGTATAGCTGTGTAGGATTCAATAGCATGGCACAGAACATCAAAGCCAGAATTAGCAGCCACTCGTGATGGCATGGTTTGAACAAAGTCTGGATCAATCAAACCGAGTGTTGGCCGCATCGAACGATGTGCAATACCAGTCTTAGCATGTAGTTCTTCAAAATCGAATATGGCTACACCAGTTGTTTCGCTGCCAGTACCAGCCGTTGTTGGCAGAGCAATGCATGGCTTGAGTGCATGACGGACAGGTAAACCTTTACCAATAGGTGGGTTGACATAGTCGAGAAAATTGGTTGCTTCTTTGTCAGGTGCTGATGCAAATAAATTTGCTACTTTACATGTATCCATAACTGATCCGCCACCGACAGCAACGTAACCATCAAAATTTTTTTGACAAGCAAAATGGATTGCTTGTTTGAAACTTGTATCCGTTGGCTCGACACGGATGTTATCAAAGATATCGTATTTAATTTTCTTTGCGTCTAATGCACGAATCACATTCTCAAATGATTTCAACTGGCGGACGCGTTGATCGGTAAAAACAGCGACATTCGAACATTTCATATTGTGAAGATCATAGCCAAGTTCAGCAACAACTCCAGGACCGAATCGAATCGTTGAGCATGCCATTTCGAAGGCATAATCACTCTTAAGTCCACCGCCATGACTAGGGCAACATTGATTTGTGCGTTCGATTGCGCCAAACAACGACAAAACACGTGCTCGTGCTGTTAACGATAACATTCTTTCGTTTGCTTTTGACTCGATTCTTTTCTCCCGATTATACTTTTCTTTGAAGCAATACTTAGATGGAGCCTCATAAAGAACGCGATACGAAAATAGAAGAGAAAGAAAGAGAGAAAACACACCCACATTCTCAAACATGACTTCTTTCTTGGTAACTTTACCTGGAGAAATTTCAATCGTGCAATAAAGTCGAGTACATAGGAACCTAGTGGTTTTAATCTACAATGAAAAATAACAAGTCGAAAAAAAGTATAACATCCGGCTAAACTTACGATGGATAAGATTTCTTTTTCCATGTTATTGGGATCTTGGACTTCAGCATTGACATGAATACTTCTTCTAACTCGGCTGACATCACAACCAAACCTTTGATTGCCTTTTGTACATCGATTAACGACTGGCGAACAGCCGATAAAAGTCGATTGAATCGACCCATTTCTTGTACAAGCACAGTGTTCATACCTAAGAGTAAATAAATATTAATGACATTTACCGTTCGGAAAACTTACTCTGTTTATATTCAGTCGGATATTTTCGCATGGCCATTTCAATATTATAATTCGGTGGTAATTTACCAAGAATTTCAGTAGCTACTTCACTAACGAGATCATCAGGTGTTTTACCTGTGCCTCCCGACGAACCTTTGGACTAAAAATGATAAATAAATGTTAAAAATTCATTCGTATCACTAATTGAATAAAAACAATAAATATTAATAAGATATTAGCAGATAAATAGAAGCAAATAGTTAATTTTAGAAATTCGATATTAGAGTAAGAAAACATAGATAGCAAAGATATAGGCAGATCTAAACTTACGTTTGATTTAGTCTATAATCAAAAATATACACGATTGAATATTTCGAAAAGAGAAAAAGTTCAACTGTCTATTCATGTAAGTGAACATACCTGTGTAAGAAGGATATTTTCGAATAGTTGATTGGTTTCGTTTTGATCTTTGGTAATATCAGCATTCGAATGAAAACCGAAGATATTAGGATCAGCATTCAACGGTAAATTTTTTATGTAATCCAAATATGAATCATACTAATTAACACGATTATATACAAATGTGTATGTTCATTTGAATTCGTAGATAAAATACTTACATCACCTTCACGTGGTGCATAATAGAGACCACTTTCATCAAAACGGAACTCTTCGGAATCAATAATTGCTGTACAATAGAATTTGGCAAGAAGAGTTTTCAATGTTCGTCGATCCCAATCGTCCGTTACTAAGAGAACAAACCGTATTTCTTTAATCTAAACATCACGAATTTTACCTCGACCACCATAGTTCTAGAAAGAAAAAAATGGTTTTATATCAGAAAAAAAGTTTGATATTCAACTTACACATTCTCCTGTTAGATAGCGGATAGCTTCGTATTGAACATCCTATAGAAATAAACAATCGATAATGTTCGATGTTAAGAAAAAGAATAGTGTTTTCCGTACATCATATTGATTAAGGAACATGTTCAATTGTTGAACAGAAATGCGAAGATCAGTTTCGTTGAATTCATATGGAATGTTCCCTAAAGAGGAAGCAAAAAAGACAGCCATATACAGTCTGAGTGGAATGAACGAAGCATACATCCAAGAGGACCGAATTTTCGTCGTTCTTGTACTAAAGCATGGAAAAAGCAAAGACCGAACAAGAGTTTTTTCCATGAACGCTAAAACAAAGTAAATAATGAACATATTTTGATTAGTCTTGTGATCACATACTGGATTTTTTGCGCTGCTAAAGAATTCAGGATCTTTAATTGGATCGCTCAGATATGATCGTAAAAGATTGAAACGCAATCCTTTTGGTGCCTCGTTGGTTAATTTAATACCATTTTGTAATATGGCAACAGGAAATTGATTGCTGGGATATGATGTTAACCAAAGACGAAAATCGGGATGAATTGTATCAGGGTTGAATTCCTAAAAGAGAAATTCATTTCTTGTTGCATCTTTCTGAAATAAATGAAAAAAAAGTTTACCTCGCAAATTTTTTCAAGTTGAGGCATCCACGATGGAGCTAAATGACAGTTTTGCAATACCACCCAGTTGCCTTCTTTGATACCCTTTTGAATATTTTGTACAGCATATGGACCCCTAGAAAACAGTAACAGTACACCATTAGTACAATAAAAGTCACTTACTGTCCTTGACCCAATGAAAGCGAAGGCATCTTTGCACCACCAAAACCCTGAGAAAAAACAAACAAAACCGTTGATTGAAATTATACAAATTCAATGCTACATACCATGTCATCAGCGAATTTACTTAGAGATGACATCGGATCTGAACCAGGTGACAGAACGAAGATAATGGGTGTTACACAAGTTGAATCTTGATACGATTTAGCCAAATCAAATGGTGGCGGTTCAATATATTTCTGGCCAAGATGTTCACGAACGAAGTCTTGTACAGCTGGCACGACTTTGTCAGGTCGAATGCAACGTATAACACACATACGTTGAAAATCTCGCAGTGAATTCTGCCATTCATCAGGGAATTTTTCTCGATGTGGTTCAAGAGAATCATACACAATCTTCCAACCGTCTTTTTGGGCGAGAAAATTCTTTCGTATATCTTTGAATGCTGTTAATTCATCTAAACGAACAAGTTCATCCCAGGATTTTTGTGGCAACCATGCTGTTGGATTCGAGAATGTATTTGATAACGCCACACCACCTGTCAGTAAGAATCGCCATTCTTCTTCATCAATTTTCTTTTCGTATTTCAATAGATTGACGCATAGTAAGAATGAAAATAAGAGTTTGTCTTTTTCGAATAATGATCGACAGATGTTGCTGTACAATGAATAAGTAAAGTGATTACGAAGATTTGTCAAACGTATGTCTAATTCTTCGGACTTTTCGGAATTCTCAATGGATGCGATGAATAGGTTGACGAACCATGTTAATGAATATTGATACATTGGCTCGATATTTGCAAGATCGGCAATAGAGAAGAAGAGAATTGTACAATGTACAGCAATCGGTGTGTAACCTAAACGAGCAGCATCGATTTTCTTTTCGGTTTCTTCGGCAATCAATTGTTTTTCGCTGATATCATTAGCTAACAATTTGGAGCTTGACAGGACGTTGATGGCTGCTTCGTCTTCGAGAATATTGCCTGATGATGAACTTAAAACTTCGAGAATCTTGTCTTCGATTTCTTTCAACATGCGTTTGTTTTCAGCTCCTTGAATAATTAACGAATTTTTCTCTTCTTCTAACTCAGGACGTTCACGTGCGACGACAATGCCTAATCAAGCAAATAAATCAACATCACACTTAACGCTAAGCAAGAAAAACTACCTAGAACTTGATCTTGAAGACCTTCAAACGTGATCATAAAGTTCAGTAATGCAACTTTAACTGCTGTTTCTGGTAAATAATGTGGATTACGTAATTTTGTCGTCATGTAAAAACTAAAATCAGAAGATGCACTATTTCTATGATACTCCAAATGAAACTAACCGAAAATCTGGTGAATATTCAATGACTGAATCACCAAGTTTGATACACATACTGCCACCTTGTTTGAATGTTTGTTTTAAAAGTAACGGTTCAAGTAACGGATCAATTTCTTCGCCGACATTTTCCATGAGAACAGGGTGACCGAATTGTATACAATTTTCCAAAACACGAACGTAATCCGAATCCGATGGTTTAATTATCTATTCGATCAAAAATACTCAATAGATTATATCATATCAACTTCAATGAACATTACATGTAAATTTTTCGGTTTCTCCATGTTCTTAATCCATTTATTAGCTTGACCTTGAGGATCGATCATCAATGGCCATCGACGTGAATTACTATTAATGAACATAATTTCGATCGAGAGGAAGGAGTCGGTGATATCAAGAAATCTTACCTTTGTATGATACCGTTTTCAACTGAAAATGAGTCACTTGGCAATCCAGCAATGTTCCATGCGCGAATGACAACTGGTTCACCCAGAGTACCGACTAAGGAGAAAACGGCGGAACGTGGAAGATTTTTTTCTTCGATTAATTTATTCCATTCGCTGATCATATCCTAGAATCAAATCAGCAGACAATGTTACACTGTTTTCCTCGAAGTTATCATCATCACATACTTGACGGAAGACGGCAGTAAACGCTCCTAAGTAAGCGATGATACCACCAGAGAGAAGAATGTCACCAATCAGATTATCATATTGATGTGTCAGATCCTTCGCTGCTTGCATCCAACGTGTCTTTTCTCCACCAAGCCCACCAATTAGAGTTTCGGCACGTGTTAATTTAGTTTTACAATCCATGACCTAACAAACATGTTGCTTGTGCATGATCAGAAAAGTCCGAAAGTTTTCCTACTTGTTTCGATAGATCATCTTTCTTCGCTAAGTTAGCATCGAGTTGCCGTTGTAAAACTGCTAGTTTTTCTTGTACGGTTCTCAAATGCGCACGTTTCTCAACGAGAATTCCTTCTGCTTTTGCTACTTGACTTTCTGCAGCTGCCAAGGCTTGTTTCTTTGGTGCAACGATTTTTGCGACTACATCGTATTTATCCATAGCCATTGTCCATTTTGCTAGACCGGCGCACGCTTTTGACACCGTTTCGACTTTATCAGGTTGAAAATTCGGATCCGGTACGTATTTGTCTCGAATACGTTTCATCAATTGTGGTGGAATTTCATCACGTTTGTAATTGAGCAAGTTCTTCAAAAAATATTGATTACCTAACACACGCACAGATGTTTTCCACCAATCATCTTTACGTTGACCAGTCGCTGTATCAACAACTTTCTCTGCTTGTTCACCGAGTAAGATGCAAATTGCCTCCATGACGGTTTTGACTGCCGCAGGTGGATTTTTCATTGCTTTCATTTCAGCTATTTGATCTGAACCTATTGATTAGTTTTAAAAAAGCGTTCAGCTGGATTCTGTTTTTGCAGTGAAAAGATCTTCTACTTACTGATTGTGTTCAAAGCTTCAGTGGCTTTTCGGAATGCTGGTAAAGCTGCTTCTAATTCTAAGTCACACTCCGCTTTGATTTGATCCGCAGCTGCTTTTTGTTCGTTAGCTTTTTCTTCGTCAACACGAACGATTTGTTCTTGACGAACGGCTTCGGTTTTCTCCTTTTCGACAATAACTAACGTTTCATCGACTTTTTTGTCCATCTCAACAAGTTGTGGTTGAAGATTTTCAAGAGTCTTTTGCATTTTACCAACTTGCGATGCTGCATTCTCCAATTTTTCTAAACCGACTTCATATCGTGTTCGTGCTGATAACAATGCCGTACGACGTTTCTCCAGTAACGTTTTGAATGTATTAATCAATTCAAGATACGATGTTGGTGTGACGTAGTTGTGTCGATCAAGTTCAGCAAGAAAACGCTTTGAGACTTGTTGTGTGCTAACATGGAAATATTTACATATATCGATACAAGATCGACGTTCTTCATCAGTCATATCAGTTTCTTCGAGGAATTTCTGTGCTACTGCTTCTAAAGCATCTTCAGGCCAGCTTTGGAACCAATCGATCGTGCAACAGTTGACTAATGATGGAAATTTTCTTAAACGACTTCGAAAAGCATCACCAATTGGACTCATGGCAAGGACAATGTGTAATTGATCACGGCAACGTTGAATAAACATATTGAATAGAGCCAATGGACTACCATCGGTTTGTTTAACTTTATCACGTTGTCTAAAGAAGACGAATACAATGAAATCATTTTTTCATCAACAAATACATATAACGTCGACGAAAATACAATATTGCTTTCAAAAGTTCATCGATATTGGGCTTTATATCGATGTGCAAGGCGACAGTGGATATTCGAATGAGGATAAAAGGGATTATGGATGATGTGGAAAAAAAACATCGATACAACATCATCGGGTATATCTAGATTACAAACCCTGGTGCTTGTTTTTTAGATTGGGCCATATTCCTACATTCACAGAGATTTTATTTCGACGATTCGACACGAAGGAAAACAAAAGTCTACATAAACTCGTTTAGATTGCATACCTGTCGAGAATTCGCATTTTATCACAGATTTGGGCTGTTTCATCGGCTGGAAAAAGATTTGGTACTTCACCACTGTTNTTTTTTAGATTGGGCCATATTCCTACATTCACAGAGATTTTATTTCGACGATTCGACACGAAGGAAAACAAAAGTCTACATAAACTCGTTTAGATTGCATACCTGTCGAGAATTCGCATTTTATCACAGATTTCGGCTTTTTCATCGGCTGGAAAAAGATTTGGTACTTCACCACTGTTCAAGAGATTGTTGACATCTTCTAAGAATGATTCATCTTTGATTTGTGTATCACAAAATAGAAAGACTAAATGATTATCAGTTTCGGTTGCTTTACGTAGAGCACGTTTTAAATCTTCACGCCATTCATTAACTGTGTAACTCTTCGAGATTTCGACTTGAAATGTGTCCATCTCAGACATATGTGCAGCAAGACGTGTTAACGATTGTCGACCAGAACCACCGACACCAACTAATAAAGCATGTGATCTCGGTTGTTTAACAATACGTGAAATACGTGAGACATGTTCAATAGCAAAGCTAACAAAACCAAAGATACGATGAATGAATCATTGAAAAAGCGTTTTGTCTTACCGAAAGAGGACAAGATTCATCGGTTTTTTCGACATTTGCTTGAATTCTTCAAGATACTGTTCGCTAACTGTACGTAACTGTTCTAAATTAGTGACTTCTAAATACCGCCGTTGTTCATTTTTCGGATCCCCAAAGTCGCAGAAGATTAAACTACGTAAGTTGTCCTCTGTAACCATACCGGTTTTTCCCACATCCAAATGTCGTAATCACTGATGGAAATTTTCACGTAGAACTTCTCGAGAAGTTTTTATAACATGTTCATATAACCATTTACGATCTTCATCGTCAATTAAACGATCATAGAATACACGAAGAATTTCATGAATCCTATATGTAGAAATCAAATGATAATCTTCGATTTGATTGTTTAGCTGTATATTAACTTACCAATTACGTTTCATGGCAGCTGGGTCAGGACACGATTCTGGATCGCTCAATGCAAGACCTTGAATGACACGTGAAAAGTCACGTAAATTGAACAGGTAATGTGATTTCGCTGGTGTTGGAAGTAGAGATGTAAGAGCAGCTTTGTATATATTGAGGGTTGCTTGAACAATCATTGGAATAACCAGTTTAAATTGATCGTTGAAGTTCCTATACAGATAAATACATATAGTTTGTATTTCAAATAGCATCTCAAGTTTGTTCTATACTTGGTAGAAATATGCCATTCCATAATCTTTGTAAATATCGTTGTTAAAACTTTATCATCAAATTCATTAATGCCAAGTGTATTGAAATGACGAAGAAATCGAGCTGTGACTGCGTTACGGCCACCGCCTATAGTGAAAATTCATCGAGTTTACATGATATTGAACATATGCTAGGCTTTTATTTACCAGGCGGTCCCATAGCGCAAATAAGTTGCATATCAGTGAGACCAATACGTGTCTGATCTTTTCGATCGTACCAATTGCTGTGATCAAGCCATTGACGTAATAATTCAATAGGGGGCTAAAAATGAATACAATTACTTTCTATTCGATGCATTGAATTCAATGCTTACTTGTGCTCCGTACTGTTCGACTTGTGGCATCTAGGAGAAAAGCATTGAAAAAACTTCATGTGATCATATTCACAGAAGAACTTACATTCAAATCATCGACAAAAACGACCTGCAATGAAAAGAAGAAGGAAGTGAGATTTCTCAGCGTACAGATCTTGCTGAAAGATGACTTACGCATTTTTGTCCAACTGGTGGACCGAAAAAGCCTTTACGTCGTTTATCTAATTTCGACATGATAATATCTTGTGTTTGACTGGCGCTTGTTTGTGCAGAAAAGTTAATAAAGATAGGTTTGTAGACAGCTTTGTCACATTTTCGTAATAAATATTCGATGATATAAGCTGATTTACCAGTACCAGTTGGACCAACGACGAGCACGGACTTTTGATGTGTGATAAGCATATTTAGTAGTGTGGTAAATCGAATTGTATCTAATGTTTCGACGATAATTTCGTTGAACAGTGTATCTTTGGAAATTGGCGGAACGTTATGAAGTTGATATGACCACGGTTCCCAATACTGATTTCCTTCTTCAGCATCAGCAGGTTTTTCATGACCTTCGTTGTCATCCTAAACGACACAGTGCTCCGAAATGAAAACAAGCAAATTTGAAATTTACCGATTGTTCTGAAACGAATTGATAATGATAGATTGTTAGATGATCCGGTAGTAATGCTGTGTAGGGTTTCGGTGGTGGTGGTACAGCATCCAAAAGGCCAAAGTCTCGTTTTTGTTCATCGTCAAGACCCGATGCAATGATTCTTCGTAAGAAGATATCGAATTTCACTCGACTATTGGTATCACCTGTGATACCAATCGACCAAATTAATGCGAAGAAAAACATGCCTTCGATCCATGTAAAAACTTCTTTTGTGACATAAGACGCGAACTTTTTCGGATCTTGAAATTTGTCGAATTGACAATCGAGGATGTTCATTAATGAGCGAACAAGATTAGAATCACTGGTTGGGGATAGTTCTTTCAATCCACCTTTGCGTAGATAAGCAATACATGGATCAATGAAACGTTCGAATAATTCAACGATTAATTTCTTGTGATTTTCAGTCAGAGTTGGTGGAAGTGTATGTAGCCATGAGGTGAATATTGGGCGCCAACCAAGTGAAGCTGGTTCCATATAGATCATACCACAACGTGAGACCTTAGAATTCGAGTGAATGAGTGAAGCAAGATTAATTTAAGCGAACTTACTGTAGCTGGCGAAGCTTGTTCAAGATCCATAGGTTCGAAAACTAAATTCGTTGTTTTAGCTAATTGAATAATTTCACCACTGTTTAAACACAATTTTTTATTATCATCCAATACGGTGTTCATATTCTATGATAAACAAGAAGGATTTTTCTAAGGAACAACTCTCACATTATATTCAACTTACTTCAATCCAAATGGCATCGACTGGACCTATTTATTAAAATAGATCAGAAGATTAGATAATACTCTATGGAAATCTGATGCAATCTTACCATCAAAAATTAACCATTTACGATCCGGTGTTGTTGATATAGCAAATTTTCGATAATTAACAGCTAAAACACCATCACTCCATTCGTGACTAACAGGATCGAATTGACCATATAGTTGACCGATCGTTACTGACTTCGGATTGATGACTGTGTATTCTGCTTTGTTTTCTTCCATTTGACCCTAAATAGACATTTTTTTTATCAGAAGCTCCTTGATTACTTTCTGTCATTACTTTTTCGTGCAGAATGGCTAATGCCCCTCCTAATGTCCGGTATGCACTGGTTTTTCCACCCATAGGTCCACCGACAATCATAAAACCGTGTCGAACAATCATCATTTCGTAAATTTGTTGGATTTTTTCTAAGAAGAATGGTGTGCATTGAAGATTCGTATCTTTACATGCTTGTTCCACAGCAGCGTTCATTTGGTCATAATCCGGCTTTGGTAGTTTAACACCGGGAAACAAATCACTGGTAATACCCTAGAATAGAAAATCATTAGATGATTGATTTCATAACACTGAATTTAGTAATTACAGCAAACAGTGGTAAGTCACCAGCTAAGAATTTCGGTAGATTGACATCGATAATAGATCGAAGAACGAGAATATCTTCGTTTTGATCCGGATATTTTAACTTAAAAGGAGAAGATAAGGGTTATTATCGAAGAATTTCAAATAACAAATCTGCCAATTTACTTTAAGATTCTTGGCAGCGATCAAGACTGAAATGACAGCTCGCATACCATAATCGTAGTGATGTTGAGATGATAATTGTTCGGAACATAGACGATAGGTTGCAACAATTTTAACGGCTAACGGGCGAGCGTTGACGAAACCGGCTGAGTATAATTTGATCTCAGCAATCATACTATAATCTGGAACCTGAACAAATAGAATATTTTACAAATATGAAGGCTTTCAAGTTGTGATCTTACCATCATAGCTACTGGTCGGAAAAGCGCCTGTTAATGGAAAAGCGAGTACTGAATCAGTTTTTTCACTCAAAATGCAATCTTACTTTTAAGTTATCAGGTAATTCTGATCGACCAGCATATCCAGGATTCTGCGAAAGATATTCCATTGAATCATCGCATATAAAGCAAGAATAAAATAGGTCTTACCATGGTAATAAATGTGGCACATGTTGGATCAAGTTTGATATCGGTACCTTCGAAATGAATCATGTCAGCACCCGATGTAATACCACGTTGAATGACTAAAATCTGTTGAGCGACGACTGATAATACTTCAAGATCAATACGGCTAGAAAATAGTTTAGAGTTAACATAGAGTCAGAGAAGCATATGTAGACTTACTTAAATTCATCGAAACAAGACCAAGCACCGCAAGATGCAAGACCCTAAAACCATTCAATATTTTCATTTCTAGCTGTTATTCGACCTATATCTTTTACTTTGAAGAATTTTCCTAATGCTTTGTAATCCATAGCATCTGAACAGTTGAAGACAATACATTGTTTAGCAACTGCTTTAGCCAAATCTTTTGTTGTTTCAGTCTACAAAATACAACTTCCAACTATTTTCTAACTATTCAACTATCAATTTACTTTTCCGGTTCCAGCAGGACCTTCTGGAGCGCCACCCAAATGTAAATGTAAAGCAGAAAATAGAGTACTAAAGTACATGTTTTATGTCATGAACATTTCTGTTATAGATCGTTTTCATTACTTACCGATAACAACGATCTGTTAATGGCGTAATAACGAGACGAGAAGAGTTACCAAGATATTCATAACCATATTTCAAACTAGCATTGATCATGCGTGTCAATAGACTTTCTTCCTAAAATATCATCAACAAAGCACTAGATAAAAATTTCACGATTGATAATGATGCGCACCTCCCAATAGTATCGGAGCTGAGCTAACCATAAGAAATCATCTTCTTTGCAAACTTTGGCATCTACCAGTGTTGTCAACACATCACGAGCGTGAACATCAAGTACGACAAGAGCTTCAAGTGTGGCACGATTTTGTTCCGATAATTTACCACGAACAAGTTCAACAATTTCATTAATTTGATCGTTGTTCAATTGCAAATATGCTTGAAGTGCCTATCCAACAGAAAATTGTGTCTCTAAGTCTAAAATATCTCTGTTTTATCTACCTCTTGTCCTTCGACAATTGATCGATGAATATGTTTTGTCCAATAGAACATCGAGACAGCTAAGACAGCTTGACCCATCCATGATCGAACCCAAACAACACGACGTTTCTTCTGATAGTCTGCCATGGCATCAGCAATTACTTTATGAACTGATACGATCATCACGCCTTCTAATTCTAACAGCCATTTTTCTACTTGACCGCGAGCTTTCGATGTCGAAATTGTTTCTTTCAATTCAACAATTTCACCTTCGCTCGACTTCATGTGTGTGATATCGAGACTATCAGTAAATTGAACTTTGTCGATACCTTCAAAGCATTTTCGTAAATGCGGTTGCACACTGGAATTAAAAATAGATTTAGTTATTGCGAAAAGCTAAATTTCGAATTGGTTAAGCTTACCGAGTAGGATCTTTGGTTTCGGATAAGATTTCCAACAATTCTTCGTTTGACAAGAAGAAGAAACGAGCGAAGAAGAGACGTTTCTTTTCGAGATATGCATTGAGACCCTAAAATATCCAAGAAAATTAGGAATTTCCAAAAAGAAAGTTCGTGATAAGCTTCACTTTAAGAATGAGTTCCAAGGACGCATCACATTTACGTAGTTTCTCCAACATTTTATCGATTTTAACAATTGTCAACGCATGTTTATCTTCGAGACATTGCTTCATTAATTCACGCCACGTTTTATCAACTGATGCAAATCGACGACCTTCCTCCGGCATTTGAGCCATGATATCCGGACTGCTGAAGATCGGTTCTAGATAGAGCCAATTCTTCTGTACAGTTAACCATACATCAAGAATATCTTGCATCATCGTCATTGTTCGTTCCCAATCCCTAGAAAATGATTTTCATTGAACAAACATCAATTGAACCAATCGACTAGTTGTCTACTTACAAAATTTCTTTTTGAAATGGACCAATGTATGGCGAACCTTTCATGGTTTGAGTTTTAACGATATGATCATCAAGTAATAATTGGATATCATCAACAGCCGATATGACGTATGTACCAGTTTCACGATATGGAATAATGGAGAATTCGATCTGAAGAGAATCAAATACGATGTTGAATAAGAGGAGACGTCATTGACTTACACTTTGCCAATCTTTTTTCATTTTTTCTAGAGCTTTCTCTAAAGAGAATTCTTTCGATGCTGCTTCACTGATTTGTTCAAGTTTAGGTATAAATTGTATTAAATCCATTTCGATAATTTTGTTTAGATTCGTATCATCATCAGGCTTGAATGGTCGTCCAATAATTGCTGATATTTGTTCCCAATGACGATCACGTAGACCAGGATTGAATAATGTTTGTACCAACGGCATCTTCTCTTTGAATTCTCCGACTTGTACACGTAAACGATTGGCCATTTTACGTGGTTGAGGATTGTTATTGAATTGACGTTCGAGTTTAAATAACTGTCGTTCGTAATTACCAACATCTTGTTCGACTTGATCGGGTGTAACTTTACTTCTTGGACCTTCTGTCCAATCACTAGAGAGAAACGAGGAAATGATTGATTTTCTTGGTATATTTCTGTTAGAAAAACATACACAAGTTTATTGGTGAATTCAACACCTGTTTCATATAATTTCAAATATGGTTGTAACTGATTCAAAGTTTGTTGACGAATTGGATAACTTGTTGTGTCCCATTTGAATGATTCTTCTTCAACATTGAATTGTTCAATCTATCGTATTCATGATAGAGCTCGAATACCTCGAAGAAACAAGACTTTTCTCTTACTCGATCAGCCGCTTGAGTTAGTTTTTGTTCGAGATGTTGCGCTTTTCTATGATAGCGTGGTAATTCTTTGATGTTACCCATTTCCTGAAGTTCTTCGACTTGTTTGGCATAATTGTCCAATTCTTCCACAAAACGTTCACGTTTTAACTAAAAGAATCGCATGATTAGAAGAGAAACATTCTTTTCTTGAGAACAAATTCATTACTGTCAACGCATCTTTGAATTGTTCGGTTTTTTCTTTAACAATTGTTGCATGTTCATCGAATGCGGCTGGCATACGTTCGATCCATGAGAACATACTTGTGTTCAAACGTAAATCTGCGGGTGGTAATTCAATATTGTCGAGTAAGAAGAGCAATTCATCTTTGGCTTGAACAAGACGCTTTTCCAGGTCAGGTATGGTTTGCGTTTTTGATTTCGTTATGAATGCGATGATTTCCATTAATTCAGCTGTACTCATTGGTGTGCGCACAGCTTGTTCAGCGATACGCTCGAATTGACCGATTAATCTAAAGAATAAAAATGAAGAATGAATTGTGTTCAATTTTTAGACTTACTCTTCGCCTAAATCTCGGTGTACTTTGACCATTCGTTCAAGTAGCCGATTCATGCAAACTTCGGCTCGTTTGGCCAATGATCGTATTAGATCATTACAATGGATTTCGAACATGCCACGGCGAACGACTTTTTCCAATGTATATGTAATTTCTTCGATTTTGGCTTTGTACTTTCGAACTTCTTGTATGTAATCATTGAACGAATGTTCTTCGTTCAGAAATTGTTCAACATCAGCATCAGCCTACATAAGATACAAATTCTTTTTGCGTAAATTCGTTTTGAATTCCACATACCTGTTTAGTTATCAATACGTTATACTGTTCGAATGTTGATGCGTGTTCAGTTGGACCCTCGAATTCAGCTTCTAACATTTCACGTACACGTTCTTTATGTGATTCAAGAATCGACGGAAGAATAACTGGTACTAAACTTTGACCGTCATTCTGATTCTATACAGAAAAACGTTTGTTTCAATGTGAAAGAATGTCAGATTTAACGTACAGCTGCCCGATCGGAAAATAGTTTGGCTTCGATTCTTGGCAAATTGCTGCATTTAGCAATGATTAAATTATACATGGAGAGAAAAACTGTTTCGAAATCATTTAGCGATGGTTCAAATTTGATTCCTTCATCACTTAAGAACATGTTAACAACAAAGCCTAGAAAAGGAAGATGGTGATTCCGTTTTCTCTCTGCTTTTTTTCCGTCTTACCGCTATGTTCATAGCTTTTGATCGATTCAGGTGGTGTGATAAGTAGATTGGTATAATCTTCAATGCTGAATAGCGCCATATCTTGTAAACATTGTGTCATTAACGTAGCAACAGTATTGAAAAATGAACGAAATTTCGGATCGTCTTGACTGGGAACAATGCCTCGTTTATGACCTTGATAGAAAATTGTTTGAATATCACTTATCCATCTAAATCATCAAAAGTCAAGATTTCAAATCACAAGAAGAAGTTTGTCTCGCACTTTTTTGCTAATTGTTCTCTGGCAGAGTCCATATGGCGTTTACATATCGAATGAAATGTCGAAAGTTCAATTGCATCTGTTCGTTCACGAAATTCATCACAATCGATAATTCTCAATCGTCTACACAATCAATCGTATTGACTTTCAATCAAAATGGAAAATTGCAATTTACTTGAACACATTCTTATGCCACATTGATAAAACTTGTGCCATCGCTGGATTGATGGCATGAAGGTTTTTCTCCATGTTTCGTTGTGCAAGAACAAATGATGAGTGCCATGGTTTTGGTAAAACAGCAATTTCTTGTCGATGTGGAAGACTTTCTTCTTTAGGTTCTTCTTGTGCTTCATGTGGATCACGAAGAACAAAGTCAACTATAATGAAACTATGGTCAGTCACATCTAGGCAAGAAGACATTCACTTACCGATGGCTTTTTTAACGCTCAATAAATAATCTTCTTTCATTTCATCAGTTAGAGAACTAACCAGTGGTTCCCAACTCTGTCGTAAATCATTTGGAAGACGTGAAAGTGTATCATGTATACGATGTTCGTCTAATTCAGCCACATATTCGGTGTCAATTCCATTTCGAACGTAGAAATGATAACGCTAGAAGGAGACAAATAAACCATGATCATCATCAAGAAGAAAATAACCGTGCTTACTAAGATATCTTTTTCCGCGGATGTTAACGTATCCGATGCACCAGGTGTATTCTCATCTTCGTTCTGATAGAGATCATTTAGATCATTCGTACCGTTGTTTTCTCTACGTCTGCACGAAGAAGAACAGGAAAATCAGTTGTTTATTCAATCAAAAATCTCTTACGTCACTATATCAACAAGAGCTTTGCGAAAATCTTCACGTTGTTTTTTCGTGTCAACCATTTGGCGATGTGCAATTTCTAATGCCTTTGCATCAGGACTACGCGTTGGTCCATGCAAGCGTTTTCTCTTTGGATCGTCTAAGAAGAAGAAACAATCAACATTACAATGACATCATGCACGGTGAAAGTTCGCTTTTTGTTCCTAGCAACCAACAACAATTATGCTCAATTCTTATTTCGATTTAGATTTCGTGTATGATAAAGCATAGAGAAAGTTAATTTGATCGAAGATCTCAAAGTCGAAAGATAATTTCACCGAAAAATCATTTGATTTCGTAAGATGATTGTTAGGGTATCGATTTCAAAACAAAAAAAGACGTACTTTCGAGAAGTTCTTGAAGAAATCGTTCATTATCAGTGGCAACTTCGTTCAATTTACTCTTGCCAGGAACGAATAGTGGCGGTCGAGGTGTAGTCCACTGTGGTTGAACACGAACTTCCGGTAGTTGAGGGAGAAATTTGGCTGGATCATGTGTGCCTTTTCCTTTGGTGCCTTCTCCACGAAGAGCAAGTCGATTCTAGAGAGAGAAAGTTCCTTCCAAGAATGTCACTGAGTGCGGAAAAAGCTTTTCTTACATGTATATCGGCCATGAATCTGTGTATGAATTTTGATCAACACAGAAAATGAAACTGTAAAAATGTATGTAAGACCATTGTCAACGTATTTACAAGTTTGATTCCTAGGCAACAAATGTCCTTCGAGAAGATTCAATTGATGATTAAGAAAAGTTCGAAAAAAAGTTCAAACTGCTGAAATACTCATGGTTTTCTTCGATGAAGGTTCTCGAGAGGAAATTCGTTGGAAATCTTTGGTGTGAACAGCGACATCTATTGGAAAGATTTTCTTTTTATTCTATACAAGTGACGCTGGATCGAACAATATGAAACAATCAATACAACATGAAAAAGTATTATTCGAAAGTTTTTTCTTTTGAGATTTTTTACATTTGTTTGTTATTGTTATGGTCGACGATGAAGATTCTGAATCAGTTCGTTCATTTCTTCTGATTGTCAAGTCTGTTGGAAATGATGTAATCGATGAACGTCGAAGTAAATTCAATGAAACAAAACAAACATTATTTTGTCGATAAGTGATCTTCCGTTGGCATTTGTAGCAGATACGTTGTAGGCATATGGTACAACGAACACCCGGTTGTAACAGAGAAAACTTCACTTTTCGACACGAAAAACATATATGACCATTAACAACATGTTTGTATAGTTTAAAATCGTACAGTAACGTGGCAAATTCGCCATTGGTTTGAGCATTCCGTATGTGAGATAATTCCTCGAAATTCAATGGAACGTAGAGATTTTTCTTTACTGGTGGTTTGGCGTCAGTTAACGATGCAGATGACGGCGTTTCTGAAGCGAAAGATGAAAGATCTTGAGCAAGATTGTTGTTCGTTGACGAAGTTGAAGAGATCAGAACATCTGTATCGGTTGTTTCCTCATCGTCGTCATCATCGATTAAAATTGGTTGAACACGTTTTCGTCCTGGCGTGGATATCATCATCGGTCGTCCGTCTAGTTTATCTATTTCGCGCGAGTTAGTCAAATGTTTTGGTTTTATTTTATCTATATATGAGTGACGTAACAGAACGAAAGAAAATTGTTCGTACATAATGATCGATGATTTGCTGTACGTTGTAAATTTATCATCATGACAAGTTCAATGAAAGATCTTCGAACGTATTTTTTGTTTGTCTTTTTAATGGGCTGTTAAAAAAGAAAAACATTGCTTTGTTATTCTATGATGAAGTATTAAATTCTGTCGATAGTTTTAAATTACATCCTGTGTTCTTCTGCGGAAGATTTTTTCGAATGTAATTCGACATATTTTCAAGCGTGAATATGAAGTTCTTGTATAATATATCTCCTTCACAAAAATATAAACAAAAGAACAGTATCAGCTAGCTTGATCATCTTTTCTGCTATTAATGTCAATCAATGCAGTTACTAAGGGATTGCTGACGAGAATAAGATCATCGCATAAGCGATTTACATAACTAAATATATGTTTGCCACTATTTACAGCTGACCACGCGCATACAGCAGCAGAGATAACTACACCGACGACGGCTGTACTTGCTGTTAGAGCAATGCGAGCACCACCTGTCAAAGCAACTGCAGTTGGCGCAGCTACACGGATAATATCATCGGAAAATGGAGCACCAGCCATGAAAGCACCGCCGACAGCTGCTCCCAATGAACCATTCTTTCCTCTCGTTTTCATCATTGTTGCCGTTACGCAGTTCTCCAGCGTTGACGTTTGCAAACAGCCATCGTCAATACTCAAACGAAATTGTACTAAGTACTGACGAAAATCTTTGGTGATGCCGAATGCTTGGCGAATATGATCCCTTGCCAAGTAACGTGGCAACTGATCGCCAAAGGGTACGATAGCAGCTAGACCAGCTCCGATCTTGTAATTGAAGACATTTAGAACATAACCACGACGAAAACATACGTTGATTACTCGAGCGATGGCTCGTACGGCTAATGAGTGGATACGACGATTTCGTGCATCACATGCTAAGTGACCTAGTTCATCAATTAAGATTTTCATATCAAACGATAGCGTTTTTAGTAAAGTTTCAGCATCAGAACTTGCTGGCATGAAATCAGCTGCCGTCAAATAGATTCGATGCGATTCCATTTGATTATCGAATCGCAGTTGTTCGAGAATTGCTGATGTGTGATAATTTCGTTCGGCTACCGTGCTGCTGCCATAAAACAAACCTGATCGTTCACGATATTTCGCTAAAAAGTCAATATCAATTTTGGATCGTACTAAAATACATTGCCTCTTCAATGTTTCTTCGATATACGTTATCCAGCCATGCTGTTCATAACGAAGTTTCTCATCGAAAACTAATACGTAAATATCGCAATCAGCTTTGCGAATTTCATCTAAATAATTGCCCGGTGTGATTTGATTGTCAACTGTCGGTACATCTTTATCATGACCTTGAATATCTACAAGTGTAACAGCAGTTGTTTTCAATAGATTATTCGGCGATTTCAAAGGTTCCTTTCGGTCGAATTGTAATTGATAATAAGTACTTTTTATACTGCGCACTGGCGATGAAATTTCGTTTGCAAGATCTTCGATACCAAGTAAACGATTGAGAATGGTGCTTTTTCCAACGCAGGTATAGCCAATGATACCAATTTTAGCTCGTACGATACCGTGACGATGATTGACCCATTGTTCTTCAAGATCAGTTTCAATAGCAGTAAACAAATCTGCGACTTGTGGTTGAAATTGATCACTCGACGCCAAGGCACTGTTCCATTCAATCATTTTCGCGTGAGTATTGGTAAATGCTCGATAAAATTCTGTATCGGATATATCACCAAGTAAATGTTCACATGTCCGAATATAACAGGAGCCAATTTCATTGCTCTCCTGATTGTTATTCTGATCGGACATGGAAATCACTTCTTTGTACTCGCTTTGACATCTATGCATATTTTCCGTAGGATTCTCTTTCATTCGCGTAGCAATATCTAACAATTTCTCAGCCATAATATGAGTATCATTCGTAATCTGATGGATCTGCGCCCATCGAGAAAATCGTTCGAGAGTAGAAATTAAATTAATTAAATGACGTCGGCGACATTCGATATCACACCAAAGATCAATCATATTATTCTCTGTTAACTGTTTATTTAATAAATGACTTGTATAACGTATACCATATTTGATTGACATACTATTCCATAGTTGTTTGATCAGTGTTTGATTTTCCTCCGGTATTTTCTGCAGAGGATATTCCAATAAACAATACATACAGCGAAATCTTTTCGTAGTTCCATTATGCATTTGTACAAATTTGACGCATTGAGAACAGTACAACCGTGCGCATTTCGAATTGATACATTCGAGAGGGATACGTTCTTCTTGTATTCCAAATGAACAAAGGCACATGGTACAAGAATTGTACATCTAAAAGAGGCCGCTTTATGGCAGAAGTCTGAAATTTATTTCAACGATACATGTTTTGTATTGGAACTTGTTCGTCGACGATTTGACGCCGGTTCTATCTCTGCAGGATCATGCCGAGAATCTATATGATGAGACTGAGTAGAATCGATGATATGTTCGATTTGCGTTATTTACTTTTGGCCGTAAAGTTGCCCATGATATTTCAAAAGCTGTTTTTTTCAACAGGTTAAAGTTTAATATCACAAAAACAAGTAAAATGATGTCACTGACATACAAGCATTCTTTTATCAAACACGAAGCGTTTGTCAACATGAATGACGTATCGTTTTTATCGACTGACAGAGCGTCTTCTTCATTCAAGTGATCACTAAAATTAGTCGATGATTCAATGTAAATATATGTGCAATGACATACAGATACAGATAATACGATGGTTATCATTTCGCTCGGATACGTACACCATCAAATCGCTATTGTATCTATACTATGACCACCTTCGAGGTCGAGTTGATTTTGGGTTTTTTACGTTGATTGTCACGATTAGTTGTCAAACTTTCCTCTCCGCACTTCATTGGAATTACTCGCTGAAGTTTATCAAATCTAGGCTGAGAGTACAAGTCTTTTTTCGAATATATGTACATAAGCCGAAGTCCAGCGTTTATTTCTTCTCTTGATTACGAAGGTCACAAAAGAAGAGAAAATATACAAAAGAAAAATCAATGTCATGAACTATACACATACAACGAAAGAAAAATATATATGTATAATGTATCGAAAAAATAAAAAAATTAAAACTTTGTGGGTATGATTGACGAGTTCTTTTGCTTTTCGTCGTCTTTATATTCTCCTTGAAATTGTTGTTGCTCGATCAATTTACTTTTAGCGATTTCATCGACTTCATTCCAAAAGTTAAGTAAACGATTCTTGTCATTAGCACAAAATGCGCGAAAATCTGCTAACATGATATCTTGATATTTTTCTTCACCGGTTTGCGTACTGCGCCATTTTTTTCCCAAGCAAAAGTTCCAACACCAATAGAATCCACAATCAAGTGGCGACGATTGACCGTCGCCTTCACCACTCGATGCTACACGCATCGCTCGACGATTACAATGTACATTGTAAACATCCGATAAAATATAAACAAGCATACCACCGCTAATGTGAACATAGTAGATATTTTCATCCTTGTAGCTGACACACGTATTTAAAATGAAGCCATAGCTAACAGAAGGGAACAAAGAGAAATATTGATCGAATGACGAATCATGATACGAACCGCTTGACAATCAGTTCTTGAAAAATACTCAAAAGCTGACCACGCGAGGTTTCCGAAAAGCATTCAAGTTTTTCAACGAGACACGACGAATCCATCCGGATATAGATAGGACCTGAAAACAACATTCGTTCGCTGCATGACCCGTACATTGAGAGAACTCAGTATTTACCTCGTAACGGATCAAACTCAGCAAATGGATCACATGGAATAGGAATGAGATGGAAAGCGACTTGGTTTGATCCGAGCATTGTTCCTGTGCGTTGTGACCAAGTCGTTATAAGATCTCCTAATATGCATGAAGTGGCCACTAGCCAACGAATTTCCAATTCGAATAGACAATGTGGATTGTAGTAAGCATGATGTTGTGCGACCGCCCATTCACGTCTATCAGACATCTGCTTTGGGTCGACATCAACATTGCAACTACGTTTTAATTCGATTGATGCTGTTGCTTCTTTTCCTGATGGATCGTTATTGTTATTGAAATTATTGTTCATTGTAGATGTATTTCCTGTTCCAAGACGTGCTGTTCGTGATACTGATTGTGGACTAGGAATAAGATTGGGCAGTAAACGCATAGGACTACATAAAGCGAAGCCTAAGTAATCCATTGAGGGAATAAAATTTTTGGTTTCATAAAATCCCACTTCAGGATAATCATTGGAATAGTGACGGTCTAAACAGAAAGATGTTCGACTGAAACACTTTGATTGACGAAGCTCACAATTCCTTGTTTTATCTGTAACAATGTAATAGAGAAAAAAGCCAAAACGAAACGGTTTATCGACGGATGTATAATGTTGAATGATTTTCTTCGTATTCAAAAACTAAAACAGAAAAAGACACATTCTCGTTCTTCCTCCTCCCTATTGCAGTTTGCACCATTTACTTCAAATAATAAGCAAGCAGTATCTTCATTCTGTATATCATCACAGTGTTCAATGCACCACCAGATCGCTTCAATAGCAATGAACGAGCATTCAGGTAAAACAGCATCTTTGACGAATGATAAACCTTGCTGTTCATCTTGAAATAAGCTCAACAAACCACTTATCGCCTCACTATCGCCAGACATAACACTACTAAGGTTAAATGTCTTATTCGGTCCTCTAAAAAAGTGTACAAGAATTACATCGCAAACATTGAGTTCAGCATATTTCTTACATATTTTTGCCTGGACGTCGATGAATATCGACACGTTTCTTTCCGGTAACTGGATCAATAGGCTAGACGAAAATAAAAAGGAGGACCACGATGAATAATGAAGATATGCTGAAACATACTCGGTGGAAAAATTCAGTGGGGCCAGTACGAACGCGTGAAAGTTTATTTAGCATGACTAAGAATCGAATGAAATGTTCAACATAAAGAAAGTAATCTTCGTGCGACATTTCTTGACGACTATCACATTTTGTTTGACCGGATTCAATACTTTTTATCGTATAATCACGCGAAACCGGCATTAATACCAGACGAGTACGCCAATATTTCGTAGACTGAAACGAACATTAACGATTACAGTCGAAAGACTTCTAGTAAAGCTTTAAATGCATACGTTCGATAGTTTATGATCACCGGATCCGTGACTGCACACAGTATTATCGACGACATTCCACGCAAACAGCTCTAAGTTATCCAGCTGCAGCGTATATCGAGCTCGATCATAATAGGACGAATCAGGACACTGAAATCGGTATTTATATGCAACGGGTCTAGGTTGAAAGACATATCTAAAGATGCAGAAAGTTCCAGAAATAGATTTTCTGCTGTCGTTGAGAGAAATTACATAGGTTTAAATTGTTGTACACATATAACAGCTGTATCTGGCTTTGGATTCGCTTCTGTGACAAGACTTAAGGTATGATAAATTCGGCCGATGCTTAGTAAACGGTTGTAGCCGGTTTCTTTGTAGCCGCTCAATCGAATTTTTTCAATCATTATCTTCGTGACATGTAGTGGAATTTCCACCACCATTTGAAAACCCTAGAAGATGAACAAGAGGAGTTTTTCAATTCGATTTCTATTTTGTGCTTTACTTGAGATAGACGTTGGTCAATTAATTCATCAAACGCTAGTTTATGTCGCTCCATCGGATCGTAACTACGAAAACAAATGGAAAAAGTCCTTCAGAGGACATATAAAGCAGGACCATACTGAGTTATTGGTTCGGCATTTGGAGTCCCACTATGTGTTTGTTTTCGTTTTCGATCATATTCCGTTATTGGTGGTAGATATTGAAATAGTTCGTAGGAATTATGTGTAAAATCACGTTTTAAATCGTCTTCTGATGGAACAACATCGAATGTGGTCGGAAGAGAAGCTGGTATGGTCAAAGATTTCCAATCGATACCAGTTATCATCGATGCACTCCATGGTTCAACACCTGTCGGGCCCCAAATAATAGCTTCCACTTTGTCTGCAATAGAATAAAAATCGATTCTTATCGAATCAGTAGAATGACCGCAAGGTAAACGAACTTTTCGTTGTTGCTATTTTACTTGAACCGTCATGACCGGGCTTTTTGGCAGGCACATTGCTAACATTTGTTCGATTATCGTCAGTGACGCTATCCCGACGATTCACGGTTCCTCGTCTCAAATCATAATTTGATGGACTGACAATGCTGCAGTAAAAAATAGTATTTTGTATAAACAGAGCACTCTGTCAGCGTTGATTCCTTACCGCTTTTGACGTGTACTCACATCGCTATTAGCTTTCAGATGTTGATTCATTCGTTTTGATTTTAAATTATTTGTCAATTGTTTGGACGTGCCCGGAAGAACCAGATGTGCACATGTTGATATGCAAACAAGGATTTCTTGTTTCATTAGACCTTCTATTTGACGTAAATGATGAAAATGCCATGGTATTTTATTCGGACCTACAAACAGTGACAATGAGAACAGAAAAAACATCATCATTCGACGTTTCGTCTCTTTGATATACCAATAGGAAATGTGTGCGCCCACCGACGTCGTCCTGGTACCATCGGTATACGGATACTAGCTGGTGCAAATGGATTGGTCAGCGCTTTCGGCCGTGCTTGCATTCGTGCAAATATATGAGATGTTAGAAAATAGGTATCAGCACTCTGAGCGGCACGTGAGAAACTATGTTGATTATAGAACAAAACCTGTGCGGACTGGTTATATGTATTGTATGCCTGAATATATGCTGATATATTTGCTGATGTTGCATGGGATGTTGAAAGCACGATATCATCTTTGACATTAGCATTGAAGAGGCGCGGATCATCATTTGTGCCTGATGATACTGGAGCTTTATTATTTACAATTAACATGCCTGTAGGTTCTTGAATGGGATCGCCTTCTTCCATAACTACTGGCTCTAAAATAGTGGAATGAATATTGAGATTTTCCCTGAAATTGATCCTACGTGAAGGACCCATTGTTATGTGTCGTCGTCTGGCTATACGAACATCACTTCGGGCACTTCTGTCAACCGTCGATCCTTGTTCAGTTGGTCTATTGATACGAAAAACATCATATTCGAATTTGTCTTGTTTAAAGAAGATTTTTCTTTTTAATTACGCTTTTGTTGTTGTTTTGAATACTTGAGCATCAAATTCTTCCATCGATGGCTGATACGGTTTGATAAAAAACTCTTCGGTAATTGAATTCATTACAGTTTTCACATCTGTTTTACATAAAAAGTCAATGAAATACTTCTCGAAGAACAAGAATTCTATACCTAATAAGCCGCCTTGTATTCGTTGTTTATCAAATGGTACACGCGGAATAAAACGTTTAAAGCATGATGGAGCAGTTGAACTTCTATAGTAACTACAAACAATCAGAACACTTTCTAACAGATACATCTTGCAAATCTAGATGAAAACCTTAAATTGATCCAGTGTGGAATCTGATAGTCATCTGCGGTATTTGGATTTTCTTTGAAAAATTTAAACAATGGTACGGCAAACAATGGTTGTTCTCCCAGACACACAAGATCACTGCCGATACCATTATCTAATACACGTTGCTTAGTCATGTTTGTTAATTCACGGTCAACTTCGAAAATGCCACCACCCGGTGTAATTACTAGCGACATTTGACCCAGACGATCGAATGGACGATCAATAAAATGCCGTTCAAAAACTAGACAAAAGAGTACGCTTTCGTTTCTTCTACTCTCCTCTTCACTTACTACTAGACGATAAGTTCAAAGTCTCGAGAAAATTCCCATCAGCTGCACATGAAATCGTTCCATTTGGCATCTTATCTGCTTCCTCTTTGGGTAGTTGTTTTTTATGATATGTCACCAGATCTTCCTTATAGTTCACCAGTACTTGTTTGATTTTAGCTAGGCGCGGTGTCCAATCGTCATAACGTTCATTTTGATAGATTACACTAGAAACGAAAATGTCACAAATAACACATCTTCGACATTCCCTTACCGATAGAAATCTTCATAAAATTTTCCGCGATGATCTATGTTGATATCTTGTCTTAAAGATGCTGGAAAATCTTCCAGTGATTTTGCATCGTAGAAAACTCGAGAAAATAACGTCATTGTCACATCATGTTGGCAACTCATTGACTGGATGAAAAACAGTTTTCATATTCAATGAACTACATTACGAGACGTACCTTCCATCGTGTGAATAAATCCATAAGAAATCCATCCACAGCTTTTTCATAATACGTGTCACCTTGTTCATCGAAATCCCACATCTCCTTCGACATCTGTAGAAATATTGTACAACATGCACTCAACGAACGAAAAACAATCTAAAAGAAGATTTTAGTGATAGCAAAGTCAGTATATCGCATCTTACTTTTGTATCTTTTGTGATATAACCGGAAGAAACGCGAAATGGATGATTTGCTATCCATAAACCATACACCGTCGCTCTACATGTTTCGATTTCGTCTTCTACGGAAAAGTTCGTCGAATTTCATTCCTTACCTCATGCCAAATATTTCTAGTGCTTTCTTCAAATAAACAGCGGTATTTACTAATTTACGTGTAAAGCGCCACATATCACCACGACTGAAATATTGTTCTTTAACTTGAATTTCGACTAGATATAGTGCAAACGCCTAAGTAATGAAAGAAAACATGTGTTCGCTGTATCTCAAAAGAGCTCAATAAACCTCTTTCTTCGCAACTTTTTGTATTATATTATAATTCACCAGTAAAGTATTGATTGAAAATGTTCTTTTGATGGTGTCGTCAATATAAATATCTAAGAAACAACATAGATCTCAATCGAATTGTGAGCTTTTCCATACCGAAATTGGCTGACTGAATCGCTCGTTCATCATCGACGCGATCAACTTGCATAAGAAGTTTCTGCGTGTCATTATTGTCATATAAATTCATGACGAAAAGATCACCTTTGGCTAAATTTATTTTCGGACTAACGATTGTTGGTGCACTGGAATCTAAATGTTGAGAAATAACATCGAAAAACTGAGTCAATCATCAAATACAAACTTGGACCACGTACGAACACAGCTCGACATTTGAGTCTAAATGTAAAGTGGCAATTACAAGCGGAAGTCCGGTCATCTGACTTCATACTCCTTACCGATCTCCTTCGAATACGTTTTCCTCTAAAGGTTCATCGGTATCGGGTACTGATACTAACGTCATGCTAAACGTTAATAGATAGATTTTCTAATACACATCGAGGTAGATTGATAGAATTTGAGGTTTTATATGCGCACATGCAATGCATGCATATTAATCTTGATATTCGAAAATATTTATCATCTAAACGAGCCAATCAGCGAACAGCACTGCCAGTATGTGATAACCAGTGACCTCTGGAAAATGTAGAATTGCGGTACGGATACATTCCATATGTATATAGACAGACTATATATATTTTTCATTGTTTATTTAAGCATGAAAATTCAATGGATAACAAGATAACAAAATAAGCAAAAACAGATAATGTAGGAGTGAACCGTTCATTTCTTGATACTTAACAAGTTCTGCCTCAATTCGTCTAGAGTCATTGCGTTCGATTCCAATGCCATTCGCATAGCCTAGAAAGCAATTTCAATATGGAATTATTAAATTCATCAATTTCTTACATAACCGGATGCTGAAGTGTCTGAAATTAATTTCGACGGATCGATTGCTTTGTATCTTCCTGCTTTGAAATGGAATTTTGAAAATGGATCATCTCCATGCCAACAATGTAGATGTAAACGGAGATTTTTCTTGATGTCTGTTTGATCTTTGGATGTCACACCTTGATCTAAGAGTTTACTTGCCAGGAGTATTCGGAGATTTTCGTTCGCTATTATGTGATTAATAGCTAAGTGACCACCATAGAGCAAAAGAACGCCGAAATGCCATTCCGGCCAAAGCTAAATATATAGTAGAAGAAATATCGCTGTTTCAGCTCGGCGAAAATCGATACAAACCATTACACCAAGTTTGTGTTCTCGTTCCGGTGTAGTAAATTCATTTCTGACTAAATGTAACATCGCTTGGATTGTATAATCCGACATATGATAGATAATCGATGGTGATCCATACCTAAGAAACACGACAATCAATACAATTCACAACGCCTGTCTTTAAAAATGTCTTACCAAGTAGATCCAAGACCATTCTTATCGGCATATTTCCAATCCATATCTCGGGCGATACGTTTCAAACGATTACTATTAAACTCGGTCGAATAACCACCATGACCGACAAGTACCGAATTATTATAAGGAATATATCGAGCAAAATTTTCAGTCAGAAAACAATCCATATCCGTGCGAAGTACGTGGTCATACATGAGAAAAGTCGAATTAAATTCGAAAACAGTATTTATCGAATCAATATAACCATAGCCTCGTAAATATTGATACATTCTTTGTGAACGCTGTTGATCGATAATTTGATATTGACTGGACATCTTGTGTTTAGATGAACGATCTTTAATACGGATATAGGGAAAGACTCGACATTGTGCGTTTTCTTTTCGATCTAAACGAATTCTCTCGTATACGCAGCCGAGTTGTTTGAATACAGATGTGTATTCATTCGCGTAGACAATGATGTCCGTTCTCCATAGAGTCGATTCGTTCTTCATCATTTCGATCCACGAACGATAGAACCAACGGAATTCAGGAAGAAATGCTGATTGCTGATCATTTGGATAGAAAAGAAGGAGAGCTCTTGAAACAATAGATTCCAACGGAGGTTGATAAATTAACGGTAAGTCCACTGCAATGGTTTTACTCTTCTCATTCGCCGTCGACTTCTCGATTTTCAATGTCGGCAATTGAGTTACAACATTTTTAATCGGTGTTATCGATCGGTAGAAGACCATTTGAAAACCTGTTGTACACACGATAATGGCTAAGATCACAATAAGAAAAAATATAACTATTCGACGAACAAATCGCGATGAAGCAACGAGAGAGAACGAAAAAAATTTCATGTTAAATTTCGTTTCCGAGTAATTTAAATGAGAGCGCTACGAGTAAACTCCATGATGCATAATATGAAATCATCGATCATTTTCATTTAAAATTGAGTAGTATGTCGTATTCACCTTGTCTTTATCTAAAACATAGCAAAGCATAAGAGAATTCATAAATCAATAGTCAATATTTAGTTTCACATCATGTCCTGTATTATTCTCTAAGCTTTCAACAGCATTTCATTTGATTTCTTTGTACATAATGAGAGGATGTACTCTTTTCCACTGGAACAACTTTCAAAATCAGAATACGACATCTCGCCACACTCTGTAGCTGTTTCAATCCGTCCTCGATCTGTCAGGAGAGTCAATATCGTTTGAAAATCGATTTGCTCGAGCTTAGAAATGAAATGAAAATGAAGAATTGTAAATACACCAATTAGTGATTCCCCAGGTTCCTTCTCTTTTTTTTCTAATAGATTTTTGCCGCAAGGGTACAACTCAACTACATCGAGATGTCCTTTACATAAAAGACAGGTATGCAGAACTGAAAAAAAAATACATACAGACATTCAAGTCATGATTTATGATGTTAAATACCGAAGAACAGGAGTTGTTAACAGTTTCTTCTTGATTAACAACATGTGATACTCGAAATATCAAGGATAGAATAGAACGCTAACGGATTTTTCCCGTTCTACGACATTGAAATGCTATCCGTGAAAGAATAAATACATAAAGTTCAAATTGCGAGCAGTATATTCATAATTTAATCAAAAGTTAAATATTACCTTTTTCAAATGACTCAGCAAATCTTATATTTTGCAAATTAACTCTACCAAAATGTCATGCAATTTTGTTGGCATACACATCAATATTCTATGTTAAATCAAAATTAAACCTCTATCGGGTTATCTAAGCATTATGAACGACGATTGTCTATGACAAAGACAAGGGAAAAGGTAGGCACTGAATGAAACTAAAAAAATGCAAATAGTTCTTTTCCTGGTGAATGAAAGGTTAACATATGCGTGTGTTAAACTCAAGGAAAATGGCCAAGTATATTTAGTTTTTTTTACATATAAAACATTGTTAATATTACTAAAGACACGTTTGATTTCATTCGTCGTAGTATTGCTTAATCGTCGATGAAGGTTTACATTTCTTAGCCTTGTAAAGCTGCTTTGTATTTCATTTTTTATAACGTTACCGTTTCAATCGCGAGAATTGTGCATAAGTACTTGCTGTCGAACAGTACCAGCATCTTTGTACATAGTGAATCAATTTCATTTACTATTAATAAAGAATTCGTCTGCCGATGGTTGTCGATTGACAAAAACAAAAACTTGATTATTCATAGGAAAGGTAAAGGATTTACAACATGAAATATCAAATTGAATTAAGCATCACATATTTCCTAGTAATTAATTTCGATGTATCATAAACAACTGAGTTAGAATAGCTGATATAGAAAATGCGAAGAAAGAGTCTTTACAGAATCCAAATTCATTTCCGTTTGTTACACAATATGACATTTTGTTTCATCTCTTCTCTAACAGTATAGATATGTATTTGATAATAATGCGTGTCAGTTCATCTATTGATGTATGAGTACACATTTGGCTCCCTCTTCTCTGCTCTTGTATCATTTGATGTCATGTTCTATGTACGTGCTTGTCCACAGAGAGAGAAAAAAAATGCGAATGAAGAGAGTATGTCAAAAATTAGATTATCATTATCAATCTTCTTATGTTCAGGCTGGAAAGGAGAAGCAAGCTGCTAGCCAGTTGCGGTCAGTAGTGACAGTCGTATAGACAAGACTATCTGACACGCTTGTTGATTTCCTGTCTATCTCAATTTATGATTCGAGTGACATCGATGACATTATCGTTACGTCTGCAATGTTTTTCTTTCGATGTACATTTGTGAATGGTTCGACATCGAATATTCGTGTTTTCCTTTGTTGTCTCTGACAAACTTCAGTGAGAAGGAGAAAAAATGCCGATGAGCAGCTTTTCGATGCGGGAACAAATTTGATTAGGAGTTTGTTTAGCGTATCTGACATCAGACACATATGCACACTCGTTCATAAAGTGCACTTGCTGGCATAGATCAAATACGAACGACGAAAATCGGAAAAATCTATTAGTCAAAATGTATTATTCGAAGAATGTCTTCTTCTTTGTCTATTCGGAAAGTTCAGTACTCAGCGTCGTTTGTGTCAATTGGCTGATGCCATCATGGCCATGAATTTCTGGAGTGTATATCAAATAAATCTGATTGCACGTGCATTAGTTTGTGTCAAAGAAAAAGGAAAGAAAATCGTTCTGGCAAAATCAACATTTCATCAGTGACTATCAGGATGATTATTGAAGGATCCTTGGCTGTAACGACGACGCTCACTCGAGCAGAATATATTTGCATTGATTAATCACATTCGTTCGATGAATTCATCTGGTTACAACAAAAAAGGGAAAATGACGATGTGTGACAATTGGAAAGAAGAAGAAGAGAGAAAAAAAGAAGCTGAAGACAAGTTTACGATGTAAGAACATTGATCTGGATGTATTCACATATCATGACTAATTATTAATTTATGTATTTATCTGTAGAGAGTCAGTACAGCGATCGGCAGTTCTTCTTTTTCGAATGATGAACAATTGAAATAAACATGATCAATCAAGGAAAAGAAGAAAAAGAATATATGATCATTCGAAATACGAACTTATTGAATGAGTTCTTCTTTTTATTCATAAGAAGAATGTGATAGAACCGTTTTTTTCCTTTTCTATATCATCATTGAGGTTCAGTTCTCCCAAATATTTATATTGAATTTATAATAATGTGAGAGAAGGAATGAGAGATAGTATGAAGAGGGAAAGAAAAGAGAGAATGATGCGTAGAACTTGTCATCGTCGTCTTCGTCTTCTGCTTCTCTCTAGTGAATTGTCGTTCCATGGCATTTTTTTTCTTAGTGCAAACGCGCTTTACTAAGAATGATAGTACCAGCGACAACAATTATATGAGAGGAAGAGAAAGAGAGACAGAGACAGAGAGAGGGAGACTCTTCTATTTATATGACCCGCATATATTCGTCAGACAAGCAAAAATTATCAATACAAGTCATTTGATCATCAAATAAATAACGAGAAGTTTGATAGACGCGACAGTCTATATTCGGTAAGCATTGGATGTTATTCCTATGTAAACTTAATGAGAAAGACGATTAGGAAATGGTTAGAAGATAGTCAAAATAAAAACATTGATTGCAAAGAAAGAGAAAAAGCGGGATAATTAATAACTCTGTCTTGCATTCCATTCGATGTCTATGACGAACTCGATTCGATCGGTACTATTTGCTGTCGAACAGACAATTTCACAGTCAATTGCATAGTAGAATTATATTGATGATTGACAATTGTTTGTAAATAGACCGAGCCTATCAGTTGTAATTTCGATCGAGTGCGTCAGAATCTGATCAGATGATTTCCTCCTTTATTTAGATCGATCGTCTGATATTGATATTAACGACATGCAGAACATGAAGAGCTATTTTTCTTCGTGGAAGCCGTTTTGGAAATCATCGAGCAATTCTTGTCATTCGCGAACGTTAACATTAGCACCATCAAATATTAATTTTACAAGTTCCAGTCTGGGTGATTTAAAACATTCAGTCATCGATGAAAAATTAATGATCGACATATCGACGAAATTAATGGAAAGTGATTGTCCGCCAAAGTTACAAATCTGTGCACATAATAATCAATGGTTTGCATTGAATAACAGTCATCTGCTTGTATATCGACAATTAGAACGTATTGGACTCTGTGATACTGTTGGTAAGACTACAAAGTTAAGTCAATGTGCACTTTCGGGCGCTTCTGTTTACAGTTTGTGACATTATTCGAAGTCAGGATGTTCCAGTTGGTATCCGACAAACGCTAATACCTGTTACTACAGTTGAGCATGAACAACATCATTGTTTCCAACATTCGCGAACACGTCACAACGATCAGTATATGCTTATGGACGAAGAAGGTAAGATGTGACGTTCGTTAGGAAATGATCAATTAAGATTTATTGTACATAGGTATTCAAAGTCAAGATGAAATCTTATATTGTGCTGATACCCAGATTGATTCGTGTGGTTATTTCGAAGGAGAAGATCAGTGCGATTGCAGTGTTGTAGCATATGGCGAAAGTGATCACGAAGAAGAATCCGAAGATGAACAACCCGATGATAGTTTTGGTGGTAAGGAACAAAATATACCGATATTTGCTTGTCGATGAAAATCTGTTCGATTCTTAGAATGGCAGACAAGTCCATCGATACCTCCGACACAACTGAGTATCATCAGTGATAATCGATTAGACGAGCCCGATAATGATGACGATGTTGAAGATAATCAGAAGGAGATGCAGAGTCTTTTGTAATGAACAGGAGAACAATAACAAGCTACTTCCTTTTTCTCTACTCGTGTAACTACGTATACCATCTAGTCTTCCTCTATCATTCTTCTCATTTTTGTCGATTTCGTAAAGAGAAAACGCTTTATTTATTTGCTGTTGTTAGTTTAAACAAAACTTTGTACGAGATTAATAAATATACTAGAGGAAAAAGATCGATTCGCAACGTTCGTTGATATCGATATCAAAAAATAGCGTACGTCCGAAAAGATTTCTTCAAACTACTTTTTCTTATTGCGAGTTCAGTTCAATTCTTCCGCTTCATGATTTTACTTGTTTATACCGATTTCCACGACGACATCGAACACATGGGCGACAAATACATCCAGCCAGAAATATAATTATTAATCCTACTGAAATTATTGTATACAAATATCGATTATTTTTTGAGTTGATGATATGATGAGTCAAATCATTGAAATCTTCCACATCAGAAACCTAAACAAATAAATTTGACGCTATTATTCAATCATTGCCTATCATAGGTATTCAGCTTACCGTTTCCCATAACTCCTGTCGTTTCTTTAATGTTTCTTTGCATTGTTTCGTTACCGATTTCTGCTTTTTCAAAAGGCATTGTAATAATTTACCACTTCCTGAAATATACCGTACAGAGAAAAAGAAATGAAAAAGCACTTTTTCTTTTACCTATTGGAATATCACTACAAAATTTGGCAACATCAGCTTGACAAGAAACGAAGAGAACCGGATCCACATGTATATCTGCTTTGCCTTCTTTAATTATACGCGTAATTTGAGCTATACATGCTTTATCCGAAATAGCTTTCTTTTGATATTCGATTTTCAAACAATCTTCCTTTTCGGAGCCTGCACAACGATTCCGAATGATATCCTTGCATGCTTGATAGAGTTGCACATCGATTTGAACGTCAACTTTTGATGTTTGAATAATATCAATTAACTCTGTTCGACATTGCGGTTCTAATTGAATCACTGTGTTCGCATACGATGCACGTAAACATTCGATCACTCGACCGCCCATATCACGGTCGATGACTGTGTTATCCCCTGCTTCGTCTACATTGAAAATATTCTTTGCAAATACTGTCTGACGAGTAGAACATCGCTTTTACCATTGTTTTCGTCTTCATCATTTGATTCATCGTTATCCTCGGTTTTATCAGTGAAGGCTTTGCCGCAGTATTTCGTTATATCATTTCTACAATTATCAATCAACGCTTTGTTGAATCGCACATCTAAATTTGAAAGAGAATCATGAAGCACTCGAAGCAAGATCACACGAAATGGAAACAACCAGCGGGACTTGTTTTCTTTCGTCGTCTTCTTCTACTAATTAGATCGCAGAAGACTCCCACCCTTGGAGAATAATGTTTTTCTTTCTTATTATTTTCGCTGTCTTCATTACTAATATTTCTTTTCCAGACTAAATGGCTATCGAGAGCGAGGGAGAAAAACGTTTAAGAATACGATTATCCAAAACACTATGATAGGTTTTCTCATTTATCTGATCAATGGAACTTGTCTAATTTATTCTTTATCATGCAAATCCTTTCTATAGCTCGGCCTTGACTACCAACTAACGAATGATGTTTCGATGTCATGCTGAATAGACAAAAAATGCAAATCGTTTAATCATAAATAGATTACTCTCTACAGATGCTCAATAAACCTTCCAGCAATTGGATTATTGTTTGAGAAGAGATACTATCGTTCTCCTCCTCTTCTGTTCATGACCTTCAACAATAAAAGGAAAATTAAATTAGTTGCGAAATGGATCGAGTACATTGATTATCGCGTATATCGAAACAAAAGACTCGATTTTTCAATCAAGGTTATACTATGTACGATAATTCGATAGGATACCTTGAATATTCTCACTTGTGCGCAAGCATCAATTAGATGAGCCATTGAAATTGAAGGTTACGGAGAATTACATTCCATTAATTCGAATGATATTCAACTTACCGGTGTTTAAAACCATAAGACGATGGTATAACACTTGTCGACAGGCAACAGTCATTGATTCTTCATTAGTATGTCGTCGGAGACATAACAAAATTTTTTGCTTTTTCTCATTTGAACAATGTTTCTAGGAAAATTTTGTTCTTCTACCTGGTAGTTTTATTAGCTTCGTTTACCTGTATCACTTCGCCACATTTGCTCGTTAGACTAAAGTCGTTGCCCGGCAAGATAACATCGATTTTTTCACGTTTTTTCAATTTTACAAAACACAATGGCGATAACTTTCGATGATTTCTTTTCAAACAATCAAGAATCTATTAAAAATACCAGAAAATGATTTTTTTTTCGATTAGAATCATGGATAATTACTTCAGCATTTCCGGGAGTCAGCTCCTTACAGAATTTACCGATATCAACTTGACAGGCTTTAGCTAGCGAAGGGTCAACATTGATACTTTCACTCTAAGACAAGCAAATCACTTCCAAAGTTAACGCAAGCAACTTCTACAAACTCGTTGGAGAAGTTCGAATTTCAATTCTTCACGGCATGTTTCTTTGATTCGGTTCTTCTTCTGTAAATCATCTTGAAGAGCTAAATTGGCCAGACATTGAATGATCGTTGCTCTATGTAATTAAGAATCAAATATATCACTTTTGATACAAAACATGAGAGACCATACTTGGTTCTCTTGTCCGAACAGTGCTCGGTGATTTCCTTTTGGCATTTTTCGTTAAATTGATTACTGAGAAAGGCTTTGTCCTTCAGGCTTAGCTAGAATAGAATAAAAACATGATTAATCTTAGCTGATGTATTCTATCTTGGCGGTTCCTACTATTTGATGATGTTCGATTCCAGCTTTACAGCGAAAATTCATCTTTGGATTGTTCTTATTTTTGATCAAGCAGCGAATCAATTCATTTTCTTTCCCCTCGCCAAGGTTCTAAAATATTACGTGTCATTCTTACATGAATAAATCATTTACTTACTGGACAGAATGTACTAATCATTGGTTCACAGGCTTTTGTAAGAATGGAATCGAGAGCGGGATCCAACATCGTTATTTTCGTAAACTCTCGCACGGCATTTTGACACTCCAGTTCTAATTTCTCATATTTCTTTTGCAAACATTTCATCTCCTAAAGTAATGGTCAATATACTATTTCTAATTTAATAGAAACAAATAAGTTACCTCGCCTTTCACTTCGGGATTTTGACATGTTGCTAAATCCGTCATGCATTTATCTTCAATTTCAGGCATAAGACCAATTGTTTGACTTCGAATACGCATCAATCGTAATAGCTCATCGCGACATTCTCTATCAAGCTACGAAAAGATGATCTATGAATGTTTTCACAACGTTGTCCAACAATTACTTGTTGCTTTTGTCGATACAAACAACTTAGATAGGTTCCTACAGTTGCATCGTCTATTTTACTTTGCATGGTCCAATTGGACGGAAGATTACATTGTGCCTTTAGATTCCTTCGACATGATTGTAATAGTTTAGGTGTCAATCTATTTAGATTATGCTTTATTTCCGTTGGCTATACTTTCTCCTGTGCCTTACCTCCAATCTCGAGCCATGAAATAGGCAACTTCCATTAGACGTTCTTCGCATTCCGCTGACATCCGCGTATGTTTTAAATGATCCAACAAGCACATGATAATATTTGAGTCACCAGGTTTTATTTTTTGACACAAGGTTTCAATCACAGGTCGACAAGTTGTTTCAAGTAACGGATCAGCTCGTATGTCGTTACCTGGATCAGCTGCACGTAGTAAGGATTTGATAGAACCTTCGCATTCCGGACTAAAATCTTTTTGTTTTTTTGCCGCACCCATTAAACAATGCAGCATTCGGCCACCGCGTTGATCGATGGAACCACTTGCACCTTTCTGATAGAATGCGGGACAATGTTCGGTCATTTCGGTTTTACACTGCGAGATGATTTCAGGTGAAAGTGCATAATCAGACATCAGCATACGACGATAGGTAAGCATCTCACGTTGACATTGTTCTTTGATTAGGTTACCTAGTTTTTATCAATGAACAATACCAATCGATAAATTTTGATTAGCGTCCGTAGCTGAATTTACCTTTTTTAATACGATCTTCGAGACACAACAGTAAATTAATCAGTGTCAGTTGTTTGTCAGGACTATCCATGTCAGCGGTACACTTATGTTCAGTCATTTCTTTACGACATGCTACAAGCAAACATAGTTCTTACTAAATTGCAGTTAATATCTTCAAACCCTACCAGTGAGTAATGGTACATCCAGAAGAGCATTGGAAGTTATCGTTTTTTGCCGGCGATCAACTTCCTTTCGACACTAAAAAAAAATTTTCGATTTAGAACTGGAAAAAGCAGTGTTTTGTAACTGACATCGCGTGACATCATTGTGTTAAACTTCTGTTCAAATAAACATCGATAGATTCGTCCGTTTCCACTAGCAATTTGCGGGCATAGACGTTCACGATCCCCTCGACAAGCAAGATACAATGCTCGATCGAGATGATAATCATCCGATTGCATCTCAGTTAAACGTGAAATCTCTTTTGAACATGCTGGAGATATTTTCTTTTGACTTTTTGCTAAACACGAAATAACAGCACCTTGATCATGTGGAAGCTAAAAGTCAACAATACATCGTTTTGTTTTTCCTATGGAAAATTCTCATGAATACATACTGTTTCGTTCTCGTCATCTAATCGGCCACATTTCTGTTCGACAATATCTTTCATGCAACTCTGAGTGAATCCTTCGGATAAACGCCAATCAGTCAATATAACCGAATGTATTTGTTGAATGAAATTTCGACAAGTTGGTTCCGTGATATTTTTCAGCAGTTCGTATAAGCACGTTATCAAACGACCAGTCCCGCGTTCGTCTGTCTCCTCGTTACAGACATCCAACAACTTAATATCTTTGGAACAAAGTCGATTTGCTGCATCATCAAAACGTACATCGCGTGTCATGTTGTATTTAAATTCATAGATTCGCTAAACGGAATATGTATTCTCAAGTACGATAAATGTCAATTTCTACTTACATTTTGGCATTCTTTACTGATCAGATTAACAGCCTGTATATACAATGATTAAAAACAGAAAATCAGCGATAATTTTACAAACTTACATTATCAAGATCGTCAATACATTCCAGTACTTTCAAATTAGGGATAAGTTTCGTTCCACCTTTCGCACAATGACGTTCAACATCAACCTTACATTCATCGCTATCAGCAAGCGCTGTTGATATTGGTTGCCTATAAAAAGGAAGTGAGATGAATATTGCTCACGGTAAAATTGTTTTCACTTACCGAGGTGAAACGGGTTTTTCTGCTACTTGCTCAGTTTCATCGTTAACCCTCGATTTTTTCGCAAGTGCAGTAAGAATCAAACAGGTAACAAACAACAGGCGAAGGAACATTCAAATCTAGAATGGACATCGAACACTTACATTTCTGATACACAATCCATCAAATTTGTTTCGAAAACGAAAGAAAGAACGAAAGAATAAGGCGTCTGTATAAAACGACGATGAAGTATGTTAATAGGAAATATGACACGAACGTTTACAGTTGATTAAGATTTCTTTTTGTATTTCTGATACTCGCTCAAATAAAGACAAAAACGTTCGATACTCACCGTTCAACAAATACGACATAGAGAAAAATGATTTTGTCGCAGTGCGCTCGTACGCTTCGATTTTTCGTTATGTATTCAAGCAGAACATCGTTTGTGTAATGCACGGTGAGCAAATAAAACTTCGAGAACGAAAAAAAAATGTGCGAGAAAATAACAAATATTTTGGCCTTCAAAATTAACATGACTATACATCAGATTATCGAAGTACATCGGCAGTATGGACTTATGTCATGAAAATGAGTCGGAAAAAAAAGCTTTTCCGATATCACCCTTGGATGATTTCGTTATTTTGTACCAATACGAATCGCCTGTTTTTTTTTCTCTCGTCCGCAAACTATGATCAGTCATCCAGTGATTAGCACGCTGACAACTAATCAGAAAAAAACACATCTGAAGTAATCTTTTCAGCCATCTTCACCTCTGCTTGTTCTCTTAACGGTTATTTTTCGAGATAAATTATCGCGACGAGTTACGAATAAATTCTTATTTGATGCATCAAACAGTTCTCCATTCTGAAACGAAATTCGCCTTACTTGATCGTCTTAGCATCTGCAAATCAAGAACATTTTCTCAATATGAATAGAGTATTTAAATGAATAACAAACACAAAAAACGTATAAAAATCTGATGTAAATACAACCACATACATGTATAAACAATGCCTGCAAAGGATGATTTCTATGATTCTTGTTCGCTTTCTTTTTGCAGATGAAATATTTTTCTTTCGATGCACCACGTCGTGTACAGATTTACAAATATCAAGCAAGCAATAGACGTTAGAAAGAGTGTTCCTTGATTGATCTATGTGATGGATCATTGACGTGAAAATAATAAGATGATGACGATGTTGAACGGCAAAATATTCCTTTCACGTATCGAAGGGTTTCATCATTCGACAATTTTTCCATGAATTACATAACTGTTTAATACATTACTTCCTCATTCAATAAATTACAGTGAAAAATACATGATTTTATGTGTTTTTTCCGTTTAAGTTTATTCGATCGGAACCCGGTGACGTACGTTATTATACTTGACAGTCAAATATCGGAAATATGCAAATATATCTGTCTGGACAAATAGAAACATGCTGCAAGAAATAATAAATACTTCAGTCAAGTTTTTCTCGAAAACATCACAAATATATTGTATATCGAACAAATCGAAACGATCAAGTCGAATTGCGTGACGAGAAAATCTTTTTTGGTTGTAAATAAAAAATTTGCCATGGTCTGAAGATAATAATATGGCTTTAACAAAATAAATCTCTTTAATCTTTCTATTATTCTTTCAAGTATATCAAGGCGAACTTGTAAACCAGATTAATTATGTTAAAAATAGATCACTCCTTTTTTTCTTCTTTTTGTCATCTAATCCCGTTCAGTTGTTCCCACCATCACCCACATTTTCTGTCTCTTGCACCAAATGAAAGAAATGGATATTTCCTAATTTTATCAACGAATACAGAGAGACGGAAAGGATAGATTAATTAAATTACAAGCTGCCAGAAAAACATCTTCGTCATCACATGACTAGCATTTCTCAAACGACGGTTTCTACACAAGACGTGAAATAAAATCGAACAATGCATGATCATCATTTCCGAGGTGTACATGCAGAGATAAGTATGTAATTTCTTTTTGCACGAAGAACTTTTACATGATGTGGAATGAAAGCGACAGCGCACTCACGTTGTTTTTCTTCCCCCCCCTCTCTCTCTCTTACTTCGTTCTTTCCATAACGATGACTATTGTAACAATAGCAATTTATATTTATCCTGTTTCTTTTTTTCTGCTTCTCCCTCTTCTTTTTTTTCTTTGATGTTAGCAACTGTCAATCATAGTTGTATTGTAGGATGTTCAATTTTGTTTGACAGATAGAGTACTATGGAACGACAGTATCGGGTAATTATCATTGGAGCTGGTATTGCTGGTCTTTCATGTGCAAAGTATTTGCTTGAAAATGATATCCACGATTTTCTCATAGTCGAAGCCCAAGATCGAATCGGTGGACGTTGTCAAACCATTCCTTTGTGTAAGTGTCATATACGAACAAGGGAAACAGGTATACTGGTTTCCTTCGTGTTGATTTTTAGTGGAACAACATGTCGAATTGGGTGTGGAATTGTTACACGGCGATGGAACAAATAATCCATTGTATCAATTAGCGGAAGAAAATCACCTACTCGATATTGATGATAGTAAGATTAGGTTTTGTCATAGAGACCGAAATATTAGGTTGAATAAACATATAATTATATTCTTCTCATTCTATATAATTATACTTTTTTTCACTGTGCTCACAGCACCACTCGGTGATCCTTCATCTCACGATAGATTCATTAGGATCAAACGTTACTTCTATAGAAAGACAATTCAAAATCTCACGAGACAAATCGACTTAGTGAATGAGACGGTGCATAGAAAAACTTTTGTTTTTGTTTTGCATTGCAGGAGGATCGGACCGAGACGATTGTTATCATGACGAAGACGCTGAATCGATCGACGAGGATGTTGTCGATGAAGTACGCAAAGTTTATGATGAAATCCTGGAAAAGAAAGTGCCGACGTACCCTTACGAAAATTACCCGGACTTATCTTTGGGAGAATTTATCTGGGCAGAATTCGATCAATACATGACATTCAAAAAGTCCATTTTAGAAAAAGAGGAATTAGACGAAAGACAGAAAGTTATCAACTGGCTTCATAAACAGCACCCGTGCTTGAATATGATCGGTTCCAATAGATTGACCGATGTGTCTGTTCAAGGTAAATTCTCTTTTGTATATTCAAATAGAAACAAATCAATTTGTGCTTGAAACGATTAGATGTCCGTGTTAATTTTTCTGACGGAAATAACTAATAAAGTTAGACACGAATTGCCCAAGGATAATATGAATTTGTTTTAGGTTGGAATTCTCTGGAATGCCTACCTAAAGACGATGAACATCATGACGCCACAGTTTATCTTCAGAATGGCTTTTTAAATTTCCTACATAAAGTTTTCGTTCGTCAAATGGACGAAGATCAAATTCAATTCAACACTGCTGTTCAGTGTATCTCTGTTCACGAAGAAGAGCAGTATGTCGACATTGAAGTATTACGTCATAATCAACAAGTCGAAACTTATCGAGCCAAGCACGTTATTTGTACACAATCAGTTGGCTGTTTGAAACAAAACATGCAGGAATTGTTTGTTCCACCGTTACCACAATCGAAAAGAATGTGCATACAAAAATTAGGTTTCGGTACTATTAATAAAGTTAGTTGAATTAGAAGATAAAAGAGAACAATCTTACGAAAGATGTATCTTTTTAGATCCATCTCGTTTATTCCCAACCATTTTGGGATGCCGATTTTGATGGATTTCATTTCCTATGGGATATCAATGGATCGAACAATGAGTGGGAATTGGAATCTTTGTTAGACACACCGTTCGATGTATGTGTTCACAGCTTCTCGTATACTAGTTATGTTGAACTCTTGTTTTAGAATCAATGGTGTAAAAGTATAACTGGCTTTTATGTTCATCATCGATTGCCAAACGTTTTAACCACTCAAATAAGTGGTGAAGCAGCAAAATTTATCGAAACTATACCCGATGATTTACTAGCTGTTGCTTTACAAGAACTTCTTGGTCATTTCTATCCCGATAATCCAAGTCCTCTACCAGAACAACTGATCCGATCGCAATGGTTTAACGACCCATTTGCTCGCGGCTCGCATACGTTCATCAAATTAGGCTCGAGTATACATGATATCAAACAATTAGCTATGCCATGGCCGAACAAACCTGCTAAACCACTCGTTCTTTTTGCTGGCGAAGGGACACATGACAGATTTTATGGCACAGCACATGGTGCTTATCTGACTGGTGTACGTGAAGCACAACGTCTTGTTCAATTGTATAAAACTTAACTTCGCTTTTTTTTGCAACATACGTATATTCAAATAGAAATAGTGCACAACATGTTCATTTAAGTTGAAAACAGAAAATCAACATAAACAAACTTTTAAACACTCAAAAAGAAAGTACCATCTTGAGTGTATATTTCTCCCGCTTGGAATATAGAGCGGGAAAAGTATTTCATTCTGCACTCGATGTTTTTTTCCCTTGATGAATGTTACATAAGAAAATGAGTTAAAATTATTCTAATAACCAAACTGTCAAGATTGAGCAAACGCGAAATAATGAATTTCATATTTTTCCACCAATAAATCTTACAATCATTCATTTCTTTCTTCCATTCTCTTTACCTATGTATACATACACGTACATACAAGCACCACGTGAGAAAAAGATAATCAAAATTTCGCGTTACAATATTTCTGTTATCATCTACACAATGAATTCTTACTGTGATAAACGAAGTATAAGAATATTTTACCCCTGAAAATGAGAACAAAGTAACTGATATCACTAGTAGATAAATTTTACTTAATACTTCTATGCAATGGGGAATCACTGTCTTAAATCATCATCGCCAAGAGATTATGCGGGTTCTGTACCTGCGTTAATAACCTATCAGAAAGTTGGAACAACATCGCGCAACACATCTCAACTAGTTCTGAAAACGATCGCACATGACATTAGCTTGGAATCGAAGCGTCGATCGGTGTCATTGGTTGAAAGAAGACCGTCGAATAATTTACGTCAATATCCAAGACGTTCGTTAATTCGAAATTACATCATCATTTGGTTAACAGCAAGTCTTGATGACAATTCGAATGAAATTAATTATCTGCAGAGTACATTTCGTTCTTCGCGAATTTTTACGAACATTGATGAATTTTTCGCATTTATTCTTCAAATCAAAGAAGAAAAAGTATTTCTAATACTTTCGGAATCATTCGCTGAGAAAATTCTTTCATTTATCCATGAAACAAGTCAACTTGTTGCAATCTATGTTCTTTCCACGAACAAATCTCACAATGAACGATGGATAATTCAATACGAGAAATTTCAAGGTATATTCGTCACCATTCAATCCGTATGCGAAAGTATTCGATACAAACTCCAACTCTCCGAATATAACACCATTCTGTACGAAATTCTGAATTCGTCAAGAATGATTGTACAATATTTAACTAAACAAATCCTCTTGAATGAAACTAGCGAGTGGAAAGAATCTCGAAATCATTTTCTTAACTACGTTCGTCGGAAATATCCAAACGAGTTGTATATTATCGAAGATTTTAAGGATAATTATACGCGTTCGAATGCAATTTGGTGGTACACAAGAAAGTGTTTTCTTTATCATGCTTTAAACCAAGCGTTTCGTAGTGAGAATTTCGAAGAACTCTTTCTCTTTGGCTCATTTATTCGAGATGTTCATCAACAATTGAATCACCACGACGACGAATCGGTTCTTATAAATCTGAAGTTCGTTTATCATGGCCAAGGTATATTGGAAAACGATTTGCATCGAATGCGAAAACACTATAGTGAGTTTTTCACATTCAAAAACTTCCTCTGGGCAACGACAGATAAAGATTCCTCGTTAAATCTGGCACAATTGGCTCGAGACACACGTCATCTATGTGGTGTTCTATTTCGAATTGAAGTCCCGACGTCAACAAAGTTGATATCTCTGGAAAAATTCAGTTATTATTTAAATTCCAAAAACGATATTCTTTTCTCTATCGATTCATTTTTTCGTATTGGTGAAGTCAAGAAACTGGAAGAGCAACTCTGGCAAATCGATTTAACGTTAATAACTGAAGATGATTTGCAAATTAAAGATTATCTCGAACAAATCGAAGGCGATACACTTTGGCAAAAACTAGGCTGTTATCTCATCGAATTAAAGCAATTCATCAAAGCTGAAGAACTCTACCAAGCATTGATTCAATCGAATACAATCAAAGATTCTAAACAATTAGCATTACTTCACGAACAACTCGGATTCATTCATCATCATCGACACGACATAAACAACTCTTTAATACATTACAAAAAAGCTTTGAAATATTATCTAAATTATCTTCCGTCTAGCGATTCTAGTCTGCTGCCAATTTATCTTAACATTGGAATTCTTTTTTTCGAAGTGAATCAATCGAATGATGCAATCAAACATCTAAAATGTGCGTTGAACATTGCCGTCCATTCGCATCCGCTGGATCACATACAGATATCTAGTCTTCATCATCATCTAGCAAAAGTCTACGAGCACGATGGGACCTTTCTCGACGCAATTCAACATTATCAATCAGCTCTCGAGAGTGAACTTCATCATTTTCCATTACATCATTCATCCATAGCCAAAACCTACAGCACAATTGGAGAAATGTTCTATCGAACGGAAGATTATTCGTCCGCATTGTCATACTTTGATAAAACATTGGAAATTCAAAAGAAAACCCTCGCACCAAATCATTCATCATTAGCTGCAACGAATTATAACCTCGCCCGAACATTGTCGGGCTTATTGTATCATAAAGAAGCTATTGAGCATGCGTCTCAAGCGGTGAATATCGCTCGTCATGCGTTTGGATCCGATCACGATGATGTGCGATTGTACCAAAACTATCTAAAGAAATTGAGACGTAAAACATTAATTAATGTTATCCCTAATGGCGCAGTTTATGAATAAAAGAAATTCGAATTTGATTTTAGAGAATATATAAGTCTAAGATCGAATATAAATCTAGTTCAGTAGGACTTACCATGATTCATTATAGTTTCCAGTATTCGTTGGATTAAGCCAATAAAAACATAACGAAAGTGGAGAACTGAATATGTAATGCACTCATATCGGTAATTGTCCACCGTTTTCGATTGGTTATGAACAAACACAATTCACTTCTCTGATTGTACTGTATATCTTTCAAACAAACGTTTTCTTAGTAGAAATTTCGTGATTTGTTACGTTTGAAACCATGCCATCGGAAATTCTGAGTACTAATGAATCAAATGGAAAACGGAAAATAAAAAATAAAGCACCAAAACGATTGCGTCGGAAGAACAAACCAGTCGAGAATGATACAGAAAAAAACGAAACTGAACACATCTCAACAACCGGTAATATGATGGTGAAAGACATGAGACATGTTCGTTTTCTTTCTGAACTGTTTAGACAACGGGTCATTAACAACCGAGAGATCAATACCGGATAATGTTCCTACANAATCGTGAAGGATGGATGAAATATCGGTAAGATATATTTGTATACAAAAAGGAATGATATGTATGATGACCGTATAGTATTGGAAAACGTGTACGAAGAAAGCAATGGATCTTCTGGAAAGACAAGCATCGAATCGGCGAAAATTGTTCATTGAAAGACAGTAAGTTCATTGAACTCAGTGTATATTACATACAACTTTCTCCATTCGAAACGAATTTCAGCCAAGAACGCATTGATTGTATAAAATGCGTGCTTCAACAACGGCAGCAGATCCGTATGCTATCCGAAAAGTATCATTCTGTAAGAGATTTATTCATTGGTATCGAAAATTTTACTGTTCTGCTCGTATTCAGATCTCTCAGTCGTATGAAACATTACGTGATGAATTACGTACTAGGGACGAACGGTTGAAGATCTTAGATGATAGACTTCATGATCGTGATGAACTTATTCGTGATAATGAATTCTTGCGTGTTCAATTTCGATTAGTCGAGCAGAAATGTGAACGTCTTACTGTGGAGTATAATAAAAAGCTCGAAGAAACGCATTGCTTCGAACAAGAAGCCAACGAACAAATCGAATCATTGATGGATGAAATCGAACGAATCAAACGTGATCTCGTCTTAGAAGAATACCGTAAACAAGAAGCCGAAAGAAAGGTGCGCTATTATGACGAGAAATTGATAACTGAACAAGCAGGAAACAAAAAAATGCAACAAGATCTAATTCAACTTCGGCAAGAATTAAAATCGATTCATATGCGATATGACGCATTACAAATCGAAATGCTTGCTATGCACAAGGCAAATAACAACGATGTTTCCTTGATACCAACCAAAGATACAAATGACAAGGAATGGCCTAGTCAACGAATAGGAGACCGAGATTTTGTAAGTATGAATAAATTTGATAGAGTGATGTGTTTTTTTGAGAGATGATTTAGGATGAACATGTGGAAACGAAACGACCTAAACGAAAAACTCGAGATCGAACTGAATCATCTGCTAGTAGAACGAGTAGCTCAAGTGAACATCAAACGAAAGTTGTAAAGAAATTATCGAAAAACAAAGAAGTATTCAATTTAGATAAAGAAGATCAACTGACTTCACTCAACGATCTTTTTATTGCAGAATGACAGTGACAATCCTTCGTTGAATCGAAAGAAGAAATCTTTAAAATCAAGCCAAACGAGTTAATCATCATTTTCTCATATTTCTTCTACTATCACTCACTACTTTATAGATAAAAACCATTTACCAATGGTCACTGTCACGCAAGCCAGTCCTTTAATCGATCAACCAATCGCAGCGGAAAGAGATGCCGGACAAAAGTTATTCCCATCATCAAGAAGCGTGACATCGGATAGTAGTGCAACGAGTAAATACTCCTAACTTTCTTCCAAATAGGTATTGAATGATAAAATTGTTTACTTTGAAGCTTCCGATTCGCATAGTACTAGTAGTGAATCGCAGCTACTTAAACCACGAACAAAGAAACCAAGTCGTTATCCATGTCGACGTGCTCAACGTCCTGTAAGACAAGTCGAGCTTGCTAATCCCGTATAAATACTGATAAAATATGTAACTCATCTTTTCGTATCTTGATTTGTATGATAGGAAAATGTTGAAATTATTATTTATTTCTGTGTCTTTTTAAAAAAAGGTTAATTTGTTAACTATAGAATTTTCTTTTCATATTTATTCAATAAAAATAGAATTAATCACAATTTCACACCTTTGTTTATTCTATTTCAGATCCTAGTCAATCAATTCGCTCCTAATCTATCGCAACCAAATATCAATATACCAATCTCGGACAGTTCGTATTTTCTTACGACTCAAACGGCCACGTCTAGTTTTGTTCAGCAGGTGTAATGTTCCGTCAAGAACGATCACAGTTCTCTTCGCGCGTTAGGGAAACTCATGTTTCAATTGTCGAACCTAATACAAGAGAAACTCAATCAGTAGGAGATGAGCCTTTTTTTACTCAAATGTATTATTCTATTTTCTATTTAGAAACAAAACAAGTCATCACTCTACAGCGATGATTTCATCCCTAGTAAAGAATATTTCTTGTGCGAATGAAGGCGCTAACTGACAATCTTCTGTTTAGTTGATGACTTCTCCCACGAATTCATCTATGAATCTCATCTGGGTCGATCCTGTAAGAATGTCATCGTTGTATCCGCTAGACATCCACATAGTTTCTTCTTGCAAACGGTCGATGACCTCACTCATGGTGACAACTTTTTCTCCAAGATGAAGTATGTTTTCATCGTCCAAAGCAACGATTACTGCATCCGTTTGGTTTTAGTGAGTTCTACAATCGTTGTTTCGATGCTCAACGCCTGGCAATATCCAAAGCCGCTCTACGTGCAAACTTATGCTGTGTAGCACGTGATGAGACTTATCCGGATGTTTGGAATCGAGCACAGCTATTGGAATATCATCGAGAAACAGATCAATGTAGCTTACTTCTTGTTGATTTAGGCACATGGCAAGAATGTGTACCGCGCGCAAATTTACGCCATATATTGGTACCATTCCGTAATGAATGCGTTCGTAGTGTGCCATGTCGATTAGCCGGTATCGCGCCGGCTAAGCCGGAGAAGAATGGTTTATGGAATGAATGTGAGTTTGACAGACCCTGACTACTATATTCAGTTCGAATTCTCTATATGGTTATCTTTTGACCCAGCATTCCAGATGCCATCAAAACATTTCGAAATGTTATTGATAACGTTCCCACTGAAGTCGAAGTTCTCGATCGTTCACCCAATGGATCCTATTTTGTCAACCTATTCGTTACACATGAAACATTCGTCTGTGTAAATGATTTTCTGCTCTATCATAAAATTGCTATACCTATCGATGATTGTAAAACATTGAAAGTAAAAACCGTACATTTATATCAATATACAAAGATTTTATTGCTGCTATATTTAGCCCGAAGAATTAGACCCGGTTACACATAAACCATTATTAGCGATCATCTATGAATTCAATCTTCAAGGAGAGTAAGAGAAATGAAGAGGATGTATTTCATTCAACATATTTGTTTATTTTGAACAGACTACTAGCCGAAGAAATCGAAGCCAACCAATTGAAACAAAAGGAGGAACAAAAAAAGAAATATGAGGAAGAACAACAACGTCAATCGAATTGCCGTTTACCTTGTGTACGGATTATCGATATATTCTCCTCAACACCGAAAAAACTTATCTTTGCCCGATACAACAAATGGGTGATGATTCCATGGTTTTGCATTAGTAGTCTCTTCGAACCACCACTGTCTGAAAGCACCATCGAAAGATTCGTATGTGTCTGAATTGCTCTCTATGTCCAACGATATTCTATTGATTCGTTCTAGGCGATACTTTACAAATTCTCGCCTGTAATGATAACTCCATTGACAAATGCTGTGCTTTATGCTCATTTAGAAAAATGTATGCCATTAGTTAATTATGATGCAAAGCCGTTATCTCATGGCTACGAAACGAAGATTGCTTTGTATAGTATTGATTGTGTGAGAAAATTATTACTGAATCATCGATTTGATAATGAATTCCTGTTCGAACGACTGGATGAAGGTCGTGAAGCCGAAATGAAAGAGGATTCGGATTTCTGGGAAACATCCACATCACAACAAGTTAGTTTCATGTGCTTTTCCAACTCAACGAGAGAGTATCTGTGCTGTTTAGAATTATTTTTCTATGGAAAGCAAGAAATCCATTGAAAAAAATAAACAATCGAAGATTGCTCTTCTCAAATCACACAAGTACATATGAAATCTTCCCATAGTATACCCGAACCGATCTTTTTTAGAGATCAATTGGAATCTCGCCTTGAACGAATGACTCTATCGAATCGTGAATACCAATCAATGCAACGTCAATTGATGAATACCATGGAAAAATTATGTGAACTTAGTAACGATAGTAGTAGTTCAGATTAACACACCCGATAGTCGCAATGCCCTACTTTGTATAGTCGCCTTATTCTCGAACATAGTGTGCTTTTGCTTGTTGTTTTCTCCCATTTTTTTTTTCATAAACATGTTTGAACGCAAAAACGAATGTTGATTTGCTTATCAAACGAAATGCGAAGGTGAAGTTTACGTGTCATTATATAAGCAGATGTAATTTGCATAAAAACAATTTAGTTCCTCTGAAAAGAACACAAATGATGATAATGATGATGCAATGTAAGTCAAATTCAACGAACACAGTATCCTTCAATCTCGAAGAGAAAAAAAGAGCAGCTTTAAACCGCTTATGATATTGACGTAAGACTATCCTTCAAATTTCTCGAAAGCGAACTGATTCGAAGAAAAACAAACGATCTGTTCGTCATCAAAATGCGAAAGATGATCAAAGAAATAAACAACAGACTGTTTAGCTTGAATTCTTCTCACATAAGCTTTATCACATGAAGGTTATTCTACAAATTGCATTGAAAGATATTTGTTCGATTTCAAATTGAAGTAAACTGGCTAATGATCGAATATACATTGATTAATTATGTCCATAGAAGAGATTTAATCCTTGGGCGTGATACTTTACAAAAAAAAAACCGAAGAAGAGGAGCAAAACGTTGACCCATAGTTTGGTGAACAAAGAAATTGTCATTATAATCACAAGAGAATGTGTTTGAAATGACATAAAGAGGACATATATACACACGTAAGTGATTTTTAGAGCTAAAAGAAGAAGAATTTTACGTAATCGACCTTTGACTAATCACGCACTTGTCGTCCTTCTTTTAACGCAATCTTTTGTTTTATATTTCGAATACAAATTCCCTCTTTCTTTCGACGAAAATACTTTACTTTTCAATACACACATCTATCCTTTGTTAATGAAGATTCTTCTTTTTAGAGAATTGAACTGGAAGATTATTGTCAAGATCGTCTTCAATTGATTATCAATTCTTCCTCTGATCTTCTTGTCGTTTTTCGAGGTTCAACGATACTTTTCTGCTCTTTCTCATACAATTTAGGTCATCGCCCTTCTTCTTCTTCTTCCTACTTCCTGATCGGTGTTGGTGCGGGTATTAACATTTATTTAAATAACTTTTTCTTTTTCTCGTCGTTTCGTTCATTTGTTTGTTCATACGACCAACGCAAAGAGAACGAAAAGCGAGAGAGAGAAGAGAGAATGAAACAAATGTGTTTGATGTTCGTTTTTTTTTGCATCTGCTTCTACTACACAATAATTTATCTCCACATTCTATCTTCTAGTCTATGGTTAATGTAACATTGATCAGAATGGCAATGCTTCGAATATGTGTTCAAATTGAACAACAATAAAGGAAAATGCTATTTTAAGAATGAACACAATGAGTGTTAGATTAGCACCATGTTCACTCAGTCACATCGACGTTTATTTTATTTTCTAAAACTTTGTAAGTAAATTCCGCCCTTTGGTGGAGCAAAACAGAATGGGTTTGTTTTTCTTTTCGATAGGTTTTATTCTTCACCTAACCGCATCAGAAACATTCCGATGTGTTAAAGATGGCTTCTATCCGGATAAAAAAGATTGTTGGATCTATCACATCTGCGTAGGAAATTCACACTCAGTGAAAGCTTGTAAAGAAGAGCTTTTGTTCAATCCCGAGAAAAATGAGTGCGACTGGGCGATGAATGTAAATGCTGACCAATCATTCGTTCTGCAAAGAAATCGAAGAAGTTTTTCCTTTACTTTTCAGGTTAATTGCTCTAAGCGATCCTATGAAGATATCCTTCCGGGGACGGTGCCAACACATGTTCGCTATCCACCAGGTAAGATTATCATTTGTTAGTTCGAGAAAGTCAAGCCGATTTTGTTGTGCTCTATTAATTAGATTATCCTGTTGCATATCCTTCGTCAGTAGCCGGTGATACTCCCAACCGTGGAGAATATCCTCCACGTTACTCAGGAACAAGTGATTCAATGTTCGAATATCTATGTCGGTCAGTTGATAACGATTATATCGCTCATCCAGCTGATTGTAAACGATATGCTTATTGTGCAAACGGTAAGAGAAATACGTGTCATCTTCCCATTCGAACAACAGACGTGGACATCGAGTCAATAGATCAAGTATAATATCTTGTCTTGTCTACATTCGTGAACAATTAATCTTGATTCTCATCGAAAGCAAGAAAAGAAAAGAAAGCTTCAGAATGATTATTTGCTAAAGGAAAGAAACGAGAAGGAGAAAAAGTCTAGTCGTGTTGAGTATTAGAATGTTATGTTCATCGGCGTTGTTTAATTAATATTTACTTAGAGGAAAACAGAAGAACAGAACGAGTTCAATAGACAAAGATTGAATTTTTATAATCTTAGGCGTACCCCAAGTGAAAATCTGTACGAAAAGTCTCCTTTGGTCACAAAAGCAACGAATGTGTGTATGGCCTGTGCAATCCGATTGTGAGTTTTTGCACATGCACTTTAATCGCGGAAAAAACAGTAATTTTTCAGGTCCAGGAAAAAATCTCGATTCCAATTTTCCAGATCCATCACTTGAAGTTACTCCATGGTTGCCACGCGGCTCCACATATCCTCCATACTATGGCCCAACAGATAAATCACGTGTAACTCCTCTGTCACATCTATTTCGAGCCCAAGTTCAATGTCCATCGACTCAACCTACCCGTGTACCTGATCCATACGATTGTTCGCTTTACCATGAATGTTTACAAGGTACTCCGATGGTTACTTTTTGTCCTGCTCAACTATTGTACAATCGTGAAACTGAACGTTGTGATTACCCGCAACAAGTGCAATGTAATGCAAGGAAAGATTTGTTGCAATTTACACATCTCTGCTTATTATTTAGGTAGAAATCGTTGTACACCGAATAATGAAGGTGCTCGATTTGTTGATTTGACAAGTTGCTGTCATTTTTACGAATGTATATCAGGTAAATTAATACCTCAAACATGTACACATCCGAATTCATTTGATATTCAAACTCGTACATGTTTACCGTATAAACGAGTCAAATGTGATGGTCGTCGAGAATGTCTGAGTAAATGTAAGAATCGAGCTTATTGACAAACAAATCATCTCGCTATGCTGATCGTTCTTTTCATTAAAGGCCATTATCTATCGAATTATGACGTCGGGAAAAGTTTATGTGATTTCGTCCCATCTTGTACTGGACATAGTGATGGATACTATTTGGATCGAACAAAACCAAATTGTCAATCGTATGTTCACTGCTTAGATAATCGTGTAGTAAATCATAGTCGCTGTGGGCATGGATACCGATTCAATAGAAATATTGGTCGATGTGCACCGGCAGATCAAGTACCTTGTCGAGGTGAGTGCACAGTAAGTGAAGTTTCTGACTCGACATGATCTATTTTCTATTTAGCTCCATCCTGTTTGCTTATGTCGTCGTCTTATTCTATATTTGTTTTTATTCTTCTTGTCGCCTCGAAAACAGTCCTGTGTGAATAATACAAAACATTTGTTTTTCTTTCTGACCACGAACTTCGTATTTTTACTTCTGTTCATGTCGTGCTTTTTTTCTCACGTATCTTTGTCAACATGTATCATAATTACAACTACTCTTCGAACTACGTATGTTTCATTTTCCGTTTATTTTAACTAAAAATCCGAAAAACAAGGCTTGAAAAATAGAAATCACTCATCAATGTCATTCCTTTCGTTTATTCTTATTTCGACGTTGTAGCGTGCTTTTTCACTTGATTTTCCTTATCGTGCAGCTCAACTTCGACTAACGTCTTGCCATCGTAACAATCGTGTTCTAATTCGGCTTGATACTTCGGATTTTCTTTGATAAAGGCAAGAATGTCTTCATTTTTGTCCACATTGGATAAACCAGCAATGTCACTGAACTTTTGTTCGATGGTCACTGCATGATTTGCGTGTAAACATACGCTACCTCGACGGTGAACACCAAGAAATTTATGTGTACCAGCCTGATCTTCGCAATACAGTTTAGATCCGATAGCGAGTGAAACGATTGTATTGTGAGAGTGATGTTCTATTTCTGTATCACGAAACAGAAGTTTGCTTAGACAATGTTCGATATGATCGTTGACTTTTCGGCAAATTTTGGTCAATTTTGAATTGTGTCGCATTTTACGCATTTGTTTGCGGTACCATGATAGACATCGGTCGTGTTCATCGAGAGTTTGCTGAAGACTTGTTACATTGATTGCATAGTTTTGAACAATCGATAAACCTTCGCCTTCACGAATATGAACTACTTGATGAAGTTCACTGCGACGTATTTCTTTCTCCGCTAGCTTTTCTTCATGATTTGCCTCTTCGTGTACTTCGTCGACTTCATTACTATCACCGTCAGCACGTTTTTTATTCTTGGATTGACGGTGTCGTTCTGAAATCATCAAAGAACATTAAATCATCAGAAAAACTTCCTTTCTTACTATGTCGTTTGCTTGACTTATCTTGTTCGTCGATGGTGTCAATGCTATTATCTAAATCATCCGCTAATTCCAGGTAGCATTTATCGAAGCTTATGGCAGGTTTTTTCGATGATAGACAAGCAAGATCTCTTCTTAACAAGTTGGTTTCCAGTGGAGTTTGCAAATGGAAGAGCAGTCTATCGCCAACCTCTGCAGACGATTGAACTTCTAATTGGCGGACAATTTTGTTTTCATAGGCATCGTTTTTCTGCTTGCCATTCATACGGCGATGTTTATGTCCATCGAACTGATGGCATTGTTTATTTACTTGTATCAAACTACGTGTGACTGGTGTTGCCAAACAGTAATTCTTGTCAATTCGTGCAATACAACAATGTTCGTCTCCACCGTTTCCGTCATCGTATGAATAGAGTTTATGAACAGAATCAACTGTTCGAATGAAAGCGAGTAGAGTTATACTAAGTAAAAGTAAAGACGTGGAAGACATACTTCGTACTGCTGTCTTAAGAATTATATTCAATAAGAACTCATATGAAGAATTAGATAAGATAACGATATTGTTTGACGAACACGGAGAGAAGAAAATTTGATAAAATCTCAAGACATTCTGCCACTATTCGTAGATGACACACGTGGGTAGTATGAGAGAACGGCGTATATGATGATAATGTTGCTTATGGAAAACAACATTAGTTACAATTATTCATCTCGTTTCTTCACACTGATTAGAAGAGTATTTTTAGTTACTCGAGTACTGTAGATTTACCAATTTCATACATGAGATTGGTAACAGATGGCGGTAGAAGCTAACAATTAGATTGCAACGTGGTGTTTATTGAGAAATATATTGAAAAGCGATTTTTTTTATAAAAAACTGGAGTGTTGAAAAACTAGTTGTGTTGTATTGAAGATCCTCGTTGAGGATTACTAAACAAAATTTACAAACAGCAAAAATAAAATGAAATCGTGAGCGTTGCTTAGCTGCTGGTTTATGTCAATGGTAGAATTATATGTTGATTATAGTGTAAGGCAAATATACGTTTAGAAGTCGAAGTAAGTTATTGGTTTGTTTTATTTTAGATTATATTTCCCATTCATTATCAGTAGATTTCGAAGCTAGGAGAAGAGCGTCATCACCGAATGTTTCGAGATTTTTTTCTGTTTCATCCATTTCCGTATAACCTACCGCGGTGCCAGTTGTAGCCGTACAAGAAATATGATCGAAAAAGGAAATATCCTTCTTATATGAATGTGCTTGTGCTTGCTGTTGGCTTGCGTTGATATCCGTTGATGAGCCCATTGAACAATGCGATGATGAACGGCGTGTAACTAATTCTTCTAATTCGAGATAACGACGGAATTCTTCGTTAGCCTTTTCGAAATCGTATTGCTCGTCGAATGAGGGCAGGACTTTCGGTGATGATGAATCGAATTGAACGATCGAGTGAGGACCAATGTCGACGCTAACACTACTACAACTACTTGCCATCGAGCATGTGCGTTGATAGCGGCGTGAACCGATAGGTTCTCCAACTGAGACGGGTGTTAGCCGTTGATTATGATCGACTGAACTACCGTAGTGATAAGGTAAACTGGTAGTTGAATGAATACTTGTGTTAGATTGGTGAATTGGATTTTTACGTTGTTGGAAAAGATTTGATTGACCTGCTGGTATTAGAAGTAGCTGATTTTCCGGTGGTAATGATGTTTGACGCATAAGTTCTAAGGAAACATAATATAAGTATCATAGAAGCTACCTGAATTAAACTTACCTGGGCCGTGGATGTTGTTCGGCGGTTTCTGCTGTTGTTGCTGTTGTTGTTGTTGAGGATAGGCTTGCTTATTCGGCGAATTTGTAGGATGGAAACGATATTTAGCAATAGGAGGTGGTGGTGCTCGAGTTGATCTTGTATTTGTTCTCGGTGAACTGTTTTGTGTCACATTTTTCTTGATCGCCATTTGACGTAAAGGAACAAATCTTTGATATGAGTTCGGTTGTTGTTGGTGCTGCGGTGGTCTTCGCTGTTGATTGTTGTTAGTCGCGACATTTCTTCCATATGGTACGGTCTGTGCACGATCCGGCGAGACAACTGTTGGTAGACGTGGTCGAAAGCGCGGTCTTTCATAAAACGTGAAAGAAGGGTTTTGTAGCGCAGGTAATTTTGGATGTTGAGCATAGAATGGAATTGCATTAGGATTCAATTGACTGGTGATCGTCACTCGTACGGGTGATTCTTTACGAGTTGAGTCCTTTTTTGCTGCAACAGTACTGCTACTATTAGTCATCGTAGTATCATTTGTTCGAGTTGAATCATCAATCACTTGCTGGTTACCGGAAAGATTACTGTTGGAAGTAACAATGGCTGGCATGTCTGTTCGCCGCTCAATTTTCTTCGGTAAAATCTTTTTTGCCAACAAAGTCACAGGTTTTGCACTAGAATTTGATGTTGTTAGTCGATTAAATTTCTCAATTTGTTCATCAATGGATTCATCATTACTTTCGTCAGCAACATTTTCCGAAGATCGTCGGCGACCGTACGAGGGTGATGATGATTCATTGGAACTCGAAGAAACTAATAAATTATCGCCAGTACTACCCAATGATTCGCCTCGACGTTGGCGTGCGATAGGTGCGCGTACTGATTGATTAGTCGGCGAGCCGTTTGACTGCCTCTCATAGTCATCGGATGATGATAAACGAATGTCAACAAGACATGGATCAATTTCACGTAACTTCGCTTTCGACTCGTTAAATGTCGATGGCAGTTGTATTAATCTTAACTCCTTTATATCCCGAACATTCAAACATACATGTTCGTATATGTGAATGTCCGTTGTTAGATGATCAATCATCACCGCATTCAATGTATCGCTCGTACTGCTTTTCTCCAATGTGTCCGTAGGTTTATCTAAACAACAAAGATTTTTATCAATGTACTATACGTCGAGCATGCTACTTTTCTTACTTCGATCAGGTGATGTTGCTAAATTTGCGTTGACATGAACATCTTTTAGAAATATGCGGTCTTTATTGGCACTAATTCCATCGAGAACACCTTCGTAGGAAACATGAACTTTGGATAACACTCGTACTGTACAACCATAATAAGGACTGTGTGTAATGGCGCCTAACTTCTTTTGCTGTTGCTCTTCAACCTGCATTGACTGAATGCGTTGATACAGGCGTAGGTGCAGAAATATTTTAAATAGTTTCCTCTTTATATTATTTTTATGCGTAACAAGCGTTGCATTGCTTCTCTTTTCTCTCTACCTCTGCTTTTCTCTCTCTGCATTTTTCTATCTCTCTACGTGTTGTGCGTCTGATCGTATCGAACACTGACGATCGATGAAAAAATAACATGTGACCATTTATCTGACGTCGACATGTTACCTGTAATTATTTTTTCTTCGTTTTCTCTTCATACAAACAACACCTGTCCGTAGTAAAAACAAAACTTTCTCATGTGATATCGGCAGAGATGAATAAGATCGATCAACGGAATACCAAACATTGTCATTCTTTTGATAGGTGACCGGTTGTTGACAAAGCGAGTGGAGAAGAGAAGAGAAAAAGCATTGAAAAGTGACTGTACAGAGGACATGTTTGTTGTTTACTAGTGAAGCGTGAATAAAACATGACAAAACGTCACGTCATTATTTACTGTATGATTATCGAGATGCAGCAGATAAAGCTGAAAATTTGTCGTTTAGTTTCACTTTTGCGCGCGAGATTTGCTACTGAAAAACTGATGGGAATTGAAATGAGAAAGATATAGGTCGATAAAATACCATAGAAAATGTTCTCTTGAAAAGAAACAGATCGTTAGATTTCATCAATATCGGTAACTTGCGATTGATTGCTGCTTATTTTGATCGGTTGTGCGCTAGCAGCAAGAAAAAGAATCATTATGCTGTGTAATATGAGTCACACGTGGTAGAAAAATATCTAACATATCGAGGACATTGTATAAATGATGTTTTGAGACCTTGTTTTATTGAATATATCAATACCATCGAGATATAAGATATTAACTAACTAAATAAACTGAAATTGTCAAGAAAATCAGAGAATGTCATGTCAATTTTAGGCTTTAGATAGAAATATATCGAATGCCGGGCAAAGGATCAAAGAGTCCGCGAAATAAAAGTCCGAAGAATGCCAAAGGAGATGCAGGAATCGCTTGGGAAACGCTAGTAACAGCTAGTTCCATAAATCAAGTAAGACAAAGCTCGTTTAAACTGTATACGAAATGTTACACATGGATCTTCATAGGATAATTGGACAACTTTTGTTTGTTTTCTCATGCCGGATTGTGCGATCAATCAGATCTATGTTGATTTAATTGAAAAAGCCATGCAGCATAATATTCGTCGACGGTTCGACTTGATTTCCAAACGAGACTTCATCGAAGCTGTACGTCTGGACTTTTCCATATATTTCTTGTACGAATCATTGTAATCTAGATTAAAAAAGTGGAAAAGCAAACGAAGAATGCGGCGAAATCAGTTTCCACGAATTCATTTGTCGATAGTCTAAATAATTCCGCCTTTGTCTCAGCATATGATCATGCCAAAACTTTACTCGAAGCAGGAAGTGAAATCGACGATCAACTATGGGCGAAATTAATCAAATGTCGTATACTTGATTTGAAAAAGGAAGTTCAAGCGCGAACAGTCACAAAAACAGTTCGTAAAATCCACTAAATCTTCTAAATGATGCATTTGTCTGATGATTCTAGTCAGGAGCACAAGCTGCAGCAGCACCAGCTAAACCCGAAAAGGGTAAAGGTGGCAAAAAATCTCCAAAAGTCGATAAAAAAAAGCAGGCTGCTGTCGCCGCTCCACCACCCGTATCTGATACACATATTGAAAAGCCGCCTGGTGTTAAAACACGCGATCAAATTACTGACGAGACGAAATATGTCGGTGAGAAAGAGATTTTCATTCTTCGAACAACTTTCATCTTTATCTAATTTTATTCGAAAACTTTAGCACGAAAAAGTAAACCTCTCTCTCAGCTATCCGATTCTTGCTCTCCTCATTTATTCGTCAATCTTTTCATTTCTCTCTTGTTTTCTTACATCATGCGTATATTTAGATGATGAACCAAATGATGGACCAAATCAGTATATATACTTAAGTGGATTCTATTCCATTGGTCTTTTACATGCATTGGATGATGTTAGCATTCGTATTGATACAATTACGAATGTGTCCAGTGATAATCTCGATGAAACTAATAATCTATTCGAAGAAATGATTCGACGCGATCGACAAGAACAAACATTGAAATCCGATGTTTTGAAAGAAATACGTACGTAGGGAGTTCGTCTTTTAGATCAAAGAAACATTTTTTGTTGATCGTTTTTAGAAAAAGATTCAATACGTAAGAGATGTTTTGTTCCAGTAAAAGACTAACTAATGAGATTTGAATGACAACCGTGTGTGAATCAGTGACAAACCTCCAGATAGATTTGTTCTGATTTAACCAGTGTTTTCTCCTTTTCATTTGAGTGACTGAACTAACTTGTCTTGTACTACCTAGAAAATGTTGTGTTTTACAATTGATTGTTAACAAAAGATTCTATATTTGCTGTCTTTTAGCTACGCCAGAACAAATCGCTGAACAAAACCAAAAGAATGACCAAGTATTGAACACTTTCTGGAGCAGTTTAATGCCGATCTTAGACAATGCACCTGATCAATCAATGTTACAAGATGTAATTGTTACAACTTTAAAAGTTCCATACGAGCAGTTACCCGATTCATGGATTAACACAGAACAGAAAGTAAGTCAAAGGAATCTGTCAATGTTGATACTTGATCTACTCGATTTTCGGTCATTTTCAGTTTCGATTGGCTGATTCTCTCTGTGAAAATGTCGTGGATAATAGTTTTCGTTTGAATGTTCGTAAAAGACAATTTAAATCATTTAACGAACAGATGAAAGTCGTAGCAATTCCAGTGATTGGTTCGTGTTAGAATACTTTTTCTTATGAAAAGTCGAGATGTTTCGTTTCTAGAAGAGAAAACATCAAAATCAACATTGGACGCACAAATCTACACTGAGATAACAACAGTCATTCCACCAGAATCAATTAGCGTGCCACTTATTCTACACGGCATTCTTGAACAAGTTTGTTTCCATAGCAGAAATGATAAACGCTGTTTTTTAACCATCCGAAAATGAACTTTCAGGTCGAAGCGAAACTTGTCGTTTCAACGAATAACAATTCCAATGCATCGAATCCGAGTGAAGGCGTCGGACGATACTTACGTGACAGATTGATGTCGCTATCCATGGGAAAACAACAGCAGAAAGTAAGAATTACGGAACAGGACGAAAACAGTGTATATGAAGTTCTCAAATAGGAAATTGAAAATCTTGTTCCAAAATCTCCATTTTCAAAGCCAAGCGGATCAGGTCCAAAAATGGTTTACTACGGTGATGAGATTAAACAACGTTTAACAACATTAAATTGCCTAGCTCTGTTTGATCCGATTAAAGTCGAACGTGATTCATTGATGGCACATTCACGTCTTGTCAATTTACCTGAAATGGCACAACGAAAACCATATGATCCTGATGAAAAAGAACGGCAGACTCGAATGAATCAATTTCTTCAATTCTGTGTTGACGATGAACTCCTTCCAACAGGTTTACCAGAGAAAAGTAAACATTTTTGTACCAAAGCCTACTATTCATTTAGATGTGGATCATATTTTGAAACAATTTGTCTTCGAATGTATTTCATTGAATCCGATGAAAGAAGGCAAAAATGAACAACAAGCAAGTCGTCCATCATCAGCTGGCAGCCTTCAAGAGGATGATCAATACGATTTGGAAAAACGTTTGACATATCTCAACGATGATGAGAGTCAATCATCGAATATCATTCAGCCAATTGTCTGGGATGATCCGTATGAACTATTGAGAACCAATCAAGAAACAGGAAGAATCGGCCTTGAATCGTTAGTGCGACCGTCCAGCGCGTCCAGCCATTGTATGTTAAACATTCGAATATTGACATAAGCACGTGTAATTTCTTATTCTAGCATCGAATGGATCAACTCGTCGAAGTCGTACTCAATCACCGAAATCACAAGGTAAATCGATAGAAATTTATAACAGAGACCATGTGCAGCTTATTTTGATTGATCTGCCCTAATCACTAAAAATTACAATTTGATTTCGCTAGTCTATACTCTTTGTTTTGATGTTAATAATTCAGACAATAACCTCCAGCAACAGTTACCACATATCCTACCACCAATTGGCAATGTTCATGTCGATGGAACTATCCAAGCAGTTTTACAACATCATAAACGAAATTTGAACGATTGGAATTTTGCTGAACACTTCGAACCAGACATATTTCTACAAGTATATATTCATACTTTCGTCTATCAAAAAGAACCTTAACGCTATTGTTCTCGTAGATCATTGAACAAGCGTTGTTCACCCACTCACATGTGGATGTCTACTACAATCGACGGGATCAAACGCACATGATAGTACTTTCGTTGCCTATTCCAACCGATAAAACGATCGGGCACCAAACAACAAGCAAGAAACTATTTTCTGATGTAGGATTTAGGTAGGTTCTTTGCAAGTTGTTGTTTGCGTGGCGGAGAACGGTATTTTATAGAAATTTTCTCGACGAAATATCTTACGAAATTGTCGATTGGCTTCGAGACGAAGAAGCGAAATATCATGCTGATGTGCTTGCAAAAGAAGTGCAGACGTACGTTCGCGAAACAACACCAACACCGGATGCAGGCAAACCTGCTGCAGGCGCTGGAAAGAAGGGAAAAGGAGCGGGGAAAAGTAATTGGATATTCTAGTAAAACTTTTGGTGATGAAGTATTTTGATTTTAGAAACCCCGCCTGCTCGATCTCGATCCACAAGTGTTAGTTCCGAAGCAGGAAATACAACAGCAGAAGATGAACAAACTATTCGTGACGACTATGCGCATCCAACATCATTGAAAGCATGGAAACAGAAACGTGATAAAGAAATTCAAGAAGAAGAACTAGCTAAAGCAAAGCGAGCAGAATCAGCTACTAAACGAGGAAAAACAAAAACACCTCGTGGTTCTGAAAAGCCAGGCAAAGAAGCATCACCACATGACAAATCTTCCAAAGACAGTAAATTGAAGCAACAAACGAACACAGCATCCATTGACAAACCGCCTGTATGTATCGATTGTCAAATCGAATCAAAATAATCGAGCACGTGTTTTTGTTTTCAAAGGAAACTCAACCACCACCACCACCAACGATCGCGGAAGAACCCGTTGAACGCGTAATTCTAATAGTTTTATTTTCATTTTTTCTCTAATCAGTTTTTGTTTTCCTTCCTGCGAAAGTTTACTGGTTACAGTTTGGGCAACCATCTTCTTAGTGCTCAATGCAACACAACCCATCTGCTTCTTCCAGATGGATGCTTCGTTCGTACACATGTCGACTCACTCAAACGAGGATCAACTTGTGTTTCAGCAAGGTACTATTCACTCATTTACATGGATCAACATTGACAGTTCGTTTCTCTTCAGTTTGTATCGAAACAAAAGTGCGTACACAGTACAATTGATTAATCCGAACAAATCGTCGCATATCGACAGTCAGCATCAAGGCCAATCCCAATCATCAGAGCTAATCAACGCTAATGAAACTAGTCAACGAAAAGAGAGTCTGTACCGTAATTCAAATTAGATAGACATGCAATCTTTCTATTTGTTATAGACAATGCAACTGACTCAACAGAAGAAAAACGTGTTGCTCAATATGGTGTATTTACAGCTATATTGAATTCGGGAATGATTGTCTCTTGCAGCAATTATGATACGAAGGCTCCTAAAAGTGAAAGTCATCATTTTCGATTGGATGGTTAGAATTCGATTTTTGAATTTTAGTTGAAGCACCTGCTGTTGCTGCTCCTCCTCCACCACCTGTACCAGCTCCACTTGAACATGCCAATTCGGAAGTCATCGAAGAGAAAAAGAAAGATTCTCATGCGGCTAAGGGCAAGAAGAAAGTTAAACCAGTCGAAGTTGAAGTTCCGCTCGTGGTAGGATCCAACTCTTAATCCTTGATTCTAAATCTAAATACTACTGTTATGTACATATATTCACAACCAAATATTCCTCATTGTATAGGTATCCGAGTCGGTCGATGAGGTAGTGATTCATTCTTATCTTCTTTTTCTCCATCCACTTAGTCTGTGATTCTATTTCTCCTCTTCTACAGTGATGTAGCTGTCTAAGTAATTTTGATTCTACACAATTCATTAGCATTTTGATCGATAATATCGACAACAGCAACTGTGCTCAGAAATCTTTATTGCATTTTTATTCAACAGGAAAAACCACCTCCAGAACCACAGTACGAACCTGAACCGTTTCAACGTTTAACCATTTCTATTCCCACTGGTCTGGTCGTTACATATTATCCTGAAACATTCCTTGGTAAGATGCCGTTTGGCATTAATCGAAAGCCTTTTAATACAATATCAACCACATTCTAGGTGTCAAACCGACTCAAGAGAAACAACCGCATCGACTAGCGGTTAAACAATACTATGCGTGTCAATCGAAAGGTTTTCATACATGTGAACAATCACGTTTGAATGCTTATGAAGAATCTTCACGTATAATCGATGGTGAAGGTCATGTCATGATATTCAAACGTAATGGAGAATTAATTGTATGTCCATGTACTGCTCTTTTCAATTCAATAATTAACAAATTGTTCCGTTTCGATAGATTCTCCAACCTGATGGCGGAATATTCAGCAAAACAATCGTGTATCAGAATGAACCGGAAATAGAATTGCCAGCTGAGAATACTCAAACAACGAAAAAAGGCGGCGCGCGAAGTGATAGCCGAGGAAAGAAGAAGCCCGATTCGAAACCAGGAACGGACGTAACAACTGTCAATGAAGAAGTGAAACCACCTGTTTTTGAATGGAAATGTGTAACAGTAGATGGTCAAGTATACAAACAAAATCCAACAACAAATGAATACGACAAGATCGATCAATTAAGATTAATTCTGGAAACCAATCCCAAAACATCTGAAGTAAGAGAAGAGAAACTAATTCGATTATGAACATCATTTTGGCTTATTTCTCTAGCAAGTTATCCATCGCGAGGATAAAGTTGTGGTTGTTTTCCGCAGTGATGGATCTCGTGTCGTCAGCTTTGCGGATGGAACAAGGTAGAAACATATCCGAATTTCTCGCGATCGACGTGTTGTGATTGTCTTGTATTTTCATTCGATTAGAATAACATCATATGAAGCTCTTGAACAAAAACAAAGCCTCAATGATCAAGAAACAGGTAAATATCGTTGATGCATGTTCGTCATAAAAGTTATTATTGAATGAAATAGGTGAATTCAATAATTCCTCATCGAGTTTTCAAAGAATTCCACATGTCAAAGTCGAAGCATTTGGTTATGCTACAGTTGCCTTTAATAGCCAAACTACTGACTGTCGAACAGTATTCAGTGATGGTAGTTCAATTGACGTATTCTCCAATGGCACATACTCGATCTATGAAAGCGACGGAGAGAAATTTGATATCAACGACAATGGTGATATACTCTTTGATTTTCAACAGTAACGCGATTTTTTCTTGCCTAATGAAAGAGCTTTGGATTGCTGCTTTGATTTAGATCAATTTATGGCAAACGTGTCCAAGAACTTTTACCTAATATTGAACCGAGTAAATGTATTATGTCACAGAATGGTGATATCATTTTTGATGCAGTGGATTACGAGCAAACCCTATACTGCGTGGAATCATCCGGAGAAACTTATTCGAAAGAGAATGATGAACAACAACAACAAAAACCGAAAAGGAGCTTACCTTTGGAACTACATGTACCAAGGTGAATAAAATGAGTGAAATCAAATGTTATCTTCAGAAGTCAGTCTTAACAAAATGCGTTCACTATTCTTAGATTCTTCATTGCTCACGAAGATGGAAGTGGAACTGAATTACTTCGCTTTAAAGATCTTTATTCATATTTACGAACAATGGATCTCGATCCAAGTACTGCCGTTGTTCGTGAACCATTGTCAAGTAATCCAAAGGTGACTGGTGCTACAGTCATGCGACCGTTTCAAGGTAGAAAATCTTTTATTTCGCTAATTTCTTGATATTTATGCAATAAAATCCACAGATGAGGTTCATCGTCGATGGTCAACAGTATTCGAGGATGATTCGATTGTTCCTGCCAGTCTTCGTTCTCATACAGCAAATACAGCGACAACGGGTAATGACACATTTGCACATAACGCGAAAAGAATGCTTTAAAATTGTCCTATACATCTAGATTCACAAGACAATGGTTCCTTTCGACAAACAGATAAATGCAATCAGTCGGGAACATTTTCTACTGGTTTCATTACTCAACAGCCTATACTTGAAATGCCCAAAGCACTCGATTACCGTAACTTTATGGAATTTCCACGACTTCACGATGATATTCGTTTCAAGTTATTTAATTCATTGAAGTACGTTTTCGAAAGTCTTTTTCTCATCTTTCGCTATTGTATATCTTGCATCAGAGCCTACATTGAATATGTAACGAATCGAGCTGATTATCATACAAAACTACTTCCAAAAGATCATCGTAATCGATTTGAAAGAGAACAAGCAAATAAAATATGGAAAAATGCTCGACCACATGGCACAACAAAAGGTACTTGCTCGCATCTCTTGATGTATTGCCTTCTGACGATTTCTCCTTTGCTTGCCTCTAGATGATTTAGCCTTATTGTACCTCAAAACTCTTCATCCTGATAAACAAAACCCAGCAACTCATCAATCAGTCATTCCATTGGCGAAGAAATTCAATCTTAGCCATATAAACGATGAACTTCGACAAGAAAAAATGAATAAAAAGTTAAAATATGATATTAGCCGGGGCATCGCCATGCCCTACTTTCAAACTGAATGGGGTATTGCATATACACAACAACGACAACAACAACAAGAAGAACAATATACAGAAACTGTCACACGACGAGAATCAAGGAGTGCGGAACCTACAAGTAATTTCCCAGGTACACTCGATTTGAGATTTCGGAAACATTCCATCTGTTTAGAAACGTTCAATGCACAGGAGAGAATCATCAGATCTCCTCCAACTTCGCCAACTGATCAACACAATCGACTGTCAGAAATTCGAAAACCTCTATTAACCCGCAGTATTAGTACAGGTAAGGTAACGAAGGCTTTTCTGTTCACTATTACACTGAGATGCATTGTAGAAGTCGCAGGAAGCAAAACAATGAACGGCTCAGACGAACACAATCAAGATAGCACATATCGTCCGGTGAAACCGTTTCAATCACCGCGAAACACAGTTCAATATGATGCACTTGGCAATAAACGAGCAAATCCAATTCGTTTACCTAATTCATTGAAAGGTTCACGACCAAATGCCCAACCGCACTCACGTGTAAGTGCATTGAATTGAAAGAAAAACACGAGTCATAAATGAGATGTTTAGTTTCTCGACATGGAAGAGCCGGTCATGGTTCGACCAAATAATGCATCGATTGGCGCTGCCACGCTTAATAATCGACCATTGAGAGCCAGACGTGGTTGCGAACTACTTCCCGATAAAGTTGATTTCGGTATTTTGAAAGAAGGTAAACTATCAGTAGAACTAAAAGTTGAGTAAAAAACTAAATGAATGAATTATTCCAGGTGTCACTTATGGAGCAGAAGTCGATATTAAGAATGTTGGTATCGATTCATGTCGTTTTCGTGTTCGCCAGCCACCGTTGGGCACTGGATTGCGTGTTGTTTTTCAACCGGGTGTAGTACGTACACAATTTTCTACTCTGTTTCTCTTAAAAAAACAAGATAATCTTTCGATTTAAAGCTTGCTGCTGGTATGAATCGATCTTTAACGATTGAACTGTATGCGATTATTAAACAAAATCATCATCACCCTCAACAGCAAGAACAGCAATCGCAAGGTCTCTATCAACTCGATCAGTCGATTGAAATTATAACCGAAACTGATATCATGCATTTTCCCATTCGCGCTAAGATTGCTACAGAAGAACAATATGATGTTATGTATGTTAACAATGATGGTACTGCTGGAATGAGTAAATCAGTTCGTCTTCTTGCACGTAAAAGCTCAAATGTGAATGACTGGTATCCTACTGCGAGTAAAGATCCCACGAATGAGACAAAGAATGAGTGAATTTGACACTATAGTACTGTATTTTATGCGAATTCGACTTTCTTTTTCCAATAAAACACACATATATTTGACTTTTTACGCTGTCTGTTGGTTATTTCATGTTGGACTCGTTTCAAGGATTAGAAACATTATCATTAGAGAAGACAAGTCTATGTGGCATATCATTCCGATGTAAGACAACTAAATAACGATATCTATTCTAAGAAAAATATATCAGAATAACTTTCAATGTATTTTTTTTTGAGAAGATACGATTTTCGAAAATAAGTTAACAGAATAAATGTAACAATTGCTAATTGAATCGCATACAGAACACAATCGCTATCAATAGATAGATAAATGCTTGGATAACAACAATTAAAAGGCATAGACAAAGAAGAAAAACACATTCCGTAATTACTGTCTCTTCTCTACAGAACTGTGTGCGGTCTTTCGCCCTTAATTTCTTCTTTTAAATATAGAAATCATCGAACACACGCACACACACACAAATTCACACACATGTATATTTCACTTGTTTCATAAATTAACCCGTTAGTGAACGTGTGTTATATAGAGTGAAAGAAAGAAATTGATTAAGAAAAGAAAGAGCGTACTCAGATCGTGACAAACGAACAAGAACAAAAAATAAAATCCAATAAAAATCAAAAGAAAGTTCTATTGCACATTGACACACGTACAAACGAAAAGAAAACACCTCTATTAATAGATGTGTACATGTGTTGATTCTTTTCTGCTTCACAACGAATATGAATATTTGTGTTAAGAGACAACACAATTAGAAGAGGAGTCAGTTGGATGAGTATGAGAATTGGTACCATTGGTTAGCGATTCTGAGAGAGAGGTAGGATTAGAATTTGCATTTTTGATGTAGACAGTTTGTAGGAGTTTATTCCGCGCCGTGTCGTTCGATGCTGGATTCTGTTGTTGGTCCGAATGAATGAAATCACTTGTCTGAAGGGTTTTACCAGAACTCAAACGAATATCCAAGCGTTTTGATGGTGATGGTGGGGGCGAAGACTCGTCGGCAGCTGACGGAAGAGAATTTTGATATTTGAACGATGATGATGGCGGATCCTTCTTGTCTTGAAGAGAACTGGCTGTTCGTGCGCGAACTGAACCGGGCGAGAAAAGCGATGGTTCAATCGGTTCCGATGTTGACGATGATGAAGGAAGAACGATATCACCACTGAAACGACGTGCGCGTGAGCTCGGTGACATCTCACGACCCTTTCCATTATCTGGAATTTGGGTATTGATGGTCAATGTTTCAAACGTGGATGCGGGTGGGTCAAGATCCGCAGCTGAAATTGTACGATTACGTGAAGAACTCTTCTTACGTAATGCCTGATGTTGGCTGTTATCTGTAGTTGGATGTTTTGTTAAAAATACGTCATCGCCTATGAAAATAATGAAAACGTTGGTTGAATAACAAGAGAAAATCTTAGAAATTTAAAATTCGATTTACTTGAGTCTACCGATGCCTTTTTCTTGGCTGTCGACGGAAGAAAAACTGTTCGACGTTGATTCATTAGTGTTTGAGCTTGGTTACGTACGAATGATAGCAAAGCTCTATAGCCAGGACTGAAACAGGAACATGATCAATAAACAATGAACGAACTAGAAACTAAATAATCACCATTCAATATCTGCCCATGTTTCCAACTCTGTCAAACCACGTTGTAAACCGAACATTTGAGTTGACAAGTCTTGTATTCGAATAGCGTTGAGCACTTGTGATATCATCGCCTGGCTTTTTAGAATCAAAGAAAAGAGAAATGCCCAATCGTAACAGTCGGCCGTTAGAAATATTTCATAAAGATATCTACAGTGAGATAAATCATTTCTTAGTAGGAAAAAGAAGAATTCCTGAATTTACTTAAGTTGTTTTTCACACAATGGTGGTCCACGATTAGCTAGTTCTTGAGTAAGACTTTCGATGTCACGATTATGAACAAGATCATCGAATTCATTATCAACAGGCATTGAGCTCGCTTCAGATGTTAAACTTAGTGTATCCACTAGGACGAGAAAATAAAACATATAGTATCAAATCATGCGAGGCATGGATACTTACAAAAATCTTTCTGCCTTTTCGGCGTTAGATTAACGTTCATTTCATCTTTCGACGTAGCTCGTGATACTTGTGTATAATATTTCTCATCTGAAACAGAAATAGTTCATCAATTCTTTCGAAACTCGGCCTTGTTACCATGTTCGCCATTACGATCATTGGGTCCAAGGCCCGAATCCGAATGATGACCGTTGTTATCCGTGCTCGATGTTGTCGAATCTTTATCTCCTGAAAAAAAAAGAACATGATTATATTTGGTTTTCGAATAGACAGCATTCAACAGACGGTATAACGGATTGAAATAAACATTGGGTGAAGAGACAACCGGGAATGGCCAGTCGAATTCTTTATGTAGTGCTTTCAGTGTTGCAGGATAATTGGAAATGATCAATGCCGATTCATGTCTGAAATAGGGATCTTAAATTTGAATCGATACGACATTCCTCATACTTGTGTGTTCTAAGCCAATTAAGTAGATCGAAATCTGTTATGTTAGCTGCCATATAGCCTATGTGCCTTAGACGACCTCTGGCAATATTTTGCAAAGCATGTTGATTTAAAGTACGTTGAATAAAATGTACTGATGACGTGATTGGCACCTGTGGCATGGAGTTATCTGTAGATTCGAGTGAAGGTTGCTGGTGTAGTTGTTGTTGATGTTGCGATTCATTGTCTTTTCTCGGTGATTTGCTATCTGATGAACTTGCTTTTCTACCTCGTGTATCATGGGTTGATGTATTCGATGAATCAGATGGATTATTTGAAGTAGTTGTGTTCGGTTGAGTGGGACCGACTGCCGCTGATGCTGCTGACCATGATGCTTTCGCTTTGATCGGTGTCAATGATGATGGTACTAGTGGTGGCGGTGGTTCGGAAACGGTTGTTACTGCTGATGAATTTACAGAACCGCTGGCAACACTCGCCGTTCTCTGTCGTATGTTGGTGACGTAGGTGAATTTTAATGTCTCTCGATGTGGTGACAGAGGAGATTTATGATTGAGTGGATTGGAAGCGCGTTTTGTTGTGGTTGTTGATGGAGCAAATCGGCTGTTCAATGTACGAATATATTCATCATTATTTAGATCTTGTGGATCTAGAGCACGCGAAGAGTTGAGATTGAACTCTCGTTCGTCTAAACATTACCTATAGAACGAATGAATCGAAGAATATCTGTAGCTAATTCCCATTTGTCGTTTTCTAACGAATGCTCAAGCAACACTTGTGCAAACTGAATGAAGATTGTCTTCAAGTATTTGAATCACAGACAACATTGCATATTTACCTGTTGACTGATTTCACTTTTCTCTAAATTTTGTAATATGATGAGATATGAAGCTGCTGTCTCTAAATCATTGTCTGTCAAACATTGCTAAATCAAAAATCGACTCAGTCAATAAAAAGAAAAAGGAAGAATGAGAGAAATGTTTTATTACTTGAAAGAGTTTCTTTGGATCACCGATAATTGACGTTGAGAATAAACATGGCCAAAGTGCGACTTCAGTTTTCCTTGCACAATGCGAAATAATACGTAAAAATTGAGGCAACAGCTGGATGAAATTAGTCACACGTGGTAAAAGTGGATCTATGGGTGTTCGTTATTAAATAAATTCCGATAGATTTTATGATTCTTACCTGGAATGGGCTGGGTACTAGTTGCTTCTTCTTCTAGGACTTTGTGTAAGAGTAGTTCAAGTACATGAGAAAAATGGGGAATACGTTTGCATGTTTGAGCAATTTGCAATGCATCGAAATCAAGACTAAACAGATTTTCGATAGAAGTTTTTCGTGACGAACGATATTAACCTACTTTTTACGAATCAATTCTTGAAAGACATGATTGAGAAAGACTTGAGTCTAAAAGAGAATCGTGCCGATTGAATGTATTTACAAGAGAAGATAAGACATACGGTTTTTGTAATTGAGCAAAACGTATTCGAATTGTAATTTTCTAATTCCGACATAGCACCAAGAATAACTGCTTCTTCTACCACCACAGCTGAAACCCAACAAGAAAAACATGTTTTTTTTTTCGAACAGCCCTCGTCTTACCTAATGGATATATAGTCAAACCAAATGTCAACATGATTCGATGCGATTGAAATATTGGTTCATCGACTTTTCGATACAAAGGAAGCCAAACTTTCATTCCGTGTAATCCACAGCACAGCCATAATGCATTCGACAGATACGGATTAGTTGAATTTTGATGTGAAATCGTCCAGATACATTCGACCCATGCCGCAATCATTACAGGCGGTAAAAATGTCACCGTTTGTGACGAATTCTTTTTCGATGTTTTCTGTAGTACTAACGATGAACCGCCTCGCTCCTGTTGCAAAAGAAGAAGACGACCGCACACATTGAGAAGGATACTCTGGGGTGCATTATCATTGGATGTAGAAGTATTGGATTGTGGTAAGCCTGTTTCAATTTAGAAAATGAAAGAAGTTCAAAAATGACGGTGGTGTACCTGAATCAGTTCGAAGAGATGTCAAACCAATAAATGGAACGAAAACAGCATGTGGAACATAGGATTCGACAGATATCTCATGTAATTTAACCATTGACGCAGTAGGAACTAAATGGAATGAAGGCGGTGAAGAATGATATTGATTTAACTCTTCACCTACCTGGTTTACCTTCCTTTTGCTCCAATCCATATATCATAATATGTAGATCATACCTAAACACAAAGGATATTTAGACTCCGCTAGACAGAACTACTGATGAGTTGTTCTTACGAGAAGACGATCAATGTGTCATCGTAGATATTTAAACATATGATTGGTGACTGTAGACGAGTGACGTACGAAAATTGATTATCCAAATTTGTCAATCGTGAGTAGAGACGTATCTAAAGTGTAGTTGATAATATATGTTAATGCAAATCAGTTCTTAATTGATTAGGAATTATTGTGTTAAGAAAAGCTGCTCAGCTTTTGTTGTCTGTTTGTAATAGTCAACCGTAATATCCCAAATGATAGAAGAAAATAACCATGCAAAATTGTTAGTTAGATAAACCAAAAAACAAGTTCAAAACTCAACAGAAGATCTGCAAATACATGCTAGTATAATGAGCTGAATCTCTGCTTCTTTTTCCTTTATTAGTCATTTGTTTTGATCTGTATCTCTGTCTCTTACTTCATATCTCGGAACGTGCTAAATACATACATATATAGATATAGAGACATTGCATTTAGTAAAATATCCAGGAATAAGCGTTATATCTCACTTCGTCACGGTTTTCACTCGTTGAGGTACACCCACAGACGATAAATTCTTTCCACCATAATAAACCACCAACAATACGTATATCACGTTCCTTCAAAAACGAATGTGTATCTCATAGATAAGTTCTGGATGAACTCACTTGGCCAGCATTGCCGAATAACTTCCATTTTCGAGTGAATAATGAAAAATGCACAAAGCCATGTTGACCAGCGACAGCCAAATATTGGCCCGTATTATCAATACAAGCGAACTAAACATCGAAATTATTTTCGCTAAGCAAAAACTAGATATTTACTTTAATCGGCCAATTGTTATGAATATATAACTGTGGTAATTGAATCACTTGCCAACCAACATCCGAACCAACCGATATTGACAAGCCGTTACTATTTCCGGATTGTTGATTTCCACTTAAGTACAGATAAACTTTGTCTTCTGATTGCAATAATAAATGTTCAATGCTTCCCTAAAATATCGTTGATTACGAACAAGTGAAGATGATAACCAATTCGAAAACAAACCGAATGAGGATTATTGATCACAGCTGATTTTAAAAAACTTAACAGTATCAATTGATTGCTATTCTCTCTTATTGCCTTCATATGCGAGTCAGTGGGTGAGCTAGAAGTGAACTTTTCGGATGCTACCCATAGAGTATACCCATCAGGACCCCATTCCTAAAGAATTGCATTGTTCATCGATCATTCATTCTGTTCGGATGAATTAGACTTACAATGACTCGACACAAACCATATGAATGCATCGGATTTCTACGGACATGAAATCAGTTGACGAGATTTGATCGAGAGAAAATAAATCTTACAGTGATTGTTCTGATGAATATGAACAATGGAGAAGAATACCAAATACAGTCCATATAGCAAATGCACCATTCTCCCACAGAGTACAAAGAACACGATAATCAGGACTCCATTTCATCGAACACAATGCACCGACAGTTTCGATTAAATCTACGAAAATAGAGGTCACAATGACATCATCTTCATTCAACAGTCATTCTTTCGTACCGGGAAAGTTCTCTACAGATAACTGTATCTTAAATGCTAATTGTAACGATGCTGTCAATTCATCAATGTAATAGACAGCGCCTTGTCCACTGCAAAGTACAACAATCAAAATGATCGACAGCAACGTTAGACACAAACCTTGTCGACCCAAATGCTAACAATTGATAGATAGCATTTAATGCCACACAACAATGAGTTCTCCAGATCTTCTCGTCGGCTCCTAATTGGACGACGATACATTGACATTGCTGATAAATAAAAAGCAGATCGGCATTCGCATGCGATATCAATCGATTCTTTTTCTCCTACCAGCGGTTCGAATTTCGCTGTTTCACAAATGATCAAACCCGATGTTCCATCGCTAAATACAATTCCGATACCATTCAATAACGGAGAGAATTCAATATATTTTGCATAACGATCAACTTGGTTCGTTTTATAGACTAGAGACGAAAAATTCACATGAATTTCCCCTTCGATAACAAATACAAACAGACCTCGATCAGAATTCAATGAAACCGTGTATGATATCGCACTTAACGATATCGTTAAATGTTGATGAATAGATCCATCCCACGATATACGATATAAGTATCCTGTATTATCAGCAACCAACAGATCAGGTCCAAGATTGGTAATTCTAAACAAATTCGTAAAAGATATTTGTTGGAACTCATTTCGAACTTCATCAACGGTATACCCTTGAATGTGAGAACCAATATGTAAAGCACTATCTTGAATCAGCTTGATTCGTACCATAGGAAATGTGAATTGTGCTTCCGTATTGATCCGAATGAGAAACTCACTAATAAACCAGAATGAACGAGAATAGGAGACTAAAATTCACGTCTAAATATTACCAAGGATCTTCATCGTTATTTGATCCGAAGAAAGATGACTTTGGTCTATCGATGATAACTTTGTAATATATCAAATAACCTTTGTTTGTTGCAACAGCTAGTTTTTGAGTATCATTTCGCCATTCAGCAGAAACGTTTTGCCCGTGAACTGCAATGGAATTTTCTGAGCGTCGAACAAGACCAACTAACGTCGTTGGCTAGAAGAACAATTCATCAAAGAATATCAATTCGTATTGAACATGTTTTTGTTCGTTACCTTTGTCAACCAAACGCTGATAATAGTAGGTGTGAGTAGAACAAGTTTAAGACGATCACGCGTAGTTCGGAGAAAAATAATCTCGTAGGGTTCTTCTATGGGTAATGAAAAACTTCGAAACGAACCGATTGGAAAATACATCTTTCATTTCATCTATCTGAAACGCAAGTCGACTGTCTGAGGTTTTATTTAGGTAATTAGGGCAACATATTGTGAGATAGATTTTCGATAAAAACAAACTTTTTTCACCAAAAAAAGAACAACGACATCTGATCGCAAAGAATCCTTTTTGATTGGTATAAATGATTAGATCATCTAAAGATTTAGTGCGTTATTCATTTTATGCAACCAGGTGTTCGCTCAAGTTTCCAATGGAGAAATTTTCAAAATATCAATACAACGAGCGTTTTTATTTATTTTTTATTCGTCATAGATGTCACTTGTTGCAGCTACGCGCATCGTTCAGAATCTACTACACAGCCTTTAAGTTCGCGGCGACTGATGCCTATAGATATTTTACAGTTGATTTATTGAAAATGAAAGCAAACACTAAATGTACACTATTTGCATTAGAACGAAACTATCGAACAAAGAAGACAGAGAGAGTGCGTGTGTGTCTGTGTGTCGTCAAGAGGTCTGCTGTTGGTGGCAAACCTATTCTTGGCAAATAATAAATTCTGTACAGACGAATCCGATTGAAAATTTTGACGTAGAATGAGAATAGTGTGTGTGTGATATATAAATCATTTACTATTTTAATACCGTTACCTGATTTACGCGTCTTATGGTTGATTGATATATAACATGATTTCAAAAGATGGCAGTAAAATCCAAAAGCGATAATTGCCGATAAATTTCAGTTTAACAAACAGAATAAATCAAAGAAAACTAACTATAAACTAAATGATTTTAAAATATTAATAAACTAGATTGAATAAAAGTTGAAGATTCTATTGGACTAGTTCACTCCAATGACCATCAACTGATACGTTTGATTGGATGTACTTACATTCGTTCGTTTTTATTTATTATTGTAAGATGGTGAGACTTCCTTGAACGCATTTACATATACTTGGAGAAACACATTGAATTCAATAGAAAAGTCTCTCATTGTCGATAGAAATTTCCGATGACATTACGAATAGAAAAAAAACCTATTTATTTCAAGATTTCAGATGTCTGTTCGTTTTGCCGAACCCGAGCTAATCAAAGACGGTGAAGAAGAAGAAGAAAATGACGATGAAGAAATTGTAACACGTTCGTTCTATGACTTCGGTCTTGATAATCGTCTATTGAAATCAATCGCTGATCTACAATGGCCATCACCGACGCCAATTCAAGCTGAAACAATTCCATACGCATTAGCGGGTAAAGATCTTCTTGTCAAAGCTCGTACTGGTAGTGGTAAAACCGGTGTCTATGCACTCGCCGCCATCCAACATCTGCTAACAAAGCAACAAACGACAAATCGTAATGTTCGAGTGTTGATTCTTTCACCAACGAAGGAACTATGTCATCAGATTGCATCTGTCTTGATGAAACTAACGAGTTATTGTCGTCGAGAGATCAATCTTTATGATTTGTCGAATTCATTATCTACACAAATTCAAAAACAATCTCTTGTTTCGAATAGTAATGCTTTACCAGAAATTATCATCTCAACACCAACGAAACTACTCGAACATTTGAAAGATCATACGTCACCGTTGAATTTGAATACATTGGAATTGTTTATCCTAGACGAAGCTGATATTCTCTACTCACTTGGTTATGCGAATGATATGAAAAAAATATCGAAATATCTTCCATCAAAATCGAAATCCTATCAATGTTTTCTTATATCAGCCACACTTAACGATGATATTGCACAACTAAAACAATTGTTTCTTCATAATCCCGTGAAAATCAACCAAAACGATGATTATTCAACCATTCTACCAGATAATAAACAATTACTACAGTACTACATTTATTGTGAACAGGACCAAAAATTCGTTTTAGTTGTGACAATATTCAAATTACAGTTATTAGTTGGACGAACCATTCTCTTCGTGAATTCTGTGGAACAAGCGTATCGATTGAAGTTATTAATGGAACAATTTCATATAAAAACGTGTTTGTTAAATAGTGAACTACCCATGGACTCACGTTTGCATATTGTTCAACAATATGTAAGTGTTCAATTCTATTTGAGATCAATAGTTACTTTCTTTTTTTTGTATCATTATGCTTTAGAATGATGGGTTGTATGACATCATGATTGCAACAGATGCACCGAATGCTGTACCGGAGCAGGAAGGAGACGGTGAAGAACAAGATGAAACTCAAGAAGAAGAATCATCGAAGAAGAGTATGAATCGTGAATTTGTGCATTTGTTGTTGAAAGATTTTTATTCGTATTTCAGAGAAGAAGAAGAAGACAGATGATCGAAAAGGTGATAAAGAATACGGTGTTTCGCGTGGTATCGATTTCTATCGAGTAGCGAATATAGTCAATTTCGATTTTCCGACGGATTTCGATGCGTATGTTCATCGTGTAGGGCGAACTGCTCGTGTCGATCAAAAAGGTTCGAGTCAACCGAAATTTCATCATGGTAATAGTCACTTTCAATTCTAGGTTTGGCACTGTCGTTAGTGTCTCAGAAAGAGATGGAGCATTTCGAACTTGTTCGTACGGAATTAGAAGATGAGTACGGTGAAGACATGTTCCATTTGTATCGGTTCAAATCGGAGCAAGTTGATGGCTTTCGCTATCGAGTTTTAGATGCATTACGAGCAATAACTCGTATATCAATTCGTGAAGCTCGCTTAAAAGAAATCAAAGCAGAAATCTTCAATTCGAAAAAGTTAAAAACCTATTTCAATGACAATAAAAAAGAATTGCAATTACTTCGACATGACTCAGCATTGCACATCGTCAAAGTCAAAGAACATCTCAAACACGTGCCTGATTATCTCATTCCAAGTTCATTGAAAAAAACATCATCGACCAACTCTGAACAACAACAACAGCAGCAAACATCGATGAGTACCAAGAGAAAATCAGAGATGATTAATAATAATGTCAAACGTATGAAACGGAATAATCCGTTGACGAATTCATTAAATGCTGTCACTGCTTTGAAAAAAGAAATTGCACGAAAAAAATAAATAAACTTGTTCTCTCTTTGTTTTGTGTGTTTCAGATAGAAAATTTCCGAGCAGATCACAATCATGACAACAACTATTGAAAATTTCCTTAACAACAAACGAAAATTTCTTTCAGATGATGAAGGATATCCTTCTTCGGCTCGATTTTTGTCTCTCAACGACCAGGTACGAAAAATCGCTCGAGATATCTTCTATCTCTACCCGAATGAATCTTACTCTCTTTCTTCTGTGACGACGCTTCATTTGCATTCGTATTCATTCATCGAATAGAAATCAGCAGATCGAAGGATTACGTAGTGTTGTGACTTTTTCTCGGTTTGTTACAACGAAATCTAATCGAGTATCGACTCTTTAGATACCAACAAACTGCAATGCGAAAAAACTCAAATCAATGGAAACAGATCGACTCTCATCAACGACCATGGAATACGAAGAGACGAGCGAAATGATGGTTTGTGAAGGCTCAACTTCGACCAAAAGTGATGTTCAACAAACAACCGAGATAACAAATAAATCAGCAGAGATAATCAGTGCAAAACATCACGAGTATGTTTATGCGAAAGAAAGATTTTGTAATGAATTGATTTCGTTTAGTACTGAAACTAATCCAACAGCGTTGGTTGTGCGTTGTTACTGTGATCCGTTTCGATTAAACACGTTGTTTCCGCACAATTCGAACTTATATTGAAGTCGCGAAGACCAGCAATGGACTAGGATAGATTTTGTTTCGTTTTAATACTTAGTCACGAACTTTTTTGCGTAATAATTCAATAGATCTCTTTTCTTTTGCTTCTACACAAAAGAATCTAATTCTGTATCTCGTTGTTTTTTCTTTCTTTCTTTCTTTCAGATGGCCTCGTCCGTTTCAGAGAAATATTCCGGATCAGGTGTACTAATTGTCGACACAATCAGTTCGTCTGTACTCTTGGTGTTTGATTACACGAAAAATTACAATTGCTGTGGCGGTTATATCAAATACGATTTGGATGAACCGAAATGTTTAGAGAAAACTGCACAGGAAGAATTGCGCGAAGAAACACGTACTCTTTTCTCTTGTGATTTAGACCATTTGGCATCTTGCCCATTTGTTGACGTACAGTTTTCTGACGAAATCTTTCGTTGTTATATATACAAAGTAGCGTGTGATAGGGATGTGTGCAGTCGATTCGAACAGTTTGATTTGACGGAATTATCGAATGATCATTCGTATCTTGAGACTACTTCAATGAGATTCTTTCCGTTGAAGCAATTTCACGAGAAGAAACCGTGGAAGATGATTGATCGGACGTCAATGGGACGCGATCAGTCTGGACAGCAGTGTCCTTTACATCGGCGAGTTATTTCTGTCATTAAGCAAGGAATACAACAAAAGTTATTGTGATATTATAAAAAGCACGACATTGATTTGTTTTCGAAATTATGTAATAAATGCGAATTCTATTTTTGTAGACAAAGACATTTATCAACGAGAATGGCAAATATTGAACAACAAATGCAAGACGTAAGTGATTTGCCAGTGTCATTGCCTTTGTACGTGATTGCTGTTGAAGATTAACTCGGACATCAGTGAAATTAAACAACTGTTGGGTCAAGCTACTCGTTCGCGAGTTAAACAATGTCTGGAAATTCAACAACGTCGTTTTGAAACAGAATTGATTGCATTGAAAGAAAAACAAGAACAAGCTTCTGCACCATCAACAGAAAAGAAACCAGCAACAACTACATTATCCTCATCGACAGCTCGATCATATACAAAAGAAATCACACTTTATGGTAAACGAAATCAATTCACCTGGATCCAAGAATAACTTTTTGTCGTTTAGCCTGGGACCAATCGGATAAATCTGTTAAGATTTATGTTCAAAATCTGGATGGAGTTGGAGATTTACCAGCTGAGCAAGTTCGCTGCTCATTCGAAGAACGGTAAAGAGAGGCTTGCTATCAAAGTGGCGTATTTAATGCTCTTTCTTCTGTTTTTTTCTTCAGAGGTTTTCAATTAGAAATCAATGGCTTGAAAAACATCAATTACGTTTTCAAACGAGGTCGTTTATTAAATGCTATCAAACCTGATCAATCATCCTACAAGGTACACGAAAATGATCTTTCTTGTTCGATATCTTTATGCTTATTTTAGGTGAAAAAAGACATGATCGTTTTGCTTTTAGCCAAAGCAGAATCAAAAACTTGGGAATGCATCTTTCAAGACGAGAAAAAAGCACCCGAAAAGTCAGTTGACTAATACATCATCACGTTTCCATTCGTCGTTTCTTTCTCTCAATAGATCATTGCCAAAAATGGATGATACCAAAGATCCCGGAGATTCATTAATGCAATTGATGAAGAATATGTATGAAACAGGTGATGATGAAATGAAACGTACCATTGCCAAAGCATGGACCGAATCGCGTGAGAAAATGAATACTGGTGGTGGTGGTGGTGGTGATGATTCTGGAATGCCAGGCTTCTAAAGAACAAAGTTCAATCAGAAACTAGACATCGTGATGTTGCGTTATCCACCTTCGCTTTTGTTTCTTTAACCTTGAAGTTTTTATTATGCTGTTTCGTTTTCTAGATTATTATGAACTTTCTCTCATAGATAATATCTGTTAAACAACGAATGGCTACTGCTGGTTACACACGTCCTCAGAATTACGTAAGTTTTATGAGTTTCCTTGTAAATGACGAAACCCTCGTATTTAGTCATCTATTCGAGATGATGATGATGAAGCATTGGATATTCAAATTGAATCGTAAGAAAAGTTGACCTTTGTCAAATAGTATGTCGTACGTTTGATTTAGTGATATTATACGATCGTCAACAGGTGACGGTGTTAAAAAGTAAATCGAGTTGTTCACTGATCGTTTGAGTAATTTCTATTTTTGTAGACTTCATGGTCAAGTACAAGAAGTGGTTGGTGTAATGAAAAAGAATATTGATCGATTACTAGATCGTGATGTTGCATTGAACAATCTGATGACGCGTGCGGATGACTTAGAANGTATGTCGTACGTTTGATTTAGTGATATTATACGATCGTCAACAGGTGACGGTGTTAAAAAGTAAATCGAGTTGTTCACTGATCGTTTGAGTAATTTCTATTTTTGTAGACTTCATGGTCAAGTACAAGAAGTGGTTGGTGTAATGAAAAAGAATATTGATCGATTACTAGATCGTGATGTTGCATTGAACAATCTGATGACGCGTGCGGATGACTTAGAAACATCAGCATCAACGTATAATCAAACAACAAAACAATTACGACGAAAGTATTGGTGGAAAAACACACGAGTAGCTCATAATCGATCGATCTATTTTCTTTCGACTGATTTTTCCTTTTCTAGACAAATATTTGTATCGCTGGTATTGTTATTGGAGTTATTCTCTTCATCATTAGTAAGTCAATTCGATTAAACAACTTTGAAACGATCATGTGCGTTCGTTGTTTTTCTCTCTTAGTTATAATTGCATTTAGTCGTCGAGGAAAGAATTGAATCTGGTAATAGTCATTAATCTCATTTATTATTTGGGTCAGATGTCCATAGTCAAACCGTGGAATGGTCATCTTTATTAATCATCTATTTGTGTTGTTTGTCTGTATTTATTTCGAACGAATCTCAATACTATTGCTTCATTTCTTCTCTGTGTGTGTGTATATATATACGCGTTTCATTTGAATAAAAGAAAAAACTTATTTCACGTGTGATACATATGGGGTCTTTCATCATTGCAGAAGTAGGTGTGAAAAGTATGTTTGTTTCTTCTTTTGCGACAAGTAAGAAGGCATCTGTCGAGCATTGGATTGATTGATTGTTGAAAATAAGACAAGTTCTCTTTTTTTCCTCGCGTAAATGAGGTTCTAATTTGAGTTTTGTCACCACCTAGTGTTCGTGAAGAGCTTTTCTCACACACACATATGCATACGTAGACAGACAAATTGAACAATTAGCGCATCCTGCAGTGGCAAATGATGATGATGATGATCATCTTCCTTCGAGCTATCGATAAACGATGACATTCCAGTTGTTTTCGAAAATGAAACATAGATGATACATAAGTAGACAATTGAAAAATTGATTGCGTAGAATCGAAAGACATCTATACAATTTACAGTCAAGGATGACATAAGATATTCGTATGTTCTCGTCTTCTTCGATGGCAACGTTCAGTAATTGAACGGTCAACTGTATAGACTTAGATCCCCTGTGACGATCAGTTCGACGAACAATAGATTCGATGTATACATACGAAAATCAATAGGTGCGAAGAGAGGAAGAGAGAGAGAGCAAAGAAGAAAAGAAATGCACGCTAGGAGGCCTTTCGCTACCGATAAGAAGAAAGTTTTATTTCAATATTCGATTGTATGTTTGATCCGTTCGCATCGAATAAAATAGAAAATCGAATCGAGAAAGTAATTATTAACGTGCGATGGATGTGTTGTGTTGTATTCAATTCATTGAATTGGAATGGAAAAACACAAGAATAACGAACAGCAATATGTTGTTGTCATTGTCGTTGATGGCATGTAGATGATTGAGGGTGGAGACATTCAATGTTTAAGCTCATCATGTTATTAAAGTGTTGATTTAGATGAACGAATGTCTTCGTGTCAAATGAACCGATTGATAATCGTTCCCACTTGTCTGTACATGTCTATAGAATGAAATTATCTCAAGAACAATGCGAATGTTTCCTTTCTTTTTCTTTCTTATTTTGTTNATGTTGTTGTCATTGTCGTTGATGGCATGTAGATGATTGAGGGTGGAGACATTCAATGTTTAAGCTCATCATGTTATTAAAGTGTTGATTTAGATGAACGAATGTCTTCGTGTCAAATGAACCGATTGATAATCGTTCCCACTTGTCTGTACATGTCTATGGAATGAAATTATCTTAAGAACAATGCGAACGTTTCCTTTCTTTTTCTTTCTTATTTTGTTTCTAATATCGTAAAACTTTTCGTGTAATAACAAGCAAAAAATACGTGTTTTGAAATGAAAGCAAACGAACGAAAAAGAAAAAAAAGTTCAAGCAATGCGACACACACACACACACACACACACACAAATACATAGAATATCTAGGAAAAAATGAGTCAAAAATTAAGTCCAGTTTGTCGATGATAATAATGTTGTTGTAAAGCAGCAGCATGATGGGGATGATAAACGTGTGGATGATGGTATGCACTCATTGTGTGCATATGCAATGGCCAATCTGTTGATGTCGCAGATTGAGCTGGTGCTTGCTGAGGATGATGCATACGTGCTAAAGCGGCTTTCATTGGTGCTAAGTTTTCAAACGATGGGGGTGAATCGGAACAACTATCTGTAGTTGTTGTGGTATTCATTGATGAATGATTTGGTTGGAGTAATTGTTGTTGTTGATGATGTTGTGGTGGTGGATGTTGGTGATGAAGATGGGTATTTATACTGTCTCGAGACGAGCGACGACGTCGCTGGGAATGAGGATGCATTCGTGAGGATGGTGAGGGCGACCGTTCGTTCTCGCCACCACGCCGATGAAGATTATTCCGTTTCAAACACGAATCATTGATCGAACCAGATGATGAATTCGTTGCTGTCGAGGAAGTGGAATCCTGACCTTGAGATTCATGCATTTTCATATGCTTACGTAAAGCTAAAGCAACGAATGAAACGATTGTTCCAAAATAGAACGCAGAAAATCGTGAAAATTCTTACATGATGGATGAGTGTAAGTTTTATCACATCCACTGACTCGACAATTATATGGTTTATCGGATGTATGAACATGTTGATGTTTCTTTCGATCGGAACTATTAGCAAAACTTCTTTCACAATATTGACATCGAAATGGTCGTTCTCTGAAAAAGCAAAATATAGTGTTGTTTGAATACGAGAGAAAAGAAAACAGTAGTTTCAACTAACCCTGTATGTGTTCGTTTGTGAATTTTCAAGTTTTCTGATCGAGCGAACACTTTTCCACAACGAGCGAACGGACATGCAAATGGTTTTTCACCGGTATGCACACGAATATGATTGACCAATTTGTATTTTGCTTTAAATGCACGGCCATGTCTTGGACAATCGACCCATAAACATGTGTGTGTTGATTGTTCAGGACCGCCCACATGTTCAACAGTAAGATGAGTAACTAAAAGAAGCAAATCAAAGGACAAAATGCCATGATTATTATGTCTTTGCTAACAAGCTTCATTTATATAGTGAACAGAACATACACACACACATTTTTGTCATCTGTTTAACCTCGTCATTATTTCAGTAGCACCACAGGAGTCTCATTTCCGACATTTTTTCTTCTCCTTTCTTTCTTTCTTTTCATTAAAAATACTATGATTGGATGTATGTATTTAACTTACCAATCTCGTGCATATAACCAAATGCACGATTGCATATTCGGTGTGTATCAGGATCAACCCATTTACATATATATGTATCATTTTTACCATTTGGAATATTGTTAACATTACATGTTGTACCAAGTCCTTGTCGATATGATGGATGAAAATAAGGTAAAAACGCTGTTTGCGTGCTCGGATCAATATGCGAACCGGCTGTAACATAACGTGAATAGTATTGTGTATTGGCATACTGTTCCGGATCGAACATAGGATATGTCCTATTGAAGTACATGCGTTTCGATTAGTCGAAAAGTGATATACGAAGACTAGCAGACTTACATGAAGCTCGAAGCGGCTAATGGATCTTGGGCTGTTGAGAACGGTGGTGATGTTCCCGCATAGGATGAGAAGTCCGTTCGACGTTGTTGATCATCCAGTGAATTCAATGAGGTCGAACCGGGTACATTAAAAATTGAAGATGACGAAGGTGTTGATGTCAATGGTCGATATGTAACTGGTGCATACGGACTTGGGTAAGACGACGTTGTCGTATTGTTGGTACTTTCACCTGCACCACCATTCCGCTCTGCCGATGGACTCGTTGGATCGAACATGGATGTGGTTAATAGATTGATGACTAGTTTTTAAAAAAAAATTTAAAAGAGATAAATTTAATAATTACTCTCATGCCGTGAACGACTTACTGTGCGATTTGTCGTTTTTTTTTGTTGTCAACAAACTCGATAGGGGTTGGCACTTGTCGGTTTTTTTGCGATGCTCCACAGGATTGAGAACTTGAAGGGAGAGGTGAGCGTCGTACGGTGCCTATAGGCTCACCAGGATCTAGCTATTGATACTGCAATAATGACTCCAGTAGGCAACCTATCAAGCACAGACACATACACAGCAGTGTAGTAGAACTTTTTTGTCGTTGTTCNTTGAGGGTGGAGACATTCAATGTTTAAGCTCATCATGTTATTAAAGTGTTGATTTAGATGAACGAATGTCTTCGTGTCAAATGAACCGATTGATAATCGTTCCCACTTGTCTGTACATGTCTATAGAATGAAATTATCTCAAGAACAATGCGAATGTTTCCTTTCTTTTTCTTTCTTATTTTGTTTCTAATATCGTAAAACTTTTCGTGTAATAACAAGCAAAAAATACGTGTTTTGAAATGAAAGCAAACGAACGAAAAAGAGAAAAAAGTTCAAGCAATGCGACACACACACACACACACAAATACATAGAATATTTAGGAAAAAATTAGTCAAAAATTAAGTCCAGTTTGTCGATGATAATAATGTTGTTGTAAAGCAGCAGCATGATGAGGATGATAAACGTGTGGATGATGGTATGCACTCATTGTGTGCATATGCAATGGCCAATCTGTTGATGTCGCAGATTGAGCTGGTGCTTGTTGAGGATGATGCATACGTGCTAAAGCGGCTTTCATTGGTGCTAAGTTTTCAAACGATGGGGGTGAATCGGAACAACTATCTGTAGTTGTTGTGGTATTCATTGATGAATGATTTGGTTGGAGTAATTGTTGTTGTTGATGATGTTGTGGTGGCGGGTGTTGATGATGAAGATGGGTATTTATACTGTCTCGAGACGAGCGACGGCGTCGCTGAGAATGAGGATGCATTCGTGAGGATGGTGACGGCGACCGTTCGTTCTCGCCACCACGCCGATGAAGATTATTTCGTTTCAAACACGAATCATTAATCGAACCAGACGATGAATTCGTTGCTGTCGAGGACGTCGAATCTTGACCTTGAGATTCATGCATTTTCATATGCTTGCGTAAAGCTAAAGTAACGAATGAAACAATTATTCCAAACTAGGACGCACAAAATCGCGAAAATTCTTACATGACGGATGAGTGTAAGTTTTATCACATCCACTGACACGGCAATTATATGGTTTATCGGATGTATGAACATGTTGATGTTTTTTTCGATCGGAACTATTAGCAAAACTTCTTTCACAATATTGACATCGAAATGGTCGTTCTCTGAAAAGTAAAATATAGTGCTGTTTGAATATGAGAGAAAAAAAACGGCAGTTTCAACTAACCCTGTATGCGTTCGTTTGTGAATTTTCAAGTTTTCTGATCGAGCGAACACTTTTCCACAACGAGCGAATGGACATGCAAATGGTTTTTCACCGGTATGCACACGAATATGATTGACCAATTTGTATTTTGCTTTAAATGCACGGCCATGTCTTGGACAATCGACCCATAAACATGTGTGTGTTGATTGTTCAGGTCCGCCCACATGTTCAACAGTAAGATGAGTGACTAAAAGAAGCAAATCAAGGGACAAAATGCCATGATTATTATGTCTTTACTAACAAGCTTCATTTATATAGTGAACAGAACATACATACACACACACACACACATTTTTGTCATCTGTTTAACCTCGTCATTATTTCAGTAGCACCACAGGAGTCTCATTTCCGACATTTTTTTCTTTTCCTTTCTTTCTTTCTTTTCATTAAAAATACTATGATTGGATGTATGTATTTAACTTACCAATCTCATGCATATAACCAAATGCACGATTGCATATTCGGTGTGTATCAGGATCAACCCATTTACATATATATGTATCATTTTTGCCATTTGGAATATTGTTAACATTACATGTTGTACCAAGTCCTTGTCGATATGATGGATGAAAATAAGGTAAAAACGCTGTTTGCGTGCTCGGATCAATATGCGAACCGGCTGTAACATAACGTGAATAGTATTGTGTATTGGCATACTGTTCCGGATCGAACATAGGATATGTCCTATTGAAATACGTGCGTTTCGATTAGGTGGGAAAATGTTATACGAAGACTAGTAGACTTACATGAAGCTCGAAGCGGCCAATGGATCTTGGGTTGTTGAGAACGGTGGCGATGTTCCCGCATAGGATGAGAAGTCCGTTCGACGTTGTTGTTGGTCATCCAATGAATTCAATGAGGTCGAACCGGGCACATTAAAAATTGAAGATGACGAAGGTGTTGACGTCAACGGTCGATATGTAACTGGTGCATATGGACTTGGGTACGACGACGTTGTCGTGTTGTTGGTACTTTCACCTGCACAACCATTTCGGTCTGCCGATGGACTCGTTGGATCGAACATGGATGTGATTAATAGATTGATGACTAGTTTTTTCAAAAAAATTTAAAAGAGATAAATTTAATAATTACTCCCATGCCGTGAACGACTTACTGTGCGATTTGTCGTTTTTTTTGTTGTCAACAAACTCGATAGGGGTTGGCACTTGTCGGTTTTTTTGCGATGCTCCACAGGATTGAGAACTTGAAGGGAGAGGTGAGCGTCGTACGGTGCCTATAGGCTCACCAGGATCTAGCTATTGATACTGCAATAATGACTCCAGTAGGCAACCTATCAAGCACAGACACATACACAGCAGTGTAGTAGAACTTTTTTGTCGTTGTTCTTAGAGAAAAAAAGTGAGAGAAAACGAGAGAGAGAGAGAGAGAGAAAGAGGAAGAGAAATAAATCTACCAATAGGAAAAAGGGAGACGGAGAAAGAGAAAATACTGTATTCTGTCTTACTTTTTTCTCCTGTTTATTTATTCTCCCTGCAATATCTGTTTTGTATTAGATTAAGACACTATGGGAGAAAAGGGAACTCCTGAGGTGTACCCAGGAAAGTCTAGCTGTATTACGGCTAACGAGTAGAGAAAGATACGAAAAAAGGAAATGTCTGTGTCATCTCCAGCCGTGCACTTTTTTCCTAAACAGAAGAAAAAAAGATCGTTAGAAAAGGTCGAGAGAAGTAATGACGATACACTGATTGGAGAATTGGTAAGTTAAATACATACATCCAATCATAGTATTTTTAATGAAAAGAAAGAAAGAAAGGAAAAGAAAAAAATGTCGGAAATGAGACTCCTGTGGTGCTAC